GGATTGAGCTCGTAGTCAGCATATTTAGAGGGGTGTACGTATGCGACTGGCGACTTCTTGGGCTGCGGGTTCGCCGCCACCATGATCTTGTCATTGAGAGCATCCCAGTGGGCACCCTTGACAAGAATTAACTCTTGGTCTGCAAGCACGCGTTTTCGATACCTTGCCACTTACCATCATCACCACTCCCTTGATTCCCCTCGCGCGTGCCTCGTCGCCGCATTTCTTCCAATACGTGGCAGAGGTGCTCTCTTCACCTAACATCATGGTCGAGCCATGCGAAAACCAGTGCACTGGCGTCAACGCGTTTTGCAGAGCCGCCATCCTATGGGACTTGCTTTTGAAACGCAGGCCTCATTGACTGGTTGCCATGGCATACGATATCTTTATTCGACGATTTGGATGTCGGCTTCATGTGGCTCGCGAGAAGCAAAGTCAGGCCGAAGGAGTGGGACGCTGATGTGCCACTTTCCGAGAGTGGAACCAATGAAACGGAACGCAATTCTGACCCCGCGTTTTCTAGATTTGTTTCGGCATCACTAGCTTTACGATGGATAACGCACGAGGCGGTGGAGGGGGCCCACGGGGTCCCCAGCTGGGGTGCCAACTCTAGGTCGACAGTCGAGGCGCATGGCTTCTTTCTTCCCTCGCAAAGCAGCGGACGTTTCCAGTCACCAGTCAATGTCGACTTTTGGATAGCTTCCTCGACAATCACTTGCACTCCCACCCACATCCACGCAAGCCCGTTGTGGGCGTAAGAGGGCGTAAGAGCAACATGACAGTCGACGAACCTATCAGCATTCAGCAAGGAGGGAATGTGCGTTCTCCAGCTGACACCCTCGAGCCTTCCGAATCACCGCCGGTCCCCTCTTACAGCGAATCTGGTGAGCGCGAGCACAGCCCCGGTTCACGGCGAGATCTACCATTTGCTTGCAATGTCTGCAGAAAATCATACTCCCGCGTAGGGCATCTAGCACGACACCATCGTTCCCGTAAGTAATTGCTGTGCTGCTCCGTCTATGTGGGCTTTGAACGTGTCTAACTAAGAGTCTTGTATAGATACCCTGGAGAAGCCGTTCTCCTGCAGGACCTGTGGTAAAGGTTTCTCACGCGCGTAAGCCATGAGTCTCCAACCTTGATCGTGTGTCTCATCATCATGCAGCGACGTTCTCAAACGACACACCGAGAATCACGTAAATCCAGATGCTGCGGCAAAGCGTCAGCGTAGAGAACCCTATTCTCGCCATTCTCGAGCTGCGAAGGCTTGCATGGCGTGTGCGTCGTCGAAGCTCAAATGTGAAGACGAGAAGCCTTGCCAACGATGCCTGAGGCGCGGCCTGGAGTGCCGGGTCATCAGCGGCCCAGGATCCTTTTCAAGTCCTGTCATTTCCACTGAAGACATGCAAGGTAAGAACAGGGCATGCATCTTCAAAATTGTCCTCTCGCTAAGGTGCATGTTGTTGTCTAGAGCTCGGTGCTCTGACCTCGTTAGGAGAGGACTCTGCGGCTATTGTTAATGAACTTGGCCAGGGGATGGTCGATCAGCCCATAAATTTTACAGCAGAAATCGAAAATGGCTATGCTCCATCGGCCTCGCTGAACGGTCCCTCTGAACAACAATACACAGGACCGCTCTCAGAGAGTCGTCTCGAACATGAGTCGAGCGAAGTCCCATCTCTTACTGGGTTACAGATGCACAATAATGACATGCTCAGTCGCGGTTCAGTCCAGTCGACGTTACAGGTGCAAGATGCCCAGAGCTCTTCTTTAAACGATTCAGTAGACCCACTGGAGAGTTTCCTAAACGACATACTTTTGTCCGGACCGGCTCTGGACCCTTTCTCATCAGCAGATCTAGCCGTTGAGACGATAAGTACGTCGAGGGATTACCTAAACTTTGGCATGGACTGGCTGGAGGCGGATGGATTTGGTGCCCTTTCACCAATAGGAATCGAGAACTCTGATGCAATTCAAAGCATCGTTGACGGTGGACCATTGCAAAAACGTCAGAATCAAAACCAGAACCATCAAGTACATCCTACATCTGGTACGAGGACGCCAGTGGCTGCTGCAGATGCCGTCGAGATCGGTGTTTGCGCTGACGCTTTCAGAAAATCGGTATGGCGGTGGATTCCCGCACAGAGTGATCACCAAGGAGCCGACCAGGTGAATCTGTCATGGGATTGTGATGATCTCGAAACGCCCCAATCACTCAGTGAAGGTGTTGCTCATATATCACAACAGCATATTGATTCAGCTGGGCGAGACAGCATTCTGGCTATGGTGCTTAGCACCTGTGAGGGAAAAATGGTTCGCAATATTGTCTCCGCGTTCCCTAATGTGGAACTGCTCGACAATCTGATGCATTACTATCTACGGCGGCATTTCCATCAAATTTCTTCATGGTTACACTTTCCAACTTTCAAAGTCAAAACTGAAACTCCAGAATTGTTGGTGATGCTCATCGCAACTGGCGCCGCTATCTGCCCCGAGCCAGCCCTACAGAAGTTAGGATTTGCTCTCCAAGAGGCCGTCAGCATAGCTCTACCGATTGCCGTAAGTGTGACTTCAACATGACTTTTTGGGACGATTGGGTGATAACCACAAGTGGCGCAGTTTGAGCGCGACAATCGAACGACGAGGAGCCTCGAGCATCTTCAGGCATTTGCCTTGCAGCTCGAGGTTGGTCTTTGGAGTGGCAATAAAAGGAGAATGGAGCTTTCTGAGAGCGCCACTCTGCATCTAATCACGGTATGGGGCCAATCTTCCAAACGATCTTGACGTCTGGGCCTCGACAGGCTGATCAGTTCAACAGATGTTGCGACGAGCGGGTTCATTCCAGCGACGGACATTGCATAGCAGCAGCATTCCAGCACAAGCGGATAACCAAGAGATTTTGGAAATCAAGTGGCGCAAGTGGGTTCATTTGGAGTCATTGAAGCGGTAGGCAACTTCAGTCCTGGAAGAGATCCCTTACTGACTTGGAACTCCCACAAAGGCTCACATTCCACACCATGATACATGATGCAGAGTCATCAATGGCTCTGCAGACCCCACCTCTTATTGCATCCACTGAGCTTCTACTCGACCCCCCTGCCTGTCAGCAGCTATGGCAAGCTGGAACGTCCAGTGAATGGCGCGATATTTATATCCAAGTCCATTTGTCGGCATCCACGATTCCGCAGCAAATGTCTAGACCGCTTTCAAGCTTTGTCGTTGACATTAACCCTCTTCGTGGTTTCAAAAGCAACGATCTGCCTTTCTCTGTCCTTATTGTCCTTTGCACATGCTGGCAATTGGTATGGAACCACCTCCAACTGAGCTCGGTCTTGGAAAGCCAACATCTCTCCCCCCCTAACACTGTCGCCGGCCTATACACCAATGCACCACATCACGAACTACGCCAGGCGCTTGAGCGAATCCGCTTGCACCTTAGTGAGTGGAAAGATCAGCTTAGACATCAGCACCTCAAACTCCAGGTGATCCTGGACCGCATTTTGCTAAATCTGCACCTGCCATTCGATCTCGTGCAGAATTTTGCCGGAAAAGAGGGCGAAGAAGAGGCACGACGTGCCTATCCAGCTCTCGGTCTATGGGCTCGCAGCCGTCAGGCGCGAGAGGCCATACGTTACGCCGGCCAAGTTTTGAAAGCGGTGAGGTCCTTTGAGAACCACCACGTCTCGGTGCTCCACTTTGAGCACATCTGCGTGTACCATGCCAGCCTGGCGCTGTGGACATGGTCAGTGGTCTCATGTGTAGACTCGTCCTCGCCTTCTTCCATGATGGCAAAGCAGCTAAACCTTTCTGACTTAGTTTGGTTGGACTCAGACGACCACGCCACCGTGGAGCGGTGGATCTATCTTGGTCTCGGCTGTCCTGTCGTCTCTGATTATTCTGGCGGCGATGGGTCATTGCTTGAAGACAGATCGCGCCCGTTTGTCTCGCTGACTCACCCAGAGTCAGTGATTAATAACTGTACTGTGCTCCTACAGACCCAGATCCTGCACAACAGCAACAACGGTGGCCTGCCCTTAGTGGACAACCTTCGTCAGCTGATGCGTGAGTTAGGCCGTGCTACTCGAGGGCTGGAGAAGTCAAAGATGGCTCGATAGTGCGGGAGAACGCGGAGACATATATTAAAGAGTATACAGACTCATGCCCTCTGTCATTCGAGCGCGCTCACTTATTTTAAGTTTGTTTATGGAGAAGTGGTAAAACTGTACTTGCAGGCTGCCCCTCGCCTCGTCCACTATGTGTTTAGATTGAATACATATGACGACAAAACACGTGCCGAAACAGGACATACGCAGGCGAGTCCAGAATCAGGGTCCGAAGTGATCCAGGCCGAGTCATTGCGATCAAAATGTCGGCCACAGAACATGCTGTGAGGAGAATCCGCTTTCTTCGCATCGTGCTGAGACACAACAGCAACTCTGAGGTTCAAAGATATCAAGCGGAGCTTCAGCGTAGAGTGCTACGGGATCTTGAGTGCTCAACATGTCAAGACCACGGCGCTATAAGACAGCTCAGAGTGTAGGGACGATGCTGTAGATTGGGACCGAGAAGAAGGATATTGTGATAAAGTCTTCTTGCCTAGCTAAAGCCTCTGAGAGAGAGAGAAACGGTCTCAGCCTATGTAATAGGCGGGCCAGCCCAGCTGGACATTATACAGCATCATTGATGATCAAGTCTAGATGAACAATAAGGGCCCATGTTCATAGCATTTCAATTTGACAGTATGCTTGCGTATTGTCGTGGACTCTGACTTGAAAGCCGAGAAATGACACACCCCGCACCTGTTGGATTCGACGCCGCCTTAACGGGAGCCTTAGCAAGACTTAAGCTACATAAGGGGATTAACATGGTCAGTAAGGCGTCCCGTGGGCGTCCAAGTAGCGCCACAGTTGTGCTTATTCCTCGGTTCACCTTCCCCATTGTCTGTAGAGGATATCTCCTGAGATGGACTTTCAGCTACGATCATCACTTGCGACAAGATGTCACACGCCTGAGGCATTGAGAGTGCCAGCGCTGGACTCTGTGGAGCAAATGAGATGCTACAGCCTTTCCTTCTGATCACGGGCATTGCCTACATATCTTTTCTTCTCACTCGATATGTTATCAGCGAACGAAAACATCAACGCCAGGCTCGACAGTGGGGTTGTCAGGCCCCCCCTCGAGAACAAGGAACCTGGTATGGCGTGACGATTCTCAAAGATTTCATTCAAGCGCTGAAGGAGGAGCGTGCTACTCAATATATCATTCAGTGGCAAGAGAGAAACCCAGCGACGTATGACACTAGGTTTTTCGATAGCGTTGTTCTTCAGACTTGCGAACCTGCAAACATCCAAGCCCTCCTCGCATCCCAATTTGAGGACTTTTGCCTGGGACATCGTCTGCAAGCTTGGTCGCCTATGTTTGGAAAAGGCATTTTCACCACTGACGGTGCTGAATGGTTTGTGCACCCTCCGGAATACACCGGCTCGCCAACTGATTTGTATACAGGAAGCATCAACGGGCAATGCTGCGACCACAATTTGCTAGAGAGGTTTTGCAGGACTTTGATACGGAGGAGAGGCACCACAAGAATCTGCTGCATCATCTCACAGTCCGGCCGGACGGATGGACTGACAGAGTCGACTTACAGCCTTTGTTCATGCGCTTGACCATGGATTCGAGCACAGAACTTCTTTTTGGTCAGAGCACCAACTCTCAGATGGCAGCCCTCAGCAGTGAAGGCAAGCTTGGAACAGGGCTTGGGTGGAAGTCATTCAACGATGCTTACGAAGGTAGTTTGAAGGCTGTGGGGATTCGAAACTTTCTCGAAGACTTGTACTGGCTCTACAGCCCCAGACAATACAAAGAGGATGTCAAGGTGGTGCATAACTATGTTGATCATTTTGTTCAACAGGGTCTGCACCGTGCATCCTCCGGCGATGTCCAGGCCAACGACCGGTCCAAGAAATATTGTTTTCTCGATGAACTTGCCAAAGAGACCCAGAACCCTGTCGAACTACGCGATAATTTACTGAACATACTGATCGCTGGACGAGATACAACCTCCAGCCTTTTAGGCTGGACGATCTACTTACTAGGTCAAAACCCTGGCATCTTTCATAAACTGCGCCAAATTGTCCTTCGTGACTTTGGAACATATGAATCGCCAGAGAACCTCGACTTCGCATCCATCAAGGGCTGCACATATCTTCAACATGTTTTGAACGAGGGCCTACGGCTACACCCACCTGTACCAGCTAATGCCAGATTTGCAGTCCGAGACACCACTTTACCCGTCGGTGGAGGTCCTGACGGAAACTCTCCTATTTACGTCCGTAAAGGACAGTCGGTCGCATACTTTGTGGGCGCTATGCACCGACGAAAAGATCTCTGGGGAGACGATGCCAACGAATTTCGCCCGGATCGCTGGATTGGCCGCAAGCCGAAATGGGACTATCTCCCATTTAGTGGTGGCCCGAGAATCTGTCTAGGTCAGCAGCAAGCCTTGACTTTGGCTGGTTTCACGATAATTCGTCTCCTACAGAAATTCGATGACATACAGCCTGCTGATAATGGAGAGAGGGCTCGACACCTCTTTACGCTCACAGATGCTCCGCGTTATTGCTGGGTCAGGCTACATGATGCCTCGCGCAGCTAGTGGGGATTGCCAAACTATGAGGATTCTTCGACCTTTTGTGAATCGGGGAGGTGGACCAACCGAAACATCACAATTAACGACTGTTCGACGTTTATGCCTGGAGAGTTCTGTGGTTGTTCAATTAAATATTGATATTTGTCCGCATGCTTGCTCTTGCAAGGGATTCTGTTTGTGATTGTTTCTGGCAGCGTCTTATGGCTATATGTAGCTATAGATTCATTCTTGGCTATCTAGTGACCCGGTACAATAACGTTGTCCTCGTACGGCGCCTTCTGCGTGAGGCTTTCAATCACTAATGACACATTGATTTTACTGGCATGGTGCAAGTCTCATGGGACTCGGGCGCTGCGTAATCCATTCATTGTGGATGGGGGTTTCAATCACCCGCTCCATGTTTATATATCTATATGTATAAACACATCTCTGTTCCATGTGTTTCATCATCGACAACAGGAACGCCTTGCTAAACGCATAGGAAAGGTTGCCTTTGCACCTTAGTGTATGTGCCGTCAGGCCTCCTCTCTTCCCATATTGGGACAACCTTTCAAGCCATGGCCAAAGCAGAAGACGGCAAAGGAGGAGAGCGGCTTCATAGCGAATGGGCTGGAAAGACTAATTGCGTACTTCCATCTTCAGGCGACTTGGATTCCTGCGTGGGATAGTAGCAGACATGAAACTCTCATCATTGCCTAGCGGTAGGAAGATCCCCTCTCTGCAATGGCTCTGGAGAGTGTGTTTGCGAACCTCGAAACCATGTCCGTGTCGAATTTAGCTGTTTCAATGGCTTGAAGGACAGGCTTGATGCCGACACCGACCTCTTCACTACGTGTGATGTCCTTGATCTCTGCAATTGCTCGAGATACGTCATTTGAGCTGAAAGCTTTGGAATCCTTCATGACGTACGCCAACTCATCATAAGTACGGACATTTGCGATCGGAATGTCTGCATTGAAGTGGCGCCAGAAGTCAAGTTGCTGAAGCGTTGTCCTTTCGGCGGCAGTTGCAAGAATGAGAAGACTCCTCCCTGGTGGGGGCTCCTTTCTCAGTAAGGCGATGAGGGTCTTCAGGATGGGGTTACTGAATCGAGGCCCAATAGGCGTCCATTCGCAAAACTCCTCAATGTCATCAATGACGACGGCGCTTGCTGTACTCTTATGGGCGTCCATGAATATGCGGCTCAGGTAGGAGATCTTCTGGTGTTCGCTCATTTCCAAGGTGTCTTTATTGCTCACCAGCTTGATGAATGGATACCCCGAGTCGATAGCGATCTTGGCTGCTAGAGCTGTCTTGCCCGACCCGGGCGGGCCATGGAGGCACACCGAGAAGAAAGGAGTCGACTGTGGGTTTCTTACCTGCTCCACAAACAATTTACCTTCTTCGAGAACTTCCTTGACATAGGGGGAGAAATGAATGATGCCTCCTCGCAGGCAGGCAGTCAGCTCGCCTTCCGACACGCCAAAGGCAGGCTTCACTTCTTCCAAGGCACGGTCAAAGTCTTCTTTCTTGACAACCAATTCATTGACGTCGTCGGAAATGCCAGCCATGGTGCCAACCTTGACATGGCGATTGAGTGCAAAAGAGGTGGCGGATCTAACAAGTCCACCAATCTCTGCGCCAGAGAAGTTTTTGGTTTTGGTCGCTAGGTCGTTGATATCGACATCAGGGTCCAGTCGATTCTCATTTCTGATTTTCTGAGTATGAATCTTCAGAATTTGGACTCGACCATGCTCATCAGGCAGTGATATCTCAACATGAAGCTCGAGTCGACCGGGCCGCAGCAGAGCGTCATCGATCATGTCTTTTCGATTTGTCATGCCAATAAGGAGGATGTTGTTGAGCTGGTCAACGCCATCGAGTTTTGACAAGAGTTGATTGACGACACTATCCCCGACACCTGTGCCGCCCCCAGCTCCACTACCTCTCTGCTTGCAAACGGCATCCAGTTCATCAAAGATGATAATATGAAGACCAGACTCGTCGCCCTTCTCCTTGTATTCCTTTTCTGCATCGGCAAAAAGTTTGCGAACATTCTCTTCCGATTGACCAACATACTTATTGAGTACTTCAGGGCCGTTTATGACCTTGGGCTCACGAGCGTTGAGCATCTTTCCAATCTGACGAGCAATCAAAGTTTTGCCGGTGCCGGGAGGTCCGTACAAAAGGATGCCTTTGACATGCTGGATGCCCAACTTTTCGACAAGACCTGGTGGGAAGACACGACTGGCAAAGGCTCTGCGGAAGATGACTGCAAATTCCGAATCCAGGCCACCGATGCCCATGTCCTCAAACTTGAAATCGGGAGCAATGATTGAATTGGCAGCAGGGCGTCTTGAAGAAGCCTTGAGGTTGATGGCTGTCTTTGTGTCCTTGAAGAAATTGATCTGGGTCTGCGGGGTGAGAATACCACGTGCTTGAGGATCCGTGGTTGTCGGGGCTGCGGCAGCACCAGCCTTCTCGCTGAGTTCGGCCAACTGAACAGTCTTGACGACGAGATTGAGCGGTATACTTTTGAGATCCATTAAGAATCTTTGGGTGGGGGCAAACATTTGGCTGTTGAAAAGCTTTGTCACCTCCTTAGCCAAGTCATCCTGGTCATAGGGGGTGTCCACAATCTTTCTGGTGCTGGCGAAACCGATTTCGATATCCATGGATCCAATATAAGCCGAGCTGCCACGGCTGAAGGCGTCAAAGGGTTCAGCGGTGAGCTGATCCGTCAAAGCTACGCCCATCCAAGATCTCTGCGGCTCGCTTAAGCCGATCATACCCCTTGGAAAGTTGTCTAGTGGGCGTGCCGAAACCACATACTTTTGATTGATAAGGAGAAAGATATCAGTACCGTCTCGAGACATAGGGAGATCTTGCGTTGAGACCGCCACCAGATTTCGAAAGGTATAGGTGTTGTCAGGGCTCTTGGTTGGTTGAAGTGTTAATGCAGGGCCGTGTGATCCTCGACTGCTCATGGGCTGATGGCCTTGCTGACGAGGAGGAGCATTTCTTGAGGGTAGGGCTGGATTGCCCCCATAGCCACGACTTCTTGGGTCATCATAGCCACCCATCGGGGTGTCATATGGACCAGGAGGCCCACCATATCCTCCGCCGCCTGGTGGCCTGCGTTGAGGAGAGGGCTGTTGCCCATAGGATTCGCGGGGTGGCTGTTGTGGCTGCTGGTTGGAACCAAATAGATTGTTTCTGTTGAACATGATGTGTCGGCGGAATAGAGTAGGGTATGAGACGGGGAGAAGGAAGAGGAGAAGTGGGCTTCTTATGACAATGGGGAGGAATGTCGGCGCCTGCGCCTAGTCTTTGTGGATGACAGAGGACAGGTGTTGTTTCTAGAGACGTGGAGAAAGAGTTGAGGTGGTGAAGGATCACAAGATTTGAGGACTGGGTGAAAGGTAGAATCGAGTCGAGTTCGTTATAGGGCAGAAAGACTAGAAAGGACCGCTGACTATGTGGGAGGATGATTGAAGCCGTCCATAAGCCTGAATGCGGCGTCGATTGTCTGGATCATCATGGAAGCAGTCCGGAACGGAAGAATGATGCTCCGACGCCGACTCGTGGATGGGACAGGAATGCTGACACACACTCTTGTGACTTTGAGGAACACAATCTCTGTTATTTACAGCTTGGTTTGCTCCATTGGACTTCTTCTCAAGATCTATGACATGGAAACTTCTACAATGTCCAGCCTTGATCGGGCACTGCCGTCCACCTTGAGGTTTCGTATTGTCGAATCGTAAAGCCTTGCTGAATCTTGGCAAGGCTGAACTCCATCGATAAGGCTGTGTGATATCTCATCCTGCGAAGAGCGACGTCATACGAACATTGCCCACAACCAGTTCTCTTTTTATCACCTTGTCCACCATTACCTCGATGAATGACTAGCCTTTGGATGATTCAGCAGCCTGCTGTTCATCTGTAGGAATGACGCCATCACCCTGTTAATGACAGGTTATCCTTCTGGTCTCGCCCATCGCCCTCCACAATGCCTCTCCATCTCCTCGGGAAGAAGTCATGGAACGTCTACAATCCTGCCAATATCGAGCGAGTCCGACGTGACGAAGCAGAGGCAAAAAAGCAAGAAGAGAAGGCAGAGCGCAAAGCGCGGCAGGATGAAGCGGATGACCGACTCGCCATTCTAAGAGGAGATAAACAAGGCGGACCTACCGAACGGGACATCGTTGAAGGGTCGGTTGATCATCGCAGATCCAAGAAGCGGAAACTGATTGGTGAAGATGACACCGACCGAGACATTCGATTGGCGCAGCAAAGCCAAGCGCAATCCAATACATCGCTCCAATCTACTCTGCATCGCGGGCAAGGAGACCGAGCCATCTCTCTGACGGACAAGAAAGGCAACTTTTCGTTAATCCCCCAGTCCCAATCCCAGGTTCAGTCTCAACCTAGATCACGTGTTGACGACAATCCAACTCACTTCTATCTCTCTTCCGCTGCCACCGGCCAGACGTCCACCGGCCTCCATCAGCCATGGTACAAAATACCAAAAGGGGAAGACCAAACGCAGTGGGGTTCAACATCTCCACGTCGCCAGGAACGTGAAGCAGAACGTCTCTCGACTAACGACCCGCTTGCTTTGATGAAACGTGGAGTGAAAAAGCTACGTGAATCGGAGCGTGAGAGGCAGCAGTGGCGAGAGCAAAGGGAACGAGATCTACGAGAGGTGGAGGATATGGCCAGGCGAGAACGAAGGAGGAAGGAGAGGCAAGATCACCATCACAACCGGGACCATGATAGGAAACAACACGGGAGACATCATGAAGATGGCGAAAGCCATGGGCGCCACCCCCGCCACCATCGTCGCCATCATCAAGCTGTCGAGCAGACCGGCTCCCGAAAGTCAGCGCCATCCGATGTCGAAGACCTCGACAGTCTAGAGGATTTTGATCTTGACAAGGGACATTCTCGAGTCGATCTACCACCTGATCACGATCGCCATAGGCGTAGACGTGATAAGTCCGACAGGGAGAGGCGTGATGATCAGGTGCAAATGCCCGGCGAGAGTCATCCTCGTTGGGCATCGCGCCATAGCTATGAAAAGGTTCACAAAACGCAGTCTCATTAACAATCTCCATGGCGTTGCATGGAAAGGTTAAATTCTATTTTCAATTACATTCCGAATGTGAGAATCAAAACAACGGACGCCAGGACTAAACTAGGCAACCAAAACAAGATCAAATGGATCGAAGCCAATGAATCCAAATCTCAACTCCAGCTACTCGCTGACCTATGCCATATCTTCACCAAAGTCGGTCTAGGCTGATCGCGCCCGCTTGCCCTGAGGCTCATGAGGCGGTTCTTCTGCCGCCCCGCGTTTTAAACTCATAGCGTTCTTAGGGGAAGCCTTGCTCGCGGCCGCATCTTTCCCACCTGGTTTAGACTGGAGATCTCCCCACTGACGAGGGAAGCTACCAGAGCCAGACACAGTCGCTTTTTGCAGATCGTTATTTTCCACCGTGACTGTGACCGACAAGGTCTGATTCTCGGATGTGCCTGGGATGTCGTCCGCCAAATACTTTGGGAAGTTGATTGTTTCGCCATTAAACTCAACGACAACAGAGATGAAGGCTTTCCCAGGCGGCGGGCCTTCTCCTTTCTCAGGTTCAGGGTCCTCGTCGCGCTCGTCGTCCTCATCGTTATCGCCTTCCTTGTCGCCGTCCTTATCTCTGGATGGATTGGAGGCAGGTGGTTCGGGTAAGTTTGTATAAGTACTCAACGGAAATGGTTGTAGCGACAATTCTTCCAGTGGTGTGACCTCCCTTTCCCCGATCGTCGCTTGTGTTTGCTGTGCTGTCTCGATCTTTGATGATGACTGCTTCTCGGGCGAGGGTGCTCTGGGCTCTTCCTCGTCTGCATCCGCAACTCTTTCAAAAAGCAGCAGATACGGCGTGAAAGGATCCTTGAAATTCTGTTCTTTCCGAGCTTGGACCAAAGTTGACTTTGTGACTTTTTCATCATTGAAACGGTACCATACGTTGTTGATCCAAGCCCAGGCGATATAGTGCCCAGCACCTGGTGCTCCCCGGTGACACACGAACGCCCTGAGTCGGTATTGAGCCGATTTCTTTCCAGCCAAGGTTTCGTCCACATGTGGCGTCAAGTCGAGCTCCTCAGGAATGTCAATTCGTGTGTTGATCTTGCACAGTCCGTCCTCATTAAATCCGGTCCTTCGCAATTGCACAATGAGGACCTCCGGCAGTGACCAGATTCTCTTCCATGAGTAATCCTCTCGGGTCGGGGGTGGCGGGCGTTTGATCTCGTTCTGCTTGTTATATGCGTCCCTCTCGGCTTCCTGCTTGTCCGCCTTCTGACCACATTCTGGACACTTACGGCCGGGGACAACACTCTTAACGTCACTTGCAATCAGGTCTTCCAACAGTACCGTTTCCTCGCTCTCCGACATAGCAAATCCCCAACCTTGATCTTCTACAAGTCTGGGATCTCGGATTCGAATGTTTTTCCCCGGCTGCGACCGACACCAAGAGCAGCCGAAACGTTCAGCAAACTGGATCTGGACCATCTCTTGTTGAGACGGAATGGCGCTGCTAATAGGTCAGCCAGACATCTTGATTCGCAACCAACGGAACCCACTTACCGGCCGTAATACTGCTCGCGAACATGCCGAGCTACATCAAAGATGAAAAGCAGAAGCTCCTGAGGATCTTCTTGGTTATCGCCAATTTTGTCAGCCAAATCATCTTCAGGGTCTGCGGTCCAACTGTAGCAGCCTACGTCCTGATGATCCTGCAAATGAGTCCAGAAATCTTGCATTCTTTGTTTGATCAGCTGTGGGCTGGCAGCATTGGCCTCCTTCCCTGCCCGGGACCAACTTTGCCATAATTCGTACAGAATGACAAAGGCATCTGCATAGTCCTTTGGCCCTGATTCGGCTATGGCCTTATCTATGCACACCTTGTACCGGTCTTGAATCCAGGACATAAAACGGGGACTGGCAAGGAGCATCACGATAGCAGAATTCCGAAAGCAAACATTGCCGGTGTCATTTACGAAGCCGACGGGAACCATCTTCTGAGTGACACTGGCAGCCTCCTGCTGTGCAGCCCTCCTCGCGATTCCATAATCTGGAGCAGGTGGAAATGAGACTCTTGTGTCTGAATGGGTAGGTGTCGACAGCCTTAGGTGGTCTGGGGTGCTTGCGGTGGTGCTTGTCGGAGACGGTGTCTTTCTCGTACTGGTCGTCTCAGACTCACTAACATCCGCTGGTGCCTTCTTGCCTTTGGTCTTTCGCTTCGGCGCCGCTTTCTTCGGAGCTGGCTGAGCGAGCTCTTCACCGGACTCAGCGGCTTCAATTGCCCGTCTCTCTCGGCGTGTTTGGACCATTTTGGCGGAGATTTATGTTGTCGCTCTGAATGCTGCAACCTGATACGTTCTTTGCATATAGTATGCTTTCGTTAAATGAGAAGATGGCTCAAAATGTGACTCTAGAGTCAATAGTGGATAAACAATCGAGATTGAAAGTCCCAAAGACAGGAATAATATTGACGGGATAACCGTCTGATGGTACAAGGTCATATTATGGCATGAGATCCTTAACAAAGCAGACATCGTTGCTCTCTGCTTCTGTATGTTTGCGGACGGAAGCATGGAGTTCTGCTCAAAGCAAGAACAATGGAAAAAGAGAGGACTATAGGCAAACGATTGAACGAAGATGAGAAGTACTTGTAACAAAGACATAATTTGCAGAAGCATTCCTCTCGGTAGACCGATACTTTGAAATAGTGCATACGGCCTCGACATGTTGAGAGTATTGGGTGTTGCTGAAGAGGCTATTTGTTGACCGTTTGCAGAAGCAACCAGAACAAAGGTTTGGGTCCGCTCATATCTACCGATGAATAATGATGCAAACGGTAGGGGAGAATTGAAGTAAAGTCTTTTCACTGGGAAAAACGTCGGCTTCCAGATAATGAAAGGAGAATTAAGTATCTATTAGAGCATTTCGGAGGAGTTTGTATTTGCGAGGGACTGACGAGGCTGAACATCCCTAGGTCACGTGCGAGGAATGATCCACTCGTGGTATCTCGCATGGAATGCAAAACCTGAGCATTAAACCGGGGTTGGAATATAGATATTAATATATATAGTCTTAAGTCATTCACTAAAACGATCGTTTGCTCAATGCAACATTAAACAGTCCAAAAAGAGAACAGGCCAACCCAACAACACCTACATCAAAGGCATTGAGTTGGCCTAGATAGGACATCATTTTTCCACAGGTCTTCCCGTTGCATTGCCAAAGAACTTCCTCCAATCCTCAGAACTGCGGCCTGTCGTCGAAAGGTTGGAATTCTCTGTGGAGAATGAAACGGGCGGCTTCTCCGAGATTTGCTTCTCTTGTACGCCATCCCCCTCTGATCTCTTCAGGAATTTCCGCACTTTTCTCCTGTTTCGCACACAAAATACCAGCGCGATCGCCAGACCAAGCACACCAACAATGATGGAAACAATAATGCCCGCTCTTGCACCAGCTCCTAGTCCTGAAGATGCGAGGTTGTCCGTGTCTGCGGGACTAGCAGAAGGTGATTCGCTCCCCACACGAGGCATGGAACTTGATATAGGCATCCCATCGACCCCGGTCGCATTCGCAGTTGGCTCAGCCGTGGATTGAGTGGATGTAGGAGTGACAAGGCGGGTTTGTGAAAGAGCATAAAATGATGGTGCGCCTTGAGTACTGGTCAAGGTGAAGGCGCCTCCAGTATACACCTCGGATTCGTCGTTGGCGTCTCTTAAGAGCATTCGGCATCTTGTGGGGAACTTCGAGATTTCTGGCTCAGCCTCGGTGGGTATAACTTCAATAGAGCCATCCTTTCCAACTATCATGTCGAGTTAGTCGCTGCAGAGAAAATTTGTCTTCTTTGAGCTGCTCAAACTCACTCAGATCAAATGTTGCTGTCGAGAACAAACGTCTCCGAGGTTCGATCTCGCACGTCAATGTGAGATTGGCAGCGGGCCATATCGTGTCATATGTAACTTGGATCGTATCGATGTTGTTGATGACGGGAGCTCCAGAGGGGTAGAGGAAGATTGCATGTTGTCCATCGACCGCGGCTTCGGTGGGCCGTATAGATTCCGGCATAGATGTCTCTATGGTAGTTGGAGTTGCCAGTACGGACGAGGCCTCGATGGTATTCGCCCACCCTCGATGTGGATTAATATCTCTTGCAAACCCTGCATGGTACAGAGGACTGTCGAGAGACATCGAGGACGTTCCTTCTGAGTTCAGGGCTGAAGAAGAACTACCACGAACGAGGACCAATCCTGGTCATTGTCTTTGGCGGATGTTGAGCATTCCGTGTTGGCCAACGATGCTGGAGGGATCGTTGGTATGAGTTTGGACGATTGTAAATAAGGACTGTGAGAGGGAAACGAGTGACGTTTCATGGCTATGAGATTTCTATGAACCTGGCTAACAGAGCCCAGTCCCCATCAAGGTCTTGTTGTGGTAGGTGGTGGTGGAGGGACCAGACCTCGGTGCCACTACGGTAGTCGTACGCCTAGACTTCCCTTCTGGCTCGTTCCCATGTGCACACAAGGTTGAGCAATGAGCAATCGAGAGGGCGATAGACGAGCGGGCTGACCAGGGATTGAGACGACAATACCTCTGACTGACGAGGATGTTTGGTGACTTGCCGAGATTGCCATCAAGATGCACATGGGTCCCAGGGCAAGGGTGTAGAAATCGTCATCCAGTAATAACAGACTATAAGTGAGGAATTTCTTCAAGTGCCCAAGACTAATACTATAAAGAGACATAGGTCATACATATAAGCATATGCCATACCACTAGGGTCGCAATGAATCTTTGCACAGTGATGATAGTATGTATACGAATGCTCGTGACTGCACATGATAGATCTGCCAATCTTTTCATTTGGACCATTTATCATACACTCTATAACCCGATGCGATACTAAAGGTACATCACACACTGCCTATCCGTAAAGACAAGCCATAGAGGGTTGATGGCAAATAATGCGCAACCCCTTTGTCTGCCTCGAAAGACACCCTTTCAGATTTATTGAACTGAGAGAACCAGAGCTCTCATGATGGTAAATCTAGTTGGTGACCGGACTTGATTCTTGGGTAAACAAGTTCCTTAGGTTACAGCAAAGCAGAAGCTGAAACATTTTATTGGCTAGGGCTATGAAACACTCGCTTGCGAACTATCGTTTTGCGCAGAACAGGATACGATGATGAGTGGCGGACAGGCCCACCAGTGACACCACCTTTTATCCCCATTCTGCATTCATGAAATTGCTGTACACTCGAACTCCATATGGTTCAACTACCGTGTGACCGTTAACGACCGTTGACATTTAGAGCCCTAGTCAAGCCTAGTAGATGCATGACAAGATGAAAACCCGAAAATTTTTGTCATTTCAGTATGCATCGCTGAACGCTGCTTGCCAGAGTATTGCCTTCTACTTGATTTGAACTCGGGTTAACAACATTCCTAACGACATTCCTCCATATATACTGTGTTCGCTCTGAGCGCATCCATAATCACATCATGAATCAAGCTTATAAGTCGTCATTTCAGATATGCCAGATCAATAGGCACTACTTTGCCAACCGTGGCTGGAGGTCCCTAGGGTGGAAATGCTCCCATCTCTTCGATGGCTCGTGGGCTCGTTATCAAGATTGAGCTTGCTCAGAACCTCCGTTGGCACCGTTGGAATATATTTTCTGGCTCGTTCGCGGTTCATCCCTCCGATTCCCGCTCCGTACGAGATCAGCATGTCTGTGGAAGTCGGAAGTGAGAATGGCAACATCAAAGATTGATCCAGTGTCAGTGCATTCCGCTTGGTAGGTGAATCCGTATCTTGCTCCACCGGCGAGGTCACCGAAAGAGTAGATTGGCCCGGAGTATTCTGTGCTGTCGCCCCTGCTGTCTCAGAGCCATTTGGCTTGACGGGCGTCGCTGCGCCGGAATCTGTTGAATCTGGTATAGGCGTCAGAGGCCGCCTTATCAGAGTCTGTTCGCCCTTCTGGAGTTGGACCAGAAACTTCATGTGGATCTTTGGCAAGCTTCTCTCCCCGACTTCTGCACGATAATTTTTGACAGCACTGATCAGTTGGGTGGGCGACAGTCTTTGCAGTTGAACCAGAGTCCCCACCAACGAGTCGTGATCATCACCCAGAGAACTGAAACATTGAAGCCATTGAAGCAGCTGGATGATGGGCGCGAGATGTCGTCTGGCGGCGTCAACAGTCGTCTCGCCAGTCGAGGTCGCTGATCCGTTTTCGTAGTGCTCTGGTTGTCGATTGTTGGATCGAGCCCATTCTTCGATAACCGAGAGGTTCATGCGGATCTGCATGGCCTTTGTTCTCGAGAGATATTTCCTCGTGGTCATGACACGGTTAAAGAGCTCGGCGCCTATCCAATAAAGGAGCTGCGCAAGGATCTGGCTGGTGATGACCGAATGAACGTCGTACAGATCAAGGACGAAGAGCGTCGATGACAACAAGGACGTGATGTTTCGAGGTGAGGTCTGAGCGCGCTTCTTAGGTGAAGGAGGGCGAAACCTTTTGTCGGGGTCTTCTTCCTTGGCCTTTGGTTTTGATTTAAAGACCTTCCATTCGCCCTGGAAAGCGATGTCGTCCAAACCAGGGATTGTTTCGTGATCCAGCATTGCCACATCAAGAACCTTGTTCATTCTTCTTTCTGCATCCCTAATGATCAGAATGAAAATCTCGTTGATCAGCTCAGCCAGTTCAAGCTGGTATTTTGAAGTTGCCTGCACCAATCCGGCGTCCTTTTTGAGATAATGCAGCAGCAATGTGGAATTCGATACCCAGAAGGCCAGCATTGTCATATCCCACTGATACCTTTCTATCACATCATTTATACGATCCATGGCCTGGGTCAAGACGTCTTCCAATAGCGAGGGTGTCATGTGATAGTGTGCATAACGAGCCATGAGGAAAATCAGGTTTGCCGGGACGGGTTTCTGCGACGGCGAGCGTTGGGGGGTCATATTTGTAATGATCAGGTCGAAGATGCCGTCTAGCTGGTCATTCTGGAACACAAACATTTGGTCTCCGACGCATCGATCCCAAACAAACTCCTCTTCCTCATCGCAGTCGAGGTCGGTGGGTGACTGGGGAGGATTAGTGGAAGGAAATGACGAAAAGACAACAAACACTCACATCGATGTTCTCATCGAAGCCGAGGGTAGACAGATCGACCTCGAGGTTGGTGGCACTCTCCTGCATCAACATTCTTCGTTTCATCTCGTTCTCTGCCATCTCCTCTTCGAAGCGGTCTTGCGAAAAGCCCGAGTTATAGAAGTCATCCTCCAAGTTAGAGCTGCCAAAGTGATAGCCGTTCTCGTTTAGAAAATGGGAAAAGTCGGAACCTGGTTGTACAAAGTCGAGTGCGGTGCCGCCGGAGGAAGATCTGATATCAGGATCTGCGCCATGGTCCAGGAGTAGTTTCGAGATTTGTTTATGTCGATTGGTCATGGCCCACATAAGAGCGCTCCACTGGTTGCGATCTTGCCTGTCGACAACGGCACCGGCGTCCAACAGAGCAGCCACAACCTCAAAGTGTCCAAAGCAGCTGGCGTAGATCAAGGGTACTGTTCCCTCTTCGTCTGGCTTGTTGACGTCTACAAATTGCTTTGCGCGACCACCAACAAGCTTCCGAATCCGAGCGACATCACCGTTGCTGGCAGCCATGTTAAGACTTTTTTGTAGTATTTCCTGTTTCTCTTCGTGGGAAAGGGCATCATCCGTGGCTATTGCGTCTTCATCTTGGCCGGGGCTACCGTCTTCTCGATGGTGGGCTTGAGCGGCAACCATTTCCATTAAACGAGACTCGCCATCCTGTATCCTGGCAAAGGTCTCTTCGTCATCATAGGCCGGGGTGTCTAGGTGTAGGTCAAAGGTGAGGGGTTTCGCAGGGGTGGGAGCAGTGATGTATTGGGATGAACCTGTCATTGCGAACAATGTAAGTTGATTGCTTGGGACGATACCTGGGAGAGAATAGGAGTAACATCAAGAGGGGTCCCGACCTTGCCAGCCATCGTAGAACTCGGTTTCCCCGCCATAGCTGGGGAGGGGACGACGGTCATCAAGAGAAGTCGGGAGATCACTGGGAAGCTTTCTTGGGGTAGAGGGGGTGGAAGGAGGAGAGGTGGTGTCTTGGACAGGATCTGGACGATCCATGGTCTGTTGCGCAGTCCAGAGATGTTGATACCGGGTTCATGTCGGGAGGAGGGAGACGGGGGAGAGTGTAGTCCTCTCATATGATGGAGGATTGCATTTCAGCCCTGCATGAAGCCACGGTAGACAAGGCTAAGGTCTGGTATGCAGTGTCTGCTGTCGACCGGGAGGGTCAAGAGTCCATGTGTCAAAATGATGGAGGTTATTAGGGACGGAACGGTCGAGTCGCGTACGTGGGTCTGGCACCAACAACTGTGGAGACAGTGATAGACAGCCAGCTCGGTGAACAGAGAGTAATGGTGGAGGGTCGTCTGTGCGTTAAGTGGCACGAGTGGACGAGGACGAGGACGAGGAACAGGAGTCGAAGTCTGATTGAGTAAAGTTCAAAGAGCCGCGGAGTCACGTGGACAGCGGGGTTTGGAGGGTGAGGAGCATACGATCGAGAGTAGGTAGGGGGACCTCGGGCTATTGTTATAGGGGCCATAGGGCTTTCGGGCTTTGAACCCAGGCGCCAGGATTGACGTTTGGTGCCCGACGGTCCAAGCAGGTTCGGGGTACAAGTGTACGTGAAGAATATCTCCTATAATCCCTCCTTCAAATTTGGTCGAACAATTATTGATCCGCTCTGTCCACCAACCCATCTTCGCTTTCTAAAGATCGACACACATACTCATTCACGATGTAATTACCAGTAGGTACAGGGACACTCTAGGTAACTAAGCACTGTTACGTTACTGTCGACCCTTAGGTAATGTAAATATTGTGGGAGTTCAGGCCGATCGATAAAAAGGGCAGGTTACACGAATGCCCACGTGACTGTTCAAGATTTCCGGCATCTTTTTGCTTTCGCATCAACAAATCAAGACCGAGACGAACTTCATTAAACTTCGTGACCAACGAGAAGATTTCCATTTCACCACATCTCCACTATATCAAACAAGTCTCATGAGCTCACTCGGTCGCATGGAGCAGTCCAGCCGCCAATGGTTATGACCTGACTAATCATCTATCTAGGTGGAAGAATTCGAGAGCTCGACTGTTGCCGACCGTCATTCGGCTGAGCAACAAGGTCAATGTCAACAATGTGAAATTGGCTTAACTATTGATTTATTTGACAAACGCCCTTTTACGACACCCCAAAAAATACAATGAGTCCTCGACCAAAATCAGCACAGGCGTGCTCAATCTGCCATAAGAAAAAGGTAGGTGGAGATGGATGGTATATGTTTCTTAGTGGAGGTCAGCTGACTCCAAACCCGCGAAAAGATCAAATGTGATCTTGATGCAGATCATCCGCCATGTACAAACTGCAGGATCGCAGACCTGCCGTGTCGGTGAGTCTAGCAGCTCAAGGGAGACCCTGATTTTCGATTCTAAACGCGACTAGGCCTCATAAAAGGAAGCGCAAACGCTACAACCTGAGTCCATCACCACCCTCAGAATATCGATCATCACGACTGTCATATACCCCCAGGCCATATCACGACCCATCACCACATGGTGCAGCAATCCCTTTTCTAGGCGAGCAGAGCACAAACAGTCCACTTCATCAGCTGGAGCAGCAAAGCTCATCGGTAGATCATCTCGACTCGATCCATCACGAAACATCACAGGTCGAGTCTCATGTGCAACATGTCAACGAGGCTGGCACCCCACCCCTGGCAGAAAGCTATGTCGATCGAGACGCCTATCTGGACAACAGCATCCACGTCAATGCCGAAAAGGCCTTGGTCAAGCCAGACGCGAATGAGGACACCCACGGCCTGTCTGAGACCGACATGCAAGTCCTTCGCTTGTACAAAGCCTTCGATCTACCCCCGCGATCGATCAGACTCAGTCTTGTCGACAAATTTCTCGAGCATTGTTTGCCGTGGATGCCCATTGTCGATCGAAGGTGGCTCGACGATCAAGCGAATCACGGCCCCTCCATTTTGCTCCAGCAAGCCGTCTTTCTCGCAGGCAGCAGAGTTTCTTCAAAGGCTGTGGTAGGCGCCACTTCTGGAGACTACTACCAACGGGCAAAGTCGCTTTTCTTTGCTGGCCACGAAAAGAACCCAATCATCGCTCTCATCTCCGTCTTGCTCTTACATTGGTGGAACCCCACTGGACCAGAGCAGCTATCTGCCAGTACCAGCGCATTCTGGGTTCGTATTGGGGCAGGTCTGGCATACCAGATCGGTCTACATAAAGAACCCTCGCCCACAGCGCCCGGCAGGCTGCTGCGACGCCGAGTCTGGTGGACTTTGGTGGTATGATGACCTAGCCCTTGTATAGTTCACTGCATTGCTTGCTAATCTAGAGAATAGCTGAGAGACAACGTCATATCCGTAGGCGTTGGCCGCCCGCGAACCATCAACCTGAAGGACAGCAATGTCCTCCCCCCCACGATCAATGACTTCCCAGTCAAGAACACGGATGCCCACATTTTTGTGGCATATTGCGGCATTTGTGCGCTCTTGGGAGAAGTCACCGAATTCCGTCGCCGCAAGAGATTTTTTCCCGAAGACCGAAAAAACTTTGAGAATGCCTTGTACCGTTGGATTAGGGAACTTCCGTCAGAGCTGCGGGTCTTCTCTCGCGCCGACAACAGATCGCTAAATCCCTACAACTTCAAGTCTCGCCAGCTGGCCGTCGTTTATTTTGTGACTGTGCTGGTTCTGCATCGGACAGAAGGTCCGAGCGCCTCAGCATCCACAGCATCAATGGTAGCCTCTTCCTTCCTTGCAGGTTTGTTCGAGGACTTTTTGTCGAGGGACGAGCTTCGCTTCCTTGGGCCTGTGTTTGCCTTCTATGCTCTTGCGGCGGGGCTGTCACAGATGTCCGGCTATCGATACCCAGGTCTGGAGGATGCTGCAGAGGCTGAATATCAAATTCTGTCGCTCTCCTTGCAGTCTCTATCAGACAGGTGGGGCTCTGCTTCAGAAGCCCTGAGGTCCTTGAATGCAGCTAGAAAGACTGTCGCGCGACAACCCCAACTCTCTACAAGACCTGCGCCAGTGCCCGATGAATCCTTGCCCTTCTTCACCGAGTTCGGCCCCGAGATATGTCGTCAATGGCATTTGCTCGGAGTCAGTGTGCCGCACATATCAGATGACGGCGCGAATCACACCCCGAACCAGAACGGAGATATTGGCACCGCGCCGAAGAACCCCTCCTTTGCTCATGGCTCGAGGCCTAATGAAAGCATACTTGGTAATGATTTCATTACGATGCCGCAGGCCAGTCTACCTTTCGACCAGCATGATCCAATGTTGTATCCCAACGTAGGAGAGAATTTTCCTGATCAGCAGTACGGCTATTCCTGGAGCGACTTGGACCCTGTAGGTACCTGGCTTCTAGGAGACCTAGGACTTGAAGGCTCCTTGGGCCATCCCAGCTAGCTGCGAGATCAGCAAGGGGTATCGTTGTTGGTGAGTTCTGTGGCGTTTGACTACCACACCGAGGACCATTAGCGATTACCGAGCTGTGAACCGGCGGATTGACTCTCTCGAAGTGCGACGGTCAAGGAAGGATGCCAGAAGAAATCAAGAAATTGAGGCAACCAGTCGCCCGATTCAACCGAAGCACGATCTGTTGGAGAAAGTGTCATCAACAAGCGTTCCGAATAGGCCCAAGTGAAGTTGCCAGGACCATAAACCGCTCGGGTGATGCAAGCAACCCAGGCCACCAAGACGGGCTCGCCCTCTTGTACAGGGGCCATACAGACCCGCTTCGAGTAGATCTGCATGAAGCAATTGGTGACAAAACAAGTATTGAAATTACCGCTCAAGAAAGTAAGGTATGCCATGGTAGCTTGGACGATCAGCTTCTCGTGGTGCGAGCGGTCTCTTGCGTTTTGGAGCATGAAAAGACAGCATGCCTGATACATGTAGATTTTATCATCAGTAGCTGCGGTGCTGTCAGAGTCTAGAAACAAGGGCTCCTGAGTGGACACCCAGAGGAGCACCTGTACACAATCGGCACAGAGAAGGCCGACCAAAGTCATTTCTCTGAAGCCGCGTGGTAACAAAATCAACGGATCAAAGGCGGAATTAGTGGGCAAAGGGAGGCGTGGTTTTGGCTTTCCGCTATATTGGTCCACGAGAGCGGCTGCGGCGCCAACTGCTCGCTGGTAGCCAATAAATCTAGCTCTCCTTAGAGACTGGACACAGAACCCTGTGGGGCCGGGTGCACTTACGCTCTAGCTTGCTGTACAATGAAGGGATTGATGGGTTTCTTCTGCTTGAGCGAAGTGTCTAGGAGTGTGGACAAGGCACGAACATGGATGGCCGAGTCTGCTGCGCGGCGTTGGATGTACTGGGTGGGACTTGTTAGTTTTTGAAGCTTCTATGCTACTATGTGGACGCGCTCACCAGTGTGCTACAAATCGCAGTCAGACTCCATACGAGCGTTTCGGCGGCATCAATGCGCTCTGAGTCGGAGAGTTCGGCCCTCACCATGGGATAGAGCTTGAGCAACTGACGGTCTACGAATTGACCATCGTTCTTGTGGGCTGAGTAGTATACGACTTGGATGGCACTCGTCATCAATGCAATTGATTCTAGAAGAAGCTTCCGATGGAGCATCTTTGGCAGCAGTTCGTGGAGAAGGCTTTGGTCGACACCAAGTCGATGATGGCCATTCCTGCGGCTAAAAGTAGGGATAAGGTCGCGAATAACTACAAGATCGTTAGTCGAAGTTCGAAAACATCAGTACAAGGGCGACTGACAATATTGCAAAGCTGACTTTGTTGTATTATCCACAGTCTCGGGAAGCGGATTGAGCGTCAATTGGGCTGAAGGTGAGGGCAAACTTTCTGTCTCTTGGACCGTTTCGTTGACCAATGTGCTCTGGTCCGCTGCAACATATCGTCTCTCTCCATTGTCGGCAAGACGCCAACTGAAACAATACCCACGATACCGGCTACGCAAAACAGACTTTGTATGCGACCTCTTTCGTCTTTGAACGAGGGTCGCCGTTGCTTGGAGCTCTGAGTTTGACGAATTTGCCATTATGTCGAAGATGATGCTGGAAATATGTTCACCAGGCTGGCTGATGTGAGGAATGTTAGCCAGTGGGTGGCCTTTCGGACTTTTAGACTGTTGTGCGAGGTTGGCCCCCGCAGTCCCCCAGGCACATGTGCGGCAGGATTATGCTTGTAATGCTCAAGTCCACGATTCCATGGCGGCATAGGATCGATGGTCAGTCCTTGTCTCTTATCGGACCGAGTAACCGATTGTATACTGAGGAGGAAGACTTTATATCGCTAGCGAACAACAATGGATCGAAAAAGGACCGTGGCCGAGAGTGACTTGATGCTAGAGCGCAGTTTGTCGGTGTCCGGAATCAACGACTGCTCGAGATTTGCATTTGTGTTCGGCTAATTATGCGTAGCAAGAAACCCCGGGTGGTGTGCGGGACATGGGGTGCTGCGTGCCTAGCGTGGAGTCGAGCCTCGGGGGCTTCAAGCTGCTTGTAGCTTAATGACATTAAGACACAGTCTGGAGTCGATGCTAGAGAACCCAGTGTTCTTTAGCAGATCGAAGAATGACAACTGAGTCGATGAGTAGATCGGTGATCTAGTTATTTGTGTTGGTGCCGGAGTGGTTTATGCTCCACACAGTTGATATCAGGCCCGTCGACCGTTGATTGAGGTAAGCTACCTTTTGACAGCAGGTTTTTGGTCTCTCGTATTATTACTCAGCGGGAAGGCCCCCAACTAGTGCCCTTACCAACAGAAGAAAAGACCGACAGTTTGCTTTTCGGGGTGATTGGCTCTGTCATACCTTAGGCCACTGGCAAGTTCCGCTCAGGTTATCCATTGACAAGTCGATCCTGATTTTAGGTGGCTGACGTGATGGTTTCCTCGGGATCTGGGGTCGAAAACGCAGAGGCAGAAATGAGAAGATACGTGGCTGCTGGAGGAGAATTTTGTGATCAGATGTTGTGTCACGTCAATCGAAAGTTTGATCCAAGGAAGGTTGTATGACACTGATGGAATGGAAAGTTACGACCGAGAGCACGTGTCTAGGGGCCAGATTTTTGGCTTTTATATATTACACTACGGCTAAAATTAACGTCGGATAAGGCGTCTTCTGGGGTTGTAGCTCAGGGGTAGAGCGCTCGCTTTGCATCTTAAGCCTGCGAGAGGCCCGGAGTTCGAATCTCCGCTGCTCCACTGTTTTTGCATTTTCATTTTTGGCCGGTTTTGTAAATCTTAGTTCTGTGAGAGATTCATCGTGATATAAGGAAGGTCGAGTGTTTTTCAAATACAATTCGAGTAAATTATGAATGTTGAGCTCACTTTTACTGGCGCAGTCAGATATTCCCCAACCGTAGGTCAAATTGTAACATTTTTTGTCATATTAACTGTGTGTTTCGCCGTAGAGGTGTGACCGTCGAAAGGCTAAAATACGGTGGGTGTCAACGGGTCACCGTGCGCATGTGAAATATTTCTGCCTCAGTAGATTCAAAAGTCTTTTTTGGACTTTCCTTTGCAGTTCCAGTCTTGCGCAAGGCCTCCTCTCAGTGAGCGCGGACAGTCTGTACTTTGATTCAAGCACATTCCTCTGGTCCAGTTTGGTCAATCACCACCCTTTACACTCGAAAACATGAATGGTTCAAAACCCAACCCCTCCGTCGCCGATCTGGCTGCGATGACCACTGAAGAGAGAATGGCAGGCCTGGAACACTCCGAGGTCCGATACTTTACAAGGTATGAGTGGTGTAGGGCGCGTGGGACTACTGTTGACACCTTGCAGCTACGATCATCACGGAATTCATGAAGAGATGCTGGTATGGAACCTCTGCTTGTGTGGTTGGGCGGGACATTCCACTAACAATGTCAACAGAAAGATGAGGTGCGGACACGATCTTACCGAGACTCGATTTACCAAAACAAGCACTTGTTCAAAGACAAGGTTGTGCTTGATGTTGGATGCGGTACGGGAATCCTCAGCATGTAAGATTTAACCCAAACCCGACTCTGGCGAAATCCCAGCCTCACCGCAATCCAGGTTCGCCGCAAGAGCGGGGGCAAGACACGTCATTGGAGTCGATATGTCGAGTATCATTAACAAGGCCAAATTGATTGTCGATGCCAACGGCCTTTCCCAAAAGATTACATTGTTACAAGGAAAGATGGAGGAAGTCGAGTTGCCCCAGCAGCACCTCAATAACGGCAAGGTGGACATCATCATCTCCGAGTGGATGGGTTACTTCCTCCTGTATGAGAGCATGTTGGACACGGTGCTCTATGCTCGAGACCAGTATCTCATCCAAGGTGGTAAGATCTTTCCGGATAAGGCGACCATCTACATGGCTGCCATTGAGGATGGCGAATACAAGGACGACAAGATTGGATGTAAGCAGGGTGTCTAGGAAGCAGTGCGATCACAACTGACCATTTGTAGTCTGGGACAACGTTTACGGCTTTGACTATTCGCCAATGAAGGAGAGCGCGCTGACAGAGCCATTGGTGGACACGGTGGAGTTGAAAGCGCTGGTGACAGATCCATGTCCCGTGTTCAACATCGACCTCAACACGGTCAAGGTGGAAGACCTGGCTTTCTCCGAGCCGTTCTCGCTGCGAGTGCAGCGCAACGACTTCATTCACGCAGTCATTGCCTGGTTTGATATTGACTTCCAGGCATGCCACAAGCCGATCCGCTTCTCCACTGGACCACACACCAAGTATACGCACTGGAAACAGACTGTCTTCTACCTCCGAGATGTCTTGACTGTGGAAGAAGGCGAACATGTGCGAGGATTTTTGTCCAACAAACCCAACGACAAGAACCGACGAGACCTGGACATCAAGATCGACTACGAGCTGAGCACCGAGGATCCAACACGAATGGCGGCTGGCTCATGCGAGTATCGCATGTGCTAGTGACGGAGGAGAGGGGCAGTGCTTGCCACGACCAATTGTCCGTCCCATCTTGCATGGCTTGGCTCGTCCCAGGCTGTATGTATAGCATTGGAACAGGCAAGCATCATCACCACCGCCACCAGTGCTGAGATCTTCGAGCATGGACATCTGAAGCGCTCGATGACTTGGGTGGGACCTTGCACCCTTGCTTGAGGAGGTTTCCATTACCCTGCAGCATGTCCATCCGCGCACCAGATGCAAATCCCCATGTGTTCGGGCTCGCACGCGGCTCTATATGTGCTATGCTGTGTTGCAGTTGACTTTGCAGCTGCACAGTTAGCTGATTCCATCCCTGGATCGCCCGTGAGAGAGATTCCAACTTGTCTGCATAATATTGCGAGCAAGCAAGGACAAGGGAGTAAGGAAATGGGCTTCTACAGCTGCAGCTGCATGCGCTCAGACCCAGGGTGTAAGCCAAACTTGAAGAACCCCGTCCGAACGGAAGGATAGATACCCCACGAGTTGACGATGAGATGTGGCCATCGAGGTTAATCTTGTAATGCACATTGTGAGACTGAACAGACTCTTAAGCTCGTAGAGAAGGGAAGGAGTTGTGCCGCGTGAGATAGCAGGTACACTTCTTATCTCCTTGCAAGTCACCGCATCAAACACTCATCATACACACTGGGTATTCAGACATATGGAGTTGTCGGTAAGTCGGAGAACCCGGAGACTTTGGTAGAGCCGCCAAAACCCGACCAGATTGGGACAAAAGACCGAGACACCAAAAGTAATCACAAGAAGTCCAAGATGCGGGCAACTGAAGGATGAAAAAAGTACCTCGGCATCGGCTCCCCCGCAACCAAAACAGGCACTGGTTCTTCGGATACAGAGTACTGGAGGAAGCTCGACTTAAAGAGATCCAAACCGATCCATTTACCGGGTCGTGTGAATCGTTGACATCCGAGGCGTGCATACTAAACAAATTTCATGCTTAATTGTGACCTCTTCGTTGTTCCAGAATTGCAGGACTGCTTCCATCTTTTCACTCGTCATCACATCTGCTCAACAGTAATTGGTCATCATGCCCGATCCAGGTGTTGGTTTTGAGTATCCTCGCACCGAGGTGTCGTGGTTGAAGAGAGATGTATTGCTCTTCGCCGTCAGCATTGGTGCCGATGCAAAGGACGAACTACACTTTATCTATGTATGCATGCTTCCAAATGACAAGGAAGACTATGAATATATGCTGATGTGGTTTTTTCCAGGAATTGCACCCCAAGTTCGCTGTTTTCCCAACCTACTCGATCATCCTCCGTGAGTGCCCCAAGGAATCAGTGTGAGCGGTGGCACTTTGATGCTAAGATTTCATAGCCTTCAAGAAGACCACCCAAGAGGTGATTGACTTTTACGCCGCACAAGAGTCGAACCCCATTCCAGGAGTGCCCAAGCTAGATTCTCGCCGAGTCCTCGATGGCCAACGCAGGATCGAATTCCTCAAGCCTCTCCCCACCAGCTCGGAAGGACGCAAGTTCGAGCTCCGGTCCAAGGTGCTAGGTGTTTATGACAAGGGCAAGCCAGGAACGGTCGTGGAGACAGAGCAACTTCTGGTCGATAAAGAGACAGACGAGGTCTACACACGTGCTGTGGGCAGTGGATTCTTTGTCGGACAGGGAGGTTGGGGAGGACCCAAGGGACCTGCGACCGTCAACTTCCCCCCACCAAAGGGCCGGGAGAGCAGCCCTGATAAGGTGTACGAGGTCCAATTGACACCCGACAGTGCCCATCTGTACCGGTAAGCAAGTCTTGAGACTCTCGTCCTCTTTTAGTCGAGTGAGTCTGTATCTAACCTGACATGATGGTCAATCATAGACTCAACGGCGACTACAACCCACTCCATGCCACTCCCGAGCCCGGTCAGAAGATGGGCTTCGGAGGAGCCATCATGCACGGTCTGTTCAGCTGGAACGCATCTGCTCATGCACTCTTGAAGGTATTTGGAGGCAGCGACCCAGCCAACATCAAAGACTTCCAAGCTCGATTTGCCGCGCCAGTCAAGCCAGGCGTCAAGATTGTCATCAAGATGTGGAGGACTGGAGAGGTCGACAAGGAAGGATTCGAAGAAATCAGATTCGTCACCGAGGTGGAAGGCAAGGTTGTCTTGAGCAACGGTCGCGCTGCAATCAAGGTGGTCGGCTCAAAGAGCAACCTGTAGACCTTGTCACGATATGAGCAAACCCATCCATGTTGCAAAGTAGCTTGTCTAGTCAAGGTAGACTGTACAGTCTGGACAAGTAAACTCTGACAAAGATGTACGATTGTCGCCACATGATAAAGAATCAATATTGGTCTGCTCGACAATATACTACATTTGGATATTGGCCCAGATATTTTTCGGCGAAAGGCTTCTCCATTTGACGGTGTTGGGATATCAATACGGTATGTATTATTGCCTTGAGGGTGGAGATGTAGTACAACGACAAAAGGCCAGCTTAATCGGACCTATATTTTGCCGCCGGCAATTGACATAGGGCCACTGTGTGCCTTTGTTGGTCGCTTAGGGATCCGTGGTATCCAAAGTGGCCTGCATATCGCCTCTTATTAGCAGGTTCGGTGCATTGAAGTCCCGAGAACAGCCTGACTACTCCAGTATATGTATGTAAAAATCGATATACCTGGTATCCCAATTGCCGTAGCCAGGGTCCTGCGCATTGCCTTGTCCATGCTAGGCCGCTACGAGATGGCCTTGCAACTTTGAACGACAGTCAGACGTGGGGGATTGTAGTATTCAGTCTAAGGTAGGTTGGATTGGTCTAAGTAGATGTTTGGCAATACACCAGTTGGATGTTCCGGACAAGCAATATCACATGCCGCTGACATATGCAAGCGTTCACGGGCGCTATTGAACTCTTACGGACAAGTTATTTCCTCTCTCACACCTGAATCAAGATTCAAACTCCACGGAGTTGCCCACATAAATACTCCGTAGTCTATATACGCAGGCATCTACAAATCAGAGGCGAGGGAAATGTCGAAGCGAACAAGCCTAATTAGAACACACTTCTTCTAGAGATAGAGGCAAATCAACACCCCTGGTCATCGTTCACTTCCCCTGACCGAGCATAATAGTCCAGCTTACGGAGGATGCTATGGCCGGTGAATTGCTGACGACAAATTCCGACACAACGATAAATCCCCGGGCGCACACAAGTGTATAAGCGACATGTCCAGTTGAATGTTGAGTTGCGGCAACTGAGCTGACCTTTTCAGCCGTTAGTACGCTAGCTGTGGGACGACGTCGGCTTTTGAAAATGTGTCAATTCGGAGACTTGAGTTCCGGACCGCATGTCCGCTCGTTCACGTTCACGAAGCAACATGTTTTCCCGACCCTTTGCGACGGCAGCATCGCATGTGTAGTTCTCGTCTTGAGCGAGAGCCTCCTTCATTGTGATCGTGGTCGAGGAAATGCACTCCCTATACTTCTTTTCGAAAGACTATGACGCTCGTCATCACCAGTGCTAACACAACAAATAATAGAGGGACGTCGATCAATGCGACGCCTGCTCCGTCATTGTATCTTGGCAGATGCGGGGATCTGCAGCCCAACAAGACAAGAGCATTCATGTGATTGTGTGACTTTGGCGAGTTAGGTAGTGAAGTTACATTCAACATGCTTTCGTCGGTGTCGAGGCCGGCGAATTGGCCACTCAGAAGCATTTGCCATCCATCGATTTAGGACTCCGACCAGCATCCCCCATGCCCCGTCGCGCCAAATACCATCACCCGCGTGTTGCCCAGCAAGCTTGTGGAGCTTCTTTGAGCTTCTTCCTGCATCACGAGAATCCATTTGCCTTGGCAGCGACGGCCTCCATCTGGGGATTGGCTCGTCCTCCGCATTTCCACTAGAGTTTCGCAACCTCGAAGCATTGTACTCCGTACATCGATTCCCTGTAAGATGAAAACATCCGACGGTCGGGATGAAGGATGTTTTTTTTCCAATGGGAGGGCCACTGATCATCCTGCTTCCCGTCGGTGGTGGTCTCCGGTTCAGGATGTTCCAAGTATTTAAAGACACCGAGTAGAACCATGGTGCTTTGAAACCACTACTATCAAAAACTACGGGCTTGTTTCACTGCAACTAACGTAGCACAATTTCTACTGCTGGCCCATTAAGCCCTTGCGGATTTTCGGCCCTCCTAGAATCAAAGCACACTCTCGACTCTTTCTTTCGCAGCCATGGGTGGTGGAGGAAAGCCTCTTAACATGTAAGATCTCGACCACTTCTCGCTCGGACTAGCACCCTAATCTCGTTCCAGTTTTCGACTCAACCAGACCCTCGCAGATGAACCCCGCGAGGTTCTCAATTGGCGACTATGGTTTGCAGTCTTCTCCTTTGGTATCATGGGCGCCGCTCGTGGGATCGATGAAGGCTTGATCTCTGGTACCACTCCCGTGCAAACAATGAATATATCTTGTGACTCTGACTCTCTCCCAAGGTACTTTTAATTCCAAAAACTTCCAGGAATTGCTCCACTTTGACGAGCTTGGTGAGACTGCATATGCCAACGTCAAAGGCAATGTCTCCGCTATGGTCCAGATCGGCAGCGTTGGTGGTGCTTTGATGTGAGTGAAGTACAAGCTTTGCGATTTTCTTTTCATTCACTGACGTGATACCCAAACCGCAGTGCATTTGTTTTAGCTGATCGCATCGGCCGTCTTTGGGCAACGCGTCAACTTTGCGCCTTATGGATCTTTGGAATCATTCTTTTCATGACAAATGGTGGTCGTCTAGGACAAGTATACGCGTCTCGCTTCATCGCTGGGCTCGGAATAGGCCAGACTACTGTCATCGCCCCCGTATACATCTCAGAAATCTCGCCCAAAGCGGTGCGTGGACTCTGTACATGTGTATTTGCAGGATCCGTGTATATCGGAATCATGGTTAGTATCCACAAAACCACAATTATGCTCCCCACTGACTCCTGAGCATAGCTGGCGTACTTTGCTTCTTGGGGAAGCAGCTTGCATATCAACAAGAACACGTCGACATCTTGGCTTGTCCCAACTTCTCTTCATCTCATGTTCGCCGGACTCATCCTCATCTTGTCATTCTTCAACTATGAATCTCCCCGGTTCTTGATCAAAAAGGGCCACGATGAGCATGCTATCATCAATCTGGCACGAGTGCGAGGTCTGCCTACTACTGACGAATACGTCGTCTCTGAAATCAATGGTATCAAGAAACAGCTCGAGGAGGAACAAGAAGCAACAATGGGCCAGGGAGTCAAGGGCTATCTCCGCGAAATCTTCCTTATGCCCAACAATTTCTACCGGGTGTACCTTGGTCTTGGTACTCAACTACTCAGTCAATGGTCAGGAGCCCAGAGCATTACTATCTACGCTCCAGATATGTTCGCCTTACTTGGAACCAAAGGCCAGAATGAGAAGGTAAGTCGACTGAGTTCTCTCTTAACGTCGACTCGGTCTCTGCAAAGATCACAATGCTGACAAAGTATACAGCTTTTTGCGACTGCCATCTTTGGCGTTGTCAAATTCGTCGCAGCCATTTCTTGCGCTCTGTTCCTTGTTGACACCATTGGTCGAAAACGATCTTTGGCCATCGGCATCGGTCTCCAGGCACTTTCGATGTGTTATGTGGCAGCTTTCTTGACAGCTGTGCCTAATATCGACGAAGACACCGAGTTCACTCCATCTCAGAAGCACGCCAGTACCGGTGCCATTGTCATGATATACCTCAGTGGTTTCGGATGGGCAATGGGATGGAACTCGATTCAATACCTTCTGAACGCCGAAATCTATCCTCTCAGAATTCGCGCCATTTGCAGTTCCATGGTCATGTGTTTCCATTTCGGTAAGTCCCTGCTAAAGCTAACGAGCTCAACACCTTTGAGAGTCCATATAAACTAATACGATATCGTATATGACAGTCAACCAATACGGCAACTCACGAGCCGTGCCGAGCATGCTGCTCCCTACCTCCTCTGGCGGCTTGTCGCCCAGTGGAACATTCTGGTTCTTCACAGCGATCACCATTCTCGGAGGCATCTGGGCCTGGTTATTCATTCCCGAGACTAGTGGCCGAAGTCTTGAAAGCATGGATTCGCTCTTCAGACTTCCATGGTACAAGATCGGTCTCCATGGCCAACGACATGCCGAGGCAAGCGAGCAACTCGAGCGTGATCGAATCTTGGAAGAAAAGGCTGCTGCTGCAGGCCACTCTACTCAAGTCGAGGTTGTGGACAGTCAGACAAGGCAGGAGAAGGTCTAGAGATCCAGAGTTGTATGATTGTCGGAGGAATTTGCGACCAGATTGAATCTGTTGGGGATCCTAGGAAGAACTTCAATATCAGCCAGGCGCCGAGATTGTCATTGCAAGTTGCAACTAGATTGCCATCAGAGCCTAGGATACTGACTCATTCCCATTGTGAGTGGCGGGTCGAGCTCTTATAGGCTGTTATGTATTGAAAAGGTCAATATGATTTATTTCGAACTGTCAATCGTTCTACCGTGGTTTACTCCGAGACCATGACCACTGCGCGTACCAACCTGACCAATGAGGTTTGCACTCTAAGGCGTGGAGGGAGAAGAGACACGTGACGCCACTCTCATCAAGCGAGGGCCATGATATTGTCTTGTTATAAGACAAGTCACCCTTCACCCACTGCTTTCTACAGCGACAAATAATGCTTGTTGAGGTAGCCAAGTCGGAAGTCGAGCAAGGACTTCCAGTAGACAAAAAGGCAAATGCGATAAGCAAGGGATGCATACGGAGTATGAGGTGCGCGGTTTCAGTCTCGGATCTACAGGGCAAGACGTCAATCATGTTACAAAATATACTTCTAACAGTCGTACTTAGAGCGCTTTGGGCAATGTCACCGTTGCTAATGTCTTCAGGAGAATGTCATGGCTGTCAATGAATGTTGACACATCCGAAGACCTCTCGAGACACTAGCACAGCTTTGTGTGGATGGATACAACGAGATAGTGACTGACTTTGAGTTATCTTGGTCGAGGGCTCGTGGAAGCCTCCTTAGACATTGCAAGTCAGTGGCTGTGGTGTTTGCGCCGTAGCATGGTGTGGGAGTGCGAACAGCTCCACTGGCCTCCGTTTCTGACCCTGTGGGTACGAAAGTGTACTCGTATGCTCTCCTTTTGTTAGCCCTCCAGTGGGATTTTTGACCCTCGAGGAAGATGAAGAATCTACGGTCTGTGCCGCACCAGAGCACCAGACGGGTGGCGCAGAGAGTGCAGCTCGGGCTTATCGCAAGTGAGGAGTTTGTTCAAAGATGGACAGCCAACAAAGTTTAGATCTAAACAAAAGATAATACCCAGACGAGTAGGGACGCGTGAAAACTGACTGGTGCAGATTGACAGTGCCGAGGCGCTCTAAACCCAGCCCTCTTACGGAGTATGGATAGCATCTGTCAATCAGAGGCACGTAAGGAGGTCAGAGACATTCTGCTGCGACAGGACCTACCTGAGACTTCATGACGATTCACCAGTCTTCTATGGCATCATTATCCATCAGCTGCTAGGGACTAGGACGCCACACAACATATTTCGTTCCTTGAACAGCTTTCTCTATCTCAGGTCTAGATTGGTCAATTTCGGCGCAAACCACCCTGGTCCAGACGCACACTTGCTTGCAGCCACATGCGCTTAACGCAGGAACCCGGCCAAGCAGACTTCCGTCAGCCGATTGCTCCGATGGCCATATTTTTGGGGGTGGCAGGCCGGCACTTCTCCCCTAAACTTCATACCTGTCACTTGACTGAGCTTCATCGTTGACAATGCCTTTGACAGGTCTCGTGCACGTCAATTGTATTGGCAAGCTGGCGCGTTCAGAAAAGGGGGTTTGAGGATCAATTGCTTCGTTTCTACCTGCGACAAGGTGGTGAACTATGGAAAGACAACGTAAATCAAGAGGATTATTGTTCATTCTCAGGTACAGTCATGGGTGGCTGAGGTGCATGTTCTAGATGATCTACATATAGATATACTCCGTGCAGTGACAGATTTTGGTGCAATGGTCTTATCAGAAATAATCTCTACCCATGTAGAATGACGCCTGGGTCAGTGCCGGGCAACAGGGCAGTTAGATCGACCAGGATAGCGTGTCTCAGGCTGCTCGAATAGGTCAAGACCAAAGCCCAAGGCCTCTGGGATCCAGTAAAAAGGCCCAGATAAGGTGAATATTTTCCGACATCAGGCCCATTGCCAACGACAGGAGACTCTACTCCGTAGGCCAGCTCGCAAATCGCAAATCGTATGCTGCACATGCGATTACCAACAGGGGTAATTTCCGCGTTTGCTTGACAGCTTTGCTTGAAAGACAATCCTCGTGCCCTTACGGAATGGATCTCCCCCAGCTATCGCACCACCGACTCCGCCCGGAAACCAATAATGCTACCAGCGCGACAACCCCTAATCCTCCGTCATGCCTGTAGGACGCCTGCCGCCTCCAAAGCGAGGCTGGATTGTGGGTCCAAGAATGGATTGTGGGCCAGAGAATGGACTGCCCTGCCAAACATCAAATGGAACCAGGCGTTTGGTGGGGGTCTCCCTTGATGAATGACTTGGGTGTCGATATAATGTATCGCATCCCAAAACGCCCGTGGTCTCTCCCACGCTGCGTTCTCGTACCTGATTTCGCTACAGGACGACACAGACAGACGACGGCGTTGCTGGCAACATGGCTTCTCCTGTGTTTGAGCGATTCTCGGCTCCCGCTCGGATTCAGAGACTAGGCATTTTTGCTGTTGCGACCCTTTTATTGTTTGTCTTCTTCGAGTCGTCGTTTTTCCCGGAGGTGCCAGTGCCCAGAATTTATAGAGAGGTAAGCTCGACCGTGGTCAATTGCCAGTCGAGACTGGATGTCGCTAACGTGGCCATTCGTAGGCCCAGCATTCGACCTCAGATTACTATCTCCAATGGGGTCCCTTCGAGCCGATGCAGATTCCGGGTTTCGTCAACACTGGTATGCCAGGCAAACGATCTTGCGACGCACTCAAATACAATTCGACCGTCGGCGTCCAAAAGAGCTTCTTCTTGACGGACGACATCCAGCAGATTGCCATGTCACTCGACTCGCATCCCATCGTCGACTACCCTGATGATATGATGAACGACCCCAATTTGAAGGTGACTGATATTGTGGACAAGACTTGGGCCCGTCTGTCGGGATCCAGTGTGTGGTTGCCGGAACAAGAAGTCTATCTCTCGGTGACTCGAGTCATTTTTTGCCCAACTCGAGTCCGATCGGTACCAAAAATGAGTTTTCTGAGAGGCCAGCTTTTGAACAAGGATTGGGAACACCTGGACAACTACAATATCACCTGGGGAGAAAAGACATTCAACTTCCCATTGGTTTTCGACGTGCCTGCTCAGTGGGAACAAGACGGAAGTCTATATGGTCCCGAGGATCCTCGAATCATCCTGGAGGACGGTGTTGAAGGGGCCGAACCCGTCATAATCTTCAACATGATTGGCAAAAGATCAGATTGGAAACGAGCCATGTATATCTTTCGTCCGTTCTCTAACTTCTCGACTATCCTCACCATCCGCGACACCGAACGTCAATTCACCGAAAAGAATTGGGCACCATTCTTTGTGCCCCAGGAAGAACCAATTAAGCCGGTGAGCAAGAGCGCGAAACTTCTTCTCAAAGCCACGCCAGTGGTCCGCAAGGAAAATGAGTACATCCACTTCATTTATTCCTTCAAGCCTTTGAAGATTCTCAAGTGCCACCTCCGGTGTGGAGACTGTGAGATCGTATATGAGCAGGAGGTTCCGGAGAATTTTGCAAATCAGCATCGAGAGGAGCACGGGAGTCTGCGTGGCGGTACGAATTTCGTGCCTGTGCCGATTCCGGCACACATGAGAGTCGACCCTCGAGTAAGAGTATATGCGTCATTCCCCCGAACCAACATTGAACGGCATTGCGATGGATCCTTCTATCGACCGGAGTTCGTGGTCATGGTCATGATTGGCGATCAATTCCACATGGCGTTCGCTTCGGAATCGCTCGACTTCGGGAACTCGATCTTAGAACTAGGACCAGAAGACGATCGCTGTGGAAAGGGCAGAATCCTAATTCCAAACAGTATTGCACATTGGGATACTTCTGCTGGACAGGACATCATGAGCATTACATTCAGCGTCAACGACGAGACGGTTCAGGTGGCTCGAGTGGAGGGCATCCTCAAATTTGTGCAGAATTTGCCTCAATTCAAAACCCTGTTCAGCCAGGATGGACCCTTCAAAGGTGCCGACTCCGACCTTATGAATATGTTGTCTTCGTGGGTCGGGGATGACATCCGCGGCTGCCTGGTCGAAGCCGCTCTCAATTACACGGAGACTGCCCAAGAAATCACAAATCCCAAAGATGAAGAAGAGACAATGGATCCAAACAACGAATTGTTGTACAAGATTCATCAGGAGGAGGAAGAGGAAGAGGAGGAGCTGGCGGATTTCGAAGGAGATGATATCTTTGAAGAGCTTAGCGAGGATGATGAGGATGGAATTCCTGATCTTGAAGGCGATGAAGACCTTGACCTCGATGCAGACCCAGAGGCCGAACCCAAAGAGGACGATAAGAAGGAGGATGACAAAAAGGAGGAGATTAAGAAGGAGGACGAGAAGAAGGCCGAGGACACAAAGGCAGACGAGAAGAAGGATGAAGAGAAAAAGGATGAAAAGAAGGTAGACGACAAAAAGGACGAGGGCAAGAAAGTGGACGAGAAGAAAAATCAGGATAAGAAGAAGGAAGACGAGAAAAAAGACGCTGGCAAAGCCGACGAGAAGAAAGAAGAGCCCAAGAAGGACGATGATAAAAAGGACGAGGACAAGAAGAAGGGTCTGAAGGAAAAGGAAAAGGACGAAAAGGAGCAACCGAAGAGAGACCTTCCTCCAACCAAACGACATTTCACTCAACACAATCGCCTTCACCGCTTACATTCGTGAGCCCTTGTCGTCGCCCTGATGGGATTCAGCACGACTTAATGACGACCAAGCCCACAAAGTGCAGAGCACTCGGTCCGGCGATGAGCTACTGGAATGCTCAGATGAGCAAAGATTTGATCCAAGCCAGTGCCAGGTCGATGTACTTGGCCTGGCCCACACGACACAGATCTTGAGGATCCAGCCACCGTCTCAATACTGAGACGGAGATTTGCACGGCACTTTCAGACGTGCACACTTGGACGAAAGGACATCTCCTGGGTGCCACAAGGCAAGCACACATCCTTCCGTCGACAAGAGCTGCTCGAGGAGCCTGCCACGCGGCATATGCCTGCGCACCATTGTATATCATATTAACGACCTTATTGGATGACGGCTAAGATAATTGAAACCGATGGATGAGAGACCAACACGAAAGGTTGACTGTCGGCGTTGGCGTTAGGGAACTTGGGATTATGAGGCGCTTCCGATTGTCGATAGAGATTTTGTGCTCTATAACGAGCTTCAGCTGACTCGTCAGCATAAGGACAAAGATTTGGAATGAGACAACATCGACTCGCGATCAGTCCAACACGAGATCGTGATGGTCATTGATGATATCCACAAGTCTAGAATTCAAGATAATTCACGACCTTGACAGCCAAGTAAGATGCGCCAGCAACTGTGTAGAAGTACTCCGTAGATTATGCGAACTGCATCAGATGAATACGCTATCCGAAATAATGTACTCCTCCAACAGGCCCCTTCCAACGCATCGGGTCAGAACCCTCGATCGGCATCACTTTCAATCGTTTACAGCTTACAAGGGGGGACGCATCCACCTTGAATATGGGGAATTTTTGCGGCAACCGCACAAGCGACACCATACAAGCATGACGTCGAAACAAGCAGATGTTCAAACCTTCAACTCTGGAGGGACCAAGATCGTGTTGTATCCATGCTTGATCCTGACGACTCCAGCATATACGCGCCTAAGTTCTTCGGCTGCCCGGGTCGGTACACTGTCCAGAGGGGATGTGAGGGATGACACTCGCTCTCCAGGTTGGAAGGCCGAACGATCTAGCCCGACCCGTTTGACGCCAAACCAAACAATCTGTGTGGGCGAAATTGAACAAATCACCCGACGCTTGAAAGTCATGAGCACACATCCGAGAGACAAGAGTCCCGACTCTCGTTACCGTGGCTCGGTGGCGTTCTTGGCATCTTGCCAAGCCTGCAAGGACGCCTTTGATGCCCCGGGGAGTAGAGCTTATGCCCCGCGGAGCCCCGCGGCCCCTGTCCACCCCTCCAAAATGGTACTGGCTCCGCGTATGGTACAGAGCAAAGACTAAGGGCATGGTTTCCTTGCGCAAGAGTCGCTCGTTGGGGTAATCCACTACGGGCTCTTGGGCCTGGGCGTCTTCTGGAATATTTTTCTCCTGCTAGGGAGTACCTAAAAGTCCAGCCCCAAGGCGCCTTGTAACCTTAGCAAGACGCTGCCCTGGCGTCTTAAATACTCCGTAGAGATCAATCTTGTATTGGCGCCCCCATCCCGACGCCCAGAGACATGTCTAGGGAGCCCCCTCGGCCCATCTTTGCTTCGGGTTGGCAATAGTGGTTACGCAGTACTCCCTACTGACGGGCACATTCGTTCACACAGTTGTTCCATTGAGCTGACTGTGTGACCTGTGAGATACGAGGCCCCAAAACGGTGAAGAGCACGCGACGACGATAGCGATTACATCCCGCAGGATTGTTGAGGACGAGTCACAGGATAAGCGAATGGCAACAGTCACTTCGCTTACATGCCCACGGGCAGCCTGAAGCTTGATGACACAGGCGCAATCCGGGAGAACCAATAACCTGGATTCCTCGGCTCGCTTGAGGCATCAATGTGCATTGGGATCTTGTACTGAACGAGTCAGACATGTATGTACTTGTGCTCTGCACTATCTAGGTCAGGCATGTGGCCGTGAAAAGTCGGGTATCTCTCTATCGTCGTAGGTATGCTATCTTGCGATGGTCCCCAGACTGAACCAGCATCCCGAGTCTGTCAAGGCCAAGGGTTCATTCAAGATGTATGCAAGCTTCCGATCTTGGCCCTGGGAAAGAATGCTCTGAAAGAGTTTCGAGGAACATGGAGAGAACACCAACAACGGTCATGCTCCGTCTGTTACCCGTCCTTCGGACTGGTCTGGTGGGACCGACTAGACAATTTGCAGTGAAATGCTCCGTATAATGGACCTCCACGTTCCACCCCAGCCCGTCTCCGCCTATTCACCCCGGACAGGTGCACTATCCGGAACCTGGGACTTTCTGAAGGCATCTGTGGTTGACTACTGATTGTGGACAATGCGGGCTGGCCAGCCAGGGCCAATGATGCAACCCAGATTACACTACCAACCCAAGGATCAGCAAGCTCCCCGTTCCCTCCCCACGCAGAACTATAACCGAGAGGGGATCTTGGGATTTGCATTCAAATACCTGCTTTCGCCTCCATGTTTTCTCACCCACGAGTCGTCCAGTCTTCTCTCGACACCCTTCCCCCAGAATTCTATCTCCACCTGGATAGATCATTCCATCATGGCTGTGGAAAAAGAAACCGGCGTCGAGGCACAGGGACACGTCCCTCAATCGCTCAACGAAGATGCCACTGATGTTGAAAAGTCCCAAGCTCTTCATCACGAGGATTTCCACGGCGCTGCAGAACGAGGCCATGCTGCCACCGATCAGTACGTCCTACCCATGCCTCAGGCCCATCCGTGGGTCATTTGCTACCGATCTTGATGCTAACTGCGTGGTAGATACGGCCAATCTCTTGTCACCTTTGATCGCAAAGCTGAGGCGCGACTTCGATTGAAGATTGATCTTTTCGTGGTTCCCACCGTGGCTCTTTTGTACCTCTTCTGCGTAAGTGCATATTTGACTCACTTGGCGCCACGCCATGTGACCATCTTGCTGATTATTGTGATAGTTTATTGATCGAGCCAATATCGGAAATGCTCGATTGGCTGGCCTTGAGAGAGATCTCGGTTTGACCGGCTACGACTACAACATCGTGCTGTCTGTTTTTTACATTTCATACATTATTTTCGAAATCCCTTGCAACATGCTGTGTAAATGGATGGGACCTGGCTGGTTCATCCCCCTCACATCATTGGGCTTTGGCATCTGTTCAATTGGCACGGCTTTCGTCCACAACTTGGGCGCAGTGAGTGGCGTCCGATTCTTGCTCGGAATTTTCGAGGCCGGTATGCTTCCTGGCATTGCATACTATATGTCTCGATGGTACCGACGTAGCGAACTCGCTTTCCGACTTTCGCTGTACATCGTTATGGCACCCCTGGCAGGCGCTTTCGGTGGCCTGCTAGCTTCAGGCATTCTTAAACTGGACAGCTTCGGCAGCCTAACTGAATGGCGTATGATCTTCGCCATTGAAGGTATCATCACCTGCGGCATCGCTGTCATCTCCTTCTTCACCGTCACCGACCGACCTGAGACGGCGAGATGGCTCAGTCAAGAAGAGAAAGATCTCGCGATTGCTCGAGTCAAGTCTGAGCGTGTCGGTACCACCGAAGTCCTCGATAAACTCGACAAGCCTAAGATTATGCGCGGTATCTTCAGCCCTGTCACTCTAGGTACTTCTTTCATTTTCCTTCTCGACAACGTCACCGTCCAGGGTCTAGCTTTCTTCGCCCCAACCATCGTTCGAACCATCTACCCCACCCACTCGGTGGTCTCCCAGCAACTACACACCGTTCCCCCATACATTGTGGGAGCATTCTTCGTTCTTCTGCTCCCTGGTCTATCATGGCGATATGACAGACGAAACATTTTCTTCATTCTATCCGCTCCTTTGATGATGGTTGGTTATATCATGTTCCTGGCTAGTACCAGTTCGAGTGTACGATATGGCGCAACTTTTATCATTGCTGCTGGTGCATTTCCATTTGGCGCACTATGTAACGCGCAGGCCTCGGCCAATGTTGTGTCAGATTCGGCGCGTTCCTCTGCCATCGGCACGGTGGTCATGTTTGGAAATGTCGGTGGTTTGATCTCCACCTGGTCTTTCCTGCCATTCGATGCCCCCAACTTCCATATTGGAAACGGATTGAATTTGGCCACATCTTCAACCATTCTTATCTGTTCCATCATCCTCCTGTTCTGGATGATCGCCGACAACAAGAAGAGGGACCGCCGCGACATCGATGCAGAGTTGGACGGCCTGTCCGTCAAACAGGTCCAAGACCTCGACTGGAAGCATCCTGGTTTCAGATGGAGACCTTGAAAACCCTCCTTTATCAGGTATATATGCGAGGGGTTGGTTTTGGGAACTTGGCTTGTATGTCAGTACCATGTGTGTCAATCACTTGGGCGGACAGATGCTGCCATGGAACTTAACGTCTGAGGCTGAACTCAGACACCATGCACAGGTTTATGGGTCAACTTATTAGTGACTCTACTTTTGCTAGATGGCTTAACGATGGACAACGCTTCATGGGCTGCCACCGCTAGGCCGTGGAATGGCAACCCCTCTCAGCTCGAGTCTAGTTAATTGGGCAAATTTGATAAATTTGATAAATGATGACACTTGTATCAACTTCTATCTCCACAGCCTTTTGATTTTCTGTGCGCAAGATTGCGTTTGAATAAGTGCTCGCTATAGGTACAAACACCGGTTGTGTTGAGCGGCCCAATCCACAAAGGACTGCGCCCGTGAATTTCAGTTTGCCACCGAAATGGATCCTCACGTAGGCACAGGGGAAGTACAGAGGACGTGCGACTTGGCTCTCTTTGGCATGTGAGCCCAGCACGTCGCTAAGAACCGAGGCAACCTGGGCATTCGAGTCAAAGGCCGAGCAGAGCCACCACAGCTTGGCTGTGGGTTGCCCTTGAGGATAGACAGGGATGAGCCCGCCAAAAATGCTTGTCCCAGAGAGTTGCCCATCCGAACGAGAAGCCGAGTTTGATTACCGTTGTCGGGATCCCATTTCGGGATCGACTGCCAACGTGACCAACTGGTTTTTGGCATCGTTGCGAGTGAGTCGGGGTAAAGATGATTTGTGCATAATAGTTGGGAATGGTAGATGCCATAATTTGTCCTTTCACAACGACCACCTAGGTCCTCGAATCCGCTCGGATTCGGCCGAGTCATGCTGACGTTAGAGTCGAGGTTTAGACCTTCATACAATGGTGTATTCAATTTTCCTTGCCCTCGTCAACACTATTGACTTGGGCTTGGGTGTGCGGCAAAATGATGGCCTGCTCCTCGGCATCTCGAATTTGCTGATCTGTTGTCAGAGATGGACGAACTCATGCCAAAGATGTAGGTGATGTGGAAGCTCAACATCCAATTTCACGCTTTTCGTAGGTTCGCAAGTGACTTACATCCAAGGCCTCGGTAGCAGTCAACCAGCTCGCAATAAGCATGCTTTGTAGCACCCAGCTTCCTCTAAACACCTGACTCCTGAAGCGATCGATCGTCCAGGTATGAAAATCCCGATGTGGAAAGTTAGCGTCCAGGTGCATTCGAAGCAGTCGTGGATATCGATCGAGCGCGGCGAGACTCTTGCGCACCGCGTCGCGATAGAAACCTAGGGTCCCGAGAACAAAACCAGAGCAAGCTGAGAGAATGAATGGAATCGTGGCTGTATCCCAGATCAAGGCGCCAACTGACGCGCCAAACATGCCTGTGACGACACTTGATACTGTTCCTGAGATGATGACACGGAGCATACTGTGAGCGTTGAGTACGACGTTGCTGTCAGCCAGACGTGGTGGGGTAAAGCGGTTCTATTTTACTCACAAAAGCCCAGGACCGCTGCGACAACAAGTACATTCAGTCAGCCAAAATTCAAGATACTCGACGGTGCATGGATATCTGACAGGTGTTGGGGTCCAGGAATGCTTCAATCTCACCTTACATTGCCATACCCACCGCCAACACGAAGGATATGGCGAAAGGAATCAGTCAGCTGAGATGCACCAGCGATAGCCTCACTACCAGGCTGCGGATTGCGAAATGCCATACTTTGATAGAATTGGGAGCAGATATCGGGGAGGTCTCGTAAGGGGTGATTTGGGTGCTCCTTTCAGAGAGAATTGAGAAATGTTAGCGCTTACCTCCATAGATGCTACACCGGCGTGCTGACTTTAATGCTCTGCAGTAGCTATGTAGGGTCAAGTATACGATTGATAGTGCATGTGGATCCATTGGATTTCATAAGAGCCACCTCTCAACTTCTACATGATTCAGTCTCAATAGCTCGCAGGCGGTATTTCTGATGCCTGATGTCATTTCTAGGCTCCATGCTATTCTTGTAGTTGGGAAGATACAACCAACTGTTGTTAATGAACTTGACACCAGGCTGACACAATTCCCGCCGCATGAGAGCCGCCTTGAAACACACTGAGAAGCTACAGTTGCCATTGCTCCTCTCTACATATAAATGGGATAATGCTTGCTGTCGCCAGGCATGCTATTTCAACACCCACTGAGGATCTTGTAGGTGCAATAACATGAGTACATCTTTTCCCCCATCTCAAGTCGAAGAACTCTGTCCGGTTCCAGTTGAACCTCAACTCATCTCCTTACCTTGGGAGCTACAGCACCAAATAGTTGACCATCTGGATTATCCGGACTTGCTTTCGTTGAAGCTCACTCATCCCTATTTTCAACACATTCTCTTGCCGTCACGTCCGACCATTCGAGAACGCATCGGATGGGTTCTGTCACGGGGGGAGCAGTCTTTGGCAGTGCCTCATCTGCAGAAAACCGATTTTCGGACGGATGAAAAGTTTTTGCAAAACCCCGAGGTCCAGAGGATCCTGCGTCGACGGAGATGCCACCATGAATGCATGGATGCTGCGCTGAGGCTATCGAGTCAACGAGTGGGCAATTCAAAGCCCGGCAAAGGCTGGCTACTGCCCTGTGTAGTGATCGAAGGGCAAACGTGTCCTCGGTCCAGTGACTTTGGGACGTACAGGTTCTTTCTGGGGAAGTTACGAGGAGGACGAATATTCAGCCGTGTGAGAATAAATGTGAAGCCATGGATACGAAGTTGGCTCTGTCATCAACGAGCAGGTCAGGGCGTGGCAGATCCGTTGCCTAGAAGGGACGTTAGCAGAACTGGACTGGTCGCAAATTTGGTCATGCCGTTGCTAATAGTTGGCATTTTCTGGCTTTACTTCAAGATCATACCGTGTTGTGATTTTGGGAATTATGTCAGTTAGAGAGCCTGCGACGGCGAAGGGAGACTGCTGCGATTCCAGAAGACTACAACTACGGAGTGAAAGTGATTGCGCAAAAGTTAGGCTCCCACGTGTTTCCAAGCTAGACCTTGATTGCAGGCAAGTGCGAGTGATCAGTAGGGAAGGAAGAGCCATCGAATTGCTATCTGGAGGGCTGCGCAACCCATAATAACCCCCGACTTGACCATTCCATGAGTTGATACAATATCCAATAAATGGTACAGGCGATTGGACTGGCTTCGTCTATCAGTCGTTTATAGAGTTATCCAGAAGATGCAGCACAGACCTGGTATTGGGGGTGGAAGATCACCCATCAAGCCCGAGGGCCCCGTGCCTCCCCGCCTTTTGTCGCCATACCTTAGCCACCTAACTTAATTCTTGTGACGGCCGCAGAACCGCTTGTACCCGAAGTGATCTGACTTGGGGCCGAGGGGGCGGCCCTACCTGTATGAATGTTCTTACACCTAATTAGCGTCTCGGGGTACCTGACACAATCGTCCAGTACCACGGACCTTCTCGAGCGACCCGTGGCGCCAATCCTTCTAGACGCGTAAACTGAACAGAAATTCTCCGGACACTCAACTATCAAAGCTCAACCACTGCATGTTCCCTTGATCGAATCTGTGCTGAGTAGCTGTGCTTCTAGGCCCCAGACACCATGCGCAGCCTGGGAAGCATGCAAGGCGTCTTTTTCGCCGTGACCATTTTGGTGGTCCTGATCCAAACATCCCATGCGTCAATAGGGGATCGACTACCAGAATTCAAGAACTGTGTCAAGGTTGGTAAACGGTATATTCATTGTCTAGACAGTGTATGCTCAGGCCTTTGTTTAGGTCTGTATCGAAGAGAATTGCGATACGGGCAAGGGCAAGCTGCGTAAGGATTCGAACCCATATCGTGGCGCGGGTTTGCTGATTTGGCCCAGCTCTCCACCTTCGATTGATGCTGTGGGATTGTCCATCAGAATGTGACTACACATGTCAACACATTGTCACCAATACACGGCGTGCGCGGGACCCTCCCATGATCGAGCCCATTGTTCAGTACCACGGCAAATGGCCCTTTCATCGCCTAGCCGGCATACAAGAACCCTTTTCCGTGCTGTTCTCCCTGTTCAACTACCTTGCTCACCGCCAGGGCATGCAGCGGGTTCGCGAGTCCATCCCTGCTCGATATACACTCAGACCGTATTACCTGGGCTTTGGCTACTTTGGACTCGCCAGCTGGATCTTCAGCATGATCTTCCACACACGTGATTTCAACATCACCGAAAAGCTGGACTACTTCGCCGCTGGCGCCAGTGTTCTCTACGGCATGTACTTGGCACCCATCCGGATATTTCGCCTGGACCAGAAGACCCCAAACAAGCAAAGCATCCTCCGCATTTGGACAATTGTCTGTCTGCTACTCTATGCCGCGCATGTGACTTACTTGACCGCATGGAGTTGGGACTACACCTACAATATGGCGGCTAATGTCGCTGTGGGTCTTGTCCAGAATGTGCTCTGGACCTATTTCAGCATCTCCCGCTATCGAAAATTGCATAAGTCGTGGACTGCGTGGCCTGGGCTCATTGTCGCCTGGATCATCATGGCTATGAGCCTAGAGTTGTTTGACTTCCCTCCTCTTGGCGGATGGATCGATGCTCACAGCCTGTGGCATCTCGGCACTGTGGTTCCCACGGCATGGTGGTACAGGTGAGGACATTGTTGAAGCGAGATACGGATGATCAAGTTGCTAACCTATCATAACAATAGCTTCCTCATCAGAGACGCCCAAGACGACCTTGCAAACCAACGACTCAAAGCCTGAGCAACTGATCTCGATACGACATGGCGGGGATACGCATCTTGAGAAAAAGCAAGCAAGTCAAACACTGCTGCATGGCGTATTCCACATAGGGGCTGCAGCTATGCGAGAGATTCCTGGCACGAGACAGCGACATAAATGCATGGGATTGGATCAGAAGATGGACATGGAGTGAGTGTGTCGAGGCAAACCAAGACTACATTCAGAGCATTGGCGCCTTGCATAGCCATTGAGCCAGCCAGCCATAAGTACTGTGCTGCGATTTATGAAAGTTTAGGCTTCGGGCACCGGGAGTTCCTCCACGTTGTTAGGGTTTCGGTAGGTGGCCCCCACGCTTACAGCCGCCTAGTCTGACGCCTAACTTCCTATGCGCAGGCCGCCCCGCTCTCCAAGCATTCTTCGTTACAGGGTGTCAGGGTGTCATGGCTTTAAGGGCTCTAAGTCTCCAGGGCTCCAATGCCCCTCCGGCGTTTGGGGCCAAGTCCCAAGTCTTCTGCACAACGTTCGGCCTCTTGTCTAACTATAGTTAGCCAGGCACGCGGGGAAATTGTGCCACCACCAACAATCCTGAAACTCCAAACCCTCCAATACATCAGATATTCATCTTCACTTGCTGATCCTCTGCTGATCTCGATCCATCATCCTCATCCCTCCCTTCGCTTATAGACTCACGAGCCCCCAACATAGATTCACAACTCGCCTCCAATTTTCTCGACTCTATTCTTTGAATCAAGCGTGCTGCGCTTCTCCCAATCTCTTATGTGGCACATTCCACTCCAACTCCCCCCCTCCGCCTGATCTGCCGCATCGCTTTAGACCGCTCTGATCTGTTCAACCATGGCCTATTCCAATCCTCGGGACTCGGTCTTCAACAAGCCAAAGCCTGTCGTTACCCTTCCCGCCGGAATCCTCGACGGCATCACCCAGTCCGCCCAGCCCTACCCAATCCCTCAAGGACGGAAGTTTGAATATGGCACCGCAGGGGTGAGTTCAGCCCCATTACTCTCAAGCCTGACCTCTAGAAGCCGCTGACTCATTTTGCTACAGTTTCGCATGAAAGCGTTCGTCCTCCCTTCCACCAACCCCAACCCGTCTCTTTCCAGGGTACACTGACAAGATATGAAATAGCAATGCTGGCTTGGATCACGTCATTTACACTGTTGGTCTCATTGCAGCTCTGCGGTCAAAGAAGCGCAATGCCACCGTTGGTATCATGATCACAGCTAGCCACAATCCTGCTGAGGATAATGGGGTCAAGTTGGTGGACCCTCTGGTACGTTGTCCCCTGCCAACGCTGTCGACACTGGCTGGCTGACAAGTTCTACAACAGGGTGACATGCTTGAGGTAATACCAGTCGCATTCAGCCCCATTGACGAAAACAAGACAACTGACCTAGTCACTCTAGCAATCTTGGGAGGCTTATGCCACGACACTCGCCAACACTCCCAACGATCAGTTAGCAAAGGCATACGAACAACTAACCAACGACCTCCTAGTTGATGAAATTCGCCAACTCCATGAACGGCCTGCCAAGGTCGTCTTTGCCCGCGACACCCGCGCTTCCGGTCCTTACCTTACCACGGCTCTGAAAGCTGCCCTGGAGGCCGCAGGGGTCGAGTACAAGGACTATGGCATCTTCACTACCCCACAGCTTCATTACGTCGTGCGCTGTATCAATACTTTGAATTCGCCGTACGAGTTTGGTGAGCCAACCGAAGAGGGCTATTACAAGAAGACGGCAAATGCCTTCAAAACAATCATGCACGGTCGCTCCATCAATGGTTCCGTCACAGTAGACTGTGCCAATGGTGTTGGTGGTCCCAAGTTGAGGGAGCTGATCAAATACCTTCCTAGTGCCAAGGATGGTGGCATCGACATCAAGGTCGTCAACGATGACGTGGTCAAGCCCGAGGCGCTCAACCTTGATGTAGGTATTCCAGGATCACATCTTGTCGGTTTCTAGCTAATCAATTATTAGTGTGGAGCAGATTATGTCAAGACCAAACAGCGCGCGCCTCCAACCTCAAAGGCTCAACCTGGGGATCGATGCGCCTCCTTGGATGGAGATGCTGATCGTCTCGTCTACTACTATACTGATGAAAATCAGACTTTCCACCTGCTCGACGGTGATCGGATTGCTACCCTTGCTGCGGTCTTTCTCGCCGACATCGTCCGGATTGCCGGTATCGACCAGAAAATCAAGATGGGCATCGTACAGACGGCTTACGCCAACGGAGCTTCTACTGAATATGTGGAAAAGGTGCTCAAATTGCCCGTCACCTGCACTCCTACCGGCGTCAAGCATCTCCATCATGCTGCGGCTCGATATGATATTGGTATCTATTTTGAGGCTAATGGACACGGAACCATTCTCTTCTCCGACAATGCCATCAAGATCATCAAGGAATCGGAGCCCAAGTCGCCAGGCCAGAAACATGCCCTTGAATCTCTTCGTGCCTCAATCGATCTCATCAACCAAGCGGTGGGAGACGCTATCTCCGATCTCCTCTTCGCCGAGGTCGTTCTCGCTCATAAATCATGGACACCCGAGAATTGGCTCAACACCTACATCGACTTGCCCAACCGCTTGGTTCGAGTAGAAGTACAAGACCGATCCATTTTCAAAGCCACTGACGCTGAACGAAAGTTGGAATCTCCGAAGGGAGCACAAGAAGAAATCGACAAACTCTGTCAGCTATACGTCAAGGGACGATCTTTTGCTCGAGCATCAGGAACGGAGGATGCCGTGCGGGTGTATGCAGAGGCACATTCCAAAATCGAGGCGGAGAAACTGGCCAGCCAAGTGGCAGAAGTCGTCCGAAAATACGGTACTTAGAAGGTGATGGAACGACTTCGGTCTTCACGGTCTGTGGCCAATCGACGGGTTTCTCGTAACAACGGCAAGGTTCTCAGCCACTTGCCGGTGAGAAAACCACGGTGCCGATCACGCTGAACAATCTACACGGAAGGCTAGAGGTTTATGAATTCACGATGAATCCGGGGTTCGAAGACAATGGGAGGGCTTCTTATAAAAACAGTACCAAAAGCACGGTGAATAGCCAGAGCATCAGACATGAGGGCATGAAGGTATGAATGAAGTCATGGAGGAAACGTGCGATGGTTGGCATAGCGACTGGCGCATCATCAGATACTAGTTAGGATAGGTCAGATCTCTCATCTCTCGATTTCTCTCTCTCCTCTCCGCCCCGACATGGATGTGTGAGAGGATCAAAAGAGGTCTCTTCTTTTTGACTGGCCCAATGGTTTCCTTGTAGCGTTCGGCTCGGTCTTTTGCCGAGTCCACATTGACATTAGAGTCCGGAGGATCAGCCATGGTGAACACCCGTTCGTGCCTCTAACCGCATGTTCCTTTCCCTGTTTTCCGTCTCCGTCCATACAGATGGGACGGAGGAGATGATAGACTTGGCCAGGGGTATTGTACTACCACTCGAGAAGAGAGACTCAGTCCTGAAACTGCAGTCTTGCCCAGGCGGTCGTCGCGTCAACGCATTCATACAGAAATGCCCATGACTGAAGCCCTCGTGAGTTTCCATATCGGCGCTGCCAGACCTTGTCCAGTAACGAACATCATATGGCATGATTTGAAATTCTGTGATTGTTTCGGATCCCCATACTCAGACAGATATTCTTTTTAGACCACTACCGCCGACATCCCCCGGACGCCTCGCTGATGATGATAACAGGTAATAGTTTGTGTGTGTTTGTGTCTGTTTTTATTGCATGATCCATATACGGGTCTTCCGACACAGTCCGCCATTTCAAAAAACCCACCGATAACTGGCATATCGACCGGCAGTTTCACTCTTCCGGATAATCTTGACCACGTTTCCACGTTTGAGACCCAAGTACCGCGAGACCGGGTCGTGGAACTGAATGCGGGGCAACTGCGTCTCTTTCAGGCGGTAACGATCCAAAAGCACTTTCTTCTCCTCGGCGCTCAGTAACACGTGTTTGGGCACCAGTTCGTGTCTGGTGATGTTGACCAGAAGGTCCTGTTCTTGGAAATGTTCGGCGGTGATGCCGCGTTCTGCTAAAGGTTCAAAGGCGCGCAGAGCAGCAGCTGTGACGGGGCCAATGGTGATGAAGATTCCTGTTGTCATCTTGTTGCTGTCGAGATGCTGAGCAAAGGCCCGCAGATGTTTGATACCGATGGTCGTCTCGGGGCTGAATTCGACCCAGATGGGGCCTGCTGTCGTCTGTGGCTCGGGGTTGGCCTTGGTCCGTCGTGGTGTGTCTCGCGCAATCATCTCAGGAGTTGGGTAGGCTTGGAGTTTCATCAGGCGTCGTCTGTAAGGAGGAGGTCATTGTTAGTGGTCTAGGTGAGGGGAGGAGAGGTGGAAAACAACATACTCTGCATGTCCGGTCTGCTGGTCGCCAAACTTGCGCTGGAACTCGTCGCGCGAGATGGTGAGTTCGGAGCTAGCGATGTTGTAGCCCTGAGAGAACAGGAAAAACCGTGTTAGGATCGCATTCTCCATTTGTCTTGTGTTGGTGTTGGGAAGATTCCTTACCCTGTCTAGTAACATCTCCAGCACCGTCCGCCATGTTCGCCAGAGTCTGGTGACTTCTCTTTCTGCCTCGGCGGACAATCTAGGTCGCTCTTCGAGATCCATACTATGGGGAGGACAAGGGCGAGATGGATAGGATGGAGTATATCAAGGAGATTTGGGCGTATGCGAAGAGACAAAGTCACCCAACCTGGCCAGAGTCGCAAGACAAAAGATGAACAAAGTCAAAAGCCGCAGCCAAAAGTTTAGGCTTGGCAGATATTTGGCAGAGTTTTTGTCTGACTCAGGCTGACCCAGGGTTTCAGTGGTTAATGACTGGAATCGGGTTAATTGAATCAAGTCTGACCCAGAATATTGTATCCACGGAATACTTTCTCCACAACTGCGTTAATTGTCGACATTCACCAAACGTTCGACATTCAGAGTCAAAGTGACAACCTCTCTTCTCGACTCCTTGTCAGTGACTCGAGACTCGAAACTCTCATACTCTCATCCCCTGCTTCACTTTACCTCTCTATTCTCAGCTTATATCCTTCCGTCATGCACTCATAGCATGGACACATCAATTTAAATTCGACCACTTAATTCATCCAATTACTGCCGTCATCTGTCCCCCGGTATCTCAGCCTTGGTTGCATTCGTAATTGCCCAATCTATTCAATAATGGCCGACACTGCTCCTCCCCCTTCCGCCGATGCGGGCGGCAAGACTCGTCCTGAGAAGCCTGACGAGGCCAAATACAAGGCCGACCTCGCCAAGGCCGAAAAGGATCACGAAGCAATTCAAGCTCGATTCAACGCTGCCCGGACCAAGCTTGACAGCGCCCGTGGCGGCAAATCCACTCCTGCCAACGATCGTTTCAAGGCTCTCGTCGACGAACAAAAGGGAATCCGTCAAAAGCAGTCGGAGAACAAGAACTCCAAGCGGGAGCAACAGGACAAATTCAACAAGAACGACAGTGAGATCAAGAAGTTGATCAACGACCAAAAGGAGACCCGTGCCCGATTGGGATTCAAGAGTGCCGATGATCTCGAAGCCAAGGTCGCTTCCATCGAGCGCCAGATCGAATCCGGAACTCTAAAAGTTGTGGAAGAGAAGAAGGCCCTGGTCGAGATTCGTGAGATCCGCAAGCAAAAGCCAAAATTTGCCGAACTGGAACAACTTCAGAGACAGATTGATGAAAAGAAGAGTGAAAATGCTGAGCTCAAGAAGACGTTTGACAACCCTGAGTCTCGTGCCTTGGCGCAGAAGTACGAGGATAACCAGAAAGAGCTCGATGCAATCAAGGCTGCTCGTGAGGACACCAACAAGAACTATGACACTTTGAAGGCCGAGCGGGAGAAACTCTACCAGGAGCAACAGACCGCATGGACCAATATCAAGAAGGTCAAGGATGAATACTATGCTGCCCGAAAGGCGTTCAAGGAATACGAGGATCAACTGTATCAACAGCGCCGTGAACGTCAAAAGGCCGAGCGCGAATCCTATGAAAAGGAGAAGCGTCGCCGTATCGCAGAACAAAAGTTGGAGGAGGCCGGGGAACCAGCCTATCTGGAACAGATCCGCACTGCCGAGGGATTGATCCGCTACTTTGACCCTTCTTACACCACAGAGGAGGGTGACAAAGGCCCCGGTCAATATGCTGCCAGTGCTCAACGAACAATTGACGACTCTGGATTCAAGGGCATGAAGGTGGTCAAGAAGGTCGATGAGGATTTCTTCGCTGGATCTGGTGGCAAAAAGAAGGGCAAAGGCAAGAAAGGAGGAGCAGCCGGTGCCGAATCTGGCAAGCTCAACCTGAACATCGGTATCATCGAAGAACTAGCCAAGGTTGGAGTCGACCCTCCCAGCACGCAGGCCGACAACCCGGCTGTGGTGGAAAAGCTCAAGGAGAAACTGGCCACGTGGAAGAAGGATCAGGACTCGCAGACCCAGAAGGTGAGTGACTTATGTGAGCCCCGGTGATGCGCTGAGAAAGGTGCTAATGATGATGCAGAACATTGAAAAGGCCAAGAAGGAAATCGAAAAGCTTGAAAAGGAAGCCGAAGAAGCAGCAGCCGCAACCCCTGAGCCAGTTGCTTCCAAAGGTCGACGCAACCAAGCCAGGAAACCAGCCCTGAAGGAGACCGGCGTCAACGGTGGCGGACCTACCGCCGAAGCTGAGGAAGCTGCTGAAAAGGGGGCCGTAGAGGACGCGGCCAAGGATCTCAAGGAGGCAAGTCTGGAAGACAAAGAGAACGCCGCCGTAGCGACCGCTTAAACGCGAGACTACCCTGCATGTGAGGGATGGGCTTATAATGGAGATTTTGACACTGGAGGAAGGGAAGGAGAAGACTGCCAGTCGGAAGGTGGATGTTTGATTGGTGACCCTAGGGATATGGACGCAGAATTGCACCCTTGCTGAGTCCATCTGGGCAAGTGTGGGCGTGCAAGCTCCGAATTCTATCATTGTTTCACAATCCATCAAAGTGTTTCCAAGTCTATATCGATGAACGTTGATATGGTGATGTCTCTTTATGGCAAGTGCAGAAGTCACCAGTCACCTCGTTCAACACCATCGCTCTTGCCCACCTCGTAGTCAGTGATTACCCCAATTACCCCGCACTCTATCACGACTCCAATATCATATCAATCAACCTTGGATCCTTCAACGTCCCACATCAGCTCAACCACATTAATCCAGCCCTCTGCACACAATGTCCTCGTCAGTCTTTCGTCCTGGCGCTCTGGCGGTGCTCAGCGGCTCGGCTTCTGGAGTTGGTTATGCTTTTGCAGCCCAGCTTCGACGACAAGGGCTACACCTGGCCCTGCTTGACATCAACAAGGAAAGCCTGAACAAGGCGGCCTCAATTCTACAGTCTCTCGAAACCCAGGGCAACCCCAAGATCGAGACCTACGATCTAGACGTGTCGGACCATTCCTCATGGGAGAAAGTGCGCGACTCCTTGGCCACTAAATTTCCTGGAACAAACGGCATTGACTTTCTACTCCTTAATGCTGGACGTTCAGTCAAGCCTACAACGGCGCAGCCCTGGGAGGACATTGAGTACTTCCAAAAGACGCTCGACACCAACCTGTTTGGCGTCATCAACGGGCTGAGTGTCCTCCTTCCCCTAGTCCAGAAGTCGTCTGGACCCTCGGCCATTGTCCTAACGGGCAGCAAGCAAGGCATCACTAACCCACCGGGCAACCCAGCCTACAATGCCTCCAAGGCCGCGGTCAAATCTCTTGCTGAACAGCTTGCTCATAGCCTGCGAACCAAAAACAATCCCAGCTACGCTCCCCATGTGTCTGCCCATCTGCTCGTCCCCGGTTGGACTTTCACAGGCCTTAGTGGCAACCAGGGCCCCGTCTCGGACGAAGAGGCTACCAAATCCAAACCCAAGGCTGCGTGGCTAGGCAGTCAAGTGGCCGAGTATGGAATTGCCAAGATCAACGACGGCAAATTCTACATCTTGTGTCCAGACTACGACGTCGACGAGGCCCTCGACCAAGCCCGGGTTACCTGGGCCAGTGCCGATATCACCGAGGGCAGAAGTCCCTTGAGTAGATGGGATGACGAGTGGAAGGACAGAGCGGCCGATTGGATCAAGGAAGATGCGGAGAAGAGAAGAAAGTAATGGGGCCAAAGGCAACTTGCATCAAATTCAGTGTACATGATATATGTATATACAATCGACCATGCCAATTGGACTCCTATCTCATAATCTTTCGCAGTCGCACGTCAGGCGGATCCCAGACCACGTCTTTGATACTGACTCTCTGTCTGGATGGCACTTTGACGTCCATATCACCGGGCAGCCGAATCCATTCTTCGTTCTCGATCACTAACAATTCCCCTTTGCGGGCCTCCAACATGATTTCATCTGCATCATTCGACTCAGACGCTGTTCTGTCGGCAATCTCCAACCCGATTGCCTGGCGGGCACGACTCGTGACACATTGCCACAGAAGTCTGGCATCCTCGGCTGTGCCGGCTTGATAGATACCCACACCCAACGAGGCCAAAGCGATTGGGTCGCCCGAGCCCCAGGGGGTGAAAGCGTTCCCAACATTGTTCACCCCGAGACAAGCATTCAGGCCATAGTCTCTAATCATACTTGGTATTTGTAGGGTGCCTCTCTGCCTGTCGGCCGCCAAAGCCTCCTGACCATCGTCACCACTCGGTCTTCCCATCATGAAAACATCACTCGTGGGCAACCCAACAAAAAACACAGGCAATTTCGCGGTATGGATTTCCTTAGCCAACCGCTTCCACCCCTCGTTGTCAAACAGGAGCAACCGTGAGCAGTGGCCAAGTACCACAGTCTTACCCTTCTGTGCTCTGCCTACCCAATCCATTTCCTTTAGACATCTTATCACATCCCACACCCGTGCGGGCTTCGACCGATCAAGGTTGTAATCCAGATGAAAATCCAGGTGCAGTCCATATTGCAGGGCTGTCTGGACAGCAAATTGGATATTCTTCACTTGTGCAGCGTCGTCAGTCTCGACATACGGCGTCGTCCCTAACACGTGGATGTCGCCCGAGAACTGATCCAAGGCGTCGACAAGGATTTGGCGGTTTGCGTCACCATGGTCGGTGCTGAAGATCGGATCCTGGGCAAAGATGCAGATCTGCACATGTACATGCTTGGAGAAGGCAGCCTTGAGTGCAATGGCGGTTGTCAGGCACTGCAACTGAGTTACATGGTCAACCTCGACAAATGCTCGCACTGCTGTTACGCCTTGTGCCAGTGACGTTGCCAGCAGTTGCGACCCACGAAGATACAGGTCTTCAGGTGTGTACCGGCCTTTGGCTTGGCCGGTGAAGCTGAGTGCTTCTGAAAAACTGCCAGTTTGAGGTGTCAGGTCATCGTAGTTTGGGTGGTCTGCTGATGAAGAAGATGATGATGGGTGGTGCGACGAGTTGCACGTCAGGAGGTATGGTTTATCAAGATGAACGTGTGGGTGACACAACGGGGCGACAAGAAGAGATGATGGTTTGGTTGACGATGTCGATGGTCGAATGGACGTAATGGTGTTGGATGTATATTCAATATCCCACCTAGTCTTTGGATCCCTGTCTGGGAGAATGACGTTCTCGAGCTGCATGCTTGCGAGACCTGGGTTGTGTATGTTCTCATGTGCCCTCAGTTTTTGCCTTACTTGTGAGCTCCAGGTCAGTCAGTTACATGAGTTAGATATGTGTGATGGATATAGCCGTCTAGTCTTAGATGACGTCGTCAGCATCATCACTTCGAGAGAGTATCCATGTTGTGAAGCTCGTTTTTGACAGAAATTTTGGTCTGAGCAGATCTAAAGTGGTCTGGAGCACTCAAGGAGCAACAAATGAATAGTAGCATACAAGTGTCAACGTCACTAGTGTTGTGCGAGTCTGGAATCCAAACCCATGTATTTACACGTACATATCCGTCCTGATGACAGTCTCTTGCCGACGTAGCGGCCCCCTGGCATCTATGACAATCTATTGGTCTTCTATCACCAATCTAGTAAAGCGGCAACTTCACTGCCAAGCCCCGCTATTTTCTCCGCATATGGCAAAATCGAGACTCGCTGCAGTCGCAGTTGCAGGAAATTTCCCCTCATACGATCGAATTTCATTTCATGGCTTGATTGTATGTTGACTGCGCTCCATTTCGCTCGCGACCTTTGAATATCCTAATTAATTCCCTTGCAATGGGAAGAGGCGGCAAGCGAGTAAGCACTCTACCACTATGTGCATTGCTCTCATCCAACTAACATCACTTTAGGGCGGGCATGGAGGCCGTGGCCGTGGTGGTGGACAGAATCGTCCCAAGCCAGATAATCGCACCAACAAGGCCGACATCAGCCGCAACAATGAGAAATTCGAGCAATATTACAACGAGCTGGGTATAGTACCAGAAGAGTCCAGGTCCGAGTTCTGGGATGCCATGCGACGGGATCTCCCCAACAGTTTCCGCTTCACTGGGTCAAAAGCGTATGTCATTCCATCTGCTACCCATTTGCTCATAAATGGCACTAATGTTCATGTTAGACATGCTCTCGCTGTTCAAGAGCGTCTGCGCACGTTCTATATTCCTGAAATCACCGCCATCACCTACGAAGGCAAATACGTCGATGCGCCCCGTCCTGTCGAGTGGTACCCTGACCAGTTGGCTTGGTTCATGACCACTCCCAAAAATGTCATTCGAAGATTCAAGCCATTTGCCTCTTTCCAAAAGTTCCTTGTCGCTGAGACTGATGTCGGAAACATCACACGACAAGAGGTTGTGAGCATGATCCCACCTCTTCTCATGGACCTTCAACCGCACATGACTGTCTTGGATCTCTGTGCCGCACCAGGAAGCAAATCTGCCCAATTACTCGAGATGATCCATGCCGGTGAAGAAGAAAGATCAAGACAGGTCGCTGACAACACAGTCGACGAACAACAATTTACGGACGACGGTCGTTCCAGTGGACTTTTAATCGCCAATGATGTCGACTACAAGCGGGCGCATATGCTGGTCCATCAGATGAAACGATTGAGCTCGCCCAACATCATCGTGACCAACCATGACGCTACTGTATTTCCCTCGATCAAGATTTCTTCTCTCCCCGGATCAGACGGCAAGTCAAGTCCCAACCGCTATCTGAAGTTCGATCGTATATTAGCGGATGTCCCTTGTTCAGGAGATGGGACCGTGAGAAAGAACATGGAAATCTGGAAGAACTGGAGTCCAGGCAATGGCCTTGGACTACATGCTATCCAGGTTAGAATCCTGGTCCGTGCTCTACAAATGCTCAAAGTCGGCGGACGTGTCGTCTATTCAACTTGCAGCATGAACCCTGTCGAAGATGAAGCCGTCCTAGCCGAGGCAATTTCTCGGTGTGGCGGCCCTGGCCTAGTCGAGCTTCAGGAAACAAAAGACCTCCTCCCCGGCCTCAAACGTCACTCTGGCCTCAAGACATGGAACGTGATGGACAAGACTGGTAGGATCTGGAACGACTACGAGTCGGTTGTCAAGAGCAGACAAGAGACTGGAGACGACGCTTTATCGCGTTTGCAGGAGAGCATGTTCCCTCCAAAGAGCGACCTCCCTCTTGACCGAGCCATCCGTGTGTATCCTCATCTGCAGGACACGGGTGCTTTCTTCATTGCTATTCTCGAGAAGAAGTCAGAAATCCGCGCGAAACCAGAAGAGAAGTCCGGCGCAAGCCAGCAGGCTGCCAAGCCAGTGGCTGCAAAGACCAATGGCGTAGGCCAGACTTCCGAGGCAACCTCAAACGGCGAGGTGGATGCGTTTTATAATACCATGTTAGGATCTGAAAGCCCCAGCAAGAGGAAGAGAGAAGAGGACACGGATGACAACGAGTCTACCAAGAGAATCAAAGGTGACGAGCTATCTAATGAGGAAGTCAAGGAAGTGCCAGCCTCATCATTGCTGGAATCAGTTTCCAAAGCCGACTCTTCGACACCGATGACACCCCAAGCCCAGCCTCCACGAAGAAGAAATCGCGACCAACCTTTTGAAGAGCCATTTAAATACCTGTCTCCGACCATTCCAGAGCTCGATTGGATCTGGTCATTTTATAATCTCTCCTCGAGGTTCCCCCGGGATCGATTTATGGTCCGCAACCCTGAAGGAACAGCCAGCAAGAACATTTACTACACTAACGCTCTGGCCAAAGAAATCCTCCAGGAAAATGAAGGCAAGGGGTTGAAGTTTGTGCATGCCGGAGTCAAGATGTTCGTTAAACAAGATGCACCTTCTCCAGAGGTCTGTCCTTGGCGGATTCAGACCGATGGCTTGAGACTACTAGAGACCTGGGTGGGTCCAGAGCGTATTGTCACACTACAAAAGAAGGAGACACTGCGCAAACTGCTCATTGAGATGTTTCCTCGATTTGCAGGCGACGAGTACAAGAATCTCGGCGAGGTTGGCGAGCAGGTCCTCTCCAAGCCAATGGGCTGCTGCGTCTTGATCGTGGAGCCCACTGGCGAAGAAGATGGTTTGAGTGAAAGAATGGTCTTCCCTCTTTGGAAGTCGATCACGAGTCTGAATCTCATGCTGCCCAAAGAAGATAGAAGAGCAATGCTGCTCCGATTGTTCAATGATGACACCCCTCTGGTCAATCTGAGCAAAGGATGGGTAGGCCAAAAGGGGACCCAGGGCGGAGATGTCAAGCCTCTAGACCCCGACCCAGAGGTTGAGGTCGAACAAGCTGAAGAAGGCAAAAGCGAGGTCCAGAAGGATGCATCTGCGCCAGTGCGGCGCAACAGCAGCTCAGTAGAGCCAGACGTGGCGGTGGAACTACACCTCAACACTACTGCCGACAAAGAGAAGTCGGAGGATGAGGCGGATGGCGGCGTCGAGATCTCGTGAGATAAGTGTACTATCTAGACTAGAGCTGTTGGAAATCTGGATTCTCGGTCATCTCGAAACATTGTTTGCGAATAACAGTTGTTTTTCTGGTGCGGTCTACGATGGTCACGTTACATGTCAACATTAGAGAAGAAGCACGTGAAAGATATATCGCAATGTCAGTCGCCCCTTCTATTTCTGGCTTCTCGGCCCCATCCGCCCCTTCCTTCTTATTAGGGGATATAATTTCTTGGCATTGGGCTGATGCTTCACCTTCGATTCTCGTCACTCTCAACCAGACTCTCACCATCTGCTCTTTGTTCTGTCCCTACTCAGCCATAAACTTCAATTATTGCCAATATGGTCGTTGAACACATAATATAAGATGTTGATGGCTTGGCGGACCATCTGCAAACGTGGGACTTTTAAAGTTCCCATCATCTGATCCCACCCCAACACATCCCCCATTCTTGATACAACTCCAACAATGACCGACCCCCTTTCCATCGCAAGCGGGATCGCAGGCTTGGTCTCCTTGGCTGGGTTTGCAATTGGTCAATGCTACCGTTATGGATGTGGAGTCTCCAATGCTCCAGAAGAATCAAAACGCCTGGTATCTGAGGTAACTGGCTTGAGCGGGGTCCTGGTTGGTGTACAGGGTATCGTCAAGTCAAACCCCTCCCTAGGTCCAGATCTCGAACATGTTCTAGACGATTGCAGATCAATCTTACAGAGATTGACTATCCAGCTACAAAAGCACGATCCATTAAAGTCAAAGTCTTCGACATCCCGCATTGTCAATCGGATGCTATGGCCGTTGCGAAAAGGTGAGACCGAGGATTTGATAGTGGCTCTGCAGCGGCAGAAGAGTTCGTTGTCCTTGACACTCGACACTTTATCCACGTAGGTAGCCCCAGCACTAACTTTGGCTCTTCTAATGGTCCTAGCAATCTTTTACTTGACCAGACTTCTGTCCTAGACGATTTGGCCGACTCCATCGCTGACCTGTCCACTCAAGTCAAGTCTCATCATGATATTCAACAACGAACTGCAGTCTTGGATTGGCTGTCTGAGTACCAGCACGAGGCTCAATTCCAACGAGCATGCCAACTGCATTGCGACAACACCTGTAGCTGGCTGCTTCACCATCCAGGGTTTGTCGCCTGGCTTCAGACTAGGTCCTCACTGTTGTGGATGCATGGCCAAGCTGGATCAGGTAAAACAATTCTGTCCAGTTATGTCATCAACTACTTGAAAGGACAACAGACAGCCTCTTCTTTTCTGCTTGCTTATTTCTATTATGATGCCAGCACGATCGAAAGTCTGTCTCCCGAGACCTTTTTTGGTGCGATTCTCAAGCAACTATGCTCTCTGTTGCCTCAACTACCTCAGAGCATCATAGCAGCATATGAACGAGCTTCAAGAAGATCTGGTACACCCAAGCAACCGTCTCTGTCGGATCTAAGGCGTTCGCTCGAGAATGTGCTAGAAATGCAAATGCCATGCATTATTGTCATCGACGGACTGGACGAATCCCCCAACTATCGGGCGGTTTGTGATTTTCTCACCTCTATCGTGGAGTCAGGCAATTATGCACTCAAAGTCTTCATTTCGAGCCGCCCTGAAGTGGACCTACGTCGCCGATTCGCAAAGTTTCAAGAGATCCCAGTACCAGAAGACGCTATTCAGGATGATATTGGAAGATACATTGCGTACAGAATCGAACACGATGTGCGGTTAAGGCGCATGAGTCAGAATATGAAGGACTACGTGGAGCATAAACTTCGTCTTGATTGTCATGGAATGTACGTCGCCCTCCCCTTTCAATCAATGTCTACTTATACTGTTATTGTTCTAGGTTCCGCTGGGTTCAGTGCCAGCTGGATGCTATCTCTCGCTTAAGAACTGATGCAGCTCTCAAGCGGGCCTTGAGCTCTCTTCCCCAGAGTTTGGAAGGTTCTTACAGCCAAATTTTGCAAAATATCGACTCCGAAGATGTTACCTTCGCCAGGCGGACCCTGCTCTGGCTAGCTCATGCAGCAACACCACTCACGCTCCCTCAGCTCTCACAAGCGGTTATTTTGGAACCTAACTTTGTCCGCATAGATCCCGACATAGAGCTTAACGACCCAAATGATGTCCTAGAGATTTGTGGCTCTCTTGTTTCATATAACACAATATCTCGGACCGCTCGAATCGCACACCACTCAGTCCGCGAATATCTTACCGAGAGACTCACTGAAGCATCCGAGTTCTATATTCCAGCCCAAACTTCACATCGTACTATAGCAGAAGCCTGCCTGAACTATCTGTTATTGTGGGACTTCCGACGTGGCCCTCGCTCCGAAAAGGAGCTTAGGTCAGCGCTTCACAGCTATCCATTACTTCAGTATGCCGCTCAGAACTGGCCATTTCATGTTCAGTTATCTGAAGCAGAGGCCGAACTTCAACCACTGATCCTCCGCCTAATGACACCCGAGCCAACCCCAAACTTCTTCTTTTGGCTTCAAGTGGTGCTTTTTGACTCACGTCACGGATACCTACCACCCTCTAGCGAGCTCCTGCGCGCCCGGCCTTTATACTACGCAACCTCATATGGCCTCACAGAAACTGTACGTAGCCTCATCAGCGCCGGGGCCCCTTTGGACGAAAGAGCTGGACGTTATGGTGGTACTGCCATTCATGCTGCTGTGTGGAGGAAAAGACCAGAGATATTACGAATTCTTCTCGATGCAGGAGCCAACGCAATGATAAAGGACGACAATGAGCAAACTGCACCAGAGCTATCACTTTGGAATGGCCAATTGGCAATGTTCAGCATGTTCAAGGAATCAGTTGCCAAACTTATGCGATCTCTTTTGCAAGAGCGTGCGAATTTGCTGCCTATGAGTGACGAAGAAAAGCTGCTCCTACGGGATTTCGATGTTATGCAACCTCACAAAGCCAACGTGGGGGAAGATGAACCTTGGTGGGTTACTGCTAAGGTGTATAAAAAACAACCCGAGGATACGAACGTAGAGCTGAAAGAGGTAGATGGCGGATCGGACTCACAAGATGACCTGATTACGAGAGTCAAACCAACACAGGCGGACTCTGAAAAGGTGAGATCTGTTGCTGCTGGTCAACAGGTTGAACTTGGTTGAATCGAGTTCTATCCTTGGGCTTCCTGTTGCCTAGACATCACATCATATGCAGGACAGGGGTTTAAAGGACTTACCCGCGGCCAGTGTGGGGATGTCCGCCTTCGGCGATAGACCACGATCTTCCCCAGGGTTTTGAAGATTCCAAGGCTGATGTCAACAACGTCGGTCACAAGCAATAATCTGCAGAAGATGCGGCTTCAGGGGCGCAGCCTCGTTAGAGGTGCGGCGTCTGGCAAATTACTTTGGGCTGATGTCGGCCTTAGTTTCTGGGGTGGTGTTGATCCCCTCACTGGAATGATCGTGGATCACCACCACCCTCTAATGGGCGAGTGTATGGCAGGTCGAATTCTAGCCATACCATCAGGCCGAGGGTCATGCACGGGCAGTGGGATCATCTTGGAGCTCTTGATGAGAGGGTACGGACCAGCAGCATTAGTGTTTCAGCACCAGGAGGAGATCTTGTCCTTGGGCGTCATTGTTGCGTCGAGAATGTTCAATCTCTCGATCCCAGTCCTCTTGCTGTCTCCAAATGATTTCGCATCGCTGAGGGAATGGAAGACCGCATGCGTGAAAAACAACATTGTCTCCAGAGCCGACCTCACCTCAAGCATTGAGCCTGAACTTCCGGCGCACGAGAAGAATCTCCCAACGGTGAGCCTGAGCTCAAAGGATCAGGATATGCTCGTTGGAAAGCACGGCCCGGCAGCGAAATCAGCGTTTGAGATTCTACTCAAATTTGCCGAGCTGCAAGGCGCCTCTCAATTCATCGATGTTTCACAGGCTCATATCGACGCTTGCATATACACTGGCCCAAGTGGTGTCTTATTCGTACAAAAGCTACTCGACCTTGGGGCCAAATTTACTATTACCACAACCCTCAATTCAATCTCCATCGACCGTCGTCGCTGGCAGGAGATGGGCATGGACCCTACAGTCTCCGCAGAGGCTGAAAGGCTTGCTGATGCGTATATGGCGATGGGAGCTTGTATGAGCTTCACTTGCGCTCCCTACCTACGAGACAAAATCCCCGAGATGGGAGAGAACATTGGTTGGGCAGAATCAAACGCTGTGGTGTATGCAAATAGCGTACTCGGCGCCAGAACACAGAAGTATCCTGACTTCCTTGATGTCTGCATCGCCTTGACAGGACGTGCACCTCTGTCAGGATGTCATGTCGAGGAGAATCGAAAACCGTCTCTCGTTCTTCAAGTCCCTCATATCGCAGAGGCAGACGACCTATTCTACCCAGTAGCTGGCTACTTGATCGGTCAACTATCTGGACCCAACATCCCTTTGATTATCGGTCTGGAGAATGCACATCCGAGTGTGTCAGACCTCAAAGCATTCGGCGCAGCATTTGCGACCACTGCTTCAGCGGCGATGTTCCACATCCGGGGGGTTACACCGGAAGCCTCAAAAGGCTCGATGGCGTCTTACCAACTTCAACTTCCACAGCCGATAGTCCTATCCAAACAAGACCTCCTCAAAACTTACAAGCAATTGAACACCGCCAAATCCGGTACAATCGACCTCATCTCCCTTGGAAGCCCACACTTCTCACTATCCGAATTCTCGACCTTAACTACCCTCATCTCTGCGCTTTCACCCAACGCCCCTTCGAGAGCCGTCATACCCGTCACGATAACTACATCACGACAGATCTATTCACAAGCCATGCATGCTGGATATATCAAGATTCTTGAAGACTTTGCCGCTACTATCGTCACAGATACATGTTGGTGTATGTTGACAGAACCTGTAGTACCGATTGGGTCGAAGACCATCATGACGAATTCGGCCAAGTATGCGCATTATGCTCCTGGTTTGGTGAACAGGTCGGTGGTTTTGGGAGGTTTGAAGGAATGTGTGGACGTTGCGGTAGGTCGGATTGATGTGTTGATGAGAGAAGTTCCTGAGTGGTTGAAACTGTCTGAGGATGTGTACGGATGAGTATTTAGAGGTATGAGATACCTCTTTACTTAACCAAACGATGACAAGACTTGACGACCATGTCGATGGATGAGTTCAATGATTTATGACGATTGAAAATACATTGATTGCACTTTCAGATTCAGATCAGATGTATGAAGATAGAGAATGAAATTGATTCTTTTCATATTAAGCTAGTTAACTATATGAAACAGCCTCACTCTAGACAGGCAGGCAGGCAGGCAGGTATCTCAGTTCAAACGATTCAAGACAACCAAAGGAGACCGACAGACATGCTCTGCACTATTCGCACACAAGAAGGAGATTTCGAAATGACAAGGAGAAAAGACCAAGGGAATAGCGTTTCGTAAGGGTTGTCATATCATCGCATAAGCTGATAGGTATATTGATAAAGGATACATATTCGACAGAGTCGTCCAGCGTCTATGTCCAATACCATAGGAGATGTAGGTGGGTATCGGAAATGATGACGGTGATGTTTGGGCAATTTTTGGATTTCGAGGATGAAGATAAGTAGAGCTTGTTGAGGCTGTTTCAGACTTTTTTGCAAACAATTAGATGTGTGTCTGTGTCTGTGTCTGTGTCCGTGGAGTGTCTTTTGGTGCAAGGGTTTGGTTTAAACACCGAGGACTAGGATGGAAACCCCTTGACCTTGAGGAGATGTTGCCACTTGTTTAACCGTGGAATTGGTACAAAGGAGCAACAGGCTCCACATCACGGCGGAGGACATGCTTGTTGATATACCAGGGAGCCTTTTGAAGGTAGTATTTGGCGTGTTCTCTGGCACCGACGCTGAAGACGTCGTCGAGTTCTTCGAGAGTGAGGTTCTGAGATCGGATGTTAGTCGCCGAAAAGGAGGCTTTGGACGAGAAAACGGATACATACCTTTGTCTCAGGCAAGAAGAAATAACACAGGAAGAAAGCCGCGAAATTCCATGCGGCGTAGAAGCCAAAAGCACCCTGAGGTTGGAAAGCGCGCACCAAGGCCAACCAAGTGAAACTGAGAATGAAGTTGAATCCCCAGCAGGTGGCGGTAGCGAAACTCATACCAACGTCTCGAATGTACAGAGGGAACGCTTCGGCTGAATAGGTGAATGGAACGGGACCTTCTCCGGGACTGTAGACAACCATGAAAAGGTAGATACCCGTGGCGACCATACCGAGACGTGTTTGACCTTCGGGGATGAAGAAGGAAAAGCCGGTGAAGAGCAAGCAGGCTCCCATGAGTGGGAAGGTCGTCAAGAGCAGGTTACGTCGGCCAAATGTATCGATTGTGTAGAGAGCGGGAATGGCGAAGAGCCAGTTGGTTACACCGGTACCGAAGGATACCAGAAGCGCCTGTCGACGGTCGAAACCAGAATCCATGAAGATCTGTGTCGAATAATATGCGATAACATTGACACCACAAAATTGCTGCCTGATGATGAGTTAGAATGCGTATTAGATAGAAATAATGAAAGGAAAAAGCGTGGTGGTGGTGGTGGGAGAAGGGAGAGAAGGGGTGGTGGTGGAAGGGGGTGGTGGAGGTTGGGGTGGGAAGTGTCACTGGGATGGTGAGTTGGGGATGCAAGCACGTACATGAACATAACGAAGAAAGAAGACTGAGCAGCGCGACGGTTACGCTTGACAAAGAAGAATTCCTTCCAGAGATTCTTTCCTTCTCGCTGAGTGGCTTCAATCTCGAGCATCTTGTAGGCGTAGTACATGTCACGTGCAGCCTGTAGTTTGGTGGTTCGAAGACGTGCGAATGATTGGAAGGCTTTGTCGAACTTGCCCTTTTCCATGTACCTGAAAAGAAGGTCGAGTCAGTCATCTTGATGTTGAGCATAGGAGGGCATGGGTGGTGGTTGACCTACCATCGAGGAGATTCTGGACAGAAATAGACCTGGCAAAGCACAACGAAGGGTGGAATAGCTGTTGAGCCAAGCATCCATCGCCATTGAGTGTATTCACCGAGGTAACTGACATCTTGGAATGCCACCGAAGCGACAAATCCCAACATGATACCAAAAGCAGTCCACATCTGCCATTGCATGGTCAAGGCGCCTCGAATGGTCTTGGGGGCTGATTCGGCTGCGTAGACGGGTGTTGTGCTGGATTTCGCGCCGACGGCAAATCCGAGAACGAATCGAGCGATCAATAGATTCCACCACCTATAAAGAAGCGAGAATTTTGGTTAGCAGGTGTTTTTATCGACCAAGGGATGGAGTTTTTGAGCATCAGAAAATTGGTTTGGGCAGGACCTACGTGTTTGCAGCAGCCATCCAGAAGGAAGCAGCAAAGGAGATGAAGCAAGAGATGAAAATGGTTCCTCGACGACCAAAAGCCTTGTTGAGGGGCGCATTGGTCCAGCAGCCGATCAGGCAAGAACACAAGTATGGAGCACCGTTCAAGAGACCTTGTTGCCATTCGTTGGTGATGTTGAATTCGTCGAAATAAAAGACCTGGATTCCCACCTTGTTAGCAGTTGTTGGATATTTCTTCCCTGTTTGGCTGTCTTACCTGGGCACCGTTGACGGCAGTTTGATCCATACCCTGGACAATGGCAGAGCCAGCACAGAGAACGACGAGAAAGTAAAGCATAAATGGTTGACTCCATCGATGTTGAATTTCATGTCGCAGAACGGCCTTTTCGTCCTCGTTGATCTGAGCAATTTGCTCGAAGCCGCCGTCTCTGTTGATGACGCGGGCCAGAAGAGCGCCCTTGCGGAATTCGTCAGCGTGGTCCTGGAGACCCTTTTCTTCAATGAAAAGGTCCACGTCTCTCAGGACGTCGGCTTCAGTCTTTCCAGCCAAAGGATTTCGCAATTGCGCCGAGACAGAGGGTTGACGGACGCGGAAACTGTTGCGGCGTCCACTGCCGCTGCTGCTTCGGCGGCCATCATCGCCGCCTTCTTTGTGGTGAGTTCGAATGTCTTCATACTTGTCTGCTGCCGTGTTGGACGAGTGTGACGACGAATCCCGACGAGGTGGAGTGATTTCGTTTGTTTCCTTTTCCGCACCGTAGTCGACGGCCTCGTTGTCAACTTTTGGAGGAGGCATGGTGGTTTTGGATGAGTATGTATGAATAGATGAGTGTATGGAAGTATAGATGGATGACAGAAGGGTTCTTGAGTCCCTGCCACGACAGGTTATGATACCAATCGATGGAGGAGCACACGAGACAAGAAATCACCCTTCCCCAGATTCCAAGAAATATGGTGAAAGGGAAATCTTTGTGCCAGCTGGGGATCAAGGGACATCTAAGTAGCTGGGGATCGTGTGGGGAGGTTAGACAGCTAGTACCTCGATGCGACACAAAATGTGGCCAGGTGCCATGTCATGCCAGACCATCTTCTGGGATGGTTGTCCGCCTCCCAGGCGAAAAGATCCCGCCATCGAAGGCCAGACGGTGGCAGGCTAGCAAAATCGAATGCAACAGGTGATGTACTGCCGCATCTGGAGCAATGGAGCAATCACAGATCGAGATTCATTGGCATACGTCAGGAATACTACGACCAAGACTGATGGAAGCATTGCAGAATCCCAGACGGTGAAGTCAATGCCCCATTGAAAGGGGCGCCGATCCAGAGTAATTTGCGACAAGCACGGCAAGACGGTAGGGAGTCCTGTGCGTGGAGACTGTAGGTGGTCCCCGATGTAGACGCTATATGTTGTGATGGCGAACAATATCCGTTAATTGAACTAAAGATCTGGAGACAGTAAGCCTTGACCTACGTATCTCAAGCAGTTGGAGCGCGACCACTGTGGATCCAAAAAGTCTTGTCATACATCATCCTAAAAACTTTGCCGAGCTTTGGTGCCGACTTGAAAGCCTTGGATGTGACGGTAGACAACTCACCAGCCCTACAAGAGGATATACTCATGTTGTTTCTTGACGAGACCTTGGCTTGCCGTGATCCTGAGGTCGTGGGACATTTGTGAGATGGGAATATTACGCGTGTCAATTGTCTCAGGCGGCCTGGGACTCAACAGTCCTCCCACTGGTGTTTTGAGGAGGCCAGACACAAGCGGGACAGATGATTGACGCATCTGGCGCGATATGAACAGCGCCAAGGCCCCAAAAGGCCAAGAATTCCACGCCGAGACTTGGCATTCAGCCTTGGTGCCAAGCATGGACCTGTGTCCCGTGGTACGCATACGCATATACATCCCTGATCGTGCATGTCGAGGCCGTCACGCAGTACTGTCGGAGTCTTGATGATGGGTTCACTTATAGATAGAGGAGTATTTCCAAGACCTGAGAGGGGTGGAAATCTCCACCCCTTCTTCACTCATGACTCGATCGAGAAGAGGACAAGCCGGAGCGCACGGCCGCTTTGAATCTTGGAACCTCCTTGGGACCTCCTTACACGGACCTGAGAAACACTTGTCCATGCTTGTCGCAGGACAAGTTCAGGCCACCAGCGACAGTTGTTGGCGCATTTCTTCATTTATTTGACCCCTCACGCCATCGACCACAGCGTCGATCTAAACAATTGACCCTGCCGTGCCTGGGCGATTTTCTGCATGCCACGATTTCTGAGGTAGGGGTTCCAAGGCCATGAAGATCAGGTCGATCATTCAACGGGACATTTGACGGCACAAAGGGGCATCCTGAAGCGAGGACGCCGGATTTGAAATCTAGACAAGCGGCAATGGTTCAAAGGCGAGACGTGACGAGACGAGATGGAGATGCATCGCACCAACGTTGTGGGTAGTTTAGTGGGATGGTCCTGTGGCTAGAATTTGTGCGCGGTTGTCGGAGATTGGACGACGTCCACGGAGAAGTCGAATAGAAGAATTTGAAGTACGCATGAGGCTCCGTTTTGTGGTTCGAGGCTTTGGGCAAGAAATGCGCCGCAAGCGACTCTGGCGGGATGTAACCTATAGTGGAGTTTGGGCTGTCGTACATACAGTACTGCGTAGACTTGACAGGCAGTAGAGGTCTCGGCTTTGCCTTCCAGTCTTTGACTTCGTGTGGGACGGAAACCTCAATTTGAAATATTGGCACGTTCGGTTGCAAGTTTGCGCCCCAATAGAGCATCGATTGAACTTGCCTTCAATTGCTGTGAGAATTGGCAAAGAGGAGAAAGATACACTAATGACTAGTGCATCTCACCATCAGATAGACAAGGCGAGATCGAATAGTCAATTGTGAAAGTCGTCGAACTTTGAGATCTCGTGCCCAAAAAGGTTGTATTTCACATGTCTGACTCCATATTTGCTGGTCATCGCCACTCCGAGGCATCAAACTGATACACTGTACAATGTCATTATCTCAGCTGACCAGCAATTTTAGGATATCCATTCCGGCCGCTCCGGCCATGCATGTTTTTGAAGCAAATAGCGTACTCCCCAGCCCGTCAGTGGAGTTGTTTGTTGGGTCACCAGCTATTATTGTCCCTATTCGCATACAATAGCTGGCCGGCCAGGGACGCCAAGCTAGATGTTCTGATCTGAGACCCTCGATCGCTTAGAATCGAACATCACTTGCCACTCTTTGCACCACGAGCTGGACTTGGTCCTGGAGCAATCATGTCTTGCTTCTGGATCAGCGTCTTGATCTTCAAATGATATGACTCGCTTCACATGGTCAACGTGGAGTGCCCCGTGCAGGCTTGGTTGGGTGTATAATCTCTAGTTGTCCTAGGAATTGAAGCACAGACATACATGTTGCACTTCTAGATTGTTGTCGGATTGCTAGTTTCGGATTACCCGTTTTGACTACTCCGTAAGCAAAGTGGACCGGGACTTCTACACCATGCAAAATGCGTGACCGTATACTCTACGGCTCAGTAAAGCTTCAGAAGCACAACGACATAGAGCTGATGTAAGTAAATAGGATGGTTCCATCGTCTCTTGAGTTGATATGATGCTTTAATATAGTTTTGTACATGTTATACAGGCTGCTAGCACCTATTGTACCAACACATTGACCGCCATATATGTCCTCCACAACCATGCCTAACTAGCCGCAGACCTAGGAGCATCTCGTGATCGTGACAAAGGTTACGACCGACTGCCTTGAACATCAGCCTCTGCCTCATTCATAATTTGACTCGGCAGTTCGCCCGGTGCCAATTGCCACGCCATGTCGACTGCACCCTGAGGATTTCCCTTGTTATACAAGAACAGACCCTGCAAGGCCGCCATGCTCGTCTGGCTGACGCGCCCAGCAGCTCCGGGGGTATCTTCAGGCGCTAGCACGCCTACCTGGCGCAATTTGTCCAGGAACCGCGTCTTTGCCTCTCCGTTGGGGTCGACATCGGTATAGAATCGGTCCCATAGTTGCTCAATCTGGTATACCGTTGCCTCACCCAGACGAACCGTCATATCGACTCGACCGGGTCGAACGAGAGCTTCATCTAGACGATCCACGTGGTTGGTCGTGAGAAAAATGATTCGTTCTTCTGCACTTCCCACTCCATCGAGAGCATTGAGTAAACCGGAGAAAGTCACATTCGCGCCTTGGTAGCCGTCAGCTTCGACTTGGCGACGGTTGGCGAACGCGGCGTCGACATCTTCTAACAGTACAAGAGTCCTTTGAGGAATGACGGTGAGGAGATGGTTCAGTCGGTCATCGGTCAGGCCTCGTTCAGACAGATTGAGCATGGCAATGTCGTAGTTCAAATGGCCTGCGACAGCCTGGATGAAACTAGACTTGCCCGTGCCTGGTGGACCATAGAGGAGATATCCACGGCGGTAGGGAATACCACGTTCGTAGTACCATTTGGAAGAAGATATGAAATCTTGGACATCGGTGACAATTCGCTCTTTCACGCCTTTGTCGAGGATGACCGAGTCTAACGGTCTCTTTGACCGCGGATGGCCGAATTTCTCCCACTTGGTACCCCATGCAGTATAGATGACTGTCTTTCCTTGAACAGATTGTGTAGCTAGATCATGAGCCTCTCGGAAAAGCGTCTCAAAGATATGGCGATGAGAATATAGGGTTGTCAAGGTAACTGTCTCCCACGGTTTACCATCCATGGAAAACTGTTTCGACTCTCGTTGTCGATTAACCAAGATCCATGCGCCATTGTAGCGAATGACATGTCGACCTGGACCAGGGATGAGGGCAAAATTTGTATGAATGGCACCGTTGGGAAGTTCGCGTTTCTCGGTCTCAATGGAGAGATGGCGCATACCCGGAGTTAGGCGTTGGAGTATAGATTCAACCACTCCCACCTTTTGACCTGCTTGGCCGTTCTTCAACACATGTTGGGCTGCTTCGCTGGATAATTTGCTTCGTTCGTGAAGGGTCATCCAATAGAGAAACCAGGGGTATGAATCGTCTCGAACACTGATTTCGACATCGACGAGGAGGCGTCGGCGCATGAGAGCTGCGCCATGACGAAGACCTCTTTGACCGAAAGCTGCGAGTGCACCTAGGCCTGCGAGACCGAATCCCTGATATCATGAGTTGAGAGTCTAGCTCGAGAAGAGGGTATAGGAGGACATACCGCAGTGAAGAAGGGATTGCTGGTCAATTGCGACAGGATACTCCCATCTCCAGAATTACCAACTGAAGTCAATTGGCGTGCAAGGTCGAGTCTTTGCTGAGCTGGATCATGTCCGACCGGTGATGGGGCTAAGTCTGTCGCAGAGAGGGTTGATGCGACTTCAGGCACCCCATTATCACCTGGCATTACCCTTGAGTAGCTCAGGCAATAGCTGGAGTTGTGTTGGCTCTAATTCAATCCGTAGGTCAACTGCTGAATTGAAGGGTCCCAGCCAGCAAAGATGTGACATGCCGTGCATGCGCAAAAGTTGAAGCCTGACACGTGACCAATATATCGGATCAATATTCGACCGACTATTGGAGCTTAGCGCAGGTTAAAGCAAGTCGATGACATAAGTCAACCAATCATCTTGCTCTGTATGCTACGATAGCCTGGCACGCCTGGCCAGCCTCGTCGGGATTTACGGCGATAGGACGATCCGCGACCATCTTTTGTCACCTCCACCACGCATCCCAGACGTCCTGATGCATTATACCCGTATCCGTGCGGAAGCCAATTCGCGATTAGTACGCCTAAACTACGTACGAAGACTTAGAATCTACTCTTACTGGTGGTGGCTTGCATCATGACCCTTTGATCCTTTTGACTGATTGAAACTACTAAACCTCTTTCATCTCTCTTACAGACAGGCAGCACTATATTCGACTCGGCGCGCGTGTACAGCAAGGATTGTTTCACGACCAGCTCTTTTTGATTCGCTCACTACAAGGGCGGTACACGAGTTTCTGATATATCCATCTCATAAGTACACCTAGAAATCAGTCTCACATCTCTATATCCTCTCCTCTCCCTCCTCTCCCTCAGCATCTCAACCTCTCTTCCCTTTCTTCCACATGCGAATCTTCCTCAGTCGCCTCTTCGCCAAAAGAGCAACCTACCAATCAGCCGCAACAGCGTCTCGAAGGACCACCGCTACTCGCACATTATCCACCGGATCCATGTCTGCAATCCTCTACGCTGCAACGGTAGCCACACCGTCCACCGCGAGCGAGCGGCCATCAGATGAAATCACAAAAGCAAAAGCATGGCACGCAAAGACCGGAGGATTTGAAAATCCCTGGGAATCATGGACTACACTTTCCGTCTGGCGCATTGTCGGCGGTATGCTTTCGAGACGGTTAAGTGGAAGAGCCAACCACCCGGACACAACACCACCGACTGTTCCAGTGACGAAACCCAGTTTTCTTGATTCTCGTACTGGACAGACGAGTCTTCGCGCCACTTGGCTTGGTCATGCGTGTTACTTGGTTGAATTCCCTTCTGGATTACGAGTTCTCTTCGATCCGGTTTTCACAGAGCGATGCTCGCCGTTTAGTTGGTTAGGGCCGAAGAGATATACTGAGATGCCATGTCAGATCAAGGATATTCCCAAGATTGACGCTGTGGTTATCTCTCATAACCACTACGATCACTTGTCTCATCCTACAATCATGGAGATTTCTGAGCTTCACCCCGAATGTCATTTCTTCGTTCCGCTAGGAAATAAGAAATGGTTTACTGCGTGCGGAATCAGTAAATGTACCGAGTTGGATTGGTGGGATGAAGTCGAATTCAACCTCAAGCCTGCTGAGGCAGCCGGTGCAGGCCAGGAAAAGACAACCGCTGCGTCAGAAATCTCAGTCACAACCAGCAGCGCCGACGAAGCAAGTCCTTCATCATCACCAGCGGGAGCCATGTCTGCCCGTATCTCGTGTCTACCCTGCCAACATACATCCAGCCGGTCCATTAACGATCGAGCGGCTACGCTATGGGCCAGCTGGTCGGTCGCTTCAGGCGGCAAATCCGTCTGGTTTGGCGGCGATACAGGATATCGTACGGTGCCTAAGTCGTCCGAGGGCGAAGATGACTGGGCTGAGCAATACTCGCATCTCCCGCATTGTCCGGCGTTTGCCGATATTGGTCGACTGCGTGGACCATTCGATCTCGGGCTGATCCCTATCGGCGCCTACATGCCGCGCTGGATCATGTCGCCCATGCATGCCAACCCGCGCGACGCTGTGGAGATTTTCCGTGACACAAAATGCCAGAAGGCCTTGGGAATGCATTGGGGGACTTGGGTCTTGACTGAGGAAGATGTGCTCGAACCACCGAGATTATTGAAGGCTGCTTTGAAACATCACGATATTGAAGAGACTGGCGTCTTTGATGTCGTTGATATTGGCGCGTCAAAGGAGTTCTGAGTTTACAGCTCTCGCAAACAAGTTTAATATCGCATTTCTGCAGCTTTGATTGTCATGAACTTGTACAAATTATTCCCATTTAGGTTAGCAAAAGAGGATGTAGATGTCGACATTAAACTCTCATCACGCCGTGTCGTTGGTTGACTGACCTACTCGTTTTCCTCTCGGTGATAAACTCGGCGTGTCATGCTGGACCAGTGGTCGTGAGAGCTATACCACTCTTCTCGATAAAATCACAAGACTTCTATTGTGGTGGACGCTAATACCCAAGTGGTAATACATGAGTCAGAATGTGTGGCTTGGTTCAGTACATCCGAGACCTGATATACAACAACAGGATGATTTCCATCGTCATGAATCGATGTAGTCGCATGCGAAGCAGGCGTAGACTTCTTTTAATCTGGTCGAGGACCCATTGATCCCATACCAATCCTCGATCTTCTCTACAGCCGCGATCTGCAGGTTGCAGAGCGAGAAAAAGATCATGAACCTCTTCGCTTAGCCTTTGGTTTCTTCGGTGCAGGTTTGCGCTTTTTGGACTCTGTGGTCTCCTCTTCCTGATCTTCCTGCATAATTTCAACATCTGGTTCTGGCTTGACTTTCTTTGCACGAGAGGGTTTGGCCTGGCGTTTTGACTTGACAACTTCTCCTCCATTGTCGCTCTCTTCCGCCTCGGGGACAACATCTGGCTCAGGTTTGATCTTTTTCGCACGAGACAACTTGGGCTTCTCAGCCACATCAACATCCTTACTGGGTCCGGCATCGGCATCAGGATCAGATTTCACTTTTGTTGCCCGTGACTTTTTGGGCTTCTCCGGGGGAGCGTCTTGGAGTTCTGCGTCAGCCGCCTTGCGTTTGCGGCTAGCAGATTTCGCCTTGAGTGGCGGATTAAGTGCAAGCTCATCTTCAGATTCAGCTTTGACCTTCGTACTGCGAGCTTTCTTGCGTGGGATCGGGACGTCGCCTTCGTCTTCGGGCTCATCTTTAACCTTTTTCACTCGGCGATTAGTCTTCTTAGCTTGGGGAGAGATTGGCGCTTCGTCCTCGGATTCGAGCTTGGGTTTCTTGCCGCGGGCGTTTTTGGCTTTAGGCTTTGTAGGAGTTTCAGCCTCATCAGCGGTCGCACCATCTTCGTCGTCGCCTTGGTGTTTTGTCTTCTTCTTAGGAGTTCGCTTGTTGATGCCTCTCTTCCCTGGGCGGTTGAATTCTGGTTCCTTCGCCAAAGTCAGCTACTAGAGGGCAAAGTGTAGGATGTGAAGCATGACATACGCCCTTCCAATCCTCGTCAGGTACATGGCCATTGATTAGAGCAAACTTGATTTTGTCTTGAGCTTCCGGGGTCAGTTCGTCGAAACCGTCAATGATGGCATCAAGATCAGTATCGAGGTCAAGGTCTTCCAGTGGTCCGACTTGACTTTGAAGATTCTTAATCTGAACTGGAGTAACACATCCCCTAGGGAATCAATGAGATTGGTCAAATTGACAGCGCTTCTCCAGGCCAGGGTAATGCAGATCGAGCTTACCAGTGTTTCCACATCCACGAGGAATGCTCCTTGATTGTGACGAGTGTGCCCATGCGCAGCTCGCCCTTTTCAATTTTGACCCCATTGGTCTTGCAAGCCGAATTTTGACAGCCTGCCCGACCAGTCTTGGCCAGCTCTGCATCTTTGGTCAGCAAGGTTTGGGCGAATCTCGGATTTGCTTTGGTCTTGGGGAGGAGTATTGAGGCTAATTACTGGAGCCAGAGGCTGGGTTCCATCGTCGACAGGACATAACATACCAAAGCGATAGACGGCGGTCGACATGGCGAGTAGCCGGAGAAGATGACAATCAGAGATGGTGTTGGCAAATGACCGTCAATCTGAGCTTGGAGTTCAGATGGAGGCTGGAGGAAGAGGTGGCGAGGAGTGGTACGATGTAGCTAAACTTGATCGAAGAACAAAGACGAAAATCCACGGGTCGACTGCCTTGCAAGTTGCAAGCGAGTAAGGTAGGCACGCGTGAGTTCAAGAACACGGGACGCGTCTCGGTGGTGGCTTCCAGATGTGATCAGGTTAATAATTCGAGAATTCGGAAGGCGTGAGGCGTGTCAGATGTCAATAATGGCGTGTAGCAACAAACTGCTTACTTAAGTATGTAGATATCTGGGGTAGTTATGAGTAGACGCTATCCACTGCCTAAAGGATGCCTAAGGATGAATCATAGTGCCTAAATCAATTACAGTATATGACTAAAAAGTAAGTTAATTGACGGCCGAGAGGCCCCCTCGGCCCCTAAGTAGGCCAAACCCACACTAATAAGTAGGCCCTCGGGCTTCTAAAACCTCCAAACCTCAAATTTCTAACCGTAGATGTCTGAATTTTGCCCACTGTTGTTTCGTTCGTTTGTTGTAGCCCCCTTTGACTATTCCACTGATCGTCACATTTCTTATCTCATAGATACACATCAGAGGACAAAATACCACCAAACACAACACAACACCAAATCTGTTTGATGACCCAAATTCCCAGGCGGACTTCACCAAGCCTCTGATGGATATAGATGATAGTACAAGCGGCTTTCAAAAGCCTACCCTGAGGCACGACATCATTGGTCCACCCCGTCTGACGGTCTAAGTCCATTCTCAAGCAGTCTTTGCAAATCTCGAAACTTCTAAAGTTGATCATGGTTAGTCACGCTCATCTACAAACGACAAGGTCGGCATGGACTTACCACAGGCTTGCTCAACCACATGTCAAATTTCGCTCGGCTTGCATCACCTTGCGCATCTTCTTGCCCCAGACCCGTTAAAGCGATGATTTTTACAGGTGGTTCAATTTGATGGTCTTTCTCAAATCGTCTGATCTCCTGGGCGGAGGTGATACCATCCATTACTGGCATCGATATGTCCATCAGAATGTGCTTGAACCTTTCAGCACCACCCTTCTCCGTCGCACTCCTCTTGTACGCCTCCAATGCCTGGGCCCCATCCGATGCTGATTCATGTGGGTGGTTGGTCCGCAAGACAAATGCCTCAAGAAGATGGAGGTTGATCTTGTTGTCATCCACGACCAGCACACGCGACGACTGACTCTTTGGATCATCGGCCATACTGGGCTTGTTCTCTTCCTGAGCCTGATCATCTGTTTCTGGTGTACTAGAGCTATTTTGCTTTGCCGACTCGGATCTTTGCTGCATTGTCAGGTCCCGGTTGGTTGAAATATGAGGCGGGGGGGATGGAGGAACCCCCTTAGGCTCATCATCCGCTGGGGGCTCACGGAATTTCCGCAGAGCCTCCGTTCGATTGGTGGTCAGCGGGATATGACTAGATCCTGCACGGATGGCCGGGTCGGACAACATTTTCATTCTTTGCATCGAGCGATGCAAGACTTTTGCCAACTTCTGTGGCCCACACGGTTGAGCAATCACTTCAATGATCCGGCCAATGTCGGTCAACTTGTGAATCCCATTTGCCCGAAGGCTGGCCGCCTCAAACGCATTCATACATAGAATGATAACCGGAATCGCTCGATCTGTTCCTGTGTTGCCATGATAGTCCAACAAAAAGTCAATGGGCGGGGGCTCCGGGTACATGAAGAAATCGGGGGCTTGGTCTTGCATGGATCCGACAGTGGTGACATTCATCTTAAACCACTCGCCAGCCAAGGCCTTCATTGATCCCTCCACGGTCATTTTGGGTGACATTTCGAAGTGCACATCTTTGTCACCTTTGTGAACGGTGATATAGTCAGGCTCGATCATCGCCAAGTTTAGGCCTTTGACCTGCTTCTGCATTTGTCTCAAGATCCTCGTCTCCTCGACCGCAGAAGGGTTCCTGTGGCCGCGAGGGAGACTCAGCCAAATCTTGAACTCGGTACCAACATCCTTCTGACTCGACAAATGGATCTTGCCTCCCAGTGAATCGACAATCTGTCGCACAATGCTCAAGCCGAGCCCGGTTCCACTAGCGAGTGAGTCTTCCTGTGAAAAGGCTGTGAAAGCATGATTTCGCACAAACTCCTCCGACATGCCTCTCCCGGTGTCTGTGACCGTGAGGACAAGGTGCAGGATGTCTGAGCTCTTTTTCCGCGTCCCGTCGATCGTGAGATCGACGTTGATGCTTCCTTGGACCGTGTACTTGAGCGCATTGCCCAACTGAACACGTCAGTGTTTGGTTTGCATGAATGACGGAGAGGGATGGCAGGGCACAGAGATGGACAGACTTACAATGTTCATGACAATACGTCGCAAGGCCCCAGGTTGGGATCGTACATTCCAATTGCTGGATTCGAGGATATTCAACGTCAATCTCACGGCGACGCTTTTGTTCGAAGCTGATGACTGGCGGATGTCGCTCCGCACTTCGTCTCGATCACGCATAGCGCGAGCCGCAGCCGACATGGGCTCCTTCTTGCCATCGATTCGGTCTGCGTTGGCCGAGCGGAAGACCTGACCAGCATAGATTGCTTCTACAGCCTCCTCGATGACGGTGGCTACGTCAAATTCTTCTGTCAAGCTACTCTCTGAATTGGACGCCTGCTCAGTCCCCCGATTGCTAGCATGGCCAAGATGGCGATTTGCATTTTTGGACAGATTGTTAATCTTGGCATGGTCCAGAACATGATTCACGGTGTCAAGCAATGTCTTGCCACAGGTCTCGACGGAGATAACCATGCCCGCCTGGAAATCGTCCATGACTGTATCGTGAAGAAATTCGATGCTCCCGAGGATCCCATGAAGAGGCGATCGTAGTTCGTGCGAAATGTTGGCCAAAAAGGTTGCTTTGGCCTTGTTCGACAAGATCAGATTGATACGATGGACCTCATTCATGACTGCGTTGTTAAAAGCCTTCAGGTACAACATGTCCTCCTGTACATTGGTCAGAGCTCCGGCATTGTTGGACCAGACGACGACGGCTGAATGCCACCTGTTTTTGGCGAAATCCCAGAGAGGGTAAAAGACCATGTCCCTGGCTCCGCGAAAGGCTTTGTGAAGAGCATTCTTGGTGGGCAGGGTGGCTGCTGATTGGGCTGCCTGAGGGCCAGCTTCTTCATCGTCATCGAGGGGTTCGAGCACATTCGAGGCGGACTCGGAGCTGTCATCACTCGCCAGAGGCCGGCCGAATTCGTCAAAGGAAAAAGACTTGCCAGTCGGGTGTCGACGAACGAAACGACGGAGGGTAGCCTCAGGGACTTTGATGGGGTCCAGCCGATCCGGAACCGAACTCCCAAGAATCTCGCAGATCTGCCTTTTGGCGTTGTTTTTTGAGCCGGAAGATTCGCTGGTGTCGAGCTCTGAGGATGAGGAGGAAAGAACAGATTCATCAGAATGGTGGCTCGCAGAACCAGAGGCTGCTCTATTGCGGCGACGATCCTGCCCTTGTGTGCTAACGTCTTCTTCTGGATACACAGGTCTGCCGTGTTTATTCGTCGAGTGTTGAATGGTAACTGCGCCACCCGATGTTTTGCCGGAACTTCCAGAACTGAGATTGGCGACGCTGGCATTGAGAAAGACAACGCCATCGGCGTTCATGCAGTGACGCAAGGCGACGGCGGCACGATCGAAGACGCGGGAATACTCCAAAGTAGCCAATTCTCGTGATGCTTGCTGCTTGGACCATCTTTTAGTTCCAGTTCCGGAGATGTGGTTACGGCGCTTGTTGTTGGGTGGTGTAGATGAACCTAATTTGGAATTAGGTTGTTTTGCGTGCTGGAGATCCGGAGCTTCTGAAGTGGTCGGTGCTTGACTTGGTGTTTGAAGCTCTTCGTGAGAGGGAGAATTTGCATCCCCAATGATCAAACCTTTGAAGGTTGTCGGTGAGGCTAGATCTCCTGGCGATGTACCGCCCGTATTCCCGTCAGAAGTTGGACGGTCATCGAAATATCCCGACGCAGCCTTGTCAGGGGGAGGCTGGTGATCGCTTGGTCGGTCGGACAAGGGAGGTGTGGTGCCCTCGATGAAATTGCCAATACCATGGATGAGACGCTCACCACGGTATCTCGCACGGTCGTTCTTGACAACCTCAAGATGCTGAATGACAATGTTGGCCATGTCGACCATGAAACGAAGTTCGTCGGGTGATATGCCATCGCGAGGCTTGTCGTCAGTGACATTGTATACACCAATAACATGACCAGACTTGGTGGTGATTGGGACACCAACATAAAAGCTAACACCGGATCCGGCGTATTCGCGCGACGAATATCTGGGATCAATGGAGACGTCGCTGATGATCAGAGCCGGTGCAGAATAGGAAGAAGAGCCATCTTGAGAATGCACAGTGACGGTAAGGGGATTCAGGGCATCAGGGGAGATGCCATGAGAGCGAGCGATGAAGGAATTGCCAAACCACAACTCATCACCTTCAACGAATCCGGAGTCGTCGAGAAGCGAGAGGGATTTTGTGGCCTCGGCGATGATATACTGTTTGCGACTGTCGACCAGAGTGACGATGCCTCTTTTAGCGTTGAGGCGTAAACAGCCGAGTTGGGCAAATGCGGTCAAGGCTTTGTCGCGGGAGGAGTGAGGACGATGACCATCGGTGCGAAGCGGGGGACGAGCTTCGGTCTTGTCAAGTTGACGTTGCGAAGACAGGAATGTGTCGAGCCATGGTTGGTAATATCGATGGAGTTCGCGCTCCCTGGCAGACTCTAAAGCCATGGTTGTGACGAAACCGAGGTTGGCCAGAGGATGTTTGCAATGTCTTACCGGGGCATGCTCGAGTATATCATGCTGCGGCAAGGGACAGATGCATGATTTTGAAAGTGTGAATACGCGACTTGGGAGGTGACTATGATGGCGGGGCGAGAGGGTGGAGATGGTAGAATCGTGGGATGAGGAGACAGCGAGGGAGGAGAAGAGGCGTCGACGAGGTGCTGGGAGCAAAAGAGCCCAACGACTTGGTGATGGCGACACCAAACAAGTTGCGATAGGGAAAGAAAGAGAAGTGTAAACGCAGGCTGAGAATTGTCGATTGTGTGGATGGGCAATTCAGCGACTGAAGATTGACGCCTCTTGAGTCTGGACCAAACAATTGAGTAATTGTGGCACAAAGTGCAGGTGCAGTGCAGGTGGTGATTCTGCAAATGCCATGCAATGATCATCTGTGCCATGCAGGGAAAGTAGAAAGGACCATGGCCACCTATCCGCTTGGCTTGTGTCCACAGTCCAGGTAACTTTGGGGCTCGATTAGATGCCCGAGGCGGCCCCTCGCCCCCATCAATAAGGTAGTGACTGGGGAGTCACGGTAGTCTATGACAGGCACAATCAACGCCCTAGCCCCGACTTGGTAAGTGAGACTGTAGCCTGTGACCCAGCGCCTAAGTGACGTCAAGTCTAAACGTTCTTACTTTTAGTAGGATCTAGCCGGGGTCGATCAGTACTTCTTTCTGGGGGGCAGAGGGTGAGGGACCACGAGGACTACCACCCTTGGACCAACTGATGCAGTGATCTGGATTTTAGAGACTGATGATCTTAGGCACCATCAGGCCCTCGGCTTTCTTGATTCCCAAATTAGTTGATGGGTCATGAAGGGTCCATGGCTTGAATATACACCAACTTGATGTGCGTTCGTGCGCTTGTTGCCATGCACATGCACGGCATGTTGGTCATTCTGGGCGTCCGTGGCGTCCCCTGCAGGTGGTATGCATACGTCAACTTGCAGTCAAAAAACCATCAAACAGGCACACACCGAGTCATATGAACAATTATCGTGGGCGCACCCGCCTCCACTACGCCACAACCTTCGTATGAGTACCCAAGTACAAACACATGGCAGTATGTGTTAGTTCAGTTCAGTAAGATGGAGGCCCAACAGGATTACACTGTTGTCGTTCACATGAATGGCACAGAAAATTGAATCACCGTAAGTACATCCCACCTACAGTCACGTGACATTCCACATACGGAGGAGTTAATACTCCTCAAGCGCAGTCACCTCCGCACCTTCCCTCTCAACCTTGGGCGGCGCCTTCCCGCATTGCATCATTCGTAATTCCTAAATTGTAACTGCACATCAATTCGTTATTCAACACGACGACGACCTCCAACTATGGTCAACGTCAATATCCTTGACAATCTTCCAAGTAATCTCTAACCCAATCCCAATACCTTGGTCCATCTCAACACATGGCTCCTGACCGGGGTTTATCCCATTCTCCCTCCCGTTCCGACTCTCCCCCGTCTTCTCATCACCGCTCCATGTCCTCCTCCTCACATTCTGAACCTCCTACCCACAACCCTCACCAGGCACGACAAACCACTCTAGCAAAACCCCGCTCCGACCATGCGTGTTACGGCTCCTCTCCAGATCAAGATGCCGCATTAGACGGCACCAACTTTACCTTGCGTGGCCTACTTGTCGGCACTGGCATCGGCATTATTATCTGTTTCAGTAATACATACTTTGGCCTCCAAACCGGATGGGTCTCCGGTATGGCGATGCCCGCCTCACTGATCGGATTCGCCGTCTTCAAGGCCCTGTCTCCCTACCTGTTGGTCCCGTTTACCCCCGTCGAGAACGTCCTGGTCCAAACAGTCGCTGGTGCCGTTGGAACAATGCCTCTGGGACTCGGCTTCGTTGGCGTCATGCCCAGCCTAGAATTTCTCTTGAAAAAGACAGAGGGTGCCCCTATAGATCTCAGTCTGTGGAGGCTGTGTGTTTGGGGCGTCGGACTTTGCTTGTTCGGCGTGGTCTTTGGCATCCCTCTGAGAAAGCAGGTCATCATCCGGGAACGGCTCAAGTTTCCCTCTGGAACGGCCACCGCCCTTATGATTAGTGTCTTGCACGGCGGCTCCAAGTCCCGCGAAGCCAAGGATGGAGAGATAGAAACCCACGGCACCCAAGAACGCGAAGAACTGCTGAGGCCTGACGAACGCGAAGAGCGTGCCCAGTCCGACTCACAGTCGACCGACCATGATACTCGCGCCGACTGGAAGAGACAAATTCGTCTGTTGCTCCTTGCCTTTTCCGGCTCTGGCGCTTATACTTTCTTCCAATACTTCATCCCGCTTCTCCACAAACTACCCATCTTTGGAATGAACCTTGCTCGGAATTGGGAATGGACCCTCAATCCATCCCCTGCCTATGTTGGACAAGGCATCATCATGGGCCCTGCGACCACCTTCCACATGCTTCTCGGCGCTATAGTCGGCTGGGCCATCCTGAGTCCAGTCGCAAAACAAAACGGTTGGGCTCCTGGATCCGTCGACGATTGGGAGCACGGAAGCAAGGGATGGATCGTGTGGGTCAGTTTGGCCATCATGTTGGCAGACGCCGTGGTAAATTTAGCCTGGCTAATTCTACGGCCCATGATCAAATATGGCCCCGAATGGTTCCGGTCCACCCTCGATCACTATCATCACTCCTCCTCCTGGCCCGACTTTTTGCTGGGACGACACTTCTCTGGCTACCTTGCGTTGGATAACTCTCCATCTTCGAATCCGGTTTCCGCGTCGCCAGGTCAAAACCGTGACTCTGATGACGTCCCAGACGATGCACCACCTCATCACCTGGTCTCCAACAAAATGGTTGCTATCCTCCTTCCCTTGACAATTCTGCTATGTGTCGTTTGCATCCACGTAACATTTGGCGCATACATACCCATAAGTCTCAACATCCTCGCCATTCTTTTGGCACTCGTTCTTTCCATCATGGGAGTGCGTGCTTTGGGAGAAACAGATCTCAACCCCGTGAGTGGCATTTCTAAATTGACTCAACTTGTCTTTGCTCTCATTACTCCGAGTGTGGCTCATGCAAATCACGCCATCATCATCAACCTTCTTGCTGGCGCCGTGAGCGAGTCAGGCGCTTTGCAAGCGGGCGACATGCTCCAAGACCTCAAAGCTGGCCATCTGATCGGGGCCAGCCCCAAAGCCCAGTTCTATGGTCAACTGTTTGGTAGCGTGGTGGGAGCCTTTGTGTCTGCTGCCGTGTACAAGCTCTACGTTTCAGTTTACACGATTCCGGGTGAATTGTTCCAAATCCCCACCGCCTTCGTGTGGATCTTTACTGCCCGGTTGGTCACAGGAGAAGGACTGCCACCAATGGCCTGGCGATTCGCTGTCGTCGCCGGCGCCATATTCGTTCTCACCACCACGCTCCGGATCTACCTCCTTGCGCATCGCGAGACGAGTCCCCGATGCAAACGGCTTCATTCGTGGATTCCCGGTGGAATCGCCGTCGCCGTAGGCATGTACAACACCCCCAGCTTTACTTTGGCCCGAACCGTTGGCGGAGTGGTGAGTCTTTGGTGGGTCCACTTGAAAGGTCGCGGCGAGACACGGGTGATTGTCCTTGCCAGCGGACTTATCCTGGGTGAGGGTGTGGTCAGCATCGTCAACCTCATTATGGCGAGCCTAGGGGTTCCTCATTTGTGAAACAGCCGTGTCATGAATGTAACGATTGCTGCAACGGGTGGTCTATCGAAATTCTGGAATTTTTCATCGCATTCTCCTTGAATATAACCAGACCGAAGCATTTCCGCACGGTCGGGGATATGGTTTGGGGGGAAGATGCAGATCCTTCAAAATAGATAATATAGGCGATCTGCATGCCAGGGTTGATATCAGTACATCTCAGTCAGCTCACCTGATGTTCGACCGCCCCGGTGTCGTCGCCTTGAGGCATAGCCATGACCTCGAGTATCAGATACCAGAGATGGTTGTGCTACTCGGTTATGGTCGGTTAGTTGGCGTTCACTGATGGTCTGGGTTGGTATTTGCAACGTCCTTACCTATCTCACAGACTGCATACAAACATGCATACTGTATCCATGGTGGTGTGGCTCGGATCTAATCACCGATGCGCGCCTCGGTTCCCATTATGATGAACGGCTTGGGAGTACCCTGGCAGTCGGGAAGAAGGCGACACTGGGGGACAGGAGTATTACTGGCAGAAGATGAGCTGCAGCATGCCGCAACCCCAAAGGAAGGCTTGCATATATCGTCCAACCCAATTGGTCAAGGGTTGATTGCTCGGACGATCAAATGGGCGATGAACGAGGAATGAGGGGTGTTCAGTCGCGGGTTCTGCCCTCATGTGGACGTATATGCGATCCTGACTCACCAGCAAACATGGCGTAGTCAGCTACTTTCTCGTCCGTGATCTCGGCCAGAATTCGGCCGGCAGCGGCAAAGATGTGTAAGGAGCTTGCGCATCGTCGTTCGGTTATTCAGCCGACGAGCATCATAACTGTACATACCTAAGGTACATACTCGTTCAGGGCCTGATACCAATCACCTCACCCGCCCATACCATAGCCGTTCGGGAGGCTCCCAGAGGTTGAATTAGGCTCTTGCCTGAGAGCATCAACAAGAATGATACTTGACTTTAGGTACCTGACATGGGTACATACCTGCCTAGGTAAATACAATACGGGCCGCGGGCCACGATGCCCGGGGGCCGAAAAGGCACCTGGAAGACTTGCCTGAAAGAACTCGCCCGAATCCTGGCCGAATTCACCCGGAACGGACATCCTTCCACGCATGGATCCAGCATCGTAACTACGAGAAAATATGCATAGAAGGATCGAAGACATCATTATAGTGCCTAGATAGGTAGCCATTGCCTGGCTAACGAGCATTGAACTAACCTGGCAAGACTTTAATTATCATTATGACTCCACCGCTACCGAAAGTTAGGTGCCTAAGGTACCTAGGTACTTAAGGTCGGTACCTAGTAATTAGGTGCATGTCCACTTACCTGACGGGGGTGAGCTACTTATTTTAAATCTCACTTATGACCTCATACCCCTCAACAGCCACCTGCAGCCTCGGAGGGTTTGGCGTTATGTACCTAAAGTACTGAGGTATTGATTTATACGTTAATGGTCCTGATTCCCCTGCTGTCGTCGTTTCTCCATCGTCAGCTTATGCCTTACTGTGAATTCCTACCTATGTAATATGTGGAAGGAGCAACGACGACAAGTAGGAACTCGAATCGATATTATTTGCTACATGTAAGTATTGTATGCAATGCTATGCTATGCTTTCTTCAAACACTCATGCAACTTATCTACGTTCTCCTGTGTGACAACCATAAACCCTTCAAGTCACTCGAAACATGTCGATTTGAACCTACCAGCAACGACATACCTCATCTTATGTTCAATTCCCCCCTCCCCCCTCCCCCCGGATCCTTTCTCCCTGAGTACCACTATGCTGCTAATCAAAAGACCAAGCCCACCCTTCATCATGTCATTGCATCATCGTGCTCTCTCTCCCTCTCTCTCAAGAACTTTGATTACCCCACATCCGTCGAGAAAAGTTGACCAAATATGATCTTTGCGCGAGAGGATCGTATAAGAACCTCGAGAACAAGTCCTCAAGTGCGGTGAGATTATTGATCCCGGCAGACGTCGCTGTTTCTTTGGCTAGGTTGGTAAACCACTGTGCGTCATGGGCGTCGCATGCACAGGCGCATATGCCCGCAAACGTGGCTATCCACAGAAGAACTTCTGTGTGTGGGCGCCAGGAGCGTTCGAGGTTGGTGGCTTCAAGTCGTTGACGGATCATTGGAACCAATGTCGACGCCCAGGTGCCTCGAGTCTTGAGGTGGAATGATGAACTCGTAGCTAGCCAGATCACTGTCGCGATCTTGAGTGCGCAGCTCGTGTCATCCGTCTCTTGGAAAAACAAACTGCTGAGGATTCGGTTGAGGATGGCAGAATATCTTCGGTTCAGCCACTTTTGTTGCCGGCGTTCATAGTCGTGTACCTCCATGAGATAGTTCGACATGTCGACCAGTTGTACTAGATCTGCAAATGTGTCGGATTCCGATAGATAGATGTTTTCTGACCGGCAAATCTCCTCGAATCCGGATGCTGTGTTGCCGTGTCGGTTCCTGCGTCCTTCAATCATGTGCATCTGTTCCTCGGAAAGCGGACCTGGATCCCAGTCCACAGCTAGTCGAGGCATAGCGCAATACCTCATGGCTGCTTCGAGATCTACATGTATCAATGTCTCGAGCTGGTAGTCGTCAAATGTCTCGGTTCCTCCCAACTGCTCAATCATGGAAATAAGTGCGTGAAAGTGTGGCTCCGCAGCCTCTACATTCTCAAAGAGGATGGTCGAGGAGTAGAGTCGGTGGACATCCATCGCGAGCCGGTTATCGAGGTATCCTGTGCCCAAGCGCGCGCGGAGAGCGCGAATAGCCTTGGTCTTGAAGAATGTACATACATGTCGAGCATCATTATCAGAGGCACCTGGTAGCAGAAGCCGGCCTTCACGCACAATCATGTGGGTCGCAGCGCTGGCCAGATATGCGTACAAGTGGGCAGATTCCGCCATACATGTCTGCATATCCGCATGGATGTACCCAGCATGCCTCATGCGACCCATAGACACCTTTCTAGTATCGAGCCAGAACTTCTCTGGAAGTACAACGGTGTTGTAATGTCGGATTAGATGAGGGGCCCATTGCTCTAGGATTCGCTGATCTGTCGCTGGCGGCGAGCTCGTCATCTGGGTTGCAAGCATCGGAGTAGTCGCTCCACTCATCGATATTGGTGGAGGCGACGAAGGTCCATAAGGGAGCCGGAGGCTTTCAAACGACGGTGTGACCTGATGTATCTGTAACGCATCGAATCCACGCAAGGGTGCGACAGATGACATGGGTGAGGATGCTTGTGAGCCAAAAGGATCCCCGAATAGGCGGGGATCGAGCACGTCTGACGGAGACTGCGGACTAGTAGACGAGAATATGGCCTCGCTCATGGAGAAGTTCTCCATATGGTCAAAATAGCCGTGCCCTTGCAGAAAGGCCGACGTCGACGAAGGAGGCGCATCCTGGGAGACAATTGGTGTTGCTGGACTCGTCGCAGGAGGAGAAAGATTGCTGGAAAGTCTTTGCGTGTCCTGCCCCTCTCTCAGGCGACGTTTTCGCATAAAGTTCTGTCGCTGCACGTGACTCTGCTTGGTTCTGTCGACCTGCGCATCTTTGGTGGTCCGATTGACTGTCGAAGCATCTTCGTTGACAAAAAGAAAGGGCGAGTCTGGGGATTGAGGCTGTTTGCCTTTGGGCGGCATCTCTTTTGGTCGCGAAGGCGGGGCGGTAATTGTCCTTCCCAATCGGATATCAGTTTCCGACGACGGGGCTAGGGTCGGTCGCGTACGCAGGTTTTGGAATGGAGGGAGAGGCTAATGTGGCGGACTGGAACCTCGTTCCTGGATCGAACCTGGAGGCTTTCTGGGTTCCCTGTCAAGCGCAGGCCGAGTGTAAACAAAAGTCCGACCTCAGGGACTGGGCGTAGTTATTGGAGAGGCGACTTAGAGCCTTGTCTGGAAGATTTGATGAAGCTTTCTCCTGATCTGGAAAAGGCTGCTGCTGATACATCCACCGGCTACGGTGATTGGTATTTTATTTCGAGATTCCATGCACAGCATGAAGCAAGGGTCAACGGTGACGATCCTCACTCCAGATTAAATCTGAAGTGTTGTTGAATAACCGAGTGCCGCCCAAACTGGGGTGTTGATGCAGGGGATGCGGTGGTTTGTCGCCCGGGTGAGCAACAGTGACAAACAATGAGGATGACGGAGGCGTAAGCAAGTATAAACCAGACAGTGTTCTTTACCTTTGCGGCGAGAGCGCGATAGAAGGCATAGAATGCGCCGAATGAGTCCAAGCGGGCTGGCACTTTGCAAATATACAGTGGGACAGTGCATGGACAGGGCCGGTGTTCACGTCCAAGGGCGACTAGGCCCGAGGGATTTGAAATGAAACATGGCGCGGATTGGAGCAATGAAGGTCTTACCATCATACCAAAGTCGCAAGCTTGAACCGATCGCAAGATCGGAAGGGCTAAAGTGATGTTCTGTTACGTCCGTGAGTGTCCGCGGTCCCAGGAGGCTGAACGAAACATCATTTCCAGGCACAACTTGATGCGCTGATTTGCCATGTGCTTGGAAAGTCTGCGGCTCGGGTTACATAGGACCCGGACTCGATGAGATCGGCCATTTCCATCTGTCCGTTGATCGAAAACATTGAGATGTGATTTGGTAACAAACAAAATAGATGAGTAATTTGACCAAGCCAACGTTGAGGACGGGTGTGGACTGAGGGTGCAGCCAGAAGGGTCGTAGACTATAGGGAACTGATGACCAGGGGCGAGGGGCCAAGTGGACCTCCCGTTAACGAGTCAGCAGGAAACCATCTCGGACGAGATAGCCTCGTCATTGCGGATCCGTAGATGGTCCCAGAACATCTTTACGCCTCGGATCTTGGCAATCTGGCTTTGGTTGGGGTCAGTATCAAATGCAAATCAGCAAAGCATAATTCGACCCTTCAGTAAAAGGTCCGGTAAAAGCATGTCACCCCGGACATCCAGAGTGGCTGGCCCTGCGTGGGACTATGCAAGGATATGCTGGCGTGGCTGGCCAACATGGCCTGGTAAAGAAGCCCGTGTATGCATATGTAGAGTCTAGACATGCTTGTGATCAAAAGGATCAGGACGTCCCTAAGGACGAAGGAAGAACGAAGAAGACTCAGAAGAGGATCTGTTCCCCGATGGCAGTCTTGGAGACACCCGGGAGCCATGTGAGCGAGTCCAATTTCCAAGTTGATTGATGCGTCAGCAGAGTCACAGACCCCCCTCCTCCATGTTGGGCATCGAGATTGGGTGTGTTTAGGCGAGCTTAGCCGTGGCTTGACGAGGTAAATACTTGCCACAGCGCCTGGCGGAGACGACTGTCGCAATACCCGCAGCATCCGCCCCCAGACTTTGAAGCTAGATACGGCGTTACGGTACCTGAGGCTCGGGCTGGTCGGGGTTTGATGGCATGTCCTTGTCGTTACATCTTTAATCCGGACCATGTGTATTCTGAGATCATGAGCCATTGGCATTGAGGCACAGCTAGGCACCTGTGTTTGATCACCTTCATAGCATGAGTAAAATACGGTCGTTCGATGTCACCCAAGCATTGAGAATTCTCCCGCGGACATGCAGCTATCTCCGGTTACAAGGTGGTGAAAGCCTTCCAGAATAAGGGAGCCTGAGCATCAATCTTGCATGCGTATATGGGTATTGTTTTTAGCCACCTCTTGGTATGATACAATGCACATGAAAGTGATGCAAACCTGGGTGCCTGGGAGGACGGGCACGGACAAACCACTACACCGTACGTTTCTTCGGGCGTGTTTGGAGCGGGTTGCAGCAGTGGCATCCCTGTCGACCTTAGCGTTGCCGGCTACAAGCGCACATGTGTCCACCGACCTGCATAAGGCCGTAATTATCCGTAGCCGTGCTGTTGATATATCTCTGAAAATGGATATATTGTCCTTGTTCTTCGACTCATGGGGCTCGGCTATCGCGTATCGTATAAAGGTAGGGGATTTGAGTAACGGCTATGGTCTTGGCTGAGTAGTTCTTCGATGGTAGATCTATTCCTGATTGGATTTTGGTGGTTTGCTCCATGCTGGACTAGAACGTCTGTCGGTCAGCAACTCTGGTGATGGTTGGACTGACCGGAGAAGTTCGCCGGTAATAATGACATGGATGACAATGACGTACCGAAGATGGAGAGCTGTAGCAACGAGATGTTCTCCGTAGTTGTGACTCAGACCAATCCCTGTATCATGGTGATTCTACCCACATTGCGTTCCGCACAATCTACCTGAGACGAGATCTCTTCGCTATTGCGGCTTGGTCCATAAATCCCACCGTAGCATAATCGGGTGGAGCAAATTGCCTCGATGTGTCATCGCCATCTAGAAACTTGTGACGACTGTGACGACGTTGATCCAGGACGACAATATCCTTCTCCTACCCACTTGCTGCTCTAATCTCGGCACAACACCATCCTTGACTGAAGCACGTTACTGTCCTGTATAAATTGGACTTTCCCTTATTGCTCGCTAGACAACGGAAACAGTCCTCTTACTGTTTCACGTCCGCATTACACTTCAACAGTGCAACCAGGCTTTCTGGCTATGCCTCCCAGCCTTGAGTCCTGCTAGTCCTCGAACTGCCCATCATGCCAGCATTCCACAGTCGCTCTCATCAAGACAGATCGCCCTCATTTTCATCGCATCATGTCCTTGAACGCGCCCAGTCCCAGTTCCTTTTCTCGCCCGAGGAACTCCTCCGAAGTCCCAGCATTCTCGAGGGCATGTCAGTTGCCCAAGAGTTGTCCAATCGGCAGAAAGGTGTCAACTTCATCACTCAGGTTGGCATCATGTTGAAACTTCCTCAGTTGACTCTCTGCACGGCCTCGGTCTATCTGCATCGGTTCTTTATGCGACATGCCATGGCGCAGCCCAACAAACCCGGCCTCCACCACTACTCGGTCGCAGCCACCGCCTTGTTCCTCGCCACCAAAGTTGAAGAAAACTATCGCAAGATGAGGGAACTCGTGGTCGCGTGCTGTAGGGTGGCACAGAAACAACCGAACCTTGTTGTGGATGAACAAAGTAAAGAGTATTGGAAATGGAGGGACACCATCTTGCACAACGAAGATCTCCTGCTAGAGTCGCTGTGTTTCGATCTACAACTCGAACAGCCTTACCGGATCCTGCTCGATTTTCTACGTTACTACGGGGTACAGGAAAAGAAACCGCTGCGGAACACCTCGTGGGCCTTCCTCAACGACTCTCTTATTACGACATTATGTCTTCAAATGAGCCCACGGGTCATTGCTGGGAGTGCCCTCTACATGGGTGTCAAACTGGCCGGAATCACGTTGCCCGACGATGAACAAGGCCGGGCGTGGTGGGAACAGCTCGATCTCGAGATTGCAGACATTCAAAAAGGGTGCAATCTCCTGGCCGAAGTGTATGAGAATCCGAACATACCACGACAGGGCCAGAAAGAAGCATATACGAGAGACGACGACGTCTCCTTGTTTGAAAAGACAAGACAAGAGATGACACCCCAAACAGATCGATCCCCTGCAATCAGTGTGGGAAGCGGCAGCCAGGGACGGAAACGGGAGCGAGATAATGCAGAGGATCAAGAGGGCTGGGGTTCTGGTCCAGTATCACGACCTCCAGGGACTTCTCCCAAGCGCCAACGGCGTGGATCAGGGGAGGATTCTGACGGCACCCGAACTTCGGACCATCCTTCGATTAGGAGATCAGTCGATGGAAGTGGACAGCCAGCAAAGGAATATGACGCGACGGCAGATGAAGTGCAAAGAAGAATAGATGCCATTGTTAATGCGTCAGCCCCGTCAACTAGGGTTCCTCCCACAACTCTCTCGCGACGACCGTCCAACCAGCGATCCCATCAAGGAGATGACTCTCACAGGAATTCGTCGACAAGATCCGACCGGAACGGACTCGCCTCTACGCCCAACACTGACCAACAGGAACACGTCGCCGCCCAATACCGTCCAGACAAGGTCAACAACGGGCAGCACGAACCCACTTCTGAGCATGGCCAATCAAGATCATTACCCCGCGTGCCACCACTCCCTGCACCGCCAGAGAGTCGAGGCGCATTCCATCGACAGTCAAGTTCGGGCAGTGCAGGTGAAGAGATTGACGATGCGGAAAAGGTGGATTACGGCAGTGAGGAGGGGGAACTATGATGAGGCTCTCCGAATGAGACATTATTGAATTGGGCGACTTAATGACGAATGCAAACCTGATTTCACAAAGGGCGCAGGACGGACGTCGAGTCCATGTTGCGCAAGATACGCACCTTGGTGATTATGCAATAGTGGTGGAGCGTTCTCGGCTCGACTAATCCCAATATTAGATTAATCATCAAGCGCATTTTCACGTGACTGCGGATGTATTTGACTGGTCGTGCTTGTCTATGTGTACTCGTACAACCTGCCGAATTCTTTCCAGTTGCGGTGGCTGCAGCCGGCAGGTGCAGGTTCAGGACGGTGCGGGGAAGGAACTCGTTGTGCTCCTCCCACCATCAAATCGGAGAAATAAGTCAAGGGTTCAACGGTTCATCGCGGGCCTGTGGAAGAACTGGGTCACGGATCTCCCTCGGCCCACGCTCGACAAAGATGACGCTGATGCACTGCGGATTTCTAATACAGTATCCTTCTCCAACCTGGACCGAAATTGCGTGATCGGTCGTGAGCCAATATATAAAGTCAACAGCATCCAAAGGCCAGTCAATCTCCCTCTACCTACTGACACTTGAATTATCAGTGCTACCAATATTGTTACTCGTTATTTAACTGACCTCATAAGCGGGACGCATCATGTCGGCCACAATCACCGAAACCGCCACCTCCACCTCCACTATCCTATCTGGGGTGCAAGACTCTTCGTACATTCCTCGGGGTCCAGTCACCAGCACCCTTAACTTCTTCCAAGATCCTGTCGATGGGTCCAAACCGTTTAATTATGTTGAGCCACAGCCTGAAGGCCAGCCTCAGCGGAATTACGGCGTCTTCGAACAAAAGGTGCAGATTAATGATTTGAGAGGCCATGAGAAGGAGTACCATCTTGACAAAGATGCATTCCAGGTCATCTCGGGAGTCTCTTCACAAGAGACAGAATTTGTCGACGATGATCACATCAAGAAGGTCTACTACCCAGAAGTGGAACAACTGCTGCTAGACAATGTACCTGGCGCTCATAAAGTGACGATTTTTGACCATACCATTCGACGGTCTAATCCAGACGCGCCACGGGCTCCTGTGACCCGAGTCCATGTCGACCAGACCGCTCAGTCGACCGAGTGGCGGGTCAGGCTGCACAACCCTGAAGACGCCGACGAGCTACTCAAGGGCCGTTTTCGCATTATCAATGTATGGAGGCCTATAAATGGTCCCGTTCAAGCACATCCCTTGGCATATGCGTCGGCCGATACGGTCGAAGACAATGACTTGGTTCCAGTGGAACACAGATATCCCCATCGGACGGGAGCAACAGCTGGAGTGCGGTACAACAAAGGCCAGCAGTACTACTACCTCTCGGGCATGACGAACGATGAAAGCCTTTTTCTCAAGTGCTACGACAGCAAGGATGGCGTGGGTCAGCGTGTACCACATACGGCATTCGTTGACCCTCGAACTCCCGAGGGCGCGAGAGGGAGGGAAAGTATCGAGGTCAGAGCCTTGGTCTATGGATGATCACATGAAGTCATCTAGACCCAAATACATGGGCGACATGGCATCGCACACTCGCATATGTTAACGGATGTACATTATATAATTTTCACGATCTGCATGAACGCAATGAAGTCTTGTTTCCACCAGAAATCTATTGAGTCAGTGCAATGTAGCACCTTCATCAATAGGAGGGTACCATAGAACTAACCCACTCCTCCCCTCAACGGGGTATAAATATCAATTGCGGCAGGTGCCCCGTACTAAGTACTAATAATGGTGAATCTCTATGCTTCGTGCTTCCTTCCCAAAGAAGGAGGGTTGCCAAGAGTATATGCCAAGTCTCGTTATCCGAATACGCCATTAGGCGAGTCCACTTCCATCCTCTCCAACTCGATATGGCATATATCACGAAATTTGGTTGCTGGCGCCGTCAAGTTTCATCGTTACTAGACCATTTTCGGGTTCTCAATATCAAAATACATCTTGACAAGCACCTCTCTCCCCCTTTGTCAATGGCACCAAGTGTCGGCCAAGAGTCCAACGCTGCCACACATCCGTCATGTGTTCAGGCTCCAGCATTCTTCGAAGTATACGGGGTTTTGCGGCCACCAGATTGACTCTCTTTGTACATGATTTGGCACGACATACGTCGAGGGGCATACGACTAGCCAACGATGCGAAAGTCCAAGACTTGGAAACCGCTAACAAGGTTTGATCACATACATTGACCGTAAAATGGTCTCCATCATGATTGGACGTCAGTACGAGATCTATATCGATACCAAACCTCTGTTCTAGTGCCCTTCACCACTCACCCACCTGATTTGGGTTCCAAACAACTAATTAGAGTCCAGCGAGGCAGACTGGCCGACTCACCACTGTTCCAGTCTCCACTCCCTTTTCTGTTTTCTTTGCTGCCTGATTTCCAAGTATTCAACGTCGGCCCACAACACACATTCCCTTTTGGACGCTCCGCTCTCAACTCGATGATACATCAGCCCATTCGGCCTCAGCACTATGAGCTTGGACGTTACTTTTTACCCTCTCCCACCTTTTAATCCACAGCGTCTTGTCGGCAATCCAATGCTTAGCCTCCTATTTCTAAACCTCCATTGGACCAATCTCCCCAACCCCTGTGAGTATTCTCGACCATGATTGCACCAGAATCCGAATACGTTGGCCTGCGCATCCACCCCTGGATTTTTGATATCTGAATCAACTGCACTGCTTCGTGAATGCTTCAGGATCACGACAGCATTGCGAAGATCCCACGCGTTCACCATCACGATTCTGCACAATGTTCAGGTCCTTCTCCTGTGTATATATAGGTTGGTTATCCCTCTGTTCGGTGAGAATGAATGTTGACATGCAAATCCCACACGCTTTTCTCTATCGTCAAAACCTCTCCCCACCCATCCCTGAACAGGTTTCGATATCGCACCGCTTTACTCTGGTCAGGCCTTGATCAATAGCATACATACAGCCCTCGCGTCGTCGAACCTCACTACCTCGTGCAATTCCCGAGCTCCCTCATCTCCCATTCTCTCCCATTCCAAACGCTCCCACCATAATGTCGTCCAACAGGCAATCCTTCGGTAGGGATAACCTCTATTTCTACGACCCATCCGTGGCACTAGCGGTGGTCTTCTCGGTTCTATATGCACTCCTCAGCATATACCACCTATATCTATCGACATGGTACACACAAAAACAACGGATCAAACACCGCTTCACAATCCCCTTGCCCATAGCAGCAGTGGTCGCAACTGTCGGATGGGCACTACGCATCGCATCAGTGACAAACAAAGCCTCAATCCCACTATACGCCATCTCAGGCTCATATATTGTCATATCGCCCATTTTCGTGTGCGCGACCCTCTACATCCTACTGACACGCGTCATCCGCTACTCACTGCCCGAAGGTCATCTACAGCGTTTCGCCGGCATATCTCCTCGGTGGCTGGGTCGCCTCTTCATTACCAGCGACGTTACCTCTTTCTTGACACAGGGTGGAGGTTCTGGCGTCGCTAGTGGAGGTAACTGGAGAGGTAACTCGAAGGATATTGGCATCAATATACTCCTCGTCGGGCTTGCTTTGCAACTAGCCACCTTTTCGCTCTTCATGTTCACTCTGTGGCGTTACATGTGTCGTGTTCGAGCGAATCCTGGCGTTGCTGGATTTGATCGATCCATCAAAAAGGTCTTGCTGGGTGCTTGGATTGCTAGTGTTTTTATACAGGTCAGTCTTCTGTTTCTTTCCCTTTGTTGTCATCCTTAACCCCTTGTTGCTGTCATACTAACCTTTTCTTTTTCTAAACCCAATTAGACCCGCTCCATCTTCCGCGTCGTCGAATTCGCCCTTGGTATTGACGGTTACCCCTTCCAAAACGAATGGTGTCTATATGTTCTAGAAGCGGTACCCATGTGGATTGCCATTGCGGTCCTGGGTTGGTTCCACCCGATTCGTTGGATGCAGCAACACAAATGGAATGAGTCGATGAATGGAACGGCTGGACAAAAGACGGAGCAGAGCATCGTTGATAAAACTTCTGGTGTTACTGCGAATCGACATCGGGGTCATAAAACTGGGAAGGAGGCTACAGATGAGGCGTTGGTGTGAATACTCCCACGACTATTAAACGCAACTACGATCACAACTAACCACGAGTCAAGCGATACAATAAAGAAGGAATAGGTAAGGGGGGAAACAGGGAATAGGAAAGGGTCTGACGGCGGTAATTGTCAAGAGGTCGGTGCAATACGTTCATTGAAGACATAGAAGACACGTTGTGATCATTGGCGAGTACTAGGTACCTTACTCAGTCCTTTACACTTATATGCGAGGGTGGCAGGTTCTCCTTTGGACAGGTACTCGGTCAACATAATACACTACGAACTTGAAATTCAAACCCAGTGTCATCACATCATTCAATTCGTAACTATAGGCACTTATTCTATCAACCCAACATGAGTTGACTGAGCCATCTTCTTTGTCAAAGACGCTGGTCAAACTGCAGTCTTCAGTTGAGAACAAGGAGAGGGGAGACTGTAGGTAGCTGGTGAGGCTTTTCCTTCTCTTCGTAATAAACCCGACCGAAAACAAATTCCATCAACCGCAACCAGAAGAAATTGCACATACAAACTCCCGCAACCAAAACCAAACAACCGGCACCTTTTCACCATTTTTTGACAACTCACTCCAATTTTGTCCGGGTATACTTCTGGTATATTCGCAATCGCCGATATCATTCATGGTCCACCACTCACCATAAAAATCACCCTCACTCTCACTCCTCTTGTGATCTCCTACCCCACCGCAGCCAGCATTGTTGTCTGTGGTGCAATCTCCGGATGTGCCAGATGCAGCTGGAGCACCGACGGCAAGGACAACATCTCACCATTGATCTCGGCGATGGCCGCTCGAACGATACTTTTAGGCCACGCCAGATGCTCTTTCAACTCTTCATTTGCACTTGCCTCAAGCCGGGCAAAAATCCCCTCTGCCCATTCGATAGTTCCAAACAAGACTCGCACACGCGAGACATCGGCACGAGTCTGCCATTCGCATGCGGCCAAGGGAACCATGAGGAGTTGTACGCCGACGAAATATGCAAGGAGGAGTTGTGCCATCATGTTGTTGGGGTCGAGAAATGTCTTGAAGTCATCGTGACATAATTCATACCAGACGGCGTAAACGCCAACAAATTGTAGGTATCCTGAGGCAGGTGATGCTTGGAGTGAGGCGACGGAATCGATGAGAGCGTCGTGGAAGTCGATCTCGGTGTCGCCTGAGACGTAAGGACGTAGGTTTTCTAGCGCAATGTAGGCTTCTTCCAGGTGGATGGGATCAACCGATGGGAGATTGGCGAGCCGTGGCGCCATGTATTTAAAGTGCCAGTCGGGTTGCAGGTTGAATGCTGTGGGTGAGTGATCCTGGCGAATTTTGTCGGTAGTCAATGCACATCCTCGAACCATAGTGATGAAGTCGGCGAGACCATCACCCATGTATGAGGCTTGGAAGGTCAAAGCGTAGCAAGAAGCCAGCATGGCATCGCTCTCGCCATAGTTGCGTTGGGTTTGAGATAAAGCCTGGTTGAGCCCGGCGATGGCCTGTCCTCGGTGTGTTAGAGACTCTCGTCGATAGTCGACTCCTGTCAACCTGGACAAGTGAGAGGCGCCTAATGAAAGAAGGGCATGCATCAAATATTCGTGTCGTTCAGCAAACTGGGGGATCTCATTAACCCAGACGTGATCATTATCGACGGGGAGATGGGGGTATGCGATAGTAAGGAAATGATGGAAGAATCGCATATCGAGAAGCGAGAAACCAGAGCCACCTGGGAGTGCTGGCGAATGCTGAGGGCTGCGTCGAATTAATGGTGGATTTGATTTGCGCGTTGGTGGTTCGGTCGAGGGGTAGACACAGGTGATGGATTTGATAAGACAGCTTGAGCAAGCAGGTTTCTGCTCGCCGCATTTGATTTTACGGGTTTTGCAACTGAAGCAGCCTCCACGAGACTTCTTATGTGACCGTCTTGTTAGATTTGGGGCCAGGGTTCGGGTCTTTGGTCGAGTGCCACTATTTGAGCCATGACTACTGCTATGGCTACGTCGACTGACGGGTGTATCAGTGGTTGTATTGGTGTCGCCGAGTGAGTCAAGATCCCATACGCCCAGGGAACTCAGATCGGAAGCGTCGTCGAGATCCAAGTCAAATGGGGCGTCTTCGAAGGTCATGTTGATGAGTACGATAATGGGCAAGGGTGATGCAGAGTCAGAAACCAGAGATGAAGTCGAAAAGGCTGGGAGCTATACTAAAAAGAAGAGACGATCCACATGGTTGTATGCGTCGTAGGGGCACTTTGGGACGACGAAAATGGATCCAAGAGGCATCTGACCAATAGATCGGGTGTCCTCGGCGGATCGTAAGGCGAACACACGGAAGATGCAAGCTTGAAATGATCAACGATGACTCGACGAGAAATCGGGGCTAGTTGGAATCCCCGTGTGATGTTTGTTAGAAGCCCAGCCGGCAGTGCTTCTTCGAAAGGTTTCAGCCTGGAAAGATGGTAGGGGTTGTGGGGTGTAATACTCCACGCTCCCACCGTGCACTGCTACCAAGTGAGAGAATCTCGTATTTGACTGGCCGAGCTTCAAACGCACGCCCTTTGCGTCAATGTAAAAGAAGCCAATGATATAGGGTTGGCAGTCTGTCTGTAGATAGTTGTTGTGGCATTGCTCCCCTGGTATGATGAGGGGATTGATTTTGGGGGATCTTTGGCAGGGTGGAAATCAAAAGCGACAACCTCTTCTGGAAATGGAGCCAAACGTAAAATAAAAATAGGGTTGCCAGAGCCGCATTTAGGGCCGAAGATGCCCCTGGGAGCCAGTTGAAGGGAGGGGAAGGAAGTTCCCAGGCCATGCTTGGCCCCTAGGGATCAACAAAGTGGCAGAGTAAGTAAGGTACTTACCTAGGCAGGTACCTAAGTCAGGGTTGTTGGCAGAACGACCCGAGTAAAGAGAAGCCCGGGGAATGCAGAGAAGAGAAGCCTAATGCAATCAGAGTTGGGGATCAACGGTCAACTGTGACTGCATGATTGCATGCCTGCCAAACAAGAAGCAGGGGAGGCACCGAAGCCAGGCAGAAGCGTGTCAAAACGGCAGGTCCATGCTGACTCAATCCACTTGGGAGGAAGTTGCCATCCTCTCCAAGCCTGTGAAGTGGGCAATGATCATCCAAACTGACAATAATGCCATGCATAGACCAGTCACGAGGAATCAAGATCAAGAATTTGTTTGTGGGATCTTTGATTCTCTCGAAATCTACGTTTCCATCCGTAGTTGATGTTTTGACTGGTCGCGTTGAGGCTAGAAAGAAATTTGAGGGATTTGTGAGTGGACTTTGACACTCTTGGGCATGTTCTCATCATAGGCGGTGCCGAGGGACGATAATGTCCAGGGTCCAGTTGGAATTGGCTTCGGGCATCATAGGACCTCCAAGTGGTCACATGGCTACAGCTTATAGGGCTGGCACGGGTGGTTAAGCAAGGGTTTGTTTGGCAGGGGGCATCTATTATTATTTGAAGCAACAAGAGAGGACAAACGGAGGTGACGTCCATCCCTACCTGTACCTACTACCGGCGAAAGTACGCTCGTGACCATTATTGAGGGTCCCAAAACTTTGGACGTCCTATCATGCTTGTGCATATGCAACACTTCAAGCCGATCCCATCAATTGTAACTTCTATTATTGTTCCGTACCGTAGTCTGGAAACCCCCAAAATTCTCCTGCTGGTAAGGCAGCCCGACGGCCGCAGATGGGTTACCTAGGTACCTATACCTCGGTACCTAACTTGTTCACCTGGGGAGGTACTTTGTCGCCAAGTCATGACGTACCATTCCGTTCGCACTTGCCTCCTCTCCTTCAATTATCATTCACGTGCACAAACAACTTTCAAGTCGTACGCCTTGTCCACCGCCCCAAATGCTTCCAGTGGTCGCGGCGACGAGAGTTGCTGGTGACCACGTTTGTCAATCTCGTGCCATTACCTAACCTCCTGATTTCCGTCCGCAACTAGCTCGATCCTCGCTCAACATGGAGCCATCACCAAGAGCCTTGGTGAGGCTCCTGTTTCCGCGCCTGCCAATGATCCTGAAGACTGCACTATTGAATGCACTCCGTCTGTCCAAAAACTCTTCTAAGCAAACATTGACTATTGAAGTTGCTGTCGTCACTCTGCGGTCGATCATGGGTATCCGCAGACCAATGAAGTTTCTACAAAGAACCACTACAAGAGACAGGGGAATCAAAGGTCCGATATGGATTTCCAAGGTCTCCGTCCCACCACCACCAAGCGCGGAGAGGGACACGATAGATGCCATCGAGAGGGTGATCAAAGAGCTGGGAAATGGCACCGAAACATATACCACCCCCGAGATAGGCACTGTCGAAGCTGAGTGGACGGGTTACAGAAAAGGAGTTCCTCCATCAGAGCCGAGGCTGGCCACTTCCGAACATGACCAGTACACTCGGCTCATGGGAGAGGTCTCGTCAGATGTGACCATCCTGTATTTCCATGGCGGCGCCTACTTCCTGATGGATCCCTCCACCGTACGTGATAATACGGGCCGTCTGGCAAAACAGACTGGCGGTCGTGTCTACTCCGTTCGATATCGCCTTGCACCCCAAAATGCCTTCCCAGCGCAGTTGATGGATGCCTTGATCGCTTATATGTCTTTACTGTCGCCTCCACCAGGCCTCGTACATGCTCCAGTTCCAGCCAAACAAATCGTTTTTGCTGGAGATTCTGCTGGAGCAAATCTTGCAACTGCCTTGCTATTACTGATACTCACACTGAGGAGGGTAGGAATTAACACTATCAGGTACCATGGCCGTGACGTATCTCTCGACATCCCTGCAGGACTGGCACTCAATTCGCCATGGGTAGATATCTGTCGCTCTCTGCCCTCCATCGTCAACAACGCCCATCTCGACTACCTCGATCCACCTAGTGATAACGGAGCTTCACAGCATGAACCGCTCCCTGATGAATTATGGCCGTCCTCACCACCTCGTGCAGATGTTTTCTGTAATGCCTCCATCCTGATGCACCCTCTGGTCTCTCCTGTGGCGGCAACCCCTGGAATGTGGGAGGGGGCCCCACCAGTCTTCATCTGTCTCGGCAACGAAGCTCTCGAGGACGAAATTGTTGTTCTCGCACGCCGATTACATGAGGGTGGGGCAGTGGTGGATTTGGTGGGCTACGAAGGCATGCCTCACTGCTTTGCCATGATATTCGCAACCTCAATTCGTGGCGTTGACTGCTACCAGAGGTGGGCCAATTTCTGCGCGGACGTGGTTCGCGGCAACAGTCCAAGGTCCAGTCGAGCGATGTGGATCGAGGCATTTTCGAACCATACTCAAGGGAAGGAGACACCTATGGAAGATCTCTGCAAACTCAACGACGAGGATGTCGTCGCTGCAATGGAAACTATGCAAAAGAAGGCCATGACGAGGGAAGCAGAGGCATTGAGCAATTGGCGTCGACAGACATCCAGGCCCAAACTATGAACGGCATCTCGAATGACGAGATAGAGATCATCACTGAACGCTCATGATCATAATTTCGCTTTACTGCCGCGATCCCGACGTGGTCGAGAGCCCGTGTCAACCTCGGAGAACCAAGGATAAATGGGAGGACCATCCTCCTCGAGGGTTGCGGTGAAGTTAGGCTCGCGCTTTTCCAAGAAGCTCTTGACCCCTTCCTTGCAATCCCTGTCGAAAGTCAGTTCAGGGACTTGGATTGGGGAGCATAGGAACATACTTATTGGCGAACATGTGATACAAGACGGCGCTGTCGAGTAGATGGGTCTCCTCGACGGTCGGCTTCCCTCTCCACATGAGCTCGCGGTTCATGAAGCCCGCGAGTACACTGGTCTTTTCGGCAATGTTTGTGGCAAGCTCTAATGCTCGCTTCAGAACACCCGGCTGATCAGCTATGACTTCTTGGAACAGACTGCCGAAATGCTTAGAGTCCCCTCGATAGACGTCTCCGGTGGTCAAGAGATAGAGGGCATTAGAGTGCCCAATTAAGCGCGGCAAGAAGAAAGACGAATTGGACTCCATGGTGATGCCTCTACGAGCGAAGACAAAACCATACTTGGAAGAAGCATGAGCAATTCGAATGGCAGCTGAGAGACCGAGAGTCATCCCCAGCCCGACCGCGGACCCATTGAGAGCGACGATGGTGGGTTTTCTGCAGCGATATATGGCGAGGTTGAGTCTACCGCCACTGGAGGAAGGTCAGAAGGAGACAAAGATGATGGGGAGCACAACGCCTACCTATCACGGTGATCGACTATCCTTTCTCTATCGCCATCACTGGGAAAGCCGATATCGAGGTCTGCACCCGCACAGAAGAACTTGCCGGCGCCAGTAATGACAATTACCTTGACTCTTTCATCAAGATCGAACATGGGATAAATGAGTTCGAAGTCGGTCATCATTTGATTGGTAAAGGCGTTGCCCTGCTTGGGCCTGTTCAGGGTAACGACAATGACCGGAGTGGGTTCGGACGTGCCCTCTGGATAATGCGACACCTTGACATGCTTAACAGGAAGTGTCTCGTAAGACTTGGGAATTTGGACTTTTACTGGATCAGCAAGCATGGCGACACAATGTCATCTACTAGATGAAGAGAGGAAGACAACGTATTCGGAGGCATTCATGGGCTCATTGTTTATAATGTCCGGCCTTCAAGTCGAGGACTTTGTATGGACTACCCCATCCCGGTCGTGTGCCGAATGAGATTGAAGGGACAGTCGAAGGTCAGCTAGGTCGGATCTCACCTCCTGCCTCGGAGCTTTGAATGATTTGTCAACATTTGGCTCTGAGAAGTAAACATGTGCCACGAATACGCGGTGTTGGTCCAGCCGGTTGGAAACAAGCACCGGGAGAATAGATGCGAGGCGAGGGTGGGTTAAGGCAAGACATCATAGAAACAGAGTGATTCATTTAGATAATAGGTAATGAGAAGGATGTTGAAGCTTTGGTTGTCGGTTATATGGAGAGTATTATGCATTGATGGATGCGGGGCCGGAGTCGGCAAGACATAAATCCGAAGTTGGCCATGTGATTCTACAACGGACACAGTCATAATTTTGTGTCCAGTGACTCTACACTAGATAGGTAGCACTCCAGGCTGATATTGGCCATCACATTGTGGTAGACTTGGCCAGCATCAAGGCCTGGACTGTCGAAACACGATGCAAATATGAACTAGGAGAGCACTGCGAGATCTTCAAGCTGAGTATGGTTATGCGCCTTTCTGCTACCACGCAGATCTCGGCTACAACTTCGATATGTACGAGTCTCTGCAAATCCCCTGGTCGACAGACAACCCTGGAATAGCAGAGCAGACGTACCGACAAGGTGGGTTTGTCAAGACGAAAGGCACCATCTTCCTTCTCCCTCCAAGTGAGTCGATACTGCGCGAGACATTCAACGACCCTCCACGGCCAAAGACACGCATGAGTGCAGGAGCAGTGGCGCTCTGCAAACACTTTGAGCGATGCGGGTCATCGGCAGAACATAATCAGCCCCATCCGTTTTGGAAATTACCTACAGGAAGCAATGAGAATAAAACCGAGACGGCGAGACAGATATTGGATGACATGTTGGCTCGTGCGCCGTGGCGGAATGTCATGTTGTTGCATCGTGGAGTTGCGGTCTATGAGATACGGAATCGATTGGGATATGGTATGAGATGGACTTTGGATATCGTGGAGGAGGACGAGATAGGAGAGAAGAGGACGGAGATGGAAAGGAGGGAAATGTTGGACGGGCAGCCTGATGCTGAGGATTTGGATAAAGAGTGGAGGATTGTCAAGACGACGTTTCGAGGGTTCTTGGAACCTATTGCTGCAATGGATCATGAATTGGAACAAGGGGATTGATTAATGGTTCAGACTGTGTTAAGATAGATATCACGTGGCGTTGGGTACTGTCTCGAGCACTGTGTTTGTCCTCTGATAGCTACCTAGGTAGAGATGGCCAGTCTTGGTTCTCGACGGAATCGAGACTACTCCCTGATGGACAGCAAACCCATCGAGTTCCGATTGAATATGAATATGATCATGACAATGTGTATGTCTAACCTGGAAGAGTTGTTCACTGATCAGCACAAGCTCGTTCTCGAACGACGCGAGGCGTTCCCACGTGATGATGAGAGTTTGAGAGTTTGTTCCTTTGGAACAACACCCGAGGGAAGGAACCTCCGCATTTCAGACCCCGCAGCACCTGCCTGTCCAGTCGGCCAGTGCCTGCCATGCCTGCCAAACCTGCTTCTTCCAGTTCCAGACACGGGCCCCTCGGCCGTGTCGACTGCCGATGTTACTTACCACACAGTGTCAAGACTTGACTAGGTATCATCGTTCAGGGTATCAGGCTCCAACCCCACGCTTGAACCCCGAGGGGTTTGGACAAGAACAAATCATAAACAAGGATTATGTCCGGGGTGGTGCATCACAGGAACTCCAAAGATATGTCATGATGTGCTGTCCAAACCAACCACTGACCATGAAGGTGGTTTGAAGTCCGAGAGAGTGAGTTGCTCTTTCCTCGGTAATAACGATTAATGGTTCGTTAGTCCTTGGATCGTGCCTGCCACTCCTGCCCACTCTGCCCTTGTGCCCTCGTGGACGCTTGGCTTCCAAAACCAACCCACGAGAAACCCTAACACATTCTGAGTCAATTTGCCAATTTGCCAGTCACGCATCAACCTCCGAATCGGCCTCGTTCAATGTTCAATTAAACACAGACAAGGCAAGGCGCTTGTTGGAGCAGTGATCTGGTGTCTATTATGACTCGTCTGTAGAATCTGTAGTAGGCTGCAGACAGTAGTGAGTACCTTAGGTAGCCTGGCCAGTAGTCTGTCTGTCTGTCTGTTGGATCTCTACTTCTTCTTGTCTCGTGGCGTCGTCACCTTTCGTTCTCTCCAGTTTCAATCGATTCTTTCACTCGGTCCCGCACCCAAACGAGCTTCTCTCGTTTCTTGTCCTCTTTGCAACTCTCCATCCTCTCATTCCATCTCCCACCTTCGCCTACACCTCGTCCGAGTTCATCCGCACCACCGACCCTCGTTGAATTCCTTGGGCAACGTTGCATTCAGGCTCTCACCTGCCAGCCGGACCGACAGCTTTCCTGTCCACCTCCTCCGGCTCTTGGCTTCTCCTCTCTACCTCTCCCCTCTCCTGTTCTTCATCTCATTGCTTCCCTTCGCCGTCACCCAGACTCGTGGCTGACCCTACCTCCCTGCTGGCCACGTCCTGCTCACGTCGAATCATGCACTGAGCCTGCACCAGGATAAAGTTAGGTCATCATCCAGCCTTTCAGCCCTGATATGCAGGTCATTGCGGCTATCTGCAGCTCCAGTTCCGATTCTCGTGGGCGGTGAGATCAACCTCCACACGCGTCTCACACAATGCCTCAAGCCTCGTCCACCAGCCTATCGGGTAAATTATCAGCCAAAGCCTGCTTCGCTCTTCTCGCTCCTGGTAAGTCATTGCATTGTCAATCTATGCCTGTCACAGCCTCTCCAGCTCGACATCGACATCTCCTCTGACCAGCTACCACAGTACCCTGTCTCACTAGTGCCGCCCGCTATCCTGGCGCGCTTCGACCCAAAAATGCGTCCAGACACGTGCACTCGTTTTCTCGTGGTCCTTTTGCCCTAAGCACAAAACCTCAACCACGCTTCGTCAACCAACCTTGCCCATCATGGTCGCGTTTCAAATCAGATGTGCCACCGGTCAAAGTCACTCCTTATTCGGAGCTCACCATTGGTATTCCAGCCGAGACCCATCCTGGTGAGAAGCGTGTCGCTGTTGCCCCCCAGAATGTCCCTCTTCTCTTGAAGAAGGGTTTCAAGCGCGTCCTGGTCGAACGTGGTGCTGGCGTCAATGCCGAGTATGCTGATGAGGTTTACACCCATGTCGGCGCCACCGTCGTTGATCGCGCCACCTTGTGGTCGGAGAGTAATATCCTCCTCAAGATTCGACCCCCAACCATCGAATCCGAGGTTGAAGCAATTCCCCGCGGTACCATTCTGATGTCTATGATCCAGCCTCGCCAGAATGAGAAACTCGTCAACGCCCTTGCTAATCAGGGCGTCACCAGTTTTGCCATGGATATGATCCCCAGAATTTCCCGTGCCCAAGCCTTCGATGTTCTGAGCTCCATGGCAAATATTGCCGGTTACAAAGCTGTTCTGGAAGCCTCCAACCATTTCGGCCGATTTCTCACAGGACAAGTCACCGCAGCAGGAAAGATCCCGCCATCCAAAGTCCTCGTCATCGGCGCTGGCGTCGCTGGTCTCAGTGCCATCACCACCGCCAAACGATTAGGTGCTATTGTCCGCGGCTTCGATACTCGATCCGCCGCTCGCGAGCAAGTTCAATCCCTCGGTGCGGATTTCCTCGAGGTCTCGATCCAGGAAGATGGCTCCGGTGCTGGTGGCTACGGAAAGGAAATGTCAAAAGAATTTATTGAAGCCGAGATGAAACTGTTCATGGAACAATGCAAGGATGTCGACATTGTCATCACCACGGCTCAGATTCCAGGCAAACCCTCACCTAAGCTCATCACGGAAAAAATGGTCAGCGCTATGAAACCAGGCTCAGTCATTGTCGATCTGGCTTCCGAGGGTGGAGGTAATTGCGAGGTCACCGTTCCTGGACAAATGATCGTTCACAACCATGTCACAGTTCTTGGATACACGGATTTCCCCTCCCGCCTTCCTACTCAAGCTTCCAGCCTCTACTCCAACAACATCACCAAGTTCCTCCTTTCTATGGCTCCCAAGGAAAACTCCTTTGGAATTGATTTCGAAGATGAGGTGGTCAGAGGTTCCATTGTCACCCGTGATGGAGAGATCGTGCCCCCAGCCCCTCGTCCTGCGCCCCCACCCCCGACCCAACAGCAACAGCATCACGAAGTAGCCAAACCGGTCGAGTTGACCCCATGGCAGAACAAGACCCGTGAGGTAGCCACTGTGACTGGAGCCATGGGCGCCATGCTGGCCCTGGGCAAGTTCACCTCCCCGCTGCTCATGTCCAACATGTTTACTGCTGGTCTGGCCGGTCTTATTGGATACCGCTCCGTCTGGGGTGTCATTCCAGCACTTCATTCTCCCCTCATGAGCGTCACCAATGCCATTTCCGGCATTGTTGGTGTCGGCGGCTTCTTCGTCATGGGCGGCGGCTACTTGCCAGAAACCATCCCTCAGACGCTCGGTGCGCTCTCGGTCCTCCTCGCCTTTGTCAACATCTCTGGAGGTTTTGTTATCACCAAGAGAATGTTGGATATGTTCAAACGCGCAACTGATCCTCCCGAATATCCATGGCTCTACGCCATCCCGGGCGTCTTGTTTGGTGGTGGCTTCATCGCTGCCGCCACCACAGGTATGGGTGGCTTGGTGCAAGCGGGCTATCTTGTGAGTAGTTTGCTGTGTATAGGCTCAATCTCAGGCCTTGCATCTCAAGCCACTGCACGTTCCGGCAATCTTCTTGGCATTTTGGGTGTCATGTCTGGCATTGTTGCATCGCTAGCAGCGGTTGGTTTCTCAACAGAAGTTCTCGCACAGTTTGGAGGCATTGCCACAATCGGCGCCGTGGTTGGCAAGTCTCACTTCCGAACCTCGTGTCTTAGCGATCACTAACATCTCTCGCAGGTGCCTTGATAGGTCGACGAATTACCCCAACCGAGCTCCCTCAGACTGTGGCAGCCCTACATTCCGTTGTCGGCCTGGCTGCAGTCCTCACGAGCATTGGCAGCGTTCTCGGACACGTTGATAATTTGGATTCCCTCCATATGGTCACCGCATATCTCGGTGTTCTAATCGGTGAGAGAATTGTCAACCTCAGGATATTGGGCCCGGCTAACCAAATCTAGGTGGTATCACATTCACCGGCAGTATTGTCGCATTTATGAAGCTCGCCGGTAAAATGTCTTCACGTCCCACCATCTTACCTGGTCGTCACGTTATCAACTCGGGTCTTCTTGCTGCCAACGCAGGCACTATGGCGGCCTTCGTGACCATGGCACCTGGCGCACCTGTCATTGCAGCAGCCGCACTGTCTGCCAACACAGTCTTGAGTTTCATCAAGGGTTATACGACCACGGCTGCGATTGGCGGCGCGGATATGCGTCTGTCTCCCTCCCTCCATCTCTTTCACTTCCCTGCTAACAACTTGCAGCTGTCGTCATTACCGTTCTCAATGCATACTCGGGCTTTGCTTTAGTCGCCGAAGGTTTCATGCTGGATAACCCCCTACTCTTAACAGTTGGATCATTGATCGGCGTCAGCGGTTCCATTCTTTCATACATCATGTGTGTTGCCATGAATCGTTCATTGACTAATGTCATATTCGGCGGCATCGCACCCGCCGCTCAAGCACCCGGTGAAGAGGTCAAAGGCACGGTGACGAAAACGACGGTTGAGGAAACAGTGGATGCACTCGTCGACGCTGAGAACGTCATCATCGTCGTGGGCTACGGCATGGCTGTAGCCAAAGCACAATATGCTATCTCGGAAATCACGGCCTTGTTGAGATCTAAGGGTGTCAACGTTCGATTTGCTATTCATCCGGTGGCTGGTCGCATGCCAGGACAGTGCAACGTGCTCCTCGCCGAGGCTAACGTTCCGTACGACATTGTCCTGGAGATGGATGAGATCAATGACGACTTCCCGGAGACGGATCTGACACTCGTCATTGGCGCCAACGATACAGTCAACCCTATCGCCATGGAACCCGGCAGTCCTATTGCCGGCATGCCTGTGCTACATGCCTGGAAGAGCAAACAGGTTGTTGTCATGAAGCGAGGAATGAGCAGTGGATATGGTGAGTCCCTTAATCCTTTTTCCTTGAGATGTGTCTTTGACACGAATCTACCGTCTTGTTCTTCCCCCCAACCCTTGATGCAATCCATTCTAACATGACGAACCTTCACAGCCGATGTGCCCAATCCCATGTTCTACATGCCCGGTACCAAGATGTTGTTCGGCGACGCCAAGACCACCACGGACGCACTCAAGGCAGCTCTCGATACAAAGTATCGCGCCAAATTCCACGTCTAGCTGTTTGACATGATTGGAGAACGAGCTGTCGCAAGGGTGGCAGCTGTGAGTATTGGCATCAAAGATGGCGTTTTCGGCCGTCTCTTGAGACCTGTTGGTCTTTGATCATCGATCCCGTCACAGCTCTACTGATATCTCGCTCGTGTTGCTGATCCCTTTGGAGAGGGTTGCAGTCCTACAAGCATATAGATCGACATATAAACCGAGAGAAATAGATATTTCTGGGTTACTCAATTCAATCTAAACAAATCAAGCCAACTACACTTAGGGTTGTTCGTTGTCCTGAAGTTCCAGACTCTATCATCCGATTTCCTGTCATCTCATCTAGGTCTACTTAGTTGCCTAGCACGTCGACCATCACCATTCTACTAACAACACCCTTGCCACGTTCATCTCCAGGACAATTTCACTCCGGCACCTTCAAGCCAGGTAAAGTATCTGGTGCGGCAAACTTCTCATCTGGAGCAATGACCGTCCAGCGCATGCAGTCCTTCCAAGCCATGCCACCAATCCACTTATTCGGACCCATGTTGGTGCCGTCCTTGACAAACTGATCCGAGAACTTGCACTTGTCCACCAAAAGATCCTTGAAATTGTCCCGACACTTCTTACTCCCATACTTGGAAAAGTCGATCCCCTCCTTGTGCTTGTCGTCAGGCCCCTTGCATCCATTGTAATCAAACATCACTCCAACTGTGACTCGATAATTATACAATGCCAAAGCCTCGGCAGTCGGCTCGACATAGAAGTTGTGACATTCGCCTTGAGACTCCTTATCTTGACCTGGCTCGCGAGGGACAATCACAAGTTCGAAGGTCTCGAGCATGTTGCAAAACTCGGCGATCAAAGCTTTCGGGTCGCGAAACGGCTGGAACGCTAGCCCGGCATCCCAGTTGTGTGCAACAGTTGAAGTGGCGGCCGCTTTCACTGGGGTCGCACAGTCGTGTTGGTTCGCTTTTGCGGGTTCGGTCAGGGAGATTGGAGCGCTATACTGGCCACATGCTGATCTCAGTTCGACTAGCGGAGGAACGGTGATTCCAGTCGATGCTGGATGGAAGCTTTCGGTGCAGCTAGAGCTGCCTGAGACTGACCAGCCATCACAAGTCCAGAACTGGACCTCACTGAAAGACCTAGACGAGCTGGTGATGGTCATCGGCTTCCCATCCCGCGTACTGGTGGAGAGTGTCAAGCGCTTTGTCGAGGTTGTGGAAGGGACCTGGGTTGAAGTCGTCGTAGGCGCCGGAGATGGGATATGGGATGTGACCGGAGCAGAAGAAGCCACTGAAATACTGCTCGATATGGTTTCAGTGTGTTCAGAAGTAGTCTGAGGGTTTGCTGTCAGCGGAGAAAGGGTAAGGGTTTCCGAAGTGAACCCCTGTGACAGAACGCATGCTGCGTCAGAGCACGCTCCCATCGACACTGACGATTCAGCGAAGGTATCATTGCTGTCGAAATCGGGGAATGTAGTGAGCAGGGATACCAGTTGTGTCGACAAGTTGGCATCTTTCCACCAAGGAGTCAGAGTACATGCTTCTCCGAATGTCGAGGTCGTAGCCGTGTTGGTCGCGGAACAACGCGTAAAAGAGGAGCAGGTAGTTGAGCATGATTCGAAACTCGTTGATGATTCCGTGAGGGTAGAGCAGGCGATGTCACACGACGTTCCAGTTTCCGTCTCGCTACAGGAGCTCGACAAGCTTGAAGAGAAAGATGCTGTGGAACTGTGTGGAGAAGAAGTCGTCTCACTCTGAGTTTTGTTTTCTTCAGGTGTGGGTTTGACGATCGTCGCAGCCGTTTCTGCAGCGAAGGGGGGTGGTGCGATGGGGGGAGGCATTGGAAAAGGTGGTGGAGACCAGCCCCCATTGCCGCTACTTCCTCCGCCGCCGGAGTGAGTATCGCAGAATAAACTCAAGAAGCAATCCTTGACGAAGCCGAACCAATCCCGGCCGTGATCGCCACATAGGGGTCCAACACAGTCCCAGACTCGAAAGGGGTACAAAGTGATGCCACCGTCATTGTCTGATTTGGTTGAGGTACTTATGGAGGCAGTCCATTCAACACTGGTTGTTTCCTTCGTATTGTTTGTCTGGGTTATTGTGGCCCAAACCTGCGACCATGTATCCAGTTCAGTTGTTATCCAGGCGACACCGTTAGGAACTTCAAGCTCCACACTCTTGGTCGTTTGGGAAACATTCGAAATAGTACAGAGCCAGCCAGGTGGGCAGTCATTGTCTGACGGTTTAGGGCCCGAGTCGCAAAGAGGCATTGCCAGATAACAGTAGGGACACAAGCACCAAGATGTGCTGGCGGCGGTGGAAGGGATGGACGAGGACGGATAAGTACAGCTTGGACTCAGTCCAAAATCACAAGTCACCGGTGACCCAGCAAACGGCCAAGTGGATGAAAGGGTGTTTTGACTAGACATTAGAGTCGCTGAGCTGTCAATCATGCTGTCAGGGCTTTCGAATGTCGTAGTAGTAAGAGGAGCGAGAGCAGTCCCATTCGATAGAGAAACGACAGTTCTGAAGGTTGTCAGAAGTACTGTGACTGAGATGACCGAGTTGGAAGTGATGGTGCTGGTAAGGGAAGAAACGGACTCGATAGTGGTGGAGGTGCCAGACAATAAGAGCTCCGAGTCAGCCTCAGTAGAAGACGTCCCGTTGAATGATTGGGAAGCAACAATATCTTGGCTCGTGAGACTGTGTTCGGGATTTTCCGTCACTCTTGTAGTCAAGGACGCGGTACTGGTATCAGTATGATCTGTGCTCAAAGTTGTCATGGATCTGGCACTCGCTGGAGCTGAAAGAGTCGCAGGATCTTGAGTGTCACCAGAGGACGCGGGAGAGTCATTGGTGTTGGTCGGGGCAGAGATTGATGGACGATTGTCGATAGATTTATCAGTGCCTGTCGAAGTTTGTTCAGAGGAGTCGTGGACCGAAATGACTGATGAGATGATTTCTGAGCTAAAGGCAGACTGGTTTGGAGGCACCGGTACAGCGGTCGACTCTTGGTTGGAACTGTGCGCGGATGTTAATGTGGACGCTTCTGAAGATTGAGTCGGCTGAGATTCAGCACCATCTGAGTAGGTCAAGACTGAGGGCGGAGAGGCGGTATGAGGACTAAAAGATTGAGGATAAGAGGCTGACTCCAGAGTCGTGGATTCTGACGCGTATTTCTCAACATGATGGGGTTCATCGTTGCTCTGAGAAGCCCACTGGCTGTCTGGGCTGGCGACAAGACGTGTGACCAGAGCGAGGGGAAGCAGGAGGCTCCAGGTCAAGTTCATGTTGGCTGTTGTGGATGTTTGGGACTTATCTGTGATGAGAGATAGCAGGCTTCAGGGTAAAGGAGGTTGGGAGAAGGGATAAAGAATCACGAAGATGTCAATCACATTTGTATTTCATGTCTGATTTGAGGCATGCGGGTGAGGTGACGCCTGGGAGGCGGTGCCGTGACGCGTGAAACTTTTAACTTAGACTCGCCTTTGGTTGTAAGGACGGAGTGCCTCCAGTGGTGGTTAATCATGCCATATATCACCTTTGTTGTGTTTGAGAAGGTGGTGAAGGTGTTGGTATTAAGGCTTTGAGTGAAAAGACAAAGGGGTAATACGTGAAAGGGCAACAAATGTGAAGACATTTTGCTTCACGTATTCCTGAAGCAGGTGTGAAAGAGAGACAGAGACAGACGATAGTAACGAGATTGATTCGCGTGAAGTTGTGACCAAATTCTGAGGAATCTTCTGAGGTTGGCAGGAGCGACGGTGACGCGACGTGTGGTGGCTCGCCTTCCTCTTCATCTGCCAACCTCGCACCTTCTGATCGGAGCATGACTGAGTTCAGAGCCATCGCGTCTACCTAGGCTCAGTGTCTCCCTTTGGAGGGCATCTCAAAACTCCGGTGGCATAAGACACAATGTACGGAGGTTAGGTAGGTCAATGTAGAAAACACAGTTTATTTCAGTAAATCGTGGAGGTTGTTGGAGGCTCAGATACTTAAAGTAGCCAAGGGCCTAAGTTAGGGGATAAAAACCCACAAGGCTGAGAGGGCACGGGGCTCCTTGGGCTCCATGGGCATAGTATTAGGTACCCCACGTGACAATAACGGCGCCTGGACCCAAGCTTTAGGCACTAAGTCTCTCCCTTGGGGTCATTATAAGCATGTTTGTCTTCCAGCTCCTTGACCATGGCCGAGGCACCATTCCCCTGCAAGAAGATCTCCAACCAACGCCCAAAAATGCACCCACATCACGGCAATGACCAAGAAGCATAGAGCCTGTGTCAGTCAAGGTAGATATCCACCGTTAACGTTCTTCGTCCCTTTTTATCCTCATTGACAACAGTATCGGGCACCACAACAACCTTTCTTCCCTCATGGTACCTTTCCAACACTCCGGCCACATATCGCCTCGCCCACCTCTGATTCTGTGTCAAAAACCAATCGTCCTGACCCAATGTACCTATCCCCACAAAGAGATCCACCCGCAAATGCTTTGCCCACTTCCAGTCTGTCCTGATCAAACGCTTGAAGAAGTTGTCTAGGCAGAGGTTGTTGCACAAAACGAATATCCGCCGCTTCTCCGCCCGTTGCACAATTGGTAGTACTTCTCGATAGACCTGGCGGTTGACTCGAAGGACTCGATTATCGCAGTGTTGGTAGGTCGAGGTATTGTGACAGCATGGGCCGAGCCGATGGGCAGTACATTGTTCATTTTTCAAGGCACATTCGCAGGGGTATATTCTCAACGGCTGTACAATGTATGACCATATCTGTGCGCGAATCTCGAAGGGGAGGCTAAGGAGGTGTGCCATATCCAAGTATTTTCGCTGGATCGTCCGATATCATGCTATAAGTCCATTTTTTGGACGGTGAGGTCTCGATACCAAGGCAGGCCCCGTCGTTTTCTTTGGGCTTTGCCACATTTAAAGGCAAATACAGAGGCAATGTTTTATTTTAGTGGTCACCAGAGCCTTGTGTATGATCAGCCAGCGTAGGAATAGAGCCAAGTGGGTCGAGTGAGCGATGCTGACCAAGAGGAATTGTAACCATCCTTCAATTCCGATTGCTCACCATGGCTCTTATCAGGCCCATGCATGGAACCATGACAAAATCCCATGAGTTGAACGACACCTCTCGACACGGAGGCCCAGCAACGAAAGCTTCTAATTTTGACAGGGTTCCCGTTTCGATCAGAGTTCATTGGACCCAAAGTGGTGGGGGTGAATGGAGGGATCTGTCGTATGCGAGTCTCTTTCAGCTGAGGCTTGGCTCAACGTTTATTGTTACCGCCTATGAGTGGTGATCGAATCCCATATACGAGCCTGGACTGACTAGCCTCATCACTTAAAAGGAGATGCAAGGGACTACCCTGCATGCTGTTGTCGTCGATCTGCCCAGACTCTGTCACGATGTCCATTCCTTGGGGAAACACGTGGCGTGGAAAACAAAAATACAATCGCAAAGGAAAGAGCAACAGTGCCAAGCCGACTGGAGTGCTCCTGCCTGATTTGCAAGTTGTCAACCTTCTTGAGGCACATGATGCATGGAAATTCAGAATCACGATTACGGACGACGGACAATCAGGCTGCTGCTTGTTCTCGACCTGAACAGCCAGCCTGTCACTCGTGAAGACCCTGCATTCCAGGCTCAGCCTGAGGACACAACTGGAGGAAGTGGTACTGTATGCTCGATGATCATGCTAACATGCCTTTTCCCAGACTCGTGTAACCTCTTACACCCCAGCCCAATATCCTTGACAATGCAAAAGATTGAACCACCATCAACTATAGGCCACCCTCAACGCTCAACAGGCTCGCAATCCTCCTTACCGCCCGACCCAGCTCTTCCCCCGTGTTGCATGCTGCATAGGTGAACCTATCTGGCCGCACAATCACCATCTTCTTGCCCCCAACTTCTCTCCTCAGCCGCCATTCGTCATAGCCCACAGGCTCAGGTCGATCTCTGCACAAAGCTTCATCCGCAGCAAACTCCTCACCTGTGGCCAGTCGAGCTACCGCCAAACCCTTGTATCTCGTATCAGCCACGTCCAATGCACATTGCGGATTTGTGGTCTGGATCACGACTGTCGTTTCGCTGGCTTTGACAAATCCCTGAGACTTCTCGTCCACGTCCTCTGTTTCCTTCAACAATGACCGCAGTTCATCCGCCGTGTCCGGCAACAATAACAGCTGGAACAGGCCTTTCTTTCCAGCCGAGAATATCAGGTCATCGGTGAAAATTACCTTCTTGCCCCTCAAGTCGAACGCATACACTTGTGGTATATTCAGTCCTCCTTGCTCCTGAGGCAGAAACGGGAGCCCTGCTCCCCGGTATCTAATCATGCCATCTGCTCGAGAGCCCAGCTCCATTTCCCGTTTCCAACTCGGTACTAATTGCATCGCCCACATAACCCACTCTCGAATGAAGACCTTTATTGGATCGGACTCAGTCACGTATTCACCATTTCTCAATGTTGCAGCTAATGATCTCTCCAGCTGTTGTTTGCGTTCAGTATACCACGCAGTCAATATCTTTTCGTGGTCGGCATCGGGACGGCGATGCAAAAGGGCCAGTCGCCAGGCAAGTGCTGAAGCATCGCGAAAGCCAGATGCGATCCCTTGTCCACCTGTTTTTATGTCAGTCATGCCATGGTCGTAAATTTCCTCAACCTACCAAATGGTGGAAATACGTGAGCCGCATCACCAGCCAGGACCACCCTTCCTAGCGACCATTTGTTGCAGCTTCGTGCCACGAATGAAAATGGCCGTGATCTCAAGGTCCTAACACAATCTTCCGGAAACCGGACTGGATGGTCCAGCCCATAGCGACTCCCAGGGTGAGTTAAATACGGGAAGATGATTTTACTCGTCTCTTCGTAGGTTGCCATTCGTTGTCCGTCCTCTCCCTTTTGTACCACAAATTCAAACCTCCACAATCGATCTGACGGAAGTCCAAATCGGCCACATACAGAAGGTCTGTCGGGGTTGCAAATGAATCGGAACTCCTTGGGAAAGAAAGCATCGTAGACATCAAGGGGAGTATATCCGAGTCGCCAGAGTGGGAAGTTTGGGTGCGTTTTCTCCGTGGGTAGCGTTATGTGCCAATTCAATGCTACCCAAGTTTCCTCATAGTTTGAGCTGACGATATGTAAGTATCCACCCCATCCTCAGGCCAGTGTGACGTTGACGTTGCTTACCCTTCACATCGTTCCATGGTAATGCCTTTGTCTTCCAGGTACTTCTTCCGCACATAGCCCGTCTTTCCGTCGCAGCCTACTAGAAACGGTGCCTTGAGACTTCGCCGTTCGCCGGAAGAGGTCTGGTACTCGACCGAGACTGATTCGGATGTCTCGTGAACGCCGAGGACAGTACAACCTGAACGAAAATCGCAGTTCGATAGGGTTTCTATTCGATCGCGAATGGCCTTCTCCATGGCTGGCTGCTTATGAGCGATAAATCCGACATGGCCGGTTCCTCCCTCGGTCGTGGCATAATTCATGCCAACGAGAGGCTTCTTGAACAGGTTTGGGGTTCGCCCTGTCACGAAATTGAATATCCACATGCCTAAGACACCATCAGTTCAGCTCACCTGTGACCATCATTGCGCACGTACAAGAACCGATTTTAGTGTAAATTTGGTCGTACACTCCGATGGACTGGAGAATGCGAATTCCGTCCTCGTCCAAGGCGATGCCTCTGGGGTCTGTGGTAATATCCAACTCTCTTTCCAGCACCACGTTATCAACGCCCATAGATCCCAAGAGCGCTGAGAGCATTGCCCCCGTCGGGCCTCCGCCACAAATGATCACCCCGGTCTGCTCTCCATGGTCAACGTCTTGACGCGACATGTTGGCAAGGCTGGAGGTCTCCTAGGGTCTGTCCTTCGATCGCCGTTAGTCGGATGCAAATGAGAGATTCTCAGTTGCTAGGCACGCGTGGCCGGTCCAAAAGTCCCAGCTGCGAGGAGACCAGGCAGATTAAATTGCCCATTTTCTTGCATCCCCTCCCGACGCGTTGATTCCTCGGTGCAAGCTCCCGCCAGAACCTGGGGAAGTGGGGATTAGAGGACTTGACGCTCATCACGGCAGTAGGAGACAGAGTGATGGATGTGGGACATGAACATGTATTTCTTTACGTCCCACCGTGGGACCTCCGGCCGACCTCCATGGCCGCAACTGCCACAAAGGCGGCTCTTCCCTTCCACCTCGACCACGAGCTCGGCAATTCTTTTGATACCTAAGGTATGCAGGAACGCCATCCGTACAGGATGATGAATGTTTCGAATTGCACCACATATGTTAGATGCGCTGATGATAGGAATTTTCCCGGCGCAAAGATTGCCCCCGTAGCCTGCGGTGGCAACCTCTGGGGCACCTCGGCCTTGAGATGGGGCAATATGCTCTCTGGGGTCGCTCCTGCCTAAAGTATTCGTTCATGCGGGGTTACCTAGCATAAGACTTCCAATTGTCCAATCATGGGCCCAGTTGGCTCATCAATTCCTCACGTGCCAACTTCCCTGAGGGACTCTTTGGGTCCCCCAACTCCGCCTCCCAAGTCCATTCACTCGGCACTCGAGCTTCTTCGCGACTTCGTCTCCCACATGGACCGAGCTAGCCACTTGCATCCTCGACGTCAAGCGTCAGGATAGCATGTCGCAGAGCTGCCCCAACGCCTCGAGCAAGTTTTATCCATTACAGTGGCATGATGCCCAAGACAGGCCTTGCCGCTGACGCCGTTCCCAGGCCATCCGGTCGGGGGAGAAGAAAAAGCAAGATCCGTCAATGCGACATCTGTGGACGGGCGTTCGCAAAGACAGATCACCTCGAAAGGCATGTCAGATCACACACCAAAGAGAAGCCTTTTCAGTGCGAGATATGCGGTAAGAACTATGGCAGACAGTGAGTATCCAACACGTTAAACCTCGACCAAATCCTGATCAAGCCAACGTCAACAGTGATACCTTACTTCGCCATCAGAAAGATCACACAGGCGATCAGTCTAAAGCTGGACTAGGGCCCAATGCCACCTTCCATTCCTCACAAGCATCGAGCCTGCACGAAGGTCTTCAACGCGCGTCTGACACGGCTTCCAATGACCCTTCCAACTCACCCTTGACTCAAGATCGAGGCAGCATCTACGATGCCATTCGCCACGACTCGATAAACCCTTCAGGTCACACCGACCCTGTCGATATGATCCTGCCAGAAAATGGCTCGTCCAAACCTGCCCCAACATACGACTCAGTGGCTTCCAATTTCCAGACACCTTTTGACGCCCCATTCGACATCTTCAACTTCGACTTCGAGGCCGAGTATCCTGCGTGGCTGGCTGATGGTGACTTTCATGCGGGTCTTCTGGACACTCCTCTAATCAACACTATGGCTGAGCTCAAGCCCAACTGGACAGAAAGTCCTTATGTAACCAACAGTCCCAGTGGAACCTACAAATCCGCCCCTAATATGAAGCACTTGTGGTACACTCCAGGGCTCAACCCCCAGGATGAGATTCCACCCTCGGGTCCAGCAACACCTCCAGAAACACAAGTTGAAGTCGACGATTCCTATCGTCAGACTCTGCATCAAAGTCTGCAAATCCGTCCGCCACACGAGTCAACTTTGCCATCGGCCGACTTTCTCAATCTTTGTGTCCGCTCCTACTTTAGCAAATTCCATCCCTGCTTTCCCGTGATACACGCACCCACCTTCCGACCTTCGAAATCAAACTCGATGGTGCTTCTATCGATATGCTCAGTGGGCAGTCTTTTTACGGGCTCCGTCAATGCGATCAGGCAAGGTGTTCAGATCTTCGAGCGGCTTCACAAGGCAGTTTTGGCAAATTGGGACCGGCTGATCAATCGAGGCAGAGATGAGAAAATATCCCTGATTCAGACCGCAATCATTGGACAAACTTTTGGCCTCCTTTCTGGTGAGCCTAAGCACCTCGCAATTGTCGACACATTTAATGGCACTCTCATCTCCTGGGCTCGTCGCCTTGGATCCTTCAAAGCCAAAAGGATGAGGGACCTCGATCTCTCGCTTACTGGTGATGATCTCGAGACACAGTGGAGGCATTGGGCAAAAAACGAAGAGCTCATCCGCATAGCCCTTAGTGTGCATGTACACGATGCTGAGCTGGCTAATATCTTCCACCACGAACCCTTCCTACGCCACAATTCCAGGCAGTTACCAGCTGCTGCTTCACAAGCTACTTTCATGGCCGCCAAGGCTGAGGAATGGCGCATGGCATATCTCAATGACCCAAGCAATTTCATCCTCCCTGGAACACCGTTGGTGTCTGTTGACGCAAACCTCCCCTTTGATATGTTATCAATCCCTAGTAATAGCTCGTTTACCCCTTATACCGTCCTCCAAGGAATTTGTGTCAACATTGTGGAACATCAAATCAGTGCACACCCTCCGCCTTCGAGGAAACAAGAAATCTCTGGTCTTCTCACAACATTCCATTCACGATTCCTTCAGACAGCTCCACCTTGGGGATCGGATTCCATGGACATGACCATATTGTGGCATCTTGCTTATATGTCGATTTGTGCTGACTTTGATCTTTTGGAAAGAGCCATTGGCCGTGAGGGTGGTACGCTTTCGACCGAGGACCAGGTGCTCGTAACGGCATGGGCCAATTCGGTCGATGCTCAAAGATGTGTCATACACGGTACCATCATTCAGAAAAAGCTAGAGAATCTTCCCCTCGGCTTTGAGCCCGCCATTCATGTTCCCAGGGCCATTTTTCGAGCCGGAATTGCATGGTTCTGCTACACCCGCTTCGGTACTGAAGTTGGCGGCCAGCAGGCAATTGTCCCCGAGAGTCTTGATTTTCCAGAATTCAAGATCGTCGGTGTCAACCCAGCCGCCCTGTTGTTCCAAGCGAATGGTTACAAACATGGCCGCCCTAGCGCCACCGAGATCAACGCTGCGTTGTGTGGTTTGACCGATTTGTTGCGTCGGATCGGGCATTGGGAGATTGCAAGAAGGTTCGCGGCAATTCTGGCGGCTCTCCTGCACGACGAAGCAGGCTGAATGTGTTTGCCTTGTCTTGATTTGAACAATTCCCAGACGGCAAGAATAAATCCTTGCTTTCAAATGTCAAAATTAAACCGGATCTGTCGCAGATTGTCTATATTCTGAGTTGTGCAGGGTAAATGGTGCCTTGGTCCGGGCACTCTTATGACCCATGGTGTTGTCGCTCGCATCAGTGTCCCCCGACACAGTCGTCGTTGTGCCGTCAAATGAGGTGATAAAACTCATATTCCGTGGACGGACAGGTGGACCTCGACGAGAGTCCTCTGGACCGAAAAGCTTTGGGAACGCCAACATGGCCACAGGGCGGAGAGTGGGTAAGCAAGAGCAGGCTATACCAATGTTAATCTCTAGGGTCGCTGCTAAAATCATCATGGCCGCAGCATGGTTTCGATCATTACTATTTAAGAACCGGACCACATATGGTATGCGGACAGCTGAAAAGACACATACTCTGCAAACAGTCAGCTCGTCACGAAGGCTCCCAGAAGATTGTCGAATGTCTTACACTCCTCCCAAGGAGAAAATTGCTATCAGAGCATACTTCTGGGGTCTAGGTAACCCCAGTCGCCAAAGCATTGGAAATGGCAACAGGCAGATGATGACATCTGTTAACAAGTTTGTAGCGGCTCCTACATACCACCAAGGAGACCAAACAAGACATCGACCGTGAATGTTGGGATCCCAGAATGATGCTATAGGCCGGCACATTGATAGCCAATAGCAGGTATAAACCACGGGAAGGATTGAAATGATGCAGATGAAACACCAGATTAGGAAGCGGTATGTCCTGTCGAGGAAGAATTTCAACGTCTGCAAGAGACATGAGATTTTGAGCAAATTCATCGCCCAGGGATAAAGGAGGGCACAAATGAATGTAAGCTGTTGCGGGAGGTATTAGTCAACTGAGACGAGCGTGCCGGGTTTTGGCAGGCTATGCAATTCATACCTGGTCAGTACGGATGAGTATCTCATCTCCGTTCGGCCTGTCTAATATTTCCTGGAGATGCCGACCATAGCCTTGCTTGTAACCTAGAATCAAAAGGTTAGCTTGTGCCATCGAATCGAAACAGCGAAACAAGACCACATACCAAGTGAGGTAGTGACAAGCCATCCGATTGCAAGCACCTCGACAATTCCAATCAAGATGTCCTCCGTCCAGAATCGCTTGACGATGACACTGCGGGTGTAGAACCTGAGAAGGACGCAGAGCAGAGATATCGACGTGATCACGGTACCGACGACAATCATCGAGTCAGGCAGATCCATGGTGTCACTTCGCACACGCTGCTGATGCCGAATCACTGATGCAAACCTGATCTCAGCCTGATGATATATTATATCGGAGATGATGTGTTTAAAGAGCCGACCGACGCTGATATCAGCTGAACGATGTCAAGTTTCAACCCTTGAAGCGGAGCTGAAGGCCAAAGAATCGAAAGAATCGATACGCGTGCACGGTGGGCAAGTCTCGATGATGAACGTCCACCTCACCTCACCTCTCATGGCCTCGTCTCGCGTCTCGCGCAACGACTTACAGACATGGACATGTTGTTGCGTACCTAAGCATTGGCAAACCATCTATTCAAGAGTCGAGAATGGTCTAAGAAAAGGGATCTTCACATGGTGCTCGGTCTTCTGGCAGATTCAATGCATCTATCCCTACGGAGTAGATGATCGACCCGTCAACCATCAACCATATCCTTGAATCTGCCTCACCAATGCCATTGATTCGTCTCGTGGATGGTGTCGGTGTATGCATGTACGAGATGGAGCTGATGTGCAGGGACGTAGCCTGGCCGTTGCATCCAGGCTGTTTTGGTTAACCTGTCGTGGTTGTTCGCTAGCGGCTAGAACTATTTCCCTTGGATAGATAGCCAGGACTAAATGGTGGCCTGTGCGTCGCTTCGAGATCTCTCCACAAGATGTGACAGGCATGATACAGGGACGGACGACCAATCTGGCCAAGGAAAGGAACTGTCATGGTTTGGCTTTTCCTGGATGGATGTGTCTGGGGTAGAGGTTGCGATGCGATGCGATGTTATTCATTTGTTGATAACTACCTACATACAGAGGGTATTATTACCACGGTTGCTATTGCTGCAGTTGTAGCTGCAGCAGTTGTAGACAAAGGGACAGAAAAGACTGACAGCCAGACAATCAATCCCCCAAAGTCAACCTAGCCAACCTCACAAAACGCCTTCTTCTTCCCAAGTGACCCCTCAACTACCTACTTAGTACAAGTACCTTTCATACTATAAATCCCCAAAGCATTTCCCTCTGTATCTTCAAAAAGCTGCATCAAGGCCGACGAACCTTCTGGTTCAATCTCGGAGGTCTTTTTTCCACCAGCAGCGACGATTTTCTGGGGTAAATGAGGGTTAGCATGAGCAAAGTGACTGTGTACAGACAGTACAACACAGGTTGGATGTTCAGATGCTCAGACCTCTCAGGGTCCAGGGATCAAGGGATCCGAGATTCTAGACAACCTTGGCATGATGAATGAGATGAGGAAGGGAGAGAGGGTCATAGCAGAACCAGAACCAGAGCCAACAACAGATAGTAATAAAAAAAGCACCCAAGCACCGGTACTCTTCCTAATGAACTCACTCACTCACCTGTTCATACGCATAAATATCCGAAACATATAGATACAACACTACGCCCTTCTTCTTCCCCTCTGTCGAATTCCACTCATTTGGGTCGACTCGGGTAATTCCACCACCTGGACATGGTTGACCAGGGACTTCGAACATGGCGATTTCATTTTCGTCGAGTTTTTTGCCTTCAACCGTTTCGGTGCGTGTGAAACTCCAGTTGAAGATTTGGGAGTAGAAGGTTTTGGCTAGGGGGGAAGGGAAGGGAAGGAGTTAGTATAAAAGATAAAGGGGAGTGGTTTGGTTGATTGAGGGTAGTATGTGATGTGTGATATGTACCTCGCTTGACATCCTGTGCCAATACGTTGATCCAACATGGTGTACCGTCTTTCGGAGGGGTCCAGTCCATGATACTTGGAGTCTGTTGGTGAGTGGGATTTGTGGGCTTTGCTATGTAATGAATGCCTCGAGAGATGTGAACGGTGCGAATGGGATGAAGAAATTTGAAAGATGATATCCCCCCTCGGTCAACCAGAGGTCGAACGACATATAAATACGTCTTTCACTTCCCTCATCGACCCCTCACCTCAATGGAAATCCCTCCACGACCTCCTCCATCAACGTACTTCCCAGTCTGAAGCTCGTATTGAAGTTTGGTTCACAAGGTTTGGGCATGCCCCCCAAACACTTCTTCGATCCTGATTGGCTGAATCCCCATTGCTGCCTGGCGCGGCACGTCTCAAAAACATCAAAGAGCAAATCACGCGATGAGACGGTAAAAATGTTGAATGAGTGCATGTAAAGCGATGTCACTGGTCTCACGAACTGGACGCGAAGTCACGTTGGTTGCTGGGCATGGATGGGTTGGTGGACTAAAATTCAAGATTTGAGCTGTTGGTGGAAGTATGGTGTAAGTATATCACAGCACGGGTTGAGGGCGAGGAGGGTGATAGAGTGGTGTCGGTTCCTGGCTACATAAAGTGTCCAGGCAGCAGAGGATACGAGTACGTTCAATCAATGGTTGAGACCGAGATGGAGTGGTGTTACTGGAGAGATGGTCGATGTCTGGTATCAGGTTGGTAGGTAGGAGGCGGGAAAGTCACGTGGGATCAACGAGGTCTCACAGGGGAAGATGGCAAACCTTTGGGGTCATGATGGCCATGTACCATTCATCAAACATTTGTGTAATCAATAAAATGATAGCCAGAAGAAGAGAAGAGAGATATAGTATTAATCCATGCGTGTGGATTTCATCTCATGTTATCAATTCCAACGGCGTAACCAAATTGTGTTCGGTGGAAGAGTTTTTCCATTCCGGAGAGTTGCTCCTGCCTCCTCTTCCCCAACGACAATCAAAAACTCGAAAAAAACCTCAAGATGCGTCTGTCAAGAACCTCGTATATCATAAACTAATCTTATTATTGGCCTTAGTTGCCGATGTCCTCTCGGTGTCATTCGGTGAAATCAAAGCCTTTACTCACAGCATCAGAATCTGACCAACCACTTGAGCAAATCTGTTATCAAAGCCCGACCCTCAACCAATCATCCCTGTTCCTAGTAGGCGAAAGCAACGTGCGAGAGCATAGTTTGCCGACCAAGCTTTCTGCGCCCGAGATGGCGTTTTCTTGACTGCATGAGCTTGTCTGTGCGGTCGACCGCACGTGGACAAGCGAATGCCGCCATTCCTACTCTTTGCAAGTATCCTTCTTCATGAAATTGACATGCTTTACAAACGTCCAGGAATTCAGTCCTTTGCCACGATTTGCCTTATCTCTATCACGACGTAACGGCCCACCCCACCTCATCTCCCACGGCGCGCCCGATCGACACAAGCATGCGAGTCAACTCCAGCCACTGGGAGACCGGTCCAAAGTCAAATCATGAGTGAAAAGGAATTACAAAACTCTTTTCCACGCCCCATTCGTGTCTCCCAACCTATCACTCCCTTCTCTCGATTGCAAACCCAGCTGCTCTAATCCATTTTCTGCCTGGTAATTCGATCCCATGCCGTCATACCCGTATCCGCATATTGACTTGATACGCATGGACCTAGAGTTTTTGCCATTATCTCGCGTCTGTTCACACTATTACATACCCCTCAATGCCGCGGCTTGTGGGATTTGACTTTCAAAATAGTACGCTGAGATCAAGGTCTATCCAGCCCAGTAGGTAGCATTGCGAGGTTTCAGCCCAGGAGTCCAGGTCATGGACGCCTCAAGTGATGGCCCGGATTCCTCTGCCATTCTTATAACACGACGTCACCCGCGATTCCTCATCTTGCTTCGCAGGACATGACTGCTCAAGCCTAGCTTTCACCCAGTCTTTGTTTGATCAATAGACACTGTCTCCTCAGCACCATCATGGAGAAAGACGTCGAAGCCAAAGGTGCTGCGTCGAGCCCGAGTTCGAATGGACATCCTGACATGAGGGAGGGTCATGTCGACCTACCTCGAGCTCCAACTGCTATGGGTCGCTTCATCGACAGCTTCAAACGAAATCCCAATGCTCGAGTCACTCCAGAAGCCGTAGATGCAGAGGGCAAGCCTCTACCCGACCAACCTCCTGCGGAACCTGCCCTAGCCATGAAGTTGAAACCAAGACATTTGCAAATGATTGCTATCGGTGGCTCAATTGGTATAGTGACTTGCAGCGTCGATCGTACCTGTCGTCAACTGACTGAACATCCCCAGGTACCGGTCTTTTTGTCGGTTCAGGTTCTGCCTTAGCCAACGGTGGGCCCGCGTCCTTGATCATCGCATACGGCCTCATCGGAGTCATGTTGTTCTGTACGGTTCACGCGCTGGGAGAATTGGCCGTGGCTTTTCCTGTTGCGGGCTCCTTCTCCGTATACTCAACACGGTTCATCGATCCGGCATGGGGATTTGCCATGGGATGGAAGTGAGTGATCTCTCAAGAGCAGGGGTGGGTTCATATCTAATTAAAACTCTCCAGTTATGCCTTGCAATGGATGGTCACTCTTCCTCTCGAAATTGTCGCTGCAGCAATCACTCTGGAGTTCTGGCCAGGAAGTCGAGACACTAACTCCGCCGCTTGGGTCACCATCTTCCTTTTTGTCATAATCGCCATCAACTTCTTTGGCGTCCGTGGTTATGGAGAAGCTGAATTCGTCTTTTCCATTATCAAGGTTGCCGCTGTCATTGGCTTCATCCTGCTAGGAATCATCATCAACACTGGCGGTATTCCTGGAGACACTAGAGGATACATTGGGGCGCGTTACTGGTACGACCCTGGCGCATTCGTATGGATCATCGTTACCACTTCCCACTTCATCGCTAACATTTGATAGAACCATGGATTCAAGGGTTTATGTTCGGTCTTTGTGACAGCGGCCTTCTCTTTCTCCGGCACGGAACTTGTTGGTCTTGCAGCGGCCGAAACGGAAAACCCTCGTTTGGCGTTGCCAAAAGCCGTCAAGCAGGTTTTCTGGCGTATTGCTCTTGTATGGCCGTCTCCATCTTCAAGGCCTTTTTTGTGACTGACACGTTGTCATTAGTTTTACATGGTTTCACTGACCATTGTCGGAGTCCTGGTCCCTTATAACGACGAGGACCTGCTGAATGGATCCAGCTCATCCGACGCCAATGCTTCACCCTTTGTCATTGCAGTGCGCAATGCCGGAATCTCAGTTGTGCCTTCAATCATGAATGCTGTGATTCTGATTGCCGTGCTTTCGGTCGGAAACTCGTCCATCTATGGTGCGAGTAGAACACTGGCCGCCCTTGCTGATCGAGGCCAGGCTCCCAAAATCCTGGGATACATCGATCGTTCCGGAAGACCACTGGTCTCTATAACTGTCTGCTCGGCTATTGGCTTCCTTTGTTATATCGTCGCAGCCGGACCGGATACAACCACCCAGGCTTTCAACTGGATGTTGGCCATCTCTGGTCTGGCAGCAATTTTTACTTGGTATGATTCCTTCCGCGTTGATCCCTACCTGGCTAACAAAAATTCAGGGGCTCCATCTGCCTATGTCACATTCGCTTCCGACAAGCATGGAAAGCCGCCGGTCATACACTGGACGAGCTTGCTTTCAAATCCCAAGCCACAGTTTACGGGAGCTACGTGGGATTAGCGATGAATTGTTTGATTCTGGTCGCACAATTCTGGACCGGATTTGCTCCTGTTGGATATGGTGAAATGACAGCATCTGAGCGGGTCGAGGGGTTCTTTGAGGTTTATCTGGCTTGCCCTATCATCATTGTCTTTTTCCTCGGATTCAAGTTCATCAAGAAGACGAAATTTCGCAGAATCAAGGACATTGACATCACCAGTGGCCGTAGGGAGATGAATTTGGCAGAAATCCTGGCCGAGGAAAGGGCAATTCGTGCCAAATGGCCATGGTGGAAAAAGGTGTACAGAACCGTCTGTTGATCAGCGAAATTGTGGTCAGTCTTTACATTTAATCACCTGGTTCGTACGACCTATAGGTTCTCTGGATATGAGATGAACTGGAGACTAGTGTTAGAACGCTTGTGGAGCTTTGTCGTCGGAAGAGAGCGGGTTGATGATGGGTTTAATGAGAGCAGAAGACAGTCTGGAAAATAATGTTAAACGTGGCTCGACGGCTTACCTACCATGTTGATGTTTAGTAGATCCCCGATTCACCTTAGTAGTCGCTCGAACCATCTGAGTGGCTGCTCTCGACGGCAACATATATTAACACGGTTGAAAACTTGCCGGTTTATCAATCTTGGCGAATTTCCAACTTCTTCCATCGATGGTAACCTTGATGAACGACAACAGCCATACCTATAAGCAAGTAGGTTGGATCCAACCATATTTATACCTTGATGACGTCCAAACCAAAGCTCGTCGACAGTCGGACCGGCTCGTCTAAAGTTTCTCGGCAGTAAGTGATGTGCTATGTCGGGCATGTGCCCAATTGCTGACGCTGACTGATGACAGGCCGGAGGTTCAACCCATACCACCACTTGAGTCTGCTCCCGTCCGCTTCTTCCTTCCGTTGAACATTGCATTTTATTTGCTTCTCTCTTCACATGCCATAGCAGCACTATATGCCCCTATCCAGGACTGCGACGAGACATACAACTATTGGGAGCCTCTTCATTATCTCACCCATGGCTATGGTCGACAAACCTGGGAATACTCTCCTGAATTCGGCATCCGAAGCTGGGCTTATATTCTTATCCATGCCATTCCTGCCAAGATCATTGGGTTACTCAGTCACTCGAAAACGACAGAGTTCTATGGACTACGACTTGTCCTCGCCGCAGTATGTGCATCCACGGAAACGAGGCTGTACTCTGCCATATCCCGCATCCTGAATCCTCGCATCGCCATCGTTTACCTGATGATCGTGGCTTTCTCTCCGGGCTTCTTCTATGCGTCTGCTGCTTTGCTGCCCTCGAGCTTTGCCATGTACACGTCAGCACTCGGACTTACTTGCTTTATCGACAGGCGTGCCGGTCTGAAGACGGCAAGTGGGATCATGTGGTTCGCCATCGGTGGTCTGCTGGGATGGCCCTTTGCTGCGGCACTCATCCTTCCATTTGTCGCCGAAGACTTTTTAATCGCTGCGGTCGGGGGAAACTACATCTTTGATGTTTTTGTTCGATATCTGAACGGTGCGGCGCGATCGCTTGTCGTGCTTGCTTTACAGGTCGGTGTAGATTCGTTGTTCTTCGGGAAGTTGATTGTCGTACCCTGGCAAATCGTCGCATACAACGTCTTTGGGGGCCAGGATCGAGGTCCCGACATCTTTGGCACAGAACCCTGGCATTACTATGCCCGAAACCTGTTGCTCAACTTCAACTTGTGGTTCATTCTTGCGGTCATCTCAGCACCTCTCTTCATTTTGCAGTCTTTGATCTTGAATCAAGCTTCGACCGCACAATCACGTCTTCGCACTCTTACCTTGCTGGCGCCTTTCTACCTCTGGTTGGGCATTTTCAGCGTTCAGCCTCACAAGGAAGAGCGATTCATATACCCAGCGTATCCGTTTCTTGCGTTGAACGCTGCTATCGCCTTTCACTCGTTGTTGGTCTGGATTGGTTCCTCTGACTCGATCATCTTTGGCAAAATCCCCACGAGGCTCAAGTTTGCAGGCACTCTCCCAGTTGTGTTCCTTGCCATCAACATCGGTCTCTTACGTATTGCCGGGACATTGACCGCATATCGAGCGCCTTTGGAGATTTACAGTGCACTTAACACTCCTGGACTTAATGTGACAGGGCAAAATATCTGTCTTGGGAAAGATTGGTATCGATTTCCCAGCTCTCACTTTCTGCCCAACGACTCACGCGCCAAATTCATCAAAAGCGAGTTCGATGGTCTTCTACCTGGCGAGTATCCAGAGTGGAATTTCACATCGAGCTATTTCCCAGGCACGTGGATAATTCCGGATGGGATGAATGATTTGAACCAAGAAGATCCAGGAAAACATGTCGACATTGAGCAGTGCACCTACCTCGTGGATTCGCAATTTGAGGACACTCGTGCAACCGAGCATGAACCATTGTACATCCGTGATGACAAGTGGGAACATGTCTCATGCATACCGTTCTTGGACACTTCAAAAACGGGTTTGATAGCCAGGACAATTTGGGTGCCGGATATTCCTCTGGTCCCTCCAAAATACCGTCGCCATTGGGGACAGCATTGTTTGTTGCGGCGAAAGACGGTTGAATGAAGAGAAGATAGGTGGCTAAGAAGGGTATTTGACCACGAGGCTACAATCAGGTTTAAATGATTGCGAATTGACGCGTTATCTCGCATCAATCATATATCTCCGGACGCCCAGAATGAGGGGCAATTGACTGCAGGATGGATCGCGGTCGGATTCCCTTTTCCCGCTCGCGCCAACTTCTACACCAAGAGATCATTCTCATCAATGCGGAGAAAACGCAAACCATTCCTGTTTTGGAAAAGCTATCCATCCCATGAATCCCTTGGTCGTTTATGGTTGGCCAGATTCAACATCCAGCTCCATCACTCGTTGCGATAAGGAGTGGCTGTCCTAAACAGTATGTTGATAAGGATCCGACAGGCCTCTGCGAGATGCGACGAGCTGCCAGTACTCACGACATTCCAATGACCATAAAAAGATCCTGATTCTTTACATCAGGGGCAAGCGCCCACAGCAAGGTTATTCTGACTGTGAATTGACATCCTCGAATTTAGCAGCTCGTTCAAATATATAGCACCTCCTCCCCAGATTTTCAGAAATTTTGAATCTCTTGTTGGACTTTCATGATTTATTTTCCGAGGCCCACACCATTCGACATATGAGCTCAACCACTATCAAATAATCCCGGCCGATGGACTCAGACTCACTGAGACAGTCACTTGCTGACCTGGTGACTCGTTCTCAGCCCTACATCGATCATGTTAATACCCATTTCCAACAATCACGACACCATTGTTCCTCGGCCTTGAAATCCGCACAAAAGGACCTTCATACATTATCCTTAAAACCCTACTTCCAGGAAGTCCTCTTCTCATCTCTACTCTTACTTTTCCTTGGCTTCGCCATCTCCAAATACCTCTCACGACGATCAACCCGTCAAAGCGAACAAATCCCCTCCACACCAATTGTCGAGAAAGGATCATACCGTCGTGAGACCAACACCAGACAACCAGGACAATGGGAACCATCGTCCTTCCAATTCCCCACTCCACCTCCCTATCCTGACTGGTCCATCGAAACCACCAAACCCCTTCCATATCGACCATTCCGGTATGGACCCAAGTATTTTGTGACGATGGGTCTCCGCAACGTCGACCACCACGACTGGATCGAACTAGACAACAACTATCCTCGATACCACGGCGATAAAGCACGACGAATCATCGAACGTGGGTCAAAATGCTGCTATACAGCACCAGAGGCCTACCCCGCCGCCGTGGAACTCCTCCAAGAACTCGTCTCCTACCTGACGGCGCGTTACCCAAGCCTGTACCAACGGACCGACAAAGGCATTCGAAACCTCTGGTCCGGCGAACACCTCGACACAACCTCCGACCCACTCCCCGAAGACCCCATGCAGACATGCGCACGACTAACGCAAGACGACCTTGCCATCATGATTGAAAAACCCGACGGCCAATACTACCTCCTCGCCGGCGCCATCCTCCTCGCCGGCTTTTGGCGTCTCGAAGACAAAGTAGGCATGCCCCTATCAGAGATTCACACCAGCGGGGACGTACCACAGTATAAAGAAAAACTCGAAAAAGGCATGATGAATTTCTTCCGTCGCCTCAAGCCGGAAGAACTCGTCGCCCGCAACAATTATTTCCTCCAAGTCGACGAAGACCTCGCCTGGAGCAAGTCGATCGGATCGGAAGATTCAGACGGAATCAGCTGGAACACGGCCGAACAGGATCGCGCAATTCAACACCATTATTTCCGCAGTGAACGTCAGACACTACGTCGTCTGCCGAAATCGGGTGGTGTTGTCTTTACGATCCGTACTTACTTCCATCCGGTTACGGAAGTTGCCCAGGAACCGTATGTACCTGGTCGTCTGGCGAGTGCGGTGAGGAGTTGGGGTGATGATGTGAGTCGGTATAAGGGTAAAGCGAAGTATCAGAATGTTCTGCTTAAGTATTTGGATGACATGCATCAGAAACAGGTGGAGAATGGCCTGCAGCTCGAAGAGGAGGATGAGGTGAGGAAGTATCCTTTCTAGGATGACCACATACATCCCGTATGATATATACATGGACAGACGCGTTGATGATGAGATGGATGGCCGTGTTAGCCTTGAATTTGTGCACACATTGCATCTTCTGATGAACTTGATTAAAGAATGCATCTCATGACATTTATGCAAGAATGGGAATCTTCCATATTGAAGTACTAAGCTCAACAAATCCTGTATTTGTCATTTCCTTCATGTCCCAAAAGGCACTCAAAGTCATCATTGATTTCCCTTCGCTTTCAAAGATCCTCCAATGCCATTGTCTGAATATCACCCAAACAGAACCCCATCCGCCCCGCTATTGTATGCTTCATACTTATAGACCATCAAGAAACTCCAGATGTTAGTATCTTAGTACCATCTATCATCAAACTCGACTCCTCCTAACCTCATCCCCATTTCCACCTTGTGCCTCATCAGCCTCATTCCTCAACCTCTTCCTCTCCAAACTCTCCTGCAAAACTCGATCATCCTGCTCCTTTAACCATTCACAGCCATCACGAAACTCGCACACGCGACACTTCCACGTCTCACTTAATGTAACCCCCTTAGGCTGTCTTTCGCCGCGCCAGAAGGCAAGCGCATCATACAAGTAATTCTTCAAGAATGAGGGATTGAAAATGATGGATTTGGAGCCAATGACGCGTGGTTTGCTTGGATCAGAAGGGTCGGTTACGTGTGAGGAGATGTAATTGGCTGTTAGAACAGGTGAGAGGCGCGTGGGAAGGGGAGGGAGGGAGGTCAGGGTGAGGGTTTGAGAAAGGCTTGGTGTGGATGTTGGGCCGAGGGTTTCGTTATCTGCTGTTGAGCTGGTTATGTCGTGTCCTTGATGGGTGTCATTCGGTCTGGGTGAGGAAGATACGATGAATGTCTGTCGTAGTTGGTCGAGCATGAGGTTCCATAGGCTGGTTACGTTGTTGTTTTGGAGCAGAATGTCGATAGTGTCTTGCGTCGAAGGGACTATTTCGTCTTTGTCGTCAATCTCCATCTCGTCATCGTCATTGCTGGGTTCTTGTGAAAGGCCCAGGTCGAATGGCCCCTGATTGAGATTGCCGATTTGAGCAATGAATTCGTCTGAAAATGGTTCATTCACATCGAAGTTGTACCGGTCTGAGAGTACGTCAAGTGTAAAATTGCCTTGGGCCATGTTCTCCAGCATGTAGTGGTAGATATGTAGTTGGACGATGGTCGGACGAATGCTCGAGCCGGTGGGTAAGGATAACACGCCACGTGTTTTGACGTCGCTGATGTATATACGTCTGTCGGATTTGTAAGTCCCTAGACCATTGCTAGGTGTCTCTGTTTTTATGTTTTTCCCAGTGAGAGCGTCTGTGATACTCTGACCCTGACCTTGCGCAGAGTGCGTACTGGAGATGAGGTAGTCGCGAATAGTGGCTTGATATTCCGGGACTGGAGGTTGGACCTCTGATTTGCTCAGCATGGAAAGGCTTTGCTCTTCGAGTTTGGGATCAGGACAGTTGTAGCTCAACTCATCAATGATTCCATTGACAAGTTCGCCACCGACGGTGCCCCAGACTTCAAATTCTCGAGTTTTGCCCGTTTCTCGCAATGTCCTCAAACCTTGGATGATATTCCAGATCCTCAAACCCCAGCTGTCTTCTTTCTTGGTGATTGTCACCGGAACTGTGACGTGGACTTCTTCCTCGAGGACCTTGTGGACTTTACTCCCTTGTTTCATTGCTGGAGTTCTCCTCTTGCGGCCATGCTTGCTCAGCACGTAGAAGTATTGCAGTTCGCACCAGGCAGGAGAGACCAAATCTGTCACCGATAATGCTTTCTTGGGAGGTTTGCGAAATCTTTCAATCGGCGGCCGGGTATCAGGAGGTACAGGGTCTGAGGCATCTATGGGCGGAGAAACTGCCGCGATATCGTCGGCGTCTGGTTTGGTGACGTCTTCATCAGCACTGGGTGGTCTGGCTTCAGCTAATCGCTGGGTCAGCACGTCAGCAAACCCAAAGGACGCAGCAGGGGACGTGTCAGGAGCCACACTCACGATCCTGGTTGCGCATTGCCTCAGTAGCGCGGGCTTCAGGCGGTTCTCGATTCGCGAATTGAGACTGAAGATTCCATTGTTGCGTTGCTTCGAGGCTAGGCACCTTAGGCAAGTGTACACCTCGCGGTGCTTCATAATCTTCAATGTCTATGACCACCAGAGAGGGATTTTGATGCGTAATTGGTGGCGTTCTGGCTGCCTCTTGAAGTAAGTGCTCGATCAACTCGAGTTCTTCTGGGTCAGCGCCGAATTCGCTGTATTCATCATCGCTGGGTATTGGTGTTAAATGTGTCTGAGACCCTGTAGAATCCACCTGCATATGGAAGTCGGCAGCGTATTGCTGGGAGAGAAGACGAGGTACGTTTGGGAGGGATTGCAAAAGAGACGGTGGCGTTGTAGGCGTCATGACTTGGAATATGCGGCACTGCACTTTGGAACAGCCTCTGAGGTTCGAGCAGAAGATCGTAACACATGGCGATTCACATTCAAGTCGTCCATGTTTATGTCCATGGCTGAATTTTGATCTTCCTTCGAGTCAACAATATTTAGGAGGGGTTTGCAGCAAAAGCGTCATGTCTGCCTGCCTGTCTGCAGGTCGCGCTGCAAGGCCGAGGACGCGTCGCGGGGTTTGGTGGCCTCGGTTGTCCAATCGATCAATGACGGTTTCGAATCAAGTATTATTGGACTCGACTGGCTGGATGAGACGATTTTACAAATATGAAATTGTTTAAGTCTAGATAATTGACTCGATGAAAGTCGTCTATGTACCTGCTTCTTTTGAGGGGGCGTCCCATAGCATGCACCATGGATACATGAAGCCCAGTCTATTGATTAGCAAAACCCACCCCGAGATTCTAGCCATGCAGTAGAACCAGCCGCGAATGCAAACCAAGATGCTCAAAGCATGATCAACATGCTGATGACACCACTCTGATGCAATAACTTTTTGTCCAAAGTCCCAAGTTGAAGCTGGGCCCTCAGGGGCATGCAACAGAATATAGTGTAGTCAATCCATCCACTCATTTCACAATGACACCTTCAGGTATGACTGGGTGACTGAGTGAGTCAATCTTCTCTTCGATCTTCTCCTCTTTTCTATTCAAAAAACTCAAGTAACCTTGCCACGCCACAGCAAAGATGCCAGAGAACATGAATCTGTATTGGGGCTGGATGAACCAGAAGCTAAACGCGGTGACTGCGGGCCACAGTTTGAGGGAGTTGACCATGCTGGTGGGCACTGTGCCTTTGATCCGCGTAATGACTCCATGGGGCCCTTCGCCTGTAAGGACTGCTTGCATACCGAAGAAGTATGAGTTGAATACAGGAGTAAAGACGGCTTGGTTCACGGCGACCTTGACTGCGATCGAGAGGGCTTTGGAGGCATAGTTGAAATTACGGCCGAGGAAGAGGAACCTAAGATAGGCAAAGAGAAGAGTGTGTCAGTCATCTCGCTCGTCTTTGTGATCCAAACAGAAGAATTGAACAGAATACGTTGATGTAGAGTCACACGTGAAGGATCTTTTGTCCCATTGAAACTCACCATTTGTATCCAGGGATTGCTGCTACAGCCCCAATAAATAGCATTCTCAACGTTCGACTACCATCGTAGCGTTCTCCGCCCAGGTCCTGCGCCAGGAGATCTCCAGCAAAATATGTAGTCAACGTTGTGCATAGCTGCACTGTGTAGGGTCTCTTCAGCTGCGTCTTATGGAACCAGTTGAAGAACGTAGATACCGGTCCTAAACGATGGTACCATAATTGGATCGGAATGTCGACCGGCTCTGCCTTTGAAGGTTCTGTGCCATTGGATTCTTTCTGTGTGGCATTTCGAGAGGACTTGTTCCCTGGTCCAGGTGCATCATGTGGCTTTTGGGGAGGAGGTTCTGATTTCGATGTGGTGTTTCTGTACTGGCTCTGATGCGGGCGTTGACCGTACCGCTTTCGGGGAACCCTTGCTCGTGTCCATAGCGGTCTGGCACCCAGGTTCACGGATGCCCGCTGCAATAAACTCATTGTATCATGAACGGCATGTCTTGTAACAGATGGTCGATGGTTGCCATGTCCGATGATTGTCTTGAGCAGCGTTCCAAGTCCAGAATTGCGCAAGCGCTGGCCTATAAAATTCTCTGTCGTGCGGGAACTGTCTGTACGATGAGCATGGCAGGGCAAAGTCGGAGAAGAGCCCGTAAGCCTCGGGCCCTCCTGCCCAATGACGAAATTTCGGGGGAGCCAAAATCTTGTTCGGGGGGTTAACGATTCCAGATCATCGGCGTCCGGAGGCCCTAATGCAGGCACCACATCCCCTCACAAAGGACAGACTGGGGGGATGGTTGGCTGGGGAGCAGTCTACTGGCGATGCCTAAACATGGCACTGCTCTTCCTTGAGAGATTTAGGCATCGATATCTACGAGAAACAAGATGGAAATCAAATCCATGACACGAAAATTGATGTGATGACGCGGATTTGATTGTCTCGACGTCTATCTGTATCTTTGACGCTTGTCTGCTCAGTGCAAGGCCATGTCTGTATGGACAACTTGCAGATTGAAATGCTGATTTACAAGCAGAAAACGCCAGGTCCCATACCCCCATTGATGAATATTTGTGTCAAGCAATACAAATCCGTTGTGATTCATCCCATGCGCCGTAGCAACTTCGTAAAACCCCTCCCATAAGCCATCATGATCAGTCAGTCCTGAAGACCTAATGTCTCACTGGTGATACTGGTGATCCATGTCATGTCCAAGAGCGAGAGAGCCGATCACATTTAAGATCGTTCACCACGGAGACGACGGGCGAGCTGGATGTCCTTCGATTGGATGGTAACACGCTTGGCGTGGATGGCGCACAAGTTGGTGTCTTCGAAGAGAGAGACGAGGTATGCCTCAACTGACTCTTGAAGAGCGCCGATGGCAGACGATTGGAAGCGGAGGTCAGACTTGAAATCTTGAGCGATTTCACGGACCAGACGCTGGAAGGGAAGCTTTCTGTAATGGATGTTAGCCATGAATGATCAACGGCGACGATGAGGATGATGCACGAACCGGATGAGCAACTCAGTAGACTTCTGGTAGCGACGGATCTCTCGGAGAGCGACGGTACCAGGCTTATATCTGTGAGGCTTCTTGACACCTCCGGTGCTGGGTGCGGACTTGCGAGCCGCCTTGGAGGCAAGCTGCTTGCGAGGGGCCTTGCCACCTGAGATTGAAGTCAGTATGCGATGAAGCGACAGCGATGATGATGACGATGATAAAACATACCAGTGGATTTACGTGCAGTTTGCTTGGTACGTGCCATTTTGATGGTGTTGATGAAAAGATTGATGAAAGAGGTTGCTGAATGAAGATGTGGTGTGAGGCTGGATAAGGAAAGAAAGCCAAGTTGGTGGAAGTGGGCGGAAGAGAGATATTTGTAGGGAGGGGGGAAAGAGTGGGTGATGACTTGGCAGGCGTGATCTGATCCAGGCAGCGGCAGGCGGCAAGAGTGAATGATGAGATCAAAGGCCTTGGGAAAAACTGCCAAAACAAAGTGATCAGATCAAAGCAGTGTTAATGATCCCAAACACGGCCATATTTTGGCTGTGATTCAGAATTCCTGCCAAATCAGGACCGTTTTAGGTTTGGCCCACCCGTGTCTGCGAGACTTGGCGTACCACCTCAAGATCTCTCGACCTCAATTACTGCCCTTAATCCCCAGCAACGATGATTAAACAGCAATAATAATTAATGAAATCACTGTGCAATCTGTCGCATGAGTCACAAAAGCATTCTACCAAAAGGATCAATTTTCCTCAATTTTGGTGGGCGAGAGATCATCATATCAGTGACCGGGGAGGCAATAATGGGCAGCTAGTGATGCTGAATTCTGATTGGCTCTGATCCGGCACGCACTGGTTGATCTGAGGTTCGCTGCTGGGGTGCATAAGTCTCCGCCCGCCACGCCCCAATTCAGACAGTTCCCTCTTCTTATCCAACCATCACAAGTCTTCAACACTCATCCATTCTATCTCTTTATTTCCAACTTCAAAGCTTTTTAGCTTCAACCCTCTATCAAAATGACTGGACGCGGCAAAGGTGGCAAGGGTCTCGGAAAGGGTGGTGCCAAGCGCCACCGAAAGATTCTTCGTGACAACATCCAGGGTATCACCAAGCCTGCTATCCGACGTCTCGCTCGTCGTGGTGGTGTCAAGCGTATCTCCGCTATGATCTACGAAGAGACACGAGGTGTTCTCAAGACCTTCCTCGAGGGTGTCATTCGTGATGCTGTCACATACACTGAGCAGTAAGTTCTCTTGAGCTTCATCAACACTTGAATACAATATTAACATCCTGTTTCAGCGCCAAGCGAAAGACTGTCACATCTCTCGATGTTGTCTATGCCCTCAAGAGACAAGGCCGCACCCTCTACGGTTCGTACTTTGCCAATTCACGTTTATTTGGGCTCTATCTGACTTTTGCCAGGTTTCGGTGGTTAAACGCATCACTCTGATGGAGCTTTTCACGAAATCATCACATGGATTGTCCATGTCTGCCATCATCTATGGCATGGCAATCCCTTCTTTTGCTTTGATAGTTCCGGAGTGGTTGGGTTACGCAAATCGGTTTTACAAACTGGGGCTGCAGGGTCATGGTTATGATGGGATGGTAAATCACCTAAAGTGTCTTGATGTATCATACAGGCACAACAGTGCATGAATAGCCTGGGCGGCGTTTGCAGATGGGCTATGCCATGACATAAGCATCAGCACCAATATGAATCAAAGTGTCAAAGCAATTGTCTTTTCCGTGTAGTCATCCTTGCGTGTACTTGTTCCTGTCTGGCTTGGGTGACGCGTTACTGCGGACGTGTCCTGTGGTTGTTTATGTCTTGATGTCTAGCTGCCCGGGTCGGTACTCTGGGCTCAGTACGCCTCTGGCTCGTCTTGTCAATGCTGTTGCCTAGCCTGGTCAAACCACCCAAATACGCATGACTCGACAAGCCCAGCACTTCAGTAAGACTCGTCGCTTCACACAGCAATTATGACACATCGATCGATGCCAGGGACTCCTCGTGACTCTTTCAAGGAAGCCGCAACCATTTCACTGTAATACTGGTACGAGACAAGTGTGTTCCGGGTTCCATGTTCGAGTGCCTTCACGCTGTGTCCATGGGCATCGGTTCAGTTGGTGACGAGGGTCTATTTGAGTCACGAGGTCGGGGAAAGTGTGTAGGCGACCACTATCGTTTGTATTGGATGCTAGGTGTAGTCATGTCAGACACAATTCATTCATTGTTGATCAAAGTCACTCCTGGTACTCGCGAAACATGCCGCAATTGGTAACCTTTGGAACGCCCCAGATTCTCGACTTGTGGACGAGGAAGGCAGTGTTTTCCTTCTGCGGTAAACGTGGAGGGTGAGTAATCCATGGTCCACAGACGAACAGAGTACCAGTCCGCCCGACCTAGGGTAGTCTTCGGCCAAGGTCGCATGAGGGGTTTCACTACAGGTCGAGGCTGATGTGAGTGATGTCGCAGTCAAGTGGATGCATACGTTGGCATGGCGTAAAGAGTGTTAAATGGATGTTGCGATCTATTTCCGTGGAGGTTGACAATGTGCGATGGGGGAACAGCCACTTCTGTATATTTTTATTCATCCCGAGCTTGGCAGCAACAAAGCGAACTTCTTGATGCACCATATTTGTCAAAGTCGAACCAGCATCCCTCCTTGAACGAGATGCAATGACCGATATAGGGGAACACGATTTAACCGTAGCAGAATTGTTCATTTGCCTTCCTTCGCAACTAGCAAAGCGCAGAGAATGGTAAGTCGTGAGTCAACCCGATTCTCCGTTCCTCGGCCCCCTCCAGATCACATTTATTGCAGGCCTCAGAGAGGCTAGTGATCTAGAATAACTGTATTTTCATCACCTGAGTATTCTGGAATTGACCTAGAGTAATTCCTGGCTCCCCGGAGCTTTGAAAGAACCAGAACCAAACACCCAGTGAGCATTCGCAAGGGCTTCTAACTGTAACCTTGGCTTGCGACGAGGCTGACGATAAACCAGCCCACCAGCGTGCGACTCTGATCTATGTTGGCCCCTAGCTTTACCTCGGCCCAGTCTTTTGTGTGAAACGCATTGCCAGAAACGTATACGAAATGAACTTGTGTGATGCAACAACACAAAATCACGAAGTAACCTTGCACATGTGAATGATACGACACAGAGCGTTGGTAATGGCCCCCCACTAGTATCTAGTTCAGCCTGAATGGAAATTAACCTGCAGCTTGACTATTAGGTAGACTGTAGTTGATGTATGACTGTAGGCAAATGCGGCTGTAAGGCTCTCGCCTCCACCTACCCGATTTTGATTTTCAGGATCTGGAGGGCACCTAGCCAGACCAAACTCGCCAGCAGAAGTTTGCTCGTATAACATCACACATGACTAGTTACGTACACAGATACGGAGATAGGACAGAGTCTGAGCCTGCGTAACAATAATGAAGACCAAACAAGCGCGGCGAGGCTCAGCTGGGTACCACGAGACCTGAAGATAGAACAGGTGCTGAAAGCGGAGTCGGTGAGAAGTTCCATGGGCGGGTACCTCAAGTTCAGGGTCCCACAAACTACCAGCATTCCCCAGATGTGGCGATCTGTGGCGGTGCGTGCAGCGCAACTGATCGTCATTTGCAGATGGTCATTATTATTGTTGTTGCTGGTGATTCATTCAAGCTGAACAGGGTAGCCACGAACGCTCACGGCAGGTGACAGCGATCGCGGCTGCGCTGGTCTAGAAACGTGGCTAGGATTCTGTCAAGGACGCAAGACACAAATCAAGAAAGGAAGCGCCGATCACCAGTGTAGCGCAAACGACTCATGTGCGCTGAAGATGTACGTGAAGCAAAGATCGACTTAATACCCAGCACCTCAAGGGACCGGAGTGCCCGAAAGACATGGATAGCCGATGTGCAAAAACTTGTTTAGCACAGGCAAACCTGAATTCGAACTGACATTGTGGCTGGTGAAACATGGTCCAAAGAAAGTCGACATTGTTTTCCGTGGCATACACGCAATCCGTACATGAAATTTTCCCACGGCGGCAGCGCCTAAATGGGGATTTCTTCTGGGGCTGCTATTCAGGTGTACCAGGGCATGGGCATGCCTGTTAAGGCTAGAACCTTGGCAAGGAGAAAGAACCAATGGGTAATACATGTACAGAGTATCCAGATAATTATTTGTTTACGTATAGGTAGGGCCACAGACCGCAGGGCTGAGCTGGAAAGAAGAACTTTACTGGGGAAAGGCCGTAAAGCAGGTAGCGGCGGGCTCCGAGGGTAGCCGCGGGGGGATGTTTTCTTCATTTTGTTACTGGATACGCTGTCCACATACCGTTTGACAAATAAAGTTTCTCCAATCTTGGCCATCTGGTCGCTAACCTCCGAGGTGCAGGCATCCCTGTTACGCACTCTCAGACATCCAGATTCGACTCCGCTTATTCGTCCGAGACCCATGATCATCCGTCAAGTGGATACGCCGACGTGCAGTTTTTTTGACTTGAGGACGACTGCCGAGCGACCTAGATCACCGGCCTAGGGAAGCCTCGATGAAACGGCAGCGCGGCACGTTCCTGCGTCTGCAGGTCACCGACACACAAGTCCCTAGAGAAAAGTTCTAGAAGAGACGTGCAGGGAGTCCATGTGGGGGTCGTCCACTTCCTTTCTAGCACATGTGCACTTCGTATTATTGCACTGTTTGACGGAAGCATTCTCCGAAGACGTAGCAGTCTGAATTGTCTGAATTGGAAGTGAGTCTCATCGTGTCTTGATCCATTGTCGATCATTCGCCAAACGACCTCTGCTTTAGCCCAAACTTGGAAGATGATCCGAGCAACTGCATCAAAGCAAGAAACATCTCCATTCAAACACAGCCTGATCTGACCACTCATAGACTAGCTTGTGATCATCAACGCTGAAATCAAATCCAAAGCCACGCTGACTGACGTGCAATACTACCGATACGCACAGTATTTGATACTGGACTTGTCTGGGCTTCGTGACAGTGAGCGCGTGACAATATGACTCTGGTAGCCTAGCAGACTTTTTTGGCCTCGTGACCATGAATGGAAAGTGTAGAATTCCTCGGCGGAGTTGTTAGCTGACTGAGAATTGTCGCAGCCTTGGGAAATATGTCCGTATAGATCCATGAGGGACGCCTCACGTAAGATCCGGAACATCGAAGGACCGGTGATGAGAGTTATGGCGAGTATCGAGGAGTTTTGACGTCGACGGCGTTAGGTCTGAAAATTTGTAGGTAAGGTTACCTCCGGACAACGCAAGCTGACCACAGACTTAGTGTGCCTAGGTGACCTAGGTAGGTACTTACCAGCCCTATTACTACGTGTAACCGTAGGCGCCTACAATGTCTAACTTAGGTACCAAATCTGGGGGTGACATTACAGTACTACGTACCAGATCGACGGAATGCCGCGTGTACGAGACCTTGGCAGTCGATAAAAATTGCATGCGATTGGTCTCGAGCCGCACAGCCACAGCAGTGACGGGGGCAGTGATACTGGATAGGAAGTTCAATGAACTAGCGTTGCGAAAGTTGGTATTTGCATACAGCCCCAGAAAAACGGCCTTGCTGGCTCGGGCACCGCGGGATCCAACAGATTTACCTTTTTACGATCGTGCAAATTTCAAGATTTGGGTTTCTCCAGAACCATGGATAGATGGAAAGGTACTTTGGGAAGTGTGTCTGAACATGCATCGTTTAGGATAACCTCCATGATTTACATAGGCCAGGTGTGAAGTCCGTGGATGACCGGTGCACTAAGGTGTCAATCAAGCAAGAGGAATTTGATTTCCGTGTCCAGGCCAGAAGAGGTGAGAGATCAATACAAATACTCTGTGTTGAAGCGTTTTCCGAGTTGAGGACATGCGTCCGGATCCGGCAGAGTTGAGACTGAAAAGGTTGTGTGCAACTGTTCTCCTAAGGAAGCGCCGGCCCAGATCCGGGCATGGTAGGAGCAGTATCACCACGCTGCTTTGAACCACCTAGGGCTTGTGAAAGGCTGATCGTAGGACCTTCTAGCAGCGTCTGGCCCGGCTATTATTGATGCCTAAGAGTTAATTGTAAGCTTCTAGGTGGTTCGAGTAAAGGCCAGGTGGTTAGGTACCTAGGAAGCAGCGCCTAGCAGTGTCGATGGTGTGGTTCGTACAACCAACATCTGTCAATTTCCGCGGGAGTAGGCCTACGTCCGTGCCTACATGCCGGTATGAGGGATTGGAACTTAGGTCAAATCTTTGGTACGGTATGGTACGGTATTAGGTCGGGGGGATCGGTGCAGCTGCCTGTCACAGCTTTGACATTACAGGCTCAATCAAGTAGGCTGCCGAGGCGGCTGAGAAGTTTTTCCATTGGCGGGTAAAAGCGGTGCCAGCGAGTAAAGACAAGACTGGGGCCTGGACTGCGATTAATCGCTCGATCCTTGTCGGCAAAGTCTACTTGTCGTTTTCTCGTGCTTCCATTTGAACATCCCTGTCACTTGTTTACGTCACCTTGGATTATCATGGCATCTCGCTCAGCAGAGACTGGCATTACACCCACCCACCCGGGCTGACCCTCGGTGTGGTCGGTGTCATCGCAAGCCATGCCATGCCAGCGCCATGCGATCATGAACATTGGCCCTAGCACTGCATGATGCATGATTTGCTTGGGAGTCTGATGGCTTTTTCAGGGTCCTAAGATCTCATGCCAGTGGCTTGTCCTGTTTCGCTGCTCTGTTCCGGCCGGAACACGATATGCACCCAACACAACGTCGATTCCTCAACAACCGTGTGATGCTACATGCGAGTCCCGAGTAGACTTACCGTTTCGAGAAACATCAGAATTCCCGTCTTCCTTGTCTACCATTGTACATTATTAACAACGCTCCGCCGCCTTAAACCCGCGCTCTAAAGAGGAGCCTTCACTACTACCACGCCAACTCTTTATTGTCTCAATTCTTGTACATCTGCGCATAATTGTTACTACTACCCACTCATCCACTCGGACTGAGCCCCCGTCCCCCCTACCAATCCCTACCACGGTCGCCGCGATTGGTACTCACTATTCTACTCTCTTCCACTTTGGTCTTTGCTCGGTACTCGCTCCGGCGTGTATTCAAATATCCATTGTCGTTTTCAGTTTGCCACTTTCCTCCATCTAATCTTGCCCTCCCATTTTCCTGATACGACAAAACGCCTACGTACGACTGAGCTCGATACACTCACATCGTTCATTACCAATCCTCTCTCTGTCGACTATACAAACAACGGTACAACCCTCTGACGGTTGTATTTCAACTTTCCCACCGCCACCCATCACAACACAACCCATTAGTATCGTCGCAAGCAGAACATCATCAATCGATGCCAACGCCCCAAACGACTCAAGCCACCGTTCAGATCTACTCGTCGAGTCCCACGCCAACGCCCCAGGTTGCCGACCCTGCCTCACAATCCCCCATGCTCGCTCAGAGTCAGCTCGGAGGAGGTTGGAACGACGGGTACAACCAAGGCCCCTTCCTCAGCGCCTTACCCAGGACATTCGACCAACGATTCCACAAGAGAGGTTCATCTGGGTCGTCAGTCGCCTCCGCTGGCCCCCCTTCGCCGCTCAACCCAAACGTTATATATCCCCACATTGTCGCCACCTCAGATTCCAATTTTCCCACATCCTTCGACTTTGATTATACCCAGACTCCACACACCGCAAAGTCGGAATCGACAATCATGTATCCAACACACACTGGCTACGGAGCCATTGATATGAGAAGGATACAATCCACAGGTGGCGACGAGCGCTCCTCATACAACCTGTCGGCGCCTCAGTCAGTGTCGACAATGAGTCACAACTCACCATCAACACCTCACACAACCTACGAATCTCAAGACTACGATATGAAGGACCAGAACATCTATGGTGAGATGGACGGCGTTGATGCGCAAATGTTCGACTACTTACAGTTCGATGCAGGCTACCCTTCAGGAACGACTGCTGCCTATCAACAAGCACTACATGATGTCTTTCCAACAGAGTTTTCTCAGCAACAGCTGGCTTATAACCAGGCACAGCAAAACATGCAAAGACTCAACATGGCGGCCGCTCCACATCGGCAGACCATGATGGCGGAAAGACTACAGGCTGCACAACAAGATCATCTGCGCACGAGTTCGCCCACCTCGAACCCACGAGAGAAGTCTCCCTTCCGTCATAACTCGCCTTACATGGCGGCGCCGCAGCAGAGACAAGCGCCACCAACGCTACAAAAGCAAAGGACATCAGTCTCGCCAAAGGAATTGATGCTGGACGAGCACGACATTGATGACAATGCCACACCACTATTTTCTCAGGATCACGCTCAAAGCATGTTTGGCAACCGTCGCACCGCATCAAGTCTATCGCAATTCTACACACCTGATTCCTCGATGCAGGTTCCCCAACAATACCCGTTTATGAGTCAGAACCGATCACCTCTCAACTCGGGCTTGCCAGACATGAATCCTGAATTCCCAGCTCACATGATCTCAATGGAGTCAACAGCAGATGAAGGTTCTGTTCCATCGAGTCAACAATCCGTACAGTCTCGCGCACAGCCTCAAGTCACGCCTCGTCAACATCAGACAACGATAGAACGATCGAAGGACACGTCATCTGACTCGGGCACCTATTCGTGCACCTACCATGGGTGTCATCAGAGATTCGAGTCACCTGCCAAGCTTCAGAAGCACAAGCGTGAGGGTCATCGGCAGACGTCACCTACGTCATCGCAATCGCCAAATCTAGCCCTTCGAAATTCGCAGGCCGGGCCCCACCGATGTGACCGGATCAACCCCAGTACTGGAAAACCTTGTGCCTCGGTCTTCTCACGGCCATACGATCTCACCCGTCACGAGGATACTATTCACAATGGCCGCAAACAAAAAGTGCGCTGCCATTTGTGTACCGAAGAAAAGACCTTTTCGCGCAACGATGCACTCACTCGACATATGAGGGTGGTACACCCCGATGTGGACTGGGTCGGCAAGCCCAAGCGAAAATCACCGAAATAGGTATGAGGTATTTTTGGCGCATCGCAGGTCTGGTCAGTGATCAGTGATCACTTTACACCGTTTCCTTGGCCTTTTGGCGTTCTTTGATCCACCGTATTTTTCAACCCCGCGCTCACCAGGCAATTTGTCTGTATCATATGACTGAGCTGCGGACTTGTTTCTGTCAGGGGACATTTGAATGGATTTTTGCCGACGAATTGAATGAATTTTTCTTGGCCAAGCAGGCACGGCGCATAATTAATGCGACGACGATCGATGAGGGATGAAGGGCGAATTTTGCGTTGCGTTTGCAGAGCAGTGAGGTCCTGCTCAGGTTGCATCAATACCAGGCATTGTCAGAGGTTAACGTCATGCATTTTTGCCAGAGGTCAATCAATCAGCGGTTTCAATTTGGATGATGTTATTTGGTTCAGGGTCCCGTTTTGGATTGGGATCTGATCTACGACTAAGAGGCGGTTATAGAAAAAGTGTCAACATGGGGGGGTCAAAAAAAGGCATCGCGTCCATAGAATGTACAACACGGTGACGAATATCTTATAACGGCGTTGCTCTCTGGCAACTGGACAGGACAGTATTGAGAGCTTGACCCCGAATCAGGGGCTGTACATAGCTAGATGATCAATGATTTCTTGTTTTTGTCAACATCTTTGTGTACATGTTCATTCGTCAGATGCGAACTCGTTGATTTGCATTGGTCACAGTTGCACATCGATTCTAATGACGTCATACAAATAGCTCACACTAGCCATTTATAGCTTAGTCACATGTCATCTGGTCACGTGTGTGATTCTGTCACGTGGTGGTTGCGTGGTTCTTGCACGCTGGATCTCCCTGGGCGAGGTTGTCCATGATTACTTTGACTGTAGCTGACCACAGATCTGTTACGCATCGTTGATTTCCAACCAAGATTACATACGTTTTTGGTCCAACTCATCATACTTCCCTTCCTGGTATTAGCTATTCTCTCTGATCCAAATGATTTAGCACCACGGTCACAACGGTATGCACGTCAAGCCCACGCCGAGACGGATGAGACTATTTTTATTCGGATATCCAATGTCCGATCCGAAGGAACCTACAGTGGTATGGATTTCAAAGCAAGCCGGAGCACTCGTCTTTTTGCTCTCGCTCCAAGACTAACGACATGTGTTTCAGCACGATCGATCGAAGTCGGCATCCTGCAAGTCCTGCCCCATCTGCACTGCAACCACACACCGTGGAAAGACGGTCCTCGCATGGCCGCTGTCCCCCACAATCCAATATGACCAATCTTAGCCAACACGGGGACATCATAAACCCCAGCCGCGCGGCAAAATTCACAATTAGCCTTATGTGAGTTCTATACGACACTACTACAATGGGTTGATCCAGGACGTGCCCAGCCTCGTAGTGACTGCCCAAGATAGCCCAGACGGACCGACAAGGGGCAAACCAGCCGCAGGATACCTTCTCTTTGCCAGATCGTGTATCAATTACGAAACAAAGATAATTGTCTGACAGCCATCAACAACGGTTGACCACGGTGCTGTAGCTAGGTCTCCACTCAATATAGACTACCTACTCCGTAATGCTTCACGTCAAAGCCTTATGCGGAGCTTCCTGCCTACCACAAGGCTACCCGAGGGACACGGGAAAGTGGAAAGCCGATAGGATCGATTGTCACACCCTAGAGCTCAAAAGGATCTCGTTTTCCATGCCAAAGAGGCGCTCAAGCGACAAAGTTCCAAGCCGGCGGCAGAGATTATATCTAGATGTGCCAGTCTCGGCAGCTGCTGCATACGGTAGGAAGTTCGCCTATCGCCGACCATGGAAGACGGAACCTAAGCTGGACATAATATGACCGTCAGGCTAGACTGGCGAGGACAACTATACCCCGAATGGGGTGACCTTGTCTAAACATACATACAGACGCCAAAGGACAGGCAAGAGTCCAAGGATATGCACAACGTGGTGGACATGTTGTCTACCCCAGCTCCATGACATGGAATCATCAGTCATCCTCGCTCGCAGAGGTACTGCATATGTGCGCCTATATGCCCGTCGCTGGGGACATTGGATGGGCAACCTGCACTGGCACGAGAACCAAGAGTGAACCAGGTTGCTTAGGCTAATTGACGAAGCTGAGCCAAGACGAAGTCCTGCCTAATCTGGCCTTCCAGCCAACAGCCTATATCGCTAGTTGCGTCGTACCTTGCACGGAGCGATCCAAGGTGTTGGTATTACAATATCAAGCAGTTCAGCATTTTTGGCAGGTATTCGGCGCTGGGAAGCAGTTAGTCGCTTCTGGAATAGATATGTGTCACACGGTGAGGCTGGGTGATCAAACTCCCAGCAAAGGCCAGAAAAAGCGAGACATTACACGGTCTTTGACGCTCGGCATGATGGATCTTCCCGAGCCCTCTTACCTGATTCTGGAGTCACCGAGTACTTACTTACCTACGAGGAAAGTTAATAGGGGTTTTTGGTTGACTGGAGATCGTGTTGCTGGTATTGTTGGCATCATGCGAGAACAGACGTCAATGCATGCAGATCAGGCAAGCGAACATGAACATCTTGCTTGTTTAGTGATTACGAATCCGGGCTCTTGAAATAGGCGGATTACTCTTCCAGGTCAACAGCGACAACCACTTGAAGAATGGAGTTGAGGTTACAGACGGGATATGATACCCGCCCTGGATACGAAAGCCTTGCTTGGTGAGATCAGCCCTCAGCGTCTAGGCCCCTCGGCCCGGTGGTGGGGGGTTCATCCGCCCTCAATTGGCCCAGGGGTTTTCCCGGAAAGGGTCCGTCTCTGAGGTGAAGCAGCACCTAGGAGTAGTCATCTGGGCACCCCGCTATACTGATTAGGTAGGTAAGTTGTGTCTTGCCTGTGGTACGTATCATGTCACCGCAGATCTGCAGTGTGTCGAGAGCCCGAGTGGCCCATACTACCTTGGAGACGCACCAATTTCAGCCGCCTAGGATAAAATCCCCGATGAATGAAAAACAAAAGTGGTGCAGGTAGCATTGAAATTGTCCAAGTCTTTCATCAACCCCATGCAGTCAGTTCAAGGTGTGATTGTATATGCAGGCGCAAATTGCTTCTGTGGACACTTGGGTGAGGCCAGGTCAGGTCAGACTAAGTAAAGTCAGGGCCGAGATATGCGAATGCCTAATTTAGTCCCCAAGGCGTTGAAAAACTTTGTACTGGCGACTGTCTTTCTGCCGGACGGACATGTGGCATGACTTTTCCAGCAACCCAGAAGAAGAAGGTTCAAGTTTCCCATGTCACGCATGAGGTGCAGGTGTTCATGTTGTGATGGGAAAGGAAACTCAAGTCGGCACCGATTCGGCCCTCTCAAAATGAAGCCACAAAAGGTCAATTTTGCAAGTTTTGCGTGGTATGTACGACAGTCGAAGTATTTCAATGATCAGAAACTTTGTTGAAGTCGGACTACATCCGGACTCAACATTAGAGTCTCGGTTCGAGTAGTTACTCATGATCCATTTATGTATAGGAAAGTGCCCTGAGGTGTTGTACACAAAGTAGCCTGAATGATGATCTACACACGGCAAACTTACTGTTGACTACTAAGAACCTATGTAAATTATGACAATTACTGGAAACTGCGTTCCTAAGTTTTGTCGAAAATGCGCCTTTTGTAATTGAAAGAAGTCGTTGGACGGTGGAAATGATTCTTCCCTGTTGACTAAACCAACAAGACCTGTCTTGCATGGTCGACAGAGTTTAGGTATCTGCTGCCATTCTCCATCTTGAATACCTAGGTACACAGTACATATCATGCCACTCTGCAGTTGACTCACCTCAACAACGCTATTCCAAGCCATACGAGTCAGAACACGTATTTCATCCTTTCCTTCAAGGTTCCAGGAAATCTTCTTCCATAAAAAACTAATATCGCCCGTGTATTGATCGATTAGACTTCTCCCATGCTCTCTATCCGCATAAGAGCATTTTCCATTCCACGTACGAATGCTTTTTCTGTTCGGCGACGAGCGGCCGACGGCAATTATTCGGAAGCCGTGGGCTGAGAAGAGCCGTCGATCAACCCGTAGGTTAAAAATCAATTGCTAGATCCTTAGCTTTACCTGGTATGTGCCCCAGACGCTTAGTTACGGTAGACGCATACTTTAATAGGCATGGGTACCGACTGCACCTACATCAACAAACTTAGTATGCGTAGGTAAGCCATTAATGTATGTAGGTCGGTTGTGCACGACGGAAAATTACTAAGGAAGTACTAAGTACTCTATACATACTGCTACTTACTAGTAGGACCTTACATCCGGAATCGAGGTCTGCATAGAAACAAGAGACATGGATTGATTACCTACCTAGTTAGCACCTACTCAGTGACCTGAATAGTGCGGAATCAGAAGAACATGTCTGTGCTGCAGCCACCAAAAAAACCAAACCGAACTGCATCTGCATCTATCTACCCCGAATGAAAGGAGCACTTTCCAAATCGAGGATTCGTAGATGGCAGACCACTTGAATTTTCGTTGAACAGACGTCGGCGACAAACATCCCTGAGGGCTGGCATGCACTGACTGCATGGAACAAGGTCCATGATCGGCAATCGAATTGAATCACGTCTGGACATGTCGGCAGAAGTCGATTACCTAGTAAAACGCCACATGGGTTGTCTAATTGGACTTTTCGGCAATGGCGGTTCTAAGCGGGTAAAGAACTCTAGCTCGGAAGCCGTCAGCGAGTGGGAAAAATGATCGCCGGAATAAAAATACGAGGTGGAGTGGGTAGTGGGACGAGAATATCGCGGATGGGGAACTTGTCGAACTCTTTTCTGGCACTTTTGTGACAACTTGAACACTTACAGTCAGTAGATAGGTGATGTGTGCATTTTCGCACGACCCTCGTGGCCCCGGTGCCCCCCACGAAATTCAACATTCCCGATCATCTTCACTACGGCTCATTCTTGAGTTTACATGCACTCCAGGACTGATTCATTCTAGGTAATGTTTCCATTTTGCTATGCGTACACTATTAGTACCTAAGTACTTTTCAGTATACTAATCAATGTACCTTATGTAAGATCAGTACCTATGTACCTAAGTAAGTACCTACAGCTAGTGCTTAGTTAAAGTACCTTGCTTTTACCTACCGAGAGGGAAGGAACGAAGCCCACATGGCAGTCGATGACTAAACTTTTCAATCAATCAATACAGTAGTACTAACGTAATCCCACCTGGCATTTAAGTATTCACATGCATGCAGAAAATCTGCATCGCGCCAACGGCCATGCAGAATGCAGTGGATGGATATGCGAAAGCATCCATTCATCCATCCTTCGGCCAAATTTCAGATTTTGATACCCGCACCGGCCAAAAGGCGTCTCCACCAACCATCGGCGGATCATCCCTAAGTTCTTTCCCCTAGCGCCTGGAATTAGTCCCGTCCTTAGTTGTTTCTGTCAGACCTCGGTTGGCTTCGGTACTTGATTCGCATCCTCTACGTTATTGATTATGTTTTTTTTGCGTTCAGCTGCAGTACCCGACGGATGGGAATATGTAGAGACCAGCGATGAACCTTGAGCTTTGAAAATCCAGGTTCCCTACTAGTGCTTTTGTCAGAAATTGTTTTTTCACATCAGGTTTTCGTGTATTCAAAATTACTAGTACTTACTTACTTAACATACAAACAGGATTTCAAGGTCAGCAACACACCTCACACGGGACCGTTAGTGGTGGTGTACGAGACGGGAGTTGATTGTTCGATTGTACGATCTTTCAAGTTCAAGTTCTTTCCGTTACTGAGATGTCGCTACTGCACATAACCCGCATTTTCTGTGCATGTTCGTGTGTCGCTCAACGCTTTCGAGGCTGCGTACAGGCAACCTGTTGAACTTTCACAACTCCCCCAAAACGATTCTAACCCTGAATCTGTTCTGGTTGGAGCCCATTGACGCTGCCTCCAAGCCGTTGAATCTGATCTGATTGAAGTTGGAAGCTCCGACCTCTTGAACCTGATGAACCGGAGTTGTCGACCCTACCGATAGTAGTAGTACTACTTTACTTAGGTACTTTAGTACTTACTCAGGTACTAGAGCTTGCTGGAATTGTGCCTGGACCCGTCGAACCTGTTCCGACGCGTACTAACATAGGCGATGCTGCAGTCGTACCTAATGATTTAGTCATCCCGTCCTGCGTTTATGCGTCGAGCCCACCCACCATGCTGTCGTCGGTCGCTCCTTCCCCAGATTCTCATTCATGATCTCTTGGCATGTGGCTGGTGCGATTCCGCTCACCGGTCACGTGAAACCACTAGTACCAATTAAGAAATCCAGTGACTCGTTAGCATGAAATGAGGCTGTATTGTAATGTATATCTATAGGGTGTTCTGGAATTCCAGCGTCTCTAGTATCCAGGAGGTCGAATTAGAACCAGAATTGATCAAAGTTTCAGTCGTAGGCATTGACTTTAAGTATGAACCTCTTTCTACTCTTCTAAGGTGTCTAGGGTTGAGCCTTGAGCTGCTACCGGCCTGAAGGCGAGCGCTGCCGCAGTCTGGCTCCCGTATAGACTTAATATTAGCCCGGTCTGAATCTAGCACCATGTCGAGCTGGATGAGGCACAGGGCTGACACCGCACTAGGTACTTAGTACTTACTTACTAAGTAGTAAGTAAAGTAAGTACTTTAGGTACTAGTACTTACTTAAGACTCCGAAGTCTATAGATCGAAGTTGAAGCCTTAGACACTTCAAGATCACTCGGGCACTGTAGTTCCGCTATAGCTCAAAGTACAGTACTAGTAGTAGCTTAGTACCCTACCTACTAGGACTTTTCAGGTAAGTTCGTAAATCGGGGTTACTGACTTTGTTTGAACCCGCCTCTATTTGAAATCGACTCTGAGCCAACTCTGAACCGACTCTGAACTGCCCGTGATTCTGATCTGACTCGGGGTTGACTCAAGGCTATAACCACGGGCAGCATCAACTCGAGTCAACTCGGGTCAGACTCGTTTTAGACTCGGTCTGAAATCGATTCAGAATCGCTTTGAAACTTGGTCAGCCCTGACTCATGGTGCTTAGATCCTGGTTGACACGATTCAACCTGGTTCAGCCCGGTTCAACTCAGGTCAGCCTAGGCTAGGTGCCAGACTAGGCCAGCTCACCTCAGCCCGAGCTGGTGACGGGCCAGAGTGAGCCAGCCCGGGCTGATTCTAGGCTCGGCCTGGTCTCAGCCTGGACTGGTATAGGGCTTAGCCCGGGGTAGCACTCTATAGAAGGCTCGACTAGGGACTAGAGTGAACTTCTACATTAAGTACTTTATAAGTAGCACCTATACGGTCAACGTTCACGATTTCAGCGGGAGTTCAGTGCTAAATTTGCCACTTATTCAACGTTCTAAGAGATTTAGCCTACGGATGAGAGTCTAGACGGGATTCAATTGAAACTTCAAACCAGTTCTGGAGAAATTGAAGTCACCCAGGGGGCTCTGACTCGGAACTGAGCCACTCTAGGTCAATCACCGAGAGAAAACCTTTTATGCCACTCTGAGTAGTACTTGCTTGATACATATACTACTAGTAGTACTTACTTACTTACTGTACTTACCTACTAAGTACTTATATAGAGATACTAAGTACTTACTAACTTAAGTAAGTACTTAGCTTCAATACCGTATCAGATGTGGCATCTGATGCGGCATCTAAGTCAGAATCAACGCGGATTTGAAACGTGAATTCGTGTTGATTCTACTTCGAATTAGTAACAATACTGGACTTAGTAGGTATCAATCTATATACAGGGGCCAGTACTTATAGAAACTTGAAGGATCCATAACCGGGCAGGTCTAAATTCTAGTAGGTACTAAGGGTCAATTTAGAACTTGAACCTACGCGCTGAGATTGAGGTTTAAATGTCGCTCCCGGCTCGTCACAGCTCAAATGCCATATCAGACCTGCTGTGTCAATAGGGGCGCATCAGAGAGGGCATCAGAAAGATTAGGTATCAGGGAGCAGCATGAATCAGCATCAATACCGTCCCCGGGTTACTGGATTTGCAACATAGTATAAGCTTAGTACTTAAGTAAAGTACCTACTTACTGGTCTACTAATATTATATATCAGACAGGCAAATCGAGGACATGGGTAAACGAACTGAAGATATATACACTAGTCCATATACAGACAAGTGGAACACCCTAATCCCCTTTGGTCATTACTTCACACACATCCAACCATCTCCACCAGCAACGTCAAAGATCAACAGAAAAAAAAAACTCAATTCAAAATGCAAAAACAATCAACAGCCAGGATTCCCAAATGGTCACCCACTTTAGTACTAACTGACCGGCATGTGGCTTAAGTATGGCTGAGCGAACGGGAAGCCCTGTTCTCCACATCCTATGGTCGATTGCGAAAGAAAGTTGTTGGTATTATAATATATACATTTACTTGACATGCTTTTAGGTGTCGATTGGGGGGGGGGGGGGGGGGCCTCTAGCGCTTTCTCCCTTGAAAGATTAGGACACCTCCTTCGTCATCACTGTCTTCGTTGTCGGCCAAGGTCGTTTGGCCACTATTCCCTGTGGTAGCGGTTATATTACAACTGCTATGCGTGCTGATGCTGGTTTTCTCGCCGCTATGGTCGGGAACGGACAAGTCGATGTCGGCATCTAACGATGTATCGTAGTCCAATGGCTCGCCGTCGCTCCTTGCTGAAAACTGTGGACTATTCCTGTCCGCTTGGCAGTCAATCGATGATGGTGTAGATGATGCGTTGCCAATAGACTCGAAAGGGTCTTTGTCATCATCATGGATGTGGTAGGACTCAAGTGTAGTAGTATTAAGAACGACAGTCGTGGAATCAGCAAGTGTCCCTGTGTCCGGCACGCCGATTCCATGATGCATGATGGCAACGCTCGACATTCCGGTAGTTGAATCTGGCTCCTTTTTCCGCTTAGGCCTTCTCGACATGATCTGTTCTTGCAGGTCCAGACGGATTGGGATCAACATTGCCTGTAGCATCTTGAATGTGTGATGATTCTGTGGACGTGGCGCATTCGGATTTCGAGAAGCAGGCGGCAAAACGAGTGGAGGTGCCCATTGAATCCATAGATTTCCGTGAGTTGGTCGAGGAGAAAATCGTCCCGGATGGCATTGCATGTAGATGTGACAGCAGTAGCATGACGGTTTGCTACAGCCGATATATCGCTCATTTGCGGTGAATTCGAGACGTTTTTGATGGAAGTGCTCGAGGACGAGTAACTCGGCGTGTGGTCGTGGCTTGATTTTGGCATAGATGTCCCAAAACTCTTCCTGGATATTTGTCACATCATTGGTTGTAGCAAGAGCCTCGCAGAGCTCCTCAACCAGAGAATGTTGCGTTACAGGTAATGTGCGTCTCACAATGTCGTCCAGACTGGTCAGATTGCACTTGTTTGGTATGTCGGCTTTGTCACTTGTAACGATGACTCGAACCTGAGCACTTTCGAATCTTTGCGGGAAGGTCATCGCACCGCGGATCACTATACGAACAGCTTTGGTCCAGCTACCTAATCGACCGATGTGGTGACGAATGTCAGACCATACGCCACGATTTGAGTGTGCATGGTGATGTCGGTTAAGAATTTCCATAAGTTGGGTATGCTTCCGAAGATTGTAAGCATGAGAGCACAGTTGATCCGGCTTAGATACGAGAGAAGCCAGTCGCTTAATTTCATTCGAGAGGATCACAGCTATCAAGAATCAGCCTTGTCAATAACGGTTGAATGAATGTTGCTGCGCTTCTAACCTTCAGAGTCCGTCCTTTGTTTCAACATTCGTCTAGCTTCTCTTATGGCCTTCATGAGGAGTGATGAATACACCTTGATCCTTTGACTGCTGGACGCGAGGCATCGACTGAGGATATCATTTTCGACATCGGAAACTGGCTTTTGGGTGGTATGGATCTCATCCAGGAGCCCAAGCACCCGACTGAGGTGTTTTCGTGCTTTAGTTCTCGTCCTGGGTCTGGGGCAATTGGTCGCTAGCCAAAAGATTGGATATTCGGCATTCCTCTGGACAGCAATCGCCGTCACGGTATCTCCTCCCTTTTCAAAATCGCACAGGTATGCAAGTTGATCGAGAAAGTCGCGCCAAAGTGTTGCTTGCTCGTTGAAACTGGTATCCAATATTAGATCGGGCTGTTGCGCTCCTCGGCATGGATCCAGCACCTTCAGCAAAGTCAACGGTGCGTAGAAGCGACTGAGGAGTTTGCTGTTGGCATCGTACTGTCGGTGTTGTTGGGACATGACTTGAAGGTCGACCTGGGGCTGGTGTTTGAGAGTCTAGTACTGCACTAGGTAGTCTGGAGCAAAGGATCAAGTTCGATAGCACTGGACATAGAAGGACTGAATGCCATCAGGTTGTGATATGTGGTTGTGAAAGCGAGGGGTTGAGATGCTCTCTGCCACATTGGCCCCTCGGCTTCGTTGGAAGGTTGCTGGCCAACGGATGAATCAGGCTGCGTCTTGGGTCTGCTTTGAATCTGGTCGAGGGCTTGTTGACAACGCATGCTTGCAGCAGGCGCCATTTCAAAGTGATGCATCAGGTTGTCTCTCATAGGACCAAGCATGGCAGCTGCTTTGAGGAAGTCCTTATAGGAGTCTCCGCTCCAAGAGATAACGGCATTGTAGTAGATGGACAGCGCATATCTCTCTACCATTCTTGAGAAGTGCATGTGACTTCCTGGATGCGTGTCGACAGCTTCGCTCCAAGTTGACTCATAGATGCTTGGTATCAAGTTCTTGTCGATTGGTCCAGGTCCAGTAGAGTCCAACGCAGTCCTTCTTGGTAGGCTGAACTATCTTAGCTGCAGTACAATCCCCGGGGATACAGCTCATGAGTCCGGGGTGAACCCCAGCGAGTCTAGTATCGACTTTTTCCTTGCCTGAGTACTAAGTCCATACTTCGAAAGCAGTCGAATCATGCTCTCAAGTGGCCCTTGATCTAATGCCGCTTTGGTCCGCACATGTCTCGAAGGCTGAAAGAATATGCGTTTTCGTCCGTGTCGAATCGATCGTACTTACCATACGGGAATTGCACTTCACCATCCGGGCTTGGAAAGATCCGGATCATATTTGTCAAACAGAGACTCCTGACAAGGAAGTTGCCCGAACGAACCCTACAGAATCCGTAGGTACCTTACCGCTACTTAGTGGTACTACTAGGATCATCAAGAGTAAGATTGGGGGTCCTGGACTAGGGAGAGCGTCACTGTTGGTTGATGTTTTGGCTTCCGCGACAACCCAATCGGAGATAAAGTTATTGTGTTCGAAAGAGACTTGCCGGGCGTTGCGGCTTAAGCACCGAAGCCCGAGACCCCGAAGGCTTGACTTGATGCGTGATAAAATATGTTGCGAACCGCCAGCTTCCGGCGGGATGTAGGTTTAGGCAACGTGAATACCATCAGGTAGTGAAGTAGGCTACTGTCGATCGCATCTCGACACCGTGAGAGGTAGGTACGCAAAAGCCTGTTGGTACACGGATTCTTGGCCCAGGCTGGTTACTAAGTGCTAAGGTACCTTTGTCGACGAGCCCGCTAAAGCTGGACTGGTGACTTTTGGTATTCGTTGGCGTGAAGGAATTGCAGCATCAGAAGGGCCAGTTACTTAATCCCATTAAAGGTCAGGCTGACCGAACACTCGGACATAGCATACAGTATCTTCCGAACAGGATCCTTCGCTCCCTCGGCCGAAGCAGGATTGACTGTTGGATTCATAGACTTGGCGCATTCATAATATTATCTCCGTTGGGGCACACATGTCGATAGATCGCCTAATACTAAGTGTCACCCTCTTATCTTCGTCCGATCCTGCTGGGACCGGATGTCATCCGGGTCGATCCTGCCAGATCCTGGACAGAGAATCAAAAGTCAGCTTCATGAAAAATTACATGTACGAGTATCATGTAAGGGCTTACATACCGACACACCAGTAGTATGTATCAAAAACTAATGCACTTGTTGCCATTGAATGTTCATGTGGCTGGACAGGTGACTGGAGGATAAAGGTATCGGATTGGTGTGGAGAGAGAGAATTTCAGAATTCAACATGACCCCAACCTTCTACAGCCATGGGACCAGCCTCAACCGGGACGTGACGGAAAGTATGAGAGATGAAGCGACGTTGTTATGGGTTCGCAAGCAGAGGTGTGGCACGCAGCCAGGCCTTTTCGTCCAGCTCGGTCCAAACCCATCTTGCCAGACTCGACCGAGCGAGGTCCAGGCTGCCCGAGAATTCTCGGTCCAAATGGCCAGCCAGGACCTGCGTGGTAGGAGTACCACCTTGGGTGAGGTGAGGAACGCGGAACACGGTCCACTCAAGGTCCTTGTCGTTGTGGCCGGCAGAAATGATCGCATTGGCGATGCCGGCCATCTCGGCATTGCCTTGAGGTGCTAGGAGCGCAGGCATCCAAGTGTAGAACCACCATTTCCAGGTAATGGACTTTGCTTCTGCAGACGAGTAGCATCCTGTGGGAGTGCTGAGCGCAATGATGCGCGAGACGCCGTTGGATTTCATGGCCGGGAGAATCGTGGATTCGAATGCGTCTGCGATAGGGTGAGACTTGTCCCGTGTGATGATGGGCCTCAGTGCCATGTAAGCGCCGAGGAAAGAGATTACCACCGTGACGGAGGGTTGGTTGGTGTCCTCTGGGGCAGAAAGCGCCTTGTTGAGTGTCGCAATGTCATCGAGGGTGCCCTCCACGATCCTTACGGAACCGTGCTCCAGTGCCTCAGTTGGCACTTTGGACTTCGACCCTTTGCGGACGAGGAGTGTCAAGAAAGGCGGCGCTGGCTGCTCGAGCGCGAGTTTGATGAACTCAATCCCCGAAAGCCCCGTGGCGCCTAGAAGGAGAATGTGTCGTTGGGTCATTGTTGGCTGGATTCTATGGTAATCGTCTTCAGATGACAGTATATTGAATCGTACTACACGAGCTGAGAAAGACGGTGTGTTGGATTTGTGTGCCGCGGGACCTTGTCGTCATCCCTTCATAACAAGGATGGAATGAGTTCTCGGTTGGTGGAGATTTCGTCCGAGCCAGGCGCCTAGCGTACGTTCTTGGTCCGAAATGTATCAACACGTTCAGATTCGGTCATACATGTTGAGCCGGGTAGAAAGGGCACTCTGGATTAAAGTAGGAGGCTCAGTTTTCGTAGAGATCGAGAGCAGCACATGTAGATATGGTAGTCGCTTATCTTCAGTCCAACACTTGGAGAGACTCGCAGAAAACGGACGATTTGCAGTTTGAAGCACGTCACGTGAAACCAACGACATTCAAGCCTTCCTTGAATCAAGGAATGCCTCCAAGAAACGATGTAGATATGTATCATAAAGCAGATGCACTCCGAATGCTTCGGGTGTTATAAGGGCCTACCTATTTTCACATTGTCTCGACCCGTGAGGTGTGAACAAGAGACGCAGAGGAGTTGCCGGCCGCCGTGCTCCATTCTTGTATTCTGATCTGGGTGATCTGATGGGACGGTCGGATGAACGACGGAAGGGTTCTGAGTCGGCCGTCAAGACCTGGAGGGGGTCTAAAGAGGCAGCATGCAGTTTGTGGGGTGAATGCCAATCTTGATGTTGTGTGGTCTAGGGCCAGGCTCTCTGCGATGAACGATCCAGTCTAAGTAGGTCAGTCAATCAATTTTCAAAGAAGGTCACTCAAGGTAGTTGGTCGATCAGTTAGTCAGTCAATTGTCTAGAAACGTGGATGGGCTGTTGTGTGACCTGCCACCCTGGCAGTCAGCCCACCCTGCTTTGGGAACGCTTGGGATAAAGCGAGATTTGCGACATGATTAATCCCCAAAGGGAGATACGTGGCGTGAGTGGCTCGGAGTGGCTGGGAGAGGAGGTGGAAGTCGAGACCATGGTCTTCAAGGGGATGCGTGAGTGAGTGAGTGAGTGAGCGAGTGTCGGGGCCGAGGGTTGAACTGACATGGCTGCGGTCGAAGGTCGTGAGGTGTCTGGTGTCATTACTGGCGAGGCGTGTAAGGGCTGGTGGGCTGGTGGGCAAGTGGGTATGTCTGGAGGATGAAGGCCATCATCTTTGTGAACCAGTAGCAATGTAGCAGACTGTCATCCGAAGATTGTGCCTCCAGTGGCCTTCTCATCAGGGGGTCAGACAATCAAACGGTCAAACGGTCAATCATGATCCATCTGTAGTACTACTACTGTATAGTGGTCTGAACCACCATGTCGTGACAGTGGATAAGTGCCACAGGAACCACAGGAACCACAGGCACTGTCGTGACTGTACAAGAAATATGTACATAGAGAGGATTGCATTGCATGAAACATGAAACCAGGGGTGCAGGCAAAGATCCAGACTTTGCACGCCTGCCTTGGCCTGCCAAACCACGACTTGTGTGTTTCAGTTTTTTAGGCAGGCGGTGGCGCCAACGCCTGCGGCGCGGGACGCGTCTGCAGGGTTGAGAAGGAGGAGAAACCGGAAAAAACGCGTTGGCCGGATCAAGTAAGGATTGGGAGCCCAAGGCCCATGGCACGCCCAGCCACTTGTGCAAGGCTACAAGGCTTCATTGAATGGCGCCATGTTGATCATGAAATTATAAAGCATTGGCTGATATCATAGGTATCAACAAACAACACAACTCCCCGCAATGCAGTACGTACAACTACTGTCAATGAGAGGAATGACAACAACAACAACAACAATAACAGCAAGTCTACGAGAAACAAGGCCCGTGAGGGTTGATTTTAAAATGGTTTAGAAATTGTAAAAACACCTAGGAGTCTATAGCTAAGGAAAGGTTGACTTGTCGTCAATGATGTCTAGTTGTGTTCAAACCAGCGGGCGCTTGCTTCCGTTTTGACGAACGAATATGAACCAACACATGGTCACAGAACAGAACAGACGACATGTAACATGTTCATGCAAGTGCCCGTCTTCTCTTGTCTTCTGTGTCTGTTTCTGTTTTTATGTGTTGTTTTCCATTGTCCTTCCATGCAAACACATGTTTGTCCCTGTATGCTTCCGTCCGCTGGTTGTGTGCTGGTTGTGTGACGCATCATCGTAACTGTCTAGAGCTCCCAACTCATCCTCAATATTTGCTGGCAAAGATAGATTGCCCCAATGTAATCGTCGTCGTCAAGAATGTTACCAAGATGGTAGGTAGGCAGGCGCGTTGATTCGAAAATGATGATGATCGATGTGTAAATACTCCCTCCAGAGGGGGTTGCTCCAACTCATTTGATAGGTAAATCGGTCGCGTTCGGTCGGTCGGTCGGTCTGTGCGAGTAATGCAAACTTCCATTCCAACGAGTCTTTTGCCTGCGAATGATATCCCAATTGATGTGGTATGCGTCCCCCCTCCCTTAAACTCCATGAAAAAAATTGTATCCTGATTTTCCATTTCCCCAAAACCTAATTTGGTCGCTGCGTGACGAACCATGCATGCTTGTGTGAGACCTGAGTACAACAATCTAAGAGAAGGTTGTCTTCAGGGTGGCACTGGAGCCCATGCCACCGCAGCCACCTGAGGGAGCACCCTCGTGGTAGCCGTAGTTGGCACCGGGTTGAGAGCCGTTGTCGCAGTTGACCAAGATGTAGTCGAAGGTACAGACGTTTCCGCTGGAGCACATGAACACACAGGTGTTCATGTCGGTGACGCAGCTGGGACCGACGATGCTGAGAGGGTGGCCGCTCATGTTGACCTCACGCGAAACGTTGACCACGCCCCATTGACCAAAGGTGAATTCTCCCCAGGTGTTGGAGGCTTGGCCGTTGACGAGCTGGGTATCAGAGTAGATGGCGCTCCAGGCACCTGAGGCGCCATCAGCGAAGGAGACCCAGATGGATTGACCGGCGGGGATGGAGGCGGTGATGTGAGGCTGGATGACGTTGATCCACGAGCCGGCAACACCCCAGATGACGAGAATCAGATCTTCGCCAGAGTTGTTGGTGAACTCGTTCTTGTATTGACCGTCGCTTCCGAGCCAGACAGCTCCGTTGTTGGTTTCCGAGTTGACACCAGTGGACAGAACTCCCAAGGCGGAGAGTCGGCTGACATCAGCGGCACTGATGGCGGCGTCACGTTTTCTGTAGTTCCGCGTGTTAGTGGAACGAGTCTTGATGTAACATTCAAGATCGGGAGGATACATACTCAATTGGGGCATGATCGTGCTTGCGAGCATGGTTATGCAGGACGGTGTGTTGGTGACCGATAGAGGCAGCCAATGCTTGGCTGGCTGCGAGGGTGGCCAGCACCAAACTGTTGATGGAGAAGCGCATGTTGGTTAGTGGTGATGATCAAAGGCTTGCCTTGAACTAGGTGGGTTTTCGATTGATGAAGCGAGGACAGATTGAGACGGGGTTTTCTTTCCAAGAAACCGGCGTCGACGTCAATGTCAATGTCGCAAGTGTGTGATGTTGATGTTGGGCAAGGAGTGAGTGAAGCTTGGGTGACGATCTCAGATCGAGTCGAGAATGAGCGTATAAGGAGATGGTGTTGAGAGAGCGAAATGGGCTGCTGCGTGAAGGAATGAACGCGAGCGTAGGCTGGTACTGCTGGCTGATAGAAAGAGCGGACACGTCTGGAACAGACGTCTGTGGGATATGTATATACAGCAGACGGTAGAGAACACGAGGATGCTGGGCAAGAGAATCTAGAGTCAGAGTAGAAGAAGAAGAGATCACAGCAGAATAGAGCACTGCAGAGCACAGCACCAGAGCACCAGAGCACCACAGCACCACGCACCCCCGGCCGAAAGCAGGATGCAACAAACAGCACGGGCGGATCCAACACACGCCCACACGCACACACACAAGCATACAAGCATCCACACACCCGGAGAGAGGAGCCTGAGGAGGGAGACACACACACACCACGCGCAAAGACACCGACAAGGTCCCACCAAATCCACCAGCCCACCAGCCCATTCCACAGTTGACTCTTCAAGCCTGGAGCTCCAAACTCAAAAGCCAACGCCAATCCGCGTAGGTGACAGCGGGCATCACCCACGGTAGACTACTTAGACGGTAGACATCTACCTAGCTTTCAATAAATGGACCTTTTTCGGCCCCAAGGATACCCTGTCACCAACACGCCTGGCGAGCCTGCCTAGGCATGGGGGGTCCGCCCGAATGAAACGTCCTAGCTTTGGAAATAAGCTCTGCCAATTTCCTGGGCCGCCACGGCCCCGTCGAATCACAAGCCGGGCGTGCCTGAGTGGCTCGCGTACCTGACAGCGCACCAGCAAGCGCACAACTGTACCCTTGACACCGACTCGACCTTACAAAAATTCTGGGGCTGGGCATACGTCAACTGGCGTGCTGCGGTAGCCATGGGTCTGGTCTGGTCTGGTCTGTCTGTCCTTCTTTCATCTCGGCTTTGCTGCTCTGTTCTGCTTTTTGCTGGGCTACCTAGTACCTACTGGACCTGACCAGACCTGCCAGACCTGCCAAAAAAACCAAGGGGGCTGGCAGTTATCAAGGGAAATACTCCGGATGGATTGATCTGAAAAAGAGGCTTCTTTCCACCAAGCCATCGTTTCTCCTGTTCCTTGCAGACGCCAGAAGCCATCTTATCCCTTTCTATTCGTATCATCTAGGGGACACACAGTAGTTGGTTTGACTATATGCGAGGAGCACCTGGACCCTTGTTTTCTCCCCCTCCTCCTACCTAACCACCCTCTTCTCTTCCGCAACCGCAAGAGAATTCGTCAGCGAGTGTGTGTCTGTGCGGCGGTGAGTTTCGGATCTTGGGAGGTCTTGGTTTGGACCGACCCTGCCCGGGGCGGAAGATTCAGGCACGCCAATAGAACAAGAGCTCCGGATAAAGGCAAAAGACAGATAGGGTAACTCTTAGAGTGTCTCTTCACACCTCTGTTTTTCACTTTTTAACCTGTTGTCGCATTCCCAACTCACTTACCTTTTTGAACGAAATTCCTCGACCAATCGTCACTCTGCCTGTTCGGCTGTTGCTACCATGATGGAACTTTATTGGTATTCCCTGGCTCGTATATGTAGACTGAGATGTTCGCAAGCTTCCCGACACCCAATCCAATATGCTATGCCATGCCATGCCCAACTTGACCTTGTTGTCCGTTTATCACAAGTTGGCATTAATGACTAGGATCGGATGGGTGAAAAAAATTCAGTTCAGTTCGACTTGACTCGACTCGACACCTACAACTGCAACTGCAACCGTAACCGCTATTGGATACATACGGAGTTTGTGACCTCGTTCCCGCTACCGTTGCCTTGCTCTGTCCCGGACTTGGACCGACTACCGACTATTTTGACTCTGTGTTGTCGGTCGCATTCCCAACTTGCCGGTCGTGTTTTGATTGAAAAAGCTATCATCCATGCATGTCGATACCTCAAATCTAATGAACTCTCTTGTCTGTTTAGATGATTCGCTACGGTCTGTCGCTTAGTGACACGATAACACACATAGTCATGTGATCAATTCAAGAGTCATCACCAACATTCGACTTGTTAAGCCGTAGTAGTAGTTGATTATCCTACGCCCACGTGTACATTTGATAATGCACTTAACTTCATTCAGTAGTCTCTTAGTATCTTGGTACCTTATGTACGTGGTCCACGGCTGTTGGGCCTTGGGTCCGGTTAGAAGGTGCCATCGGAGTGGTTGACAGTTAGTGCACTTGCTTGGGGCGGGAATCAAGGCCGGGAAGGTGCCACGGGTGCTTCTTGGTACTTGATTGGCAACTACGGAGTAAGTTAGACCGGAAGAACATGCAGGAACGAACGGTCTTGGCAGTCGATAGCCATTCACACAACAAACTTGCTTTGATCCGTTTTGTTGTTACCATTGGATTGGGCACAACCGCACATTGCACAATTGCCATTATGGACCTTGCCATGCTTTTTTCGCTTCTCGGCGAATGGGTTTACTACCTGTCTTTGGATATCCACAGTGCCACAACCATTTGGCTCTTCGGCACGGCGTCAGTGGGCATTTCTTGCGTGCTTCCACTCCCTCTCTGCATGTGCGCCAAGTCGACTTCTGTCAGGAACCCAGCCTCTCCTACTGGTTGTCCGTTGTCCAGTGGATAGGTACTGGCGTATTCTCCATCATGGCACCCGGAATCTTGATATGACCCTTGCAGCTGTCTATCGATTAGAAATGCGCCCAAGTCCCGTCGTTGGCGCATCACCTCAGCCAGTCAGCTCTCGAGCGCAAAGAGAGTTTTTCTTCTTCTCATGACCCGTCACGAATTCCCAACGCCATCCGTCGGCTGGGTTCGCAAGCTTGAATGGACAATTGGGACAATCCTGGCAAAACTCTCGTCTACCGATTGCGGCCTCTGAAAGATAATGCGCCTATTGGGAATATTCCCCGACGGCGCATCAAACTATCGATCATCCCATCCCGACCATGCCCAAGAGCCTACTACTTTCGGTGTAATTGACCAAGGTCTGCCATTGGCGGCCGACTATCGGGAGAGACGATATAGTTCGGACGCAGGATGACAGCAACCGTAGTAAGAGTACCTGCGTATCCAGGTTGTGGAAACACAGTCAGACTGGGACTCTTTCCCACGAGTATGAGTACTGTCGGTTGGTGGTAAGTGCCGTGCCCAGAGTCGCGTGCATGGCCAGGATGGAACGCTAGACCCGCCTTTATTGTATCCGCTTGCTCTTTGCCTCGGTGTGCATGGGCGCCACGTGGAAAGCTGCTCTTGCAACGTCTTACCAACCCTGCACCCTCGCTGTTCGTCCTCCATCCTTGCCAATGGAACTATGCACAAGACTGATCGAGGACTCGGCAGCAGCGTAGACGGTAGACCGTAGAATCGACAATGCATCTCGGTTGAGATACCATCTCCACCATCACGACCAATTCTAGAAAATGCTGTGCGCAAACCTCAGTATGGCCTTGATACTTTTCATCAAACAGACCCTATCAACATCTGTCACTCTTGCCGGTCAGATATGCCATGTAAGCGAGGTACCGCGATGGAGTCGTGAGGCATTTTCTGCACCTTATTAAATTCTCAATCCAGTTGCAGACCGCCAGTGTTGGACCAGGGAACTTGATAAGCTGGAGGCCGAGAAGAACAACAAGAAGAATCCCAGATGCCAAGGTTCGCAACGAGGAAGCATCCAAGGCGAGTGATGCAGCAATGGTACGTCCGACTGTAGTGACCATGATGCGCCGGCTGTGCAATCAACGTTGTAAGTACCGTAGAGAGCCTACCACTTCCAGCGTCGCTAGAATCCTGGGCATCGTTCGAGTCGAGACCACTATCGACGTATATCAACAACCAAGTACAAAAGTACTTCATCATGCGCAGTATGATTACCCCGTACCTCAAGGCATATAGTAGTGGTTGAGTAGGAACTCGTCGCAACCCACCTCCGGCCAGGTTTCCCCGATTCCGTGGTTGCTGCGATGATGGATCATCGATCCTCCGCTTCACACGTGACATCCGTGCACAGCAATCTTGATGAACAGCTCCAACACGATCGATCATCACATCCGAGGCATCGCGGATCGACAGTGGTAAATTGGAGGCGGCGCTCGTGACAGGTATACCCTATGGCAACCTCAAATCATCCTCATTATCCTGTCGCATTATCCTGTCATGCCTGTGTTGTCATTAGTTGCTCTTGCACAGTCCACCTCTTAATGTCGCCCATCTTCTCATCTTATCCGTCGCAGATCCCGCCCGCGCCATGGCGCACCCTCACTCATGATGCCTGTCACTCTGATGCACGTGCCAAGTATACGAGTGGTGGTAGAACGACTCTTGCCGACTTCACATGTCCCCATTCCATACATCACATATCTCCATCGACTTCGAGTTGCATGGTATATCTCGTTACGCTCACGTAGATTCCAGTCCCGAGACAACGTCACGTCATAGCCATGCTAGGTCGCTCTGCTGTAGGCCTGAGAATGTCGAGCGGTCGAGACTCTGGCTGATCCAGTCCGTTTCAGCGTGTATGGCAGTGCTACGACTCGACTGTCACAGTCACTCGCCGTAGCGCTTAGGTTGGAGAGGTCTTCTGGCTTACCGAATCAGGAGGAGTTACTTGGGCAGTCAAGTTGCTATCCACAAGCAAAAGCTTCGCCAGTCGCTCTAATCGTGGTCTCTGCACCTTGTCATAGTAGAAGAACTTTTCTTGGAAATTCTTCAGCACATCCACCGTCGTAGTTGCGGGCCCGTGAATTTTTCGAAAGAGTCGAATGTTCTCTGCGAGGCCCAAGTCAAATAGCTTGCGAACGCACCAGCTTTCCACTTCGCTGTCGGGTACTGCGCACATGGCCCCCATTGAGGTGACCCACATCTGGATCTCCACCTGATTTCTCCAGTGATGACGTGCACTGCTTGCTGTGTAAAGCAGTAATTGGAGTTTAGGAGCGATCCGCGGACCGAGCATGCGCAGCCCGAGCAAGACTGTCGTGATCAAAACCCACAAAAGTAGCGCGACTCGAATCGCTTCTAAGCTGGGGTCAGAAAATTCTAGGGCTAGCAATCGGTATCGAATGGCTGCACTGCGCCATTGCACCCATTTGACAGCATGTTGGGAGGTTGCGGATGGTTTTTGAGTGCCGTTGTGCAACACCCAGGCACACTCTGCTATCTCATCAACTACACTGTCCAGTTGTTTAGGGAGGAAGTCGTCCATTGAGGCTCCACGGAACCCCATAGCCGCGCGCTCAAGACCTTGTTCTGGAGCCAACTGTAGATCTGGTGGAGTGGTTGCCCAATATGGACCAGGGTCATAGACGCAGGGCAACTGGCAGGGTTGGAGGACAACGGCCGACATATGGAGATCACCGAGGATGAAGAGTTCTCGGACGGCGGGATCCGGAACGTTGTTGATGCCACCCCACCAGGAAAAGAGGTTCTTTGCCGCTTTCATGTGGATGGCCGCGGCTTGGTAGTTTTGTCGGTATGCCTCGCCGGCAAACAAATGGAAGATGACAATTAGCAGCTGGTCCTTGGATGCAGTCGCGAAGCTTTTTCGCACCGCCATCAGGGCACTTCCCATATACTTGTCGGTCCCTTGATTAGAAAGACCGTCAACATTCTCTCGCCTCGAGGCCATGCATGCCAACATGGCATTCATTTCAATATCGCTCTGCATAGCCCGCTGGACAATGACTCTGGCTGAAGGCATATGGGTGTACCTTCCGTCCTGGGAGCCCCACCTTTCAGCATTCCAGACACTCGGATGATAGATGTCGGCAAAGTAGTTGCAAAGCATGGCAGCGTGAGAATCAAGTTTGGTTGCTGACAGTGCAAAGGGGTCGAGGTAGTTTGAAGAGAATTGGGTGATGTCCTGAGGACTGGGGATATGGGCCCTCGAGGACACAGGGGAGATGATGGAGCCTCGTCTGCCCGCACGTGATTTGCCACTTGTTGAGTGTTCTGGAATGATATCTGGGCGAGATTCGAAGGTGATAGACTGGCTTGTTGCCGAGACGGTAGAACCATGAGTCAGTGACCGAGAGCGGGAGGGAAGCTCGCTCGAAGTCGAGGTTCTGCGGTGAGACGATGGTAGAGTGTCCTGGAGATCGGTGCCCTGAGAGGGGACATCTACGTTGATATCGTCCTTCTCCCCATTCGAGGCGTCACGGATAGATTTCCTCCTAGCACGAGAAGTGGTACGACCAGAGTGATTTCCAGACCGGATATGACGTCGACCGCGTTGAACGTGAGAATTGATCGAAGACTGTTCGGCGGCAGTGCTTCGGGTCAAAGATGAACTGCCAGCATCCTTGTTGACGAATAGAAAGGAACTTGACATGACTGAGGCTCGGGTTTGGAGGGCGGAACAGGTTCATCCTCGATGCGGCCGGGGCGTTGGTGGCGGCCACAGAACACGAGCGCGCATGCACGCACACAGAGAGGGTCGTCTCTCCAGCTCGTGCTGTAGTTGGACGAGACAGCCACGTTGTAGGGAGTGGGTATCAGACGGATGTAAGGCTAGCGCACTGAACAAGAGTCATTGCGACCCATTTGAGGTATGATACATCATAATCGAGGAGGCTTCAGCGCTGGATTGAAGATGACTAGGCGATTGTAGTGGTCTCTGTGGTCAAGTCACTGCGATTGTTGCCGTATATACAAGCGTACGATGGGTAGAGATTGAGCGAATCGGCTACTGGCGATTGACTAGGTTGTTGTTAAGGAACGAATGACTCGTGAAATATGATGAGGTGTAGACAGGAGATGTGGGACAGATTGGGAGTGTGAGATTGAGAGAGCACGTGCGCTGCAGTGCACGTGCAGAGTGCCGGTGTACTTGTGGTGTTGGGCAACCGCAGGGGCCGAGGGGGCGTGGGATGGTTGGGAAGGTGCGAAGCTTACTACTGTAAAGGTGAAAGGCGCCACTAAAAGTAAGGCCGCGAACTTGACCTTTCCTTCCTTCCCTCACACCCTACGTCACTGGAGTATGGGAAGCCTGAGGTCACTCGCACTTGCCTCATGAATCCGCTGCAGCTTCTTTTAGACTGCGCCTGGCCTGTTAAATCGTGTAGCCGTAAGCATACATAAGGTAAATTATGACTTACCTACCTCTTCACCCTGAAGCTCACCCGGAGGTAAATGGTTTCTAAGTATTACTTAGTACGCATAAACGTATGAACGAATTCATCGCTGCGTACCTACCTAAGGTAGTTAGTAACCAGGGCTAAATACCTGGGGAGACGACGTCGCAAGCGACCAGCCTCGTATGCATTTCCGCGCCAAGATGTGGATCTTGTGGTGATGATGATATAATACATGCTTACGATGATGATGAGTGTATGACTTGTAAAGGCGCACATCCAACCGCGTGCCTCATGACCGAGCTTTATTGCGCAGAAGACGTCCAAAATAGCTAATGATTGTTTCAACCGTTCAATCATCCAAATCCCACCATTATAATCATACATTAATCTTCGGCAACTCGTCCAGAGAATTTCTCATAAAACTCCAGCGTCATGGCTGCGAGGAAACAGGGAATCTGCTTCTTCTCCTTGACCCAGAAATTGACCAGATCCTTAATTTCCTTTCCAAAGGCACTGTCAGGCCCGCCACTGATCTTCATTGTGCCTTGGTCTCCATCAAAAATGATATAGTCTTCCTCATCCTCGTCTTCGTCGTCTTCGTCGTCACCTTCCCCATCCTGATGCGGTCGTCCATGATACAAGCTCGACACCTTGGCTTTCCCGTTGGGCAGGAAGTTGACCTTGTATCCCAAAACGCTGGCAATCACGTCTCGGAACTCGCTCGCCTTCTGCGTCCAGATCTCACGCTGTCGCCGCATCCGCTTTTCCTTGTCAGCCACCACCATCTCCATGTCTTTGAGATCAAGTTTAAGAGCATCCAAACTGCTCGTAGGTACGCTCTGCACTGCCGTCAAATCTTCTCCTCGAAGCTGGGCGAGGAGGTCGGCGTTTTCTTCTTTCAAGGTTCGGAGAGTCGACATCTTGACCCTTTCAGCATTCGCTGTTGGATTGTCCCGCAGCTCCAGCACTCGCGTCTTGGAGCTTTCTCGAAGTGCCTTGAGCTGTGCTTTGCTTGCCTGTAGTTCCGTCGCCAAAAGTTGAGATTGCTGCGCCGTCTTCTGTAGCGCAATCTGGAGATTTTTGTTCTTTCGCAACAGTGGTCCAATCTGCTGGCCGTGGTCACCCTCCTCCAAGGATTCCGCTGATCTTTTGACTCCCCGTGGCTCTTCCGAAGTGGTAGGGACTGGTGGAGTCGCCTTTTCTAGCTTGACCAATTCGGCATGAGTCGCTTGTGCTTCTGACTTGTACTGGTCAACCAAAACCTCGAGTTGCTTGATTTGCTCCGCCCGCTGGTGGTCGTAATTAGCGTTCTCCATCAAGACCGTCTCCTCAGTATCGAATGTCTTGAGTTGGGCGCGGAGGTATTCTACCTCTTTTACTGCAAGCACACGTTGACGTTCAAGTCTCTTGTACGCCTTGTTGTCCATACTGGGTTCTGTCAGAGCATTTTGTGCAGACTTGACACGCTCCAATTCGGCCTTAAGTCCATTCTTCTCGGAATCCAATCCTTTGATCATCTCATCTTTCTCGGATAATTCGCTCTCGACAGTGCCGAGCCGATCGGTGAGTGATGCAAATTCGATCCGTTGTTTGATTAATGCTCGGACTACCGCTTCGGGCGATTCGAATTCTTGCTCCTGTCCATCCCGTTCTAGAAGGCTCGTCCACATTCGCTTCTCGTCTTCCAGGATCTCTCTCTGTATCTGTGCCTCTCCGAGTTGACGCTGAACATCCTTTAGCACCTGCAACTCAACCTCCAGCCCGTGTTTTTGTTCTTCAACCACCTGAACGCTCCGGTAAGCGTCACGTAGCCGCCGTAGCTCATTGAGTTGCTCCCTGTTGGTAGATTCCAGTTTGCGAATGTGGGCAACCTGCTCTGATAACTGGCTTTGGACAAGTTGAAGTGCCTCGCCATCAGCAGAGTGAGATTTCAAAGAGGCAATTTCTGCCTCCAGGCTCGCGATCTGATCATCACGTTCTGACAGGCGAGCCTGAGTGCCCTCGTAATGCTGCGACAATTCCTCCAGCTCTCGCTTAACCGTTTCCAGGGTCTCTTGCAAAGACGACCGTTTGGCTTCAACGTCATTTACCTGATATTGGTAATGTCTTTCCTGATCCGATAGTCGAGCCTGGGCATCTTCGGCGTCTTCCTTGAGAGAAGCATTCTGGTCTTGCAAATCCCTCAGTTTCCGCTCCAGTGCCACTTTCTCGTTAATGTGTTCATCTTGGGCTTGGCGCAGTTCTTTGGCCAGTGTCTCCTGCCGCTGAGACGACTTCTGTGAAAGACTTTCCGCATTTTGGTACTTTTTGAAATCGGCTTCGGCTCGTGCTTGCTGGTCTCGAAGTTCTTTGTCGTGTTGCAGCACAAGCAAGCTGCGCTCCTGTTGCAAATTTTTCAGTTCATATTCGAGAGAATTGATGCGCGCTCTGAGATTCTCATCGCGCGTGTTGTCCGGCCGAGCGATTGACGATTGGCGAAATCTCGATTGTCGCAGTGGTTGTTGAGGGGCCTCGTCGGTGTTACCGCCAGTGATGAAGTCGTACGAAGGTTGCGTGCTTGTCTGTCTATGCACCGCAGCCTGGTAGCATAAGTCAGTGTCCGAAAGTAACATTCGCGGTGCGGCTCACTTACTGCTGAAGAGGGACGAGGAAGGCTCGAGGCACCACCCTGGAGACTCTTTCGGCCAGATAGAGAGATCCTCGAGGTGGAAAGCCGCGCTCTCTTGGTCGCTGGCGAGCTCATGATCTCTAGAAATTCGCCTCCGATAACGAGTGCATGTCATGCGGATGTGTTCTGTTTGTCCAAGATGAAGTGTCTGCGGGATGTTGTTTACCACCCGCAGCCTGGATTGCTGTTTTCGGAACCAGAGCCTTGGCGCGGGTTGAGGATCATACAATGAGCAACGCTTACTACATATATTGATGGACTAGGGTGTTCCTGTTGTCTGATAGATGAGAGTTGAGTGTGGGAAATGTCAAAATGATTGTCTGTATGCTCTCTTAACGACGAACATGGTACTATGGCGAGGGAGCGTGCCAGTGACAAGGCACCAGGTGGTGGTGGAGCGACTCGTGTAACGACCTCACACGTGATTCAAATGACTCGAACGCATGTCAAAGCCTCTAACAAATTATTTCCACTGCAATATCGTGAACTCCAGAGCCGATGTTCATGTTGCAAGCCAGCTGAGGCTTCGACTTCAGCGGTATGGAACATGGCTCGGGCCACTGGGAAACGAGTTAAACATGTCACCAGCGCCAGTACCAACCCCAAATCCACGACAGGAACATCAGCGTCGACATCGACACTAGGAGTGCCGAAACCATTCGAATATGCACCCGCTTCTCTGCGACCTCTTACCTCAACCCTTTCTACCGATCATTTCTATCTGGTTCACCTGGACCATACTCCTGTGGAGTTAAAAAAGCGAGTCTTTGTCGTGCCTATTCTCCTCAACCTTGTCATCGTGGTCGGCTTGTGTTTGAGGGTCTATTATGCCACACCGATATATATTCAACAAATCATCACCATCTTCGGATATGATACGCCATACAAAGTGGACACGAGCAATGCGAGCGCGGGCGAACTCATAAACACTCTCAGTTCAAGATTTTTCTTGTTCATGTTAGATTACTTCATTTTCGTCATCATCGGCAGCTGGCCGCGAGAGTTCGTGTTTGGCAGCAAGACACTGAGATTCACCGGACCTTTCCAATGGCGAAGGACTTTGGGTTTTCAAGAGACGGAGATAATTGTGCGACGAGGAAGAAGATGGGACACACCTTTGCTGGACACGGGTATCCCGGATGTCACAAAGACCTGGAAAGTGGATGAGGAATTGACCATCAATGTCAAGGTCGAGGCGGCGATGCGGACGACGTATCTGGCCAAGACTGGCTATCTACTTCTAGACAGGGATTGGGATCTGGACTTTAAGGCGATTTTGGATGCACACAAGCTCGTGGATCAAGGCACTCTTAAGTCGAAGGACCTGGACAACCTGGCTCTTGTGTACTACCAGAAGCATTGGCTGGTTTGGCGTGTCCACGAAGCACCGGTCATCAGCGCAAAAGATGCAGCTTCGGATTCAATGCTGGAGACATTCCGTAACAAGCTGGTGGAACTTGGAGCGGAGGATGTGTTTTATCGCTGGATTGAGATTGTGCAGTATGAGACGTCACGGCCTGGGGGATTCAACGAAGGACGACAAGCCGAAGCCATGCAAGAGCTGAGGACGCTTCTCAAATCCCGGGGGCTGGATGATGTTCAATTCTGGGAGGATATAGGAGGAAAGGCAGGGCTGCCTGGTTTCAGCTCGTAGAGTTCGTAGAGATAGATACTGTTTCCATGAGTACCATGATGTAATGCAGGTATGATGATGACCATTGATCAAGATACTTTCCTCCATCTTCTGACTTGTATGGCGCCATATGAATGAGAGGAGCAAAGCTACTGGTCCTGATATACAACACGAGACTTTCTCCGCAGGCTGGGAGGGCACGGAGGGATGAGGCAGGAGCAATCGTGGCAATATGGGTGGGTGGTTGTTTCCCCGCATTGCTTTGGATGTACCTGCGTCGACATCGCACCATCCACAAGAATAAATTCCTCAGATTCAACCCCTCCAGAAAGCGATTCCTCACACTGCAATTTCCACCACCCTCCTACGACCCTCCTCAAATCCTCAACATGTCGAATCTCTATCTCGCCGTCATCGGCGTCGGTGGCGTGGGCACCGCCTTTCTTTCTCAACTCGCTGCCCTCCCTGCTGCTTGCCGACCCACTCTCGTCTTCCTCTCTCGATCTAGCAAGCAACTCTACAGCCAGAACTATAGCGCTGTCTCGGCAGCCGACTTGCAGTCGTCGACGTCCAAGCTCCTCTCCATCCCAGATTTGACCCAGTATCTGTCCTCGGCACCTGGGAAAGCCATAGTGGTGGACAACACCTCGAATCAAGATGTTGCAAACGCCTACCCCGCCTTCCTGCGCAGCGGCATCAGTGTCGTAACCCCCAATAAGAAAGCCTTTTCAGGAACCTTACAGCTATGGACTGATATTTTCTCTGCGGTGGAACAGTCCAATGGCAAGGCACTGGTATACCACGAGTCGAGCATTGGTGCGGGCCTACCCGTGATTTCTACTCTCAAAGACCTCATTGCGACAGGCGACAGGGTCACAAAGATCTCGGGTGTCTTCTCAGGCACCATGTCATTTTTGTTCAACAGCTTTGCACCAGCGGACGGGTCAGGAAATGCCAAATGGAGTCAGATTGTGGCCCAGGCCAAGGAAGCAGGTTACACAGAGCCAGACCCACGTGACGATCTCAATGGACTGGACGTTGCCAGAAAATTGACAATTCTTGCTCGGTTAGCGGGCCTAAAGGTCGACGGTCCAGAAAGTTTCCCAGTACAGAGTCTGATCCCTAAGGCTCTTGAAAGTGCTGGGTCGAGTGATGAGTTTATGAAGCGTCTGCCTGAATTTGACGGCGAGATGGAGCAATACAAGGAAGATGCCGTGAAACAGGGCAAGGTAGTGAGGTATGTGGGCAATGTGGATGTGCCCAAGGGTGAAGTCAAGGTCGGCTTGGAGTTTGTGGAGAAGGGTACCCCCATCGCCAGTCTCCGAGGCAGTGACAACTTGATCATGTTCTACACCGAGAGATACGGGGCCAACCCCTTGGTGATCCAGGGCGCAGGTGCCGGTGGAGATGTAACGGCCATGGGTGTGACCGGGGATCTGATCAAAGTGGTGGAGAGATTACGATGAGCCTTTGGTCTGGGGAGCATGATTGATAATATACCAAAAGTATTTAGACACGCCGACCTTGAGAGATTAGAGTCGTTGCGGCCATCGAACAATTCAGATTCGACAGACAGGTTGTCGCCACTCTAAATACGTGGTGATCTCGTAGATTGCGTAGCTAATGCAGAAACGACGTTGAAGCGAACTCGTATTCTTTCCCAAGCAGATCAACTCCTCAAATATTTCTTGACTGCCTCGCCCCAAACAGCGCCTCGCTTGTACCAATGCATGGCTTCAACAGAACCAGACTTCAAGCCATCAACAGCATCCGCCAACTCGGGCCCGGTGCCTTCCTCCTTGATCTGCTTGATCGGATAAGTGTAGGTCTTGAAGGCAAAGACAAGGGATTTTGACTTTGGCAGCCGATGCAGCGTCTGCCTCTCACAGCGCAACACAGTCGAATCAGGATCCAACTCATCATCAGTCATGGCGACCAACTTGTCACCTTTCTTGGCATGGTTGCTATTTTTGCCAATGGCGAACAACTCCGGCGACGTCGAAATACTCCAATTCTTGCGCTGCACATACTTCCCCACTGGCAACGCTGCAAAGTACCGATCCATCGATGCCTCGAGCTTGTCACTATACTTGGGCACGGGGGTGTGGATCGACGCCAACCGCAGTCCCAATTTCTCCACTGGATCCCATCCACTAGGGCAGATGCACACGTATGCTTGCAGCACGTACTTCGGGTCCTTAACATCCTCGCCCTCCTCGGGGTGGAGGAATAGGAAGTCTTCGTCGACGGTGCGTCCTAGAGTTTCGAGAAGAGTGGTTGTCTTGGTTTGTGGCGCTACAATGGCGGGGAAAATGGCTTTGGTGACTAGGTTCTCCAGCATAAAGGTCTTGCCTTGTTCGTAGTCGGTTTCGTGGAGTTTGAACATAGTTGGGAATCGGAGGGGGAGATATGTGCCCATGAGGTATTGGTAGAGTTCGACCACAGCGGGACGGACAGTCACATCGTCGTGAACGTCAACTGCGTGCTTGCCTTGGGTGGACATGATGGTTTGGCGGTATTTGATACGTGATGCATACGTGTTGTCCATGAGGAGCAGGTCTGTTGGGTCGAGGTTCTCGAGGGCTAGACGGAGGAGTTAGTATGCTATGGTCGGGTGGTCGTTCCCTCGCAAACAAGACACTCACCCATGGTCAGATGGAACTTTGGTTTAAACGGCCTCAACTTCAAGGGCTCGGTCTTGTCAAGGTCGAAATCAGGCTGTTCCTCGACCTCAGGAAACTCGGGCGCTTTGATGTATCTCTTTTCGTACCCGGCCTTTTTGGCAGCGTCTTGTTTCGCTCGCACTTGACGGATAGCCATGACGACAAAGACAATCAGGAGCACGAAATTCAGGTAATTGATCTTGGTGAAGGCACTGGCTGCTTTGAAATCGTCCCATGATCGCTGCCTCCACAAGAAGGTGGGTTTCTCGAGGAGGGCAGGATTCTTCATTTCTTCTGCGCAGTGAGGCGGGGCAGTTTGATGGCTTTTTAGCTCTTCCCGCAGTGAATTTCAATATCGATGTTATCGTGTCACAGCTTCCTGGTTATCAATTGCCACGCTCAACTAGCCAGGCTTGGGGATGAGGATCGACAGCAGCACAAAGACTCTCTTCATCCAATATGTGCACAGAATCTCAGTCTACCAACATGTACTTTGGACAGTGGGCCAAGGAATCCAGGTATAGCCCTCCACGCCCAATGACATGCAAGACGGTAGGCAAGACTGTCAGAGGAGGTGAGCCAGGGTGATATCGCTCATGTCCGCGATACTCGATCATTCAGGTTGAGGGGGACGTGGTAGTCTCAGCTTGACCAATCAACTTGCAGGTATTGAATCAATCAGATGGGCCGCACCAGCTAAGCTCAAAAGACTTGGAATGACAAAAGCTTGTTAGGCGGAAAGTGGGGTGAATGAACCAAAGATCTCCGTCAGACTCGATCGCCTTTTCTTTGTCTGGTCTGGTGGGAAGGAGCCAAGTTTCGTTATGGGAAGGTACAACCAGTCTGGACATTATATCAGACTTCAACCTCATTTTTCCCTTGTTTCTGTCTCAAACTGTGCTTGGATGCTGCGACAACTTCGACGAAGCTACACTAGTTCTATCTAGTCTATTCCTGCAGAAACCTTCTAGAAGTTGAGCCCAGTCCACAACAACTGATCTTTATCTACCTGGCTCGACGGTCAAATCGCTGACCACCCTCTGAAGTCAATCCATGCTTCTCAATCTTGCCAGTTGGCGTCTTCCTGATGTCCTGCACAATCTCAATCACATCAGGCACTTGAAATCGTGCCATATGTCGAGCTGACCATTCCCACAGATCCTTTTCTGAAACTCTACTACCTTGCCGAATCTTCACTGCCACCTTGATGTCCTCCTCTGTGCCTGTGCCTAGTTCCGAGGGTATACCATAAGCCGATGCAATCACCACATCGGGGTGTTGCAAAAACTCTCCTTCAACTTCTGATGCATTGATGTTCTCACCTCGTCTTCTGATGACGTCCTTGACCCTCCCCACAAAATACACATTTCCTTGCTCATCCACCTTGGCAAGGTCGCCTGTGTGCAGCCAGAGATTCGAAAATGCAGCCAGAGTGTTGGCCGTGTCGTTGAAGTATCCTTGGAAGAACGCCGTGGGTTGATCACTCCTCAGGAGAAGATGTCCGGGGGTATTGGGAGGAAGCTCTTCGTCAGCGTCATCCGCGATCCGGAGCTGATATCCTTTGCGAAGTCGACCGCATGATCCAGGAGCAAGTTCGCCTTGTTGGAAAATCGGCAGACTTGCTTCCACGCTGCCATACAATGTGTACAGACGATGGCCAAATCGTCGCTCATACTCTGGCGCGAAGCTAGGTATGGGCACACCCCATGCCAGCCGTACCCGGTGGTCTTTATCACCTGGTGATGGCTCCTGCTTGTAGGTCAACGCGAGCGTCGCTCCCATAAAGTCGTACACCGTCGCATCCGCGGCACGGATCTCATCCCAGAATCGACTGGCACTGTAACGCACAGACAATGCTGCCACTGCTCCAAGCAGCAGAGCTGGAATCGTTGTCAATGCCGTCGCATCTGCGTGAAATAGTGGAAAGGGACAATACAGCACATCGTTCTCATTCAAACCGCATTCTTGAATAAGTGCTTGAGCTTGCAAGATGAAGTATTCGTGGGACAGGATGCACGGCTTAGACCGTCCTGTCGTGCCACTGGTGAACAAAAATGCTGATGTTGTGCTAGGCAAAACTCTTATTGCCTCGACCAGCGGATCAGGGCTATATAGTCGCAACAGGTCATTTGGCATGTTTACGCCGCCGTTGATCCATAAAGATGTCGAGTCCGTAACGGCAAGGGTACTTAGCTCTGCAACGAATTCGTGGTCTGCGATGACCAGGCTTGGGTTTGCCGATTCAATCACGTTCCTCAGAGTGATCGATTTCAATTCGGTGTTGATAGGAACCCACGTTGCCCCTAGCCGATTTGTCGCAAGCCAGCTTGTGACCATCTCGAGACCGTTCTTCATCATGACTAGGACTCGTCCCCCTGCGCCGATTCCTGCAGTTTGGAGCCCTCGAGCGAGGCGCCCAACAAGCATGTCCATTTCTCTGAACGTGGTGTCCTTTCCACCAAACCGAATAAATACTCGATCTGGCCACACAAGCACAGCATGGCTCAAAGCCGAGTTTATGTCCCGAAGACGTGGTGATGCGACTTGTTCTGGTGGTTTGACGCCATCGATATTGTCACTGTAAACACCATTGACTTGGCGACCGTGTGAGCCCTTGTCAGCAGAAAGTCCGTTAACAGCATTAGCGACCTTCTTTCTCGCAGCAAAGTCGGTGAAGGCCTTTTCGGCGTCAGCCTGAGCAAAGCAGTAACTCGCAACATTGACCTCATCCTGCATACTCCCTTCCATGTTCGGGAATACAGCTCTCTCCAGCGAAGTCTTGGATGAAGACAAGGACACCGCCGGAAGGCCTGCAAGCTCATATGCCAATTCCAATGCTCGAGCCTTGGGGTCCTCGACCAGCTCCGTTAGCAAGCCCAGCCGTGCAGCCTCATCTGCTTCGATGAATTGGCCGCGAAGCAACAGTCTTTTGGCCTGAAATAGCCCGACAATACTTGTCAACCGAAGGGTGATTCCTCCCGTCGCAGCATGTCCAATGGGCACTTCGGGAAACCGAAATTTGGCTCCAGGGCCTCCGATGACAAAGTCAGCAGCGAGGGCAATCTCCGCACCCCCTCCAATGGCGAACCCTTGGACAGCCGAGATGACGATCGACTGCGAACAGCTGGTCAGGCGAGTGATGTCTTGGAGTAGGTCGAAAGCGATTCTGAGTTCCTGCCCAGACCCTGTCTTTGGAGCTAAGGTCTGCTTGAGATCCTCCCCTGCGCAGAAAGATCGTTCGCCTGCGCCTTCAAGGACGAGGATCTTGACACCAGCATTCTCTCGTAGTGCGGAAACCAGACCACGGAGCAGGTCGAAATTGATGGCGTTCAAGGCCTTGGGCCGGTTCAACGTAATCTTGACGATGTCTGGGTGAATTTGGGTGATGAGGACTACCTCATTGTCGTCGGTCGGTGCTGCAGCAGACATGTTTGGTCTCCGCTAGTGCCTTTCTATTACTGCGACGACAGGCGAGGAGAATTCGAAGTCGAGATCGTATACTTGGAGTGAGAGAGTACTCACATATCTGGATGTTTCCCTTTTATCACAAAAGGCAAACTGAGGATGCTATAAGGCAAAGTGTCTTGTCCATGCCTCACAGGCCCGGTGTGTGGATATGGGTAGCTCATACCGACCCGTTTTGACCATCACCGCCAAATTTCAAAAACCCAAAGGAACAAATCCAGGGTCATATGCCCCTACAATTATCATCAAGCGAAGTACAAGGTCCACTGGGACGTCTGGACATGGGCAAGACATCTAGAGTCGTCAGCTCCAAGATTGGAGCTAGTCCCAATCTGGATCATTGTGCATGCTATACCGAGCGGTCCTGTCCTTGGTGGTGATCTACCTGAGCCTTGCATTCACCAAGTTGGACAATTGTTGACAGATTGTCGATCGACCCGCACGTGAGTAACACTTGGTGGGTTGACCGGAAGGTCCGTCTCTCTGGTGTGGGTCGCTCGCTATGAAGGCCAGCATAGCGCCCGTTTCAGTGAAATGGAAATCCACACGTGCTGAGTTGTCACACCGTGGCTCTCATTCACGGCTGGCTTTGGAGTCATGACTCCTATGTTTACCGAGACCATGAGTAATAATAGTCGACATTAACGTCTATGGACGTCCTTCACTGTCTCTGTGTAACGATTCACTGACTGACTCACGACATACACCTGCCAAGCGACTCTTTATTTATTTTTATATATAAATATATCCTGCGCCGTCTTATATCCCTGGCAGACAACCAAACGCGCAACCACCACACCTGCAAATCAAACGAACCAACGTACACCCATTCAAAATCATGTCTACGCCTGTCACCCCAGAAGCAGCCGAGAAACCCAGCACCGCTGGCGCTGGCGGTGTTACCTTGGCGGCGCCAGCGCCTGAACAGGATGTTGACGGTCTCCTCCAAACTGCCGTCTCCTCCCATACCGAAATTCAAGACCTCCTTCAAGATCCGACAGTAAACATAAAGCTTCACCGGGCCGTTCTAAAAGTTGACCAAGAATACCTCGCCGACCACCTCACACTGACAACACTCACCGGACCGGGGCTGATATCACCTCAGCCATATGTCTTCACCAATGACGATGCTGGGACCTTGTGGGCATTCTACCACCTTGGACGACGGCTCGCTGGTCATTCGGGAATTGTGCATGGAGGGCTCGTGGCGGCCCTGCTGGACGAATGTATGGGAAGGGCGTGTTTCCCCTTGCTCGCAGGCAAGATCGCAGTCACAGCCAAGCTGGAGGTGTCGTACATGGCACCAGTCAGAGTCGACAGCGTCATCGTCCTCAAAGCGGAGACGGTGGATGTGCAAGGCCGGAAGGCATGGGTCGAAGGGACCGTTGAGCATTTGAGCCTGGGTAGACTTGAAGGAAAGACGACCATGGCCAAAGCTACAGGCCTGTTTATCGAGCCCAAATGGGCGTCTGAGATGGGCAAAATGATGTGAGCTTGGGACTGGTCTGTTCGTCGAATTGATATAACAAGCGGTTTGCGTGTTGACAAAGGCGTCGAGGACGGATCCGGAAGCCGAATTTGGTAAATCAATGTGATGTGATGGACGATAGCATTGGAACTCTCTGGAGAGCGACCATGTTTGTTGGCAGAGACCATCATCCATTCACACCAGCAATACATCACAATTCATCTCTCGCATGACTTCTCTCCAATCCACAGCGATGATGCCGAGGTCAATGTCAAGGGCTTCGCATCTCTCCTCTCTTGTTCGCCAAACCTCTCGAACGACCTTTTCGACCGATTCACGATTGCCCATGCCAAATGACGTAGATCGTTCCAACCATCGCCGGGCTGCAGCCATATCGTCGACCGTATACGCCTCGACGGCGGCTATAAAGGCAGGCCAGATAGAGAAGTTGCCTTCACTTAGGGTGAAAAAGTCGTCGACATACCGTAGTGTTTCAGTAACGTAGCCCTTGACGCTTCGAGGGGGGACGTCAAACAAAGTTCGATAAAGGTAGACATAAGTTGCGTAGATGAATGCTTTGTTCTGACTTCGTTCGAGCAGGGTTTGTAGAGAAGGTTGCCGGTTGGCGTACTCATCCTCGATCATGTCGCCTAGTGCCTGATTGCGACAACAGTTGAGCTGCGATAGGATGGACTCCAATGTCTCATCCACATAATGGGTCATGTCATTCTGTTGATTCGCCATCACGTGCTGCAGCCTTGTGATTTTGGAGATGCAGTCCAAGATTGTCCCGCTGGCACCGATTGTGAAACCGTATGCTGGAGTGGATGTAATCATTGCAGACAAGCTCGGAGTAGTCAGCAATTCTGGTGTTTCTGAAACATCGCCGTTCTCCAAGTCTTGAATCAGCCCAGTGGCCGTTTGTGAGATTGTCCTGGCAATGTTCAGGTTCTGCATTAAGATGCGTGTAAAGTCGGTAGAGCTCAAGGTATCCCGGCTCCGATGGTTTTCGACAAGCTTCCACGCTCCCTCGTGATGATGTCTCCAATAGCGAGAACGTCCGCTATAGATCTGTATCAGGTCAGTGTCTGTAAGCCCCGGTTTATTCTAGTAGAAGAGATCTTACCTCTGCAAACATGAGCGAGAGAATCGAGGCAACGGTGGTGGCAAAGTCGGTGAGGTCATTGTCGATGTTGAGTCGAAGTTCGTGTATAGCAATGGCATAGTTTTTGGAACCGATCAATGAATACTTGTTGGTATCGCGTAGTGGCATATGAGCGAGATGAAATGCGGCATGTGAGATGATGGCATGATACAAGATCTTGTTGCTTCCCCAGGTTCTGCCTAGAGCAAGTGCCGGATAGTCAGACTTCCAGGGGTTTCTTGCATGCTCCACAGGCATCATGTTACTACCGACATCGCGGACGTAATGGTCGAAGAGAAACTGGTCGTCCCATGTCAGGTCTGGATTCTCGCTTAATGAGGGCATTAGGATAAGAGCGTTTGAGAGTGAGGGCGAATCAATATTGTCAAAGTCAACCATGACTTCTTCAAATTGGTCGCTAGAATCCATGCTCTGCTCATTGGACTGTAGTTGGAAACATGAGAACGGGCTGTGATGACCGAGATCCCACACAGATGATGCACAATCGGGGGCAGCGGAAGCCATAGTTCTATCTTGATCACATTTTAGTATCAGATAGTCCACGACATCCGCAGGCAGAGGGGCATAGCCGCTCCAGGTCAGGTCTGTGAGATGATCAGCATATGGCCCGCCGATGGATTTGAATTCAGGCAGTACCACATCTCCAGCTTCGACGACCATCGGACTTATAGACTTGGTTGTCATGCTCAACCCACACCAACTTAGTCCCGTAGTTGCATCTCACACCTCGACGCAAACATGCGCCGCAGGCAGGCTTCGCTTCATTGCACTGTCGAAGCAGTTAGCAGATAAACACGACTGGGCTGCAGTGGGCTATAGTTATAGTCATAGGCTTTGGCGTACCTTGACCCTACGTGAGCGGCAATTCCAGCATCCCTTACAAGGAAGTCAGCCTCAAGATGACAAAGTACGGAGGGTGGGCATCAAAGGATATCTAGACCACGGACCTCTTTGATGACCTACCGTAAATGTTCGATCTCTGAGACGACCCATCTAGCAGATGATCATCCTAGCCATACTACTCCAAGGACGGTCAAGCAGGAGGCAGGAGACGTGTGCAGGATTCTCCAGGTTTGAAAGAATGTGCAGTTTTTGGCGATTACAAGTTGACAATGCCAAAAACGCAAATGCATTGAAACAGCGACGAAGGACGGGTATGGAGCATGGAGCAGGAATGAGCGATCCCAGGGTTGAAGGAGGATCCGTTTCCCGTTTCCCGTAGCGAGTGGAACCTCATAAGTGATCGGATTTCGGCAGAATCACCAGAGTGGACGGGGGAGAGCTGTACGGCCAAAGTTTATTAGATAGGTCGTCAGGTATCTTGGTATCCTTGACGACGTACTCCGTACGTTGAACTCGTTATAGAGTGCCTTTGCCGACGAATCTGGCTTAGACTCGGAATGCGGGTGTCCATTCTCGGCGATAGTCGCTTCCTTGCTTAACTACTGATGCTCCAGGGCGATGTGGGTGCGCTCAGCAGGTCCGTCTATCTTGACTGTTGATATCTGGTGATGTAGCGCAGTTTGGTCATGAGAAACATCCTGCAGAGACTCGAGGCTCGTGACATGGAAGGTCCGTGGTCAGGCGTACTTTTGAAAGAAGTGATTGCAAGTATTTGCCTGGCCATCTCTGATAAAGGACAGATGTTTTTGTACCTGGGTTTGCGTTCGCTCGATGATGTTGCTGTGTACTGACACCGACTCATTGCTCTCCGGGAAGGAGGGAAAGTTAGGCTGGGCGCAAACGCTATTGTTCGCATTGTCCGTAGCTCCTTCCCAAAGGCAGTTGTTTGGTCAGGCAGACGTGACTTCCCTTGTTATTTACACAAGATGGTCAGGTGCGGCTTGAACCACACAGAACACAGAACACAGATCACAGAGTCTGTCGCACATGAACAGCCTGAACGGAGATCCCAACAAATCAAGATCTATTATCTACCTAGGTAGCTAGTTGATACTGGTTTGCAGGAGAACAAGTTCTCTGCCCCGATGTTGAGGTAAGAGTATGAGGAGCCAAAGGTACATTGAGATTCTCACGTGCTATAAATGAAGTATCCATAAACAATGAATTGAGTTATGCAGCTTAAGTAGTTAAGTGCATTCATTCTAGGCACCTTTGGGCTATAATGGGCTTCTTCGGCACCTAACACTCTTGAAAATTTTACTGGGTTGACTGCCTATTGGTGCCTATTCTAGGCACCTTAGGCATCACACGAGCAGTACAACCAACCCCACCTCCACGCAAATCACATCACGCACCGACTTGATGGCTACTCCCATCTGTCGCGCCGAGGACACCATCCAGACCCTTTCTCCAAACCATCCAAGGCCAATCATCCTACGTATACATGTGTCACCGCCTCATCCACCATCCCCGGAGATCTTTGTTCGGCATTGTCTCATTTCTGACGACTGATGAGGTCAACCCAGTGCATCGTGGAGGTTCTGGCATGAGACTATGGCCATCCAAGTCTTCATTGCACACACTGGCCTTGCACTGACCTTCGATGATCCCAACGCTCGCGTTGACCATCTTCGCTCATGGGTCGAGCAGACCACCCACATCCCCGTCGGCCGCCAGATTCTCATGACCGCACGGGGCAAAATCGTTAAGAATCTCAACGAACCCGAAATCTTTGTCTACGACAAGGAATACCTCTCTCCCTCTTCCAAGCCTCCCTCCCGCCAGAATGTTCAAATCGAACCGCCCACAGAACCTCCTTCCTCCCTAGCCGATGAGTCTAGCCTCGCCGCCTGGCAAGATCTCTTCAAAGCCAGGCAAGACTGGTCCCTCCGAGCCTTTGAGGTAGCCCGGAATGGCGTTGACAATCTTGAGGTCTGTGCCGATGAGGCAACTATAATAGCAAGATCGATGAAGGTGGCTTTGGACAACCTCCGCAATCATGTCACCAACCTGCAACAAAAGTTTGAAGAAACCAAACAATGGGCAGAAGGCTATATTCAAGAGCACCGAAGTGTGCTAAAAGAGTGGCAAGGCAGTGCCAACCTGCTCGCCGAGCTACCTGTCCGAGAAGACGTTGCAAGGATCTTGGGACGCACTGGCAACGTGGACAGTGGCCAATTCACTGCTCCTGTGGGAACACTCGTTGACCTTGTCGACAAAGACGCCCTACACAATGCCGCACTCAGTGTGGAAAAATCGTCGGCAGAATTTGAGGAAAACTTGAAAGCCCTCCAAGCGGACATGGAAGCCTTGAAGACAGATGCTGAAGATGCAGACCACCACACCCCTCAAATTCCAGACATCGATACAAATGCACTCATGGATGAAACCGAGACTCTGGCAAACCGCATTCATTCTGACCTGGAAGACATATTGAAGTTGCCAAACAATCAAAAATCAATAGTCGCTGCCTCTCGTAAGGCTGCAGTCCACACTCGAGAGCTGCTCCCTGCACTGCAAGGCGTAGTAGAGGAAATCATCCAGGCCTCCTCGTCGGCCTCTGATGCCCGAGCCACCATCTCAACTCAGTGGTATTCTACACTACAAACCATCTCCAAGCTCCAGTCTCGACTTGCCGATGTTCAACCTCGAATATTCAGCCTTGACTTTCAGGACGTCGACAACTGGCAGGTGCTTAACAAGGTCTTTCAGCTGCCCCTTGTTTATGGTGATACCCTGATCGAGGCAACACGCCGATCTGAGTGGACTGAGCGCATGCGACTGGAGGTCGACACCCTTCATCAAGACCTGTCTCATCAGACCGAAGAAGAGCAGAGGAGGCGTAAGAAATGGGCAACGGCACACAGCGAGTTCTTGAGTGGTGAGCTGAACGCAAAGGATGCTTTAATCGACCTCAAGGCATCGAGCCCTCGCAATTCGTGGCCCTTTGTTAATCGCGATGAGATCTTCGCCTGGATCGACGACTTACGAGCGCTGGGCATCAACGACGCTGTACAGGCAGTCACACAGCGTTTGAAAGACCTAGACACAACCCCCAAAACCCCCAAACCAAAGCCTTTCAAGAATGGAAGCGTCCACGATCTCAGCCAGAGCACAGCTTTTCGGAGCGGACCAGAGGCGCGGACCATGCAAGACGAACGACTGCGGCTGGAGGAGAAACTCAGAGCTTCCGACAGTCGAGTGCGCAAGCTGGAAGATCTGTTGCATCGCCAAAGCCAACTCAGCCGCCCAGCCAGCGGTATCTTTGTTCCTGGTAGTGCGGCCGACTTTGAAAGACACTCTCCTTCCCCGAGCCCCTTCAACAGACAGAGTGATATCTCTCGTAGATCTTCCGTATCCACAAGACGACTGTCAAGCACCCAGGATGAGAAGACCCTTGTCCAGAAAATCGTGGCCTTGGAAAGCCAAATCCAAAAATTGCAGGAGGAGACACATGCTGAGCGAAGATCCAGTACAGAGAGCAGAGACAAGATGCAGGAGGCTGAATCCGTCAAACGAGACTTGATGGCCAACTTCGAAGCCCAGAAACAAGAATTCGATGATGAAAGACAACTACTGGATGACGAAGTTCATAGACTCAGGGTCAAGTTGGAAGAAGCAGAAGACGAACTTGATCGACTCACCGAATCAAGAGACCACCTCCGCAACGAGCAGGATCAAAATATCAATAACTTGCGTAATGAAATCGAACAGCTCAAGAAGACTTCGGCCGAGGAGCAGGCTCAGCTGAAGCGTCGACTGGAGGAGGCCCAGAAAGAAACACAGGCTCAACGTGACAAAGTCATACTGTCTGACCGTCAGCTGCATCAAGTCAAAGAGGAGCGAGCGGCGGCGCAGAGCCAGAACGTGACCCTGGCCAATCAATTGAGAAGCATGGAAGATCGTCAGCAGGAATATCTCGCCAGCTTGCAAGCAGTACACTCCAACCTCTCACCCGCTGGATCTGCTCCAGAAGACCTCCTTCGGCTGGTTCGCGCCCTCGAGATTCTGTCAGAAGGCGCCGCCATCCATTCCCGAGGGCTCGACGATCATCTACATCTTCTCACCGCCGAGAATAAGACACTTGAGGAAAAGGTTCGACATACGGAGGACCGAATCAAGTCGTTGACCACTCAACTGACTTCTCTGGAGACCAAAGCTGCCGAAGCAAGGGAGGTTCTTGGACAGGAAAGGTCTAAAGCCTCTTCGCTACGCTCCGAGCTTGCTACTGAACGCTCGGAGATGCGAAGTCTACGTGAGAAGTTCGCTGCTGGCGAGACAGGGTCTGATGCCTTGCGCCAACAATTACAATCGGAGGAGGCCAAGGTGACTGAACTGATGGAGGCCAAGGCTGAGAGAGAAAGCACCATTGAGCAGTTGAAACACGAGATTGAGACTCTTGCTGGGGATGCACGCAATTCTCTCGAACTGCAGGGCACGTTACAGGCACATTTGAACAAACGCGGCGAAAAGGCTAAACAGTTGTCGGAGCGACTTTACCACCACCACGACCGCATCATTCGAATGCTGGAGCAGTTTGGATATTCAGTCTCTCGCCAGGATGATGCACTGGTCATTCAACGTGCATCCAAAGTCAACGCAGCAAGTGCGCTTCTGAGTGGCGGTGAGGGCTCGTCCAGCATGAAGAGAACAATTTCAGGCTCTGGACCCCCACAGCATTACTCTGACCCGTCAGACCTTGATACTTTGTATTGGATGTCTGATGCGGACGTTTCCAACGAGGACAACAAATATCAAGGCTTCGTCACCGCGTTGCAGCGTCTCGATGTCGACACCACGATCGACCTCATCACCAAACGATACAAAGACGTTGAGGCGCTGGCGAAGAAGTATCAAAAGGAGTCCCGTGGCTATCGCGAAAGAACTCACCGCCTTCAGGCTGAAGCACACGACAAAATTGCCTATCGATCCTTCAAGGACGGAGACTTGGCGTTGTTCCTCCCGACACGTAACCAGGCGACGCGACCTTGGGCAGCATTCAATGTTGGTGCGCCTCACTATTTCCTACGAGAACAGGATGCACATAAGCTCCGAGCCCGGGACTGGCTATTGGCCCGAATCACCAAAGTGGAAGAACGAACTGTTGATTTGTCTCGCTCAATGCGTAGCACTTCAGCCGTGGCAGAAGCCAGCGATGCAGGATCTCTGCGGTCGCTGGATGATGAGAACCCATTTGAGCTGTCGGATGGCCTGAGATGGTACATGATTGACGCATCGGAAGAGAAACTTGGAGCTCCCGGCACCCCATCCGTCGGCAAATCTACTGTGACGGCCTCGAACGTCGACGTCAAAGGTCACATGGGTCGAAAAGAGCAACCACGAGGAAGCAGTGGCGGACACCCAAATACAACATTGGTCACGAAAACTCTGACTAAAAGTTTGGATTCCCGCCGGTCAAGTTCGGGAAGTAAGAAGAGCGTCGATCTTACGGCTAACCGAAAACGCGACAACAGTGGTCTCAAAGACATGGCTGCACCACTTGCACCGATCATCAGTGATACAGATGCTGAACGTGACCCTCCAACCCGGCGGAACAACAGCATCAGTAGGCTCGAGGGCAATCTTGCAGCAGAAGATGGAAGTTCACCAGCAGAACCGTCCATGCCATCTGCATCACCGAGCTTTGTCCGGCAGCCCAGCGAGAGAGCGCAGACTGACCGGGAGAATGCTCAGATATTCGAAGTGGTGAGGCGCGACCTGTTGCTCGGCCCGTAACGTTGACGGGTTCGGGGCCCCTTGTGCAGTCGGTGCAGCGTTAGATTTGGCTGACGGGATGACTAGGCTGGGGCACATGGATCTGCAAGCAAGATGACGGCCGATGGTTCCGCGATTCAAGCTCTGCAGGCCGAGGCATCGTCGACTGGCGCGACGCATCCGTCAAACGACAAGTCGCTCAACTCGGAGATGCCGTCACGAACGTCTTCACAATCACCCCTCAAACGCAAGTCTCCGATGGCCAGTCCAGCTAAATATTTGGCAAGTGGATCTACTACTACTGTCAATACATCTTCGCCGGCAAAGCCGCCATCAAGACCATGGGATAAGTTGTTCAGCATGGAGTATCATAGTTGAAGCTAGGAATAGCAGGAAGAAAATGTTACGGGCAAGGTAAAAGAGAGCGATAGTTCAGGTTCGCAACGTGGATTGAGGGGGAAAAGAGAGGACGGATTTAAGCATGTCTTGGGTCGGGAGCTTTCTGCTCTAAGTGCACTTTTGGTGAAGCAGGGCAAACTCGTCATCAACGACTGTACTATAGAGAGATGATGTACGGTGACCTCTTCTTGGTTCTCTATCTCGATCAATATACTCCGTAGGTATTCGGCGTGACCGGATCAATACTTTGGCCGAGATCCGAACTAGGCGCAGGAAACCATCACCTGTTGGTCGCTTTCAAGCATGACCTGATCAAAGACAGACATGACACACCGCAGCGACGATGAAGAGATGGATTTCATTGGATTGATGCCATTATGGATTCTCAAAGATCATAACACAATTTGCTGAAAGTAGCAAGTGTCTGGACTGGAGGACGGGTAGCTGTAGGAGTACAGGGGAACCCTGTTGCACAGAGGAAATTTCAGACAGCCACTTCTGGCAGGACAATAGGTTGAGAGCTTTGTATTGCAAAGATTCTTGGCTAGATGAATAACATTATTGTTATTGTTATCGATCTGCTACCATGGTATTTGCCGTCAAACGCAGCGCACAGGGCGTGTGGGTGTGGAGGACCGTGACAGGTGTGTTGAGGTGACAGGTCATGTGACATGAGAGGTGTAGGCGAAGCTCTCATACAGCAGCAAGGTAGTGCCGATCTTCCAAACACAGCAGTAAGAAGCTACAGGTGGTCATGATGCAATTTAATTGCATAAGACACGGGACACGCATGTGTACCCTTGCTATAGAGGAGGGGGAATGCTAATTGTAGGTAGGTAACCTGATTGAGTCGGTGAGGAGAGGAGCCCCAAAACTGTAAGCAACATTGAGTCTACCAGGCGTCATGGACAAAGTACGGAGTAGGCACGGGTACCTCTAGGGAGGCAAGGGCCGCCAGGGTACAACGCCAGATCGGATACAGTATGTGTCCATCATCTGCAGTCAGGAGAGAAGCGTCGTGTAGGCGGTAGCACAAGATCCTCTATAGACAAGGGACAAGAACTTTAAATTACGATTGCACGCGGCAGAGTGGTTGGGCGAGCTCAATCGCCATACTAAACTAAGCCACAATGATTTGCTTTGACTTTGACTGGGTTGGCAACCGAGGTCAGTCAGCAGCGATTGCTGCGAGGAGAAGAGGACGATACTCCGTAGGTTAGCAACCAAGTCAAAGGCTTGGTGAGAGCTAGAATGGACGAGCCAAGTTTAGGCCGTGTTGGTGCGTGTTGGACACCATGACAACCTTAGGGTATAGTGCCGCCTAGAAGATCTAGCCCGAGCAAGAAGGGTGACGGCACAGGAGTAGTAGTACCTTAGGTACCTAGGTACATACCTACCTAAGTGATAAAAGACAAATGACGGACAACCGGAGGCAGAAAGCGGAAGTCACACGTGGTCAGCAGAGCAGAGAGTACGAGTAGAAGGACAAGGCACAGAAGAGAGGGGGAGAGAGAGAGAAAGCAAGGGAGACACGGGGGCCCAGATGGTTGGCAGGAGGAGAGGAGGGAAGGAGGGAGGAGTGACCAGCGAGAGAGGTAGAGAAGGAGGGAGCGTGTGGGAGAGGGAGGTGACTTGGTAGGAATGGGGCAAGCAAGGACGGGGCAAGTGAAGGAGAGATCAGAAAGTGGCTGCCAGCCAATTACTAGTGATTGTTGTGGAAAGGTGACAAGTGTGCCAGTCTGAGCATAAAATAATAGACAAGTCAGACGGAGCGAGCTGGTGGCTTCTTGAGGAGGGGGAACTGGTAGATGTGGTAGCCGTTCGTGGACGTTGCACTGATGGAACTATATCACGTGACTAAAAACTCAATGACTGACAGTATCAATAAACGGTCAATCGATCAGATCAGTGCAGGACCTGGGTGGCAGGCGCCGGCAGAAAAGCAGAGGTTCAGATCAATGATCAGGGAGGGGACGAGTTTTGGCGTGCCGCACCAAAAACCCTGAGGTCAGCCCTCAGCCCAGCTCCCTCTGCCTTTTCTACTACTACTCTGCTCCCACTCCCACACTCGCCCACTGCTACTCCCACTCTCACTACTACTACCACTCCTACTACACACAGCACTCACAGTACTGTCTTCCCATACTGCTGGCACTGCGCTGTACACGCTGCTTCGCCTCCCACTCTACCATGTAAGTACTCTCTCTCTAACAATCTTCACTTCTTATTTTTGCACCCTGTCGCATTCATCCCCAACCACTTTTCCCTCTTGTTTGCCGTCGAAACTCCCATCGCAAATGCTCCATCACTCGTCCTTTGGCTCTGTCGGCCAACCTGGCCAACCTCGTCGTCGCCTTCACCGTTGCCGCATGCGCGACCCTCCCTAACCATCAACACCACCAGCTGCACCCTCTTCACTTTTGGTGTTGGACGCGTCAATTACTGTCAGTGACTCTTATTACGACGATGCACCCTTGGTTTGCAGTTGAATGACGCGTCTTTGGCCGCAATTCACTTGATCAAACTCACCTTTGTCACGACCTGGAAAAGCGCAGAGACATGTAACTTCACATGCGCTGCATCTGCATCTGCACTGCTTTTGTCGCTGGCTGCCTTTCAACGCACCTTTCTCTTTCTGCACCTCTTCTCTTGCATCGTCCATGTACCCTCACACTACTTGCATATCTACCTTGCACCTCCCACCATCTCTCTCAACCTCTTCAGCGTGATCATCAACGCGCTAATCATTACACAGTCTAAACTCTCCAGCTCTTCGCCGGAAACCACATAATCAACATGCCTAAGGCCGCAGCTAAAGCATCCAAGTCTAAGGGACGCGGTGCCGAGAAAAAGAAGAAGGGTTCGTGACATTGCAACTCTGCCACACCCTGCGCAGTGATTCTGACCATCCACAGATCCCAATGCTCCCAAGCGTGGTCTCTCGGCCTACATGTTCTTTGCCAATGACCAGCGCGAGAACGTCCGTGAGGAGAACCCCGGCATCAGCTTCGGTACGTCTACCACACTCTGTCACAGTTTGAACAACTCACTCATCCCCTTCTAGGCCAGGTCGGCAAGGTCCTTGGTGACAGATGGAAGGCGCTCAGCGAGAAGCAGCGCGAGCCATATGAGAAGAAGGCTGCCAATGACAAGAAGCGATATGAAGATGAGAAGGCTAAGTACAATGTGAGTGCCGACTCAGATTGATTGCATCTCATCTGCAATGGCTGACGAGCCTACGAAGGCCGGAGATGACGATGAGACCTCTGATTAAATGATTGATTCTCCCTGAGATCCACTCAATCACTCAACGGGGTAGCTTCGATTTCTTTTCTGTCTTCATGTCATCACTAGCAACGAACAACGGGCGGTGGGGGGTTATGGAGTCGGTACTCAGATAGGAATTGTGCTTCAATCACAGCATCATGGGACAAGTCGATGGCCCTGGTCTGACGATGGGACACACAGACGACGGTCGATCAGTCAGAATCGACGGTCTTCAGGCAGCCATGATCTTTGACTTGCATCATTGCATAAAGTGTCAAGCATACCACATGATACTCCCTGTATACTAGCTCTTATGCAATGCCAATCATGGCACAACCATTGCTGTTGAGGTTATTTTTGTCTGTGACTGTAGTTGTGATGAATAGGGAGCCTGTGAGTGTCATGAATACATGGTCGATGAATGTCATGGTGTCGGTGGTCCCGCCGCCTGAGCGGGTGGGCAGAGCTGGTGATTTCGCCCCATTGCTGAGGCTGAAGTTAATGCCACCAATTTCAGGCACCACGGGGGCTTAGATATAAGAGATGATGAATTATCAAGGCTTTCTCGCCTAAGTTCTCGTCTTCCCAACCTCGTCGTCGCTCCTTGATCATGAAACTGTGAATCGTTAATTGGCAATGACATTTGGCGACGTTGGCATTGTCTGGCCTCACCCTTGCGACGAATTGACTTTCACATAGCTTGGGACCAGAAGCCGGCCTGGCAAGCGTGGCGACCAGTCTGCTCACTACAGCGGCACGATCAGCCTCTAACAGGCCATCGAGGCAGGATAACCTCGACCGGTCAAGCTGCCAGTCCACGTCGACATAGGTAAGAGGGTTCGCTTCTACTGGCATTTACAAAGGGCCGCCATCTCCCACAATCAGAGACCTAGGCTTTGACGCTTAGGCAGCAATAGCTGCAGGATGACGGAGCGCAGCTGCTGGCCCGCCCCCGTACCAATCCCCCCAGGACAAGTCCCCCAGCTGGTCATGGTCAAGAGCATGCCGGTGTTCAGACTCGTTGAGGCTCGTTGGTCAGAAAACGGTGCGGTCAAGCTAGAAGTCGTCGACAGGTAGGCCGTGGAGGCCTTGTGTTGCAATGTTGCAATTGTCCATGTCAGACAACCGTGTTCAACAAATCGGCGTATTTTAGGCTCTCGACTTGATTCATGCACCAGCGGCATCCAGTGTCGATTCTCGGTCTCGACTGCTCTCCGTTTGACACGTCAACAGCCTGCACGAGGTCTGTCGCCACGTATTACGAGGGCTCTCAATACCGCCGCTCTGTTTAATATTTTTGTGCCATTTGAACCCCTCGACAAGTGAACCACAAGTCATGTTGACTTTGCCATCTTCTTTCCACCCTTTTTCCATCCGACATCATCTAGAATGAATGGAGCTGATCCTCGGCGAGGAGGCTGGCAGAGCCCAGGACATCTCTGACATTTTCAGCAGTATCAGACTTCAAGACCCAGACCATGTCCAGGAAATCACGTTGGCAATCACTGCCTTGAACAACCTCAGCTGGGGCCTCCGCGAACTCGCGGGACAAATTGACGCCGCGGATCGCAAAATCTCTCGATCGTTCGCCAACGACCTCGACTTGCTACAAAGCAGTGTCGCCCTCACCCTCGAAGATGTCTGGACCATCCTTGGCAAGATCCCTCGAAATCCCACTGGCGCGGAATATCGCAAAGCCTGGAAGGAAGTATGTCAATATTGCGTTGACATGGGAAAACAAAACTTTCACATCCGTATCGATCGCTACAAACTCTTCATCTACGCGCTGTGCAAAGTCCTGCAAAGGTAAGTTGGTCGCACGCGCTGGGTGACAAGAGAGAACCAGACGTTGATGAACACCACCCTCAGGCAAACCTGTAATAGGCGCCAATTTGAACATCTACGCCACGAAATCGTTGATCTTCGCAATCTGCAACTCGATAACCGACAATTGATCTCTGCGTCCGAAGCCTTGGAGAATCTCGCTTTGGTTCCAGCTCAGCCTGGTTTGTCCTCGCTCCCCACTAAGGGCAGAATTTGAATTAACGACTTTCGTTTTGGTCCAGCAATTCGGCAACCCAGGTCACAGGAACGCGTTCGACCGACCACCTTGAGACCGACATCTCCTACCTCGTCCCATGATAGTTATGAGTCAATGCAACGACAGGCAGTTCCCTCCCCACCCGGATTATCGCCTACGACGACATTCTCCACCATTAGTCAGACTTCGAACTCGAGCACTGAGGTTTCCACGGACCATTGGGCATCCAAGGTCTACAAGAACCTGTCGTCGACGCCGCTGGAAACAGCCCCCGAGACGTAAGACCAGGACAGCTGGATTTTATTGCAATCTATGCTAAAGCATTTCGATACAGTTCCCGTTGTTTCGGAGGGGTGTTGCGGAGTGGACGTAGCTGGCCAGAAAGGCATGAGTTTGAACCGATTCTCAAATTGTAGGATGATGTGATTGTGTGGAATGTGCTATTGCTAACCAGAGACGCAGAAAGTTTCCGGGCGGACTCCAGACTTCGTTCCACTGGCGGCGACGCGACTATAAATGCAAACTGCTTTGCGAGTGGGTAGATGGCAAGCGAGGCCAGAGATGGTCATGCATGTCACTAACCGACCTACACGTGCGCCGCAAGGGTCCCTTCCTATACTTCTGCCGACCGACTCCCGAGGCTGTCAATACCGTATGGACCAGTCTGAAGTTTACTTCAATTGAGTGTATGTTGAACATATTGGGTGTCAGGCCAGGTGGCTGACTCTGTCAGGGCTCATCATTTATCATTGTACTTTTCTGTCACTGCGATCTCACGACAGTACCAGATCCTTGGACAATCGCCTGGACCACGACTTGTATGGGGAGAAAAGCATGTTTTCTGGGTAAGCGGTGTCACTCTGATCTGGGCGATTGGCACTGGAGGCTGACCGATGACAGGGCGATCCGAGATAGTGGCTACAAGCATGCGTTGAGGGTATATCACGATCGAGGAACAGGTGCCTTACGGCTTGAAGCAGCGGTGCTTGAAGGCGAGATGCAGAAGTAGGCCGCATATGAAAATGGATCATGGTGATGGTGTTGATGATGCCTGGACTGACCATCGACATAGTACTCCGATCTGGACAGCGTTCATCACCCACCGAATCACATCCCCGACGTGGTTCCGATACATCAAGCGAAGCTCGACCGTCTACCTCGCCGAACTACAACGCCACATCTTCTCATCCGAATACACACCCTTTATCGCAGCCAACGGCGAGCACTTTCTGGACTTTGAGTTGGTTCAAGGTAGGTCTGAATCTGGATAGTTGTCGCAGCGGATTGTATGTCGTCTCACCCGCCTGCAGATGCCGAAGACTTTGTCAAAACCCTCGAGGACTTTGGTGAAGAGTATCGCCGCATGGGGGAGAAGACACCGAAGTGACCAGCCCGTAGAAACTCCAAATGATGACCATGACGATGCGATACGATACATGATGCACGATGCACGAATTTACGACTCGACGACAATGGAACCTTAAGGCGGCCAAAATGACACCCATGTTTCTCATGTAATAGCAAGTGTTTTGAAAGCGGGAGGGCTCTGTGTGCATGTCGGAATTCTTTACGATTCTAGTCATTCGTGACCTGTCTTCCCAGCTCATCCTTTTTATGGTTCTTCTTCTTGTGACACATGTTTTGATAGCCCGCTTCAGCAAAGGCGGAGGGTCTCAGTACGACCGGAAGAATGGAAGAATTTGTCCTTAAGATGATGATTATGATTTCATTTTGTCACACCGGCCATCAGGGTCTGGGTGTTGAATCTCTTTTCATTCGATTGCTCTGATAGATTGCGATAGGATTAAAGCAGCCGGTGCAGAGGTTATTGGGGAACGCGCCTGCCGCCTTCAGCTCTCAGGTCGTGGTTGCTCCTGCCTTCTCGCCTCGTTGAATCTCTCCGTCTCTTCTCATCTTTTCTTTTCTTCTCTTCTTCCTTTTCTTTTTTGCTTTCAAAACCACTCACAGCCGCCGCCTGACATTTTCCAAACATCGCCTGGTCCGTCAACTGCTGACTGATGCTTGCATCTCAAGGCCAGTCCTCGCCAAAATTGAATCAACAACTCCATGCACGCTATAAAGCTTGGGAGGTTACCCAGATAGCTGAGCATCAACAAACCTAGGAACGCCCCCACTAGAATGGATAGGTATGAACTTCTCGCGCTTCTCCAACGGATAAAGCGGCTCCCTGAAGCACCCCTCGACCCCCCATCCCTGCCTGCCCCGGGGGAGATTGTTTATCCCCGTTTGCCTACCAAGCACCCTGGACCCTGAACTCATCTCATCGTCGGCCAGACCCGATTTATCTTCGCGTCATGCTGATAGCATCATTATAGGCACTTATCTCCCAAAAGTTCATTCGAACATGGTCGGTCCCCACTCTCCACGTCGGCCTTTTTTCTCCAACTCCCTCGTGCATCCACTGTGGTAAATGATGAGATGGAAAGACTGTTTTCGTGATTGACCATGGCCATTCACTTCTTTCTCCTTCTCCCTCTCTCTCCTCGCCTGCCCAATGCCTTCTCAATTCCTCCGATATGCCGCCGCAGTCGGACGAGGACAACAAGCCATCCGACGATGAGCTGGTAGTCCAGACTTCGGTATCTGGCAGTGCCACATCGCAAACACCTCCCCCTCGAGACAGTAAAGGACGGCTGCAAGTGGCCTATGACAAGGTTACATTTACTCCTCCTCGATGCCGCTATGATCCTGCGAGGCCCTTCCAGTTCTCCATGGGCTTGAATGTCCTGTTCGGTATGCTTCAGAGCGCTCACTTCCCATCCTATACCGTCCACAGGCTAACATACCTTCTCCAGCCTTTGCAGGATGCTTCACCGTCGCCAACTTGTACTATACCCATCCCATATTGCACCTTTTGTCTGAAGACTTCAATGTCACCGGGGAGCAGGCGTCTTACATCCCAACCCTGGCCCAGGCAGGCTACGCTTCAGGATTGTTATTTCTATGTCCTTTGGGAGACTTGGTAAAAAGGAGAGGATATACTCTATGGTTGGTCTGGTTCACTGCAACAGCATGGTACTTTCCAACCCACCTTCACACTCAACTTCATGCTAAATTAACTCCAGGGTGGGCCTATGCCTGACCAAGTCATACGCCCTGTTCTGCGTCCTGACCTTCATTACCGGCGTCACCACCGTTACCCCACAGCTAATGCTCCCTCTCGTCGGTGACATGGCTCCAGCCCACCGCCGAGCTACTTCCTTGTCCATCGTTGTTTCTGGAATGCTACTCGGCATGCTCACTGCTCGTCTCCTCGCAGGTATCGTAGCCCAATATATCGGCTGGCGGTATATTTATTGGATCTCTTTTGCTCTTCAATATCTCATCTTGATCCTGTTATACCTTTTCATGCCCGACTATCCCGCCACAAATCCTGGTGTCAACATTTGGCGGAGATATCCATCTCTGCTCCTCGACATTTTGAAAATATCCTTCAAGAATCCCGTCGTCATTCAGGCGTGTTTGATTGGTCTATTCACCGCTACGTCGTTTACTTGCTTTTGGACAACTTTGACTTTCCTCCTCTCCGGCCCACCTTACAATTATGAAACCATCTACATTGGTCTCTTTGCCCTCTCTGGAATCGGCAGTATGGTCTGGGCTCCCGTGTTTGCCCGTACTGTCATGGAGAAAAGGCAACCGTTGTTCTCAGTCATCATTGGCGAGACCATCTGTCTCGTCGGGGTCATCGTCGGCACTTATTCTGGAAAGCATACCGTGGTTGGGCCCATTCTCCAAGCCATTTGCACTGATATTGGCCTCCAAACAAGTCAGATTGCGAACAGGACATCAATCTATGAGGTCGCGCCCAAGGCCAAGAACCGAGTCAACACAGCCTACATGGTCAGTGTCTTTAGCGGCCAGTTGGTCGGGACAGCAGTTGGAAATGCCCTGTACGCCCGCTCTGGATGGTACGCATCTGGATCAGCTAGCGTCGCCTTTGTCGCCTTTGCCCTTTTTGTGGCGCTCATTCGTGGGCCCCATGAGAAAGGCTGGGTGGGATGGCATGGTGGAATGAAATGGCGCAAACCAATTCCCGGAGGCGCCCAGGATCTAGAAAAGAGAGCAATCCATGTTCTGTCCGATGACACTCCTGCATCACAGGTTACAGTCTCACCGTCATCTGACCATGATGATTCCGACTGGTCCAAAGATGCTACCCACCATGGTCAACGGCCCTCTACCAAGCAACCTTCAAACCACCGTTAGAAGAGGGCCATGATTGTCGAAAGCTGAGAAGCATTCTTGTCAGAGGTAGACCATCGTCAAGTTATCAGACGAGTTGGAAGCCTTAGAGATCATATTGGACTGCTCCGCATTTGTCTGGATGTCGCCTTTAAGCACTTGTCGCATTTTTAGCCAGCTTGCATATAAGCGTATTGTTGACGACGAAAGATTTTTTTTGGTTGGTACAGAAGATCCAGGCGTCGAGAGCAAGCCAAATACATATCAAAAAGGGATAGCCATTTTCGGCAGGACTGTTTTGCCGACATCAACATTCTTGAAGTGTCGCGTGGAATTCCCCCTTGTATCTACCAGCAAGATCTACACAATGTCCACTTGATCTCTACGAGAACCACATAAGCTGGGGAAAAATTTGATTACATCCTGCCGATCATGGCGTTTCAATCCTTGTTCTTTGCCTTTTTGGTGTTGATATTCGTCCAATTTACATCTAGCTTCACTGGCAGCGAATACTACCTGGACGCAGAATACTCCGGCCGCAATTTCTTTGACGGTTGGGATTTCTTCACCGTAAGTTCACCGCCCTCGAATAAACAATTTTGCTTACCGTCTAGGGTGATGATCCAACCCATGGCTTTGTCACGTAACGTGCACTGGCTTCCTAACCATATCTCCACACTCTCTGACGATGTCCAGATATTTTGGCCGTGCTTCAGCGCAAGTCAGCAGCCTGATTCACGCTGCTGAAGGCCAACCTGCGTATATTGGCTCGGACTATGAGACGTCCATACCGCTTTCAGGGGCTCCTGGACGTCCCAGCGTCAGGATTTCCACCAAGAAGACGTGGACACATGGCCTGTTCGTTGGCGATTTCAAGCATGCACCGGGCGGGGTTTGTGGGAGTTGGCCTGCATGTACGATGCGTTGGACATGTGCTGGGACATCTCTGATTGTCAATAGTTTGGACCTTGGGCCCGAATTGGCCATTTCATGGCGAGGTCGATATTATGGAAGGCGTCAACTTGAATAGCTACAACGGCATGGTTCTGCATACGTGAGCTGAATGCCACTTTATCTCCTGGGATGAATGTTGATGTGGGCTAGGAGCCCTAACTGCACCATCTCGCAAGACGACTACCTGATGACAGGTCAGGTCCATACTACGGATTGTGCTTACTATGTAAGTTTCGACCTTTCACCCTGTCCTGCCTCTGTCTGAACAAAGACCAGCCAGGTAACAATATTGGCTGCGGAATCGGTGATGATCGTCCTCTGGCTTTTGGCTCTGGGTTTAATGCCAATGATGGAGGGGTCTATGTCATGCAATGGACTTCCGAATATATCAAAATCTGGATGTTTCCACGTGGACAGATCCCGGAAGACATTGTTAGCGGTCACCCTAACCCATCAACTTGGGGCACTCCCCAGGCACATATGCAGGGATCGTGTGTCATGGATGATCGCTTCCAATCTCACAAAATCATCCTCAACAATGCTTTCTGTGGGGATTATGCGGGCAATCCATACGTATGGGATTCGGATTGGAATTCGTGCGCAAAGAGCACCGGCTTTTCTACATGCGAGGCACATGTTGCTTCAAATCCAGCTGCCTTCAAACAATCGTAAGACTCGAGAAAGAACGAGACGGGTTTGTTACTAACCGCCACAGATTCTGGGAAATCAACTATGTCCGCGTTTATCAGCTCAAGGACCCAGACGCGATTGTCAGACCCTCAATTCCTTACATTGCCAGCATTGAGCCACCACAGCCAACGCTGGGTTCAAACCTACTGCCTCCTCCCTCCCCTACAGCTACTCTATGCCCGGCCTATAATTTCACGGTCATCAAGTCTGGCAAGGCGAACTACGAGATTGAGTGCGGTGTCGATCTTGAGGGCCCGGATATTGGACCACCAAATCCAAACTGGACTGTCACCTCTCTCGAAGATTGCATTGTAGGTTGCAACTACTGGAACGATGAGATCGAGCCGAATCTTTGTGGGGGTGTGACATATGATATGGTCACCGGAGCATGTTCCTGGAAATCGAATGTACGAGGCACTCGGGTCAAACCAGAAATGAATGCGGCGAGACTGTTATATTACGCTTATCCTGCGGTTACGGATGATACACTGCATCAAACTATTGTCGAAGAGCCTCCGTATGTTCCGATCTCTGTCACACCCCAAACGTACAGGCCCTTTGGAACATCGACGTCGACTTCGAGCTTTCTTGTTTCCGAGACATCATCCTTTCATTTACCACCAGTAGATCGGAGAGTACGTCCGTGGGTTCCCAAACCAGTCTGTTGTCCTCCTCACATTTGTCGTCACATGGCTCAGCAACAATCACTTCCACATCCTCCCATCCCAGCATGAGTTCAACCTCAGCATCCAAATCAGGCTCTTGGGTTAGTACGGGGATTCCAAGTTCCTTCTCAGCCCACACTTTGCAGTCTTCCATTTCAAGTACAACTCCGATATGGACAGTCATATCCACCACAAGGACCTCGACCCCGGCATCGTCAACCTCGCTAGCATCGTTCACTCGACCCACGCCCACCTTCAGCCTGACACCGAACCCTCACCTCCCGGGCCCCTTCCTCATCGACTTCTTTAGATATGCAGGATGCCTTGGTCTACGACCTGGAAGACCATATGCAAACTCATTCGTCGTCAGGGAGACTTCCGAGAACCAATCAGTCAGTCGATGCGTACGAACATGCTTGAGCAAAGGGATGCGTTATGCTGCTGTCCACGATACGTAAGTCTGACTCTGACTCTCCCCCTCCGTCCTACGTTTCCTCCCTTCTCGTTATCCAAGTATCGTGAGTATAGACAAAGGGGAAGTCAGAAATCATAGGTACTGATCGAAAAAACCATTTCACACAGGACTTGCCTCTGCTCTCCATTCCACACTTCCACCATTGATATGAATTTCGACTATGTCAATTACCCAGATTGGCTCTGCAATTATCCATGCCGAGGAAACCCAGTCGAGAAATGTGGCGGCATTACAACGAGACCAACATCGAAGGAGAAGCGACAGCTTCCAGCAGAGACCAACGATGAACAAGTCGTACTGCTGACAGTTTATAAATCGACATTTTATGGCGATGAGACGGACGAAATCGATGATGGAACTGGTACGACAGGTCCATCTACTCTGCCATCAATCACGCCTACAGTACTATTTCCCTCTTCGATCCAGTCAACACCACACCTCTCACCTACCGATCTCCACCCCGTCATCGTCAGCACAAGCTATATAACCATCTGTCCGTCCCACCCAATCCTCTGTCCAACCCCAACCCCAACACGTCTCAGCACTACCATCACCGTGCTTCACTGCGGATGCACCGCACAAGCACAACCACAACCCACCGTGCCCATGACGACAATCACGACCATGATTCCATGTCAAGGTAATTGCGGAAGCCTTAGACAAGGTGCTGCCACCGCCTCATCATCACCCATAACACTTACTGTTCCTCATATAAGCAAAATCGCCATTCTGGAAAATAGTGTGCGGGAATGGATGTCGAGACCGATCTCCAAGGTAATTGACGCGGCGGTGCCCGTGATGACTGGACATGTTGAATCATCTCCGACTGTATCGGAAGAACCTGGAAGTTCAGATGATCAACATCATCCACCGATGGCTATCATGACTATTACATTGGTGCCGGTGCCGGTGCCGGTTCAAGGGAGTGGTAATGACACGATGGGTCGGTATAATGGGACGACGGTGGATCGGTATCATGAAAGTAATCATGATATAGATATATCGGTGTCGGCGTCATCGACATTAACATCACTAATACCGTCTGGCCCACCATCACCACCTCCTCCTCCTGCTTCACATGTGCGTCCAGCGGCGTTGCCTTTACAGAGTATGTATACGTCTGGAGCATCTAGATCGATATCATCGTGGTCGTGGGGATGGATGGGGAGAATGAAATACGTGGGGACATCTGATGTTGAGATAGCCGTCACTGCGATCGCTATCGTGGTTTTCTACCTCATTGTACCTCTCGTACTTGTTTGAATGACATGACAAGGCTATTTTGAGCCTATGGTACAGAATCTCCTTTGAGTAGCTAGCACATGGTGACCAGTTCCACATCAGGTAGAGGTCTCGTGATCCCGTAATATTCATCAACACTCTAGCAAACATGTCGTGTAGCTCCTAGTCAGCTACTCCCTCTGTCAAACAAAGTGGCATCCATGTCAGAGAGGCTTGTGTGTCTACCCTTGGTAGCAGCCCAACCTCGACAATCGCTAGCAACAATATACCTCAGCTCATCCCAATTCATCAGCATCATCATGACGTCGTCGTCCAACACTTCCAGTGCTTGCCCTGGCAACACTTCAATTGTGCAAAGCATTGGCCCTGCAAGTCGTCTCGTTCATGTGGCCTCGCTCGTACCCAAGTCCTCACATCTTTTTGCCTCTCTTGGAAATTGACTTGATACAGACGTGGCATCGTAACTCGTTCCCATTCTCCAAACTTCATGTCTAGTAGTCGTGGACCAGAGTGTCTTGCAGCAAAGACAAATTTCCACACATCCCCGGCGAACTCGCAAATGTCATCAGCTGCGGATGGAGGATGCATCATGGTCTCTTCTTCAAGGAGCTCCATTCCTGGTGGTGCTTGAAGTTCAAGTTCTTTGGGAATCCGTCTTGAAGTCAATCCGGTCTGGGTGTACGCACCACCGCAATGATTGACTAGAAGAATCTGCTTTTCAGAATCGGCACCGTCTTCTTCATCTTCGTCTCCGTCCTCATCTTCGTCCTCGTCCTCATCATTTTGGTCAAGATCATCATCAACCTGATCCTGAACCGGGATCGACAGGTAAAGCAATCCGCTGTCTAGATAGATTTCAAGATGCTCCAGGTTCATGTCGCGGATCTCTTCAAGGATCTGTCGGTATTCTTCGATCTTAGGCTGACTCGATTGGCGTCGCAGATCAAAGGTAAAACTTTTGAGATTGGGACAGGATGTTCGAATTAATCTGATGTCATCGAGCGACAAGACTTTCCTAGATCGGACTGGCCAGATCTCTTCTCTTTCATGGAGATGTAGCGCAGTCAAGGTGGGACCGTGTTGCCTCATGATGGCATCGAGACTAACTATACCAATCCAGGACCACAAACTCAAGGTCGTCAATGGGGAGCAAGATTCGACGAACAGCCGAGCTGCCTCTGCTTCTGCGCCTCCAACATCCGCAACGGCTCTCATATTCAAGCTGAAATGTCGCAATCCCGTTAGGAGTTGGGCAGCACGTGGAAAATAGGACGCTGACACATATCCTCTGGTGTGTTTGAGGGTTTCGAGATAGCTGAGATCGACAAAGCGGTTCCAAAAGTCTAGTGTCTCGGCAGACAGCGGCCACATCTCTAGAGTAAGATGTCTGATGGTCTTGCTTCTTTGGGTGATCTTGTTCAAGTAAGCATCATCTGCCATGTTATTTGGAAGGGAAAATCTGCAGTCGATTATCGACACAGTTTTCAGGGAGGGAGCAGAGGCGATTATCTTGGGGTAATTGATGTGTGAAACAGAGCAGACACGTTGAATGCCGTAGGCATGGTAGTCTGCGTGCCCTTTAATCCCAAGCATTGACAGAGTCGTGGAGGAAGCGAGAGAGTCTTCCAAGTTGAGGAGACGTGCTTTCTGGACATCTGAGTCTGTATGGTAGCAACGAGCCATGCGATTCACCCTCAATTGGGCGGTTGGGTGATGGACAGACAGCGCCTTAATTACCTCATCACTGGGTATAGAAGAAGGGAGCCACTTCAATGTCTTAATATTCTTGGCGGTTTTCAAGATATCGACCAGCTCGGTGGTCATATTCTGAGTGGGTTGGGTGGGAGGTGTTTCGAATGGTGCAATGGTTAGCAGCCGCACCTGCTGCAAGACATCGTTGTTCTTCCATGTTGCGTTGTAAGTAGGGCTAGACACCGAGCTGTCATTCCTCTTGCCGGAGTTGAAACGATAGTGCTTTTTGCGGACGAAATGACCATGTTGGTCGGACCAAGTAAGATCGACTTGACGGTCTTGGACCAGTGCGATGACGTCGCGGAAATGCTTGTTGACTCTTCTGACAGCTGGGACTGACCAAGGGGACTCAAGGACGATGAACTGGAGAATGTCGGCCAGAATCTCAACCTCAAGATCGAGGATTCCGGCGAGAGGAGGTGCGGCCTCGGTGGCCATTGTCGATCCAATTTATCCTTATGCCATGTGTCAATTCAAGTGTAGAGAGAAAGTTTTCGGAGTTGAGATTGGGGGAAGAGACAGAAAGAGAAGGATGGGCAAAGGAAAGAAATTGCACGTGAGTTGATATATTTCATGATTGAGGTTGGAAGGCGCGTCTGGTTTCACTAAATTGCCTAGCTAGGCATAGGCAGTAGGCAGCAAGGCAAGGGGCCCGAGCCGCTAACCATTTAAGGAAGGCTTGCCTGGATGATCGCGTTCCAAGCAAACGAGGAAGGCACGAAACAACGTGACTTAAACGTGATTTGCACGTGACAAAGAACTGTCGAGATTGATTGATTGCTCTAGGACAAATACTTCTTGAACCATTCAATACCCTGCTTCTCCGTATCATCCATGGCCTTCTTGTCCTTGTCACTGCTCCAATCGCTGCGCAGAGCAAACCCGTGGATTTGATCTTCGTACACTTTCACCTCGGTGGGCACACCAGTCTTCCCCAGAGCTTCGCGGATCTGCTCAACCGACTTCATGTCCAGCAAGCTATCTTTGTCTCCCACAGCAAGACTTGTGGGCTTTGATACGGGCTCGAGGTCGGCAGGAATAGCAAGGAGAGAAGGATGAGCTGCAAAAGCCGCATCCACGCCTCCAATTTGTCCTTGAGTGCGAGCATGAGCTTGGAGTATGGCATAGCGCCCACCCCAGCAAAAGCCAATTGCCCCAACCTATTGATCATCAGCATCAGTGAAGGACTGGGCAGTGCCAAGGAGAAGGTATCACCTTATTTGTTCCTGGAATCATTTTGACCGTGTTAATGAAACCCGAAAGAAGTGGCTCCGCGACAGCCTCTCGGTGCTTGATCAACCATGGACCCAAGGTCGCCATAATATCCACTGTTTCCTTAGCCTTATCAAGGAGTCCCTCCTGTTCCTTGGATTTCAAAGACGGCTCAACGCTTTGTAGAAATTCAATAGGCAAACTGTCTCCTTCGTGAAGATCTGGGATGTAGACATAAAAGCCAGCTTTGGCGTAATTGTCGGCCAACAGGCGTACATTCTGAAATTTCCAGCCGAAGATGTCTGTCACGAACACGACAGTCTTTGAAGTCGATCCGTCACTCGGCTCTGAGATATATGTAGGAAGACCACCAATGGTGTCTTCTCGCCCGCTGGGAGTTCCGGAATGGACAGAACCAGAAATGCAGCATGCACTGAGCCCTGTTTGCGATGCCATCTTGAGGAGTGCCTGGGATACCAAGTTCTGCTGTCTGAAGAAATGGACGGTGTGAATTGGTTAGAGTTATACAATCGTTTGACAGACTCAAAGTCGTTTTGAGCCGCCAGGCATTGTTATATGATCCTGCCCATCACAGGTTAATCCCCTGGGCTCATGACGATTGGTAACGTTCTAGGTACCCCGCCTCGTCCGAGGGTCGGAGCTAAAAGATCGCAGAGCACTGTGTTGCTGGCGCTGGATTGGATCATGGGTGAGATCATACTCCCAATGACTCCCTCGAATAGAAGCGACCGCCTATAACGTCAGCGGATCAATCGAATTGACACAAATTGTTCTAGGCGATCATGACGTCCAAGTGGCGTGGTGGGGCCAGCCGTCAAAACCGAGGGGCCTGGAGGGTGAACAGTCGATCTGTTTATCCGCCGAGGAAATGAAAACACACGCTTAATGCTCTCTATTATAATGACCGCCTGGGTTCAATGGCAACGAAACCATTTGGGATCCGTGAGACTGATCGAGAGGACATCGCACAATTTCTCGACTCCATCTCTCGTAGTCGTTGTCATGTGGTGTACACCTGACAAGAGACTTACGTTAGAGAACCCCTCCACCCCTCATATCCTCTTTTTCCTTCTTCCTCTCTTTCTCTTTAGCAAGCAACCCAACCAACAACAACAAGTCCTAGAAAGCTATTGTAGCTAGACAAATCCCAATCATTGAGACTGCCTACTCCTTTATTCCTCTCTTTCTTGCTGTTTTGAGCCCTCTGGGATATCCATATGGCAGCCAACTTCGAAGAGTCGTTCGACGTAATCGTCGTAGGAGGTGGGAATGCTGGTTTCTCTGCCGCCACAACAGCTGCTCAAGCTGGAGCCCAAGTCATTCTGGTAGAGACGGCTCCAGAATCCGAGCGAGGAGGCAACACTTATTTCACAGCAGGGGCATATCGGTATGCTTTCGATGGCCTGGACGACCTGTTGCCTATTCTCTACACAGCCGAGGGCACCAAAGGTCTACCCCAGGATCTGATCGACAAGATTGACATCACCCCATACCGCAAGGACGACTTCCATGCAGATATCAAGCGAGTGTGCCAGAATCGATCCGACCCAGAACTGGCCAGAGTCCTTGTTGACGGTAGTCGAGGTGCTGTTCAGTGGATCGCTGACAATGGTGGCAAGTGGCATCTATCCTTCCATCGTCAAGCCTACGAGGTCGACGGGAGGTATAAGTTTTGGGGTGGTATGGTTACCGCATTCTTAGGCGGAGGAAAGGCTCTGGTCGAGTGGCATGTTCGGCTCGCAGTCCAGGCGGGTGTGAAGATTGCGTGGGATACGACCGCATCCTCTCTGGTCTTGAACGACGATAAAACCCGAGTTCTCGGTGTACAAGTCACGCACAACGGCACGACGAGAACGCTCAGAGCTCGAGGAGGTGTCATTCTCGCATGTGGAGGTTTCCAAGCATCCTCCGATCTGCGAGCACAGCATCTCGGACGTGAATGGGCTCATGCTCACGTCCGAGGCTGCAAGTACAATACCGGCGACGGGCTCCGTTTGGCGGCCCAGGTAGATGCACAACCTACTGGAGATTACCCTGGCTGCCACTCGGTTTGCTGGGATGCCAATTCCCCGATCCACGGCGGTGATCATTTGTTGACAAATCAATATACCAAGTCCGGATATCCATTCGGCCTCATGCTCAATATCGATGGCTGCCGTTTTGTTGATGAGGGTCTCGATCTTCGGAACTATACATATGCGATTTTTGGAAAAGAAGTGCTCAAGCAGCCAGGATCTCGAGCTTTCCAAATCTGGGACGATCAGGGGTTCAAATGGCTGCGAAAGGAAGAATATGCACCAGATGTCACGACCATCTTAGAAGCGGATACTCTGCAAGAGCTGGCAGTGAAGCTTGGTGATCGAGGCCTGAGGCATCAACAACAGTTCCTTGATACCATTGAAGAGTATAATCGAGCTGCGAGAGCGTTTCGACAAGAGAATCCACATATCGAATGGGACCCATCGAAAAAGGACGGACTGTCTACGCAATCTTCCCAAACCAAACTGTCGCTTGCGAAGTCAAATTGGGCTTTACCACTCGAGACTGGACCATTCAGGGCGGTCGAGATTGTCTGCGGCATTACATTTACTTTTGGAGGACTAAAAGTGGATCCTCACACCGCGAGCGTCGTGTCCCGGTCGAGTGGAAAGCCAGTCCCAGGCCTTTACAGCGTCGGCGAGCTGCTTGGTGGTCTGTTCTACTCCAATTACCCAGGAGGATCAGGGTTGACTGCTGGAACTGTCTTTGGGCGTATCGCTGGAGCACACGCCGCCGCTGCGGCTCAGCAAAATGTCTCCGGGACATGAACATCGAACCTGATCTTGATCAATTTAGGGGCATTTGACTCTAGTCCTAGTCTTGATCTTCGGCTCCTGATGTATTCACATAGCCCTCCATCAGGCAGCGGGAGGTTCTGATGAGCTGCGCACTTCTGATGTGGCTGCCATGGAAGTCCGCGCCGACTTCCAAGGTTCCTGATGGGTGCCCAATCACCGTGTTGGATGGGTTCAGGTGCTGCGAAAGCTGATGAGGTATAGTTCCTGTCATTTTGCAGGCCACCCCAAGGTTGAGTGCAAGAGTCACAGGCACAGCCTTGTGGGCCTGTTCCATGGACAGAGCCTGAGATGAGATATCGATACCTTCTTTGGTGGTAGGGAACAGCAGGACAATTTTTGGAATGCTGCTAATATTGGGGTCCAACCCCATTCTTTCAGTTCCTTTTCTTCGGATCTTCTCGAGCTTTTCCATTAATGATCTGTCTGCGTTGAGTTCATCGGGTGTGGCGCCGTGTTTCCACCCCACATCTTGTCCTCTGATGAAGATACCCGGATTGCTGACATCGATCAATGACGCCTCTATGGAAAAGTCGTCAATCTCGAGGAGGTCGATGGGGTTGCCGGTAGGTAATGCTCTCTGCGTTTTTGACCCCTCGGGGTCTAGAAATGACAATGTGATGTTCGAAGATGTGCTAGGGACACCGTCAATGGATGTAGTTCCTCGTTGCTGGTACTGCCAATTTCCGTCTATGAGGCATGCTGGGAATGATGACTCGATGATTTTATTCGTATTAGTGTTCCTCATCTTCATGGTGATAGTTTGGTTCTGGCCCTTTTGCAATGAGGTTGTCGTGGGCTGTTTCGTTTCATCTCTACTCGCCCCATACCTGTAGATGGCTGCATTCAAAGCAAAGGGCCCAACCGCAGAGCTCAAGTTTCCACAATTCCCCGCCATATCCAGTTTCCCATCCTTGATCCCAACTTGGAAGAAGGTGTAATCGAGATCAGCTCCTGATCGAGTGGGGGGACCAACCACCATAGCCTTGCTCAGCGATGAGATGCCTCCTCCCATTCCGTTTAGCTGACGGCCATATGGATCTGGCGAACCCATGATTGCAGAGAAGAATGTTTGCATGCTGCTGAATTCGGTTTCAGAGGGAGCTTTGCCTGACCTGAGAGCTGTCTGAAACCAGTCGGGCAAATCCTGCAGGCTGAGAAAGACACCTTTGGAAGTCCCACCTCTCCAAAAAGAGGCCTTCACGGCTCCGAGGAATGGCACGGGGACCATAGTTTATCTGACTTTGCTTCAGAAACTGACTGGGGTTCTGTGCAAGAGAGCCTTTTCAGGTAATAAGACAGAGAATTCTGACAGGATGCTCAGACGCGAGAAGTATCTTTCCAAATCATTGACGAGATGGTGTCGTCAACGGTGGTATACATAGCTATAACATTGGCGGACTGAATCTTGTCTCAGTTGTCATGAGAAGCTGATGAAGGAGAGAAGTCGGAGGTCTTCAACAAAGGGACAGCCTCGTCTCAACCTCAAGACAAGGCTGGCCAATCATGACTACCTCAATCACGGTGACACAACAACGCACTTCATATGTAACGGAGGCAACACTGCTTCTTCATTTCATCTCACCAACACTTCAATTATTGTTCTCATCAAGGAATCCGGATCTATATGCTAGAATGGGTTCCATATCACCTACGAGCTCACCTCAATTCCTGGTGATTGGAGCCGGATCTCGGGGCAATGCCTACGCCAGAGCGGTCGAAGCGTCAACGACTGGAACCATTGCTGCTGTAGCCGAAATTGATCCATTCAAGAGACGAGAGTTTGGCGAGAGGTACATCTGGGGCAGGGAAGAGCAGCCTCGCTCGCACCAATCGTTTGGAGGATGGGAAGAGTGGGTTGATTGGGAAACTCGACGTCGTCAAAATGGCGGGGACGAGGCAGAAGGATATCTTCCTATCACGGGCGTCTTTATCTGTACGCTGGACGAGACGCATGCGCCAATCATTCAAGCCATCGCCCCCTTCAATCTTCACATCCTGTGTGAGAAGCCACTGGCTCTATCTCTGTCAGACTGTCTATCGATTTCAACAGCCTTGTCCAAATACCCGCCCAAGGTTGTCTCGATTGGACATGTCCTCCACTATTCACCACATAACATCAAGCTTCGCAAACTGTTGACTCATGATCAAGTTATTGGAGAGGTCGTTTCAATCGAGCATACAGAACCTGTGGGTTGGTGGCACTTCTCCCATTCGTATGTGCGGGGCAATTGGCGACGTGCCACGCCTGAAGGAGTTGGTTCTCTTCTAACCAAATCCGGGCATGACATTGATTTTATCTTGTGGCTTCTATGTTCGCCGAGTCCTCTAGTCGGTGACAAACCTCATCTGCCGTCTTCCATTTCCAGCTTCGGTGCCGTTACCCACTTTCGCAAGGGCAGAAAACCAAAGGCAGCAGGCGCGGCGACGAGCAATTGTCTGTCTTGTCCCGCCGAGCCTGATTGTATCTATTCTGCCAAGAAGATTTATCGCGATCGTTGGCTGCGAAACGAGAAGGACACTGGTTGGCCATTGAAGATTGTCGTGCCCGAGATCGAGGATATTGTTCAATCGAATGGATGGGATGCAGCCGAGGAAAGGCTGATGCAAAAACTCGGTGAGGATTACGACAAGTCAATCACGGATGACAGTGCCATTGCTAGTAGAAGCTGGTACGGCCGTTGTGTCTACGAAGCGGACAATGATGTCGTCGATGACCAAACGGTGACGATAGCATGGGACGAGGATCCTGTGAATGGCCAAGAATATGGCCGGGGACCTAAACATGCCCTATTTCACATGACTTATCCCACCGAGGCGCAGTGCGAGCGGAGAGGCAGAGTGTACGGTTCGCTGGGGGAAGTGACATACGACTCCCATACCATTACTGTTCACACATTTGCAGACAACCAAACCATCGTACACGATATTCCCAAACAGGCTCCAGAGGTGGAAAAAAGCCACGGAGGCGGCGATTGGGGTCTAGCCGGGGCATTTGTTCAAGCAGTGCAAAATGTCGACAACAGTATGATGACTGTGGCCGAAGCACAGCGGGAGCTAGTGGGCTGCGATTTGGCAGAGATTATCCTCAGTCATGCTGTGGTGTTTGCAGCCGAAGAGGCGAGGAGGGAACGAAAGGTCATAGATTGGCAACAATGGTGGAGCCAACATGGAGTGTTACTGATTTGAGAGAAGAAAAGGGAAGATGTGTAGGAACGAGGATTGCCGGAACCTCTCAGGACTTACGATTTGACGAATGACGAAACACGAAGACCCAATTTTTGGCTTTGGTAGTAATGTCGATCTTTTGATTTTTGGGCTTTTGTGGAATGTCCGTACGCGAACTTGGCTGCATTCCAGTCGTTTCCGGGCTGCCACCTTTTCAAGGATGCAAACAAAGCAATGCATCTCAGGATGGGTAGGGCACATGCGAGTCTTGGCTATGAGGTCTCTCGTCAGATGAAGCTAGGTATGTTTCTCAACCTCGAAAGATCTAGTTTGGCATGGCTGAAGAATCGAAACGATGTCGATGAACAAGCTCCCATTGACGTGGCTACTTGCGTTGTGCAGCATTTCAGGTACGTGAGACTGCAAAGATTCATGGTGGCGTCCAATAATCGAAATGATATGCTGATTTAAAACCAAGCCGCCACAGCTGTACCGTACGTGCAGTCGTCGGATGAATCGGCGACAGGCGTCAACAGGATAGCAAAAGACCTATGGCCAACAGGCACGATAGCCCTCCGACCGACCGAGGGGGCAATTTCCAGCGACTTCAACTTTGAGGAGTGGCCGGCTGGCACCAACCTACCAGGAGGGACGACACTGGCAGGGATTGCTGTCTGGATGTTTGAAATACCTTATCATTATTACAACCGTGTGCGGATTGCGCATGCCGTGCTCGCAGCCAGCGCGTTTCTGGTTTGGTTTCCTTTGGGGGGGATCATCATTCGTGTTTGGAACCACCGAAACATTGTGTGGATCCACGCTGTGGTCCAGGCGATCGGGATGGCGTTTTTTGTAGCCGCGGCCGGCATGGGCATCTGGATGGGGAACACGATTCAAAGGGTAAGGATGCAGCCTTCTTCCGACTTTGGGCTATTCTCCGAGGAGTTTGGCATCGTAAAAAATCTGACTGAGGAATTTACTAGCTTGACGCGTACCATCCAGTGATCGGACTGTGCGTCCTGGGGCTCATGCTGGTCCAGCCACTGACTGAGATTGCCAACCATCGATATTTCCAACGCCATCCCAAGATTGTTCTCCTTGCTCACCTGCATATATGGCTGGGCCGAGTTCTCATGACGCTGGGCATGATCAATGGCGGGCTGGGGTTTCACTTTGCCGAGACGGTGCCAGAACCACGATGGCCATCTTGGCCTCCCCTCGTGTACGGGATTATCGCGGGGGTGGTCTGGATCACATACATCGCGGTCGTGCTTGTCTGGGCCGAGTTTGACCGTCGACGGGCGGCATTAGAGGAGACTCCACAGGACGAACCAGGACCAGGTCAACCGGGAGATGTTGAGACTGGTGTCAGAACACGCACGGAAGGACCTAGTGCGGCGGAGACTAAGAGAGCATATCGGTGCAGTGCGCTGTAGGAGCCACGCCCTGGGTGATAGCGCTCGCCAGCGTCAAGATCCAGGAGCTGGGATCCAAGTTGTGTCGTGGGCGAAGGGGGGAGACCTAAGGAGGCCCCCGTGAAGGTCGCGAGTCATGTGACCACAGAGCCTGATGCCATAGTATGCAAATGTTAGTATTGCAAATGAATAAATATGCTTTGGACGTCGATCTGTCAGCTCACCGTCGCCCTCGGAGAAGCAGAGTGATGTCTATATCTTATCAAGGACCAGCGCTGGCTACTATCACAGGAGCTTAATACACACTGACGTTGCCCTAATGGCTGACGGCGCATTGGTTCTTATCTCTCTGTGAGAGCGAGGAACCCACCTTTCAATCTTGGCTGGCGAATAAGATGTAGTAGTGTGGAGCTTGGCACTGCCTGATTGGCTCAGAGTCAACGTCCACCACTGAATCCCCAACACGTCGTTATCTCTCACCATCCACATCCGTCACGACAGAATGACCCTCGCTGTGCTTCACCCATGCAGTACTGTAGGTAAGGCGCGACAAGCCACCACCTCCTCCAAGGTCTGGCCCAGCAGCCATAGTCTGGCACTTCTGGTCGGCACCCATGCCACTCTCGATCTGCAACGGTGTCGTCCCACGGAAATTCATCGCCTGTCATGCCCTTGTGTTACTGCGCAGACGGCAGTGACATCTCAAGCTGCGATGATCATCCATCTTCATACTTGCAGGGATCGGTCTTGGAGTACGATAGTGTGCAGATGGACTTCAACATACAGCTGTCCATCAGCCACCATTACTTGGACGTGACATCATGTGGTGAAGAGCAACAACATGGGCTTGAAGATTACCCCCTTTGCCTCGAATGGTGGAATCACAATCATACAGAAAAATAAAGGCACAACACTGATCTAGATTTCAAATATATCCCAACATGTGAAGATGTTGAGAGGCGTCACGTTGGTCAGCCTCCAAGAATGACAAGCCATCTCCGTGGCCAACATACAAGATCGACCTCCAGATGCTGATGTTGCCAAAACCGCGGAGACGAACCCACTGAAAGAGGATCTGCATAACTTCCCAGCCTATCAGATGTCAGCCATTAGACAACCCTGGTCCTGAATTGGCCTTGATGCGCGGAGAAAATGGTCCGTGGTTGAAAGTTCTGGATCTAGGTTTCGTTGGTTCAGTCCCAGATCAGTGCTTGGCACTGATAACCAAAAGCGTTTTGGGGGGGGCATTCACCATTTGAGAAATGCTGGTGACATATCAATCCAGCACATAGATCTATAGATCTATATATCCAGCATCGAGTCGCCAACATCCTATGCCCATTGTTCTATCTTCTCCAGAGCCATCGATCTCATTCAAAAGGACCAACCGGCGCCTCATCTCAAGTTCAGAGGGTTTCCACCAAATTCCCACACCGTGTAACCACAACACATCAGCAGCCATGTTCGACATCAAGATGCTATGGCAGGCGCCAGAGGTCAACCCAGTCAACCACAAGGCGCGGTCTATTCCCATTTTTAATGTCGTCGACATGTACGGCCGTGTATTCTTCATGTCTTGGTTCGGCTTCTTCATTGCCTTTTGGTCGTGGTATGCCTTCCCACCACTGTTGACTGTCACTATCAAAAAAGATCTCCACATGAGTACCGTTGATGTCGCCAACTCCAACATTGCCGCTCTCACTGCCACCCTCCTGGTTCGAGTCGTTGCCGGGCCCTGTTGTGACCGATTCGGTGCTCGATGGACTTTCATTGGCACTCTTCTTCTTGGTTCTATTCCCACTGCCCTCTCTGGAACAGCAAACAGTGTTGGAGCCTTGATCACCATTCGTTTCTTCGTTGGCATCCTGGGCGGTTCTTTCGTCCCCTGCCAGGTCTGGTCCACGGCTTTCTTGTAAGTTCCTCTCCCCAGCGACTTCATTGAAACCCAAATACTAACTCGACCCCAGTGATAAGAACGTCGTCGGTACTTCGAATGCATTGATTGGTGGTTGGGGTAACTCCGGAGGTGGCATCACCTACTTTTTGATGCCCGTCATTTTCAACTGTAAGTCCTCGACTGCTTGGCCTTCTCACGAACTATTACTGATCCATCATCCAGCTTTGGTCCATGATCGAGGACTCACACCTCACGTTGCATGGCGAGTTGCCTTCCTCGTGCCATTCATCCTCATTGTCTCAACCGCCCTCACCATGATTTTCTTCTGCCCCGACACACCCACCGGCAAATGGAGCGAACGACATCTTCACACCGCCCAGCTGCTGTCTGCCCACGGCGTTACCACCACCACCGACGCCAAGGGAGTCGTCATGGATGAACAGCAACCCAACTCTGGCTCCTCGACCCCCAGAATGGATGAGGAAAAGGGCGAGAAGCCCACTGCACCGATTGCTCACAACCGCGAAGCACACCTATCCGAGGGTCAGATGCTGGACATCGCTCGCGGAGAAGTCATCGCGAAGCCTACCTTGCGCGAAAGCTTGAAGGTTGTTTTCTCCTTGCAGACTCTCTTCCATGGAGCCACCTACTTCTGCTCTTTTGGCGGTGAACTGGCCATCAACTCCTACCTCGGCGCCTACTACCTGAAGAACTTCCCTCACTTGGGTCAAACCGGCTCCGGTCGATGGGCTGCCATGTTTGGTCTTCTGAACGTCGTCACTCGTCCTCTAGGAGGCATGGTCGGTGACCTGATCTACCGCTACCTCACCAAAAACCTATGGGCCAAGAAGGCCTGGATTTCCTCCGTGGGAATTATCAGCGGAGCATTCCTCGTCGCCATTGGTAAGACCGATCCGCACGACGAAGCTACCTTGTTTGGTTTGATCGCCGGCATGGCTGTCTTCCTCGAAGCTGGCAACGGCGCCAACTTTGCTCTCGTGCCCCACGTGCACCCTCATGCCAACGGTATCGTTTCCGGTATCACCGGCGCCGTTGGAAATCTCGGGGGTATCTGTTTCGCTATCCTCTTCCGCTTCCACGGCACAAACTATGCCGAAAGCTTTTGGATTGCCGGTATCATGGTCATCGGCATAAACGTCGCTGTCAGCTGGATCAGACCTGTGCCCAAAGGTCAAATTGGTGGTAGATGATGGAATAAAAGTCCAACCATCCTATAATGATTGGTTTTGTTGTCGTTATTCGAAGTTTTCTTTTGAGCCTGCGACGAGTATACCTGATGTGACGAAGAGATGCGTATGATACCACTATTAAATAGAGGCAACGAGGAATAAAATCCTGTCTGTTTATCAAAACGATCTTCTCTTTTTGCATTGACATTCGTTGATAATTGCGTCGTGCCCAGAACTTTGTCGGACTGTACCCATTATCGTCATCAGCATCATCCCCCAAGTCCTCGTGAGGCCCACGTGATTTCCAGATCCTTGCGATATCGCAAAGTGAGACCAAAATTAGTGTGGTCCCATCTCCGTTGCAAGTCTCGTCGAATCAGATCGATATCGTGGTCGCGAGCCACGAAATACCCGAGCGTGTAGACCGCCATGTTAATGTTGAAAAACCTAGCCCAAATAGCGTTTTCGCTGTATTTTTCCATCACCGACCGAGCCAGCCGCATCTGCCAGCTCTCCGGGTCATGTGGTAGAGGTATGTTGATATTTGAATCGCCTAACAACAACTGCTCCGTAAGCACAGATATACAGACGATGAACAGGGACGCTGCGTCCTGAGCCATTTGAAGGTGAGGCGTGCCTAATTCGCCATCGTCATTATTAGCGTGGTCGACAGCAGAGCAATAATCGATTGATGATTCCCACGAAGCCACTTCGAGCTTCAAGTCCCTGATTGTGTCGATGTCTGTCCCATTCAGATCAGATAGGAGCTGTCTGATAAGGAGGAAGAGTTTCAAAAGTGCAACAGGAATGCCAACGACAGGATTCCTGAGACCAGTCGGTGGGGGAGGAGAAAGATCCGAATGGTTAAGCAGGCGTTCTGCATGGAGCCAAAAGCTCGGCTGGAATGCGTCGTCCGAGTCGAATGGCTCAGACCACAGACCTAAACTCACGGTGAACATGGCGTTGAGTACACTTTCGAGGAGCAGCCGATCGAAGGCCGGGAGAACCGTCGGCCGGATGGCCGCGCGAGCCTGGAACATGCGCAAAGTCACAATCTTGACGGCGGCGCCGAGATGGCGCGGGACGTCGCTGTAGGTTCCTATGCTTGTGGACTGGTCGATGGTGGCGAGTGTCAGTCGGTACGAATAAACAGAGAAGGTGCTTATGTTCAAAGGAGATGCGCATGTGAAAACTCACCCCGAGTGTGTACAGTAATATCACCGACATCAACAAACCATTGTCTGTCTCCAGCTCTGCGGCAGTTTCAAGAAGTTGGTGGAGGTCTCGCAGGGCTTGTGAGTAGTATATGAGAGCGAGCTCCTTCATTGATCCAGATTTACCGATCGAGTATAGATGTGACGCGGCGTTTGCCAGGACTGTGTACTGAAGTCCTCGACAATCTGGCAACTGTGTTGCAATTTCGTTGAACGTCACATAGGAGTACTCTGGATGACAGCTGGGCAATAGGATAAGTTGGAAGTACTTGTCATTGAAATGATCGAAAAGCATGGGCTTGATATCTTGAGCCAATTCCTCAAATGACGTTGGCGAAGACGTTAAAGACAGTTGACCTTCTTCCCAATCCCATTGCTGTTGTTCCTCTGGACTCGGTTCGTCTTTGATGGCTGGATGGGACTTGCGACGCGGAGCCGACTTTTGCCTTCGATCCACGAGTTCCTCTGAGGTCGGCCATGTGCAGCGCCAACCCAGAGCCTTGCAGCGCTGGCATGTAGGTCGTGCCTCGTCGCATTTCTTCTTGCGTGTTCTGCCTGGGACCAGACTCTTAGCCAGAAATTAGCGCTTTCATGTTTGTCAACCACTTACAAGTCTGGCAACCTGTCTTCACTCGCAATCTCGGTACTGCCATGACGATGTGACCATATAGGAGAAACTGTGAGTGCCTCGCCTCAAATGGGCATTAAGTACTTTGCCATGGAATCGCGGAGATAGCGCCCAATGCCGCCTTGCGTGAGTTGGGCACGGGTGGGAAGGACAATCCTTGCGAAGATATTCGAGGGTAGATTGGAGGTGCCGTGCGCATTATTAATTGGGAGATGGGCGAGAGGCTTGGATGCCTAACATTTGGGCCGAGGGGCCCAGGCCAGCGGCTCGTAGGGGCCCTCGGGCAGAAGCTAATCGTCCTAGCCACGTTAAGTAAGAAACGTAGTGCTTGTGTTTGGCATAAGCTTAATGGTTGACGGAAGGTCGTTCTATTCGCAGGCGACGAGCGCCCGGACATGAATGGCCCCATAATGAAACCTAATTAGGCAAGAGAAAAGAGCGCCACCCGGCTATATGGTGGTGAATGATTTATCATGGTTGGGTAGGTTTATGGACCAACCGAATGATGAAAGAATTGGTCTATCTATCTCGAGAAAGAGAAGAAGAGTCAATGAGGAGGAAGTCGCTTGGGTGCACGTTTTGGCATTCCATATGCACCTACCCGTGACCATCAACCCAGCAAGTATCTACGAGTAGCAATACTTGAGATACTGGGAGGTTAAGATACTTGTTTAATACAAGTTACTCTTACTTTGCATGGTGAGAATTGCATTCAATCAGTATCACTTGGATAGATCGAGTCTAGACATCATTGTCGCTTAATGCTGCTTCGATGTGGAGGCCAACCTTCTTTACTGACCACAAAATGGCCTACCATTGCTGGTATATGTAAAGTTCATGTATAGACGATTGTAAGGCACAACAAGATAGTGACAGACAATGAGGGATGTAGTGACTTGAGTACATGGGCTCACGAGAACCAAGTTGTCAAGATGGATGCCACCATCTCCACAACAGGGAATTGCGCTCTCCAAAAGCATATCCCAGCTCGTGGCTTCAAGATCAGCCCTCATGAGCGGCGGCAGCCAACTGCCAGTATTTAGCAGCGCTGCGAGCACGGAACATCTTGCCAAATTTGATCATGATCAAGAAAACTGAACTTGCAGCCAGGCCAACAAAGGCCGCAGTGATGAAACAGTTCTGAAGACCCATCCCGTTCAACCAAGGAGTTATGCTGTTGTGCTTTTGTCAGTTTCTGAGGAAAACATGCGCTGCTCGATTGTGACTTACCCGTAACTCATGGCGAAAGACATGGTATTTCGCACCAACATCACTGTAACCATAGCATCGGCGCTAAGCTCGTGATAACTATCAATGAGGTAGTTGATACTGAGAGTGACCCCAAAAGTTGTACCACAAGCTAGAGTGCCCATGGAGAAAACCAGGCCAAACCAGTGAACACTGTTTGCCGCTCCCACGCCCCAGAGAATAAGGGAGCATGGGACGAGGATCAGACAGGCTGTGAAAGGCCAAAGACGATGCTCTGCTTCCATGATACCACCGTTTCGCCTTGCAAGTTTGAGCGTCAACCAATCACTCACGGTTCCAGAAAGGAGAGCGCCGATGACGACACCGATCGTGCAAGATAGATAACTGAGGCCTACCATCGAAGAAGAGAAGTTGTATGGGGGTGCGCTCAGGATCACAGAAGCTGTTGCGTTCAGGACATTGAACCAGATCAAATAGGATCCGTAGGAGAAGCCTGCGTAGAATATGATCGGCCAGCTAAGATATTTCAAGCTAGAAAGAGCTCGCTGGATCATGCTTTTTCCGGGCGTTGGGTGCCAGATCTTGAGCTTCTGAACAAAAGTCTTAGGTGGAGGATACGCTTCGGCGACCACGGGGGTAACATCCGTGCCAGTAAGTACCTTTTCGGCTGCCCCTGATGTGGTAGGAGTCTTCTCTTCATCGGCCGATTGGCTTGGGTCCAGGAGTGATGTATCAGCGTCGGCAACGATACCAGTTGTCTGTCGAACGTAGTTTGTCTCCTCCATGAAGAAGAAGAGGAACACGAACAAAAACCCCAGGAAAATAGTGGGATAGTAGAAGACCCATTGCCAGCCTTGGTGTTCAGCAATGAATCCGCATATCACAGGAGCAAAGTAGTTGCTACCCGCGAGTGTGAAGGCATAAAAGCCCATGTAACGACCACGCTGGTGGGTAAAATACTGGTTCGTTGGGATCAGCACTCGATCTCGGTAGTTTCTAAACTGTCATCGCTTACCACATCAGTGACGGATATTTCTGGTAGTGCTTCGATCGGGGCAAGAACAAATCCCTGGACAATAGAACGAGCGAGCCATTCGCCATCAGTCTTGACATATGCACTGTTTGAAAATCAATAAAGACACACAAAAATCCGACAAGACGGGCGAAAATCACCTCCAGACACACGTGCCCTTTTTGAAAATCAGTTTAAATACTTGATATTTTCCTTTATTGGATGCCCACTCACAATGGCTCCTAATGTGGAGAGAAGATATGTCATGCGCTTTCCGTATCTCAATGCGAAAGGGTTCCAGAACAGTAAGCCCCAGCCCAGAAGCAGAAACATGTATCCACCGCCTTCAACGAGAGTAGATATAGACACCCCATTGGCTTGGGATAGAGGAACCAGAACCGAGTATACGGTGGAGCCGGACATGCCGATGAAGAAGGTATACCTGGACAATAGTCAGCACAGATTCCAGATACCAAAATGGGAAACCTTACAGATTGACACATATGGTTGACATCAGCTTCCTGCGAGGGTCCCAATTAAGAGGGTCATTGGGGTCAGCAGACGGCGTAGGGTCGAGTACGATGTCTTTGTCACCACCAGTGGCGTGGCGAGTATGCATAGTATGATCGAGGTCGACCAAATGCACTGTGCCAGGAATGCTACCTGCCTCGCCATTGGAAGGCTGACTTGAAGGTGCCATGTTTGGGGCCAAAAATTCGATATGCGTAAGGCGAGCCTTGTATCAGAAGAAAGCGATGCCTGATCAATCACATTTTGGGGACTTTGACGAAAGTCTTATACCTTTCTGTCTGGGCTAGGGAGATATCTTGAAAGCCGTGGAGCTTAGCCTTCTCAATGGTGCCTAGCAATCTATCTCTGGATCTATTCCTTGTTTGGGACAGATAGTTGACAGGGCGTGAACTCGAGAGATATGATAGCGATATCGAAATCAAGGAGATCAACTATGAATGCAGGGTCACTTACGGTCCATGGTCCAGGCCATGTGGGGAGATAGCCCAACACGGGTAGTCGTGTAACCACTCTGCTGGATTAGCGCCAGACGAACAACCATCCAGGACTATCAGATCGGAGAGGGGGTCCTCGAACCCTGCCAGAAGGTTTGGCGGTAAAGAAGCAGATTTGCTCGAAGATTGCTTAGTGGAGGTCATCCTACACGTATAGATACCCGCGAATCCAAACTAGTTATCATCACCAAGGATATGTTAGCGGGTGCCGTGTTTTCAGAGACCTTCTGCCACTTATGGCTATCAAAGTTGCATATGACCATCGGCTGGCAGATATCGACCTGCCGTAAAGTAGATTGGTGCATTGCCCCCAGCTTCGCTAGTTGACATCTCTTTGTCGGGGCCCTCTTGGAAACTTTGGCGGTAACCTGTTTGATTGGTGGATAGTCCACCGCGGCCTTTGAGTCATGTCGCGGCGTTTTGAATCCTTGTACGAGTAGCATCCGATGCCTCCTTTGTAGCTTAGTCAGTATCAATCTCTCTCCAACAGATAAATGACCTGGATTCTCCAAAGAAATCAGGCATTCAAACATGAAGAACGTCGTACTCGGAATAAGAGTTTCTGGAAGGCCTGAAATAGGGCGCCGAAGGACCAGCGGACCATGGACAAGAGAAGTGTTTCCCGTATGTGAAATAGTGCTCTGCATAAATGCGAGTACGATGATCACTGTCGCATTAGACGACTTAAATCGTACTCTACTGATGGTGAGACGGGTGCTGATCACTCAAACAAACAAGCCTATATCAGTAAGTGAATCTGCCCACAATGTCCATGAAAACACGCACTCCTCACAGTAACTTTCCAACATGGGTCCGCGACCACTTTCTATCATTGACGTGAAGCCTATGCTTCAGGGCACACCTGAATACGAAGCACAACGTCTTCCAATCCTTGCTGAAATCTCCGCAAACATCCCGGAGGAATGGTATCTTCCGCAAGACCTCATTGACAACCCACCTAAAGATGTCTCCAACATACCCAGTACCTGCGGCCTATTGAACGCCGAAGAACTTGAGATCACTGAAGCCTACGATGCTACCGGTCTGGCAGAAGCAATTGCAGCACGTAAATACACGGCTGTGACGGTTGTCAAGGCGTTTATCAAACGAGCTGCCATCGCTCACCAGCTCGTTCGATGCATGTCTCAATTCTTCCCTCAAGCTGCTATCGAGCAAGCTGCCCGGCTCGACGAACATTTCCTCAAGACTGGCAAAACCGTCGGACCTCTTCATGGAGTACCGGTGTCCATTAAGGAACATATGGCGATTGCCGGGCAGAACTCTTCCTTTGGCATGTTAAGCTTGAGGTTCCCCGATGACAAGGACTGTCAGATGGTTGACATACTGCGGAAAGCAGGAGCGGTCTTCTTCTGCAAGACGAACCAGCCACAGGCGATCATGCACATGGAATGTAGCTCATACTATGGGCGGACATTAAACCCGTACAACATCAACCTTAGTCCTGGTGGATCTTCTGGAGGAGAATCATCTTTGATCGCGTTAAGGGGATCCGTTTTTGGAATAGGAAGCGATATTGGCGGGGGTATTCGGGCGCCTGCGGCTTTTTGTGGCCTTTACGGTTGGAAACCAAGCACAGGTTTACTTCCGATGCTGAGAATGTTGCGAGGAGCAATGCCAGCCGAACTGAACGTCGAAGCTTCCACTGGTCCCTTAGGGCGAAGCCTCAGGGACATGGAGCTGATTAATCGGGTCACTGTCGACAGCAAGCCATGGCTCGAAGATCCAAAGATGATTCCCACTACGTGGATTGGATTGAAGACGGCAGTCCCTCGACGCCTCAAAGTCGGCATTCTTGATAACGACGGGTTTATCGACCCTCAACCACCGATCAAACGAGGCATGGCATGGGTGAGAAAGTTGCTTTCGGATCCCAAGTACAGCGACTTGATCGAAGTCAAAGACTTCCAACAATACAAGGCTGCCGAGGCCTTGGATCTGATCAGACGTCTACTCTTACCGGATGCTGGACTGGGGGTTGTCGCCGCCATCGAAGCAACAGGCGAACCAATCCTTCCGTTGACACAAGTCCTCCTCCCCAAGGGTGGCAAATTGGGCGATGTCTACGATGTCAATAATCTACGCTTTGAACGGGACACGTTCCGGGCCGAGTACTTGGAACATTGGAACGCTCAAGATGTGGATGTCGTCATTGGACCATGTCATGTTGGAACGGCGCAAGAACATGACAAGACACGTCATTGGGCCTATACGACAATCTGGAATCTGGTAGACTTCCCGGGTCTTAGTTTCCCAACGCCTCTGAAAGCGGAGAAGGGGGAGAAGTATGCTCCAGACTATAAGCCGCTTGCAGACGACTGTCGCCTGGTCAAGGAAGCGTGGGACGAGGGTGATTTCGAAGGTGCTCCAGTTGGCTTGCAGATCAATGCGAGGAAATATCACGACAATGATCTATTTGGCGCCATGGCCGTCTTGAAGGATGTCCTGTTATTGCCATGATATAAGATAGAGATGCAGATTGACTGATACTGCCACTGCTATGATATGATTGACAAAAAGATGTATGTGACACCAAAAAGGACCGGTAAGGTGTATCTTAATCATTCATAGAGAGTTCAACTTGATATCTAAAACCGCGACTGGAAAGTACAAGTGCCATTTGCCTACGCTCTACCTATAAAAGTTTCAAAAGGGCATTCATTGTAGATGATGAGTCTGGCCATGTTGATGTCGACAAGGCTGGGTCCCTGTGCCAACTAAAAGCGGCAATCAAACTGTGAGTATACAGTCACGTGGTAACGCATACAAGCACAAGCACAAGCACAAGCGCGGCGTCACCATTGGCTAAAGTAGGACTGTTTTTGATATCAGAACCAACTTCGACTCGTCCTCCCCCCTCTCAATTATAGTTAGTAGCCTTGTGAGACCGAGCATCCCAGTCAGAGCCGATACTCGTTCTAAACACCACCGAAAGACGGGGCCACGCTGTCCCTCCTTCAGGTGACCAACGAAACATGGAACGAACCTATGAGGCCCAGCCTCAATGAATGAGAAGACAATCCTTCCTAAACCTATGACAAGAATCAATCATTTCAATCATGTCCTTCTCGCCCCTCGGTCCCATCCTCACCCCTACAATCACCCTCCTATCCACACTCGTAGTACTACTTATCATCATCCTCTACCACATCTACCTCCCACCAAGTTATCTCATCCGCTATGTCTCCCGACTCTATCCAACCGTTCTCTTCCACCTCCCAACCACCAAACCCATCCTCATGCTAACTATCGACGATGTTCCCAGCACGCACACCGCACGCATCGCCGAAATCCTACACGCTCACAACATCCACGCCACATTCTTTGTCATCGGTAGTCAAATCCCAGGCCATGAATCCACGCTTCGATCACTTGTGGCTCAGGGACATGAACTTGCTAATCATGCTATGTATGATAAGCCGTCGTTCCGGTTATCGGATGAAGTTTTGGAGAGGGAGATTAAGGAGGTTGAAGGGCGGGTGAAGGAGATTTACGATCATCAATCTGTTCTCGTTGACGACGACGACGACGACGACGACGACGACAATGACGACGAGGGTGATCACACCGCTACCGCCACTGATATGTCAACAAGAACAATTGGTCCGGTTCGAATCCCACCTCGCTATTTCCGACCCGGAAGTGGGTTTTTCACAGCTCGTATGCTTGCTCTACTTTCGTCTCTTGAGTATAAATGTGTTTTGGGATCTATCTATCCTCACGATGCACAGATCCGGTGGTCATGGCTGAATACCTGGCATATTTTGCGGAGTGTACGTCCTGGTGGGATCGTTATATGTCATGATCGGCCGTGGACGCCGAAGATGTTGGAAGTGGTGCTTCCTGAACTTAAGAGAAGAGGGTTTAGTGTTGGGTCGTTGAGTGAGGGTAGGAAGTGGGAGGGAGTAGAAGATGCGGGAGAGGGAGAGGAAGAAGATGCGGTGTCGCGTGGGGCGGGAGGGCAGTCAGAACAAGAGAGGTTGGATAAAATGGGAGGAGGTGAACGAGTTAAGAGGTCGTGAGAGACAATGGGGAGATACTAGAGTGCAACGTCGCTGTTGTTTGTCATCTACAATGCTCTCGGAACAGGAGGTAGTTGTGTTAGGGAGGTGTCAAATGAAACTAATCAACCAGAGTTCATCAACTCAATTCAACTGGACTTATTCCAAACCCAAGACACATCTTCTTCTACGTACTCCACAAAACACATGCAGACTGGGTCATCTCATTCTGCTGAGTGTCGTGCCATGCATGTCAGATCGCCACTTGGCAGATCGATCGAGGGTATCAAATGACCTCGCTGTGCACAATTGACCAACAAAAGTTACCACGTAGCGACGTGATTCCATGAGACATTAAAACTTATCCAGGCTCACACACAAGTTTAACCGACAACTGCTTTCAAACTGAGTGCTTCGAGAAATGCAGCCAGATCATCTTTCCTGACCTCGACAATGGAACTGTCGAAACTGTCGATCTTGACACGAGCGTCAGTTTCATCGACGACTTCCTGAAACGCCAGGCCGAAGCGATTACTCAGTTCGGATCCACCGGTACCAACGACGACATAAGTGCCTCTGGCTTCGTCGAGGGCGGCTAGGACCAATGGGGTGGCGGCTGCGGGGGTGATAGGGTCCTTGGATTCATGGTCACGATCTCGTTCCCGTTCATTTACCGCGACGGCTTCGCCGACCCATAGGGCTAGTTTGACTAGTGCGCCGGGAGAATTGGCGAAGAGAGCTAGGTCGGGTCCATCTTTGACAACACCCATACGGAAGGCACGTAGATGTCGGATTTGATGTTTGACCAGGAGAGATGATCCTGTGCGGAGGATGGCGCGGAGGAGGTGTTGTGCTTGAGGAACTGAGGCGAGGAGTTGTGAGGGATGGTGTGGGGAGAGGGCGTCGTAGGCGGTGAAGAATCGTGGGATGAGTGTGGCGGATCGTTCGGGGATGTCTGGGTTTTCTGGGTTGGTGCGTTGTGATTGAGATGGATTAGGTTGGAGATGGGATGAGGGTGGAGTTGAGGAGGATGAGTGCGTGTTGGCGGCAGGGCCAACGTCGAGAATGGCTCCGAGGATGAGACCGACGTCAATGGCGGAGAGTTGGGCTTTCCAACCCCACGAACGGATGAATCCCCATCCTTCTTGATCATAGGTGAATCGTCCGGCGCCTGATGGGACAAGATCGTCGAGGCCGTAGACGGGCGCGTATTTCAACAGACGTTCTCGCAAGGTCTTTTTGAGGTCCATGTCCATATGGGTGTATGTCTGTTTACACTGATTCAGACTAACACCCATTTTGGCCAGGAGTTTGTGTAGTCGTTTGACGCCATGCTCGTTCCAGATGCGCAGGCGAGACGCGAGATAGGGCGAATGAAGCATACTATCGTACAACGACCAATGTCTGAGGAGGAGAAAGCGGGGATCTGGGGTGAGGCGAATGGAATTGTCGCTTGGAGAATTCACACCTCCGGATCCGGGAGAAACTGAAGGGGATTGGTCCTTGGGCGGTGGGTTGAGTCGACGAGTCTCATCCCGGAGAATGGCATATGTCTGGCGTGATCTGTTTGACCGCCATGATTGATCACGGTCTTGGTCTGGCAATTCTGAGGGTTTCGTGACTGAGTCTCCGAATCCGGTTGATGTATAGCCGGACAACTCCAGTGAGGTCACACCGACGATTGCCATCCATAAAAGATCATTGTCCTCTCGCCCAAGGTCTGACGCTAGAGAATAGACGAGAGTGGAGATTGGTTCTGAGTATGACATGCCTCGATTGTAGTACTTGTCGAGGACTTTTTCGTGGGATCGTCGGAGCTTTTTGAGCCGTCGACGGAGTTGTTTTGCCGAGGGTTGTTTAGGGGAATGTGACTTTGAGGTAGGGGAGACTGGCTGAGAGGAAGATGGACTCTGGCTTCGGGGAGTGGAATTGATGGAAGAGCCTGAATTGGCCCTCCGCCGTTGACGCGGTCTTTCCTCGTCATCACCACTTTCGCCCTCTTCGTCGTCTCTATCGGACCAGGATTTCCTTTTCTTGCCGTTGTCGACGCCATCTTGAGCGTTTGAGTCGTTTTCCCTCGCATCGTCCTCTCCATCACTTTCTTCGTCATTACTATCGTCTTCGTCATCATCTTCATCGTCATCACTGTCTGAATCCTCGAGTTCAGGCATATCAGCCAAAGCACAGTATGCATCCCGTTCTGTTTCGAGTGCGCCGGAGATATCACCATCGTCAAAGACAATGATACCACCTCTGCCTGATTTGTACGACCGTTGTAAGCAGCCCTTTTCAACACCAGAGTATCTTGGCCGTTGAGTGACGTCGTCTTGATTTTGATTTGCATCGGTTGGAATACCCCCAAACACATTGGCTAGGTTCCAAGGACGTCGAGCATCAAGCACCCAGACCTCAACACCACCCATAGAGTCCTGGGCATCGTCTGTTTCTAACGCCAATAGAGAACCCAGGTCGACCAGGCCACCAACTCCCAGGCACACGACCACGCCTCCGGAACCACCTTGGTCTGTTTTCATGGGCCGGACAAGGTCCTGGCCCGCGCGGGAGAGATCAGCATAGCCGGAAATAGGCTGGATCTTGTGTGGGATATAGTCTCGCTTCAATAAAGCGGCAAGAATGCGGCAGGCACATAATGCATCGGGTTCGAGCGCGACAAGGAGGAGGACTGGAGGCGACAGCGGATGGTGAGACTTGACCAGGTTGGTGTATAACTGCGAGATCAAGCTGCGAGGAAGATACATCTCGGTGTGGACATGTACATGGTTTGGATTCGCATGGATTAGGGATCGAGACCGAGGTGAGGTGACTTTGGAGGGTATGTGTGAATTGAAGGTGATGAGCAGTCTTCACACCAGTCGAGTAGACATACATACACACTACTAGGTTAGGTACTCAATAATAGGATGGTGCGTTGGTCTTGTGAGTGTCTGGACGTGTGTGGTCTGTGGTGATCCCAATCTTTGGGTCGGACGCGGAGAGACGCGCGGGAGGCTTGCGGGAGAAGGCGTGCCAAGATCTCGCGTCTTGGGTTCGTCATCAATCGGAGTAATTTGCCTGTCTGACGAGTGTCATTTGATATCAGGTCCACCGTTCCACGGGCAGGAGCGACTCAACTTGACCAGGTCGCGCCTGGCCAACGTCAACTTTGACGAACGACGCCGTCAAGTAAATTTGGCTATCTTTGGCTACTTTGCTTCTCATTCAACTATGCTCTGTTGCTGTAGATTTGACAGGATCGAGAAAGCTCGGAGAAATCTTGGTTGATGCTGAGAATCTCCCGATGCAAGACTTCGAGGGGGCCCAATCTCGAGTAACTTACTTAGTAGAGTCGTAGAGCCTGTCCCGTTGATCGAGATCTCCCCTATATACGAAGACCACTATGTACTCCTATTGCCGTCATACTGCCTCATAACTAAACCACCGATGTTGGCTTTCTTCTCGTGACTCGGACATTGACATTTTTCTGGTGATGGAACCATCCTCGATATACATCCCACTCCTTGTTTCCAACCAGTTCAAAGTCAAAGTCTCTCAGGATTGTAGGGAGCAGCTTGTACATCTCAGTGTTGGTGATGTGTTTTCCAATGCAGATGCGTTTCCCATATCCAAATTGCAAAATGTGACGCTCCATGTACGCTGCTGCCCGATCGCCGTCGCGAAGCCAACGTTCCGGGATAAATTCTTCACTGTCCTCGCCAAACACCTGGCGATCGAAGTGGACGGCGTTTTGGTTCATGATCACCTCAGTTCCTCCGGGGAACCATTTCCCGCAGATGTCCACGCCTGGGTATGGGACTATCCGTGGAAGACCAGTGCCAAGGGAAGGGTGTACGCGCATTGCCTCGCGGACCACGGCATGGAGGTAGGGAAGCTTGATTGCGTCATTGAATCGGATGGGAGATTTGAGTATACCCTGAGCAAACGCATCTTCGATCTCGGCTCGAAGTTTAGCCAATGTGTGCGGGTGTTTGTGCAGATGGTAGAAGATGGAGGTGAGTGCCACTGCTGTCGTGTCGGAACCGGCCCAGATCATGTTCCAGATCTCGGTGGTGACATCCAAGATACCAAAGTCTTGCTCCTGACCCTTTTCCTCAACCAGGTCGAGTAGTTTGCTGAGCACGTCGTTGCGGTTGACAGGTTTTCCTGCGGCCACGTCATCTAGACGCTGCTTGACAGCGGCGTGTGCCTGATCGATGACGGTGTAGAAGCCCTTGGCACCGACTCTCGTCTGTGGATATAGCATTTGAGACAAGAAATACAGATTCTGAAATCCGTATGGAATATTGACCAGAGAAGCCACCGGCTTGGGCATTGTTTCCATGAGGTGACACCATCCGTTGTAGTCGATATTGTCTCGAACAAAGCCGAAGCCGCCCTCTCGACCATAAAAGATTTCGCCTACATATAGCATCATTGATAAGTGGATTGGATGAACAAGACCCAGGATGGCAAGCACTCACCGATGATATCAAAGGTATACTTCCTCAACCAGACCGACATATCCACAACCTCACCACTTTGTGCAAACTCATCCATACGCTGATAGACCAGGTCGATACATCGATCAACACATGGTTCATATTCCAACACGGCGGCCTGGGTGTACAAATGTGCAACGGTCCTCCGTCTCTTGGTGTGTGCTACCTCATTTCGTTCAGTGAAATGATCACGGCGCTTCGAGATCTTAGGATTGAAATTCTCGTAGAAATCTCCCTTGATGAACTCGTATTTTGGACCATAGATGATTTCTATAGCAGCGGGGTCCGAGATCTGAACTTGATTCGGGGTAATTCTGACAAACGGGCCATATTTCTTATGGATGGGAAGCTGATAATTCTCACCTATGCCATCTCGCACAGATCGGAAATACCAAAGCGAGGTAATGGAGGCAAAGAATGGACCAGGGATATCCTTGAGGGGATGGAAAAATCGGTTGTAGATAATGAAGCCAAGAACATAGACAACTACCCCGGCGGCCAATCCCTGCACGATGGACGCAGAGTCCAGGTGTGTGAAGAGAGGGGACAGGAGCATCTTGAAAGAGGATTAGATAAGTAGGTAGGTAGATAGTTGGTTAGTCTTGAAAAGCTGGGGATTGTATCAGATGGTCCACATCCAACCTGGATTAAATGAAAGCGAGAGAATCAGAGAAGAGGAAGAGAAAGAGGGCGAGAGGATAGGAAAGATTGACCGACTGCCATTGTTGGACATTTTGTATATTCTCTCTCCCCGGTGCCGTGCCTATCTCGTTCTCGTGCCTGTGCCTTGCCTGTGCCTGCCCATCAATCGTCCGAACCAGCCCGTTCGTCCCACTTGTCACGGACTTGCGACGAGGGGACCAGACAGACGGAGAAACCGAGGCCACGCTCGTTGCCATCCACGTGAAGGAAACATCATCATCGCAAGTGAAAGGTGGAGCATTGGGAAGCAAACAGGCATAGCAAGTGGCTGTTGGCTGCATAAGACCGACCTGTCAAAATCCCAACCACCTGGCCTGCTGCACCTGTTGTGCTACGTGGCAATCGACGCGACCCAATTCTTGGTCATGTAAAAGGTTAACCTCACCTGATTGTTAAGCTGATTGGATCGTACTGGCCTGGTCAAGAAAGGTTGTTCCGGGACTTGTCTTTGGCGAGGACATGAGTTGTCGTGGATAGGTACTTGCTAGTAGATAATGGAAACAAAGTCATGTACGGCGTATGTGATGTGATCGGCTGCAGATAGATGGAGGGGCCGTTGAGCGTGAGCAAGGAGTAAAAGTGGTCGATGCGGGCGCTACGCTTTGGCCCTGGCCTTTTGACAGCTTCTGAGCCTCTGCAATTGAATCGGCATTCCCAGCCCCGGTCGGTCGAACCACAAGTATCAAGTACCGAGTACTCAGTGCCCCCGCGAGTTCAATTCCCACGTATGGGAAGGGAGTTCATCGGTGTGAATCTGCAGTTCGTATCTCCGCCGACTCGATGTAGGGCAGCACACTAAGGTGAGAAGGGCATCGGTCCGGCTGACCGGCATTAGGGATCGTGCCTTGGTATGCATGGAAACGCCATCTAAAGGCGGCTTGTAGGTAGTTGACATGCACCACTCACCGATGTTCGCAGCCGGTCATCGACTTGGCTGTGGGCCGTAAGTCATCGAGGGCATGGATTAGAGTGTACGGTGAATGTACCTAGGTTCTTAGTTAGCTGGTAGTTTGGTTGTTAGGTGATTGTTGCTGACATGCAGAAGAAGGGAAACCGAATCCGAACTGAAAGGGATTTATTGACTTTGTCTGACACACAAGATGCTTCCACAATCCCTCAAGATTACACGGATTAGCACTGAACGAGAGTGAATAATTAATGTCAGACAATTATTTAACTCCTCCCTCCAACATCCCACTCACTCCAACCAAACTCCAACTCCAATCCCTGCATCGCATCCATCTTCCCTATACACATCTTTTTTTACCCAACACCAAACACCACACCTCCCTGGTCCCCTTAGCACTCTAGTAGCCATGCCCTGATCTCGACCTTGACCCTAGATCCCCTACTACTAAGCCTCTCCTCATACGACTCTCAAATCTCCCATCACCAACATCACCAACATCACCAAATCCCCCTTCACCGAAAATGGAATCCCGCATCCTCGCCCCCCTCAACACCCTCGAAACCCAAATCACTTCCTTAATCCAAACCCTCAGCACGACCAACACATGGGCCAGCGCGCCAATTCAAACCCAAGCACTCCTCTCCACGGACGACGACCTCAGCACAGCCATCACCCTCCTGCAACGACACCAACAAAACTACGCGCGCATTTTACATCTCCGAGAAGAATCCCTCGCTTTGGAAGAAGGACTCAAAAGCACGATTCGACAATGTATATCGTTACGTGAGGAAGTTGGAAGGATTCACCCATCTATTCTCGACGATGATGATGATGATAGCGACGACGACGACAACAACGAAGAAAAAGGTCAATATAACGGTACAAACTCATCAGTCGATTACCACACACTCCTCTCCTTCGCCGCCCGTGTCGGTAAACACAATGCCTCGGCTGCAAGAGAAGCAGAATCCGAATCAACTCGATTGAAACTTGCAGCTAAATCTACCTCTCCTTCCACCGGCACCGGCACCGCCAACGGTGTTTTGGAAACACAAACTCGCACCGAAGAAACCGACGCTGAACTCCAACGCATTAACAATAACATTGCCTTTCGACACGCACAAATGGGAATGGCATTTCCGGATGCGTCGAGTCTTCGAGTGGGTGAATTGGGCAAGTTGCAATTATTTCGTGAAAGGCAGGCGGTACTTGTCTCGGCGGTTGATGTGCAGAGACAGCAGGAGGAGATTGATAATCTGGTGGACAAAGAGGTGGAGAGGTGGGTTAGGGAAAGTGAGGATGTAGCTGATGCTACTGATGATGCTCCTGGTGGGGATGGTGACGGTGACGGTGATGTTGCTGTGGATGAGGCGATGGGAGGTGGAGGAACTGGTGAGGCATCATCGTCGCGTGATTTGACGAGCGCTGCTCGGAGACGTGCAAGTCATGGTCCAGGGACTCAGTCGAGACCTCAACTGGGTCAGGCGCCGGCCGCGCCGAAAAGGAAGCTGGATCTGGATTTTCCTAGCAGTGATGATGAAGATGATGATTGATTTGATTTGCAGAATGGACATAGCTTGCGAGATCGTCCATGCAATAAATCAGAAATGAGAAATGAAGCTTGAGCATGTCATTGGTCAAGATTGCTAGCAATCTCTTCTAAATCTTCTGATATGCATCTGCATCTCGACATTTACATATATACACGTGATTAGTGCAACAGCTCTTCCAGTCTCCTCCATGGCCGACATCTCGAAGCATAACTACAAATTATGCACACTCGAGTTCTTGGTCCAGCCACGCATAGTCTTGCCCCAGAAGTAGAAGATAATTCCACAGGCGCACCAGAGGAAGATCAAACACATGTTCAACATGATAGGAGGGATGTAACCGTCGGCGATGATCCAGGGAGTGATGAACTTGCTGAAGCCATAACCCCACAGATTCTTGTTGACTGTGATAGACACGAAAATACTGCCTGCAATGGGCTTGTATGAGTCGACTGCGTATGTGGATGCGATGGCGGGAATTGCGGCGACTTGGATACCTGCGCATGCGTAACCGATGATGACGATGACCTGTGCGCAGTTTGTGTTAGTTCAGATTCTTCTGGTTCAAGCAATAAGAGGAGGGAATTGTCTGACCTCCCAACGCCAGTGGTGTTCATAACCAAACGCCACGATAAAGTTGCCTAGGAGCATAATAAGGACATAAGGAATCAGAGCTGGCAAGCGCATCTCTGGTTCTCGAATGCCTCGGTTTTTTCTTGTCGCACGCGCTGCGATCCAGTCGCTCAACGGTCCATTCGTCACCAGTCCAATTCCCGCTCCGACCAAGATGGCAAAATTGGTGAATCCGATCGACTGGCTGCTCATGTTGTAGGGTGGAGCTGCAAAGGCTTGGGTTTGGGTCAGGTTGATGGTCAGGAATGAAGATGCCGACCACGACACGACAAACGAAGCAAACTCGACGATGGGGAAAGCGAACAACTTCCATGGGATCCAAAGGTCTAGAAGGATTGATCTGAAGGGGTTCGCGTTGTTCTGCCACAGTTTCCATTGTTGTTTGGAGGGTGTTCCTTTGTGGAGATATGGATCTTGTTCTGCTGTGCTGGTGGGTTCGAGTTTATTCTCTGCTGGAGCAGTGATCTGATCGCTATCATTGTTGCTGGTCTTTTCTGGATCTTCGACAATTTGTGCTGACATGTCCTTGTCAGATGTAACAGCGAGCTTGGGTTGGGCCGCCAACTCTTTGGGATGCTGTCGATGCCACTTGGTCTCGGGGAAGAGAAAGATCAAACCGACCAAGATGGCGCCGTGGAGGGCTACGTTTAGCCACCAGAAGTTTCGCCAGTTGGAATGCTCAGTCATGGGGCCTGCCACGATGGGTCCAACCTGATAAAGGAGTTAGGAAAATTGTAATGCGATCTGGAGGTGACAGAGATCAGGCTTACCATCAAGCTGCCAAAGTAAAAAGTAAAGTACAAGGTGTTCCATAAACCTCGCTCGTGGAGAAACATGACATCAGCAATAATAGTTGGTTGAGCCGTCTGGACAGCATCATCTTAGCAAAGCTCTTTCAACAGAGTGTTATTTTCATACCTCAGCCGGTCCAGCGCCAATCCCGTTCAAGATACAAGCGCCCATGAAGCTTCTGTAATCCTTCGCAACAGCTCTCCAGATGTTGGATACCACGCAGATGATAGTTGAGGCGATCAGCACTGGTCGACGGCCGAACGAAGTTTGGATAGGAACCCTGTAGCTGTCAGATACCCACGCTGCTGAAAGCGACAAACAGCTCATCTTGCAAGAACTCACCAGATGAAATTACTGAAACCAAGGACCAAAATACAAACACCTACGAATTGCACAGCGCCGGCAAGATCGGTGTCAAAAGCCTCCATCAATTGAGGAAACATGGGAGGTAATGCCAGAGGACCGAAACCCTGGGCAAAGGAGACCAGAGTTGACAATGTCATGGCTGAGGTCTTCCAGAATGGGCTCCAGTTCTATCAAATACGTTAGAAAACTGAGTATGCGTGGCAGCGATCAACGAAGGACATACCAGGGGATCGTGAGGGTCAGCTGATGGCTGAGGGACGAGAACTCTTGTTGACCCTTCGCCCGATTTGACAAAGTGATGGGAGCCAACATCGCTCATGATCTCCGTTCCCGGATAGATCTTGGTGTTAAGCTCCTCTTCCAACTAAAAGGATCATGAGTATTGCGAGCAACAGGTCCAGAATTCGCGAGCGAGCATACCTGGTGGAGAGTCTGGAGGATGGTTTGTTAGCATGCACGTTATGCGATAGAGTTGGTGACAACATACATTTTCATCATAGTTCATCTCCATCTTGACGAGAGGGCTCCTCTGAGGAGAAGGACCGTGGATAGAAAAAGTGATGGGTACAGGTCAAGGTGTACCAGGACAGGCGATGAAGCAGTCGGTACAAAGACTTTGGATGCAAAGAGGAGGCGATAACCCCAGATATAGATCAACAAATACTGCCACGCACCCCACAATAATACCGAGTCGACTAACCGAACAGCGCGAGTAATCCTCGGTTTGGAGGAGAGTATATGGGTAGTGCACTCATATGACAACAAGGGGAAGAGATTGGGGAAAACAAAGTTTCGCACGGATCCATGCATATGTATTTCGTAAGTCTCGACTGCCGAGCATGAAATACCTCCCAACGTGGGTTTCGTACGGCTAGTGGATCAACCCCAGTTGATTTCGAGGGAAGAAAGGATTGACATGTTTATGATGTACACCAATACACCCATGTGGATGGTGGATTGGGCCAACTACTCCGTACTCCGTCCAAGTGAAAATCCACAGTAACTAACCCCGTATGGGTCCGACAAAGCGTTGCAAGTGGAGTGGGTTAGGTTTTTTACATCTCGAGTCCACTTCAGACTGCCTGCTTTTTGATCTCGAAACCGACCCAGTCACTCGTTGAAAAGGAATAGTGTGCAGCCTCGCGATTTTGTAGTACATTCTTGGCTTGTAGCGGACTGGTTCGTAGCGGACTGGGCATGAAAAGGATGTTATTGGTAGGCAGGCTGCATGTAGATAGTGTCAACAATGAGTCGAGAGGACTAGGGTATGGGGACTCGATTGATTCTCTCGAAATTCCACCCATTCACCCAAAAAAAGATACCGTAGACCTGATCACCTGCACTGAGAGATGTTCATTGATCCACTCGTCCAAAGAGAGACGGTGGCGAGCAAGGCAGGATAGAATATCTCTTTCAAGCGACTCGGCGAATGGGGTCCAAAGCGACGAGGCCAGCGTCTGGCACCGCTGGGTCTTCTCCACAAGTTAGAGGTCATGCCCATGGGCGGTGGAGTAGGGAGTCTGGAGAGAAGAGAAGCTTATGGCGTGGCAAAGGGGACAAAGGCGTGAAAAGGCGTGAAAAAAGCGTAAAAAAGCGTGCGCGGCGTCGTCTTGATGTGGACACTATTGGGGAAGGAGCCAATCACGTGGTTTCTGCCCCGGAAGTGTCCCTCCCTCCTTCCTCAATTTGCTGGGTACACTTCCGATCCGGGGAAATGCGAGGGGGAAGGCAAATTTATGGGGGGTTTGTCCGGCAGTTGAGTCTGGCAATTGCACTATTGGATGCTTGGTTGAACCACTTGTTCTAGTTCAAATTGTCTGGTTGGTGGTTGGAGAGAGCCACGCGAGTCCATCTGCCTGTCATGTGCATCATGACCGTGAGGTATCCACGGCTGGGAAGCCCGTTCCAGGCTCTTGGTCCGATCATCTACACATACCGTCTACACATACAACGTCCTGTAGTGGTTGACTGACGACTGGGCAGTATTGGCGCGTATATGACTCCTTGTGCTACTCCACAAGAACAGTTTTAGCTGATCTTATCACCTCCTTTCGATTTCTATCCATTTGACCGACACACTGACCATTAATCATGGCCAAGAAAGATGTTGGGCCGACTGCCTGGGAAGGAGTGAGATGTTTGGTCAGCACAGGCAGGAGCCGCCCAGCCAGGCTGGCTGGGCTAGATAGACCTCACTCACTCACTCTCACACTCTCTTCGATGACACGAACTTAGACTAGACAACAGAAATTCACCACAAAGGAGATAAGGAGGTAAGAACAGGGTAACAAGTAGGTGCTTTCATAGTAATTCGACTTCGCCAAAGATGCAAGTTCGTATATCATTACTGGTCTGACCCTTGATAAGTGGGCTCCATATTACAGCCCAGGGATGAGGAATATAGAACTACTCCGTAGTTGGCATAACCTTGTCAACCACGTTTACCCCATCCACTGAAGAAGCCTCCAGTACTTGCAGAAGCCGTGTGGGCCGGCTTGGCCTGTTCCTTGGTTCCTGGACTTGTCGCAGTAGATGTGGACGGTGACGTTGATTCAACTGGTGTGCCTCGCACGCTGGGCGACGATGTTGACCCTGTCAATATCTTGCGTAGGGCATCTAACTTTCCCTTGGTCTCTTCCAACTCTTGCCGAGCCACCGCCTCGGCGGTCTTTGCATTAACTAATTCCAGCAAAAGTGCATCGTTGCCAACGGGTTCGTGATTTTCGGTTGAAAGGATGGCCTGCGCATTGAGGCTACTGGATCGTTTCGAAAAGGGTCCCATGCTCGCAGACCGGGTAGGTTCTGGTCGTCCAAGCCGCAGCTCTCGAAGGCCGGCCTTTTGTGATGGAGCTCGCAGGTCTGGGAATTCACTAATTGGAGTGTAGAGATCAGCTGGAGATTCCGGACTCGAGCTGTTGCGAGATTTCAGTTCTGCCACCGTTCTTTCCAAGCGCTGTTTGTCTCGGTGGCAATCTTGTATTCGCGACCTTGCTTCCCGCAGATTCTCCTTGAGGATGTTGTGCTCCAGCTCTCGTTCGTCTAGCTGTTTCATCAGCCCTCGACACTTGACCACTTCAATCTCATGCTTCTGCTGCCACTCCGAAGCAACATCTCGCAACTGGTGCTTGGACTGGATGATCGATCCTCTCTTAGACGCCTCTCCTTCACGGAATCGATTGCCAGCTGTGGCCATCAATTCATCCAGTGCTGCGTCGTGTTCGCTGGTGCCACTCCCAGCAAGCTCTCGAATCTCTGCAGTCTGTTTTCGCAGGCAAGAAAGCACCGCGTGTGAGAGACGCCGTTCCTCTTCTCGCTCCTCTCGCTCTCGTTGCAGTTCTCGTGTCATTTCTGCCTGCTGCCGTTGAACCTTGGATAACTCCGTCAACAGCTCTTCAATCTGATGATGCAGAGCCCGGTGGTTGGAGTCGGGGCCCAATGAGGCCGCTGTGATGTCGATCACAACCGGTGCAACAGTGACCGGCTTTGCGACCAATGCTTCAGAGACCTCTGTCGCAGCGGTACTGGCATCGGAGATTGAAGACTCGACCGAATTGACCGTTGATGTCAGGCTTTGCCCTGACGAGGACTTTCGAATCGATCTGTTGGCGCCGGGAATGAGCAGGCTGAGATTGGCTGACCGAGATGCAGCGTGAGAGGATCCAGCCCAGAAACGACCCAAAAATGACGATGCTGCGCCCTTCAAAGATGGTGCGGGAGTAATGGTCTGGGATTGCCGAAAACTGGTCTCTAGTAACTGGAGTGACTCTTGCGTCACTAGCGCCGTCAAGGACACAAAGTCAGTCACAAGATCCTCGGCGTGTTGAGCATAGGTATCCCAAAGACTTCTTGACAGGAGAAATTGCATTGCATCTTCAAATTCTGTATATGCGAGGATTTTCTTTGAATTGCGTTGCATCAGGGAGAGCGCAACTCTCATTAGTGTCTCGGTGGCGCCTTCGGAGAGGATGACATCGTATATTCTGAGCAACATGGGCAGCGGACAGGTGACGGCAAAAAAGGACAGGAACCACTGGGAAACGTAGAGTGGTTCAACTTTGAGATGGTCGAGATGATTGGATAGCTCGGGAAGATGTCTGGAGAGCAGTTGCTGGAATTGGTAAATTCGAAGATGTAGTCCAGAGAGGTCGGGTAGATAGCAAGAGCGTAGGTCGTAGTTTTCCATGAGCTTGACCAACACAGAAAAGGCCTCGGGCTCGCTCATGTGCATCAAAAGAGGCCCAACAACAAATCCAAGGCCTTGGCAGTATCCAATCTTGTCGTCGTATAAGCTGAATGCCTTAAGAACCTTGCCCAGCATCCTCTGACCTTCACCGTCCTTTTCTCGAAACATATCAACATTTGGGAAGCTTCTTCCAACATCTTTTCCAATCAACCCATCATAGGGGCTCTGCTGTTGTGACAGTCTTTGATACTCGGAATGGAGGAGGGCGTCATGGGCCCGGGCAACACTTGGCCACACCACACCCCTCAGAGGTGGTGGGACACCTCCTCGGATCTTCTTGGTGGTCAAGGTTGGCAACCTTTGGGCGGTCTGAGCATAGTCCTGGACCAAGGCAGCCCAAAATTCCAACTCGGTCATGGGTGGGGCAGGCAGGAGCGAGTATCTCAAAGACTGCCTTTGCGGTCCGCTAACCATTCTCTTCAATTGTTGTACAGAGGGGGGTCTGGTATTCTTTCGAGGTCGAGTCGGGGTGGTAATGCCAGCTTTAGGGTCGGTTGCCAAAGCCGCGTTCTCTTTCTCTAATCGGGCCAGCAACAAGGCTGTTGACTGTTAAACTGATCAGCTGGCTGGGAAATTGGCTATTGTGATAGTCTTGCCTTACCTCGTCTGTAGCGTCATCTTTGGGTTCCTGCTCTTCCGTCTTTTCCAACTCATCCCAGTCGACTGTGTTTATGGATGTCGAACTGTCTGAAGTCTGAGACGAGGCTCGGCTAGATCGTGTAGAGGAGGGACGACTCGGTGGTGCAGATAAGGTTTGTGTAGCATCTGCTTCATCCCCATAAGAGACAGATGCATTATCCTGAATGTCTGATAGTCGAACGGTAATCATTGAACTCCTTGGCAAGGGGATATTCTCTGGAAACACCTCGGGCTCAAGATGCATAACGGCTACGTCGGCCATGATGCTATCTTGCTATTCCGGCACCTTGAACGAATGCGGAGGATGTATGGAGTACGAAAAAGACTCAAATGTCGCTGTTCTCGTGCTAAAGAGTGAAATAATGCCAGGGGAGACGTCCAGGCAAGGGATATAAAGAGAGACGTCTTGCAAGGTTCGCCGGCGACCGTGCAAGTAGACTGCAAAGAGTGGATGTGGTGAGAGACAGCACAAGGTCAAGGCGGGTAAAGGAATGAACCAGCTCGGTGGCTGTCTCGACGTCTGCCGCGGAAAGACCTAGAGAAAGCAGCAACAAAACAGGGCGACAGCAAGGACGTCCGCGCACAGCACAGACATGAGTGAGATCAAAGACCAGAAAGTAGAGAATGGAGACAAGGTACCAAGAAACAAGGGACTGCCACTGCAGTGGGAAGGGAGGGAGGTGGTGACTGGTGTGATGCAGTCAAGAGGAGCCAGGGGCTTGAAAGAGCGTGTTTGGGTGTGCTTTGGTGGGGTCGACTCTGACTCCTGGGGCGATTTAGGCACCTAGGCTAGTCTAAGTGTGGCTAATCACTTCGATTCTGGTAGTCATCCACTCCCTGAGCCAATGCCTGTTGTCCTACGCACAAGCAATCTCGGCTCAGAGGGTTATCATGGTCTTAGCATTCGACCCCACCAGTTGCTTCCAGTTACATCATTTGCAGATGCATCCTGACTATCGACAGGGCAATCAAGCCCAATTGAAGGCTGTCTGTTCCAGTCGATTCTCCTCCATGTTATTGTCGAATAATGACATCTCAAAGACAGTGAGGGGAGCTTTGCATTGTCTTTCTTTTGCCGTTGTGTGGGTTAAGTTTCGCCACTGCAGGCGCGTCTCATCTAATCGAGACGCGACACGGCAGTTGGTGCGGGGTGACAGTCTCGTACTATGTTTATATTTTTGTCTGACCGCATTGACTTCCCATGTCTCGTGGATTCCTGGAGGTTATCTTCGGTCTGACGAATGGTTCGTCTCAAATGTCTCTTAACGGGCTGGCAACGGTGTTGGCAACACCTGGGGTCATCCTACTACAAATGCCAAATATAGGCCGACATGTACGGAGTAGATGTGCAAGACGGATTGCATGGCCTTTCTCACTCAACAATATATGGCTAGCCAATGTTGATATCGGTGCCAGACAGACCAGAAAATTCAAGTTCAATGCTCGAGCACTTCTCGGCTTGAACAGGACCCCCAATCAAGGGGCAGGCAAGATCGACATGTCCACCTTCAGAGTCTCTGCCCCATCACACCCACCCGTTAGGTCTAGAACTTCCCTTGACGTGAGGAGGTTCTTTGTTCAACATGCAACCCTCCAGGTGCATTACATGGCTGCAACCAATGCCCACCTATGTAACAAGGTCCATTACTACGGTCTGCCATGCCGCATCTGCTTCACTTTTTGATGCCTAACCATGACATCACACTTGCTGGTCGATGCATTTTGGAAAACAGTCTGTGGGCACGTGGAGACGTAGGTTAGCCGCACAGAACTCTTCCCACTCATCTCGACGTCACTCTGTGGCCCAGCACCTTCTGTACGATGCTCTGCGCCATTGCTGTATGCCCCAGCCCGGTAGGATGAAAAGTCCGGGCGCTTTCGAGGTCAGGAAACCTAGAGACACCAATGCTGCTAGGAAGAGCCCGCAAAGTTTGTATGGCCAGCCTCTCTTGTTGATCTCGTTCGGCGTCATAAATCGCTGGCTGGCTCCCAAACTTAGCACGAGGGAGGTTGAAGAACCATGTTTCTTGTCTTTCTAGGTCTGGCTCAGAAACTCCAGGCTCACAGAATCGATGTCCTTGGAAGACCCTGTCAATATCCACGTATGTGGCGCCACGAGTTTCTGCCACTGAACGGATGACTTGATTCAGCATCACCACCAACTCATTCAATGCTCGTCTCTTGGCTTTGGTCAGACGATCAAGTGGCCGCGTTCTGCTGAACGTGATGTGGTCGCAGAGACTGGTTTGGTCATTGAAAAACTGCGCATAGCCCGTGATAAGAAGAAGTCCATGTGGTGGAAGATGTCTCAACGTCGCCAATATCAGTTCAGTATAGTGGTCGAGTAGTGAAGACGACTCGATCAATGCCCGGGCACCTGCAATTTCCTCGTCACAAGCATTTGCTGGTAGCCAGTGGTAGATGCAAGCATTGAGGATAGCGAAGAAACTGATCTCGTTCCCTCCAACCGTGATGGTTACGAGGTCTGGTTTTCCCAGCCACGGAACTTGTCGATATAGCACTGAATTAGTCGTGGTTCCACCACAAGCCAGGTTGCGGAATCCATGACTCGAAATATCGAGACCAGTGTCATTAGCAATTTGTATGGGGTATGCATCTGAAAATCGTCCACAAGTTCCAAATTCTGGGGTTCCCGCCCCACCTCCTGCGGCATACGAATCGCCCAAGGCAGCGTATGACTGAGGCCAGGCCCCAAGGAATGATGGGCAGGACGGTCGTGAGGTAACCAAGGGCAATAAGCCCTGCCCAAACCCGATGATAACTGAGAGGAGTCTTTTCATTATTATGTGGACTTGTCAGATGTATGTCTTGAGGATGCGGACATGTTGGATTTCGCGGGGCCAAAGACAATTGGGCCCGGGAGACCTGAGAATCACATCTGCCCGTCTGCCTGGAAGTCGAAACAAAACTTGCTTGAAATGCTGGCGGCAGATGATACTCACGAGCAAGGGTTTGACGTCTCGTGCAGATATGGGGGCCAGTCTATTGCCTCCAGTAACAATGGAAGGTAGGGATCCAGGACATGGGTGGTTCTGATGAAGAACAGGCCGTGTCTGTCAGACAACGAATATCATGCATGCACACGACGCTTTCTTGACATTCATGCCCATTCCCCACACAACATATTTCGTCAGACATGGAACAGACCATTATATTCGACTTCATGACGTAAAGACACCTCGTTGCTTTGGATGTGGTACCACTCACACTAGACCTCTAGCCTCATCCGATCTTCATTGGTGTCTTGGGCCACTCACTATACCTTATAGATGGCTGTCGACCTTTTTGAAGCGCCACGGCATTGATGATAAGGTACATCAGTCGCTCTGTACCACCAAAGGTTTGGACAGACGCACTCTACGCTTCCCTGACCCGCCACCGAGCCTTCGCCACTCTACAGCATCCTGTCGTCAATCGCCGGGGCATGAAGCAAGCATCAAAGCCAAAGAAGCCTCGAGAAAAGCTGCCAGATTATTGCGATGTCAAGCCAAAGCAGGACGACAGTGGGAATGTTATCTGGCCTGCCCCCAAGGCTGCGCTGGATAAAGCACGTGCTTTCATAAAAGAATGGTAAGTTGATGACCTGCGTTCGATACGTGGCACTAACACAGTCAGTGCAGCATCAAACAAGACGACACTCATTGTCCCTGATAAAGATGCTGACGGGTTGTCGTCAGGCGTCATCCTGTACCGGGCTTTGACCCATTTAGGCCTCGAACCAAATCTTATCCATGTTCATCTGGTCGAAAAAGGCACGACTGTCACTACGGAGTCTCAGCGGGAGGCCATGGCCACAAAAGACCCGGCCTATATAATCGTCCTTGACCAAGGATCTGTTGCCAGCCCTCCCATTATTGATTCACCTACGACCAAATCTCTCATTATCGACCATCACCTGAGCGATGTCTTCCCAAAGAATGCTCAAGTCGTTTCCGCCTGCCATTATCCTCCTGTCTCCACTTCTTCCCTCCTCACATACGAGATCTGCAAGGCCTTATCACCAGAAATTGCCTCTGCTTGTGCCTATCTCGCCTGTATTGGCACGCATGGTGATCTAGGAAACACTCTCAAGTGGTCTCCCCCATTTCCAGACATGACCGAGACTTTCAAAGTGTATACCAAGAAGTCTGTCAACGATGCTGTGTCTCTTGTCAATGCCCCTCGCAGAACAGCCAAGTACGATGTCATTACTGCGTGGGAAGCTCTCCTGGCATCCACCAGCCCGAAAGATCTCCTGTCCAACGGACGCTTACAAAGTGCCCGTGCTGAGATCAACAACGAAGTCGAATTGAACACGCATACGCCTCCCAAATTCAGCTACGATGGGCGGATAGCAGTTCTGAGGATCAATACCCCCGCCCAGGTTCATCCCGTCATTGCCACGCGATGGGCCGGCCATCTCAACTCCAAAGCACTCGAGATAGTTGTCTGTGCAAACTCTGGCTACTTGCCAGGCATGGTCAATTTCTCCTGTCGGATTGCTCGGTGTGCCAGATCCAGAGACCCTCCTGTCAACATCATTGAAAGCCTAAAGGCTGCAGCTGATCTGTCCACGGATGGTCTGAGAGAACGACTAGGAGAAAGCTTTGCTCGTGGTCACAAGGAAGCCAGTGGAGGTATCGTCCCAACTGCAGCATTTGAGGAGTTGATGCAACTTCTACGAGTCGGTGAGAAGCCTGAAAAGAAGGACGATACCGATAAACCGCAAGCAAAGAAGATCAAACTGGTCGAGAAAAGCCCTCAGAAGAACAAGATAGGGAACTATTTTTCCAAGTCATAGTGTAGAATAAAAAGGCTTCTTGGATGTTCGTACTGCAACGCAGAACCACTTTGAAGCAGTGGAACTGTATTCGTGAAAGCCAAACAAGCGAAAAGCCCCGTGCCCATGCAACATCTCGATTACTATGGCCGTGTTTTTGAATATGGATCTGAATCTGCACCTGCCTAGTCGCAAATCGCTCCAAGGCGCTTACCTACTCGCTCTTTAGGAGTTGGCCGCTTTCACCTGCCTAGACTTGTTGAGTTTAGAATCTGGTTTTGGCTTCGAGGTTGCGGACTTTGAATCCCGTCAAAGTTCGATCCAAGCACAAATACTCCGTAGTCTTGGCGTAGCCTCTCTGATGCACTTTACTTAAGAGGTGTCACTCCCACGTCTCTTTAAATCTTTCCTTTTCTTTCCCTTCTTCATCTATTGTAGGAAGCTTATCTCTAAGCTGGTCTTTTCGAAATTGTTAAAAGGGACTATGATGACATTCCGTCTCAGCCATAAACCAAGAGACTTACACCCGTTCGTTTTCTTCGGATTGTTGACCTGGGAGAAGTCTTGGTGGGAGACTATTCTGAGCCCCGTCTCTTAATTTTACAAGATGACGATGTACCGACTGGCAAGGCCCAGGGCTCTCGGAGTATATGACTATACGGTTGAACAGGCAGTGGCTCAATCATACCCCGGGGTGTGATTATCAACGAACGGGAGCAGCGGGAGGCTTGACGCAAAGGAAAGAAGTGTCAGCGAAGCGAGTAGAAAAGAAAACAAGCAGCTCAAGAAAGATAGCGACAATCGCGAGACGCTGTTAGGCTAGCAAGATAGTTGTGTACCAAGCCCTAGATCTTCAATGCCTACGGAGTAGTTGATGCCCGTGGTAGCCGATGGAAGACACCGTTCCAGGCAACAGAGAAGTCCCAAGTAGCCGAAAAGAGAGGAAAGAGAGAGGTTAGTGGGCTTGTCAGTGATTGGGGTTCATTGGTTCGAAGGTATCTGTCGGTGGGACGGACTCGTGGAGGCTTTTATAGCAGGGTCGTTTTCTGCATTACGGAGTACATACGGAGTATAGGATATTGAAAGTCATCGCCTGAGTGTCGATTTGTCGAGCAAAGCGCACGGCTGCGAGAAGGAGGGAAGGGGATCTCAGTTCAGGGCCACCAGGACTTACGGAGTCACGGGACTACTCCCGTATAGGAAGATCATTGCTTGGCGAGGATGGCACAACAACAGCCGCGACCGCGTCTCACTTTTGACGTGTGATGATCGCCTACTCTCTCCTGGCCCAAATCTTAAACCACCACTCCATGTTTGTTTACTCCCGCCACCCCTCCCACCTCTCCCCCCCTTCCCCTCCGCCATAATCATCATGGCAACGTCGACAACCCCCAAGAAGAAGCGAGTCTCGGAGCTCTATCAGAAATTAACCCAGTTAGAGCACATCATCAAGCGACCTGACACATATATCGGCTCCGTCGAACGCACCGAGAAACAGCTATGGGTTTACAATACAGAGAAAGACCGCGTCGAGTTCCGAGAGGTCTCCTTTGTACCCGGTATCTTCAAGATCTTCGACGAAATCCTGGTCAATGCCGCCGACAACAAGCAAAATGACAAGAACATGGACGAGCTGAGGGTGACGATTGATAGAGAAAAAGGCGAGATCAGTGTGTGGAACAACGGTCGCGGTATCCCGATTGAGATCCACTCCAAAGAGCAGATCTACATCCCTGAAATGATCTTCGGCCACCTTCTCACCGGCTCCAACTACGACGACGATCAAGCCAAAATCACTGGTGGTCGCAACGGCTATGGTGCAAAACTTTGCAACATTTTCAGCACAGAATTCACCGTAGAGACAGCTGATTCTCGACAAAAGAAGAAGTACAAACAAACATGGACCGCGAATATGTCCAAAATGGGCAAGGCCAAGATTACAGACCACAAAGGAGACGACTTCACAAAGGTCACTTTCCACCCTGACTTTGAGAAGTTCGGCATGACTGGCTTCGACGATGATCTCGAAGCTCTATTTAAACGCCGAGTCTACGATCTTGCTGGAACATGCAAAGGTGTTGCAGTCAAATTGAACGGCTCTCGCATCCCAGCCAGAAATTTCAAAAAGTACATTGAAATGTATACCAAGGCCATCAAGCAAGAACGAGGAGAAGAGGCCGCAAATGATACTTCAGAGATTATCACCGAGTCACCCGATCCCCGGTGGGAGATCGGTTTCACCGTTTCTGATGGCTCATTCCAGCAAGTCTCATTTGTCAACTCAATCGCCACTACGTCCGGTGGTACCCATGTCAATTACATCGCCGATCAGATTGTCAACCGCCTCATGGAGATCGTCAAGAAGCGCAACAAGGGTGGTGCCGCCTTGAAACCAAATCAAATTCGAAATCACATCTTTATCTTTGTCAACGCCTTGATCGTCAATCCTGCCTTTACTTCTCAAACGAAAGAGCAGCTCACGACAAAAGCCAGTGCCTTTGGCAGCAAATGCCAGGTATCTGACGAGTTCATGAAAAAAATTGCAAAGACCGAGGTCATTAATAATATCCTCCACTTTGCTCAACAGAAGGCCGATCAGATCCTGAAAAAGTCTGATGGTAGTAAGCGAAGCCGCATGAACAATCCCAAATTGACCGACGCCAACAAAGCCGGGACCAGAGAAGGCCACAAATGTACCTTGATCCTTACTGAAGGTGATTCAGCCAAAGGTCTTGCCATGGCAGGTCGTTCCGTTGTTGGTCCGGATCTGTTTGGAGTTTTCCCGCTTCGTGGAAAGTTGCTCAATGTTCGTGATGCCTCTGTCGATCAAATCTCCAAGAATGCAGAGATTCAGAACATCAAGAATTTCCTTGGTCTCCAACACAAGAAGGTCTACACCGACACTCAAGGCCTTCGTTACGGTCATTTGATGATCATGACTGATCAGGATCACGATGGAAGTCATATCAAAGGGTTGTTGATCAACTTTTTACAAGTCCAGTTCCCTAGTCTCCTGAAGATCCCGAAGTTCTTGGTCGAGTTCATTACGCCAATCGTCAAGATCTATAAAGGTGACCCGAAAAATCCTTCGCAATCTCGCGCCTTTTACACCATGCCCGAATACGAAGCATGGAAAGCTTCACATCAACATGAACGTGGATGGGAACACAAGTACTACAAGGGTCTGGGTACTAGCACAACAGAGGACGCCCAGCAATACTTCAACGACATCGACAAGCATCACAAAGAGTTTGACGTCATGCAAGACGATGAGGCAGGCTTGATAGAGCTCGCTTTTTCGAAAAAGAAGGCCGATGAACGTAAAGAATGGCTTCGTCAATTCAAACCTGGCACATACCTCGACCACTCCACAAGAAACATCTCATATACTGATTTCGTCAACAAAGAGTTGATCTTGTTCAGCATGGCAGACAATATCCGATCTATCCCTTCGGTGATTGATGGGCTCAAGCCCGGTCAGCGCAAGGTCATGTACACCTGCTTTAAGCGCAATCTCAGGAAGGATATGAAGGTGGCTGAACTTGCTGGTCTAATTGGTGGCATGACAGCATATCACCATGGCGAGGTCTCTCTGCAACAAACCATTGTTGGTTTGGCACAGACCTTTGTGGGTTCAAACAATGTCAATTTGTTGGAGCCCTCCGGACAGTTCGGTACTCGAAATCAAGGTGGTAGTGATTCCGCCAGCGCTCGTTATATTTTCACCAGATTGTCACCTTTTGCTCGCAAGCTCTTTCATCAAGCAGATGAGCCTCTGCTGAAGTACCAGACAGATGATGACAAGCCCATTGAACCCGACATCTACGTTCCTGTCGTGCCTCTGGTTCTCATCAACGGGGCTGATGGCATTGGCACCGGTTGGAGCTCCTCGATCCCCAACTACAACCCAGAAGAAATCGTCGAAAATCTCCGACGTCGAATGGACGGCGAGGAGTGGAAGCCCATGCAGCCTTGGTTCAGAGGGTTCAAGGGCGAGGTCAAGCCCACAGGACCCGATCGGTACCAGTTCAGCGGAATCATTCACCAAACTGGTGATACCGAAGTCGAAATCACTGAGTTGCCAATCCGTACCTGGACCCAGGATTTCAAGGACAAACTTGAGGAAATCATCAAAGCCGAAAAGGTTCCTTCCTTCATCAAGGATTACAAGGATTACAATACGCATGATACTGTACACTTTATCATTCAGCTCGATGAGAAGCATATGAAATCCGCCAATGAAGAAGGATTACTGGAGAAATTCAAACTCACCAAATCCATTGCCACTTCGAATTTGGTGGCCTTCGACCCTCAAGGACGCATCACGAAGTATGCAAACGTCGAGGCCATTATGGACGAATTCTACAGCTACCGGCTTCAGCTATACGCAAAGAGAAAGGAGTGGCTTCTCGAGGACATGTCAAAAGGCTTGAGACGATTGACGAATCAAGCCCGATTTATTCAGATGATTATCGATGGCAAGCTGGTCATTTCCAAGAAGAAGAAAGGAGTCTTGATCGCCGAGCTTCAGAAACTTGGATTCGACGCCTTCCCCAAAACGAAAGACGCTACCAAGGAGACAGAGGAGACACCTGCTGCCGAAGACGAAGACAACATGGATGACGATAGTGTTGATGCAAGTGCTTATGATTATCTACTCAGCATGGCACTTTGGTCCTTGACACAAGAGCGGGTAGAAAAGCTTCAGAGACAGATCGGGGACAAGGAGACGGAAATTGATATACTCATGAAGAAGTCTAAGGAAGACTTGTGGAAGGCCGATCTCGACGAGTTTGCTGCGGAATGGAAATTCCAGCTTGAAGATGAGCACAATCGCAAGCGAAACATTCGAAAAGGGCGTCGTGTTTCCAAGAAGTTTGCCACGTCTGCAAGCGCAAAGCCAGGGGGCAAGAAACGCAAAGGTGGACTGGGAGATCACTATGACGACGATGGGTCTGATTTTGAAGAGTATGCGCCCAAAGCTAAGAAGCGTGCACCAGCTGCAAAGGCGTTGAAGACGGAAGACTCGCTCGATTCAGCTTCATCTGCCCCTGTTCCCAAGCCTGCGAAGAGAGCTGCTGCTAAGGCCGCCAAGCCAATCAATCTTGACTCTGAAACATCAGATTTCGAAGAGATGCTTCTGCCGGTGGCCGAACCAAAGAAAACCATCGAAAAGCCAGTCAAGAAGCGACCAGTAGAAGAAAGTTTCGGAGGAAGTGACATGGAAGAAGTCCAACCCCAACCCAAGAAGCGAGCAGCATCTGCGAAGCCTGCAGCTAAACCAGAAGGGCAGCGTTCTATCACCTCCTACACCGCGCCAAAGACGAATGCGATCAAGAAGGCTATGGAACAGCGCAAACTCTACAGTGATGGCAGCAGTGACCCCTTCGATGAGCCTGAATCCGAAGCACCTCTCAAAGAGGTTTCTGATTTCAACGAGGGACGGCCAAAGGCTAATCCCCGAGGTGGTCGGGTGAAGGAAGTCAAGAAGTACACCATTGACAGTGAATCGGAAAGTGGCTCAGACAACGGTGATGACTTGCTTGCCGATCTTGGAGACATGGTCAAAGGCCTACCCAAGGCAGAGAAACCGGCCCCAGAGGTAAAAGCAGTCGTAGCACCCAAGCCAAAGAAAGCCCCGGCAGCCTCAAAGGCGAAGAAACCAGCAGCAACAACCACCACTACCACCACCAAAACAGACCAATCGCCTGTTGCCAAAGCTTACGCGAAAAGACTGGCCAAGACCAATGCCAAAAAGATCGTGGATTCGGATGATGATTTTGACGACTGGGATTGAGGTTGAGACGGGTAACTCTTTAGACCGTTCTTGAGGAGGCGTATCGGGCACGTGGGTGACCGCCGAGACAGGGAAAATCCTCGGATGGAGCAATGGGAGTATTTTCCTTTGGGCTATGACAGGCCATCACCAAGTATATTAGATGACAGGCGATGTACAATCTAGTTTCTGTGCTACGTTTTCTTTGTCTGTTCGTGGGAAGATACTGATATGGAAGCAAGGCTGGCCAATCAGAAACGTGCTTTGTGTCACCATTCCACCATATTGGGAAGGAGCCACTCGCACCTTGTATCTTGCCCATTTCAAGTGCATTGGATTCTTTCCCAACCCCGGACACGACATGACAACCACACATGCGCACATTCAACCTCAAACATGCCCTTCACAAACCTCCATCTGGGGAAGTTTGCACTCGTCAAGTGTAGGGAAACAATCCTTGGTCTGTTCTCTTTATTTGCTGTTTGAATCAACAAAGAGTGTCGATGGAAATGCTCGATACTGCTGCTGCTGCTGCTGCTGCTGATGATGATGATGCCTAGGTTTGCAATTCCAACCGATGCCGTCAAGCCCGACTCCAGAACTGCAAGTCCAAACTCTCCCAGACTTCTGCGTCAGCCCGCGAGACCCAAAGATGAAAATCTCACCGCTCATCTAGAAAAGACTGGTCTAGGCTGATTGATTCGTTCATGATGATCGAGATGGCCCATCCATCCGACACTCACACCATGCACCCAGGGGCAAAAGAGGTTGCCTGCGTTAGCATCTGGTATCCATGCAACATCCTGGATACCACGGCGCTTGTTATTCGAGGACAACACACCTCATGCTCTTGTTTGGGAATGGCCGCAGTATCAAAGATCTCTCTGCCTTTGTCTCAACCATCCTGAGACCATATTTGCTGTTTGTCCCGATGGTCAAGAGCAAGCGGCGAGCCTGAGAGGTAGCTTGTTCGGCCTGGGTACTTAGAAGCCAGACTGTGCCAGGAAAAAAAAAGACTTTCTCTTGCTTTGCAATCTACGAATGTCACAGGACCGCTGCATATGATGGCTGCAATTCCAACACTTCTGAATCCTCTCGATGAGAGCACCGATGTGGAAAGTCGAGATGAGACTTCATCAGTCGACGAATATGTCCCCTCAGGATCTGCTGAAGTCCAAAATGATCGTGGAAGTCGTACTTTGCGGAAAAAGCAAAAGCTCACAAAAGACGCAGCTGTCTTCAAGTCAGGCTCAATCCGTGGTGAATGCCGATATCCTCCCCATGAGGAACAAGATGACCTTCTCGCTGCCCAGCACAAGATTTTTGGAGTTCATCCAGTCGGACAAATCCTCAAGTACCCCAGACACATCCCTTATAACAGTGAGAAGAAGTTGTTCCTGGACAAAACCGGTCGAGGCTCTTTTGAAGGTGGGTAATTAACTGGATCAGAATCAAGTGTATCCTGAAATAATGACTTTACAGTTTTTCAATACGAGTTCAAGGTCCCAGGTCAGGATCGAGTTCAGACAATGATATGGGATTACAACATCGGCCTGGTGCGCACCACCCCATTGTTCAAATGCCGCAACTACTCGAAGGTTGGTCTTATGAGGTCACTACTATCTGAGAAGGGTACTTACCTTCCCAAGACTACTCCAGCCAAGATGCTCAACCGCAACGAAGGTCTGAAGGCAATTTGTCATAGTATAACTGGTGGTGCACTGGTTGCCCAAGGCGAGTCTTTAACATCATTTCGCTCGTTGAGAGATCAATCTGACGTCTATCTCAGGTTACTGGATCCCGTACGAAGCTGCTCGTGCCGTGGCGGCAACCTTTTGTTATGACATCCGATATGCTCTCACGCCCGTGTTTGGTAACGACTTTCCAGCTGCCTGCCTCAAGCCTGATGATGAATCCTTTGGGTCCATGTATATCAATCCTGATATCACTAAGCGATGTGCGGCACAAGCGGAAATGTACCGACAGTTGGAGCTGCAGGGGAATAATGACGAGGTTGCGACTTTACCCTGTGCCTCACCAACCTCCTCACCAACCTCATATCCAAACACGCCAAAGCATACCCGTACTCAACAAGGTGGACACAAAAAGCTCTTACCTAAGCCTTTGAGAATTACAGATTCGCCGACCTCAATTCCTGCTTCGGGCTATGCCTCAGACCCAGACCACTATCTCCTATCGTCTCCAGGAGAGGTTGCTTCGCCACATCTTGCATTTTCGACTCGTGGCCCGACTGCTCAGTCAACTCCGACCTCTCCACATCTATTGCCACACCATAGCAAACCGGCTCCATGGTCCACGGTCAATTCAACCCAGACCTGGCCACGTCCACCGTCACCCCCATCACTTGTGAAGTTCACCAACCCCTTCTCCTCAAGCGAACGCAGCTCTAAATCGCCGTCGGACACGGACAACGAGCTTCCAAGCAAATCCGACGCCACCAAAGGCAAAGCCAGAGCCAAAACCGCCCGCAGACGTCTCCAGGGTGGCGAAATTCCTCGATCCCACACACCGTTGGACTTGACACCACCACCACGCAAGCCGCTCTATCAATATGAGTTAACGAAGAGTGAATACATCAACGACCATGTTGAGCTTGCATTGAATGCCATCAATGCCATCAACGCTATTCCTACCAGTTCAACCTTGAGTAATGTGCGTAGCACGACAGAGCCTGACAATCGCAGTGTCTCTCCTAGCCACAAAGCCAATGACATCCCAATGCTCGACCTCCCATTCCATTCACCCAAGGAAACCCCAGAACCCTCGCCAACTCCCGCATCCTCCATTCCAAGCCGCCGCCGCCGAGACCTAGACGAGGACTATGATGCCGAATCCGATGATAGCGAGGCACCTAGTCACAACCACTTGCAATCTCCAGGGACGGCTCATATCCAAACGAATAGAGAGATTGAAAATGAGAAACAAATCTGGTCCTCGAAATTGACACGCAGCGGAGATAGGAAGAGATCAGTGACGATTGATCAGGTCGCAGCCGCGGCTATCTTGGTTGGCATGAGTCGACGAGGTGATAACCGAGCTGGACCAGGCGGTGACTTCAACCCCAATCCAGGTCGTTGGGACGGCGGCGGAGATTGTGCAGAGGATGGTGTTGCTCCCGTCACAACTTATAGACCAGGCAACGCAAAGAGACTGAGACGTGCTGCTAGCGCTTGACAAGTTTGACATGATCAGAGAAGTCTGAAACACAAGCGGAAATGACATGGATGATCAGGACTGGAGGAAGTCTACTTAGATTGCGATATCACATGTGAAGGTCGAGACAGATTGTTCGAAAGCTTTAACGACTTGGCATGTGTATTACTTTAACATGAACTTTGGCCCCTGCCTTAAGTAGTTGAATGAGACTGAAGTTGCTCATGACCGCGAATGCTAGTATGTTCTATCCAGTTCCCAGCCAACTCCTAACAAATACAACCTCGCATGTCTTTCCAATGGAAGAATAGAAAGAAGCTTGCGCAAGTATGTATGTTGGTTCGTGTTCATCAACCATCCTTCCTTCATCTGAAAGAACTCGAACCTACTGAATTGATATCAAATCAAATCAAAATCTCGGCGAAGTCAAGACAATATCCGGCGTCGATGATTTATTATTCAGACCACCAATCCTGGATCTGTAGCTGTAATTTGTTATTGTTGGTGGTGTTGTTGTTGTCGTCGCCGTCTCATCCCTTCCGAAATGATTGTCATCAATCAAGGTGATTTCCTCCATATTGTGATCGTCGGTTTTGATGCTGTTGCTGTTGCTCTTGGAGCTAGAGTTGGAGTTGGAATTTGGATTGCTGTCAGCATGGTCGGGGTGGTCAGATGCAGCGACCTGGTGATATCGCAATGGACTTCCACCAGGAGAAGAGTGAGGATGAAGAGGGAGTTGCAAGTCGCGGTGGGTCAGTGGTTGAGGGAGGAGAATTGAAGGGACATGGCTGAGGCGTTGTTGTGATGATGCGGCATAGGGGTCATCGGCGGCGTAGAAGTGAGAGTGAGAGTGAGTTTGAGCAAGAAGATGAGACGGGCCGCTGGAGCTGGGTTCGCCGGTTTGGTGGAGGAGACTCTGGGATCAGAAGAAGGGTCAGTGTTAGTTAGTGTCAGTGGTGGGTGTTGACCCAGATTATTTGTATCGGTGTCTGTGTCTTCATCCTTGTCTGCTGGTGATACTCACTTCTCCATTCTCATCCTGCATCGTGCTCCATTCATCCCAGTTCCTGGCTTCACCTTTTCTTCCTGCGATCATGGTTGTGGGTCGAAGTTCACCGCTCTCCAGCATGGCTTCGCGGCCTCGTTCCCACGCATACATGTTGTTGATCCAACGAACTTCCTTCATGCGAGCAATCTGAGCAGCGCTGCGTTGGGCATTGGGGTTGAAGATGTTGCCTTCATTCTGTTGAGCGTTGCTGTTGTCATCGAATGGCGTGCTTCGTCCATTGCGTTTGCAGAATCGAAACAGGGAGGCACCGACGATGACAACCGCAAAGGCTAGCACAATGACGATGCCAACGATCACAGAAGGAGAGATAGGAAGTGTGGAGGTTTCCTCAGATGGATTAGACATATTGAAGTGTTCCAGGACGCCGAGCTGCGCGAGCGGGCGGATCAAGTCGAGTTGAATTGAGGGGTTAACAAAGATACTGACAAGGTGGAGGAGATTTGACCATGAGTCTGGATTTCAGAGAGTCATTGTGATCAAAGAAATATGGGGAGAACATGGTGTGGCAGAAAACATCTGGCTAAATCTGATCGTGAAGTAATCATAGGCGTCACTTCACGTACTGAACCTGATGGTGTGAATACTTGGAGGGACGAGTCATGCGGTCAGGCTGATGGAAGCCAAACACTCCCAAAAAGGTCACATCTTCCTGATCATGCTGAGGTTTCAAAATCGATCAGGTGAATGTTAGTTGTGCGAAGAGATTTTGGAATGCATGTATCCGTGCAGCCCGGTAGCATAGGAGATGTTGGGGTGACATGGAGGAGGATTGGTTGATTTCGAATGCAGCCAGTGATCATGAGATATTGGACATCTGAAATCTAGTATCAAACAAGTTAACACGTGCCGTCGGGACCTAAGGTCTCGTCTCAATCATGTAGATATGTCAACAAAAGAAGCAATCAACGTCTGCCGATATTATGGTGGTGGAGGCTATAAGGGTAGAATCAATTGCAGTCCGACTTCAGTCGACAGTGTGAGGCCAGCTAGACTGAACAAGGTCAGTACATGTGACAAAGACCACAGGTAACAGGACAGGACAGGGGCAAGGTTGTGAGGCTCTGAGACTGTACCTTGATTGCATTCATGTTGATGTTGCTGCATTGGCGGGGCTGCAAATTGTGCGTTTATCGCAAACTCTTGTCTCCATATATATCCACACCAGCAGAGAATCTGGCCAAGGATCAGCTGTCCGACTGTTCAAACCAAGTGTTTCATTTCTGATGCTGTGTTGACGGTATGGTATATGAAATATTTCAGGCTGTCAGAGCTTCACATGATGTTTCCCGACACTCATCAACCAAGATGAGAGAGAGTTTTGAGGATGAGAACGGAGAGAAGGATGAGGATGAATGGAGATGAAGGGCGATGCCAACGACGTTTCAACCATGTACCTGTGAAGGGCAGGCTCATCGACAGTGCTGGATTGAAGTCTGGAATGAGTATTGCCTCCTGCTCCTTCCTCAATCTCTTGCTCACGACATGTTTCTGACTCGTGACCCAAGGCAGTTACGACCTCACCAAAAAAAACCCGTGCTTTCCAGATCTCATCAACTGCGTGTCAATTCTCTTTCTCGCACTTTTCTCAACTCTCTCTGACTAGCACACACACGCTCCTCTCCCTCACTTATGCTGTTCTCGTCTTAAGCGGGATCTATTCATGTCTCTTCATCCCACTGTTTTATCAGCATCTTCTCTTTTGCTTAAACAGCTTCCCATCATCATATTGGTATATTCATTCAGTGATCAACCCTTCCAAGATGTACAATTTTGACTCCGATTCCAAAAAGCTCCAAACATGTCGCTATTGGGCTCTGGGTCAATCATGTCCCAACTTCGACCACAATGGTGTTTTGAATTGTGAGTATGCACACTTCGACGCTGGCAGCTTAGCCAGCCCACTGGAGCAGAGAGGCACTTGTCTGCAGTGGTCCCGCCATGGCACTTGTCCCCGCGGAACTGCCTGTTGGTATGAGCATCGACACACAGGAGTCACAGGACTGTGGCAAGACGGTAAGAGAACCACCTGTAGTGATGGCCATGAGCTGACGCTTCTTTAGAGATCGACTTGGTGGGCTTGGACCTTGAAATCGCTGACGCAGCCTTTGAAGCTGGCTTCAACACCCGGCACCATGAGGCCCTCTTTAATCTCATATGGGCTGTCAAGCGAAAAGCCATTCGGATTTTGAAACCTGGCAATCAATCGTTCAAGCCGCGTCATCCTATCTACCCTGATCGATATCGTCCCAGTGGTATAGGCGATAACACAGCCAAGAAGAGACGGTCAAGGAAGAGACGCTGGATATCAAATTTCAAATCAGATCCTCACCGACAGCAAGCACATTCGAGAACAGCTGATACTGATCCTGTTGTGAATGACTCTTCCAAATGGAAGATTGTCACTGCATTGGATGCAGAGAGCGTCAAAGAAGATGAGCCCAGCAAACGTCAGAAGACCAGAAGAGCACCCAGCACAGAGCCAGACCTGCTGATTTTCAGCCCCTCACCCTCACCACCTGTCGAGGACATAGCCGAGGCTGGTTTGTGTGTCAAGACAGTCTTACTTGTCAAAGCGAAACTTGATGAGGCCCAGAAGGAGGTCCATTCCTGTCAACTCACTATGAAGAAATGGTACGACCAATATGGGGCTCGTTTTTGTGACAACAATGAGATCATGGTCTCATTACGTAATCTGAGCACTCGTATGGAGGATACGAGGCAAAATGCGAGAGCTGGCGCGAAGGAGATGGATTCCGCAATCAAATGGCTCCAGAGGAACTGCGGGGTCAGCAATGTTGGCATTAATGATGGAGACTTGCTCCTGTAATTGTCTGAGGGCACAAGCGACATTGATCGGGAGTTTGGAGCAAATACATGTGATGACCAGGAGGATGGAGCAGGCACATGTGATGATCAGCATGATCAGTAAGGGGTCAAGATGTTTTGGATGAAGAAATGCCGAGTATGGTGTATGAGTAATGATATGCAAGTAGGTGAAGTGAATTCATTTTGCTAGTCCCCAAGATGGGTGAACGCCCGCCTGCCATGAGGAGATCAAGACCAACAAACCAGCAAAAGATGGCCCGGTTGCCAAAGTTGCAAGTGACATGTTATAAAAGTTCCCTGTCTGGACATCTGTGCCACGATAAGGCGAAGATGAGACAAAGCTCGTGATGTAGAGGAAGAGTCTAATGACTCGACCCATCAGTTCAACCATCTTTCTTCTTGTCTTTGTCCTTCTCTTTCTCCTTATCCTCTTCTTCATCAGGTTCATTCAGCCTTCTGGCCGCGTTTTCCATAATACCAGCCACGAGCTCGACCTGTTTACGGGCACCGTCCCAATCTCCCGCGTCCACAGCATCGCGGATGCCAGGGAAAAAGGCCTCGTCGTATCCACTCCACAATTGAGGGGCGAACAGGACATGTTTAAACTGGGTGCGATTCACCAAGCCGCCGTCGGGGCGAAGGTCGAGTAGATCCGTTTCGAACCTAGACATGCGCGAATTGTGTTTCTGACGAGCTTTGGCCATTACAGCCGACTCAAAACCGCCCGTGCCAAACACAAAGTCGCGCCAGACACGGTCCCATGCGTGGAAAGTGTTGGCTTCAGCGGTGATCACGTCGGAGGCTTTGCGCAGCGGTCCTAGGTCGAGATCCGCTCTCTTGGAGGGATGGGCTTTTGATTTGACATATCTTGCCAGGTCGTCCACGTATCGCTTGATGGATGACGCGTAGGCGGAGACGTCAAAGGGAACCATGGGTTTGTCGGCTAGGTCAAGGATGAGCAACGCCCAAATCTCGCCCATGGCTTTGTGGTACCGAAAATCTGGATCCCCATATTTCTGCATCCAGTCGTAGTTGTCATAGCACGAATGATAGGGATAATGTTGGCCCTTGAATGTCATGTCGAGGGATGAGGTGCCCGCAATATCTTGAAAGGCCACATAGTCGCTACCGGCACCGAGACCGGTGATATCTTGGTGACGCTGCTTCCACGTTTCATGAATTGTAAGACCGCTTTCGGGGTCTATTACTCGATCAAGCACGCGTAGGAGGGTCTTCTGAAACACTGAAGGACCAGAGGCGTGGAAGTCGGATCCTGAGACACCTACATCGACGTTGAGGTAGGCGAGTGCTTCATCACGGAGTTCGTCCACCCGATTTTCGACGTGTTCGGTGGATCCGATGAGGTTATACTCTTCACCATCCCAAGAGGCAAACTCAATGGTTCTGAGAGGCCGCCACCCTAGACGGCGCAATTCGCCAAAGATCCTGATGACCTCGAGCATGATGGCAGTGCCACTGCCTGGATCAGCACCACCAGTACACCAAGCGTCGCGATGGTTACCGACGATGATGCGCCTCTTTGGCTCCTCCCAACCCGTGAGCTTGCCAAGGACGTTGTAGATGGGCTGTTTCTTTTCCTCATCTTGCACATTTTTCAGGTTAACTTTTGGCGAGCTGGCATCGCCCGTCCAGTACTCGAAATTCTTCGTCCCATTCCAGGTGGCGGTCATTTGGGTTCCATGGCCTCTGATTGATTCGAGGAGATGCTTTGCGTCGTTCCACGAGATTGGTAAGGAAGGAATCTTGTTGAGGCCAGTGCTTTCTTCGGGCCGTAGCCGCCTCTCATTCTCAGGAGTAGAAGCCCAGCCAGGGGTCAAGACGTCACCAACGACCCAAGACATGAGACTGACCGCGCCTCTCTGGACTCCGTCTGGAGGCATAAATCGACCATCAGGGAAAGTTGGACCTAGCTCGAAGCCATCTTGGGAAGGATCTGAATAAATGATGCAACCGGCAGCTCCGGCCAATTCGGCGGCCTTGACCTTCAAGGCTCGGTCGCCCTGGGAGCCGTAGTAGCGAACTAGAACGATAGCGCCCTTGACTGAGATGCCTTTGTCTGCCAGGGTCTGGAAATCTTGACGCGAGCCAAAGTTTGCATACACCAAGGGGCCTGTGACATCACCGCTGTGTGAGTGGCCATGAAACACGAGGGATTCTTCCTGGGTTTCCTCAATCTTGGCCTCCCATTTGAGATTGTCTGGTTCGACAATTGCAAGCCTCCTGCCGTCTTTTCGCGGGTAATTTAGATAGACGTCAAATTCTTCCATATGTACATCCTCCAAGGAGGAAGATTTGAACAATTCGGCGACCCACTCTCCCAGGACATAATTCCCTTCTGTTCCAGCCACGTGGGGAAACATGGTGATGTGTCGCAAGTTTTTCTGTATTTTGCCGCCGTCGTTCATGTGATTTTGTATAAATATGCGGATGGATTCAGGGTCGTACATCTGGCCCATTCCCATTCTATTTCTGGTAAAGGACAAAACATCAGAGGCTATAAGGACGTAAAGAATACCCATAATGAGAAAGATTCCAAACAGACGGCCAATGATGACGACGCGGTTGGAATCGAGGCTTTGAAAATCGATATGAGGCCATGAAAATGAAGGTAGGTAGGATCGGAAGGAAGGTAGTGATATGGAGGTGAAGGAGTTGCGAAAGGAGGAGATGCGTTTGGAGAGGCGATAGTATCGGAGGAATGAGCGATTGGAAGAGGTGTCGCTGAGAGGGTCCTCAATGTCCATCTGTTCCATGTCCCGCCGGCGCTCTTCCTCGGAATCCTGTTCCAGGCCATCGAGAGAGTCAATCGAAGGACGGGCGGACTCGACGGTGGGCGGGTGGTAATTGCCGACGGAAGCCTGGCGCAGGAGACCTTGCCTTTCAGCATCATCACTGATTTCTTCAGGTCCGACCCTGGATTGAGAGGAGACTGGTCGGGAGGAAGTGGCTTCTTCGTAGGTAGGGATAGGAAGGTGTTCGTATTGTGATTTCGAGTCCATGGCTGCCTAGGGAGGTTGAGGTGGGAGCTACAGCGGTGGTGTTAGATTAGGAGACTCGAGGGCGACCAGGTGGACTACAGTCCATGTCCCGCAGGACGAGACTCGGAAGTGAAGCTAATGTCGAGTCATAAGAGTATGGAATTGGGGTTTTCCATCATGCGGCGGGAGTGATTAGAGCAATGATGATGATATTGACCAGCAATGCCGGTTGATTCAATGAATAGTCTAGATGGGGTGAGGTGAGATGGGGAGTTTGAAGGGGAGAGGAACAGGGTGGCCGGCCGAGGCCGAGACAGGACAAGCGAGTCAAGTGACAAGGGCAAGTGCAAGAGAGGTTTGGGTAACAAGAGGATGGTCTGAGGGCCCGAGGGTCCTTCCGGGCTCGCGCTGTTCGTAATAATGGGGGAGAGGCAACTCTGATTAGGCGCTGGGGGTTCAAGCTTACAGTATCAATTATTGGTAGGGAGACCCTAAATGAGGAGAATCAGGGGTGGTGAGTCCCCCAACCAACCACCAATGCCACCTTACGTACTTCTACAAACTGGTGACTGGCAGTCAGGCTACTACAATTATTACTCACTCTCCGTTGCGGATTGCAATATCGCCCTCAGCTCGTCCGTCTCGGCTGGAAAGATAGAAAGATGGCGTGTCCCAAGGTTCACAAGGTTGCCAGAGGCGTAAGGGCAGGGGCCAAGCCTCCCAAGGCCAGTCGTCGTCAACCGCCAAGGACGCCAACATGGCACCCAATTTATCGCTATTGTCTTGCCGAGGGCCAACAACCTAGTTACGGAGGTAGACAATCTAGGGACGCATACAGTTAGGAGAGAAGGCCAGGGGGTCCGGGGAGATTCCTTTCTTGCCGGGTCAGATCCAGACTACAATGATGGACGAATCATTGTTATCACCACGAGAATACCTACTCCGTATAAGATCAAAAATTATACAAAAGTACCCTGTAAACTACCGTATGGACATACTCCGTAAGAAAAATGAGACTTGTGGCTCACCTTCTCCCACCGATACAATGAGATTTAATGTCGAAACCCTTTTATTCTCTTCTTTGCCTTCCCATGTAATAAAACATCGCTCCTGCCGTTAGTCTTCACAAAGCCACCAACCTGCTTTCTGCGCTCGCTCTCCTTCACCACTCTCTAACAAAATATATGAAAACTCAACCTTGTTTCCCTTCAATCGCACAATCTGCTGTAGGTCCTTTGACCGAGTTCTCAACATCTCGAGACTCTCCGCGAATGACATGGTTCCCACCCCTTGCGACCAGACGCCCTGATCAACGAGTCTTCCATGGACGTGTGATGAACCTGCTGACACAGACACTCCAGCCCGCATCCGCTGGTTCGTGCGTGAACCGGCGATGTACGGGTTCCAGGCCGTCAACGAAGCAAAGATGCCTTGATGAGCGATCGAGAGCGTTTCATCCGACATGATATCATCTTGGGGTGATGAACCGGCGAACATGAGGCACGCTGTATCAAGCAGCTGCCGTGGCGATGGGAGAGACTGTACAAATCCCTCCATGAACTCATCGTTCTCTTTGACCCTTTCATGCAACACCCAGTGCTTACGACGCTCGTGGTGAAAGCGGTACATTTCAATGATCCCTGATCGTTTTGGGTACAGGCCCGTCACCACCACCGATCGGGCAGCCACCAGACCCAACGACAAGATGAAAATGAGGAGACTGTGTTTGCAGTATTCGGTAGATGTCTCCGAGGCATTCCCGCAAAAGTTGCACATGCACTCTGCTTTGAGTGTGGCAGTGACCTCATCGCACTTGTCTCGCGCCTCCTGGAACGATACATTGGCATAACGTCCCATTTGTGGTGCCAGCCGCCGAAGTTCGGGGAACCAGCTGGTTACCGTTTCCAAGAGGCCGGATCCGCGGGACCCCGTCACGGCGCTGGCTTGGGGATAAAAGTAAGCTTGGATGTCTGCGTGAGTGTGTTCCATGCTTGCAGCAGTGAGTCCAGCCAGACTGCTCACCCCATCGGCCAGGAGTCGTGGCTCAATGTCGATAAAGGTACGTCCAAAGCATGACCGGAATATCTTCTCCCACGTTACCCGTCCACCTGTCACCGGCGTCGAGCTGTTTGGGAATGCCTCGGAGAGTGGTAGTAGATCAGGAGAATCTTCTCTGAATGACGGGTCACGGGTTGATATGCTCACTTGAATCTTGTTCGTCTCAACTCCAGGAGAAGATAGTAGCGTCAGTCCTTGAACATTGTCGATGACGAACCTCAGGTCAAACAGCCATTCCGCCACCGCTGCAAACCAAAAAGCATCAGAGCCTGCATCAATCGAGATCTTCCTCTGCGAGCCTTGCACGAGATCACTCATTCCCCACAGTCCATGAATGATAGTCCTGATATTTGCACTCGACCCTGTCAAATTGACTGCCGTGCCCGCCCGCGTGATGAGCAGACCAAATCCAGAAGTGGCCAGAACCCCGTGGCACAGATGAACCAGATTTCTCCACTGGGAGTCGCTAGGTAATAACCGGTCAGGGATCTGAAAGACTTTCAACAGTCCAACAATGACTCCAACGACCACATCCTCGGAGTAGTTCTCCGAAAGACACCCGCATATCCCCAAGAAGTCGAAGCCGCCGTCCAGATTAGCTAGTAACCTTGCAGGATGTCGGTCGGAATGACCAATCCCCATGGTAAGCCCAAAGAACTCGGCTTGTGGCAGACTCGCAAAGGCGTTGGCCAAATTCCGCTGTCCTTTGGCTGCGAGGCTGAACTGTTGACCAAGGACCTGGGCAACGAGGATCAGGAAAGGGTCGATTCCGGCGGCATTGTAACTCGATAGCTGATCAGCTGTGAATGTCTGAGTCTTGGAGCACACAGCATTCCAATCTAGATCACGTCGAGTGACGACCGGTGGACTCATGGGAACCACTGGCAAGAGGGTAAGCGATTGTTTGAATATCAATGATCTCTTCGCCTTGTCGGACCTAGAGGTACAGTGTGCTGAATTCTTCGCGCTAGGAATGGAACAAGATCATGGACGATGACTAGACATTGGGGATGTCGTAGGCTCGTCAATGATTTCCCCGCGCTGGATTAACTTAGACCTTGGATTTAACTTTCCTGATCCAGGCGGCCTTGTCAGTATCATTGTATGTGACCATCACCTCCAGGTATATATTCTAAGGGGAGATTCATCGTGGCTAGCTTGGCTCTACTCTGGTACATAGTCCTTAGGAATATGTTCCAGAAGGTGAGACGTCCTCAGATCATCCATGTCGCACCAAACAGTATGATGCTTCTCGACATAGTATCGGAGGCAACGATCACTCAAGTCTGTGGGCGTCTTTCCTCTCAGATCATCCAATTAAATGACGGGAATCCTTGCGTATCGTCTCCGTTAATGCTTGGCATCACGTGCTACGCCTTGCCCCAGATTTCATAAATCGTCCTCATATCACAATGACTCTGAGCTACAAACACAACACGATACTTTCTCGATCCTCTCGCTTATGGTATGACAATTTTTTCCCGGTCCTCACTCTAGCCACCGCGTGACCATGTCAGACGAGGACTCCTTCGACGCCGAAGCTGCAATGCGCCAGGCCATGGGCTTTAGCAGTTTCGCCGTACGACGCCCTAAGCAAGAAACAGGTCAGTTGAGCGTTTGATTTTGCATTTCAAAGGCAAAAGAATGAGGCCTTGTATCAAAGATCGGACCTCCGAGTTCTCCCCGAGTCTCCCCACCGAATCCCAAGCCCCCTTTTGAGCTTCACGCGTCAGGCGCTTAGGCTTTCTCTGTCAAAACAGACCATATCTTGGTCTGATATGTCGCCCAGTCCCATTACTTTACTTCCCATTTTCTACAGATGTCTTTCTAACGTGAATTTAAATAGTCTCCGATCCATTCCAAAGCGATATCGCTCAAGAAACACAGGCCGCCACAGACCTTCCTCCTGCGGAGCACCAAGGCCCCAGCCTTGTCCAGCGGGCCAGAAACGCATCCAGGCAAGGAGCCTCAAGAACTGATTTACCAGGTACAAGTACCGAGCAGATCGCATTCACTTCGCCTGATGGCAAGACAACATACACTCGATCCGAATTGAACGAATGGGCCCGCGGGAAACCTAATAACAATGGTGACCTAGTCTTCTTCAAACCAGGCTTCATCACCGAAGATCCTTGGTCCAGGCTCCGAGGCCGGAATCTAAGCACTCAATGAAAATTGCGTCGAGATTGAAGCTGGCCAAAAGTCAGCAGTTGAGCAATACTAAGTACTTTCCGCACGAAACTAGCGAGCTATGTTGGCCATCGAGCAACGCTGGTTTTCGAGTCATTGTCGACGCAGAAGTCAAGGCTGAAGCTCAAGGCTCTTCCAAGTAACCTGCAAAGCTTCAGGGATCTTTTTACCCCATATCGCTTTCATGAGTTTGCAAGACCATTCATCGTCATCTACAAAGGACGAACTTCCAGAAACCCATCACGTGACCCTCACGGTAAGGTCCTGCGCCCTCCAAGAATGAAAAAGTCTGTCTGACATCAACCTTCTAGTTTGTTGCGTCTTCTCGACCAGCAACGTACAATGAAACTCGACAAGGTTTTGACTTGGTCCGAGGGGAATCAATACCGGTATTCTCCCTTACGAACCTATTCTCAATATGACTAGGATTCGGACTCTGCAGCATTGAAAAGGCAGAAAGTTCTTTCTACTTGCTGCATTTATGTCTGTCTGGCAAAGTCACTTTCTAGACCCATACCACGACCCTGCCACCTTGACGCGATTACTCTTACCTGTGACGCGATCAGTGCCGCTCACCAATCAGCCCACCAGCTGCCACAGAACGGCAGCATCAAATTACCAACCAGACAGTTCCCCATTATTGCACCAGGTCGATGGATACAACATTCGAAGTGTGCTAGGCAAATGATTATAACCATGAAGTCGCCATTTCCATTCCTTTGCTATCTTTCCAACTTGGATCATTATCTCAGTAACCGTGACAAGTCTACAATCAATCGCAATGGCTCACCTCGCCGCACGCAAGTTCATCTCACCGGATTCCGGGTTTCCCATCACTCTGCATCCTAACTTCAATCCAAAGATCAAGGATCATGTGCCCCCTGAACCAATTCGTCAAGAATTCCAACCAGCACCCGATCGAGCATCATTCGCGGACCCTGAGAAGAAGGCTCTTTTTGCCGTGGCAAAGCCTGTTGATTTGACAGAATCGCTGGGCACATTACTGGAAAATGTCCAATTGTCGCAATTGACTGGCCAGCAGCTCGACGAATTGGCCTTATTGGTTGCTGAAAGAGGTGTCGTATTTTTCCGTGGTCAAGATCTGACCACAGAGGGCCAAGTCAAGCTCTTTGAGCATTATGGTGGGTAATTAACCTTCATGAGTGATTGGGAGATTTATCAATCCTGCGCGATATTCACACATCAACTCAGGCACACTGGATAGACATCCCGCTCAAAAGGTAAACCATGGCTTGATGGTACATAACATGAATATCGTGGCTGATCAAAACCTTGTTTCTAGGATGTCAAGGTACGTTTCCCAGCTTTACTTTGCCGACGTACTATTAACGCAATATACTCCAGCATGTCATCATCAAGGGGAGTACAGAAGATCACCGTGAACTCAACAAGTATACACCTTGGGTAGGGTTCCTCATCGATCGACATTATGTGATTGATACTGATATTCCCCAGCCGTCAGGCGAATGGCATGCTGATACGTCGTTTGAAATCAACCGTACGTATGACCAAAGTCCTTTTCGTCTCGGACGCGCTCTAATAAACCTGGGCAGCTCCGTCTTATTCTCTGCTAAGAATGGAAGAGCATCCTCCTGTCGGCGGAGACACTGCATGGGTATTACCCCTTCGTCATTCGTGAGCGACCGCTTCATGAGGACCTAGTCGCTTATAAATCGACAGGTCTCACAATATGGACTATACGACGCCTTGAGCGATGCTTATAAGACATTCGTCGAAGGGTTACATGCTGTACACACATCTCGACTTCAATGTGAGTGGATATGATCAAGACCCACCCAAATTGTGTTTGAACTCGGGATTTGACATTTTCGTGTCTGTATGTGGACGTCTAGACGATACAATTCTTGACCTCTGGCAAGCTGGTCCCAACCGTCCACCAATCGACACTCATCATCCAGCTGTCCGCACGCACCCAGTAACTGGACTTAAGGCCTTGAACGTCAATCTAGGATTTGTGACTGGGTTTGCTGAATTGAAGAAGAAGGAATCTGGTGAGTTAGCACTTGGCTTGACAGCCCCCCCACCCCCTTTCGTGATTGATCCTGATGAGGTATCTCCCCAGACAAACTTCTCGAATTCTTCGAATTGCATCTCCATTCCGCCGACGATCACTATGTGCGATTCAAATGGGAAGTGGGCAGTGTTGCATTCTGGGATAACAGGTGAGCTGGCTTTTATACCCCCCGACTTCATACGAGATACCTGAATGTTGATGATGTCCATTGCCCAACCCAAATCTAACCTAAGAAATCCAAATTCAGAGCCACAGTCCACCGCGTGATTCCCGGAACATATGAGGCACCTAGAAGGGGTATTCGAACCACGGTGTTTGGCGAGAAACGTAAGTCATTGATTGACTTTCAAAGTATCCGTTTCAAATCACTAAACAGACCTTTCACTATCTAGCATACTTTGACCCCAAATCCGAAAGTCGCAACCAACGTGCTCAGCGACTGAACAAATGAGGTTCAGCCACAGCCACAACAGTCAGGAGGTACCCCTGTGAATGGGACTGCTGAGTCACAGGTTCCAGGGTATACGCCACAGTAACGCGTCAACCGGGGACATACCTGTCGATGTGGAGTCAAGGGAGGCCATCAAGGACGATGTCGCCGTCTCAACTGATAAGTAGTTTGATGTGGTGGCTTGAATTGTCTTTGCCCCTGGGGGATGGATCCTCAGAAGAAGAAGGTTGGAGAGAGAAAGATGGATAGATGCTAGGTAGGTAGGTAGGTTCTGAATGGACCTAGAACGGATCAAGTCAAGTCAAGTCAAGTCAACTCAAAGTCTCCTGTAGTCGTATCTTACATTGTTTGTTTGATGACCCCCTGCCGCTGCCGCTGCCGCTGCCGATGCCGACGGCCGTTGGGTAGTGGTGGCGGTAAGTACTCCGTAGTGGCAGGGCAGGGCAGGGCAGGGCAGTGGTAGCCCGAGGCGCCGTAGCGGCGGCACGCCAACGCTTACGCTTACGCCTACGGACCGAGCCGTGCCTACCGCAATATATTTACTGGGATAAGGCGGACGACGGAATGACATCCAGCCTTGCCGGGGGGAGTCCTCAACTAAATCAAACTATGAGTAGGTTCGAAGATGGGGAAATATGAGGAGAAGTAAGTAAGTAAGTACTTACTAGGTAGGTATTGTACAAGTGAGAACGGCGAGGGAAGCGAAAGCAAATTTCGCCCTGTAAGGTAATATAATATAATATACATACATGCGTTTCCTTGCATATAATATATCCATATTCGTTATAGGAGAATATGAACATGCCCTCTACTGTGAACAAACAGATGTCGTACTACAAGTACAAGTAGGAGAAGGTAAACAATTCAACAATACAAGTCAGTCCACTTTAGCTGTATTGTATGTCTGTCCGTCTTTGGTGGTGTAACTCAGCCAACCTAGGTAAGTAGGTATGTAGAGAGTAAGTAAGTCTAGTACCTAGTGAGTTGAAAGCACCCACCATAGTGCACCAGACAATGCGAGGCTAGGTACCTAGGTTTGAACAGGTCTGCCTATATGCATACATACGTAAGAAGCAATAGGTTGTGTTTTGTTTGGGGCACTGTTGATAAATCATGAGTAGCTAACTAAGACCTAAGTAGACAGAGCCGGGTTGGACGGTAAGATGAAGAAGAGGTATGCTTTTAGGTACCTACCTGAGGGAAGCATTCAAGGTACCTAAGCACTCAAGGTAAGTACCTAGGTAAGTACTCTCAATGCATCCAGTAGCTCTTCTTGGGGGCGCTCTGGTACTGCTGAAAAGAGTATGTCGGAGCTTACTAGGTAGCCATATAGTACTACGCTCCTACTGATGACCACTTAGCCTGGATCCCTGGCTATCACCCAGGGCACAACGTCCAAGGACCCTACCCTCAATCTAAAGACAAGGCGTTGTGGGCCATGGGCTTATCAAGGGGTAACTCTTCTACATGGTACATCCCCCAGACAAGTGATTTCTCCCCTGGACGGGTGACTCTATGCATACCAAGGACTGGCTGGTGGTGGTGGTGGTGGTGGCAGAGCCACTTAGGTACTCTACTACTCCTATGGCGCTGGCTCCCCCCCCTGGATGGTTCGTTCCTACTTAATGAACCCCTTGGGAGAGAGCCTTGATGATGCCTAACCGCCTAGATCCATGCCCGAAACTCACTTCCACTGCACCCAGCCGCGGGCGGATTTGAAACTTTGAATCTTCATTTCTTCAAACTTCAACGCTATCAACACAAGATGTGAGAAAGGAGAAATCCACCATCAATAAGCCTTACCCAGGCGTCCTTCGCGTGGCACGTCGCCTAGAAGTTCATTTCTGATAGCCTCGTGGCGCGTGTGGCTTCAGAGAGCACCCCTGAAACCATCTGCCTGGACTTTCGTTGGGACAGGCAGCAAGTCAGTCTCCAGGTCGGTCTCCAGGTGCTGCGCTCAGCGACCTGGCCCCAAAACCCTTCAAATGCTTAACTAGTTGGCCAGCCTCGGCACAACAACACACCATTTTACACCGACAGAGCCCGCCATTCGTAGATATCAGGTCTTGTGACTTTGGCGCCGCGCAAAATCAGGTGAAGACCCCCGAAAGCAGCAATAGAGCCAATCAAACCAATCTGGGCTGTGACACCACCACGAGAGAAAATGGAAAAGTGTACCTGCAAGGGCACTGGTCCAGAATGCACATGGTGGTGTGTGGCGTGGCACCCCGGAAAATTCGGGCCCAAGCTTGCTGCACAGTCGATCGTCTGCGGTGCAATCGCTGTCTCGGTTCCTGGCAGGAGATCCAGGAATGGCTCTGGCGTCATGCATGCCACTCGCCGACCAGGCCCGACCTGCGGGGCAAAAGCAGCAAGTCACTTGGCCATTTCCGTGGGGTGGAGCGGAACCTAAACCACCTGCCACGTCAACGACACTGGCGGACGACCGCCAAGGCTGTCTCTGATATTCCTGACGAATGAAGGTTCGATTTCGATCATGGACTGTGATTTGTCGTTGTTGAACGTCGTCCGAACTGTCGAGTACTTGCAGCCAAAAGTCTCGAATACATGACAAAGCCCTTCCTGAACATGAAAATGTCAAACTCGGCAAAAGGGGTATAGGAAATGATAGGAAATGCGTCTCGCTAATGTTCGCAAAAAGATTCGTAAATTCGTAGCTGATCGTGTGTCTTGTTTAGTGGCGGCTTCGGCTGGCTTTGGCGTATGCCTCTGGGTGCTTTTTCTCGGCTTTGCTCTTCATTTGCCTGTAAATTGTTAGTTGGGCTATTCTCCACACGTCTGCGCCCTGGTGAGAACTTGATCGGTGCCTGCGTACTTTGATTTGCTCTGAAGATATTCAATGTCGCGGCGGGCTTGTCGATGCGCATCGACAGCCTCGTCAAAGTCCACTCGGGCTTTCTTCGACCGGCTCAGCAACTCTTTTTGCATGTTCTCGAGCTCTCGATTTTTGGAATTCAATCCGCCTGACCTGGATTAAGGTGGGTTAATTAGAAATGGAGGATTTCGGGTCTTGTTATGGTACTCACATTTGGGTCTGGTGAGCCATCGAGCGGTCCATTCTGATGGGGTCAAAAACGTGGTTCATCTTCTCGCTGAGCATGTCCATGACATCGACGCCAGGTTGACGGGGAGAACGATAGCTGTCATACTCGCTCCCAGTGCTTTGACTGTGCCCGTACAAACTCGATCTCGTGGAGAAAGTACCGCCACTTCGCGATCCGTAGGACGCTTCAGTGTCAGAAATCTCGGGCGGAGTCATAGTAACTCTGGTGACAGGGCGATTGTACGCGGCCTGGTTGCTGATATAGATAGGTGGACTCTTGTGGCGCGACTCATAGTGCGTGGGATGGTGAGAAATGGTTGCCATATTGATGGTGATATGTGGTGGGGTGGTTAGTAAAGGGGAGTCAGAAGCAGGACAATATCAAGCGTGGAGGGTAAGTCAAGATGTATGACCGGTCACAGAGAACTGGGATCAGAGGTTCTTGGGGTGGGTCTATGTCTTGGGAACGAAACTGAGGAGGAAGACAAGTGATGGAAAGGAAAGAAGAAGGAAAGAAAGTCTGAACGGTCGAGGAGCAGGCTTTTATAGCTCGACGAGAGGGCGAAACTGGTTCGCAGGGGGGCATGATTGCCAGCGAACACATGCTCAGGTTCAGCCAATGCGGACTCCTGGGAAGGGTCAGACTGGCATGATCCAAGAGCAAACAACCCCGCTCAGGGAGGAGGAAGGAGGAAGTAGGTGGGATGCGAGAGGGATGGGACCAATGTGACGAGGAAAGCAAAGCAGGGTCGGCACCGTCCGCGACCTTCCGCCCGGCACAGCAAAAGGTAGAGTTTGAGCAAGGTGACCACACAGAGCGGGAGATGACCCTCCATGAGGAGGTCAGTGACATGGGTTGATGGTTAGTCGAGGATAGTGGGTGGAATGGTTTGAGCCGAGTTGGATGGGTGGCTAGTTTTCGGGGAGGGACACGGGTCGAGACGAGCAATGAGTGGATCAGACCCGAGTTTGCCATTTCTTTTGTGTGGTATTAGCTGCGGATCGAGAATCCAACGAGTGGACGGGAGTGGCTGTTTAAAGGAGCGTGGAGAGAGAGAGGGAGAGGAAAAAAAGAGGCAACGGGGGGTTTGGGACCGGGGGCGTGACGAGGAGAGATTGTGAGGAAGGTTGTTGGTTGTTGGTGGACTGGGCATGGAGCAGCGTGACTGATTGTCATCAGCAGCGCGAGTGAGCGGGCACTCAAAGGGTCGGGTGGTGATATGCAGCACCGGGCCACCGCTGGGCCGGGGGAGGAGGACTAGGATGGGATGAGGATGGACACGGTAAAGGTGACGGAGACGGTGGGTGATGGTGACGGCGAGAGATTAAGCGTATGGAGTAGAGCATCCAAGGCAATATCCAGGGCCGTGTCTCACGGCGAGTCCATCAGGGTCTGGATGTGAAGGAAGGCTCGTTCAACGGTGGTTCGTGATTCGAGGCTGAATAACAGGCCCGAGGAGAGGAAAAAAACATGATGTATGGTGAACTGCTGGTCTGCTTGTTCCTTGTCTGGTACCGAGTTGTGCCTCGTACGGCATGGAATTTTCAAGTGTGGACTGGGGAACGAGAAAGGGTGGAAGGAGGGGCTTCTGGTGTGCGTCGACCAGGATGATTAGTTGGAGTGGGTGCTTAAGGCAGGGGGCAGGCAACCGGCAATGGCAGGGTTGAGGTCATGAGTGGCGCCTCGATCAAGCAGCGAGAAGCTGGGGCGGAAAAGAGTCAAGCGTGGGGATCAACAAGAAAGGTACCCATACATTGTGATTTTGTGGTGAGTGACTGATGAGAGACAAGATGGACAAAAAGGTCGCCTAAAAAGTATCATGACGGGGTTTTCGGGCAGACTCGTGTGGATTTGATGTTGACTTGGAGACGTACGCTTGGCCGATCTCTAGGCTGGAGTGGCTGAAAAGGCCGAGGGTTGTAAAAGGCCGGAGGATCTGAGTCTGGCACTTAAAGTGAATAGGTACATGCCTAGGTGAGTACTCGTAAGTAGGGACCTAACCTCAGGTACCTACCAGGTAGGTAGGTACTTGGGTGGGAATAAAGGTCACTTATTCATTATTATTATCTTACTTCTTAACCTTATTCAATGCCAGGTGCGCCTCAGGCCAACATTGGTACCTTAGTGGTGAGTGGCTCTGGGTTGTGATTCTTTAAGCGGAGGAAGGAGTTGGGTGGTTTAAGAGGGGACGAGGGGGACCCTCAGACCTTCGGACCTTTATCTAGGCCTGAGGCGCCCCTAAATCCCGCAACCATTATAGAGACCACAAGCCTAAGTCGGTCTACGTTCCACCTTGTCAACCAAATAACTGAATGATCTGGTAGCTGATGACTCTCTCGCCAGGGCACCTAACCTTTCTCGAGGCCACCGCCTACTATCACATCTTTTGCTGGCGCCCTCGGCGCTCGGCCTTCTCTTTAGGCGGCCCGAGCCGTGAGCTTTAGGTGACCCTACGATCCTCTGGCCGTCTCGACCTGTCTGCAACCCATTTCCCTCTCCTGAAACATCAGACTTGTGGATACTTCATTCTTAATACACATACAGCCCTAAGTTTGCATCTGACCGACTTGTTCACTGCCTCTGCATATTAGACGAGTCTTGGTCACGGTACATCATCAACTAATTACGAATCAGAGATCCTCGTCAAACCCCATCATCAGGCAGAAACTGCTCGACATTGTCGTTGTTTATTCCAATCATTATTACTTGGTGGCCGGAGGTTCAATATTTACACAGTGCCAGGCTCCAAGCTCCAGGCTCCAGGCAGCCTTGTTCTTGTGCATCCCATTTCCACATCCAGTCACCGCCATTTCCCTCAACCGCTTGCTTGCGATTGTCTGTCCGTCGGGCCAACGACCTTGAATAAAACATCCTTTCGGACCGTCGAACCGTAAACTTAGGGCTTTCTACAGTATCTTGGTGAACCATCGCCCTTCCCCAAACCATTAATTAGTATTCATCCACAAACACCAGCCAACTCCTCCTCATCAAGTGGCCCATCCATCTAATCATATCTTGTCTCATCGTGGTGCCGAAACCTGCTTTTACAGACCTGTGAGTCTGGGTCCCTTCCCAAAAATGAATGCCCTGTGCAGGCCCAATGCAATGCGAACTGAGGTTGTCGCTTCGCCCGTTTCATGATCATCACCACAGCCCGAGATTTGGTCAAGCGTGCTGCTCGACATTAATGCAATCAACCTTCCGTCAAACATCTCGTTACGCCCAAATGCAATGTCCACCCCCAAGTGACGCCAAAGCGTCCACATGCTGTTGTCGGTGGAGTTCGGTGCAAACTCTTCCAATCTGCCTTGTTCATTAACTTCAGGAAGCCGATGTGCTTTCCCAAACGTTCGTGTGTCCCGGCCGCAACCGGTCTTGCCACTCGCCTCGGTTCAGTGGTCTCTTCTCATTCATTCCGTCCAAATGCATCAAGCACTTGTTTAGTACCGTCCAATTGGCCGCGTCGTGCTTGCTGATCCTCAAGTCCCCTGTTTGCCAATTCATGCCTCCAGGGGCCTATCACGGAGAAACACGTGTGGGATTCGAGAATCCAATAGCGTCATCATCATATTTCCCAGCACGTTGAAGTCCACCGGTTTGGTCAGATAATCGGTGAACCCAGCATTGGCTGCTGCTGCTCGCTCTTCTGGCATCGCATTCGCCGTCAGGGCCATGATTGGTGCTGGTTGGTATCCATGTTCCAATTCCCAGGCTCGTAGCTCCATACATGCCTCATTCCCATTCTTGATTGGCATCTGAATGTCACAAATGATGAGCGAGTAGTAGCCCGGCGGGTTCTTTTGAACCATGTCAACGCATTCTTGCCCGTTCTTGGCCGAGTCGTTGTCAAGCGCTACCTTCTTCAGATACCGCTGGATCACCATTCGGTTTACCTCACTGTCCTCAACCAATAAGATCCGGTGACCGCGGTCCCCAATCGAGTCTTTGACCAATTGAGCAATCTGTCGGAAATCGTCAGAGCTCGACTGCGCCACTTCACGAGCCCGATCCTTGCTGAGATTGCGTAGCTGTGCGGGATCAAAGATCAACGCAAACACCGACGGTTTGACAGGCTTGTGAATCATGAACGCTTTACGACCGCTCGCTGTCAACGCCGTAAAGTCCTCGAGGATATCGCGTTTCTGGTAGTGATCAGTCACTACCACAAGTGCAGGCACGATTGATGCCTGATACTGCTGCAAATGTCGCATAAACAGCATCACGTCGGAGCTGGCAGGAACATCCAGAACGATGTGGGTAAATGTTGGCGGGTTCGGTGTATTGATCAAGTCCAAGAACTCGCCAATGGTCGCCAATACAGACACGTTCACCGCAATTTGATAAGGCACAACTTGCTGAATATGCTGTGCAATCGCGTCCCGAGCATGTTCGGCAGGACAGATCACTATGATCTGGTATGTCTGTGGATGTGCTTTGTCCGGTGTGATGGTGTCGTTACTGCTGTTCTCGCTTTTACTCCGTCGAATTACTGGCGTCGAAGCAAATGAGCTTTCTGTGATGGCTTGCCGCTCACTGACTGCGGTGATTGACCCCCGGGATGCTGCTGATTCTGGCGTGGGAATCAGCGACGATACAGACGATCGCCCGACTGCAACCACCGAATTCGATCTTGCAGATTCGCCAGAGCTTTCCGACGTAAGAATGGGCGGTGAGACAAAAGGTGACCGGTTGAGAGGTGGAGGAGACAAGGCCGGAGACCCCTGGTCAGGCGAGATGACGTACTTTGACAAACCAGGCGTCTGAATGATGCCTTCAACTAGCGACGGGTTTCGAGGCGACATTATGGTCGACGGTCGGTAGTCGGATTTTGAGCGAGGACTACCCAATGTCCCGGAATTTGTGCGTGCTGATCCAGGCCGTGCGGTAACGTGCGGCGATGACACTTCAGTTCCGGGAGGATGGGTTTCGACTCTAATGTAGAACTTGAAACTAGACCCCTCCCCAGGCTTACTATCGACGGTGAGCTCACCATCGTGCATCTCGACCAACTGCTTCGATAAGAACAGCCCCAGACCGGACCCGGCATCATGGTTTGAACCTCCGCCAATCTGACCAAACTGTTTGAAGAGTCGTTCAAAATCACTCTGATTGAAACCACGACCAGTATCGAGAACTTCGAAAGCAAGAAGAATCGAGTCTGGTGTTGTAGGAGTACTGGAACTTTGAGGCACATCGTCGCGGACGAAGCATCGCATCAGCACTTCGCCTTGCTCGGTGAACTTGACCGAGTTCCCGAGAAGATTTAACAAGACCTGACGCAATCTGAAAGGGTCTCCCTTGACCGTAGTAGGCACATGCTGCTCAAGAGTATAGTTGAGTTCGAGACCCCTTTCGATGGCGCGTGAAGAGACAGTATCGATGACCTCTTCACACAGCGTCCGAACCTGAAACCATTTGGGAACAAGAGTCATTTTTCCAGCCTCGACTTTCGTAACGTCCAGGATGTTATCAACAAGCTCCCGTAAATTGTTGGCGCTGTTTTGAATGGTGTCAACGGTCCGCCTCTGTTCGTGATCCAAGGCAGAGTCGACAAGCCAAGGCATGCTGCCGAGAATGCCGTTCAGAGGTGTGCGGATCTCGTGCGACATGTTGGCAAAGAACTTTGTCTTTGACTCCATTTCAGAGTGGACCTTGGAGTTTGCCTCGTTTAATTCTTCTTCGAGCCTCTTCCGAGTCTCAATGTCGGTACAAGTCCCATACCACGAAGCACGACCACTACTTTCGAGCATGCCTGTCTCAACTCTAACCAATCGGACGAGGAACCAGCGATACTCGCTACCCTTTGAACGAAGTCTGATCTCTGTGAGATATGAAAGTCTTCCGTTTTCGTCCTCTTCCACTGCAACAGAATCCTGGGCGATCATGCGATCCAGTGAGAGCTGATCCGGTGCGAATAGATTTTTGTGTATGGGCATTGGTGGCGCCGGGGTCTTGTCTGCCTCGCCCAAGCCATCGGTGCGAGGCGAGAGGGATCGTGTGATCGCAGCAACCTCTGTAGGAGATAAAATCCCACACTTGTGCAAGTCGTCGCGATGAACATGCTTCGCAAAACCAAGACCGCGAGCCTCGGCCAAAGTCTGACCAGAAAACGAATGCCATTGTTGATTGACAGCCACAATACCATCACCCTCCACAGCCTCGAAGATGATCTGAGGAATTGCATCGGCCAAGGCCCGGATCTTATTATCACGAGCCATAGTTGCTTCTCTTTCACTCGCTTCGAGGTTCTTCATGTATTGCTCATGGACGTCCAAAAAGGAGCCAATCCAGTACAGCAGCTCGCCATTGTTGCTCAAAAGTGTACTTGCTCTGAAGACGAACCATCTGAAGTCGCTGTCACTGTTGAATCTTTTGACCCGAATGTAATGCGTGAACTGGCTCCCAGTCTTCAAGGCCTCGTTCCACATCTTCACTAAACCGTTGCGATCAGCGGAATGCACGTTTTTCCAAGGATCTCGAACCCGTCCCTCCCCCTGGCTCCTGAATGCGTCGAACTTTCGATTTGTCCAGGCCAAGTCACCTGTACCGGGTTTGGCGAGAAAAAGCTGCAGCGGGACAGCGTTGAGCATGAGAGATGAGATCAACTCAGGTAATGGCTTTTCACCATAATCTCTGGTCACACTGCCGCGATGAGATGGGTCTTTATCGGATATCGAGCCGAGCCGACCGTACGCGCTTGCCCAGCTACGATCACCAAATTCGCTTTCGGAAGTACTGTTCGCTCTCCCAGGAGGTGGGCTTTGGACTTCGCCCTGCTGTCTAACAGGAGTTTTTCGAGTAGACTTGGGCACGGAGCCAGCCTTTTCTGTCTGTCGTTTCGGGGCTTCCGAATCTTCCTTCGCGGAGCGCTGACCCGGTGTAACTGGGTGCTGCCCGGCTCGCTGTCTTCTTGCTGTGAAGTAGCTGTCAACCATGTCTGATGGCATTCTGCCGGGCGTCGGCGATCGGCCATGAGTGAAGCCGAAATGTTCCAGGAGTGGGGTGCTCGCAGCAGAGCTTGATGGACTCTCCTTGAAGACCCCAGGGCTTATGCTGTAGTCCCTGCTCTTTTCCTTGTCTTGCGCGACCTGGCCGCTCAATTCAGCCATTAATTCGAGTTCGGAGCCTTCATCCGAAAAGGTGCCGCCAAGACCAAAAGCAGCACCATGTCGAGCACCCGGACCGCCACGTGCACGCTCTTGAAGATTAGTGTACTGCTGAGCTAGAGAGAAGGAGCTCGCAAGGTGGGGCAGTAGACCTTCTAGAGAGTGGCGTAGACTTCGAGGATAAGGATTCAGTGGCGAGAGGCACGACAGGATGGCGATTGGGAACCGCAAACTGGATGCCATGGTTCCGCGAGCTAGAAGAGGTTGGATCAGGGGAATATGGATGAGTGTTTTGGACATGTCCGCGCCAATGGCACCAAGAGACTGGTTTGCCGTACTTGCGTAGTCGTAGGGTGGAGGATTTTGTTCAAATGCAGTTTCGTCGATGGAAGCCGAAGGCTGTACAAAAAAGGGCGATTCGGCCGGGTCTGGACGTGCGGCGGGCGAAGGGGAAGGGCTTTGAGACCATGGTGATGGCTCTGGCTGTTCAAACTCATCGAATGGCTTGAACGACCGTTGTTGGTCATCTTGTCTCAAGGATCCGCGGCTGTCGCTAAGCTCGGAAGGGGTGCTCGGGGCACTTCTTCCAGAGAGGCGAGGAGCTTGTTCGGTGTACGCTCGAGTCAGAACCACTGGTTTTCGCTTGCCGAATAGTGAGACCACGCCTGTCCGGACAAGTAAAGGGTCTTTCTCGGCTTCGAGTGGCTGGATTGAGCGGTGGACATGGCATCGTAATGCGGAACTGCTAGATCCTGATGTATTATAAGGATAGTCTGATGGTGGCGGCTGGGACTCTTCTGAAAGAGCCCTTGGAGTGGGGGTTTGCCTGGTCAGTCGCGGGAGTACGGGAGATGTGACGGGTTGCTCTTCTGTCTGACCAGAAATGGTACTGGAAGCACGAATAGGACCGGGTGGGCGTTGGCGAAGGGATCGTGCTACATCGTCGGGAACCGGACCTGCGATGGAGTGTCGAGTGACGAGCGGGGGACGACGGGAGTTGAAAGAGTCTAGGCCAGGCCTAGCTACCTCGGCAAGACCTCCTGGAGATCTCACATCACTTTCAGAGTTCGTCATCGAGTCCAGGTGCGAGGGGTTAGATGGTTCTGAGCCGTAGATGTTGAATGTAGCCCTTTGGCCCCATGGAACATTCTCGAGGTCAGTCATATCACCAGGAATAGCTAACGAGACCCGCTCGGCGCCGTAGGCCTCTGAGAGAATTTCGGTCACGTTGGCCCACCACATGTCAAGGCCAGGTTCAGCATTGAGCATCAGGATCAGATCATAGATGTCGGGGGCCGGAAAGTTTGGGTCTTCGGGATAGACTTGGCTGATGGGAGTTTGACCAACCGGTGTTGTGGTTTCAGACGAGGTATTTTGAGAATCATGTTGAGAGGCAGGTAATGTGGAATGGGTGCCGACAGGCTCATTAGTTGGGGACAAGAGGGTGAAAGGCTTGTGCGAAGGCCCGGATCGATGGCTGAGACCACGATTGAGATGGAAATTCATGCGAGGAAAGGGGTAGGATGGAGTCCTCACGGCGCCAGGAGTGAGGTCGAATGAGGCTTTGATGGTGCGGGCGGAATCGGTCGACAATGCGGCTGTGTTGACGGACTCATCTGAACTCGATTCAATCTGACTGAGCGACACGTCAGGGTCGAGGTTTTCATCAGGTTTGAATGTTTCGGCGGAAGAACTTGAGTGGGTGGCCTTTTTCTGCTGGACCTTTGTCATTGCAATTCCCATGTTTCGTCTCATAACCTCGAGCTGAGTGGCATCACGGGGCTTCAGGTTGGATACTTGAGGGTGGAAGAGGCGAGTAGACGACAAGGCTGGGACACGGATTCCTTTGTTTTCGGCGGCAGGGTCGTCTTGCCCAACTCTTGTCTTTGTCGAAGGCGTGGAGAGGTTCTGCGGATCGACAGATGGGGACGGCCGGTCACGGTGTGGGTGGCCACTGCGACCTGGGTTGGAAGGCTTCATGGTGATCAGTCCGGTGCTCCCCACCGTGCCGGTTTGGAGCCGACACTATTAAAGATATGCTCTGGCGCGACCTTGGGGATAATGCCAGAGCAGTCATAGAGACTTTATGATCATGGTTGGTCGGCTATGGGGAAGCAGGTGTTGCGATTTGTACGGTGTTATGTTTGATCAAGACTAGCGGGGGTGCATGGCCGGCTGTGATATTGAACGACGATGACGAGCGAAGGCGTGAATGGAGGATCTATTGCAGACCGGTGCGGTGGTTTTGCGGCAGAGCGAGTCGTTGATGTCGTGAATGTGGGAAGCCGCGGAGGGTTCGTAGTGGAAGAAGGTGGGATGGAGGTCTGGCTAGTGACGTAGTTGGGTTCTGGTGTGCGATAGAAGCGTCCAGGCCAACGAACAGACGAAGATGTTAGAGGCTGAGGTTTATATGTGTGTCGACAGATGGTCGAAGTGGCCTTGGACGACTATAGTAGGGTGGAAGGAAGGTGTAGAGGACAGAATTTGCACGGGTCAGGCGACTTGATTGTCCCAGGTAGCAGCTGCGTGGAGATGCGTGGTCAAGACTTGAACGAGGTTGGCTGAGGGTGGAATCGAGTGGGTAGGGTTTGCTTCAAGGCTCGAAGAGGGCCACAGGGTCAGAGAGGTAGGGTAGCGAACAGAGTTGACGAGTCAGGGCTGTTTGGGGGATGCGAGTATTGAGAATAGAGGCCGAGTGACTGACTGCTTGGACAGACATGAGACTTGGACGGTCAGGTCAACAAAGCCAAAGCCAAAGCAAGTGCGCAGCGCATTGCCAGTGTGCCAGTACGGTAGTGAGCAGTAGTAGAGAGGCACAAGAGGTGCACCAGACCGGAAGGGTGGAAGGGGTGATAGAGTGCCAGAGAGGAATTGTGGGTAAGAGGGCAAGCAAGATGACGTCGTCTTGCAGGTGGCTTCCTCGTCCTACTCCGTCACCCGTTCGGGCCAATGTACTATTTCATAAGCGAGTGCCACCTGCTATTTGCCCCAATTCCACGCCGCCTGGCAATAATAATGATCCACTGTGTCATTCGTGCCTACCTTTCCTTCCTTTCCTTCCTCTTTGTGCCTACTTCAGCCTACTTGAGCCTGAGGCAGCCACGGAAGCTCGCCTCCCACTTATTCTTGTCCAGTACCACCAACGACATTTGATGATTACTTGATCCAGGATGCGTAGTCATAGTGGCGATGGTGCTAGTAGTGGTAATGGTAATGGTAATGGTAACGCTGATGTTGGTGGTGATGATGCCGGTGGTTGTACTCAACCAGGACGTGTCATGCTGCTTGCTGCGTCTGTCATGTTCTATGCCGTGGTCGTCAATTTCTTGTCAACGCTCGCTCCTGCCCTCCAAGTAGCAATTTCAGTGGTTGACCACCCGCGTCCGCATTTATCATCCACAAAACACAACTGAGCAATCATATCCTCTGGCGATCACGACCCATCGCGCTTTCCTTCACCAGTCGTGCGTTTCTTTTCCCACGACCCAAGCCAAGGCCTTTAAGTTACTGGCATGACTGCTAAAAGGCAGGATTGAACTCGTGGTCCTCTGCATTTTCGTTGGCCATGAGGTGCATGACTGCCGACTTTCGGCAATGTCTTCCGTCCTTTAAGTTTTACTAGGCGTCGCACGCATACGAGTACCCATTTTCAATGTACCCATTTTCAATCCATGTCCACCAAGTCAAGGTACCTACACACCAGATTTCTTCCAGTTACGGCAATAATCTCTTTTAGATAGACTAACAAACACCAAGTACTAATAATCATGCATGGCAATCAAGTTGAGCCTCGGTTGCTATAGACTTGGCTGGTATGGAGATGTTCAGTTGCAAAAGTTCACACCGCCTGCTGACCTCATCGACCTTGGTACGCATATCCATCAGGCGCGGCACGGCCCTCTAAGTAGAGACACGTGATGATAGTTTGCAAGCCACCCAGGGCCACCTAAAAACTAGCGCACTTTCAATAACTTTCGGTTGCACCACGAGGTAGAGAGATGCCAGATGCCTGTTTCTCACCAGCTTCAGCTATTACTATTATTATTGATCTGTTCGTGATTCGCCTCAAATGCTGGTCTAGTACCTCGTGCCTTGCAAAGCCCTCGCTCATGGCCTCGTCACGGTCCTCGACCCTCAAACTTAGTTGGCTGTTACTTCCCGCTTCGAAGCTTGCCAACCTCGAGTTTGCATCCAAGTGTGGGCATAATCGGAGACTTTGGTCGCTTTCAGCCTTTGACGTCGGTCCACTTGAATTCACACATACTGGTTATGAAAGACAGCTGTCGTTCCAACAAAAGGCGACTACAGTCCCTAGCGCATCGTTGTAATTGCCTTTTCACTTTCCCTACCAACATCAACCTGGACGATCTGGGGATCTCCGGTACCTGCAAGCCAGTACCTAACTTTCGGAACCCAATCCTTGGCTTCGTCATAGCCCCAGACGCCCTTTCAGCCCCCAATGCACCCCTCGGCCTTTGGCTGACGCCGGACTCCCAGGACTGGCTAACCTACCTGATACTCCGTAGGTAGTTGTCAGATCCATTCCGTTTCCTCGGCGTCACATGGTACGACCCGTCCTTAAAGCCTGCCGACTCAGGGCCCATTCGAGTCCTTGTCGCAATATTTCCACCACAGTATTTCCTGGATAGCTACGTCTACGCAACATCTGATCCCGTCCCGCAATATTGTAGCCCTTCTTGTACAACTGCAACACCCCATGGCAAATAGTGAGCTGACTAAGTTCCTGTCTCATTGCAGAACAACCCAGCAATGTGATTTGGCTCCGGATAAGGCAGAAATCTCCTTCATGTCTTCTCGCCTACATCGCGTAGGGTTTTCATATCATGACCAAAGACATCTTGATTTCGCCCTCCCTTAAACGTCAAAATAACTCCACAGGACATGACGAGTTCATACGTCGATGGTGCAAGTCCATAGTTCCGATAAATTGCTGTCATTCGTCATGTCAAACAGATGTGGACGAATCAGTCGCCTCAGTCCACCTTGATACTGCCATAAATCTTGTGCACGAATTCATATGAAGCCGCAAATCCGATCGTGCCAGTCAGCACAAACACGAGAAACCCAATCAAGGCTGAATAGCCGACGTAGAGGACCGCTCCCGTGAGTCCCCCGAAACTGACCCGCGTCATCCAGAATCCGAGTGCGTTGACGAAGACGTACCCGCCAGTCATGCCCGCCCCGAGAAAGGCACGCCAATGCCACCGGTAGTCTTCCGCGCAGAGGAGAAAGTACACCAGCAGGATGGTCGTGCACGCGCAGGTGAGAACCATCAGACCATAGCAGATGAAGAGGAAGCCAAACATGTAGTAGATTTTGCTGGTCCAAAGCGAGGTCATGATAAAGTACAGCTCAACGAAGATGGCGAGGAACGGGAGGATGCCTGTGAGAAGAAGAGAGGGCAGTGGCCGAAGGGAAGTTGCTACCGGGGGAATTTGGCGAGGAATTTGGTTGGTCTTGGTTGGACTTTCGATGCGTGGCTGTCGGAAGGCGTACCACGCACCCGCGACGCTCAGTGGCACGCTGATGACGAACCAAATGGCGATGATGGCGAGCATAGTGGTGAGCGGGACTGCCCCACTGGAGCCTTTGGCCCAGACAAAGAGGTTCAGGAAGAAGAAGCTGAGGAAGACAACACCAGGGACAAAGACTGGGGTGAGCGCGATGTTGGCCTTCCAGTTCTCGCCTCCAAATGACTTGTAGATTCGAGCAGAAACATATCCACCGATACATCCAAAGAAGGTGTAAAGCAGGAGACTGATTGTGGTCAGCCAGCCGCGGTTCGATGGGGAGAGAAATCCCAGCATGGCAAAGGCAACCGTCACACCAGTCATGACGAACAATTGAGCGCCATTTCCGAGGAAGACGCTCAAGAGCAGTGGGTAACGAGGGCTGCGAAAGACATCGCCATGCACCAATTTCCAGCCCGAATCTTCTTGGATGTCGTCCTCAGCCGCCGAGGTGCCAGAGAGGTCGTCAAGATTGATGTTTTCCAGGCGATTGTATCTGGCAATGTCCTTTCGCAGTGCGCGGATCAAGATGGTACTGACCATGCCCACAAGAAACACCACAAAAACTGTCGAATTGATCAGGGAGAACCAGTGAATCTTGGGATCAATAATGTGCAGATATTTGTCCCACCTGGTCGCCCACGCAGTCTGCGAAGGTCGCCAGTAGACACTGTAGGTGTAGGTGACGCGTGTCTCTTTCTTTCCTCCAATCACCAAGGGGGCAGAGCCCGGATTTGCACACTCGGCTTTTGTATCTGCGGTGTTTTTGTTGTCCTTGAGGGACGAAGGCTGAACGAGAACTCCGACGACGCGGTATTGTGTGCCTCGCAGGCCAGCCCTGTGGTAATCGATGATGATGTCGTAGTGGTTATGCAAGATCTTAGTCCCGTCATCTTGCACCTTTCCCAAGGGAAAACCGGGGCTGGAGAATCGCTCGTGGGTAAGAGGGTCTTCTCTCAACTCGGCTCCAGGGAGGCCATCCACCAACAAGTTGACGTTGTAGGCTTCCTCAATTCTCGAACTGACAAATTGAGACGACCGTTCTTCAAAAGCTTGACTGCGGCAAGCTGTCTTGCATGTCTCATTCTTGCCCATGAACAACTCAAAGGGAGACGTCCGGATGCGGTCGCCGAAGATGATGCTTCCCAGGGATTCTCTCACCCATTGAGGGCCACCTTCCGGACGGCAAAAGCGAAAAGCGGGGTGGTAGTAATCATATGCGACAACCGCATGGATTTGTTCGTCGTGTCGCGATATCGATGGAGTCAGGGCATTGACGGTGAGGGGAACTCGATCGCCTAGGGAGTAGGAGGAAGGGGCCACGCCGGGCAGGTAGAAGGCCGTGGCCTGGTGGAGGAGAGTTGAGCACAATAGTGCCGCATGTAGCAGAGAGGGCATGTTGGGAAGGAGTTATTGTTATTCCAAGCCTCGTCCACTCAATCAACCAGGGGCCAAACGTCGCTTGTCTGTTCAAAGGGAGTGCAGTTTACCTGTGGTTCATGTTCATAAGGTGACACTACCACGTAGAAGAAATGAACACGTTCTGTAGAATGAAGGAAGCTTCTTAAACACACACATCAACCTTCAGGTTCAGGTGATGCGGCGAGTGCAAGAATATGTTTGGTGGAGATGCCTGGAAAGAAAGTTGTCGATGTGTTCCTTTGACCTGTTGGATGGCAGTTGGAGACCCTGTCCTCCGAATGCGTTTATATTTCCTGATTGAGCGCAACCGACTTGGCCATCCAGGTCACGTGAGTCGCGAAACACGTGGCATTCACTCCATGGCATCCACCACGTCCATCGTCTGGTAACCTTTGTAGCAATGAAGCCCATTGACAACGAGCCCCCCTTGCAGAGCAGATATTTCCTCACATCAGATATACAACAAGAAATCGCAGTCTTCTTCGAAGGCTGAGAGGAACAGCATCCTGTCGGATGTATCATTAAGAGCAGAGGACTTGTCTCTCCTGATGTACACAAGAGTATGTACTTCTCGGAACCAGATGTGTAAGATGCAGCAGATCTGTGGGGACAACTTGAAGGTCAACAGAAACAAAGGGCAGCTCGAGACATGGAGGTTCTGTCCTTCACGAAATGACTCACACTATTTTGGCGACGTACAGTATGTCGATGACCACTTAGCCCCTTACACAGAAAGAAGCCTGAGAAGCGACGAGAAGCGACGCCCCTGCGATTCCGGCTCTGGTTCTTTGTTCTACTTCCAATCCCTCGAAGGCCAAGGCGACAGCATTGTCATTGAGAAGTATGCTCCATTTTAATTCCAGACGTGACAAAGATACATGGGTTTGGCATATCCACTAATTTGCTGTTCGATGCATTTGACCCAAAGATCCAAGACGGAGGTGAGCCGAGGATGGTATAGGGGGTAGAACATGGACTGACAGGCCATGCACCAAACATGAGCCGGTCTATCCGATTGTTTCGTCTAGAGTACTTCGGTTATGACCCATATGTATGGCATGCACACAGTGTCCCAACTTCCAATTCATCATGTGGCCCGCACCGAGAAGATTGGTTCAATCATACCTGTATCCGTTCCTTACCTACGATACACTACCTACGGAGTACTGTCACGCGAGGGATCGACAGAGTGGATGATTGTCGTGGGTGAAAGAAACATGTTCTGGATTGGCCCCATCGAGTCTTGTATCTAGGATGGGTTTTGTGATTGGGATTCTCACAGAATTGGCGATTGTTGATCCTTGCCTCGGAACTCGTGAGGAAGTCTGTACTCATGAGTGCTTTAAAAAGTACAACAAGTACTCGTAGCCTATCCCTGTGTGTGTACGAGTACTCGCATAGGCTACAGGCCTTAGGCGGGCTCTTGGCCTGGTGCTTATCTTGAAGACATGGAAATGTGTGCAAGGTTCTCGAGAGACGGTGAGCGGGAGAGCAACAGAAGTGGTGTGTGGCTGGTGGGCCAGGGTTGTCGACCTGATTGTCATCTTCTGGTAGTTGGCGATTGCTAGGCGTACGTACAATTTTCCCAGTTAAGCGAGACAGGACGGCCTTGTTAATCTTACGGGGATGTGAGGGGAAAGGTGGCTTCATTCCCATAGGCCACAACAATCTGAGACGTAAAACAAGTTCACGGGTGCAAAGTCAACGCAAAGCCACTCCTTGGTAGAACTCAGGAGCTCGGCAGAAATGGGAAATCTGCTGCATGAATCTCAGGAACACGAACCCCGGACTCTTAACTTTGTATCGTCCCCAGGAGATGCAGTAACATTTAGCTTCGAGTAAGCTTCTGTCAGGAACAGGTCTAGCACAGATCGCGATTTATGCTCCGTTCACCCAGCTTGTGCCTCGGGTTGTTTTAAAGCTTTCCAGGTACCACCCAGATGGCGTCTGGCGTCGACTTGGCTTGCTCCTAGAAACGAAGCGACAGCCACCACTGAGAGAGACGTGGTATTAATCTGAAACCTGTGGAAAAAGACGTTGACAAGGGCAAGTCAAGTCGAGGCAGTAGCCACCGACCACTGGCCAGTAGTAACCGAGTGTACGACTTCCTCAATCAATCACAGACAGTCATGACAGTAATAATGAATGGGTAGGCGCGAAATTGAAATTGTAGTTTGAGTTGAACCTTCTGTGTCATGTTCTCTCTCAAGGTTTTAGACTCGTGAGGAACTGATTCTACGAAGTAGGGTCTACGAGTACTCCGTACATGTCTACAAGGCGTCTGATTTCCCGAGCCGCCCACGCCGCCGTTCCTGTCAAAATGTCATTCTTGTCTTACCCACACTGCCATCATACTCGCACATTCATGCAGGCTACTCCTCTCCTCCACGGTCTCTTTACTCACGTAAAATCCTTACTGTGTACAGTACAGTGTCTTGTTCTCTTCTTGGTCATTGACCCATCGTTGAGACAGGTTCGCCTCTCTCAGACCCCGCCCTTGCCGCTTCTGTTGTGGCAAACTTTAAGCGTACACGCACGCGGTCAAAACCCACCGCCGGCCAAACGAGAGACATTCAGAGTTGATGTTAAAGCTCCAGTCATTTTCTCGTGGCGCCTAGGGGGGTTTTCCGCCTCTTCGACCAATCCGATCCCATTCCCACCCAGCCATTGTCGTCGATTCTCTGGATCGCCTCAGGGGTTCAATTTACGAAGCGGTTCATTGTTCCAGAGACGATGCGTCTATTGAGATGAGCACCCGCGAAGTCTCAGCAAGGGTTCCTTGATTCCCCTGTTGATTCTGCGTCTAGTTTACGATTAGCGTATCGCTAATGGTGCATTCCAACTGTGACCAGTTCGCTTCTCGTCAAGGCCGTTTCGCTTTCCTGTAGCGTCCTTGGTTCCGATTAAAGCCAACAAGATGCAAAATGGTTGGTTGTTGATGGTGGATCTTAAACATCCATGTAGGTCCCGGAACTTCATCTTTGATGATATGACCATGGCAATGGCTACTATTATTATTGTGTTATGTACCCCTCCTGTGCATTTGCTCAAGCTGTTTGCCCACTCCAAATAAAGTGTCGACAGTCCACGGGACTATGTGTTTGTTATACATCCCATTTGGTCTCATCAATGGCCTCTTGTGTCACTGACATTGGCAAGTCCACTCACAGTACAGAAGCAAAAGCCATCACGACAAGACCAGACAACAGTGGACGGCCGAGTGAGTCATGGCGGAGAACATCCCTCTGATGGAGGAGGAGAGTCACCACCGTGATGCGGTATGGGCTGTCGCCAATCCAACCGCCCGGTCACGCCTCGCTCGCTTCAAAGCATATGGCATCGCCATGGCACCCACCTTGAAACGTGCTTTACCAAACTATTGTCGACCTGAACAGATTTCGACGCCGGGCAATACTCAGTCAGCATATCTGGATGCGCTGCGCGGGTACGCGGCCTTCATCGTCTACATCTATCACATGTACTACATCCCAGCGGCCGTTACATGGCGACGATATCCAATTATCAGCACCCTCTTCGGTGGTCCCGCCATGGTATCCGTTTTCTATGTTATATCTGGGTACGCCCTTGGATACAGTCTACTTCTTAACATGCATCGAAAGGATGAAGCTCGCATGCTCAATGGCCTTGCGTCTTCCACGTTTCGACGTTACATGCGCTTGTACGGAAGCAGCGTTGTTGGCCTGTTCATCGCCTTGGTCATCGTTCGTATGCACCTTTACAACGGAGTTTATGGGGTCGAGGTGTATCAAGATACACTCTGGAAACAATTGGGCCACTGGTTTGCCGATGCTTTTAGGTTCTGCAATCCTTTTGCCCGAAACATTACCGACATCAAGGGAAATGAACCCCTCTCATCCAACTACCTCCCACAAATGTGGACCATTCCGGTCGAGTTTCGTGGAAGTGTGTTCCTTTTCGCCTTTTGCACTGCTGTCTGCAAACTCACGCCTCGGATGCGAATGTGGGCAATGTGGCTCGTCATTGTCTTGGGCCACTGCTGGCAAGCAGTCTACATATCGGAGTTCATCAGTGGTCTTTTCATCGCTCAATTGTCTATTTGTCGAAACCCAGATCGTGTGACGGGGTCAATCATCACGTCAACTGTCGACAGTGAGAAGCCTCGACCTCCACAAACACGATTGTCCAAGGTCTTGCACAGTCTTCTCTTCTCCGCCTCGATAATCCTTCTTGGCCAGATCGATGAAGGCCAAGGATACCTTCTCATCTTCGGTGGCTTTCCGTGGAAGTACATCAACCACTTGATCCCCTTCTGGTGGGAGTCGACGGCTGAGTACCTCTTTTGGCTAGCATGGGGTAGCTTTGGCTTGGTCTATGCTCTGGAATTCTACCCCACACTTCGAAAGCCGCTGTCATGGACAGTGTCTAGATATCTTGGCGATATATCCTTCGGTCTGTACGCTATGCACGTATGCTTCGGCATGGGCATCAGATCGCTATATCTCGATCCTTGGCAACAGAAGTACCTGGGTGAATCTTCCCTGGCGTGCATTTTCATGGTTATCATTGTTACATTCATTGTGATCACAGCGGCAGACTATTTCACCAAAATCGACAGAATGGTTGTTCGCTACTCAAAACAGATCCAAGATCAATTCTTCTCGAAATGGAATTGAGATTTATTGTGTCATATCCAACAAACTGGTAACACTGAACTTACCTCTAGCTAAAACCACATCATACTGGACTCCAAAAATGGACTCACAGGAATCATGACATTGGCAAGCTAAGTGGAAAAACCACCCCGAGTCCAATAGTCTTGTCATCACGGCGAGATAGGCGAGCAAGATGCGAGCTTGAAAAGGCCTGAACTCGATGCGGTGATCAATTTAAAACCCCCTGAAATTGTTTTACTTGCGCCGGCGAAGCAGGGAAATCGACATGAGGAATGTCGCTTCACATCCTGAAAAGTGTTGGGTCAACAAATCATGGTTGGCACAGACAAAGGTTCCCTCGGGAGCCAACTGACGGTGCCATCCTTTCCAATTCTCTGTTTTCATTACATGCAGATCGGGCATAATTGTGCAAAAGCAAAGCCCCATCACCTCAATCAAGCATGCAATACAGTGCATAGGCGCGGCGGTGGCAACTACTTTGGTGTTTGACTTCGCCCTCAGTCCCCGGCTGAAGGGGAAGCGGCAGGTTTGAGTCAGAAATTTGTTGCATGGACCGGAGCTGTATGCATAGCGTTGGTGTTCAGTCTACAAGATTGGACAGCCTTGGACTTCCCTTTGACCTATATCTTTCAAGACAGGGTCTATGTATGAAAAAGATAACGCATAATGTTAATTGATGTCGAACATGATAATAACCAATGAGACGCCGAGGTGACAATCGCAGCTCCCAGTAGACGCATAGTGGAATTAATGATGGAGACAAAATCAGGCGAAACAGACGGTGAGGCTCACGTCGGCACTTCTCGACCGAGATTGCAGATTTGTAGATTCAACCACATGAGCTGGATCGACTCTTGAGAGACTGGTCTCGCACCCATCGAGTCGATGAATCCGCCAGGAGGACGGTGCAGGCAGTACTTAGTAGCATCTTCATTCGTTCAAGGCAAGGCAAGGCAAGGCAAGGCAAGGCATATCATGGCATAGAATCTTTTCGTAACACATATAGACATCCTAAACCACATCCACCACATGACGCTGCATAAGTTAAAATCCCAAGTTGTGGAAAGTTGTGGGTCACATCATATCGTGTCGACTCCCACCCGACCACGACCGACGCCACAACGTTTTAGAAGGAAATATAGGAGGGATTCGAGGAATGATCCAAGCAATCAACAACAACAACAACAACCATCACACTCAATCGATCAACCCACACACCAGCCAACCCACCAACCAACCAAATCAGTAAGCAAGCAACCCACGACATGTCGCTCAATTCGAAAATACTACAACAACCACAACCACAACAACAGCTGGGGATTGAGGGACTGGAACTGGAACTGGGGCTTGCACTTGGACTTGAGGATCGCTTGAGTCGTGCCGGTTATACCAGGCCATCATACAAGGATAGAGCCGAAACAATCGTCTCGTCCCGTTTACTTCCCTCCTTGAATTCCTGCATATCCAGACTCCCATTCTCATCCTTATCCATCATGCGGAAAATCTTGCGTACTCGCTTTTCCGGTGTGTCTTCATCTTCGGGTAATTTGACCATGGATCCGACCTGCAAATGAAACACCAACGCGTGACGTCAGCTGACCTGACCTAACGTGACCTTTTCTTTTTTAAACAGAGGAGGGGGCGGTGGAGAGAAATAAATAATGTACCCTAGAGAGGGGGGAAGGGATGAGGAAGTAGGGAAAATTCGTACCATTTTGTAGATTGCTTCCACAATCGCCAGCATTTCCTCATAACTGATCTTACCATCTCCATCGATGTCATATAGTTGGAAAGCCCAGTCGAGTTTATCCTCCATTTTGCCTCTTGATGTGACACTTAGGGCGCAGATGAATTCCTTGAAGTCGATTGTGCCGCTTTTGTCCGAGTCAAAGACTTTGAAGACATAGTCGGCGAATGAGGAGGGGTCGCCAAAGGGGAAGAATTGGCGGTAGATTTTTTGGAATTCTTCTTTCGTCAATGTCCCTGATGGACAGTCTTTGAGAAAACCTGGAGAAAGGAGGAAAAGACAAGGGGAGTTAGTTTCTTGTGGTTAAGATGATGGTTGTGAAGGAGTGGGAAAGAAATAAATACCTTTATACCATTGCTGTAATTCCTTCTTGTCGAAATGTGTCGACTTTTGCAATTCTTCTAATTGTTGCGGGGATAATTTGGATTGTCTGCAACGGAGAATGGGATCAGTAGGTGACGTTATAGAAGAATGACGGAGCAGATATGTTGGGTTGAATGTGTCTGGCGCTTCAGGACAAAAGGCCAACGAGGAATTCTAATTTCTTTCTTTTGCGGCCCAAATTGAGAGGGAAGAGGACGGAGTCTTGCTCACTTCTGACCCATTCTGATGACCTCCTCAGGCCCGACGGCCTCTTGTTCTCACTCTCGCTTGATTCGTTTTCAACAGGAAGGCAAGGCTCCGAGGGTATTCGTGGTCCAAGAGTGACGGGCAAGGCTGCGCTGCCGGAATTCAGATGCAGGAGCGTAGAAAGGGTCTTGAATGGTCTGGGAGGCTGGTGACGAGGATGTCGCGAGATGGGACTAGGTTAGAAGCAAGAATGCCGTTGCTGAGAAGGAGAGGAAAGGGGATACGACTCGAGAACTGAGGCTGGCGGCAAAAGTTGCTGAGGGAGAACGCTCGGAGAGTGTAATAGGATGTGGTGTCCGGAAGGTTTGGGGAAAGTGGAAGATGATGCAATGTAGAGGGTGAGTTGCAACAAGTGAAACGTTAATCAGGCTGCTGGCGACAACAGATAACCTACAGTATGTTTGTTGGTGAGGGTGAGGGCAGATGAATGGTCGTTGAATGTGGTGGTGGTATTATTGAGGTGAGCGCAGTACGAGGGGTACGAAACTTCCAGGTTGGGAACTGGAAGTTGCTCGGTGTCGGTCTTCTGGATCACCGGCTGCTTTGGAATCTAGGTACGGATAGATGATCGTCCCGGGCGGCAAGAGTCGCAAACAGGTGCTTGGTCAATGGTGGGGGTACCTAGGCAGCCAGGTAGCCTGGAGGCGGCAAACAGGGCAGCTGGATGTGATGACTTGTAAAAACCCAAACACGAGAATCATGCAACGCAAACATGGACTTTGGTGGCTTTGGTGGCATTCTGGGGCCCCTCGGGCTACAAAGGCCACGCTCTTGGGCACTTGGACCACAGGGATGCCTTAGGCCTGGCCAACCACGTTGAAGCCTCTCATTACCGACCATGGACAAGGGACAACGTGTGACATGCTACGCATTGCTTAAAATTTAGAGGTCGCCCCATTGTCTCATGGAATAAGGTAGTAAGCTGTAACTAACTCTCCAAACAGTTAGGAACAAAGGCTTTTTCGAGATGAGCATTTAATACACGAATTGGTAGCCTCATTTGCCTCCACATAAGTACTACATTGCACAGTCAGCCGCCCCCAGTTTCGATGGACCCGACAAATATAATGATCGAACAAATCGATCTTCTTTTCTCTTCCAATGATGATCCCTCCTTTGGGAAGACAACGGGGGCAAACCTTGGTCATCAGAGTGTTACACTGCTAGACTTGTCATGATCTGACTAGTCAGGGTAATAGGTATGCCACAAAGGGCTGATGGGCAGAGTCAAATCCCCCCCCCCCCCCCCTCCCCGCTCCATGCAAGCTCCCAAAAATAAGTTGGCCTAAGTGGAAAAACAGAGATGCTACTGAGTGTCTAGAACCTCTTTGTCGCCCCTAACCGGACCCCCGAGTAATACGGAGACGTAAGCCGCAGATAATAGGAAAGAATTGTTGCAAAGCTGGGGTTGAGGTGGTAGGCGTAGTTCTGTAAAGTACGAACAGCTGACCGTACGACACATGAAGTCTTTTAGGTATCTCTCAAAGACATTGGGGTCCAATATGGTCAGAATTCCAGCAGAGCTGAATATCCATTAGTAGTAGGTTGTACAGAACTGATGCTGCAGTCACGTGGTCGACATCTTGTCACCACCGACGTTCGATACATCCACACCAACGCCATGCCTCAAGTCCCTCAAGTCCATGGCCATATCATCTATTCTAGAAGCGCCGCTTGATTGGTGTACAGCACGTCGACAACGTTGCTGAGTTTCTCGAGCGTCTCCAGCCCTGCATCGTACCCAGCATCTCGCTCCACCTCGTCGTAGACAATCAGACATCCTTCTCCTTGATCCAATACCCCAATGATGACTTTGTCTAAAATCATCTGCGACAGCTTTCTCTCCACTTGCTGCGTATCGAGACCCACCATCTTGGCAACATGATCGATTTCCACCCGGCTGAAAGGTTCAATCACTTTGACCAGGTTCTGTTCCAGCATCGCATCATATAGTCGACGGAGATGGTTGCGGATAAACACATCGCTTCCCAGTTCGTACCGATAGTTGGTAAGCGCTTGTTCATACTCCTCCAACGATCGGTTTGAGTGAGCTCGGGCAACGGCCTTCATGGCTTCCAGATTGGTGCCTGCATATTTCTGTGCTTGCTTCGAAGACAGGAGTGAGTTGACATCATCCACCAAGTTGAGCATGATCTTGCAGAGCAACATGTATTGCAGCGCCGAAGTAGCACGTGCCGCCTCATCTTGGGCATGATAGCCTTCCAACGCCTCAATGAAGTAAGAAAACGCCGTATTGAAATCTTTGTCCTCAGCGTGTAACATTCCACTCTGCATATCTAGACCCGCTTGAAGAAGAGGCGGGGTGTAAACTGAAGCGGCAGAGGTTCTTGCTGATGTCAGTGCCGCTCGTGCCTTGGCTTGATTGGTGAGGGCATGGTAGACTCTTGACTCCAGGAGCTGGACTTCAACGAGGACAAGCTTGTCGTCCAATCTCTTGAGTTCTTTGAGTAGTCCATTGATGAGGGTAAGAGCATCATAGTATGCCTGCTTCTGCATGTACAAGCCTACCAAACGCGTTTCGAGATTCTGGCGGAGGAAAGATCGCTTCTCAGAGTTGGCCCAGTCGATGCATGACTTGGTGGCCTGGATCTGAATTTCGAGGGTGTCTGGGATCTCCGTGAAGAAGTCGAGGAGTTGTCGGACTAAGGTGTCACCGTGTTAGTGTCCATCACGCTCAAGTATGTCCAAGGGCCACCCTACCCAGTTTTGCCGTCTTTGCTTTGGCAAAGGAGGAGAGGGTCGATCGGCTTGTCTTGATCAACTCGGCCAAAGCGTCTGTTTGTTTCTGATCTCGATAGAGTTCTCCTAAACCAACCAAGGCATTCTCGTATTCTTGGAGTGCTGCTTGATTCGACCCAGGAGACTTCGCCAGAACCTCTCTATATAAAGCTTCGGCCTTTTTGGGATCGGATGTGGTTAGTGATTTGGCTTCATCGACTTTGGAAGGCGGAGGTGCCATATTGGCAAGTTTCCGCGCTCTGGAAGGGTTGGGAGATGATGTGAGGAGGAAAGATCGAAGACAAATAGGAGAGTAGCGTTCGGGAAGACGGTGATTGATGTTCTAGACGTGATGATAAGGGCAGGAGAGATTGGGAGTGAGGAATTGATTGTTGAAAGCGAGCGCATGCACCGAACTGCCTCGCCCTGTCTTCACGGCTTCAGGCACAAGCGAATGACGACCATCAGAAAATGCCCAGCCACGCAGCCTTGCGCCTCTTGGAGCCACAAGGCTGAACCTTCCCCACAAAAAAGTTCAAACCTGCATCTTCGCCTTTTCTTCTCCCGCGGTGGTTTGGATGTACCATTATTTTAGATCGATGCTCGACATGTTCCCTTCAAGATGGTATGTACAGATGCCCACCGATGACTTGAGACATATACTAATGCGAAACTCCAGAAAATCAAGTCACTTTCGAGGCCTGCTGGCCCTCCAGGCGATGGCCTGCGCCAGCCCAGAAATCTCGACCCCGCCCAGCACCCTTTCGAACGTGCAAGAGAATACACAAGAGCCCTAAATGCTGTCAAGATGGAACGTATGTTTGCTGCCCCATTTGTGGCTCAACTAGGTCAAGGTCATGTCGACGGTGTCTATACCCTTGCCCGGGATCCCGGCTCTTTGGAAAGGTTAGCCAGTGGAAGTGGTGATGGAGTTGTTAAAGTCTGGGATCTGGGCAACCACGATCAAGTATGGCAGACAAAAGCGCATGAAAACATTGTCAAGGGTGTCTGTTGGACCCCAGACAGGAAGTTGCTGTCTTGTGCCGCAGACAAAACCGTCAAACTGTGGGATCCATATGGACAAAGCACCGCTCCCACGAGCACATACCTCGGACAGGGTGCATTCACCTCAATCACACACCACCGAAACCTGCCCTCTTTCGCCGCATCCTCGAGTTCCATCTCAATCTACGACCTTTCTCGTCCAGCCTCTGGGCCGACCCAAGTCCTGCGGTGGCCAACATCAACAGACACCATCACCGCCGTCTCTTTCAACCAGACGGAAACTTCAATCCTCGGATCCACCGCTCTAGACCGAGCCGTTGTCTTGTATGACCTTCGAACCTCATCTCCCGTGTCAAAGACCGTCCTAAGACTTGCCTCCAATGCCCTGTCTTGGAACCCAATGGAAGCCTTTAACTTTGCGGTGGCTAACGAAGACCACAACATATATATCTTCGACATGCGGAAGGTGGATAGGGCTCTCAATGTACTGAAAGACCACGTGGCGGCGGTCATGGATGTCGAGTTTAGTCCAACGGGAGAAGAGCTGGTCAGTGCATCGTATGATCGTACGATCCGGTTGTGGAACCGAGATCGGGGCCATTCGAGAGACATATATCACACCAAACGAATGCAAAGAGTGTTTGCAGCCACATTTACTTCGGACAATAACTATGTTCTTTCGGGATCAGACGATGGCAATATCCGACTGTGGCGGGCAAATGCTTCGGACCGCGCTGGAATCAAATCTGCTCGACAACGGCAGAAGCTCGAGTATGACCAAGCTCTGGTCCGACGATACGCACACATGCCTGAGATCAAACGCATCAAACGACATCGACGCACCCCCAAGACAGTAAAGAAAGCAGGGGAGATCAAAGCCGAAGAATTGAAATCCATCAAGCGCAAGGAAGAAAACGTGCGAAAACACAGTAAGAAAGGAACCATGAAACGGCACAGTGAACGAGAAAAGATGGTTCTTGCCACAGAAGCCTAAAATCGTGGACATGATTGATGAATGTGAATGTACATGGGCATGGGCATGGGCATGAGTGGTGTATGGCGTGAAACTGGGTCAGGACGGCATTGCTGGGGCTCCACGTAAAATAAAGCGTCAGTGTAATAGAGATAAATACCCCCGATCTTTCAGTAAGACGCAGTACCTTGGTAGTGAATAGAATTTCAGAGGTACTTGGAACATCTTCCAGCTGCTTTGCCAGAAGATCTAGCGTGACCCTTGAGATCGATAATCCTGGTCGTTATGCTGTTGCTGTCGTCAAATTGTTGTCGTCACCGACAGCCAGTTTCAAAAGACATGGTTTTACTTCCTCTCCAACGCGTCTGTTTCGACCACATGGCACTGCAACAAAACGCCATGGCATGATCTCCCACCACATACTAAGCAATCCCTCAAAAAATCAATTCACAACGCTGCTAGTCTAGTACGCGTGGGGCATTCGCAATGCCAGCGTTTGGCCCTCGCGCGACAGTCTTGGACTCCTTTCTGACCGAGATCGTCAGCTGTGTCCAGCGGAAAAATGGCGGGGGCATCACAGACTTGATTCAACTGGACTTTGATAGTCTGCCCCCAGACCGACAGAAGCCATACGCGGACTTGAACCAAGAACTGAATCGATTGTATCCGTCCAGCAATGACGAAGGCCTCGTCACTCGGTGCAAAACGGTGGTTTCATCGGATGAATTTGGTACATTCAGTACACCCTTTTCAGACACTACCATCCATTATTTTCGATATCTCAGAGACTTCACCACGGCCGACGATCGACAAAAGGCCATCAAGATTCGACAGCTGACCAGGTTTGCATGATTCAATCGATCCATTTGAGGACCTCCTTCTCGCTAACCTACGGCCCAGTCAATGTGTGACAGCCTTGGGCGACTCGAAATATGGAGTTATTATGATCCCCATCGTTTTGTCCTTTTCGCGTACTCTAGCCACCATCGCGACTTACCTCGACCGGAACCAGTCACATGCGGCGAATGATGGGATCTCGACGACATCCGTTCCTTCAGACAGCGCCCCTGGGAAGTTCAGCTTTGTCGAGGATGCGGCCAACGTGCTTCGCGACGCCTTCATCAAGTGTCTGGCAGGGAGCCCAGGAGTCCAACGGACGACTCGTCCAGGGCCCGACGACAAGCGCTTCGGCATCTACTTGACCGCCAACTCGTGTTTAAAACTACTTACACAATGTCGACGATTGCGCAACGCCCAGCAGATGTTCTCGAGCATCGACGCCCAGTCACCCCCTCTGTCATACTACCCGGCAGCCCAGCGGGTCACCTTTCTCTACTATCTGGGTCGATACCATTTCGCCAACAACCATTTCCATCGAGCGCAGGCGGCCCTCCAAGCGGCTTATGACGATTGTCACCGCGATGCAACAAAGCACCGGCGACTGATTCTGGTTTACCTGATTGCTGCAAATCTCTGCCTTGGTCGTTTCCCCTCATCGACACTGCTTGAACGACCAGAGGCGGCAGAGGTCGGCGCGCGGTTTCTGCCTCTATGTAAGATCATTCAATGTGGTGATCTCGGCCGGTTTCAGCAGTACCTGGACCTTGGCAGTGAATCAGGTCGCTGGTTTCTTCGACGGTCGATACTCTTACAACTACAGAATCGATGTGAAATATTGGTTTGGAGAAGTCTGATTCGAGCCACTTTTCGAGCTAGCGGTTTCCTAGGTGAGGAGAAGAAGATCCCATTCCTCAGATTGCATTATGTGCAGCATGCTGCCGCGTGGTCGGTGAGAAGACTACAGCCTGGAACGACAAGGATGGGTCAAATGCAACTGATTGATCCGGAATTCGAGGGCGTGGATGAAGCCATCCGGGACACTGGATTCGATATAGACTCTGGACAATATGACGATGAATACATTGGACAGGAGTCGCAGTCGGTGCTGGATGTCAACTCGGCAAATTCCTGGCCTGCAATGAGTGAGGTGGAGTCGGTGGTCTTGAGTCTCATCCAACAGGGGCTTTTGAAGGGGTTTGCCTTACACACTAATCCACGATTTGCGATTCCTGGCAGCCAAAAGGCGGGCGGACCTATGAAGGCCGGGTTTCCCCAAGTCTGGCAGATAATCAGAGCGAACGCATCAAATGTGCCGGTTCCGGGGTGGGTCGAGGCGCAGAATATGTAACCAGAAGAAATATGCCAGGCCCTTCATTTCGGGCTGACTGATCCCGAATTGATCAATTCCTCTGCTAGTGAACTAGAAAAAAAGCAACCTACACCAAGGACCTTGTTGGGTCAATTCCACCAAGCATTTGTAGAACCATGTTAATAAAATGTTTAATCAAAGAGAGCAGGTCATAGAATACAAGATAGTAGAAGCACTTGAACCGTCGACGTTACCTTTGGTGGGGAGGTCTGGACCCAGATAGTTCCAGAGCCGCCGATCCTATCACCCGAGGCTGGAGATGTTCTTCGGCAAATGGCAGTTCTATCACGGAGCATGAGCAAAAGGGGAAAGGGATGGTTCTTACCAGGATCGAGGGAATTTAAAACGATTCGAGGACGAGGGATCATTTTGAGGACGATAAGAAAAGATTAGCATGTGCGGTTTAAGTGTGTGCGTGTGGGAGTGAGGGCAAGGATACGAGAGTCAGAGACCCGTCTTCACAGTAGTGTGGCCGTTGACAGTGGCCCGTGTTCCAGGATGGCTTGCTTGTTCTTTTGAACAAGCCACAGATGATTTTTGAATCGTCTGTGTGAATCATCAAAGTGCAGTCAAATCTCGAGACAAGATACAGGTACTCTTTGGCATTTACTTAATTAATACTAACAAGTCTTCTGGGGCGCAAGGTCTTGTGCAGAAACAAAGGGTGTGTCCATGACTACCGTAGATAGGTACCTCATGATAATCCCTGGGAGGCTATGTACAGTAGTACATACGAATTCTGTACTTATCAACGTCTGCTCGCTATTTTAGCCGCAGCAATGTCAAGTAGTATCCTGGCAACTGTGTTGGTTCCTTATCTCTTGTGCTCCTCCAAGGAGAGGCTGGCGGAATAGCCCGGGCGTGACCCCAAAGTTTGGGAGGCTTTTACGGGTAAGACAAGGAATGACTGTTGGGTGATAGAAGGGCCCGCGGGCCCTAGTGCCTCGGGCCCAATCTACTTACGGAGTAGGTGGTAAGGTAGGTAGACAGGCATACCCATACAAGTATGCGTACTTTTATTTGGCTTGCCTCTCACCACAAGGCCCCAGAAACGCGCCAGACGTGGGCAATGTTCCACAGGCAGCGTGGGGTGGGGCCTGAGTTCCCAGACGCCTGACCCATTGTGCCCTTGTTCCCGTGCACAGAAGCCCGAGAGCCCTCCTCGGCCCCCTCAACCACCCCTGGGCCGTGAGAGACTGATGGCGTGGCGGTGGACCCATTCCGCGCCGACTCGACGCTCCTCTAAACTCTTAAGGGCTTAGAACAATGGCATCCCAGACGACACCTTCCTAACCCTGGGAAGAAAGGCTTGGCGTCTGTCGCAATCGCACCATTCATGCCTGGCAATTTGTGTCCTTTCGGATCTCCCTCCGCCTCACGACTACCCATAACCGCTCCCAGCGGTCTTCAACGCCCGTTCGTTAGTCCATCGCCTTGGATTGTGACACCTGAAAAGCTTCTCCAAAACTCTCACCGCAGTCCAATGACTGAACAAAATGCTGGCCATTGGAACAACGACCAGATGCTGGGGGATCAGGTTGTACCCGTTCGCCCATTTGCGTGTGGACAGGTGTCTACCTCAAGCCCTCTTGATCTCCAGGTACGAGATGCCCAGCGCATTTTACAGGTAAGTGAATTGGGACAGGAGGCTAGTACTGAGAATCTCAGCGCCGATGATCCCACAAGGACCCTTGGAACCCCTGCCCACTCATACCAACGCACCCACTCCAGTCTGGCTTGGTGCTTCTGCCACTCCGGGACGACCCTATCATGTGAGGGAGAGGGGCCACTCGCGTCTTGCCTTTATCACTTGCTCTGCCATGCACCAAATCAACGCCGCCACCGCTACCACACCTCAGGCGAAGAGTCCGCTTCCTCCAAGACTTGTCCATCCCAACTTGACCTTCTGCCTTGACTCCGTCATGGCACGCTTATTTCGTGATTCCAGCCATCTTCTTCATTCTAAACTACCTTCATTGTCCTTGCCTACTCCTGCTTTGCCAACAGCGTCGCTGGTTTGAACGTCGCAGTCGATGCGCCAACGACGTCGCACGCTTGCTTCTATCGTGTGACACAGTCAAAGCCCCCCTCGTCCTCAACCTCAACTTCACCCCCGAACCGCTGCCAGATTCGACGGCTGAATGCATTGGTCGACCACCAGGCAAGATCGACACGCGAACGCTCGAGTAGTCCTCTCTGCACGGAAAGTCGTCCCCATGGCAGTTGCGCTCAGGTTGCGAAGCCCTCCGCCTTGACAAATTCTCCCATGAACCTCGACCCGGCCTGTCACAACTCCCACATCTCAAGGCCTTGGAGTCTCTTGTAACAATGGCGAGTCTGAACAACCTGCAGACCCGCATGTACCACGGCGATCCTCCGGCGCTGCAGACCAAGGTGGATGTGAATCCAACTCTGATTGTGTCATGGTGGTGTACGCTATTTGCCATGACCGCCATCGGCATCCGCTTATTTGGTCGTTGGATTCGAACGGAAAAGCTCTTCATCGAAGACAAGATCATGTTCTACAGTGTCATCCCGTTGATCATTCGCCAGGCTTTGATTCATGTGGTACTAATTTGGGGCACCAATAACACCGACATCGCTACCTTGACACCCCTCGAAATCAGACATCGTGAAATCGGAAGCAAGTTGGTTCTTGCCGCTCGAATCTTCTACGCTGCATACATCTGGGTGGCTAAATTCACCGTCCTCGAATTTCTCAAACGCCTGATTGGGAAATCGTGGGCCAAATCATACGAACAAGGCCTGCGTGTCATTTATGGCTTTTTAATCATTACATATATTGGTGTTGTGGTCGGCACTTTGTCTGAATGCCAGCCTTTCGACCATTATTGGCAGGTTGTACCAGATCCCGGACCCCAGTGCCGAGAAGGACTCGTACAATTGATTGTCATGGGAGTCTGTGACATGGTGACTGATGTCGTCCTGATTGTCTTCCCCATCCCGTTGGTCTGGCAGTCGTCAATGCCTTTGTCCAAGAAGATATCCCTTGTCTGTCTCTTCCTACTCTCTCTTATCCTGATCGCCATCACTGCTTACCGTATCCCTTCAACCATATCACGTCGATCATCACAACAATACCGATCACTACTCGCATCCCTCGAGATTCTCGCTGCTGCCGGAGTGTCCAACGCCATTGTCATCGGCAGTTTTATCCGAGACAAAGGTGTGAAAAAGGCCAAATTCAGAGCGGGTTCTTTCAACAATGACGACGCCAGTTCTCTCGGACGCCAGCCCACTCGCACACGCACTCGATCCATGACTCACCATCACTGGGGATCTGACGAAGATTTGGCCCGAGGAGTTGGCGTGTCTCTTCCACCCACCTTGCGTCATGGCTCAACTTTTAATATGCGGCCAGCAGAGATGGCACCTCCGAATGACTATTATCAAGACATTGATCTCGAAGCTGCTAGGCGCGACGAACATCGAGGAAGCATCACTACAAACTGGAATTTTGCCGAAGCATCGCGGCGAGACCGGCGAGACCGGCGACACTCGATGGAGTCGAACAGCAGCAGTTCGACGAATATCAAACTGCGGGATGTCAAAACCTCTTTCCAAAAAGACCCCACGAGTTCCGATTTAGACCACACCGAACCTGACACTCCAAGTAAGATGGGCTTCTTTGATGTTGGAGGCCTTGTCAATCGACCCACCGATTCCTCAAGCCTACGATCACGACAAGCATCTTTTCAGGAATCCACGCGCCGTTTGTCGAACAATCTGCAAACCCAATCTCATACTTCCGGACGATCGGGTTCTAAAGCCTTTCTGGCCGATATTGGCGGTCTACTCACCCGCCACATTCGAGAAGAGGAAGATAACATGTCGGCTTCGTCAAAAAGTGCTAGGATGAGCAGCCCGGCTCGTTCACCGATGAGACTGGGAGACAATCGGCGAGATTCGAAAAAACGTCGTCTACCAAGCCATCAGGAAGATGAGGAGCCCATCATCAAACCCAAAGGTCCGGACGATCTGAGCTTTGGTGATGTTGGAGGTTTGTTGAAATGATATCAGCTCACGCCGTTATGAATATTCAGCCTGCAGTCGGCAGCAATCCCATCTTGAACAGTCCCCCGACATGGCACCCTCCCATCGAACCCAACGGCAAGAAATCACCAAATAATGTTTACCTACGATGCATGCCAGACACAGCAGTATCGAACAGATGGGCTCACTGAGCACATCTTGACGACATTTCCAACGAACCAATCAACTTACCACCTGAGCCTACCACTCATCCCACGACAACCTACCTACCCACCTACCAATTCGACCTCTTACCATCGATCTTCTAGTACGATACCAATTTCCATGAATGAGCATTTTTCAGCGACGGCGCTGGCGGAGTTTTAACTGTTGGATACACTACCATTGTGGAAAGTTGTTTTCCTTGGCGTGTCTTTTGCTTCTGTTTTGTTTTTTTAACTTGACAATCCGGATTGAAATATCCGGAGATGATGTTGCTTGATACATATATTACCTATTTTGATGCAGTTACGGCCACGGCCATGATTATGGCCAGATCTGACGCTGTTTGTGAAAGAGAAGGGAAGGATGAGAAAGGGAGGGACAAGAACGCAATGATGATATGAAGCAAGCAAGGAAGGAAACTCGAGATCAAAAGATGTATCCAAGTGAAAGAAAAATCGTATGGTTTGGACGAAACCAAGGAATGAAAGTCTACTCAGGTAGTCTTAGTGCAATCAATGTTTAGTGCCAGTCTGAGATTGAGTGTCTGTCTTTCTGTCTACCCATCGACTAATCTAGCCTGTCTGTGGTTTCCTCTGGAGCAGTCCACGAAACTGTGTTTGAGGCAACGAGGGTGTAATATATAGGGTCTGTGATTCAGAAATCATCGGTCTTCCAGCCCTTGGCCACATTCCAAAATCCCTCCATTCTTGGACCGAGAACATCTCTAGCCTGCGCATCAGTCTCGCAGGCACGCGGATGGCGCAATACCTTGCGGAACGTGCGTTCCTTCTCCTCGCCGCTGAAAATACATTCACATCGATTCAGACTCAGGTCCTTGAGATTGCCATCTTCATCTTCGGCTTCCAGCCATTTCGTCAATGCTTCACGATTGCCTTCCGCGACGGAGCGGGGGGCTTCCATCTCAGTCCACCGAATCCGCTTCTGCAACAAATGGTCATAGTGTCGAATATCGTATTCTCCGCCCTCGACCACGAGTAAATTGAATTTAGGGTGTGTGATGCACACGCCCGTCAATTCGCGGTCTTCGGCGTTCTTGAAGATCTGGAAGCGATGTTTCACGTTGGCGAGGCTGTTGATCTTATATGCACGAACGTGGATGCCGCGGGCGAGATCGTCCGCTCGTTGTCGAGCTAGTTTTTCCGCCCGTTCTTCCTTGGTTAGCTTGCGGCCTTCGTTCGTGTCCTCATGTTTCTGCTTCCGTTCGGCGATCTCGCGGTTGACACGTGCTTCGACGGCAGTGGGGTCTTTCACGGCTTCTTGACCGAGCACCATCATGAGATTTCCCTTTTTGACTTTAGGCGGCGGTGGAGGCTCGAGGCCGAGTCGCACCTTGGCTTGTTGCTCCTTGAGGTCGGCTTGTCGACGTTGTCGACGTAATTTGGCTTGCTCTTTGCTGGTCAAAAACATGGGTTTGGGTGCTGGAGCGAGTTTTTCCTGGGGAGGTTCAATTAGAACTGGATGTTGGATGTAGACGGTGATTATCGAGTCGGGTGTGTCAATTTTGAGGTTCGCCTTATCGGAAATGGCAGCGTACGAGCTGCCATTTACGAGTCCTTCATCCCACCATTCGATTTCAGGAGGGGCCGGGACAATAAAGGCCTTATCTGTGTCCAAATCTTCCTCTAGACCAGCAAGTCGAGCACGTTCGGCAATGCGTTTCTTCATAGCCTCGAGTTGCGCCTGCCTTCGAAGTGCCGCAGCTTGTTGAATGTATTTGCCCTTTTCATTGAAAATCAGGGGCCGGGACGCACGAGACTTTGCCACAGCACTCCCAATGTTGGCGTCGAAATATGGGTTGGATTTGATTTCTTCCATGGAAGGACCCGAAAGGTCAAGTTGTGCCTTCTTCTGGGTCGCTAGGGAATCTGCCCGGCGATTACCCATGACAGTAGCAAATTTTGTCTGAGGAGTTCGCCCTTTGTCTGGCTGCGTGTCGGCCAGTAGTGAAGGGTGTAAACCGATATCCAATCCACCTCGTGCCTTAGACATGTCGTCATTATGGACTGGAGGAGTATATGTAGCCGCAGAAGATGGCCTTTGGGCATTGGCACGACTGGTGGCGGCAGCGACTCGAGCCCTCATGGCCGCAATCTTGTCGCTAGTCAGGCTGCTCGTAGATGGCGTCGAGGAAGAGGTCTGCTGCGAGGGGGCTGTCAAAGTCTTTGAGCCAGCCATTTTCGCCTTCAATTCTGCTGCGCGTGCCTTGGCCGCAGCCAACATCTGGCTCACGTCTTGCTTGGGAAGCGGCGCCTTGCCCTGGCCAGGGGTTGTAGGGCGGGGGGATCCATCATTGGATCGGGCGCGTTTCTGGGCATCGTCGTCGGCTTCGGGGTGAGATCTCTTCAGCAAACTGCTTGATCGGTCGGCCATGCTTGAGTAGAGGGAACTCACAGGAAGCAGGAGACGGATGCCTCGTGCAGATATTCCTGGACACGAGTTCGGAAGACAATCTCCTGAAGAGATGTTTTGCGAATCACTTGAACCAAAGGTGAGGGCCGACCTTGAAATGATTCAACTATACTGGGATAACCATGGTTGCTTGCTGGCCAAGGAATAATTTGAGGACTTGCATCTGGCAACTGAAAACAGCCTAGTCCGTTTCTAGACTAGGCCATACGGAGAAGCATTCGGTCAGATCAGAACTATTGCTATCAACAGCTTCTAGTTTCGCTGTATTTTATAGAGCGGAACAGAGAGCACGACTTACATGCACCCTCCTCCTCACACTCGTATACCGTATACTGTGCCTGTCAAAATATACCAGTTTCTTTCTTCACCATCAGCTGAACCCGTCCCTGAAGTTCTCAGCAGAGGAACTGTGCTGTGAATGAAGACCCAATATGCACCATATCAATCCGCGCGTCGTTGCTTTGCATATTGCACTCGGATATGTGTAACCACATCTCACTCTACCCATGTGTACACCAGGTAATTCATCTTTACCGTCCTTCAGGCAGTGCCCGATCTCGTTACCAAGCACAATAAGATGATGACAAGAATGTTGTCACTCAACTCAAAGCAGGCTAAGCTCGTTAGAGTACACCTTATCTGCCATTCCACTCGGTAGGTAAGCTTTGCGGACTGATTATTCACAGCATCAGGTTGCTTGTCAGGGTTTGACTGCCTTGTAGAGGGCATGTTTTGGCGCATGCTCATCTACTCGTTTCATCTGGTTCACAACTACTCTGTACCTTTGATCACACCTTTCTTGTTGACCCAGCAGTTTCAACCCCACGGGATCCCCCTAAATCGACCTCCCATGCATCACGTAAGCATTGCGACTCCCGGAAAAGCCGGCGATGTGCTTCCCCCACGAGGCTGTGAATCAGGCGAGCCAAATCGAAGCTGCTTTCTCATCACAAGCGCCTTACAATCGTCATGAGACAGTTCGAGCCGACCCGTATGGTTAGAATCGTGTCCACCATGTCAGGGCATGCGACAAGCTTTTCGCGGGCCTAACTTGGCCTTGGTCGCATCGTTGCAAAGAATCTTGGTCTGAACTTCTTTTCAGGGACCAAGCAAATCACGCTTTCGGGTGTCACTGACCATGTGGTCGTCTCTGGGTTCTTAGCAACACAGCGTGCGGGCTCAGAGTTGATCGCCTATTGCTTTGAAGATGGTATGCTGTGGTCTGGAGAGCCGTCGAGAACACGACCTGGTAAGAGGAGATCCAGCCTTACCATACACGGAACCTTCGATAATCACACGCAGCATACGACGGCTGTGTCATTCCTTTATGTTCAGGGATCATTGCAACACTTTACCTGGTCGATGCTCTCTGGAGCAAGGCATCATACGACTGTCTTGGTGCTTCTCTTCTACAAATGGCGCAAATAGGCTCACTAATCACCTGCCAGGCCACGGCCAAAGGCCATCAATGCTGCCTCGTGAAGCTTGTTCATCAATAAGCCTCGTGTTCTGAACCTCTTTCATGCGCTTCTATATGCGGCTATAGCCCTACCATACGACATCATCGTGCAGGAAAGCAGTCCAGAGTGAAGTCTTATCTCGGCTTCAGCAAGTGATATTGGATGTGTCACATGCTTTCGAGATTCCAAAAAGCTTTTTCCACCGGATATGCTTGATACTGACAGGACATGGTATATGAAGAACATTACCGAGCCTGCAGTCCTATTTTCATTTTCCCCCCCATCTCTGGACTCCTTCAGGAGTATTGACGGCGGAATCACCAATATTTTGTTAAACAGATCGACTCGTTGAGCAGTTGTTTGCAATAGGTCCATCATGGATGTGGATCTTGAGAAAAAGAACGAGAACCCTCCCACCGGGGGCGTTCTTGACTCCGACTATGGTCAACTTACGGCAAGCAGACAGACCAGGTTCCAACGAGTTGTGCATAGCTTCCGACAAAATCATGAAGCTCGCGTTTCTGAAGTCCTGTTGGATGAAAGTGGAAAGCCTCTTCCGCATCAACCACCAGCACAGCCCGCTCTAGCCCATAAGTTGAAAGAGCGACATATGCAGATGATTGCCATTGGAGGTTCCATCGGTGTGTTCCAGCATTCTTTACTATGTGTATGACCATCACTGACCTCCATTGAGGTACTGGTTTGTTCGTTGGTTCTGGCTCTGCTCTCGCTACTGGTGGACCAGCTGCACTTGTGATTGCATACTCTATTCTCGGTATCATGATCTTTTGTACAGTCCATGCCCTTGGAGAGCTTGCTGTCATGTTTCCCGTGGCTGGATCATTCGCAGCATACGGCAGTCGGTTCATTGATCCTGCATGGGGTGCAGCAATGGGTTGGAAGTCAGTATATTCCCTAAAGTGCAGATTGGTGTAGCAGCTCGCGACATATCCACTCGCACGAGCAGAAGGACGATCATTCTGACCTTCTGGCAGTTACGCCATGCAATGGCTAGTGACTTTCCCAATTGAAATGATGGCGGCAAGCATCACTGTCAACTACTGGCATCACGCTCGCGACGTCAACCCAAGTGTCTGGGTGACGATTTTCCTTATCTCGACCATCACCATCAACTTCTTCGGCGTACGAGGGTACGGCGAGGCTGAGTTTGTCTTTTCGATTGTGAAAGTGATTGCGACTCTTGGGTTCATCATCTTTGCTCTCATCATCGACGTCGGTGGCGGACCTAATGGCCACTACTATGGTGCCAAGACCTGGGACAATCCTGGATCGTTTGCAAACGGCTTCAAGGGAGTATGCTCGGTGTTTGTGGTGGCGGCGTTTTCATTTGGCGGTACCGAACTGGTCGGTCTTGCAGCTGCAGAAGCCAAGAACCCACGGAAGTCTCTCCCTACCGCTATCAAACAAGTCTTCTGGCGTGTTCTGTTGGTACGTTGACCATGTCGAGACTGAGGCTATCTTGTTGCTATGGCTTGCTAATCTGCGTGCGTCCAGTTCTACATTATCTCGTTGACTCTTGTGGGATGTCTCGTGCGATATGACGACGAACACCTCCTCAACAGTGGTGGAGGCTATGATTACTGGACGTCGCCTTTCGTTTTGGCCATCAAGAACGCTGGTGTTGACGGCCTCCCATCCGTCTTCAACGCGGTGATTTTGATTGCAGTCTTGAGTGTGGGCAATGCATCCGTGTATGGTTCTTCGCGTACCCTCGCAGCCCTTGCGGATCAGGGCCAGGCGCCTAAGATCCTCGGTTACATCGACAATGCGGGACGACCGCTCGTGTCCATCATCCTTGCGTCTTTACTTGGTTGCCTTTGCTACATAGTCAACCTGAACGCATCAAAGAGACAAGAGGCATGGAACTGGATGTTTGCCGTCTCTGGTCTTGCATCCATCTTCACTTGGGGCTCTATCTGTCTCTGCCACATTCGATTCCGGGCGGCTTGGAAACTCAAGGGCCATACCTTGGATGAATTGCCTTTCAAATCTCAAGCTGGCGTGCTTGGGTCTTGGATCGGCCTCGCTCAACATTCTCATTCTCAGTAAGTCAGAGTTGTGACAGGCGATATCAACCACGGACTAATTCGATGGCTCTAGTCGCACAATTTTGGACCGGATTTGCCCCCGTTGGTTACAGCGAAATGAGTGGTTCCGAAAGAACCAAGAACTTTTTCGAATGCTACCTCGCTGCCCCAGTTGTGATTGTCTTCTACCTGTTTTTCAAATTCTGGAAGAAGTGGAAGTTCCATCGTCTCGAAGACATTGATATTGTCAGTGGTAAACGTGAGTTTGATATCCAGCAGATCATAGATGAGGAACGAGCAACACGGGCTGCATGGCCTTGGTGGAGGAAAGTGGCCAACTTCTTCTGCTGAAGATAGAGACGAGTCCGTTGGGGGAAAGTGTGCTTGAGAAAGGCATATCCCTGGCCGAGGGTTGACCATGACATGATATATGATGGATGGGTTGAACATGGATTCAATACACCTCTGGATGATGAAATTTGAATGATAATTAGGATATCTCAATTATGATACAGTTGATATGATAGTCAGGTACTAGCACTCCCTCTTCCAGGCAGAGGTCTCATTTCGAAAGTCTGAGCATCTCCAGTCTCAACACTATCATCATCCTTTGCAGCATCAGCATCAGCATCAGCATCAGTTTGATCCTGATTCTGATTCTGACTTTTGCTCTTCTTCCCCCTCCTCCTCCACCATCTATCCTTCTTATCCTTCGTCCTTCTCATCTGAACATTATCATCCCTCCTCCTCACCGCACAACAACCAATCGTCCCAACAAGGCTACACAAAGCCCAAACAACCAAATTAAAATACACAAATACCGTTGCAACCCTCATCCTGGTACGTGTCGAACCACGGAGATAAGCAGTACTCATGACAATGGCCGCAGTACCCCATAAGAAAACGAGGACCCATTGCCATAAAAACACCAGGACTAACCAGAGTCGCGTGGCGACGGAATGGAAGATTTCTGTCATCAGTGATAGTGATGTTATGATGCTGAGTGTAGAGACGGTCATGGTGAAGGCCTGGGAGGAGAGGTGGAGTGAATTAGTGACTTGATGAGACAAAGAGAGGGGGAGGAGGTGGTGGTGGTAGGAAGACATGAGATGTAGATGTCCGTCCGTTCGACGACTTAGTCCTTGACGATCGTTGATTAATTCTTACCTTTCGCGGCGTATCATCCTTGAAATCTGAGATATCAGAGCCACATAACGATAGAGTCGTGATGCCTGCCATCATCTGTAACGCATTGATACAAATATAAAATGCTCGACTTGAGGGTAGTCGTGACCAGAATGTTGATGAGCGCGTCGCTGCCATTTTTGGATATATATATATGTTATAATAATCGCTGGAAATTGCGATCGTCGATTGATGTTTAGCTGAAATGGTGATTTGAGGGAGAGGGAAAAGTCGCTAGTTTTCTTTCCTCGCTGGCTGGCTGATTGACTCTTCCTTCTTATGCGCTCGCACCGCCCGCACCGCGCCCCGTCAGGGGTTGGGTTGGTTGGAAGTCTTAGTCCTAGGTAGGTCCTGTCAGAGTCCGGGGCCTTGAGGCCATGGATTTGATGACGACGATGATGATGATGACAATGGAATTGATGGAGATTAATGGGTGATGAGTGAATGAGTTATGAGGTCAAAGTGATGTTTGGAAGGGGATGGGTTGCGTGTCGAACAAAGATGGGATGGTAATAAGCTTTTAGTTGGAGGAAGGCTGACCAGAACCCTCGACCATACCAACAATCCTAAAGAGACCTAAAAGCTGTCATAAGTAGCCCCTCGGCCTTGTAGTATGCCTACAATCTTCCATCTAAGCTTCTCGGCGACTTTATCAGATTATAAGGACTTCCAGGCCAGCTCGAATGCCCAGCGTGGCGGTGCTGAACATCTCGACCTATCAACTCTGCTGACGCGATGCGGGATCCAAACTGAATACGTACCTCATGCACTATTGGAATTGGCATCGTCACGAGTGTTCAATTCAGTATCATTTCAACATTTACTGCTCCCGCTTATTCGCCTTCTCGACCAGGTCATCTCGTGAGAACAAGAAATCTATATACCTGCTCGTGTAACACCGTCCCAATATCGACTGCGACCAAATCAATGCACTGGCATGACCACATCAAAAGCTCCTGTGCCCACATTACCTCTCCGACCAGCCACGATCCTAGCACTGGGACCGAGCAGCGGATCGCTCTCTCCATACAAGACCGCATCTCGAAGGAAACCCATGACGGTTTCGAAACTCATCTTAGCCAACACACTACCACCTTCACGGACCAGACCATGACGGCTGAAAGCCATGTACGAACCAGACTGTGTCATTGCATCTGCAATCAGGTTCAAATGTCTTGGATCGACTGAAATACCGTGACCTTTGAAGACGCCGTCGATTTCCTTGATGATGGTCATGCGAGCCGCTTCCACTCCGTACAATTTGAGCATGTCGTGTACTGAATTCGTGTACATGCTGTGAGGGTTGATGATGTGTTGATAATCGCGCATGGCTAGAAGGTTGACGCCTTCGGTCGTCACCACTGCTTCTTTGACTTGCTCTTCTTGTCCTGTCTCCTTGTTGATCGCCTTGACCGGTTTGCCGTCGGGTCCATGCACTTCTTCCATGAATTGAGTGCATACTCCTAATCCAGGGATGTTCTGGATCAGTGACGAATGCACGCACTTCTCCAGAATCGGAAGGAGAAGGAGTTTTGGAGTGCTTGAGTCATAGCTGAGAATGATTCGACATGCGCTGCCCTTGTACTTGCTGAAGACGAATCGTTTGAGGTGTGGGTTCTCTTGCTTGAGACGCGTTTCCTCAGCCTCGGCTTCGGAATCTGGGTCATTCGAAGCTTCTCCTGAATCGTCAGGGTCTTGCTCTCGTAATGTTTGTGGTTGTTTCAAAGTGCGTTTCGATTTCTTGACTTTGGATCCGGACGCGCCTTCTCCATCGTCGTCGTCGTCGCTGCCCGTGGAATCGTCGCCAGACTCGTTTGCAACTTCATTCTCGTCGTCATCCGGTTCGTCAAAGGTGTCTTCGCGGCGCCGTCGAGCCGCCGTGTCTTTGGCGTCGTCCGGATCAGCGTCTTCATCAATGTCGTCCTCTCCACCTTCACGTTCTGTGGGTCGAAGCGGTTGAGCTCGAGCTTCCTCGATCACTCCTACCGAGGCCCCGACTTCGGGTACCGCCGCAGTCACTTCCGAGAGTGATGATTCTTTCAGTTTCTTTTTGATTTCGTCCTTGATCTTCTTGTCGAGCATGGGCAACAATCTCCGTTCCAAGCATCGTTTGACATCGCCACGCTTAATGGCATACTCCTCCTCGTACTCCTCCGGATCGTATAATTGAATGAAGATGTCGTACAGCTTTTCATTGGCATTCTTGCCGTCCGCGGCTCGTTCTCGGACACTGAGTTGGTCGATCACTTGCGCCAGAGACAATCGACTGATACTCTTGGCGAACCGTTCTCCATCAGCAGTGTCGAGCTCTTCGATGGGCTTCAGTGACATGGTTGGTGTCATGATGTTGGCACTGGCAGTCATAACAATCTCGCGAAGGCGAGGAATACCCAGAGTAACGTTTTTGGCCGAATGGCCGGCCAAATGGAACGTGTTGAGTGTCATTTGTGTAGATGGTTCTCCGACAGACTGAGCAGCAACCACTCCCACTGCTTCACCTGCATCAACGACCGATCTCATGTACTTGAGATCCATGACGGATTGGAAAGTCTTCTTGCTGACAATGCCTCCGGGATTTGTTTTCTTCTCCCGGATCAGCTTATCGGGGTTCTCTTTCATGTAGTTGATCAAGGACGCCCCGAAAGACTCTGATGTACTTCCAAAATGGCTGGTAGGTGTGAATGCTGCAGTCAACGGGTCTACAGCCTTACCACGCTTGACTGCCTTCAAGATAGCCTTCTGTTCATCGCCCAAGCCATCATTCTTAATCCGGCTCAGAACCTCTTCTGCGTTCATCGAAGTGGCGACGGATTGATGATTTTCGGCTAGGAACGAGAACTCTTTCAGATGTTTCTGCTTGGTCACTTCCAGACCATCCTCGCCGTACAAGAATTGAATGAGATTGCCGTTGGAACTCTCGCGCACCGAAGTGTCATATTCGGTCCGGAGCCCTTCCAAACCCTTGACAATGCAGCGTTGGAGATAGCCTGATTTGGACGTCTTCACAGCCGTGTCGATCAAACCTTCCCGCCCAGACATGGCGTGGAAGAAGTATTCTTGGGGTTTGATGCCCGTCAAGAAACGGCCAGAAACGTACCCACCAGCCACAGGGTGGGTTTCGAATGCACGAAACGAGGGCAGAGTCTTGCCGCTGACCATCGTCGGCACACGTCTCCCTTCAAGAACCTGTTGACCCAAATTGCAGGAAATCAAGTTGGCATTGACACTGGATCCTTTTGCACCTGACAGCGTCATGGCCTGCATTTGATTCCGAGGAAAGGCTTTTCGAAGTCCTCCAGGAAGACAAAATTTGGAAACAGCGTCGGTGATGGACTTGACTTTGGATTTGTACAACTGATCCAGTCCGTTCAGTTGATCATCGTTTCTGAGCACATTCTCCAGTCGCGCCAGTAATTCGGGGTTCTCTTGGTGGGCTAGATCCCATTTCAAGGTGACATATTCTGCAGACACCTCGAGACCCATCTTGGAAGCTTTATCGAGCTCTTTCCGCCGATTTTGGTCTCCTTCTGGCGTCAAATACAGATCATCCATACCACAAGACCACGCACGCTCATTGAGATATCTGGTCAGTAATCGTCCCAGGATACTCAACAGCTTGCCAGCAATGATGTGTCCATAGATCTCGTAGATTGAATGGATGAGACCACCGGCGCTAGGTCCAAGCTGGCTTTTGTCAAGAATACCGCACAAAAGCTCTCCGTCTCTGAAAATGACACTTTGCTCCGTGTCGCGGAATACGGTGCCGGTGCTCGTGACAGCCCATTTGCTTTCGTCTTTCGAGGTCGATTCACCCCATTGTTCGGAAGACGTGGAGGATCTGCTCGTAAGGTTGAGCCCCTGATATCCGTCCGGTGTAATGTTTTTCAGCACCGTAGTAATGACTTGTTTACCTGTCCATAGCATCTTCGGTTTCAGAACTGCAGGCTCCACCATGTGGATCTTCTCAAAGACAGTGTTGTGATCTTCTGGACGAAGGCAACTATATAATAGTTGCTGGTATTGATCGCGGTCGAAGAACGTATCCCTGCCGGTGAATTGGACACCCATGGAGATATGATCCTGAATCAAACCTCTCAGTGGCTTACCTGCCGTTGCAGAAAGGTATTGGTGATCAGTGTCGGCAATTTGAAGGGCCTCGGTACGTGCGAGTTCATTCTGAGGGAAATGCATGTTCATCTCATCGCCATCAAAGTCAGCGTTGTACGTATTGCAGTTGGCATAGTGCATGCGTATGGTCTTCTGGTTGGTCAAGACGCGTGCTCGATGTCCCATCATGGACGGCTTGTGTAGCGTGGGCTGTCGATTCATGATAACGACATCTCCGGTCTGAAGGTGACGGTAGACCTTTTTCCCATTGTCGCCCTTTGAACCTGAGATTGTGGATGTCAATAGCTGTTTGGCTAGTGCTTTGCGCTGGTCCAGGGTTTTACGCTTCAGACTCAGAACCATCCCATTTTCATTCTCGATCGCCGCTGCACCCGGGTATTTGTCCATCCCATTGATCACAGCCCTACTCAGCTCTTCGAAATTGTGGCTGGTGACGGGCTCTGGATACGTCAATTTCTTAGCAAATACCAGTGGCACTCCGATTTCGTTGGTCTCGATATTTGGGTCTGGCGAAATGACACTGCGTGCTGCAAAGTTGACTCGCTTGCCCATCATATGCATTCTGAAGAGACCTTCCTTCTTTTCCAGTACTTGTTTAATTCCCTGGTCTGCAGGTTTGCCCGACGTAGGTGGCGGCGAATCGATCAATCCGTTGAGGGCTTCTTGCAATACGATCGAGGCCTGGATGCTCTCGTTCAAGCTTCGTGGTCGTACTGAGGGATCCGTCTTTGCTCTCTTCATGTCTCGCAGTATCTGCCGCATATCATTGGCAGCGACTATGATTTTGTTGAGCACCGTATTGGCTTGAGCCTCAAGCATCGCATTTGGGCCTTGACGTGCCAGCGGCCTGAAGCGATTCGGGGGCACTAGCACCGCAGTGCAAAAGAACATGTCTGGTGAAACTGGAGCATACTTGCCACCAGGGTGAGAGGTGTACATCAGGTTAAGGAGCTCTTGCTCGCGGTCGAATAGGAGCGTTAGAGCCGCAAGAACTTCGCTAGGCGTCATGTACGCTTGCACGTCATCTGTATCTTCCACTTCGGCATTTTTAGAGTTAGCCATTGTCTCGAGGGCGTTTAATGTGGCAATCTCCTCCTCCGCTCCATGTGTCTCAGTCTGTTGCTCGTCTGCGTCCACCATGTCGACATCCTCGTCGTGGATGCCATTTGACAGAGGCTTCTTGGCCGTGGATTTTTGTTGTTTCTCGGATTGTAGGAAAATAAGCGGATTGGGCGCCTGCATACCCATCACACGCATGGTCTCCTTCTGCATCTTTGCAAGTGGCCGCCTGAAGATTTTGACCGCCCGATCCCTTCTGTAGGTGATACTAGCACCTCCACAGTTGGCGCATTTATTGAGAAGTGGAACTTCTTTCAAAACGTCGGCTATGACAGCCTTTCGAGCAGTTATGGCGACTGGGTTACGTATGAGGGCCTGAGGGTCAATGAGACGCTTCTTTTCTGCTCGTCTGATGGCTTTGTTCGTGGCTCTCGTTCTTCGGTCGATCAGGTCGTCAATGTCTTCTTCCTCTTCTTCAACCTCGGCCACATCCTGCACAATATCGGTCTTTGATTGTTTTGAGCGTCGTCCTCCAAGCTGCATAGTCTTGATGACCTGATACTCTTCGACGAGTCCATACTGAAGGAGACGGAGGGAGCAGATGGTCTGGTTGATGAAGTTTGGAGCCGCTTTGAAGCGATGGCAGTAGGCGCATTTGGCTCGGAGAAGGCGCAATGCAGAGTCAATATACTGATGGTGGTAACAGGGAACAGGTAGCTCGATGTGACCGCAGTGTCCGGTGCAGTGGATTGAATTCAACCGACATGTAGTACAGCTGTCTGAAGTTAGTCGCAGAAATGGCGATCTCGCCGAAGGCACACATACTTGGCATCTAGAGCGGCAATGGCTCCCAGAGCCGGGTCATGAAGACCGCCGGGTACAGGCTCGAAGAGAGAGTCTAGTGCTGGACTCTGATGAATTTGCTTGACCGAGATGCGACGAATCTCGTGAGATTGTAGTCGGGAAAAGGACAAGCCGCCCGTGGCAGAAGCGACTGGTTTTGTGTATCCCGCCATTGTAAATCCAGCCCATTAGCCAGCCAGATTGACAGATGGGATCAGGGGCGCAATGAGCAGTCACCCGTGGTGCTTCTTGTCCTTGTGGTGTTTTGAAGTAATTGTCGTCAAAGGTCCGTCGGCCTTGCGGGGAACTTTTTCGACAACTTTTTTTTTGGAGTCAGTGAAAGGGTCGGTAAAGGGCGAAACATTTCTCCGTAAACTGCGCTGGTGCTTCGGTAGTGGCACCTGTGCACTGCCGTGGGAATAAATTACGGTGGAGCATTTACAAGCCTTGTATTGTACGAATACATTGTACAAGAGCACAACCTCGGCCGCTGGGTATAGATATAGAGAGGAAGTCCTCCCTCTCTCCAACGAGAAAGAGTCAATAATTTTATTCAAACCTCTTTATTGATAAACCACCAACCTCTTCCTGCATTTATAGAATCAGTCATGAAGTTGCCATATATCCAGGAGCCTCCGATCGGCTTGAGCGCCAAAGACCAGGCCATCTACGAGAGAATCCAGGCACGTCGTGGCGGGACCTTACTTCCCTTGGACAAAGCCTTGTTCCATTCACCTGAATTCGCCGACGGTGAGTCACACATAGGGGAAAATATTGGCCACTGACGATACATTTCCTCCCACTAGGATGGAACTCGATGCTTGGGGCTGTGAGAACTAGAGGTGTTCTCTCCACTGACATAAGAGAGATCTGTATATGTCGGCCTGCACTCCATAACCGTGCTTGGTTTGAATGGAAGCATCATGCCCCGCTCCTCGCCGAGGCTGAAGGCTTCACTTCAGACATGATGCAGGTCGTGTCTACACCGAATCCGAAGAGCCAAGGGCCTTTGAACGATAAACAGTGGGCTGTTCTACGTTACAGCGATGCAATGACAACATCGGTCGATGTACCCCAGGATATCTTTGGCGCTCTCGCCAAAGCTGGTTTTAACAACCAGGAAATTGTGGAGATCACAATCACATGTGCCGCTTACAACATGGTCAGCAGATTTCTGGTGGCGTTAGACGTGGGCGAAATGAATGGCCATCCGCCTCAGTCTGTATCCCCTGCAGATGATGGCAAGTCTACATGATTCTCTGCCGTGGTTATAGTGACTTAGGTACTTGAGACTAAGAGGTGGCTTCGAGCGGTGTCGAGTGCATGGCTTCATCGACAAAGCTGCCTTTATGGTAAGCAGCATACCCCGGCACCTATCCTTGAGAAAGGCGTCATTTCTCCTTTAGGCCAATAAAATGTTGTCAGAATCATCGTGTCTCATCTCCATCCCAGATGGTCGCCTCGCATATGCCGCACATCTCCGTAAAAGCATCGTAAGTCAGGTATTTGTCCACAACATCTAAGACCATTGAAGCAGAGCATCGATATCTATTCTCATGAGACAGAATGATATCGTGTCGGTGTACTAACTCGGTTTTTAATTTTTGACCATGGCTGCCACACAAAAGGAATTCAGCGACTCGCCTGCTAGACCTCCAGTTGGGACTTCCCCATCCTCGCGAACAGCCTCGCCATGGTACAGTGTTGGCCCTGGTATCTGGGAGCTGTTGCTCAACGGAGATGCCAGCACGCATGAGAAATCAGTACTGCAGTGGTACGAACCCAATTCACTCTCAGCAAACGACCAAATTATCACGCACACATATATCGAGGAAGTCATTTTGGTGGAAGGGGAGTTGGAGGACCTCACGCTCGGCATGGCATGGTCCAGTGGTGCCTATGCCTATCGAAATCCAGGCATGAAACATGGACCGTACAAGGCTTCGAAGCAGGGGTGTTTAATGTTCGTCAGAACATCGTCTCCTGCATAATCTGGACAGCCATCGCGATAACCGATAGTCTGCTCTGGGAAAGAAGGCCGGAACTTGAATGAAGTCGATGGGATGGTCTTCGTACTTAGTATTAAATTGTGGGATGCAACAGCGCCTGAGTCTAGGAGAACCTGGACATTGCCGGGCTCCCAGTGACTTCAGTAGAGTAACCTACAGTGCCTGTAATTCATACCAAAAAGCATTCCACTTCTAGGCTCCGGATAGGCATCTGGAAACTTGCTACGGGCGGGACGCTCCCAGAGCACAACCACTACCACTAGTACCCTCCAAGCGACCTGAACATAATATCGGCGAGTTATTGCTAATGGCCCATAATGGTGTCAATGGATTACAAACTGAATTACAGCACTCCGTCAACATCTCTCCGAACCCCATCTGCAAGCATGCGACTTCACTCTCACTCATAACTTTTTGGTGGCACTGGTTGAGACCACATCACATAGTAGAGACGTAGTGACATCAAGGTGATGCTAAAGCGGCAACGCCCTACGTCAAACATAATCTTGGCACGAAGACTTTCATCCTGCGATTCTGATGTCTTCCTTCCGCTGCCACCAACCTAAGATAATCACTGTCAGGCAATCGGCAATCCAACTCAACCTCCATCAGAGTTGATCCTTTGCTTCAAAAGAGGTCGAATTCTGCACTACTTGCCCATGTGCTCTTGACAAGATTTGGGGGGACACATCGGGACGAGACCGGTCGGGCTCTACATTTGCAGTTTCTTATCTCTTAAGATCAAGTGGCTAACGCTTTCTACCGACGAAAAGGCTAGGTTGAAGTCCCGGCCTCCATCATCACACACTCTCTACTTGATCATGACGTCGAGATCTTCCAGCGAGTCCGAGGGCGAAGTCCTCAGCTCGGACACCGATTCCAAGGCAAAGACCATACCATCTTCCCGTCATTACACCAAGGTTGACCGTAATGCCAGAACACATCATTCATCTAGATCACATCGAGATCGACACCGGGACCGATCGCGCTCCAGGTCTCCTTACCGTGCTCCGAGAGGCGAAAAGCGGCCTAGAGAATCCGAGCATGGCAGAGGTCGGTCAATAAATGAGTCACGCACTTTCCCTGTAAGATACGAAGATGGCGGCTACAACTCTCGACGCCGCGATTCCTACGACGATCGAAGCACCAAACGCTCGCGCACATATTCCCGAAGTCCAAGCAGATCTCCCTACCGAACCCCCACACGCAGAGACGAACGGGACAATCATTCCAGAGATTCACATGTCGGTGATAAAAGAAGCGATCTCGCAGTGGAGAATAAGTCTTCTAACATGAGCCGACTGGGCCATTCCCGCGATGTAAAGCGCGCTCACATACCTGATAGATCTACATCTGCAGTTTCTGAACAGGAAGGACGAAGCGGTGATTCGAATAGCGCTGATGATTCTTCGAGGCACCCCGCAACATCAACTGACGGAGATTTGAATGATTCCGTAGAGCCTGTGGACGAAGCAACTCTGATCGAACAACGTCGCAAACGCAGAGAGGCCATCAAGAACAAGTACCGTGGTCAAGCTCCCCCACTATTGGTTCGAGCACTCAATCTTGCAGCTGATTCCGCGCCTGTTAGCCCTGGACCGGACAGTCTCGCCTCAACCCCACGCAGATCTGGTGAGTCTCTCTACCGTCACAGTCACGAAGCGGGAGCTAACCTGGACAGAATCTCCTAACGTATCCTCGCCTCGCACGCCAAGAGACAACTCTGCTCCCCAGTCTCCCGCCAATGTCGAGTTTGAGACTGATGCAGATTTAACTAATGCCGATAGGGGATCTCCGAACACCGATGGTCCTTCCGCCGCCGACTATGATCCAACTGTTGACATGGAGGAAGAACGAGCGCGACATGACAAGCAATTGTTCAGAGAGGATGACCAAGCTCTCGAGCAAGCTGACCAACAGGCAATCAAGGCTCAGCACCAGAACTCTGATCCATCTCCTAAAGCAGATGGTGAATACGATATGTTTGCCGACGAGGACGATGATATGTTCTCGGACGCTCCAGTCAAACCGAAGCCCGAAGTCCAAGCCGCCCAAACTCTCAAGGCAGATCTCATGGACAATTGGGATGATGCCCAGGGCTATTACATCACAATTCTTGGTGAGCTACTCGCACAGCGTTATCATGTGACGCAGACTTTAGGCAGAGGAATGTTCTCCTCAGTTGTGCGTGCGACCGATACACAAACGAATCAGCCTGTTGCCATCAAAATTGTGCGCAATAATGAGAGTATGCGCAAAGCAGGTATCAAGGAGATCGACATTCTCAAGGACATTGGTGCGAATGACCCAGAGGATAAAAAACATGTCATCAAGTTACATGGGTCATTCGACCACAAGGGCCATCTCTGCATGGTATTTGAGAACCTCTCTCTCAATCTTCGAGAATTACTCAAGAAATTCGGGCGAGATGTGGGCATTAACCTAAAAGCGATTCGTGCCTACTCACAACAGTTATTTCTTGGCTTAAGCCTACTGAAGAAATGCCAGTACATCCACGCAGATCTCAAACCAGACAACATTCTAGTCAACGAAGCCCGAAGCACTCTCAAGATTTGCGATCTCGGATCCGCCTCACCAATCCGAGAAAACGCCACAGCACCATACCTCGTTTCACGCTTCTATCGCGCCCCCGAGATCATCCTCGGCATCCCTTACGACTATGGAATCGACGTGTGGTCCGTCGGATGCACTTTATTTGAACTCTACACCGGCAAGATCCTATTCACCGGCCACAACAACAATGGTATGTTACGCGCCATCATGGAATGTCGAGGCAAGTTCTCGCACAAACTGCTTCGAAAAGGTGCCATGACATATGATCATTTTGACGACATGCTCAATTTCCGAGCCGACGAGTTCGACAAGGTGACAGGTCGTACGGTGACGAAGATTATCGACATCAAGGCTAAGCCGGTTAAGGACCTCAAGTCTCGATTGATGCCCAAGGATAAAAAGATGGGTGAACAGGAGAGGAAAGAGTTGGAGCTGTTTGTCGACTTGCTTGATAAATGTCTGGATTTGAGACCGGATAAGCGCATTACACCAAATGACGCTTTGAAACATCCCTTTATCTTGAGGACGAAGGTCTAGATAAAGCAAGGTAATAGATTGGTAGATTGGAGCGGTTTGTTATCATCATCGTAGATGGGTAGATGATGTCTGAAGCCATGGAAAGAAAGATTCTACAGAACTAAATACATGGTACATTATGAAATAATACATTTCCTGGTCTCAAGACCCGACTTCTTGGGGAGGTTTGGCTCCTTGGGGTTGGAAATTCCACAGTGTTTCTTCTACGGTGGATTTTATATAGGTTTTTAACATTGCACGTGTAGTGGTTTCTAAGGTAGTCAAGCATCCATAGCATGTCCATTGTGTCACGTGCGTCAGAACCACCCTGGCTTTCCTGAACTCCGAGCAGGTCTGCTGCTCATTCCATTGCTTTTGATATTATTAATACTACTATACCCAGTTTAGCGGCTAGATTCACCGCTACGATTATAAAGTACTGTACAAAGAGGTAGTGTATTGCGTACAAGAGCAAGAATGTGGGTTTTGAGGGCGGGCCATCCTCATTCAGATCGGCACTCGCCAAAGGACAGTAAGTAGCGTAGGCCTCATCAGGGATGGCTTGTTTTGAATGTGTTTGAAATGATCGTGTCGAGCGATTTACTCTAGCTCGTTGTTGGTAGAAGCAGGCGGTCAGGTGATTAGCGACGAGCGAATTTCGGACTTGGGATGTGGTTTTCCGGTCCTTTGCCGTCGTCTCACACACACGTGATTGCAATTCAGAATGGCGACAATATGGCTGGGTGGCTGGCACGACACGTGATAACTCCGTTGCCAAGCAGAGCAACTTCTCGCTTGAACGGACGAGCCCCAATGAGGATTAGCCGGTTACGTCCAGGTGTGCCGGTTTTTCCGTTCCGCAGAAAGCACCCAAGCCGCGGATGAGCCAGTAACCGCTGGCCACCAACTCCAAGGCAACCGCATCCACTGCACCTGCCTACATGGGTTCTGCATGTCTGCATGCCCTGCGATTGCCTGGACCGGATGAATGTGGCTCCTTCCATTGCGAGGGACGGGGGTGCATGCTGTGGACTAGGAGATTGTCACAGAGACGAGACAGGTAGCTGAGCCACCCATGCCCACCACACACCATTCACCACACTTTGTGTCCGCTAGCCACACAATTCCCCAGAATGATTGCGGTCGTTGGGGCTGAGAACAGACATGTGGACTTTTAGGTCTAGTAGTGTTTTTGCGCACTCATCAGTCGACGTCCATGCCGCCGCCATTGGCTACGGCAACAGGACGTGGACTGTGTAGTCGGTTGTAGTCAGCCCAGTTCTCCATGTGAGATCTCTCGGACGATGGAGGTTGGACGGCTTCAGGTCCTGGAGTTCGTTCTGCTTTGAGAACCTGCTCGCCTTCAAATTTCATAGGATAGGACCTCAAGTTTTGAATGCACGTGTCCCATGTTCTTCCCACGAGTTTGCCTTCGAGCAAATCCTCACTGAATAGATAGTAGCCCTCCTGGCAACTGACCAAGTAAGCATTGAGGCCGGAGCTCTTTAAAATAATCTGAGCGCCGTGAATGTATCTGGAGTAATGGTTTTCCAGATATTTGGCCCAACCTCTGGCGGCGGCTTGAATCGGTTCGTCCTCCGAGGAAATCTTGGTCCAACCGATACCTAAAGCAAGAGTGGCCTCGTCACATTCAGGTCGGTCCACTGCAGTCTTGGGTGGGCTGGCAGGTGCCGAACCCCCAGTGAGATCGGCAGGAATGCGAATGGAGTTCTGGGAGAGACGAACTGATTTGCGACTGGTAGGTAGCTTTGGTCGAAAGTTGGCAGCGGCGATTTCGTCCTTCAAGATCTGTTCATCTGCTTTCTGTTCGTACCAAGTACCAGTCTGGCTCTCGGCAGAAACTCCCATTCCTGTCTTGGGGTTAAGAAGAACCATACCCTCGCCATAAATGGGTTCTTCTTCGGGGATTGGAGCTGGAGCATCGGCGGATGTGAAGTATGAACCATCAGTGTCAAAGTCAAATGATGTGTCGTCGCGTGACCTCTTCTTGGAGGGATTTGTAGAGATGGGTGTCATAGAGTCTACTGGTGTCCATGTGGTGGAATGATGAGGGTATGAGGTGGGTGAGGGCTCATCTTGGTCCATGGGTTTTGGGGTGTCAGTGGGGGTGGGAAGTTGAGCCTGCTCCGACGTCGCGAATGACATATTGTCGAGAGGGTAGAGAATCTTGGTGGTCTCGAGAACCCACATGCGGTCCAGATTGAGACAAGAGGTCTTGTTGTTCAGGAAGACGGCCCACAGCACGGTGGTGATGAGGTAGAACCAATGGCAAGGAAAGACACCACCGACCAAGGTTGATCCCAGAGAAGGGATATAGTAGACAATGGTGAAATGGTGGTATGTATGTGGCAGTGAGGTGAGAGGGTGCCAGAGGTATAGGTGAGGGAAGGTAGTGGGAAAGACCTGGGGAGTTACAAGGTACAAATAGGGCAGTCAATTAGATGAGATGGATGGAAGAAGTCAAAGAGGTACAAGGTAAGAAGGATCCATAATATTACAACAACGAAGAGAGAGGCACGAGAGGGAGAATCTGGGGATGTTGCGGTCTGAGATGTGCTCTGATGCTTGGATTGTAGTAAAGAATTATTGATTGGATCCAGGGTCTGAGCGCGGGTTCACGGGTCATTGCATAGGATGACCAAAGCGCTCGGGGTTTGATGGGTTTTGGAGAAGCAAGAGTGCAGTGGCCAGAGGCCAGGAAAGGCAAGACAAGGCAAACCGTCAACTTACGAGCCGACGCCGACGAGCAACCATGATACGGCACTGCTGGGTCGCTCATGCCCGCCTTTCTCAAGTGCAAAGGGCAGAAAGGGCAAAGAAGAGAGGCACAAGGATTGCCAGGAACGAGGAGGCTGATCGGAGGACTGCCATTGGACGGTTGGGTTTGTGGGCACGATGCATGCTCTGCATAAGCAGCAGCCAGACACAAACAGCGAGAGGGCCGAGAAGGGCAGGCGAAGGTTACGGAGTCCTTGGGTGAGGATCTGTTGGCACGCATGGACCAATCGAGGCCAGTCAGCCCGTTCAGAAAGACTCGGGCATGTGGGCAGAAGGCGACTGACGAAGGCCCACAGGCCAACAGGCCAACAAGGGACTGGGAGGCAAAATTCCCGGAGATGGGCGAATCAACGGCTGGAGTTCGGAGGCTAAATGATGGAGTAGGAAAAGCTTCGTTGATGATTTTCATCTGTTTGGGAAAGTCCCAGCATGAGTTTTCAGATTCCCGCCTGCACATCTCTCGGGTCAGGCACGTAATGTCACATTAGGGCGACTAGGAAGAAGGCCAGATGCAATGATAATGGACATGATCAATTCTGGCTCGCTACCAAACTGGAAGTGAGCAGCAAGCCATAAGGCACCTATTTGGAAACGAGCACTTGGCATTAGGCATTTTGGCGCCCATTGTGTCATCGTTCAGGCTTGTAAAGTCCTGCCTCTCTGATTTTCTGCCCGCCCAATTCTTCACCATGAGGATCTACAACGGTAGTGTCCATCAGTCACATACCCCTAGGCCGCCACCACAATACTTTCACTCAAAGTACACGGCTTGTTGTCACACGCCTGTTGTCACGCCCAGCTAGTCTCCAGCAGTGAGGCTAATTTGTGCATTTCAAGTTCAATTATCTACCCTGAATAGGCGCAGAATATGCATCATCTATGAACTTCCGGGCATAATGACGCCATGTTTCCAAATGCAATGCGCCGACATATATATATGTATATATCATACAGGTCAACAAGTTCATGGCACCGCTGCAAGACGGCCAACAACCTCTGCGATACGCGGAATGCCCCAACCGCCCTCTATTTGTTAATCATCAAATTCACGCTGCAGCGCTTGCAACGTCTTTTCTCTCTCATCAGGTATAGCTGTTCATGTGCCTTGGAAGAGAACCACCAGCTATCTCAAGATCCAAGTCCAGTGTTCAAAATGTCCTTCAAGTTCTGCGTTTGATTAGGCGCGTAGGTGGGAGCAAGTCCACCAAGAAGGGTGAAGAGGGTTATCAAGACCAGTCCAAACACGACTGCCTTTCGTAGGGCAGGTCGTTGAACCCCGAATTCGGACCATGATCGTCCAGCCTGGCCGACATACTGCTTGAGCTGATCCGCTCCGAGCTTGTAGTACAGGAGGCCCCCAAGAGCAATAGTGTATCCAAAGTATTGAGTCTTGGTCACAGGACTGCCCCAAATCATGATAGATGCCGCAACGAGAAGAATATCTTTGAGGATACCGCAGAGCGTAAGGACCAGCGACGAGGTTTTCCCGATCTATCATATGTTAGGAACCCAGTCTTTGCTCCGGAAATATCGCTACTTACCAGGAAAACCACGGAGACATTGAGGAGGAACGCGACCATGGCATTCGCAACCAGGATGAACATGCCGACATCATAGATGTTTTGCATAGACATGCTTGGTACTTCGATCACCATGGCGGTCAAGCTGTTCATGATGGCGCACACCGGGGCAAAGTAGTAAAGTGACACAAGTGGATCCATCTTGAATTCTGCAGAGCTGAGCAAACGTTGAACCATAACCAGGCGTGTGGCTTCGAATGAGATACCTCCAGCCTGATAGAGAAAGCCGGTCAAGTTGAATTCGATCTCGCCGTAGGAAGCAATCACGACGCCCACGACGATGAAGGACACATTTCCGAGTGTTTTAAGACTGGGAGGGGCAATTCCGAGCGCCCAGGAGGTCAACAGGACTGCTACTGGCATGGTGGCCTAACTATGGTCAATTCGGAGTGGCTGTCACTTGCGGAAGCATCTTACCTTGAGCATCTGGATGAAAGACACACTCAGGTATAGATAAGCCTGATTGCCACAAATCAAACTCAAGCTGAAAAAGAAACCGATGGGTAGAATAGCGCGAAGGTAAACGCGACCGGTCATTTTAACAGTCTTTCGGCCATCAAGGAGAGTGGTTGTCCTCGCGAGGACCTGTGTCATGAAGGTTGCAAACACCATGTGCCTGTCAAAATCGGTCAGGAGGATTGAACATCTCGATGAGATTAGATTGCATACCATGCGGTCAATGTGATAGGGAAGCCTATAGATGGATAGTCAGCACATAGTCAGCTGCGACTCTCAGGGTGAACATACCAAATCCCAATGTGCTCAGAAGCCATTTGTTGAAGAGAATCACACCTCCACTGAAGCTGATCCAGGTACTGCCTGCGAGTCAGTCGTCAAGGACGGAGAAAATTGTGTGTCTAACATACACGACATAGAAGGCGGGATGAAGAGAAGACGGGGGAGGCGCAGGCTTCTCAGTAGCAGGGTTCGTGGTTGGCAAAAGTGATGGTGCTGGTTCTGCAGCTCTGGGCTGCTCGCCAGAAAGGCGAGCCTTCTTCTCGACGTCGGCCATTGACGCAGAGGATAGTCTGGGGGTGTTGTTGGCAAGAAAGTCCTGAAAGGAGAAGGCCCGTGGCGGCGACCGAGAGAAGGTCTTTGAGTGCAACAGATTGGCGGCTACTCGACGAGCATGCGAAAGCGAGGGTATTGAGTTGGACAAGGTGTTCAGAGCACAATGGATGAGATGACTCTGTCTACTTGCGGGTGATGAAGCGAAGGGAGTAGTGCGAAGTTGCGAAAAAATTAGGACAGGTGGTGAACAGCTGGTGCAAGATCAAGGAACGGTTGACATGCGATAAAGACGGCCAGCCGCATTAAATTCAGTGGGTCTGTTGCACTCTCACAGGAGTTGGTGACGAGTTTGGCAAGTTGGTGGCAGCGTGGCAGTCCAGGCAGTTTAGGGCCAGGAGTCGAGTACGGAGTATACTACTGAAATGGCGCGGCTGGGTGAACGAGAACTGGGGGCAGCGGGGGGCAGAGGGGCGTCACGATAAGCACCAGAGGTCCAAACGCAAACAGGTAATTGTGCTGATTTGCAGTGAAAGGCGCCTTTGAGCCGCTGCGACTGGGCACCTTTTTGGCCACGCAGGCTTGCTGGGATTGACACTTGCAAGTATGGCAGTGCCGCTGCAGGCCCCAACATTTTAGCACACCAGAACCTGTGAATGGCCAATCAAGACTCTGGCAGCAAACGCATGCCCCAGCCTAATGCCCATCAAGTCTGTTAGCCGCAGTCTAAGACTCCATTTCGCCCTCTCAGTGACAAAATCTTTTGCCATCTGCCAGTGGGATTTGAATGCTCGTCCCATCGCTGCCCACTGCTCTAAAACCGATCAACTGTCGACACGCGTCCACCAACCAGGATCAAGCTCACCACGCTGAAACGGTGCTTGAAAAAGGGGGATTATGGACCTGAACGCTTCTCCTGAAACCTCAGTTTTGGTGATTTACATTCAAGTCAAATGAGAGAAACATACCTACTGAGCCACGAGGATCGCACGCAAGACATTCTTGCGACTCTCGAGCCGTTCCAAACCCAAATCGAGCTATTGTCTTGCTGAGATCTAGACTATATATGGCCTCTTCCTCCAGGCCTATTCAGCGCAGCCACACAGGGCTCGCGGAAGCTTAAAACGGGTCTCGAAGCCCGACTCTCCACACCCTTATCCAGTTCTTTGGCCTTACATGCCTTATAACCAAGGAAATACCCGGGTCAAGAACTTATTTCATGGCTGAAAGTAGTGGCCGGCAGACAAGTTTTAGTTTGATGGGCTATCAGCTTTTGATCGATTTTGTGGAACGCAGACATCTAGACATTCTTGATTCGGATATCTGAGATCTGAAAGCTTGGTTGGTTGGAATGTTTCAGACGGAAGTAGAAAATTATGTCCCCTCAGTTGACGGAATCGATAAGGAGTGGTTTTCATTTCCAGGCTTTGGAGAGTGTACCACATGTCTATGTTCTTTAGGGTATGGTGATGGTAGGGTGGACATACACTGTACGTAGAAACCCCTTTCAATATCGACTCTCCTTTTTTGTATGGTTGCACAAGATGTCATCGACAAAGGGGGACAGTACTAAGCGAGACTTGATCAAAGGCCAAAGGCGTAACTGTTATAGTGTGACGTGAACCGTTGGCTGTTGACATGCTTGGAATCGCTGGATCGGATCAGGTCAATAGTGCAAAGTTCGGAACCTCGAGTCGCAACTGGAGGCGTTCACATAGGCTCTATCCGTCGCGGGATAAGTCACTAATTAAATAGTAGCAACACTTTAACCAGGATCTTTGTTCAATACCACACGGCTGATCTGGTGCCTGCCAAGGTAACTCTGATAGGGAAGACTTGCCCCCAACGCGAACGCGGCGCTGTCGTCTAAGAAATTTTGGAAAGCGGGTCTTGGGGCACATCTCCAAACAACTCGACGGGTCACCACCACTGCTACTTAGACTTATCCAACCTTTCTATACAAGAAACGTCTTCCGACCTCTTCTCAGCCTTGCAGTCTTCCAAATTCCACTCGTTCATTTGCTCTCCACATTCACAAGATGCCTGACATGTATACCTCTCCAATTGCGCTCTCTTAACCTGGTTGAGCTCCAACTAACGCTGGAAATAGTTCAGTCGATGTCCTGGTCATTGGCGCAGGGCCAACTGGCCTTGGTGCCGCCAAACGGCTCAACCAGATTGTGCGTCTGCCATTCACAAGCACTATACTCCAGAAAGGGACTGACAATAGCTAGGACACAGCCTCGTGGCTGATCGTTGACTCGAACGAAACTCCTGGTGGTCTGGCCTCGACCGATGTCACCAAGGAGGGCTTTGTACGTTTAACGCCCCCGGACATGTGACAGCAGCTGACGATGTGTCTTTTTCAGCTCTACGACGTCGGTGGCCACGTCATCTTCTCCCACTACAAATATTTCGACGACTGCATCGACGAGGCCCTCCCCAAAGAAGACGATTGGTATACACATCAAAGAATCTCCTATGTCCGGTACAAGGAGCTCTGGGTGCCCTATCCCTTCCAAAACAACATTTCGATCTTGCCCAAGGAAGATCAGGTCAAATGTATCGATGGAATCATAGATGCTGCTCTGGAAGCAAGAGTCGCCAACACAAAGCCCAAAGATTTTGACGAATGGATTGTTCGCAATACCGGCATCGGTGTCGCCGACATCTTTATGCGCCCATACAACTTCAAGGTCTGGGCAGTTCCTACCACCAAGGTAAGTCGAACAGCACCTTTTCCCCACCACCACGTCTAACTAGACACAGATGCAATGTCAATGGCTGGGTGAGCGTGTGGCGGCCCCGGACGCCAAATTGGTCACCAGGAACGTCATTCTCAACAAAGTCGCCGGTAACTGGGGACCAAACGCAACCTTCAGATTCCCCGCTCGCGACGGTACTGGAGGCATTTGGATCGCCGTCGCCAACACTCTCCCCGAGAAGAAGAAGCGCTTTGGAAAGAAAGGCACGGTCAAGAAAGTCGACGCAGACAAGAAAGAAGTCACACTAGAAGATGGCACCACGGTGGGCTATGAGAGACTGGTCAACACCATGGCTGTCGATGCGTTGGTCGAGGCCATGGGAGACGACAAACTCATCAAGTTGTCAAAAGGCCTATTTTACAGCAGCACACATGTCATTGGTGTTGGTATTCGTGGTACTCGTCCTGAGCGTATCGGTGACAAGTGTTGGCTGTATTTCCCAGAAGACAACTGTCCGTTCTACCGAGCAACCATCTTCTCAAATTACTCGCCATACAACCAGCCGCAAAAGGATGTCAAACTCCCGACTTTGCAACTTGCCAACGGATCTCGAAGACAGAGCATGAGCGCCAAGGAAGGTCCCTACTGGTCGATCATGCTTGAAGTGTCGGAGTCGAGCATGAAGCCCGTCAACCGCGAAACACTGCTGAAGGATTGCATCCAGGGCCTTGTCAACACAGACATGCTCAAACCAGAAGATGAGATTGTCTCCACATATCATCGTTGCTTTGACCACGGGTATCCAACACCTACCTTGGAGCGCGAGGGCGTACTGAAGGAGCTTCTCCCTGCTCTTCAAGAGAAGGGCATCTACAGTCGAGGCCGATTTGGTTCGTGGAGATACGAGGTGGGCAACCAAGATCACTCATTCATGCTGGGTGTGGAAGCCGTCGACAACATCTTGAACGGCACAGTCGAGTTGACCTTGAACTATCCCGATTTCGTCAACGGACGGCAAAACACTGAACGAAGACTGGTGGACGGTGCTCAAGCCTTTGGCAAGCGTCCCGCTTAGGGTGTCGTGACCGGCCGAAGGATGACAGGCGGCAAGACGGAGTTGGGCGGTCGAGTTGAGACCTCTGGAAAGGAGTCGTTGAATGCCAGCGGTGGAACTGCGACTGCAGGCAAGGACGGAAATTCGCGAGTCCTCAATCGGAATGGTAGATATATTACTTGCAGCATTGTACAGTCATGATAGACGGGTGTTGAGATCTGGCGCCAAAATACAGTCCACAGACCATTGCATATCTTCTGCACATATGCGTCGAATCATTTGTCTGTGATGGACGAGAAGAAACCTTCTAGCGACGAAAAACGGGTCATCCAAATGTGGGCGGCGATGTTGATGTTTGCGTCGATTGGTCATTCCATCGGCAATTGCAGAGACCGGGGGGACGAAAGAGGTCCATAACCCTGGCGGGATAGTTCCCAGACGTGGTTCTGGGTAGATTATCCGACCTTCAGCTCCTTTATCGACCTTCGTCGGCTGGAGCCTGTTCTCTGAGCTTCGTCGTACATCCATGGATAGTGGCCAGTATAAATCTCGGTGCCGTCGATCTCAAGTGGTGAGCATATATCGATAAGACAGACCATGATCATAGCAGCCAACATTCAGCCAGAGGCTACTTTATCTGTCTTGAGTTCCGCTGACTTTCGTGGGACTTTATTCAGGACAAAACCAGAGTAATCGAAAGAACTTCCAGAACCACCAAGAATATCAATCTTCATATCCCATTCAACACCTTGACAGTTGAGAAGAGGTTTGAGAAAGTGAGGTTGGCGGTATGAGACGTAGATAAAGGTGCCGGTGGGTTTCAGGACACGAAAGACCTGGAATAGCAGCAAATCGAGTTAGAATTCTTCCATGATCAAGCAGGCAATCTTCATATGATAGATACGGGTGTCTCAAACAAAGCGTACCTCTCGAATATATCGACCAGTGTTGTCTAGAACCTCATCAGGCGGGTCCCAAGGACTGCCATAGATCATGGCGTCCAGAGTTCCCTTGTCAAAGGCAACATCCACGGACTCCGAAGGGATTTGATTCATGCAACGGACGTCAGCCTGCTTCCAGGTAATGCCCTCGATATCCCGGTGCTTAATAGACATGGCTTGTACGACAACTGTGGAGAAGTCGACGCAAAGCTGGTTTTTATATCCTAATTTTGCTAAATCTTCTGGTATTGTCTGTGACATGGGTCAGCTTTGAGGTCTTGAGATGCGTTGTAAATATGTAGAAACTCACGCTATCTCCTGATCCTAGATGCAGGATCCTTGGACTCGTCTCTGGTTTTCGGACTTGGAAAAGATGCTGGTCGAGGAATGGTTGGAGGTCACTGAAAGATCTGAACCATTCGTGCACTTGTTCATTGGGACCGACTTCGGCGTATCGTTCATCCCAGTACTCGGAATGAGCTAGACGCTTCAACTCGGCTGTTGTCATTGACATTGCGAGGCGTGTGAGGATATTTGAAAGATTTTTTGTTTCTTTGGCTGGAATGGTTTGCATTGCTTGAAGTGCCTCTCACGTGTCAGAGGAAGTTTGGTGGAGGAAGAAGTCTCGGGAGAACTTCGGGGCTCACATGACTTTTGGGGAAATGTGGCAGTTTCGAAACCATGTACAATCTGTCATATCAGGATGGAAGTCAACATGATCCAGTCGTAGACCTCGACGACTACAATCGAAGACACAAATCGGAGGAAGATCACGACATTCTCGACTTACTCATGGTGTAACTTTCATTTAAACCTCACTCGATCTACCATCTCCAACCAGTGTCGACGCGAGGCGCGACCCATCCGCCAACATGTTAGCCTTCCTTGCACCCTACATCTCGAACCCTCGGCAATCCCTCTCACAAGCCCTCAACTTTGCCCTCGTACTTTCTACAGCCTTTATGTTATGGAAGTCATTGTCAGTAATAGCCGACTCACCGTCACCGATCGTTGTCGTCCTCAGTGGGTCAATGGAGCCTGCGTTTCAACGAGGGGATCTACTCTTCCTGTGGAATCGAGACAAGACGGCTGAAGTTGGGGAAATCGTGGTCTACAATGTCAAGGGCAAGAATATCCCAATTGTCCATCGTGTGGTGAGGAGTTTTGCTCCAGTGGCGGCGGTCGAGGCAGATGAGAGGTAAGTGCGCCGTGGCTTGGGAACATGATCGGTACTGACGTTGTTCTGTCCTTGCAGTGGTTCAATATCGCTTCCCTCACCCAAACTCCTGACCAAGGGTGACAATAACATTGCCGATGATACGGAGCTCTACGCAAAAGGGCAGAGTTACCTGGACCGGAATGCGGACATTATTGGAAGTGTGAGAGGCTACGTCCCAGGCGTGGGCTATGTGACGATCATGCTCAGTGAACATCCTCGATTAAAGGCTGCGATGCTGGGCTTGATGGGCTTAATGGTCATGCTCCAACGAGAGTAGTCCGATGTGGTGGTCAAAGAATTAGGTCATGGTTGATGTCCTCCAGCATCACAACACCACGAGCCTGGCGGTTTCGTACTGACCGTCATGAAAAGGGCTAAACTGGGCCATGAATCATGACATCAGGCGATCTCAGCCATCTGAAAGACCCATGACGTTAGGGTTGTAGATGGTCATTATTAGAAAAGCTGAATCGGCCCCCATAGTGTTGGCGTTGTTGGCCTTGCTTCCAGCCCAAGGGCCGCAAGAAATAGAGCAGATAGCCGCCCGTACCACCCTTCTGCCCAGAGCTGAAGGGCTGGACATGTTCCAGGCCACCTAGAAGGATTGGCCCAGTCGAGAAGAGAAGCGTGTGTCGGGTCTCAAGTCCTGATGATTGTCACCAATCAGGACCCATGGAGCTGCATCCATCTCTGGTGTTCAGAATTGTCTGAAGAAAGAAGAATTCCTTGAGATCCATCTCTTTGGAAGAACAGCCTTTGGACAGCCAATCTATTCCAATTCCGTTGTAATGGGGAATATGATCCCTGAGTACATGAAACAAACTCCGTTGTTAGGGCTGACAACATGCGGGCCGGGAAACATCAATCGCATCATCAACACTTCATCATCACTCAATCAGTGACCAACCTCTCTGAGCCTAATCCTATACTTATCCGTACGCACATGGTTGGCGAGTTCCCAGGGTGCCACGGCCCATGGGTGCCAAAAGGTTCGAATGAATAGGGGGGCCATGGATGGTCGCCCCCAAGGCAGGAATAGCTTCAGCCTTAAGCGAACAGCCTTTGACTTTATTGGCTTGGTAGAGCTTAATTGCTTCAGCTGAGGATCGAGGGGGTCTGTCGCAAATAAGGCTGCGTGGCTGGCAGACACACCAGATGAACCCTAGGAACACCGGGTAACTACAAATGGGCGGCAGACAACCAGAGACAGAGACCCCCAGGCATCCCTGGGTTGTTCATCGGGTGATGATACTCCATCTACGGAGTATGCTCAGGCTGTGCTGCTGTCTATCGTAAATGCAGCCAGCATTCAAGAGGATCTGGGACTTCCTCCGACCCAGCTTGAAGGCGAATCTGCTTTCTCTCACTCGCCTAAATTAAAAGTACATACTATTACTGTCGACGTCAATCCATCCTTTCACTAGCTCCAGAAACAACCTGAGACGCCTTATCATCCAAGACGCATCGACGTCGGCAGGATTTCTTGATCTTCTTCCGCCTGTTCCACAGAACCATCATATCTCCTTACACACGCGTATACGAGTCCTCCCACAAGATAGCTTGGTTCGTGTACCAGAGCCAGATCCAGTCTCAGCCTGATCGCCGTTGGCCCTGACGATTACGCCAACCTTGTGTTCCCATGTCGCGACTAGTTTAGATACAGAGTACCGAGTTCCGTCTTCCACGCTCAACTTTCTCTACCTTATTCTATTCTCAGACACACTCTCTCCATCAGGTCGATTATCACCCTTAGTTTTGTCGTCGACGCCTCTCGTTTCAGGTCTAGAAGATCTCCTGCATTCGCTCACCTGGATCCTACCGGCACTTGTTATCGTGTCGCCGCCATCGTTCTGCGCGCCACTCGACCACCATCCCAACCTCAATCAACCCCCTGCTTCTCTCCTTGTCCAATTCACATCACCTGGAGAGATCGTGGCGTTCCCTTGACCCCGAGACGAGCCAATCCTTATTGTTCTGCAGAATTCCTTCTGGCCCTTTGAAACGATTTCTGGCCAAATCCTCGGTCTCAAGCATGTTGTCATTGTTAACCACTTTCGACACACTTGATCTCACCAACCACATATCTGGCTGACCGCTTTGATTGGGTTTACAGCCGCTATTATGGACCATGACCCTTGGCGTCATTCTCGCCCATACCCGGCTTCCACCGCCACAGACGAAGACGGCCTCCTGAGCTCCAAGGCTCCTGCTAGGATTACTGTGGCTTCCGCCATGGAACCTTCTCCATATCAGCAGAGATTCGATGCTCGGCGAAACTTCATTGCTGATGACGATTCCGAGTCTTATAATTTTCTTGAGCCAGCCACCCCTTTCAAGGAGCCACGACCGCGCGCCTCCACATCGACCACCGCCAATGTGTTGCGCAAAATCACCATCAGAAACCCAATGTCCCGCAGCGTCAAACGCTCACAGGGGCAAGAGTATGCGTCGTTGGACGACGATGGCGACCTTGGGACCCCACAAGTCGATCTCTCATCACTCGCGGGAATAGGCTGGGAAATGAACGATATGTCTGGTGGCCAGGTGACAGACACCCTGGAACCAGACACAGAGTATAATGTCCCTGGGCCTGCCCGAGACAAGCCCAAGTTCCGTGAATTTGTTAACAAGCAGCATTCACTAGGTGAGGGAATGAGAGATGTCGGGGTCCAATTACGGCGCGACCGTACTAAGCTCGTACGGCGCTCTTCAGCAGAGCCATCCAACGCCGACAGCACTGGCATTGATCGCGCCCGCACGGTCAGAGAACTCGGACAGGACTTGGCCCAGAAGAAGAATATCATCGTCGAGGTGGAGGAGGCTATCGACTTGAGTGTCCTCGAGGGCGGCCATCACGACAATCGAGTTACTCGCAGTTTCACCACGCCCGATGTCGCAGACTCCCCTCCCGAGCCCCCGACCAAGAGCTACTTCTTCCCCGAAGATCCCCAGATCCCTAATTGGAAACCATGGTCTCTGAGATCACCATACATTTTGTCTCTCCTCGTCCTCGCGCTTGGACTCGCCGGTTTTCAGGAGTTTCTCTGCCAAAGGTCGATCCAGCTTGCAGAGAAGGGGAGTGGCATCCTGGCCTTCAACGAGGTGGGCGAGGTGTCCACCCTTGACTTTTTCGCCTGGAAGTGTGAGTGATGCTCAAGTTTTGAACCGTGGAGCAGAACTAACGCCTGACAGATCTCCCCACAATGATCACCATCATCTATGCAGTGATGTTTTCCATCATGGACTTTGACATCCGTCGTTTGGAACCCTTCTATCAACTGTCACAGCCCGGTGGCGCGAAAGCAGGTGCCAGTCTCAACCTGGACCATCTCACCATGTTTCAATACTTTATTCCCTTCAAAGCTTTTCGCCTGAAGCAGTGGGCCGTGATGGTTTCGACCACTGGGAACATCCTGGCTTCAATGCTTGCTCCGGCTCTGCAGAACCCATCGGTTGACTTTCAGACCAACGGCGAATGCACAGAGCCCGACTCGACTTGTCCGGACGGTGAGACTCGGTATTGGGTCAGGATTGACGGAGTGTGGTCACGTCTGCTCTCGGCGAGCTACGTCTTGGTGGCCATTGTCCTAGTAATTCTTTTCATTCAACTTCGAAGAAAGTCGGGCCTTTTGAGTGACCCCAAAGGTATCGCGGGAATAGCATCCATGGCCACCAAATCCCACATCCTGCAGGACTTTGCAGGACTCGATGAAGCCAATCGGGGTGAGATCCACAAACGTCTGCAACACCGGCGCTATGTGTTGTACAAGTCTTCAATCTGGCAAGGTGAATGGAGTGCCTCGAGTGAAGTGTCTCTCGACAGCGAGAAGAAGCTCACCAGCCCGCACCCCTACCTACTGCGCACCAACGGGGCCATACCATTCCTGATTTTCATGGGAATTTGTCTTGCTTGTGTTCCGCTCATCACATTAACGCCTGCTCGAGCGGTTCCCAACAGTGCGCCGTGGCTTCCAATTGTGGTAGCCACTTTACTGAAGCTGTTGTTCAATACTTTTGAGACCGACGTGCGACTGATGGAACCATTCTACGTCCTCTCCAACGGCAATGCAAGGCCAGAAAACAGTTTGACGTTGGACTATCAGTCAACGGTATATGGCATATTACCTTTCAAAGCCCTATTCAATCGCCACTACCTGGTGGCCTTGGTCGGGTTCTCGTCGGTGTTATTGGATGTCCTCACCGTTACTGTCAGTTCATTTTCGGTCGATTCTCAAAAGTTCCTGACGACCAGCGGCGGAGACTCATCTGACGGAGATGAAACTTATGTATCCTTTTGGGCCTCTCTTGCCCTTTCCGTCTCGATCCTCGCCTTTGTCATCTTTGTGACCACGTTGGTTTATATTCGACGGCGCCATCCGTTTCTTCCACGGGAGCCATCCACCATTGCCGCCGTGTTGGCCTTTGTCTACGCCAGCAACATGTTGGAGGACTTTATCGACACTGAAACCCTCAACAACAAACAGATGGAGATCAAATTAAAGTCTCTGAATAAGAGGTATGGCTTGGGGTGGTTCAAGGGAAGAGATGGGAAGCTGCACTGTGCAGTCGACGAAGAGCCCATGAAGAGCCGCTATGTGCATGGGAAGCCATACAGCATGGCTCAAGCCGGTCCACTGCAACCGGCAGACACGTTTTATACGGTATAGACAATGAGGGTCAATCTCTCGGTACGAAGGAGGATATTTTTGGCGTCGTGGTTTAAATGCCAAGGGGGGTGGAATTTGGAAAGGCCCGTCGGGTCACGGATGTTATTGAAATTCTTCCAATCAAGCACGTGGATTTGGTTTGGCAGCACGATTTGTCGCCATCTGAAAAGCAGTCTGGTTCCCAGCCTCATGCTCATGTTTGACGTACACGTGTTGACATTTAGAGACTTCTTTGTTCAGCCTTGCGGCATGCCATGACTGTACATGACATAACGACTGTATGCACACGACCCAAAACTTGATTCCCACAGAGGCACAACTCACTTCCAGATAAGGCCGACGCGTATGCCTAGCCACTGAGAATCTATCAGGTGGGATCTCGATCATGACTCAGGTAGAATCTACTGTTCCCAACTGGCGAAGATTAACGACCATGAATCATTGGCCCGCAAATGACGATCCGATCCGATCATAGCAAAACAACAACTGCTTGACCCGTGGGTGGGAGGATTTTCAGTGTAGAATGGAGGTTGACATCGTGGGTGGCGCCGCAACCACCAATGCCACCATCAGGCTGTACCCGCTCCTGCCTCTTGAAGAACCACAGGCTCCAGTGGCAGACGGGCAGGCGACAGGCAGGCGCAACCACCAGCAAACAATTCAACAGGCAAGTGCCAACAAAAACCAGGCCAAGCAAGGGGACGAGGGGACTCGCGGCAGGTGCGCCCGTGCCCCCTCCCCACCACAACGACGCACATGCCTTCCCTGGCTGGCAACAAACGCCCATGACGTCAACTCCTCAGATCATTGAGACGATGTCACAAATACTTCAGAATTCTACATCGACGACATAATTTCTCTTGTCCCATCTCCCAAACTCTGGCCAAACCCTCCTTTGGACAGCAAGCATTTCTTGCGCTCGACTGATCTCCTCGTTGAACCAGGTCTCCTTCGCCCGTGTGGCTCTCGACCATGCCTGCGCCGGGCTATGTCTTTCGCGATGGCGGTGCCACCCCTCCTCCAGAGGAGGATCCCAACTCGGAATTTCGCAAGCGTATCACGGATGCAACAAAGCCAATTACAGCTACCGAAAAGGCTCCCCTCGGTCAGAACACCTCGACCAGTCACCAGTTGGCCACCGGAGAACACGAAATCCTAGGTGCAGCCCAGAAGGCCGGTAAGGAGGACCGCATCACTAATCTAGGATGGCAAGCCAACGCTGTAGGTGTAGATACTCTGGTGGGCGGACTACCGAACGATGACCTGTGGACCTTGATCAGAAGATTCAACAAGGCAAGTTCATTTCCTGTCTCCTTTCCATGACAAAATGTACTCATGACATGGCCAGCAAATGTACCATGTCAAGAAGGTCCCCGTGGCTCCACCCGGAGGTCTGGATTTGAACATTGCCGACGAAGATGACTTTTCTCCTGACAAGTTGCGATCCAATCTGGAGCGACTATACATGACCGTCATTGTCGGTTTGATCGGCTTCGGCAAGCACATCGCACGCCTGAGATCATGGCGAGAACCACGACGCACCTCTGCATTCGCCGTTACCTATGCTCTAGCATGGCTTTTCGACATGATCGTTCCTACAGTCCTCGCTACAATCGTTATCCTCATTACCGTGCCCCAATCACGTAACATCCTCTTCCCTCCAGCGCCCTTGGCCCTCGTCAGCCATAAGAGTGGTGGAATACAGAAACCAAAGGCAGGTGTTTTGGGCAGTCACGACAGCGTCACTGGAGCCCCTGAGAAATACAAAGGTGAAGCAGTTGAGCAAGAAGCCAGCAACATGGTTTCAGGTTTGGCTTCAGTCGCCATCTCCAGTGCCGCCGGTCAACACGACCAAGCTTCTCCAGATGAAGAGGGCGGTAGCAAGACTCTGGATGAATCGGTCCCGGATCCTACCAAGATGGCTAATGTCGCCGCTGACGCCTCTTCATCTGCGGCAGGCGGAGAAGGTGAACACGACAAAACCAAACAACCGATGGAGCAAGCTGTCTGGGCGCAGATGCGACCTGCCATGCATATCGTAGGCGATATTGCCGACGGCTGGGAGCGCTTCGCCAATGCACTTTCTCCCACTCCTCCTTTCTCACCAAACAAGCGTTACCAACTCGGGGCCCTGTTTGCTCCTCTTCTATTAATCTCCCTCTTCGTCAAATCTCAATGGGTCATGAAGACTTCGACTTTGATTGGGGGTCTTGCCTTCTTCACAGATCCTCTCATGCAAGAAGGAATCAAGTGGCTCAATGAAAACGTCCCTGATTGGCCCAAGTATCTCGAGATTCGCAATACCCTACTGAAAGGTGTTCCAACCAACGCTCAGCTCACCGTTACTTTGTTGCGCATTGGCGAAGCAAATCGCGCCCCAATTCCTCCTCCACCAGCTTCGCATCTACCACCACCGGATAAGCCCGCTGATGTGGACAAGGATGAGATTACTGATGCTGGGTTGGATGCTTCCCACTCAGAGATTGAAGATGCAATCACGCCCGATACGCCCCCCAGCTCGGAAGACGCACCTCAAACTTCCACACCAAAGAAAAAGGGTGGTATTGGTGCAAAGGTTCTTTCGGCCTTCAAACACACCACCGCCGGTGCAGTCGAGACAAAATTAACGGCAGACTCAGCCAAAGCTGCCTTGGGGTCCACAAATGCGAAGCAGAAACTCGGTGTCCTGCCGTCCAAGGCGGAACAGAAAACCCGGCCTGTCGAAGGTCCCACCGAGTTCAAGGCGAGATGCAACGGGAAAAAGGGAGCGGTATATGTCGACAGCTCGGTGTCACCCGCGAGTGGTAATCGGCCTGCCTCACCGTGCGTCTATTTCACTCGCCATTTGGATCAGCATGAAGCCGTCGAAACAATGCCTGAAGATCCACTTTGGGCCACAGCAATCACCGACATTGTTGAGGTCAAGAAGATTGGCGGACTGGGATGGAAAGGCAAAATTGTGGTCGGCTGGGCAACAAGCCGACAAGTCAAGGATGGCATTGAGATCAAGACTGTCGATGGCAAGACTTACAGAGCGATGGCTATCGTACAAAGAGACGAGCTGTTTAATCGTATCATCTCTATGGGCCAGCAAGTGTGGGAGAGCTATTGATATGCCTGGCAAGAAAATTGTCGACGACAGACGACTTGTGACAACAGAAACTTGACATGTATTATATGATTGATAGTAAGAAATGCGTCATGTGATGAGTAACTGCTTGGTGGGGTTCAGACCTCAATTATTGCTTGATACTTCAAAGCCGCGGTGTAGTCAGGTCTATGACGATTCGATTAAAGGCAATTGACTGTGATAACGGAGTACGAGTTCCTTGTAGTTCCTTGGTTTAATCTATTGACAATCTCCATGATCGAAATTGTTGGAAAAACGACCGAAAGTATCTCGACAATGGCATCACTGTCGCAGCATCGCCTCTTCCCACTCTTCTCTCTCCTCACCAACCTCAGCGCCGTGGGTACAGCAACCTACCATCTCCGCAATTGGCACCAATTCAACTACGAGGAACACGAAGCGCGTATGGACGAGTTGGAAGGCACGCTTCGAGGACATATCGGGTAAGACGAACAGATATTCCCATTCTCCCAAAATGGGGATCCGTGAAACTATCCTTCTGGAAACAGCCTCTCCCATCCATCCATCCATCCATCCATGTTATATCAAGTCCAAAAGGAATAGACTAATTCTCCCGCCCCCTTGGGCATACATGTGTCTACAGATTGATTGAAGAATCATTAGATCGTTTAGAAGGGAAAGCGACAGAGGCGGGTAGAGGGAAAAAGATGTAAGTTTCAAAAAGAAACAAAAGGGGGGCCCGGTTTAACTCTTTTGTTGTTACTCTCTATCCATGTGTGAAAGAAATACCTTACTGATGGGTTTTGTTGAGTGTCTAGGGAGGAGTATCATGGGAAAAGAGGGAGAGATGAGAAGAATCAAGGACAACGAGGTAAGAATGATGGGGAGAGAGCGACAGAGATAGTGAGAGCGGAACTCAGGAAGTGATCTCAAGGAACTTTTAGAGCAATGTGATTTGATCCTAATATTCTTGACCGACTTGTACTTCGTTTGACAGACCTGAGGTTCAGCCTTGTAACGTCACATGTCCAATGATACACGACATCACTGACACTCCGATTGGATTGGCGTCGGTGACACACCAAAGTTATACAAAGAGCTTACTCCTTAGGTCTATAGCTAAGTTTCAAGGTAGTATAGACTAAAGTCTCTTAAGCAACTAGGTTTTATGCCTAAAATTGCTTGCTTGGCACCTATATATCCGTAGTGTATGAGTGGGATGGTGCCAGGCGCAGGTCACGTGGACTGCTCTAGACTCAGTCGAGAGAAGTTAGCGCCTTGGCAACCTCTCCATCAATGAGGTTCTGAAGTATTTTGAGATATTCGCGCAAATTATCCCAGTCGAATCAGATGTCAGTCTCGCTTCAGAGGCGACGATGTGAAAGCTCTCGAGATATCCGTCCCGAGCACCTTCAACCAGTCGCACAGGCCATTGGACTACCGCAAGAAATGGTGAATACTTGTGCTCAGCTGACACCCTCTTCTCCTAACACTTCTTTTCTTCCCGGCCCTTCTGCTGCTCTACCCTCCATTTTTCTTTACTCTTGCTACTAGTATTCCAGTAATTACTATTGGCAGGAGCTGAGCTCCTTGTCTCCTTCCTAAAGTCTATACCAAGGTCCAAATATGCTTCGCCCCTGCCTCTATCTAGCCTGGGAAGAGGTTTTCTCCCTCTTCCTCCTCCTCCTCCTCCTCCTCCTCTCTCTTTTAGCTACTAGATAGACAATGACATTGGGTGATTCTTTACCCATTCAATGCTTATGAGTTCGTTCTCGTGTACGTCCATTATCTCATTAGAGAGGCCATTTCCCCCCTAGAATAAGCCATTTTTTGCTCGGATCGCTTCTTCCCATGGCTGGCAAATCCAACGACAGTGATATGCCTTCCGTTTGCAATCATGTAGAATCACTATCTTCGGCAACAGCATCTTCTAAAGCAGAATGAAGGCGCCGCAACTCATGGAGTTCCCTCGGCGCTCCAGGCCGTTCACCTCTGCCCGCCCTCACACTCTCACCAGTAGTAGATGCAGTTCTATGAAGTGTAGTACCGCTATCTGGAACTCCGCTGAGCGACGACGTTTTCTCTTGTTTGTCGGAACGGCTTCTCGATTGGGTAGATGAGATGCGCCGGACGGCGTGGGTGGGCGTCTGGCACAAATCAAAATCATTCGAGAGCCGAAAACGGCTTTCGGAGGGTTGAGTCGATGCCACGCTCGATCTCCTTCTTGTGATAGCTCCACCATCGTAACCGAGACCCGATATTTGGCGGCTGTTCTTTTCTCGTTCCCTTTTTCGCAAGTCATCCTCCCTGTCTTGGATCATTCCACCACCGAGACCTGCATATCCTGGCTCAACATCGTCACCGAGACCCTCGCGTTTCAATCTACTCATTCGTACCTCTGGCATCTCCGGCATCCCACCCAAAGAAGCTAAAACATTGTCGCCAGTGGCGGTGAGGCAGTCCATAACTTCCAATTCATGGCAGGTGAACAGATGAGGCAAGATTTTCCAGCGAAGCGGGATCAACGCCACAATCAAGATGGGAAATCCAATGGCAGCAATTGTCTGGCTGATGGCGACCGAGGCTGCGAACCCCAGGAATTGCCAAAATAGGTAATGCCAGATCTGGCGACGGAGGACCGAATTCAATGGATCTGAAGGACGCTGAAAGGTCGGATCCCGGAAGAGAAAGGCCAGTTTATGTGTGAATATTGGGTTCGTCATGATACTGCCCATCCCGACGGTGAAAAAGACACCACTAATGATGGCACGGGGTATGAGAGAGAGGACCTTCAGTAGGGGTCCGGTCATGGTTCCAAAAAGTGCCAAGGCCATAAGGACATGCGATATACGCTGCTCCGCCACATGGCCTGCCACGGCCTCCTTGCGGATGATGGTAGGCTCCGTGTCATCTTTCGTCTCGATAACGTAGGGTTCGTCTTTATAAAATGTAAGAGAGTCGGTGTGAACTGGTGCTTGTGGGACAAGGCCATTAGGGAGCGGTATATTCAAGATACCACCAACGAAGCAGGTGCATCCTAACAAGAAGAAGTCCCAGTGAAACCCGGCCGGCTTTTTCAGCGGAAAGTTGCGGGCTTGCGCCGTCAATGAGGAAACATTGTGATCATAGTAGAACAGGAGCGTCATGAGGAAGCCGAACGGGGCAGCAACAAAGACCCATTTTGCGGACAATGTCCAGAAATCCACCACCCACGGTCTATTGACTGTTGGAGAGAAAGCACGAGTGATCGGAAGGTATTCGAAATCCGCGTGCGCCAGGTTCCCTGGAAAGTGGGTGAAGCCGGTCCACCAGATCGTCGCCAAAGGATAGGCATAGTCTGAAAGGATGGTGCGCAGCCACCCGCGCGTATAGGTTGTTTGGCCGATTTGCTCCAGCAAATAGACCGTGAGGAAGTATATAATTGCCACCAATGCTGAAGCAAAGCCATTCGTGATATTGCCATTGTTAAATCCAATGCTGAGCTCTTCGCAGCCTTTGATGACATAGATCGTGCCGACGTACAGGCCAAACGTTTGAGACGAAAAGTCGGTAATCGTGCGCATATAGTCGCAGAGGTTGAATATTGCGGTGCACCAGTGGAAAATGGCGGACCAGATACCAACCCAGACAAGAAAACGAGGATACAGGGTGACATCGTAGATTTTAACGATATCATAGATCGTATAGTTGAACAGTGAGATCAACCCCGTCACTCCAACGACCGTCAATGGCTGGCAGGAAAGAAGGCTAAAGACGGCCGCGGCAAGGGCCGAAGAGAGGAGAGCCTCGTTGATTCCAAAAAACCCGTCTGTATTCTGTTGCATGTCAAGTTGAAAGGCCAAGGCTGGCAACAGATTGACGAAATAGATCCGAACCGTTCCGGCAAAGACACGATAAACGAATCCATCTTTGAAGTCGCTCCAATAGCAGGGAAGCCGTCGACGGACATCGTGATACATTCCCCGGCCAGGGCGCTTAAGACGGCTGAAGAGGCCTTGATCGTCTCGCCATTTGTACGGTTCATCCAGGGTCTCCATTGTAGGATCTCTGTCCGGCCCGGTTATGTTGATATCGGGATAGAACAGAAGGATAAATTGGGTCAGACCCGGGGATGGTGTTTGATCGCGCCGTTGTTACAGCGCCGTGTAATCAGAAAACTGCAAAGAAAGGAATCACCTGTTTATATATGTGTATGAGGAATCGTTGAACTTCTGCCAATGCCGATCCTCGCTAGGGTGACCCATATCTGGCCAGGCTGGGTGAGTCTGCTCCACATGCGATTTTCGCCACTGATTGTGGCACCTACGAATGAGCTATTCGAAGGGGCGGCACAGACTAGGGCATGCGAGGAGGTATAGATCGTGCAACCAAGCAAGCTCAAAGATCTTCTGAATCTTTCAAGGCGGACGGGACATGAGCAGACAGGAAGAGAAATCTACAACACGACATTCGATCAACAGGCAATTCTAATCTTGGTGTTGCGGTCCTTGGGCGAGAATGGATCTCGTCCCTCGAGGTTGACCGCAACAATCTAAACCCGGAACCATGACGTGACTGGGCAATTGTGCAAGAACGTTTTTGAAAGGGGCCAGCACATCTCCCCTAAGCGAGCGCTGTAAAACCTAGACTACGCCTGAGAAGAGCGGGAGTCGCTCAACTTGTTGGGGAAAAATGCACTTGAGCAGCTGGCACACTGGGGCTTGCGTGGCTAAATGAGATAGAACTGTCGAACATGGGATCAACTCCTCTGATCGAAAATGGAAGTTCATTTTCGACCACGACGCGATGAAAATGTCAGCGGCGGGCTAGTGGACCCCACTATTTGCAGGCTGGCCTGGCCTGATTAGCAAATGACCTTTTTCTGCCCGGGCAGAAAAAGAGCGCCCGTAATGACGTTGGCAGTTTTTGTCATGGCGGCGGCTGTGTAAACCGTGTCGCAGGAATCTCGGTGGGTGGAACCATTCCCCGTCCACCTCTCGTCTCTACCCTCGCCATCTACTTACGACACACTCGATTCTCTCAGAAGCGCCGACTGGGCCATGGCTTTAAATTCACAATTGTACGACAATATCTTTGAGAGGATTCGAGCACCTCTCGCCGAAGCCGTCGATGATGCGCTATCTTCCTTACACCAAAACAGCGGGACCCCACTGCTTCGCCTCGAGGCATGTCTTGATCATGACCACAGTGAGGCTGCACAAGGTGCGCAAAAGGAGGCTAAGCGAACCACGCTTGTAAGTCTGATGCTCCATATAGTCTCTCTGATCACTGCACCCCAAAAGACTATCTACCAGGGGTAATACCGGGGGCAAGTTCTTCGTCGATCGCTGATTAAGGACCAAGGCAACAATCGAGCTTTCCTCCTTCCGGAGAAGGGGAGGCAGCGTGGAAGGTGGAACAGATGTAGAACAGAACCACAGCGATCAAGAAACCCAACATCAACGGCGACTCTCTAACGATAGCCGCCTCCTACAAAATTCCTATCGTCTCAAGCGGCGCAAAGTTGTCGGAGGCTTACGGTTGGCCCGTCCTGCACCTCCTACTCGAGTTGCCTCGCCCGAAAGGGAGACATCACGACGCTTGACTAGTAACTTCCGCCACTTTCCTAAACGAAATGCTCAAACAATCATTTACAACCAGGAAATGTCCCATTTCGAACGCCTCATCGTGGGTATTTGGGAACAGATCCACGGTACCCCTGAATTAAATCCGTCAGACTCGGTAAGTGAGCATGTTCTGCAATTCATTGTCTCTTAGTCTCGCCACCCGAATGATGAACTGGTGTCTTTCGCGGAAGAACGTGGAACAAACCATGTCCTGCGATCGCACTCAACCCCAGAGGATGATGGCGCGGATATCTTGGCCTTCCGATGATTCAGGTCACTGGCCTGACAGTTATAATCGAGTTATGTGTGGGGTTTGAAACTAATTTTGTTCCTCACGAAGTTGAATCTCTGGCACCAGGTAAACCAATCTGGAGCCACAATGTCTATTTGTGATGTCGATTCTAGACATGGAGCTCCTGGTGTTCTTTCCATCCTTGGAGATGGGGATTTTCGAAAACTGAACGTCTGCTGTCGAAGAATTACGCAAGCAAGTCGCTGCTGTAGATCGCTCGAAGTCATCGTCCAAGCTCAATGGATCCAGTGTTACGAAGAGCAAGTTCAGAAGCTTGTGGTAGAAGATCCAGACCTATCACTTACTAAGGGCCGCGCGATCGTGCAAGCACAAGCATGCAAAGATTTCGGTTGGTCTTTGAAGGAGCTGCGGAACAAAATGTGAGCATGTGCTATCGTGCCCCTGAGTTTCTTCCTTTCGGACGAAAAGGACTCTAGCTCTAATTTATCCTCGCGGCTTCTTTCGCCTCCTATAATATGCTGACTAGTGCATTCAAAGGGCGATATGGCGCGGCTACGACTCGATTCGAGAAGCTGGTGGCTGGGTTCCTCTGATCTTCGCAGGCATGGGTCTCTACCGCTTCTGCAAGTATCGTCTGGGATTCTGTCCACAGAACATTGCGACACTCAAGAGACTTCGTTTACGATTCGAGGTTGCTGCCGACACGATCCATCCGGAATGGCGCCTCTTGCTCTCAATCATTGGGAAGCCGACAACTCGCGTCTATCATGGACATCCCTGTGACTGGGTGGTCAGCAAAGATAGTCCGCCCATCCCTTTGGCAGATACATACTCCCAATGGACGCCAGACTTTAAGTTCGAGCATTTAGAGGACAGCACCATTGATGAGCAGGCGTGGGGTTTGATAGATCCGCGGACTGAAAACAGGCATGTTCAATGGACGTTACCGAGACAATTCTCGTGCGAGAAATGCGGATCGACCCAGTCGAATGATGTTAGCACTAATGAATGCCTCTGCTTTCCGGCTTTGTTCGGAAGTGGCCTGCGGAAACCCTGCCCGGTACAAGTTTTCCGAACGGAGGACGGAAGGAACAATGGTCTCCTTGCTTGCTGTGTGAGTCTCCTATCCTATCTTATCAGGCGACTACTATTGCCACTAATAGACAATAATAGCCGTTCGAGCGAGGTGCAGCCATCGGCGAATTCGTTGGCGTCATTACGCAGGGCATTCGACGCCTGGATGTTATGCAATGCTCAGGGCCCGCTGCTACATATCAGATTTGGCAGGGCCATAAGGGGAACTATACTCGCTTCATCAATCATTCTTGCCAGCCGAACTCGCAGTATGAGCGCTTTCCGTGGCTCGGTGTTGAGCGTCACGTACTCGTATCTAAGGGTATCCTCGCGGGCGACGAAATCACGGTGGACTATTCCAACGACTATTGGAATCATTTGGACAAGGAGTGCTTGTGCGGTGAAACTAGTTGCCGATTCAAGACGAGAAATGGGCGAATTCCAGGTGAACAGGGCCCAACTAGATAAATCAAGGTCGCCAAGTGAGGAAAGAAGAAGATACATTCTTCGACTCCCGTGGCTTACATCCAGACCAACATTTTTGTCTCACATCCCGGGCTCCTAAGCTATTCAAAATAATCCAGAAGACATACAACAGCAAATTCCATGGACTGGTACGTGGGCTATTCTCGGCGAGCACATTGTCACATGCGAGCGTAGCACCATCATCTTCGTCATCATCACCGTCGTCTTAGTTACCAGAGCATTTCCGCCAGTCATCTAACCAAGACCTATTCCATGGACAGAATAAGCTTGCTTCATACCTTAAGAAGTGCGTCATAGTGGTTGTATTGCTAGAAGGATGACACACACGCCGTTTACTTCCAGTACGCCATTCAGATTGTCCATGCTAATTGTTCGGTCAGGGGCGGTTCTGAACAAGTGTTCACTGAGGTCTGTCTGCCGTGCCCCAGCTGGGTCAACTGGCCCGGCTGATATACACGAATTGCCAGAGTGGAGTCCCTGCGGTCCCCCTGAACCCGGACATCCTAGCTGATAGCAAACCGAATGTTAACGAAACAGTGAAGAAATGGCCTGTCCGAGGAGAATCGAATCAGCCCTCCGAACTCATAAGGGGTTAGAGTCTGTGATCGCTGAGTGGAACCTCTTTTATCAATTGTCGATGGCGCAGCATGTAACGCGATCAGAGCATTCGTAGAACAAATCCAAGGAGGTATAGAATCTCACAATATTAGCTGGCAAATGAGACCTCGAACCACCAAGCTAGGGCTCCCGCCCCTGATGCGACTATTAACAAGCCACAAGACTGGTGATGGCACTTGCGCGAGGGGTGTCGAGTGTCAATTGGCCGCATAGAATACATGCTACTATCAAACATGATTCTGTAATCGGACCTACAAAGGTCACTACGACGTTTTGTCCACATCACGCCAAATACGGGGGCAATTCTTCACCGTTCCTGCTGGCCGACAGCGCTACCCCACCGACAGGACCCTCAGTTGTACATGACCGACTCGATTGGAGAAGACATTGTGAGGGATTAGTTTTGCTCTGGTAGGTGACTTGTACCGGTTAGCGTTAAGCTCGACTTTGAATGCCACTGACCAAATATGCCGATTTTCTATTGCGATGGCGTACCTCCTCGAGAGGTAGGGAAGTAAGAATGTTGGTGGCAGAGCTGGTGAACCCTTTATCGAGAGCCACAGTGGGTACGTTGCCGTCCATTCTCTAGAGTCGGGGTCTGCTGAATTCGGTCTGCAGTCCGGCCACATCATCTTCACACGATGAGTCGCTCAGGTTGTTTTTATGCACCCCATTGAAGGTGATCTTGTAAGCTGTCCTATTGTAGGAGTTGCGGCTTGCATAAGCATGCAGACCAAGGTAGACGACCGCAATGTCCACTTGGTTGCAGTTTCGAAACTACCTGGTTCACAGCCTTCACCTGGATCATATATTACTTGCAGTCTGAGTTGCAACAATACCTTGGTTGTTACTGAGGCGTCAGGTCCGCCAAATATCAAAGCATCTGGCTGGGTCGCTTTGATCGACATCTTCCCGATTCTTTGGACAACGTTCTTCCGCAATACGATCTCTTGGCAATTGCTGTACTCTTTGCCAAAATCTCCCAGACATAACGGCGGAGTAATTTCGCTACAGTTGAATATTCGAACTTTCCGTGAGTGTGAGACGAGCAGACTCCACTCCACTCCACTCCACTCATATGTTTGCTAGTGCCTATGCCACTGACAGAAATGACACGAAAGGAGATCAGTGAGAAAACCGTGTTCGTATATATCACTATCTGTTTAGCGCAGTAGTGACAAGCCAGAACCGGCAGGGTGAGAGATATGAGAGGTAAGTGATGAGAAAAGAGAGTGCTCCTCTAAAATGATAGGGCTGGGCTTGGGACTCCGAATATGTGTGAGTGGTGTGTCATGTGGAACTTCGAACGGGGGGACAAGAAGATAGATTGCTTGGAGGCTCCTCTTCCCAACAACAGCTACGGATGATGGCCTTGGCGGCAGACTCGTCCTCGGCGAACGATCTGGGAAGCTGGAAGGCTGATTGATACATACGGATATGATTCTTTAACAAAGTTCGAGTGTTAGGATACAGTCCCCCTTGTATTTGATGAAGGACAGGCGCGCATCGTATCGTATCACATTGCATTACAGAACAGAACAGACTAGAACAGGGAACAGTAACTCACTTGGATTGAAAGGTTCGTCATGTCATGTTATGTCACTTTTAACAGACATTATCACATCGCAAAGACTACGTAACTCTTGCTAACACAACAATCTGCCTTTCCAGACCTCACCAAGCTCCCAAACGAAAGCAGACCCGAAACCCACATATCATATTATACAATATTCATAATGTCCGCCCTTCGCTTGATCGAACGCGGTCAACGCATGGTCGAACGTCAGCGACGCATGGAATGGCAAAAAGAACAACGCGAAGCCAATCTCGAAGCCCAAATGAGACGAGAAGAGAGAAGAGCACAGACCGACGCGGAACGAGATGCCAGACGCGTCCAACAAGAACAAGAACGAGAAGCGAGAAAGCAGGAAAAAGATCTCGAGAAAGAGAAACGCCAGATTAAAATGGAAATGGATCGTGAGGAACGAGAGAGACAGAGAGTAAGAAAGGAAATTGAAAAGGAAGAAAGAGAGAAAATGAAGATGAAGAGGAATATGGAGAGGGAAATGGAGAGGGAAGAGAGGGAGAAAATAAAAAGAGAGAGGGATATGGCGAAGGTAGGAAAGGGTAGAGAGAGGGAGATGGTAGAGGACGATATAGAGAAGGAAATGGAGAGATTGAGACTGGATGCTCGAGGACTCGGTGGTCAGAGTTCGAGGACTATGTCGTCGTCAATGTCACCACCGATACACCCACAGACAGAACCGGTACTATCGTCATCGCTATCGTCTGTACCTGCGGCTGAATCTGCATCTGCGCCAGGGCAAGGGCAAGGACGAAGTCTTGTCTTCTGCACGGAATGCGGAAACCAATGTCGACCGACCGACAAGTTCTGTGGCGGGTGCGGAAATCGAATGATTCCAGCATCTTGATAGAATTTTCTCCAGAGGGAGAGACAGAGAGGGAGTCTAGTCTGACTTGATATTTGGCGAAGTTGGGAGGAATTCTGATGTTGGATTATACCTATTTTATACCCATCATTGGACTCATATTGTATGAAATGAATTTGATGACACACCAACTGATGCGATGCGCTAAGATGCCTGAAAAGACGATCATGAAATCAAATATGGGTCATCTGTCGATCAAAACGAACTTTTTGGAGTGATGATGTAGGTTTAAAGACTGGTAGAGAATGAGTGGATCCTTCGTCGACTATCCTATTCATCAGTTCATGACTTGATCTTGGATGTGCAATACTAGCGAGACGACATCCATCACGAGAACGAGGCCTGGGTTTTATGATCATCATTCCGAGTTCTATGGCCGTCGGCCACGAAGAATCCAATCTATTCTAGGGTGCTATGTGGTTTAATCCCAATGCTCCTTTGCCTCAGTGACCTGCCTGACATGTCCCAACGGGTGAACCAATCTGAGAACCATGCATCTATCTTCATGGCATGCAGGAAATACAACCTTCAAAAACCGCTAGCTCTGTCGCCTCTAATGTGTTCTTCAGAACCAACGAGTTTGTAGGTAGAATCGATCTTGTCAAAGATGTTGATGAATCGCTGCGCTGGGATATGGTCGTCCAGAATACCTTGGCACACTTCTTTCGACTTCCATTTCTTACAATTAGGGCAAAGGCCTCCCCGAGTAGGACTGAGTTTGGTAACGAGGCATTCTGCGTGGAATCCAGTATGACAATCTGAGCAGATCATAGGACCTACTGCACGACAGATACTTGGACCCATTTCCAGCTTGTTCCCTGCGGCTCTTGCAGATTTCTTTGCTTCAAATTCCTCTCGCAGCCGAGCAGGAGGAGAGTAGGTGTACAGATCTTCTTCGCAAATAGAGCACTTGAACCGGAATGCGTGGCTGGTTTCGGGGTCCGCGAAGCGGTCGTCAAAGTAAAGCTTCAGGCAATGATAGTCGATGAGATTGTCGAGGTCAGGTTCCAACCATGGATGCTTAGCTACCAGGAGTTGAAGATGCCAGTACACCTCTTGGAACAATTTTTCCACCCCAAAGGCCACATCGTATGCTCGCATGCTGAGGTCGGCGTTTTTGAGTTGTAGCTCATATGTCCCACAGATCTGGTATGCGATGTCCAAATCGGTGAAGGCGTTGAGAACCCCACGCTGAGCAACCAAAAGGTATTTGACGTCTGGATCCAGGAGGTCCGAATGGAGAAGTTGTTCACGCTCTAGTGTGTATGTGGCTGTTGTGGCTTCCTGTTCAGTGCACAAGTTGTCTTTTTGCTCGCTGAATCTTCGATGAGCATCAAGCGTGGGTTTTGGCAGTTCCCATATCAGATCTTCCGTCAAGGCACATCTGTGGTGCTTGCTGGACTTGAGCATGGCCATGGTCTGTTCGGACATTGTAGCTGCAATGATTGCCATCAACTCTATCTGTCTCCAGTATGGTATCGTGTCTGATGGAGGGTTTCCATTCTCTGCTTGATGTACAAGATTCTGGAAGAATGGTAGGCCAGATGTCTCTTTGGCATATCGGTAGTTGGCCATGGCCATCAGACACCAGCAAGTGGGATTGGGAAGCAAGTGTTGTTGGTAGCTCCTGGTGTCATGGAGGAAGGCTCATGGAGGATGAGGGAGAGAGCAAGTATCTGTAGCAACCGCTAGCTAATGTGAGAAATGTCGATGTTCACAAGCAATCAAGGAAAACGTGCGTGTAGCAGAAGAAGAAATTGTGTCTCTGGGTGAGAAGGAAGATCTGATCTCTCTGAGTTTTCCATGTGCATCTTATCAACAACGTAACAATGTATTCCCGGATTGTCCTGTATCTCAAACAACCAAGTAGGAAACTTGACACGTGCATGTTTGACGGCGCACTTGCTGACCTTCATATTGACTGAGATCTGAGTTCCATAACAAGCAAACGACCATCGGCTGCTGTCAAGGTTTGACTGCTTCACAACTAGACATTACCATCATATGTTCAGTAGCATCCGAACTGGTGACATGGAGCAAGCTTTGACCAGGCCAAAATCCAATGGCCACGATGGTCCCATTCTCAGACATGTTGTGGATTGGGCTCATAAGCAGAAGAGGATCATGGGAGCGAGCTAGCTGCTAGGGTAGTGGGCGTGCTGTGCCTGATACCCTCTTCATATATCTTACATTGATATGTATAGATTCAAGTCATCGTAAGCTTTCTTCTTCTGGCATCTTGGATGCATTGTTCTTGACAATGGTGGTGTTGAGGACACTTGTATCCAAGGTCAAATGCTGGTAAAAGCCAAGCGGATATACAACTTGGATATGTACTGAAGAAGGCAATCGGCCCTTCGATCACACTTAGGTTGGCTTGCTCAAGCATGTTTTCAATCATTGAGTATGCAAACCTGTAATAAGAGCCAAACAAGATGTCGTTGATATTGACGTTGGCCGTTGCGCCAGTGAATGTAAATACTCCCCCGTAGTAATAGAGGTTCAGTTTACGGCGGAACTTTTGATCAGCTTCGTACAATCGTAACATCGACTTCAAATGGCTTGTCCATCCTCCCACTCTTTACAGGCGCATTCGACCACTGGATGCGGATTGTAACATTCTCCGATATATTGGTGGATCGGAGCATGTCTACCATCCACCAGACCCGACATCTAAATCCTTCATCATGACCCCTCCGGCCGCCGATCTCTCCTCCAAATTCGGTGCTCCAGCAAAGAAATCCATCTTCGAACGACAAAAGGCCGAAGCGGAGGCAAAGAAGGCCCGAGAGAAAGCAGAGACTGCTGCTGTTCTAGAAGACTTTGTCAAAAGTTTCGATGATGAGAGTGACTCTCATTACCCATCAAAGCGGCCTACCGCTGGCTCTGGCGGGCCCTCCTCCGGCGGCTACGGTCCCGCTCCAGGGAAGAGACACTTCACCACCACAAGTTTGAAGAGTGGCCCTGGCAGCCTCGGGCCCAGCCCATCGCTACCAAAAAGCGGACCTGGGAGTCTAGGGCCTTCGCCATCGTTTGGGAAGAAGAGACAACGCGATGAATACTCTGGTTCCTGGGAGCGTGAGCGCGACCGAGACCGGGGGATGCTCTCATACAACAATGATCGAGATACCAATCACCCGCGAGACCGAAGTGATTTCCGTCGTCAAGAAAGAGAGGTAGAACATGGTGATGCGGACGAGATCAAGGCAGCTGCAAAGCCAACACTACATCTCTCATCCCTTCCCCCCAAGACATCGCCTGCGGTCATTAAAGGGCTCTTTGCCCCATCGCCGTTGACCGTTGAAGACGTTCGCATACTGCCTGCAAGTTCTACTCCTAGCGAGAGAAAATCCATCTCAGCCATCATCACCCTTGCGGCTGAAACACCTGCCACCGACATCGACACAATGGTTTCACACTTGCAGAACCGATATCTAGGCTTTGGATTTAATCTGTCCATCTCTCGTCATCTTTCTTCAGCTGCTTTGTCTGGCTCGACCTCATTGGGCAGTAATGTTCCTTCAGGAAACCTCAACAGTCTTCCCTTTGGCGCGAAGCCGATCCCACAAAACACCTCACTCTCGCGGGCTCCTCCACCAGGACAGAATTACAATCGGTTCGCCCCACCTACATCATACACTTCTTCCACGCCTTATGGACCTCGGTCCAATATGCCTTCCACACAAATCTCCGTCATTCCGCCTTCCGACCTCAAGCAATTGAAACTCATCCACAAGACTGTAGAAGCCTTGCTTTCGTACGGACCCGAATTCGAAGCCTTGTTAATGTCCCGCCCAAACATTCAGCGCGATGAACAGTGGGCATGGCTTTGGAATTCCCGATCGACAGGAGGTGTCTACTATCGTTGGCGACTTTGGGAGATCCTGACCAACGCCACAGCCAGAAATCGAAGGAGACCGGCAGGAGGCTACGGGTCACGTCCTCAAGGAGATGTCATCTTCGAGGGCCAGAGCATGTGGGTTCCGCCTGAAGACGGGTTAAAGTTCGAATACACTACCAAGATTGAAGAGTTCATCAGTGATGACGACTATAATTCATCCGACGAAGAGGATATGGAAGAGGATGGCGGCTTGGCTAGACGATATCATGATCATCAGAGAATGAGCGGCGTGACGACCGAAACACACGACAATGATGGTGCAGGGTATTTAAACCCTCTCGCAAAGACCAAACTTGTCTATCTCCTCTCTCGATTACCCGACTCCAACTCCAAACTTCGAAAGGGTGACGTAGCCCGGGTGACAGATTTCGCCATCGAGCACGCCGGGGCTGGAGCAGATGAAATCGTAACATTAATCACCAGGAACATCATTAATCCATTCTGCTTCGCAGTACAAAAGCCAAAGTCAAGCAGGAACTCCTCTGAAGAAGACGAGGCTACGCCGGATATTGACGCCGAGAGCGAGCAGAAACCCTCATCCTCAACTCTCAAAGACACAACAGCAACCTCTCTCGTCGGCCTCTATCTCGTCTCCGACATCCTATCATGTTCCGCAAGCTCCGGCGTACGGCACGCCTGGCGATACCGGTCTTTATTCGAAACACAACTCCGTCGTCAAAATGTATTCCCCATCCTTGGACGCGCAGAACGGCGATACAACTGGGGCAAGTTGAAAGCGGACAAATGGCGACGCAGTGTGCAAAGCGTTCTGAGTCTCTGGGAAGGATGGTGTGTATTCCCACAGGATGCACACGAAGGATTTGTCCAGGGATTTCTAAATCCACCATTAACGGCAAAGGAGAAACACGAGCAGGAAAAAAGAGAAAAGGAAGCAAAAGAATCAGACATGTCGGCCAAAGACAAGAACACCGCCAACATCAATAGATGGCGTAGCGTCGAAAGTTCAGAGACTGGGTCCGGGCCTAACCAGGGCTACTCAGCCCGTATTGACGGGAGTCGAATGGACGTGGATAGCGGCATCGACGGCACTCCAATGCGACCGGATGGGAATGAGGGCGAGGAAGGGGACGAGGGTTTTGATGATGCAGATCTTGATGGAACTCCTATGGTAGATTCGAGTGACGAGGAATTCGAGGCAGACGAGCCTGGCCAGGTGCCTCCACCTCCAGGTCTACCTCCACCACCGCCGGCGGAGGTGCCAGACACAGATATGAAAGACGCTGATTCACGGCCGCCACAGCCGCCACAGCCGCCACCGGAAGCTTCGTCATCTGCATCAGAACCACATGCCCAAGGTCGACGAGCTCGTCCTAGAGCGGCCGATTTCGATGACATGTTCGATTGATTCATCGATGCTTGCTTTCACGAGAAACTTAGGTCTAGTCTTGTGTACATGTATAAACAAATGACAAAACAATAAGTCTTCTTTCACTATTGATAAGCTAAAGAGAGTCGCTAGTCAAGCCAAAGAACTGTACGTACAGACAACTCTTAGTCTTACGTTAGTGGACATGATAATACAACGATTAACTTTGAGTGAAAGAACACAGGTCGAAATTGTATCTAGTGTATCAATTCTTCTTCTTGTCGAGACGAATGAATAGAACCCAACTCCGCGTCGAAACAGAAATACCATCCATCAGTTCCAATCCCACCACGTCACATATCAATACTGACCCATCCATAATCACATCAGCCATACAGGTAGGTAGGTACCTAAGGTTGGTGATGCGACAGGCTGTTTGGTGGTGTTGTGTCTTTAACCATAACCATAATTCCATATCCAGGGTTTCGTTTCGCCCAGAAGCTCTTTCCTGGGGGGATTGGGCCCAGCTAGCCGTTGGGGCCGCTAACAAGCTCTAACATATTCCAAATAATGATTGGATACTCGCACCAATATATGCAAATAACCTATGACGAGCCTATACCTGCTCTGCGCTCTCCTTGCCAGGTTCCCCTTCAGCTTCCACGGTGCCTTTGAGTCTTGGCTCGGTAAATGTCTCAGGTTCAGGTTCATGAGTTGTCGTCTTCTCCAGTGGTGCAGTTCCATCGTCAGTGCTGGCGGTGGTCTGTTTGCTGACGGGAATGGCATCTGTGCTTGGGTCGACTTGTTCTCTTTCCAACTCAGGACCGTCTGCCTGGCCGCTACTTGCAGTTGTCGCGTTCGATAGACCGACGTCTTCGACTGAAGTTTTTTGGCTCAGAGGGTTGGATCTTTCCTGGGTCGGCGTGCCAAGAGAAGGTTCTGGCGTTTTACTGTCAGTTGGGGCAGAGGATGGGGTGATCTCGTCCTTCGTAGATGGTTCATGATCAGTGGTGTCGATTGTAGAAGGAAGAGGGCTGTCGGCCACTGTGGCACTCTTGAGTTGCTCTGACTTGGAGTCGGAGACTCCTGTGGTCTCCAGCGCAGCTTGAAGAGGCTCGTCGGCCGGCTTGGATGATGAGATACTTGTTACATTGATTTCATCCGTGTCGTCGATCGTCCAGAGAGAATGAGGCTTGAACATTGAAAATTGCAGAGTTGGGGGCGATGTTGCGCTCGCTGCTGGTGACCTGGCCGGTGCCCTTCTTTGTGGTCCGCGGGCTCTACTCTTCCGGGCATCGTCGAGGGTCTTAGTCTCTTCGGCTGGTTCTGGCTCTTTTTCTTTAGGAGGTCCTAGGCCTAGCTTTTGATTGAGATCGTTCATAAAACTGCCACGAAGATTCGCAATTTTTGGCCCTGTGCCTGGTCGAGCCGGAACCTGCGGCTTCACTTTAGCCAAAGGCGGAGACACCTTGTCTTGCGCAGGCTCGGCTGCCTCTGGGGATGTCTGTTTCGTTAAGACATCTCCGGCAGGTTTCTTGGGCCGGGCAGGAATCTGGGGTTTTGGTCGACCAGGAATACTGGGCACCTTCTTCAGTTCAGTCGGTGATGAGCCTTTCGGTTCAGTCAGGGTAGCTCCGAAGGGTGGCGCTGCATGGACCTCCTTGTCGGGGCGAGCGGGTACACTCGGAGCTTCTTGAGCTGACGAGGCGCCTTCTCCGAGTCTACTCTTCCCTGGTCGAGGGGGCACCAAAGGCTTTGCGGTAGCCTCGGTTGGGCTGTCTGGCTCATCTTCAGTTTGAGCGGCACTGACTGTCGTCACGAGGTGGTGGCTCTCTGGACTGTCTTCCCAGATATCTGAGCTAGGGAAACGAGGTATGGCTCCGGGTCTCGTAGGCATGTCATTTCGCAGGTGGGGTGCGAAGACAGATTTGGCCAATCTCTCTTCTCTGGGTGCAAAGGTTTGTCGATCAGCTTCCGTGGCCTCCCCTTTTCTTGCATGCTCCTGCTCGGAGGTCTCGAAGGTCTTGGACGTCTCCTTGTCCAGTCCCTGGCTTCCGACCTGCTCCGGGAGATCTGGAGTTGACACGGTTGCAGAGTATAATGCACTGCTGGGAGTGTCCTCCCAGATATCTTGGCTGGGAAATCGTTGCTTCAGAGCGTTTGGCCTCTGTTTGAAACGCTCGGCGTGGCTTATCGGCTTCTGACCATCGTCTTCTGGGAACAACGGCTCGTACTCAGTAACATCCTCGAGTGGAGTGTGCTGGTTTTCTCTGTCGTCGTGGTGGGAGACAAATCTTTGCAAGGTATTGGAATTACTCGAGGAGCCGTACAAGCTGGTTGGTCGACTGGATGGGCGTGAGCCTGGGGTACCATCGCCACGATAATCGTCATGAAAGCTGCTGTGGCGTTCTTGTTTAGGTGACACTGCGGGTTGCATGTGGCTTATTCCAACCTCTTTGGCAACCTCATCCTCAGCCAGAATTGGAACGGAGTAGCCATGTTCATTGATATAGTTGTCTTCATCAGTTGGGTGGGAGATGGAAGATCGTACTGGTCTTGTTTCGTTAAGACTTTCTTCACCACCAGTCACTTTGTTGTAACGGCGCTGAGGCTCAATATGGACTTCTTGTTCAGCTTCACTATCGATAGCATCATCTGATCGGCCAGATATTGAAAGCCTGCCTCTCCGCACCTCGGCCGGAATAGTTTCATCTGCGGGGAAACTAGCCTTTCGTAGGGGTGACTCGGTTGCCGGCTGAGATGTGTTTGTGACAGTGCGAGCAAGGCTGTTGGGGGTGTTTTGTTGGGAGCGTGAGAACAGCTCGGACGCGGTGTAGCCAACTTGCTCGTCTGGGTAGGAGAGTGCGGTTGAAGAAGTCCCTGTGGCACTAGTGAGCTCAAGAAGAAACATGGGAGTTCAAAGAAGGCAGACTTACCAAGGTTGGAAGCACGACTTGCGGTGTTACGGACGATCTGGTTGAGATCATCGCTGCTCAAGGCAAAGCTGCCGCGGCCACTGCCTATGCTTTCATACACACCATGGCCATGTGTCTCCTCAAACTGGGCGACCTCTGGGTGTTTTGCATACCAGTCTTTTTCAAACTTGTCTTGGGGCGCTTGGCCATGGCTATGCAACCCGTAACTGCCCGGAGGCGCGAATGTTTCTCTGCCACTCTTGGTCCTAGAATGATGGGATCTCCGCTTCTCGGTATTGTTGCCAGTAGTGTGGGGACTATGAGGAGCGGGGGAAGGGGCTTGGACGTCTCCCAGGAGAGGGTTGATGGGCACACGCAGACCAAGCTCAGCAGGGCCTTGCTCGTCGCCATAAATGGAGAGGCGGCGGCCTTCGTCCATGGAGCGACGACTGCCTTCGGTGGAGGGTCTGCGACCTTCAATAGCGGAGCCTGGTCTGGAAAAGCTGGATCTTGTTCTCACCTGGTGCAAGTGATCATTCTCCTCGATGCTAGGCGTGGGAGGTTTACCAAAGCCAGCGACACCCAGAAATGGAGCCGGTGTGCTATCGGTTCGTGTGACGGCTTGGACTTGAGCTGTAGCACTTGATTTTGGCAAAGAGGGCTTTGGTGCATAAAGCTTCAGGTCCTGGCCGATATTCCGAGTTTGAGCGGCGGCATCTGCACCAAGGGAGGAAGTGGGAGGTTGCTGGTTTGTCTGGAGGTCCATGATCTCGGCATATTCCATGCCCTCTTGGCCGATTGAAGGCAGATTCTGGACGCTAGGAGGTCTGGGGAGGGACTCGCGTTCGCTGGTCTTCTGACGGGACAGGTTGGCGGACCATGGCTCGTTCAAAGGACTCCGAGGAAAGTTTGCGGGGGATATGGAACGGTCGAGGCGTTTGTTGATGGGTCGAGGAGGGATATCTGGCAGCTTGCCCACACCTTGTTGTGAGGCAACTTGTTGGGAACGAGCAGGGCGAGGAGGAACGGTTGGGATGACTTGGGCGGACATGATGGGCAAGTGAATGCTTGATGTCTATGAGCATGAGAATGTTGTCAGTATGAAGTGGGGGAAAGTGAAGAATGAAGGCAGGAGAAAGGAAGGCAGTGGAAGGAGGATGCTGTCATGGGTAGGTGGGCCAAAATCGTGGTACAACGGCGGGATGACGATCGAGGGATCGTCGTGATAAGAAATGGGGTTGGAGAAAAGCTGGGCGACGCAATTGGGTTTGCGAGAAGTATGCTACATACCTAGTTTTGATGAGACAAAGGCGACCTGACGGTTGCGATGGAGGTGAAAAGGAAGCTCAACGGTCAGAAAACAAAACAAATGAGAATTGGAAGAATGACTTGAGTGTAGAGGCAGAGGGCGAAATGGTGAGAAGATATGGGTACTATGGCCACGAGGCGGTGTTGGGGTCTGGAAATGTCTCTAATTGTAGGATTGAGGCGTGCCCAGAGATATGCAGGCCACTGACCAGGTCACGGTGGATGAGTGGTTGAGGTGAATGTTTGTTGATGGCGATGATGTGCACAAGTGCAACAACGTGAAAGAACAGAACATCAGAAGGAAGTCGGGTCTTCGGTACTTTGCTTTCTGGCCGTCACTTCATTATCTATCTCGACTGAGATTGAGATCGACTCAAAATCGCGATTGTCGAGGGCTTATGCGGTAGAATAAAGGGCAAACTAGGCAGGGCTGGAACGTCAATGGCCAGTGGCCAGTGCCTAGTCGTGCCTAGTGCCCACTTATCCCTGATTCGGCTCGAGTCGGTCAAGAGGGAAGAGGGAATAGGGATTAAAGCCCAAGAAGAGGCAGCCAGGCGGTGGAACGATGGCCACAGCACGCCCAGAAGGATGCCCCGAGGAGCCCGAGGGAAGGCCAGGACGTGGCTCGCCAACGCTACCAAGTTACAGCATGTACAACCACTGTATCGGGCCAAGCAGCCAGTAAGAGTCGTTCTTGGGGGTGGGAAAGCTCGTCACCATCATCATTTTGGGTCCTCGATGGAGCCCCAAGGCCCGCAGGCACTTTGGGGACAAATCGCTGTTGGCTTGTCTGAGAATTGAGCAGATTACTATTGGCTGCGTTCCTCGTGCATGGGCCAAGGTTGAGTTCAGGTACCACATTCTGGCATCACACTAGCCATGCCGTTGACTCTTTTCAGGTTTGGGACTCAGAATTTACGTGTGAATGACGATTGTGATGATGCATGATTGATTGATTCATCTGGTGATGCAGCAACGCCTACAATGCCATAACTAATGAGACCACCGAGTCCTATTCCAAGAGTCCACTGTTCCTCAGCTGGTCAAATTGGAAGTCACTAATGAGCCATTTATGCCGCCTGAACTGATTCTTTCTTGTCCCCCCGCAACTGAGTCACGGTTCAGGTCGCTTTCGGCGGGGCGGTTAGTAAGAGACTAGAGTGAAAAGAAAGCGACTTGGCAGCTCCAGGTTACCTTGGTCCTTTAGCTGTGGCTCCGTTCCTGCGCTGACAACGCCTAACCAAGTTGTTTCGCCGTGAATAACCATCGCTAAGCTTGGGATACCAGGTGGCATTTTGAGCAAAGACACGCACTTTTATCGCCTCATTCTTATTGTTATCTTCATCATTGATCTGATTCCGAAGTCCATAGCGAAAGAAACATTTTTGCATAATAACGTTGGCGACCCGCAGATGCATGGCGCAATATTAGGCCTGAGATTGCAACTCGATGTACTGTAAAACATGTTCGCATGGGCTTCGGGCGGCTTCCCTTGTAAAAACTAGCTTCACCATTGATTCTTAACAGGTGCCACAAATCGAGCATATTCAAGCCATCTCACCGATGGATCATTACACCTCATGACTGCTAGACTCAAATTCCTTCTTCTCACGTGGCCAATAGTGTCCACTCTGGCGTTGTCAAAGCTGCCACTCGTACCGCTGCAAGGTTTCTCTATCATGCGGTGTCTTAGCACCTGATCAGAAGAAAACGGAAGTGGCACTGCCCGTCACCTCCTTTCCCCCGCATTTTTGGTTCTGGTGGCATTTGTGGCACCAGCTGCCGAATTTTACCTCATCACTCGGTTGGGCCCTGCCGTCTGAAGGAAGATGGCTCTCACGGCTGTTGCTTCTTCCCCACAGTTAACTTTGTGACTACTGCACATTGAATCGAGATTTTTCCAGCGGACCTTTCATAGTGCTCACCCGGTCTCCCAGAAATAGATTTCTCATCCGATATTGATTCTATGGAGGATTCGCACAGTGTATTCGCCTTTCTCAGGTGTAAGGTCTCTACTTCCACACACATTCTTAATCTTCAAACGTCTTCGGAGATATAGTTGCTTGACTGTATATACAATTTCTTTGCGCCTTGAGTTCCATCGAGGCTTCATCCAGTCTGGAACATATGCAAGATGTCACGTGACTACGCTCAAATGCTTCGATCACGTTTATATCGGCATCCTGTGCGCCCTTTGCTACGTTACAGGTGCCTCACCCTGAGTAGAAGATCTAGAACTCTATCAACTCAACAAACAAGTGGTCGATGTGGAAGATCTAAGTACGGGGGAGTTGCCGAAAGCAAGACCCGCTTGGACCATAAGTGAAGTGTTTATCCTTTGCTGATCGTGACGGCGATCTGGATCAGGAAGGTATCTGGGTAGGCATCTATCTACCTTCTAGAACATCAATGAGAACATGAGATATTGTGGGTGATATCATTATTGACTGGAAGTCGATGTCGGACTTTATCGACAGGAAGATGCCGGAAAACAAGCTCGCCAAGTGAACTTTTGGGGAGTTAGCGGCATACGTAATTGCTATAATGCAAGATTTTCGGCCTAAAGGAGGCATTCTCATGGTCAATCTTAGGGATTTGGCCTTATCTCCAGATCGCCAAGGCCATAAACGCGGGCTTGAGGCTAAACGCCGGCGAGAGCACATGGAAACATGTGTTCGATATGACATGATCAGCATTTGTTCTTGACTTTCTGGAAAAGCTATTGATGTAGATGGTCTTTTTGAGTCTAGTAACATTCTACATGCTATTAGATTATCTTATCCATGGATTTAGGGACGAAATCTTCTCATTCCGCGTAGATTAAAGGATGTGAACCCAAGTATATAATTCTTAGATTTCCCCTTGGTTCACAAGAGAATCTCATCAGACTTCCGGTTAACGACTTATATCACCTAACCAATATCCAAATCAAAGATCTTAGAGGTACTTGAGCGCTACAGTCTAACTTCACACCCATTCTCGAACAATCAAGATCCACCTTCCTTGACCACACGAAATCCGATTCTACCCATCCCAACACCATGACATCCAGCCCTCTCTCCGGCAAAGTCGCCGTCGTCACCGGCGGATCCAAAGGCATCGGAGCAGCCACAGCAACAACGCTTGTAAAACTCGGAGCAAAAGTGGTCATCAACTACGGCCGGGACTCTGCGGCAGCAGAGCAACTAGTCCAAAGCCTTGGTGCCGACAAGACCTTTGCCGTGCAAGCCGACGCCGGTACCGTCAATGGAGTCGAACAACTCGTGCAAGCCACCGTTGATAAATACGGGAAAATCGACATCTTAGTACCCAACGCAGGCATTCTACCCATGAAAACCATTGAATCCACCACAGAAGCGGACTTTGACCGTGCATTCAACCTCAACGTCAAGGGACCGTATTTTCTCGTCCAGAAAGCCCTGCCTCACATCCCCGCGGGCGGTTCTATCATTCTCGTCTCAACTACACAGAATCATGCTTCTACAGTCAGCCCGCCTTATACACTCTACTGTACCACGAAAGGAGCGATTGAACAACTCGTGCGTGTCTTATCAAAGGATCTCGTGGCAAAGAAAGGGATTAGGGTCAATGCCGTGGCTCCGGGTCCGACGGGGACGGATTTGTTCTACGAGGGAAAAAGTGAACAGGTCTTGAAAGCTATCGCTGGTTTGAATCCGCATAATCGGATTGGTACTCCAGAGGAAATTGCAGATACTATTGCGTATTTGGCTGGTGACGGTGCGAGATGGATTACGGGACAGACAATTGCGGTGAATGGAGGGCAGGCATGATAGGGTAGACAAGTTCTGTCTAAGTACCTAGTGTTGTAGAACAAGCCAGCGTGCGTTTTTCTTGGATTGTAGGATTATTGGGAATACTTACCTAGGGAAGAAACATTCTTAACTACCTACTTACCTGTGTCGCAATCAATATTGCCAACGATGCAGCCCTCTATCAGTATATGTCCTTACATCAAGGAATTGAAGTACACGGGTACATAGTTATTGCCATCCATCCTGACGAATGAGCATCCTTCAGAAACAAGGTTAACCTTAACACCCAAATTCAAGTGAGGTTACATGGGGCGGATCTAGAACCCTCTTGAGTTCAACAAGTCCTTCTAGGTGCGGCTCGCCCCCAAAATCCAAAATTCATGGTTAAGTTCATTCTTAAACTGTAGACGTAGTGCGGGGGTGCAGTGGACAAAGTGTATCGCCCATACAAATGACCAGCACATGACTTGATTTGGGATCCTTGGCTGCCGTATAAGGAAACCTTGGGCTCACTTGATGGGCCAGCAAACGAGTTTAAAGTACTTAGGTCTGAAAGATGCTTAAAATCCAGTTTTTGGTGGTTGGGTTTTGGGTGGAATATTGTCCATGACATTTGGACGTTGTCGATTATGTGGGATACTTTCAATAGTATGGATATTGTGCCTTGTTCTTAGGTACCTAGGTACTTACTTGCGTGCTCCAAATTGTCCTTGCTTCTTCATAATGATGTCGTCGTAGGTGCGGATTACATACCCGTCTACGTATGTCATGTGTTTCCTGTAGTGGAATTACACATTCCCGAGGCGATGACTTTGTCGAGAGAAAAATCATGTCGTCAGGTTGATTCGGCAAAGGGGATTTCATAGCATGTCGACATTTTGACATGGTAATCAATGAAGAATCCTTGACCCGTTTTATGAACCATCCCAGGGGCTATTTTGGCCCGAGGGCCCCCTCGGCCTTCGTGGCTACCTTGGGTTTTAACTAAACCAACTACAATACAAGTATACTAACTATCTATAGGTTGGACTTCCTCAGACACCAACCAAGGTACTTTCTTCCCACATTCCTTTTGAACAACAAACCGAATTCCTCGAATGCTCATTTCAACTCCAACTTGGAAACAATCCAATCACAATATAGTTCCCTGGGCCTGGGTTCCTTACTCCAACCACGTAATCAGCCAGCCCATTTGTCTCCTTATATCACTTCCCGCCTTGCTTTGCAGCTTGAGCCTGAGCCTGCTTTCTTGCAATTTGAGCTTGACAAATATTCATCTGTGCTTGTTTCTGAGCCTGATATTTCTCCTTGTCTCGCTCGACCTTTTCCTTCTTTTGTTGCGCCGACCTCGCCATGCCAGGAGCATAGCAGATGGGATTGGCTTGCGGCATTCGCCTTTCAGGACCAGGGGGAATGTCCCTGCGCAGTACGACATCCCATTCACCGCCATCGTTGGGCCGGTCGAGTCGTTCGACGATGTGAAAGGTCTCTTCGAAGGTCTGCATGCCATTCTCGTAGTACCAGCGAAGTGTGATGGTTCTGTTGCAATTATACACTTTACCATGTTGGTCGGTGAACGTGGTGACGGTGTTTGGCTTCACTTTCCCCTTGGTTGCACTCGCTTTGGTTGCTGATATGAGCGAGCTCTGCAATGCCTCATCACGAACTGCCTTGTTGAGCTTGATGATCGTCTCTTGGCCGTCGGCCATGACTGAAATCGACGTTGGACTGTTGCTACCCGCCTGGAAGAGAAACACATCATGGGTCAGCACATCTTCCAGGGAAAGAACAAAGACCAAAGGAATTCAGAAACAACAGAGACTCAGCTGGCAAGGTAAGCCATATTTCTGACTTACCATCGAAGGAGACGACTGTGGTCGATGGAAGAGTTGAGGCCGTGCTGCTTTCCATGCTTGATAAGATGGTTGAAGCTGCTCGTCTTGAGGACAAGCATTCGAGGCCCACCGCTGTGTTCCTGCTGCCATTCCACAAGCTGTGTGGCAACCGCAAGGCGAAGCAGATGTTCAGCAACAGCGTTTGTACGACAAACTTGCGCTCAAGCCCAAGCCTCAATTGAAATCCTGCTGCGCTGGCTGCAAGACATTGGTAGACCCGGACATTCTTTATATAGCTGTTGGCCACGGCCATGAAACACTCTTGTTCGCTCCGTAAAACGCTACTTGCACCTCATCTGCCACTGTTGTGTCTTCTCCAGTTCTTGTACCTCAAGGTCGCGGATGCGGGCGACGCATTTGTCACTTTCCATGTCATTTGGAAATTGTGCCCACATTGAGAAATTGTTTCACCTTCAAGGGGGGGTCAGATGGAAAATGCACGTCTCGAAATGTTCAAGGAACAAAGTATCCTGATTCGGGTATCCAAAGCATGACTTATACCAACCTGAAAGAAATCTATTTTGTCTTGGGCTCGGGCTTTTGCTGCCAGACACTCGGCAGGTCCCCCAATGTTACACACGTGTTGAGATGAGACTTCCAACATGGCTAAACACCATGTCAAACCCCTGTAAACCTTCCATCGTTACTCGTCCAATGCACCGCTGAGGACGACCCATTTCCGACTCTCCGAAGCACCGATCTCCAGAACTCGATGCCCGATTGTTATGACACAGCCGCACCACCTGACCATGACGGTTTGCACCATATAGATGCTGAAGGACCCTGCGCATGGGAGTCACTGTAAAAAAAACTTTTGTCTAGACTGCGCATATGGTGCTGTCTTCCATCTGGGTGTTCGAGTCCTCTTGATCGGTTTGGGGATAACCTCTTTCATGCATCGTTAGCCACCACAGCAACACCAGGAAATCCATCCTGTTCTCGCGGATCCAAGGTGCTCCAAGAAGGCAGTCGAATGCAGGTTCGCAATCTGGCGAAAATATGTAGAATCGTGTCCGATGTTGCTTGTGAGGAGTCCAAAGAGGTAGGGTACCAGACCCATACTGCCAAACGATCGAGGTTTGACCGACAATGTCGGTACATCCAGCCAGCGAATAGACACCTCCATTATAGGGTGTTATCGGCAGGTTCAATTCTTGCTGCATCTTGCTGCTTATGAGATTGAACTGGGACCCTGTATCAAGCAACCCCAACCTGAGAGACTTCCCTAGTGGTTGCCAACCTTCATGCGAACCCAACTTCCGCCGTTGATGGATCAACATGGGCACACTTGGCAGAGGCACTCCGATGCTTTCCTCCTCGAATGGGAGCGGTTCTCTGAGAACTGATTCCTCATCACATTGATGTGGACGTGCCACAAGGGACACCAGCTTGAGAAGCAGAATCACTCTTCCATACAGGGTTTTCCATTCCTGGGTCTGCCTTTGGAACAATTGATATGTCCACAACCACCACCTGAATGTTGTTGAATGCAGCTCGTCAAAAGTCAAAAGTCCAACCATTGCCCTCGCTGACTGAGGGTTTTCTGGAATACGATAGACACAAGTGCAAAAAGTTTCAACCGAAAAGAAGGTCCCAATGCGAGGACTGACAATTGGGTCAAGCAGAGCCCTCATTCAGAAGATCTAGGCAAAATCTGTGAGCCGAGTGGACCAAGTTAGGTGTTCATAAATGTTCATGCTTGATCGTCGAAGGTAAGATTGTGATCTCCGTGAAAATTGAAAATGCATTGTTTGGGATATCGTCGCACGAGTGTCGGCACATCCAGCTGCACCATGACACTTTGTCCCATGGCGTTGTACTTCTGAAGTGGTGGCTGCAGTCTCCTCAGACCCGCACCTGTCCGTTTCCGTGGCATTGAGACATGGCATCCATCGCTCGGTGCGTCGGCGTATTTTGGATTTCTCGGAAGGTGCTCGACATCTCTATTATAACTCTGGCGATTTGCCTTGTGTTGTCGCAAAAGCTGAATCATGTACAACAACGGGAGGGCTGGGAGAGTGAGAAAACCACTAGCCGTGTTGTTAGGAACCTCGATGGCAGAACATGATGTGCTATGACCTGCTTCCGGAAGTTCGGAGGCTAGTAATCAACTTGGTAATGCAGCCATCGATCCTATTCATATGTTCCATGCCTGGGATTTGGGTGACATTCAAAAAACCAAACCAGCTGTTGATAACATGTGAATGTCTACAAAGAGATTGAAGAGCTTCGACACGTGCACAGGTCGTTTGCTGCTTGAAACGAGGTGGATGACTCCCTATAGAGGCATCTGGATTGTTGGGAACAATTTTCAGCGAATAGCTTGTGGTAAATGGCTGGCAGCCGCCCAAATTCCCATCAAAATAATGTGTGGAACACGTGAGTGTCATCACGGATGCCTTTGAGCGCCTCAAATTGCCTTGCCACCATTTGAGCATGGGTTGCAGTGCTGCGGTTTGGGGCGGTTCAGCCCATCTTTGGTCCAACGGACTTGCCTCACATCCATCGGCTCGGGCACCAAAAGGGCGCACCCCCCAATTGCGCCATGTTACATGGACAGTCGTACAGTGGAACGGATCTGGTTCCGAATATAAGTTCTGTGTGCCATTGTGCTCCCAGCGTGTTAGACAGCATTCCTTCTATTGACAAGGAGACAACCGAACTCCGCCCTGATCGGCCCACCGCCATAATGACTGGATATGGTGCACTAGCCAAAATGATGGTGTCGAGGCGTAACCAGGAGACATTTCGAAAATTCAAAAGGCTAAACACTGAGATCATGCTGCATCAACAGGCGGAGCTGATGCACCTAGAGATGGTGATTGAGGAGATTAGGAAGTATCCTGGGATGAACGAATTTGACCGCCGGTGGATCGAAAGTCCGGAGAAGCTGTCGGAGACAGACATTGAGGGAATTTTTGAGCGGTCGAGAGAGCTACTGGCCCAGTACCGTGAGTTCTGAGCCAAAGAATGAATGGTTGAAGTGGAGCTGATGCTGATATCAAGATAGACTCGTCGGCATTACAGACTTCGCGGATCAATGCGCTGCAAGTGCCCCGAAGAGACGAGCTGGAGCTACGCAGACACTGGTACGATGAGGAAAGCGGAGGCAACGACTTTCTGTACGGGGTGGAAGCAGGGATCTTTCGAGAGGAGGAGTTTGAAGCGGACCTGATGGTTCTGCAGGATAACGGTACACCTTGGGATCCATTGGCCACGTTCCTGGGAGACAAGGTAGTACCATTATACCACCGTCTTGTTGGGCACAAGATTCACCGGTCGATGCCGGAGAAAGTATTTGATGGTACATGGGAATACACGCCGGAAATGCTGATAAAGGTGGGCAATACGATCTGTATGTTGTTGTCGGCTGTGATTCCGGCACTGTCGATTCTTGTCTTGTTCAGCGTCCAGTCTATGGCGGCTCGGTTGACAGCAATATGTCTGATGAGCCTGATCTTCTCACTGGTGATGAGCATCATTGCTCAAAGGCGAGCAGATGTCTTCATGTCAACCACAGCATTCGCAGCAGTGTTGGTCGTGTTTGTAGGGAGCTCAGCAGATGAGATCGCCGATTAGTCAAGTTGAGTCAATCCAGGTGGAAAAGAGAAACCCCCGAATGTGGTACGGAGAGAGGTGGAGCTGTGAAAAGGCTACACAAGCGGCATGCCCGTGGAACTCACGGGGAAACAAGAGGTTGCCAATATAAGTTCAAGGTCGAGCCGTTGATGCCGACAGCCGAACCTTGTTCCTTGGAGTCAGTCATATTTACCTGGCGATGTTTTCGGCTGGGACAAGCAGCAGGCGTCCAAAGAGTTGCCCAAAAGTCATGCCACCTGATGGTGGTCAGGCAGAACAAATCCCTTTGTTTGTATCCGCTGAACGAGGTATACAGGCAGTAATCACGGAGAATGATATCATAACTCGGCTCATTTCAGGAAAAAATACACATAAAGAGGAGGATCGCACATGGGCAATTACCTGGTCATTTCCTGGAATGGTTGAGGGATTCGATCTGTCCAATTGAGATTCTGAAACAATGATGGACCAGGAGGGCTTCTGATCGAGCTTTGGGCACCTTTGAGGTCTTTTATCCGGCAAAAAGGATTGAAAAGAGTAGTCTACAGAAGGAAACGCATGGAAGTCGGAGTTCCATGTGGTCCGTATAGTGGTGGAGCATGATCTTGAGCTGCTGTTGCAGGAAAGAAGCACCCATACTCCGAATCGGGAAGTGCTTGGCGGAATGTCTTGAGTCAGGAACGGCAGCCACATGATTTGAAGAGGCAGGAAAGATCTATTATGAGGGCACCAGATCCGTACGAGTAGGAGTAGGTAGGTGGTGGCTTAGGTAGGTACCTGAGTCAGTAGTAGGTCGCTTTGGTAGGTGGCTCGGTGCTGCGGTACTCCAGGCTCCTCCCAGGCCAAAGCTGAGACCTGACTTTCCCTAAAAGCTATGGTGGGGCAACCTCCCTCCTGCAGGTCCTCTGCTCCTCGCCCTCGAGAGTCGAGCAAGAGTTGAGAGTTGAGAGTTGACGTAGACTCTCGTCATGCCTATCATCAGGCTACCCGCCAGTCCCGCCCACCCGTTGTTCCTGCCCACCGCCTCCCACCGGCAGGAAGACCTATCACTTGCGCGAGCTTCACCCTAAGCCGGAGATGTCGTAATTCCATCTTTATTGGGCAACATCGGCTCAACTGCGAGTAACAAGTGCCTTACTTGGGCAAATTCGGCAGAGGATCTCTTTGGTGCCGGATCCCTGGACTGACTCCTGGCCGAGGTGGCTCTTGCTCTCACTACGGAGTACTACTACTGATCAGTCTCAGCCCATGGCCCCTCGGACCCCAAGGGGCCCCCCTCGATCCCCTCGGCCAGGGATCTCTCTCACTTTCCCTCTCTCGATCTCTGAGCACATCTTGTCGTGGTGTGTGCCTCTCTCTCAGGCCAGCGCTGTGGCAGCCGTGGCAGTTCAGCAGACTCACGCCTAGCAATGGAAGAGGTGGGAAAGATACCCACTCTGCCACTTTGGTCTTGCCTGATTCTTGCACGTCCCCTCATCCTCCCTCCCTCCTCCAAAAATCCTCCTCAACTTGAACTGGTCTGTCACTCTGCCACTCTGCTGGTGCACCAGCTTCCGGAGTAGAGAGCTCTTGCTCTGGCACCAACCGATTCCCCTTCCCCCTCGTCTCTCTATCTCGTTAGTCTCTTCCCTCTCCATCTGTCACCATTTCGCTTCCTCGTCTGACCTTCCAGCCTCTTCTGCGGCTTCTCCCTTCCCTTTCTCCATCTCCCCCCTTCAAAGGGGAGAGAGCTTGACTTCTTACTCAGGCTTGCCAGTGACGCCAGCACCCTCCCTATGAACCTGTCTCCTGCCTGGTAACTCTACCTTGACTTTTTACGGGTCTATGCCGTTACCCACTTGTCGTAGCCATGGCCTCCAGCCATTCCCCTTGCCTTGCTCGTTGCGTCGCACCTCCAAGCTGACCTCTCCATCCGCCTTGTTACTGTCCCAAAGCTCTCGGCCCTGACGTTTTGCGAGGAGCTTCCCCCGTCCCTCAAAAGTCTCAGCCGTGCCCTTTCGCTCTCCTTCAACTTGTCTCCCATTGTTCTCTCCCTCGCACCTACAGGACTTGTGTAGTTCCCATACCCTTCGCGCTACATCTTGCCCTGCCATTTTCGCCCCTCTCTGCTCCATTCTTCTCGCCCCCCCTCCATCACTACATCACAGCCGCCGCGACTTCGCCATGGCTCCTCGAAGAAGACGTCAAGACTCTGATGATGAAGAGGAAGAAGAGGAGCTTGTAGCCCTCCCCTCTGACGACGAAGAAGAGGAAGAAGAGTAAGATTCCCTCGACCTTTGATTGTTTGATTGTGACCATAGGCCATCTATACTGTCTGGTGTCCCACGCGGTCTTTGCGCCCTCTCTGAGCCCAAACCACTTCCATGTTGTCATGTCCACGTCACCGCGACCCAGCTTTCCTGCCTGATGTCTACACGAGTGCCACACTGACATCCTTGCGTCATAGATACGAAGACTCCGAGGTGGGGTCCGGCGAGGAAGACGGAGAAGAAGACGAGGAGGAGGAAGATGAAGAGGGAGAGGGTGACGACGAACCCGAGGAGGAAGAAGGTTTGTCCCAATGCTCTAGTATCCTTTCTATCTACTCGCTGACTCTTGGACCTCAACAGCTCCACCCAAGAAGCGCAAAGCCGATACGGATGCGGCCGAGCCCGCTCCCAAAAAGTCCAAAGCAACTAACGGCGAAGCGGATGACGAGGAAGAGGTCGAGGAATTCGAGCAAGAAGTCGAGGACGATGCCGAGGAGGAGGCTGAAAAGGAGGAAGACGAGCCCGCTGTCAAGACCAAGGTTCTCGCCGGCTCCGAAAGCAAGACAGACGCCGTCGAGGCCGAGACTGAAGACCTTGATGGCGAGGAATAGAGACAAGCCCGATCCGCATCAATTGCGGCCGCTTGACACAATCTTCTTCGAAAAAGTCCTATTGTCACATAGATCATGTCCAACTTGGATCAAGTTGATAAAAGTCGGCCGAATGTATGCCTATCAGATGGAGGAGACGATTCTCAGGCCTCACCTACCTTGTCACTTACAACGCGACCTTGAACCCATAATAAATGTAATCGAGGATAGTGATGATGAATCAAGCATGTACCAGTCTCCCATCCATCGAATCGCTGTGCATGACCCCAACCCTAGGGCCACGGGGCATGCGCTGTCCACCAGTGCCAACATCAGCCAACGAGAAACCAAGACTTTCTCATTCCAAAACAACCGAGGAAGGAGCCTTTGGAGTCGTGTTGCTCATTTGTTGTTCATTAGGCAGCGGCGACTCACAACACCATGTCACTCTTGCCCTGCAGGCCTCAGAGAGGCCCCTCGGGCCTCAGATTAGGGAAGGTGCGGGGTTTCTCCAGCCCAGATCGGTCCTTCGTACCTGGAAGTGCCTGGCTGGTCATCACCACCTGTGGCTCCTCACAACAGCCACACAGGATCACATGCCAGTACATCTAGTTCTTTGTGGTTTTTTGCCGCCTTCTCCATTCTACCCAACCAGTACATGAAGAGGCATCCGTACCAGTCATCGCATTGGCTGGTTCTTCATTACTTTATCAGCGTGGTTGAATTGTCCAATGTTGAGCTTTTATCGGTGTTAAGATCCGGGTCTAAAAGGCGTGTCACTATCAAGATAACAGGCGAGCGGTGGCGGGAGATTTTAGCGGATATAAAGACTGCCAAGTCCGCGTGTAAGGATGACATACTAGTGGTCCAGAATGCCTTTAACCCGCTCTGTCCGCCTCGCCCGCACCTACAAAAAACATTTGCGGCCGCTTTGCACCCACCACAGGTATCTTGTATGCTAGAAATCGAAAATAGTGACTGAAACTCCGCTATTCGTTTCTCTCTATGGCGCTTTTGACATCGCTGACATGCCGCTGCTATTAAACTTAACTCCATTAGTCAAGCCCTTGGTAAGTGGGGAACCTTGTCATCCATCCGCATGTCGCTGGCGCTGGCTCTGGAAAATACTCGAGGTTTGTGATTGATATAAATTTGTCCCTTTCCACCCTCCAGAGCGTCAAAGTTCGCATAAACCATATCGTCTTGTGTTCCATTGAGACATACTATCTGAACACATCGTCATTTAACTAAAATTCCCAACAGTTACAACCATCTCGACCACAATGAGTTCTCCCAAAGTCTGGTTCATCACAGGCACGTCGACTGGGTTTGGCAAGCAATTGACTCTGACAGCTCTGGCTCGTGGTGATAAAGTTGTCGCCACAGCTCGGAATGTCGACAAACTGAAAGAGCTCAAAGACGCTGGGGCTGATACCCTCAGTCTCGACGTCACTGCACCCCTGGACCAAATCAAACAGGTTGCTGAAACTGCATTCAAACTATACGGCAGAATCGACTATCTTATCAACAACGCCGGGTATGTGCAAAGCGGTGGAATTGAAGAACTCACGTAAGAGCATCCCTATTACCCATTCCCAAGCCATCGTCCTAACTTCCATCCCTAGACCTGAAGACATACAGGCTCAATTTGACACCAACGTCTTTGGCCTGTTGAACGTCACCAGAGCGATTGTACCATATATGAGAGCAGCTCGATCAGGAGCCATTGCCAACATCTCCAGCATAGGCGCATGGTCTGGCATGGGCGGCGGTGGAGCCTATTGCGCGTCCAAGTGGGCAGTCAGCGCCTTCTCCGAGTCTCTCACATATGAACTAGCAGAGTTTGGCATCAAAGTTGTCTGCATCGAACCAGGCTATTTCCGGTCCAACCTTCTGCACACAGGCAACAAGGGTGTTAAGAAGAATGTCATTCCCGATTATGACGGCGACACTGCTGTGCGCCAGGGAGAAGCCCTCTTGGAATCGGCCAATAACAACCAGCCTGGCGACGTGAAAAAGGGCTCCAAGGTGATCATTGATGTTCTCACCGGCGCAACGGGCAAGGACATCCCAATTAGGTTGCCCCTGGGGCCTGATAGTTACGACTTCATCAAGGGGAAGTGTGAAGGCACCGTCAAGTTGCTGGATGAGTGGAAGGATCTCACCTCATCAACCAACATTGATCAATAGTGTACATCTCTGATCTACCAATTGGCTATGCGATGGCCTTTTTGATGGTTATTTCCTCGACTTTCATCGCGGTATGGAGCAAGCGGTGCAGTGATTATACCCACCCCTGGATAGTAACGAATGAAACATTATAGTCAAACTCGATCCTCGCGAAGATTCAAGCCGTATTCTCCAAAACGACATCACAAAAGGCGTTAGAGGGCTAATTGTATCCGGTATCACTCATATCAGACGTACCTATAGAGGAGCGACAAGGACTAGTAGCCCGAGAGGGGGAGAGTTTCATATAGGTGGCCCTGAAGAGCGAATCATTATAAGGGCTTATAGGGGTAGACTCAGCGCAAAGGTAGCTCTAGGGTACTAAGAGGTTGTCTTGGGGATAGATTTGTGGGTAGCTATAGGGGTGGAGAGAGCCCGAGGCGCCCCCTCGGCCCCTCGGCCATACTGCTACTTAGCCAGAGTTAGTAAAATACCCTCCCAAAGGAATCAAACTACAAGGTAAGAAGTGACTGGCCCAGGACTACCACAAATACCTACAGTCACGGGGAAAAGTGTCTCCACAGTTAGTCAGCTTCTTCGTACATACTCAATCACAAGGCTGATTAACCTGTCGTCCACCCTCTGACCTCGAGACAACTACAAGGTAGATACAGTCTAAAGTTGAGAGTATATGCCTTGCCTAGAAATGCTATGACAGGCCTTTTCCTAGGCCAGATTGTCGTCACGAGGTTACGAAGTATTTGTCTTCACCTCTCCATCACCTATGTACTCACCATTGTCTGACGCAGCCTTGAGTTTTAACCTCGGGACTATCTCAGAATGCCCCCAGGATGGGAGGAAGGTTCACGACCTACCCTCGGACCACGACAGCCAGAATGTCTGAATATGATTCTGTGCATCTCTGTTGATTAAGTAGAAATACAAAAGGAATTCTGTGACCACTGAGTATCCCTTGCCCAACTTCAGCTCCTCAGCCTGTCCCGTTGTATGATCTCTACAATGGCGGCCTTCGCAACGATCCCCGCAGGAGCATCGCTTCGCCCAGAGAAATTCGAACTCAAAGTATCGGAACAGGATCTGAAAGATTTCAAGGATCTCGTGCGCCTTTCCAAACTTGCCCCAGAAACATACGAAAACACTCGCACTGATGGCAGATATGGCGTGACTCACGAATGGATGTCTCAGACCAAGGCATACTGGGAAACCAAATATGATTGGTGTGTATACAACGGTTGCAAATACAATGTTTGTCGAAACATGAATCGTTGACATCAAGTCCAGGCGACAGCGGGAAATCTATATCAACTCATTTCCAAATTTCGTTGTGGATGTTGATGATCAAGATGGCACATTTCGCATCCACTTTGCGGCTTTGTTCTCAAAGAGAAAAGATGCGATTCCGTTGTTGTTCATGCATGGCTGGCCTGGTGAGTGACATTAATAGCACCAACAACAAAATGACCCATATTACATGCTTACTGCTGGTCAGGAAGCCATCTGGAGTTCCTTAAGATGCTCGATATATACCGCAAGAGATATTCCGAAGATGAACTGCCGTATCACATCATAGTGCCCTCATTGCCAGGTTATACCCTATCGTCGGGTCCTCCTCTCGACAAAGACTGGTTGATCGATGACATGGGCCGCGTGCTGAATAGTTTGATGGTTGGGCTCGGTTTTGGTAGCGGTTATATTGCACAAGGCGGCGACATTGGCTCTTTTGAATGCCGTGTTTTGGCAGCACTTCATGATGAGTGCAAGGGTAAGTGCTCCACGAGATGTATCAGATAGAGTCTGACTAACTCGCCTTGGTGTTCTCCAGCCATCCATCGTAAGTAGAGTCGTGTGCCGACGCTGAACTCTTGTTTGTGGAGCTAATCTGTGCAACAGTCAACCTTGCCATGGACTGGGTCGCCCCGGAAGGCGTTGATGAAAAAGATATAAACGATGCTGAACAGACTGGTCTCAAACGACTCTTTGAGTTCCTCAACACAGGAAGTGCGTATTCGAAAGAACACGGGACTCGACCCGCAACCATCGGCTTCGTGCTCTCCGCTAGCCCATTGTCTCTTCTTGCTTGGTAGGTTCACACCCGTGCCAACAGTCGTGAATGCTATTGTGACTTCGGCTGAGTTCATTGGCACAGGATCGGGGAGAAGTTCATCGAATGGACAGACACCACCCCCACCACCGAAGACATCCTCGACTCTGTGACTCTGTACTGGTTCACCCAGTCCTTCCCACGTTGCATCTATCCATACCGCGAACTGGTAAGTCGGTTTTCTCTGAAAAGATTCCATGTCCACGTCGGGGTTGCTCCTTGCGTATGAACAGCGGTTTTGTTGACGTAATTTGCAGGGACGAGCTGCACATATCACCCATGGGGATCCCAAGTACTACTGTAAGAAACCGATGGGCTTCTCGTGGTTTCCACAAGAACTCGGCCCCGTACCACGAGCATGGGTGGAGAAGACAGGAAATCTAGTATTTCACCGTCAACATGCTGAGGTTTGTGGTGCTCAGAGATGTCGACCATGCAGCACAACTAACTCGGTCAACAGGGCGGCCATTTTGCGGCAATGGAAAAGCCAGAGCTTTTGGTCAAGGACATGGACGATTTCGTGAAACAGATTTGGCCGGTGAAATAAGCGTTGAATCAGCAATCTATGATTGTGGGTGTGTGCCTTACGAACCTCCAGGCCTGGTAGCCAATGGATTGATCTACATCGAATTCAACCTCACACGGCTGTACTTTCATCTTCCGTGTCCGATTTCTGTGACCCATCGTCCAATTCCTTCTTGAAATCTCGAGGATGCTCAGGCACCAGCCAGGTGAGAGCGACTGTCGGCGGGATCGCAATTGTGAACATGACGAACGCCACGACGAGATTTGTCATTGGTGAGATCTTTGCGGCACCGAGTCCAAACGATAAGCAGGATCCCACCGACTCGAACGATCTGATGATCCCAACAGCCAAGGTGAGCGTCTCGACATCGTCGAAGAACGTCCCAACGATCCAGTACACGAAGATATAGTGCGATTCATTCATGAACCTATCGATATTAGTTCGAATTGCCTTGAAAGGGAAGCTGAGTCTCACCGAAACAGTACATTCACTGCGAATGCTCGTCCAAACTCCGGCGAGAGCCAGTCAATGGTAACTTTGGTTGGCGAGCTCTGGTATTTGTGCTGATTTGAAACCTGCCATCCGAATAAGGACAACATGATGACCGAGAATACGATCCAAGTGATTCTGGCTGCCTTTGGTCGGCTGAAAACCCTCCAATCGAGGAACCAGCCCCAGAATAGGTCGGCGATTGTAGCCGCGATTCCAGAGGTCAACGAACCCAGCGTCCTGGCCCTTACTGAGAAGTAGCGCACCAGGTATATGCCTTGGTAGGTATTGTTCCAATTGAAGGTGGTCAACACAGGGATCAGAAGGAAAATCTCCTTTCTCTTGAGCAGTTTCCAGATCTTGTGAAACTCGGATGTGACAAGCCTTGATTTGGTTGCCTTTGGCACTCGGGTTCCATCAGAGCGAATGGCCTTTCCGGGAGGTGAAATAAGAAATGCCAGAGGGAGTCCAAGGCATTGAAGACCAATCAATACGAGATATGTGTTGTAGCCGACCTTGCCAGTTTGGGCGGATTTGTGATTGAGCGAGAGTTGAATCGATGAGCCGATGAGCTGACCGAGCTCTCGAAGTCCAAGCCAGATTCCTGTATAGATACCCCGGTCTTTGACGGTAGGGTAGCCCAGAGCGATTGCTCCCTCAGTCGCCCACAAAGCGGAAGCCGCAATTCCACATGTTGCTGCACCAAAAAGGACAAACCATTCTGTCCCATAGCGATTATTGACGTAAAGTGCGGCCGAGTATGGGGCGTAGCCCAAAGTCCCGATGATGAGAATGTTCTTGAGTCCGAATTTGTTCGCGAGTGCGGCAAAAATCGAACATCCAAATACCATGATACCGAATGTTAGAGAATTGGCACCGTTCACAAGATACGGTTCCTGTTGACCGCCAGCACCAGTATCTGGTCCAGGGTTAGTGTGACAGCTTCATGGCTGATGATATCGGAGTTCGTGGCATACTGTTCAAGGCATTCCATATTCCGGGTTGGGTAAATGATATCAGCCCCACAATTATCACGTTGAAAAGGGTGCTTCGATACCATCGAGCAATTTTTGATTTAGGGAGAGGCGCCTCCTCCTCTGATGCAACATCTTGAATGCTCTCAGACGTCTGGCTAGTCTTGAGGCCTTCTGACACTCGAGTCGCAAGGATGTCTTTATCTGGGTCTGCCATCGTTCGAAGAAATTTACCAATTTAGAACCTGTTGGACGGACGCGCTGTTGGGGTCGTCTCGTGCGAGAGGTTCTGTGGCGCACAACAAGCAGTCTTATACCGGGAGCTTGTCATTGCCAAAATTCTGCGCCTGAAGAATTTGGATATGTTGAGCAAAGATTGGTATGGCGCCATTGTCGCTAAAATGACCGCAAGACCCCACCAAACGCCTGGGAGACCCATCCGGCTGGCACGATTATGTCGAATATCAAATGATAACGGATGTAACAAGTAATCAGATAGAGTTACAAGGGTCTTCAATTGCCGTCGCTCACTAGAAAGGCATAGAGGGTCGAGATCTTGGATGGCGATTGAGCCAGCCGTAGCCTGGCGTGGATAGCCGGGGCAGGGGGTAACATCCGTCGATGGCGTGATTAACAAATTGACGTTCCAACTATTAGCACCTGTGTTTATTCCCACATGGCTATATCGCCATTGGCCACTGTCACTGATATAAGAAACCTGATATGGAAGGTGTCTGCGGGCTGTAATCAACTGTCTTCAGTGTTCCGGCCAAATCGGTGCTCATACCTCGGATCCGTCGACCAGTCTCTTCCAAATAAACAGATTGCCACTGAAAGAAATGGCGGAGATTGTGACACAAAAGCCTGTGTCAGCAACGCTACATTCTTTGACCCATGTGGATGGCCTGCCATCATCATATGCCCGAGAAAATACAAGGCCAGAACCCGCCGTTCTGAACGCCACGAAATCCTATTCCCTCGACTCGCTTCCCTTAGAGCTTGCCTTGGGCAAAAATGTCTCGTTAGATCACCTATCAGATACAGTGTCCAGATATTCCTCTACTGGGCTTATCAGACGTCTCCTAAACAATCACGGTGCCATACTGTTCAAAGGTCTTGGGCTGAAGAATGCCACCGAATTCTCTCAATTCGCAACAGCCTTTGGCTGGTTGCCTCATGAGGACATCGGAAATCCCGTTCGTCGGACAGTTCTGGCGCACAATGTAGCAACCGCGAACGAGGGACCAAACACCCAACCTGTCTATCCTCACAATGAATTTGGCCTGAGTCCACATTACCCTGCATACGTCTTCTTCTACGCTCTCTCGGCACCAGAAACTGGTATAGTTGCTTCCAGAGATCAAACTTGCGCCATTCTGACAATTGATCAGGTGGCGAGACGCCAATCAATAGTTCTATTAAGCTCTATGAACGACTTGAGGAAGAGATTCCAGAATTCCTGACGGCACTGGAGGAAAAGGTAGGGGTGCATGACTGTATTCTTGACTCGCTGGTTGCACGCCACTGACTCACCAACTAGGGTGTTCGATATCAGCTGTTTTTTCCCAATCGCCCTCGTGAAGACGTGTCGTCTCCAGGTACCTCCGTCTTCCAGTCATACGGCAAGGCTGTCCTTGACACAGATGACACCGAAACGGCGCGGAGCAAGATTGAGGCGGAGATTAGGCGATTGCCGACAGCAACTTGGCAATGGGAGAATCAGTCATCCGAGAATCCTCTGGGAGACCTGCGCGTCTTTCAAAAACTGCCTGCTATTAGACTACACGAGCAGACAGGCAAAAAGGCCTTCTTCAACAACATTATTTCGAGGTACCTGAACGCGAAGAACAACCAGACGTTGGACCCGCCTTATCTGAATAAGGAAGGGGCTTATCAACCGCCAGCTCTGGTAGGCATGGGCCCAAGGTTATGTCGAATATTGCTGAAACTTTGCTACAGTATGCAGACGGATCCCCTATCCCTCACGAGTATCTGGAGAAGGCCGTTCAAATTGTGGAGTATGATCATTTTATGCATAGCGACGACACCAAATACTGATATGGATAGGGAAACAAGGTCTCTGGTGTCATGGACCGCGGGCGACGTACTTCTTCTAGACGTATGCTCAACCCATCCTTCTCACTCGCTCTCAAATGATTCAAACTAACTTGGTGTTAGAATCATGCAATTCAGCATGGCAGAGAGCCGTGGACCGGGTAAGTTGATCCCAGCCCCTTTTCCTAAGACGTACTTGCGCTGAAACATTGTTCTTCAAAGAGATCGAAAGTTGCTTGCAAGCTTGTGGGACGAGTCGAAACAGAGCAAATAAGAGCTGGCGACTAGCTCTACAAGTTAAACCAGGTGGTAAATGTCATTCAAGCCTTTGGAGGGCAAAGGTCAATCGTAGCTACGGAGATTTGATGCTGCTGATCAGGCGGAGCCTATGCATTCCATCTTGCATGGGTGAGGATGATCGAGGAATGTCTCCCTACGAGTCCCTTTCTTGTTCAAGAACACTGAAGTGGCATTCAATCCAGCCTTGCGCCCCTATCAGGCTCGCCAACACTTTATCAAAGTGAGTGGAGACCCTGAGAAGAATGAACTTCGTTTCTTTGTTTACCTTCATTATTCTCAGGCACTGGCTCTGCTCTTCAACTGTCTCGATTCGCGAATCCTGTCATGTGCCGAACAAGAGAGTAACAAAGCCAGCTTTGTTCTAATTGAATGAGATTGTAGAAGCGCGCTGCTATTCGCGGTCCACAAAGAATCTTGCCAACAATCCACATACCTCATTCTTTGAGGTTCATCAAGTGCGTGATTTCCTGCCTCGAAAGCGTAAAAATCGAGGAAATTCACCCCTTAACAATACATACCAACTTACAAGGTGAAAACACCATTTAAAATTTACCATGCATATCCACATCATAGCTTGGGCGCTGGGCACAGCCGTACTATTCCTTGGTGGGCTTGTGTCTACCCAGTCTGGTTTACAGGTGATGAACTTCTATAGCACTCCTGATCAACAAGACCAGTATTTTCTGGCCAGTACATGGTTCCGGACCGCCACTTCCTGGAATACTCGACCAAATTCAGCAGCTCAACCAGTCTCTGAACTCACAGATCAGCATTCTCCTTCTTTGACCGTAGAACGTCGATCAACCACCAAACATCTCATAACCGCCAATGTCACTACTCTCCTTCCAGCTGCACGAAGTGTTGTCCGCGAAACGGCAGCCGACTGGATCATCGCTGCTGAGTCGGAAGAAGGAGAAGAGAGTTCATGGTCCACCATCCTCTGGAACTCCTTCCCGTGGTCCGACTTCCGAAATTTCATCATCATTATTATCTTCCTTGGGTATTGCTGTAAACTCTATATAGACCGGGCGGCCCTAGGAGAGTCATTGAGCATATACGTGCCCTTGGACCATTGCAAAACAAGGCAGATTGAGGAACTAAAGCAAGAATTAAAAACCTCGGAAACTCAAAGGAAACAGTCTTCCGACAATCAACAGCTGCAGCATGCTCAATGCCAGCTTGAGCTTGAAGAAGCCAACAGGGTCATTGCATGGCAGAAGTCTCAGTTGGAGAAGGTATTGGAAGCTAATGCCAGCGAAGTCAAGGACGTTGCTCAGATCTATTCGAGTGTGCAGGACATAATCTCCTCAGAGCTGAACGCGGATGCTGAATCAGACTCCTGCTGCGCAGATGAACCCTCGTCCAACTTGTCGTTGCAGAAAAACCTATCGGTCAGGCCCATCACGTGGTAACAAAGGTCTTTGTGTCCATCAACACTTAAGAAGTTGGCGTAATTGTCGATCACTGCAGATGAGGTCGCTTCGCCACAAAAAGTTGTCATAACTGAAGTTACTGTATATTTGATCCAATGATTTCTTCTCATTTCAGACCCTATAATCATCACGCTCGAACGAGTGCCTCAACATCGTGTTTGATCCATTAGAGAGCGTTGGCATACGTAGAGAGTAGAGCCTGTGCTAGGAAGAGCAGCGCCGCTGGTGACCATGCAACAAGGGGAACTCCTCCCATTGTCTTAGTACCTTGTTGAGAGCAAACACCACGATATTGACGTTTTGGGTTCCAATATAGGATGGCCTTGCCTGTCAACCTTTGGTGACACAGACTCTAACCTTAAAAATTTTGACCTCTTGAGTGGCTTGATAATGTCCCAGATGTCCTGAGCGATGGCGAATGCCATTTTGGAATCTTCCGCCACAGATGCGCTTCATCGAGAGCATCGATGGCTGGCTTAAACCTCGAATCGTGAAGAGAAACAGCTGCCGTGTTCCCCTCAATGTACCGACATCTGGCGAGCCGGACGGTACTTCTTCGGCATTGGACCCCATGCTTTTGGTGTCATGTGCAATCTCGACCAGTTTGAGCCATTGACAATGGACCATTAGTCCAATTCGAAGGCGGCTATTGTCGTGTGGTACTACCTGCATGCTCCCAAGGTATCGTGGGTAGAATGCTTCTCATCGACGGGTTCAACGTAGTTGTTGAAGGCTTTCAGCCTGTGGAGACCGGTCAAAGAAACAATTCGACGCCCTAGGGTATCATTGTTTCCAGATCTTCCTACTTTGTGACCGTGATAGGTGTAGTAATGTTGAAGCCGTTCCTGGTTCGAAGTCATAGCGGAAGACATCCAACGTGAGGATAGCGACTTGTGGCAACCTTGACGCCCGGTATGACGCGTCTTTGTAGATGCAATGACCGACCAACTTCCCGATCAGGTCTTATGGGAGTCAAACCCGCCTGAAGGTCGGCGCGACATCGAAAGCGGAGGTTAAGCGATCCCCATCACAAGGATAGGATGCTTCATGTGGGTTAGGCTATACACGACTCTCGCTGTACATCATGTTGACATACTTCTCCCTCATATCGCGCATGTATTCATGCTGCTCCGGGGGGATGTTCAGGGTATATCTCTCATATTGCTCTCGTCGCATAGCCCTGTGAATGGCGGCACCGACAATGACTGCCGCAGCACAAACGACGACAGCAATGAGGACAACGACTAGATCAGGGATTGCCATATTGCGTGCGATCTCGGAAGAAGCCTTTGGCAAGCGGGTTGGGCTGATGGAGGAGCAAAGCTAACAAGCAGTGCAACAACCACAAGTTTGTAGATTCGAGGGGAAAGGAGGGGTTCAATGCTTGTCGTTGACAGCTTAGGAGGCGTGGAAAAAGGCGATATCTGAAAGAACGAGTGTAGCGCACCAACCTAGAGACGTTCGAAATAGAGAGGAGGGAGAGAGATAACAGGTGCAAGCACTGACATAGGGTAGATGTACTCCGTACTTGTGTGCAAGACATTTGGCGCCAATGTCCAGGTTTCAACCAAGCAGGTTGGCATCAGCAACGAAACCTGCGGGATCTTGGGAGCTTTGCCAAAAGGGACATTTTATTGAACGCCTGGTTGGTGAGAGTGGAGATTTGCTATGGTAATGTTGCTGAAAAAAGAACCTCCCAAGAAATCCGCCTCAGCAATACCACGAACCGCAACCCTCGAGATGGATGTTTTTCTTGGCCCTTATGGATCATAAACTTTCCGGAACATGGCTGCGCCGAAAAGTGATAGGAAAAGATGATGTCAACTGCGCCACAATCACTCCCTTGCATCGTCCTAGCAACTTGTCCTGACATGTAGTCTGTTGTCTTTCGCCGTGCACAGTCCTCGCCAGGCAAGCTACCGACATTAGACGATAAAGAAACAGGCAAGAATGGTAGATATATTGCTACACGTGTTTATAAAAATGGTAAGAGTTTACAGAAGGTCGCAATACGGAGTAGTCATTAGGGTTCGGCTAACGGATGGGGCGCATCAATATATGCGTATTTTAGCTGACCACACGTGCCACCGTAGGACGCATACGGAGTAAAGTCAGTCTCGCTTCCGCGAATGGCATAATCCCTGTCCCTTGCATGTTATGCAGAGGAGGGCACGGAAGGCCTGCTTTCAGGGAAATATGTGGACGCGACTAGTACACAAAACAGTCCACAACATCTTTCACCTTCTCTCCATCCTCTTCGATTCAAGACAAACTGCTTCCCTGCTGCTCAAGACAAACTGTGACTTTCCACGATTAGCAACTATTTAACTAAGGGGATAGTGCATAGGACCCGCGAGCATCAACTGGGAGCCATCTGCCCATTGTTATTGTTTCAACCTCACTCGCCGGCCTTCACTCCTTCACTCCATCCCCCACATCCGTAACCACAAAAGTTAGCTGTTGTAAGAACTAGGTGACGGAGGTCCTGAGAGGATACTCGACGTGATGATCGAAAGCCAAACAATTTGCAGTGTTATAAAGGTTAGATGTTATGGTATGCCTCGATTAGTAGTTGGATTCGATCGTCAGTAAGAGTTGTGACGAATGGCTGCGGGGTTATCGTGACTATCATCCTTGCTGGCAGTGCACGTGAGGCTCATGAACACCAAACATTGTGCACCATGCTGCTACTGTATCAGAAGAATGTTTTTGAAATTCGAAGCACGTCGAACACGCATATTGTCTCTTCTAACAAGCACTTGATGAAGTGACAATGACCAATTCTAGTTTCCATTTTGAGACAAGGCCTCAGGGAAGAATTCTGCTTTGGTGAATTCGCAGGAAAGGTTATGAAACCTCATATGGAAGTAGGCTTTGCGTGCTACAAGATCTAAGTCCAAGGCTCAACAACACCAATAAACATAGTATGACTTCTAGCACTCGCAATAAATACATGGGCTGTCAGACCCAAACATCACTCGTTTGTATCAAATTCGCTGCACATCCGGCTACTGTGATGCGCTGTAGGAGTTTCGGGCCAAATTGCACCTGAAACATCCTGTAGCCTGGTAGAAGCAAGGAATGGAGACCCGGGAAAACATATAACTACAACAATCTTGACAAGCTCCATACCTTGTGGTACTAGTCCTGGTGTTATCTTCAATTTCAGACGCCAGGCTCTAGGTGCCCTACCATTAGGGATGTTGTGACGTTCGATATGGACGAGGACGTGTCTGAGCACGATCCATTGCCCGCAGACGAGGAGGCCGCTTCGGGTTCGCAGGGTCCTCGCTCGATCAACCACATTACGTCTATCATCACAGGGACAGGATACACTATATATGATGACCTCATCATTCCTGAGATACTGGCTGCAAAGCATGAAGTTGTTTTAGTGACATGTTTTTGGGCCTCGTCGGTGACCCAGAAAGCGCTAGCGAACTGTCTCAGGGCTCTTTCGCGAAAGGCTGCTTCAGGGTCTGCTAAAGTGTCTGTCAATATCTGCTTTTCATCATCCTCATTACCACGAAACATGTTGTGGCCAACTCCTCAGCGCGGACAGATTTATGACCCATCTACTTGGACCAAACTTGGATTGCCTCAGGCCAACGAGTTGCATGGAATTGACCTCCGGGTGTGCCGGAAGTTTTTCTGGCCTTTGGGGATCATCCATAGTAAGTATGTGATCATCGACAGAAAAGTGGCGATATTTCCGTCTTGCAACGTGTCTTGGGAGCGGTGGTTCGAGTTTGCCGTCAAGACTCAAGGCCCGATTGTTGATTCTTTACTATCATTCCACGTGGACTTCTGGGGCGATGATCACCAGCTCATACAACTGTCCGCGGTGTCTAGTCTCCAACAAGATGAGAGCAGATCGAGCTCGACAACGGAAGGTATCCGAGCCTTCACAACACTTCTACCCTCACCACACACCCCAACACTGATCCCGAAACATTTGAAACTACCATCAATGATGGGACGACTACCTTGTGTGCCCGATGCACCCACCCGATTTCCTGAAACAGCACTTCTAGCCACGACGTATCGTCTACTACATCAAGCAACAAATTCGATCATTATGCTGACGCCCAATCTCACGGAGCCTGCTGTCCTCGACGCGCTCAGCTGTGCCTTGGAGCGTGGTGTCAATTTGATCATATGGACCAACAGCACACTGATGACCATGGAGCAAATCGTGACTGCTGGCACGACGACCCCGAGGTGTATTCGGGCTTTGCAGAAGAAGGCTGAAGCCTTTCGTGGGGTGCTGGAGGTGAATTATTTCGACCAAGGTCCAGGAAAAGAGCCTGTGTTGGACAGTGATAAGGAGACAACCCCAATCAAACTTCATTCAAAAGTCACCATCATCGATGCAGACAAGATCCTTGTAGGCAGCGGCAACATGGATGCTGCGAGCTGGGGTACGAGTCAGGAGTTGGGCGTGCTGATCGAGAGTGGAAGTGTCGTTAGAGAGTTTCTGAGGTCATGGAGATATGGAAACATCTCCCTCTGCCCTGTATAGTAAGAACCTTTGATAGAGAACTCTTTTCCCGCTGCTTTGGCCTTTGTTGACTCTATAGTAGTAAAAGTATAGAACTTCAACTAGTCTGCATTGGTACTAGTGCTATCAGTGACATCCCGTAGGCTGGACATCTACGAGTTGGTCGAATTCAATTCTTTTACTCCTTTCAACGACCAGACTGAAATATAATCATTCAGCATTGTGAATTCCTTGTCGGCATCACACCTCAAACATTTGTTATGGCATGAAATGCAACACTGGACTGGATTGCATCGCAGCCAAGATCCTATCACGCTTTGTTTGGTGACCGATTTGAAAGGTACTCATTCACCAAATGTGGAGTTCTACAACACCAACCTTGCTTGGGCTTCCTGCTGAGCTTCGAGTGAAGATCTATCAGTATGTGTTACCGGAGCTTGAGGTTACAGAATGGATGACAGCGGATCCCACTGTGTATGCAGTTGTCGAGGACTGTATGGGGAGCGAGGAGCACATGACGTCAAGATATCAAATGTCACCGGCCCTGCCCTTGGGAATACAGACAGCCTGCAAACAACTGTCACAGGAGATACAGCCAGTTGTTGACAGTTGTCCGGTCAGGTATGTACTGGAGCGACCATGCAGTCGTCACGACTGGCGTGGACCCCCGGTCGTCCTTCGTGATCGAGTTCGGTCTCTCCAGATCCCAGGCAATTATCGCCGGTTCAGATCCAGCGCCTGTGGATTATTCAACCAAGACATTTTCCCAAATCTGTGCCAAGCAGAGATCGCTTATGATCGTTGGCATGCTTACGAAGTAAACATTCGTGCTCTTGCGGTGGTGGCAGAAGTGCTTCAGTTTCTCGACTCGGGCTGCAAGGAGCCTATTAAACAGGCGCTCTCAGCGCTGCATGGTATCTTGGAAGACACGGTCCAAAGTGAAACACCACCCTGTGACCTGATGGCATACATTCAGGCGAAGAACCTCGTTTTACATGCTCCGTTCACCGTATGGGTGTCACCACCGGCAGGAAGGTCGATCGAGTATTATCTGGTTGCGATTGGAGTAAGATGATTCCTTTGCGAGCTCGTTGAAGCTGTCTACTGATCTCGAACAGACTTTTTCTTGGTGCCCTTCTGGAATCAAGATTGAAAGCCTTAGAGACAACCGATCGAAACACCAGCCTCGCGTACTGGAGAGGCTCGGTTTGAAGTTGAGGGCTCATGACGAGTCGACAGCGGGTTCCAACAATTGGTTCATTCTTTGAGCGGGTCCCGTCATCGGAGGCTGATTTCCGGCTGTAGGCAAGGTTGGCGGTCAGCTCTCCCGTCTGTCAAGACACAACTTGCACACTGTACTGCAGGAGGCCATATTGCAAAATTTGTATTCCCTGGTGCATATGGCTGTTCGTGACTCAAAGGGCCTAGACGCCTTCATTTCCTCATCTTCTGGGATCACATGAGACCACGAGCATGCGGCTTGTTGACCACATATTTAAGTGATTCATAACAAGATAGACCCTATGCATAGTGAGAGCAAGCCATGGGGGCCGAGATTAGCTTGACAGGGCCACGAGGCCCCTCGGCCCCAAGAGCCCCTCGTCACATCGTTTTTGAGCCCCAGAACAAGCACACATTGTGACATTTTAACCAATTTGGTTAGTCATGATCTTCAGGTCAATCGTCTGAGACTCAACTTTGTCACCATCACTTGACAGTCTCCTTCTACAGCACGACGCTCTCAGACAACTCGCAACAACTCAAACAGTTTTTGACCTCTGTTGCTACCCGTAATGTCACAGATATACAATGGCATGATGGACGGGGAAGGCGAATATGAAGATCCCCTGTAATCTCAACTGATACCAAGAAACTCTCGTTTATTTGATTGGCAGACGCACCAAGTACCAACGTTGGGGTTACGACCTGGTCATCCGCACCTATCATGCCATTCTGAGGCCCCAAATCAAAGATGAATGGGCCGACGGGGGCTCCTATGGGCATGAATTCGGTTAGGATTCTCGCGTGGAAGCCGTAAAAGAGCAGGAGTTTGTCACAATGCGGGTATCAAGGTTGAAGGCTGGGAAACCTGGCCAGCAACCAATTGGCCGGCAGTGTCTCCAAGCTTCCAGCCCTCGGAACCAACCTCGAAGGTCCCGACTTATGGACTTGAAAATCACCCAGCTGATCAATGTGATGGGCACTTTTGGCGGGGTTCGATGGCTAGACGCTGCCTGGGAGGCCCGGGCAGGTTATCTGCGCAAGCTTGTCGGCTGCGCGTCCTCCCGTTCCAGGGAGTGGGACACCTTTAATTTAAGCCAAACAGCTTGCATAGTTGCTTGAAGGCGAGGCCCGAGACCTTCTGCTTGCCTGTCAGTCTACCTCTTTGCGTATGCGTACAGGCTTCTTGGGCTGGACGTGATGTTTGGTCTCCACTCCTCCAGGATTTGGCCCAAGCACACGAGTACCCAAACAGACGCCCTGGGCCGGCAAGAGTGGACATTTCCACAACCGAACTGGTCATCCTACTCAGGACAGTAGAAGTAGTCTGTCCACTAGTTAGGTCGTCTCCATCCTGCTGCGTCCTGGTCCTAGGTAAACAGTCAACCCATCCACCAACCAACTTCCTGGACGCCATTGGCATTTTCAGGTGCGATTTTCTTTCCATCAACTTGATCCCACACTTGAGGACCCAGTCGAGAGATAACCACAGAGAGTTCAGTGACAGCTCTGCTCAGGTTGCTTTGATCCCAAATTCATCATCTGGCCCGCCTGCCACAAACAAAATTGTTGCCACCAGAGGCAATAGCGACCGCCCGTCCATAACACCTTCCCTGTCACGCTCTTGGCTTCCCGATTTCGCTTCTTCGAGTCGTTCTTTCTTCCGCATTCAACGGCTCGTCTCTGCGAAGAATCCCTCTGTTGACGGCCAAAGACGACGACAACGACGACGATAGACGATACAAGACTCCAGCGATTCTGTTACACAGCCATTTCGTCCTGCGAGGACGCTTCGCGCGGTGCTCGAGGCCGCTCCTCTTCCCAACACAAACCTGCGTGTGCACCGCTGAATCGCACCGCTCTTCTCTCACAACGAAACGACTCAATTTGATTTCGCAGCCATGATCACCACAGCTCGTTCCCTTGCGACTCTGAGAATTACATGCCGATGATCATGTCCTGCGAAGTCTGCGCCCTGAGGATTCACTTTAATTCCTCGCCGAAATGGTGTCGGATACTTCCCTCAGCACGCGAGTGTCTCTGATCACTCTCGATCCCGCCGTTGCTTCCCAGATTACAGCCACCCCAGGCACGACTATCGCTCCATCAACCTCGCAGTATGCCTCCAGTCCCAGGAAAGGCACAAAGACGCCGACTCCAGATCTCAGTCGCCGCCATATAAGGAATAACTCGGCCCCGACCACAGCCGGGAAGAAAAGATCAAACTCGTTGCGCCGGGTCAAGAATAGCACCGAGCTGCTGAGACAACGATCCACAAATAGCTCCAAGAAAGATGTTAAGGCGGAAAATCCTACAGATGTAAGAGCTGGACGGAATTTTATTGTGGGCAATGTCGGCACTGGGGGAATATTGTACCTTACTCCATCGACATACCAGTCACACGCCCAAAAGCCCTCTCTGACGTCTCTTTCTTCGACTCGGACGCCTGTCACGGCCCCTGCCTTCCTGGATCTGGAACATCTCCTTCCACCAGAGACTCAAGCCAATCCATCAAACCAGTCCGACCCCTCAGTGTATCCCCAGTCGGCGGCGCCACACTCGCCTCCAAAGCCATTCGACAAACGTGCCATTGCGGCCAATCATGGCCGCTCTCAGTCATTTTCTACTGTCGAGGAACATCGACAGTCATTATCTGCACCAAAATCCCGCACACTGAGGATCGTCATACAACGTCCAGAAACAGCACGCTCCGACAATGCTCGGGATTCTGTACAAGATGATCGTCAAGACCTTTCACCCACCCTTTCCGTCCCAATTCCCCACTATCGCATAGGAACCTTTCGCTTCAGTGCACAGGGTACCCCCGTGCTGCGTGGTTCTTCATTCACTCGAGGATCTGCGACCCCCTCAGATGTCACTGCTACCATGGCCACTACTCGTTTGGACCAGTATTTCAACGGACCGCCGGCGTCAAGTTTAAAGGCTCTGTCGAGAATCGACCAGACAACTTTTGGCCAGTTCCGTCCCTCCTCATCAAATGTCAACGAACCACCTCCGGAGCAGGTCCCAGCATCATCCATACAGCCTAATGTCTTTGCTGAACTATCCGGTATCTACGATGACCCTTCCGTTGTCCGGTATTGCCACAACGTAAGAGAAATCACTGCTGCCACTCCGGCCAGAATCATCGCCCAAATCTCATCCGATTCGTTCATGGATTACGAACTCGTCTCCGATTTCTTCTTGACTTTCCGTTGCTACATGTCAACCTTTTCTGTTCTCGATTACTTACTCGCGCGCTTGAGGTGGGCAATCGGGCGCCTGGAGGATGACGGTAGAATCATTCGTGTTCGGACGTTTGCCGCTCTTCGGCATTGGATTCTCAACTACTTCATGGACGACTTCTTCGTTGATCGCCAACTCAGAGAGCGATTTTGCACAGAGATCAACAAATTATATCGCGATGTGAAGAACAATCCAGACAGCGGTTTCAGCGACTTGAAACTCTTGCGCGATCTCAAACGTTGCTGGAACGGACGCTGCTCTCTCTGCTGGACCCATGAATACTTCGAATTAGATGGAGATCAAAACGACGACCTGATCCCCGGAGGCGCAGATGATAATGATGAATATCCACCCCAGCCACCAGCCGTTGCTGTTTCACTGCACCCCCCTACGGAAATGCCCCCCTCAGAGATTCTTCAAGGCCCGTCCACTAGTTGGTTTGAAATTCCACGGGCCAGTGCAAATCAACACCTGCGCAATCACTCCATTCTTTCTGACCAAATCAGTCCCTCTCTTGATAGTGATGGAAGTCTGCAGGCGAACTCTTGTTTTCCGAAGAATCTGTTGCGATCTGGAGCAGGCGAAGAGACCCACGCTAAAGGCCCACATCCTGTGTCCGTCCAACTGAGAAGAAAGAATGCACCTGCAACTCTGCACGTCAACACTCAACCGGGATTAGCTCCCAAATCCCTTGGTCATCGCCGAGGTGCCAGTTCTGTCGATAGCAATCGCGAAACGACACCGCGACAGACGGAACATGAACCGCCATCGTTATTTGTCGATGATGGAAGTATCATCCGCGGACTGTTGTATAGCCCGAGTGCGCCCTTTGTTCAAATTGTGTCTTCATTCTCGCCCTCAGCTACAGAACCTTCCGACTCTGCGGACGAGCGTCCTCGAATTCGTAGACCGCAGGACCATGCAACGCATGGCGGAAGAAATCTGTTTGGATCTTTACGCAAGGTTTTAGGGGGAAGGAATGGTGCCGACGATTTGACCGTGCTCACAATATCACAGCCAACGAATGAATCAGCTGGACATGGCCACAAACCACAAAATTCGTTGAAGACGTCCGCCTCTCATGATGAACTGGGCAGCAAAACGATGGCACCGATGCAACGGAAGGGCGAAATCCGCATCGACTTGTTATGCGCGGCTGTCTGCCAAAACTATGAAGGTCGATTTCCGTCAAAACACCGCGTTACATACGGCCCACTATATGCGACCAATAACCTTAATCCGATTTTAGACCAGAACAACGCGAAACTTGGGAACTCAGGAGCAGACCGTCGAGCAACAGCCCAAAGTGGTTCAATCTTAATCATAGACGATACTGGGCCAGATGTTCCGACCATGTCCGGAGCTCTACGACCTCTCAACTTGTCAGAACTTCAAAGAGGGGGTCCCCGGTATGGCACAGACATGCTGCATCCGGAGAGCTTTCGGTCTGATCCGAAGTTGAGTTTTGATGCTGTCGCAACCCAGCGAAGTTCAGATGTCCTCGGCGAAGCCATGCACAACACAGGATCAGGTAGTAGCATTGGTTCTGTTGGCATCTTTTCTTCGCAAAATCCTGTAGAGGATCTACGATCCACTCCAGGAAAGACTGATCACGCCGACAAAGTTGACGGTCCCACAGTCGAGACCATCAAAGACACTGATCTAAGCCAGGCCCTATCCACTGAAGAGCAACCAATCACATCTGGAGAAAAGGACCTGGATCGCCATGCACCGGTGGACGATGATGAAGTCGAGCATGCATCAAGCTCTGGGCCAGCTCACACCTTGAGAAGGCGGCCAGGAGGCGATCTTCGAATGGTTGAAAACGTGCAACAGCTCGACCACAGTATACATCACCAGTCTTTTGATACAGCCAGCACAGTGTCGAGGTCTCCGAACGACTCGTTGCTCCTCATGAGAACTGATACGAATCGTACCGTTCGAAGAGACGCCCAACCACCCAATAAAGTCGTCTCGATGATCAACACCCACTCATCTCAACACCTCCGGCCCTCCTTTGAAGCAGCCGTTGCAGGCTTTTCAGATATACCAGATGATGATGATGGCGGTCTGGAGGCGACCTTACTGAAATTGGAAGGCCGGTATGAAAAGCGCTCGCCACCGATCAATCAGCATCCAATAGATGTCGCTGGTAAACGGCGATCGCTTCCAGACTTGCAGGCAAGCTCGGAGATCGATCTAGGTCGTGTCAATGAAGAGACAAGTCACTCACTTCATGGCGATGGTCTTGATCTTCCCCGGAGGGAAACTCAAGCGGCACCTGCGATGAGCCATCCTACCGACAACATGACTCGAGAGATCACCCATGTCGTCACGGAAGTTGAACCTTCGTCACCGAGATCCTCAATCTTTGGTCTTGCAACAGAGTCTGTGGCGGAGTCAGAAAATTCATTTGGCTCTCTGCCCCTGTTGAAGCGCGAGGCTGGCCACGGAAGCACTGTCCCTGCAGCTGCATCAAAAGTAACCCGCGAGGTCGAATATGTTGCACCTGGGTATTTTGCACAGGACCCACCTCAGCTCTTTCACCTTCCCAAAGGACCACCTCCAAGTGGAAATAAGAATGCCCATGGGCGTAGTCTCTCGAGACCTGACACTGCTGACGAGAGTGCCAAATCGTTCCTGCTGGATGAGGACGAGAATCTGTCGGACTTATCATCAGATATATCTGTTGATATCATTAATCACTCCGAGGTCGTTGATCGATCGATCTCGCCAATGCTGGCTGCACCAGGAACTGCAATTTCTGGTCTCGAGATTCCTGCACATCCATTGACCTATGCCTCAGTGGTGAATTTGGCGGCCCCGGAAGTGAGCTCCACGGTACCCTTGCCATCACCGAAAGAAGGCAAGGGACTTGACCCAGAAAAGCTAGGTCCACCGCAAGCAAAGGTGCAGAAGCATGGCTCCTTTGGCAAGTCGACTGCTCCACTCACTCGACTTCCTCCGGGTCCTGCACATCTGCCATTTGTTCTGGCGTGCGATTCACAAGTTCTGGCTCAACAAATGACGTTGGTGGAAAAGTCTGCTTTGGCTGAAGTTGAGTGGTCTGATCTTGTGGAAATGCGCTGGGACAGCAAAGCGGCCGAAGTGCTTGATTGGGTGGATTGTCTGATGGATTTGGATATCCGAGGCGTTGATCTGGTCATTACACGCTTCAATTTGGTGGTGAAGTGGGTTATGTCGGAAATTGTCTTGACTCGAGACATCAACGAGCGAGCTCGTGTCATCACCAAATACATCCATGTGGCAGCTCATGCTCGCAGGTTGCACAACTACGCCACCATGCTTCAGTTGACAATCGCACTCACATCAACTGACTGCGCACGACTAACCAAGACCTGGGAGCTGGTCTCAGGGCCGGACATGTCCCTTCTCAAACATATGGAGATGTTGGTTCAGCCTGTCAGGAATTTTCATGACCTACGGGTCGAAATGGAGTCAGCCGATCCCACTGATGGCTGTATTCCTTTCATTGGTAAGTCTTCGAATTCAATTCTGATTCTCGGATGCTAACGATCAACATAGGGCTGTATGTTCATGACTTGACTTATAATGCTCAAAAGCCTTCGCGGATTCCGGGCGGTCCCGGAGGAGAGATGTTGGTAAATTTCGAGCGTTACAGAACGTGCGCGGTCATTGTCAAGGGTCTTTTACGGCTCATTGACGCCAGTTCTCGTTACACATTTGAACCTCGCCCTGGGGTAATTGAAAGGTGCTTATGGATGGCCGCTCTTCCAGATGAGAGCATAAGAATCGCTAGCAAGAGCCTGGAAGATTAAAGAGAAGGCCCAAGCCATGGGGGCCACACTCGGTCGAGAAAGATTTCTAGTTTAATGCGCAGCGATCCAGGATTGGCACGAAAGAGCAATTGGATTTTAATGTTTGGTCTGGAAGTTCCTACACAGCGCAGGCGCTATGGAAGAAGGGACTTAGATACGTTGTAGCGACACCTCGGATATTATACTTGCGTTTGGATGAAGAGTATCTTTAGTTTGAAGACTTAGCAAGCTAGCATGTACCTTGGCATGCCAGGGCGAGAAGGGTTGGTTATAACTGACAGCGGTCAAGATCATCGAAAATGCTCTTAACATGCCAATATGGTCGACAAAATGAATATTACTTGGTATATGCTCTGAATATCAAGAGAGATGGATACCTCTCATAATGTTCAGTGGAGAGGGGTTTTCTACTGCGGCGGAGTGGAAGACACTGCTCATACATGTCTCCTGATCCGTCGAAATCCCTGCAACCCCAGGTTTTGGAATTTAGCTCCGATGTGGCTGCCGAGCCAATCAAAAGCGCTCAGGTCAGACACGGGGCCAATCAACGTCATATCGTCAAAAACTTCCAAAGTGTAGTTAGAAGTCTTCTTGTTCCCTCTACTTGATCTTTCTTACTCCTCTATTATTTTTGATCTTTTTAATAACTATTCCACGAGACAGAGCCTCCTGGCTTGATTGTCGTGACTCTGACCCCTTCATTTACCTTCAGAAGAAATCCAACAGGCGCTTTGATATCTAAACTCCTCAGAACGGTTGATTGTATGCCGACGTCACATTAACACGTCATGGCCGACACACCTCGATCCAACGCTGAGGACGAGCGTGTAGCCCGGGTGATATCAGGTCATCTTCCATCCGGCTACACGGCAGAATGGGATGCTGGACAGAGTGCAAACGGCGAGCCTGCCGTCGATGGAGCAGAGGCCGCTAATGAATCGTCACTCCTGCTTGAGGGAGGCGACATCACTAGAGACTTATACAAAATCCACCAAAGGGCCAAACTGAGCCAGCGAGCCGCAACATTCTCACATCCTAACGAGAGCTCAGCTGAATTCGAGAACGATTTGACTGTCGCTGAGCAACGTCTGCCCGGTGGGTTTCGTCGACAATTCGTGCAGAAGAAATATGGCAGGTTCAATCCAGCGGTGATCCCCGTGACGAGAAATTTTGTTGAGTTTCTTGCTCTCTACGGCACGTTTGCGGGTGAGGATCTTGAGGATTCGGATGATGAAGCAATTGAGGATACGGATGAAGATGACGAAGCTCCTAACGAACGACGACCACTGCTGGAACGCCGTCGAAGTACTAGGCAGACCCAAAAAGGCGATGCGGGCAGAACCAAGACCTTCTTCACCTTGCTCAAGGCATTCATCGGGACGGGGATCATGTTCCTGCCTAAGGCGTTCAATAATGGAGGCATTGTGTTTTCATCCATGACTCTGATCACCGTGGCCGCCGTTACCACAGTTGCATTTCATCTTCTGCTTCAATGTCGCCAGATCCACGGAAAGTCCGGATATGGCGAGTTGGGAGAAGTCATCGGCGGACCCAAGATGCGAGCTGTCATTTTGACCTCGGTCACCATTTCACAGCTTGGATTCGTTTGCTCCGGCACGATTTTTGTGGCACAGAACCTACATTCTTTTGCCAAGGCCGTGTCGCACGGTCAGAGTCCCATTTCGACCAACATCCTCATCGCTCTGCAATTGATTGTGTTGATACCACTATCGTTTATCCGGAACATCTCAAAGCTTGGGCCTTCGGCTCTGATTGCAGACATCTTCATCCTCATCGGACTGGGATACATATACTGGTACGACATTGCAGCGCTGGTCGCGGATGGGTTGGCCCCGACCGTTCAGTATTTCAACCCGGACCACTACACGTTGACGATTGGGGCGGCGATCTTCACATTCGAGGGGATTGGATTGATTCTTCCAATCCAGTCGTCCATGGCCAAACCAGAACAGTTTGAACCATTGCTCTGGCTGATCATGCTGCTTATCACAGTCATCTTCACCTCGATCGGAGCCCTGTGCTACGCTGTGTTTGGTTCAGCGACCGAGATTGAAGTCATCTCCAACTTCCCGCAGGACAGCAAGCTAGTCAACGCAGTACAGTTTTTGTATTCGATAGCTGTCATGGTCGGCATCCCTGTTCAATTGTTCCCTCCGGTCAGGATCCTCGAGGGCCAGATCTTCGGCCGTCGCTCCGGCAAGCGAGACACCTTTACCAAGTGGAAGAAGAACGGCTTCCGCACTCTTCTGACCGTCCTGTGTGTATTGGTGTCTATTCTTGGGGCCAACAACTTGGATCGCTTTGTCGCCTTGATTGGCTCTTTTGCCTGCGTTCCCCTCGTCTACATCTATCCTCCACTTCTCCATTATAAGGGCGTCGCTGAGACGAGGGCTGCAAAGGCTGGTGACATTGCCCTAATCGTCGTTGGCACCGTTTGCATGATATACACCACTATTGTCACCGTGGTCAACAGTTTTATTCAGTAACTTTACTGGAAGTCCATCGAGGCCGGTGGTTTGAAATGAGCATTTAAGGGGGAATTTTGAGATCAAATCTCGTAACAAAAGATGTACCGTCCAGACGGATTTTAGCCAGTGGCATTTATCGGACAGATCATGATTCGTCTCTGATGGTTGGGGCGGAAATAACGACATGATCGCATATGATTAGGGATAAGACGACACATGCAAAAGTTCAGGCGTTGGATATTGATTGGTAGTACATTTGAAAGGCTGCGATCGAAATTTGGTCAGTATGTATATCACACCACACCCAGGGTAGACAATTAGGATGCATCGAGCCCCCTAAAGTGACCAGTCCCTAAGATGTGTGTGACGATAGTTCGAGCATGTAGGCAATTGCTGTTAGGTCCGTATCGTACGGTAGTAAGCGCGTCGAGCATTGATGAATGGTAAAGCAAGAGTCAGTATGTTCCATCGTGGAATAAGGGGTCCCTTGTACGAACATAGGACAGTCTACAAACTCCCTACCAAAGATTGGACAAGACCAAGTCACTGAATAGAACCCGAGAGATTACACTCTGCAGCCCAAAGGTCCATCTCTGTCTTCCTACTTAGTCCATCTTTCCGGTCACGCGGTACACATAAGGAATGAAGTAGCCACCCAGGAGTGAAACATATCAACAAGGGGAATAGTCCTGTATGTTCATGTCTCTCTAGCTGAGAGACAGGCACATCATTACTAGTTATGGTTGGGGAATACTTAGCCTGCAGCCTGCAGCCTGCACGCACTTGGGTTTTTGGTGTCATCCGTAGTCCCATCTGGGATTCTTCGGATCTTTTTTCACGTATAGTTGACTGTCGCAGAAACAGGAGACTGATAGCTGCCAGAAACATGGATGTTACAGCAGCCCATTCAGCTAGGTCTACTTAGAATGTGGTCCAGGGGAGTAGGAATTTCCCAATAATCATCCCTTCGGTTTGAGGGGGAGAGGCGTTCGTGATTTCGAGAAGGTTGTTTGTATCGTTTTGTTCGTCTGCGGCCAGGGCAAGAGACAGCTTGACTTGCTCGTGTTTCGTAACTTTCGCACTCCTTGCATATAAGTGAAAATTTCAAGGTGAAAGTTGACTGGTGGTCAGGTTAAGCAGCACATCAGGGGGTCGAGACTCGAGAGGCGTGCAAATAAACATCGGAAGGTGGCTTGCGGAAGGAAGGTGCGACATAGGCGAGTTTGTTTGACGAGGAAGGCACGGCCGTGGTTTGTGGTTTGGGGCAGGCGCCCCGCCCCAAAAGCCACAAAGGGCAGGAACCACCCAGGTTTCTCAATTCCCCCATGTCAGGCTGACTCCCCCCTGGACACTGGACGGTTTGCATATACGACGACATCCACCATCCATCAAACTCGTATTTCTTTCCGACCACTGTCTCTGCCTTCACCCCCTCATGAAGCTGACCTCTCGTGTCTGTAGGTCGAACGTGATTATCTGTTCTTAGATTGGTGTCAGCTCAGGGATCTATCCGAACTCCTTGATGCCGTTCCTCTTCTGCTCTGGAACGAAGATATGGCGTGGTGGAAATTGCATTGCAGATACGATGAATCCTAACAGAAAAGATTGCGCTGTTGGTGGTTGCTGCTGAACTAGGACAGTTGTTTGGTTATGGCCTGCCCAAAGTGAGATGTCTTTGTGGTGGCTTGAAACGCTCAGTCTGGTCTGCCACCACCAAATGTTTGGTATGCATGCCATGCCATCTATTCCTTGAACATCTCGGTGTGATATCCTACTATAAGTTCAGGGTTCCCAACCTCAGAACAGTACTCTGCTACGTCCATTCATTCATTCATTCACTCGCTCACTTACTCACTAATACCCTCACCCAAGTCACTCATTCCCAAGACAACGTGATACTCTAGACTCTCCCATTTTCACCTGCCCAAACTCCTCATTCCTCAACATGAAGTTCTTCGGAGTTATTGCATCTCTGGCCATGGCCACCACTGCCCTCGCTGCTCCCGGTTGGGGCGATTGGAGCGGTGGTCTCACCCAGAGAGACGCCGAAGATATTGTGGCCAAGTTCAGCTCAATCCTCACCCATGCTGACATCCCCACTGCCAACAAGACTGCTCAAGCTTTGATCGCTGAGGGTTATACGGAGATTTCTGACTCTATCAACATCCTCGCTGGATTCCCTGTGAGTATTTCTGAAGGCCTAAGGGCGGGAAATCCATGCTGATACTCTGTAGATCGGTGGTGTCACCTTCAACGGCAAGCAGAGCTACATCAATGGTGTTCTCTACTCGCCTAGCTTGACCGGCATCGAGAACCTCAAGATCGCTCCAGCTGGAAACAACCTTGTCATCTGGTACTGGAAGTTCACCGGCATCGGTAGCAAGCAAGTCCCAGTTAGGGGTTTTAATCTCTTCGAAATCAACAAGCAGAAGCAGATTACCTCCCTCTATGTCGAGTTCAATAGTATTGCTTGGGGCATCGACACTGGATACACCACTACCGACCCAACTGGCAAGAAATTGCCCTTGGTGTAAACGCACTCGGAAAGGATAAGGAATTTGTCCTACAACTGACGTGCAGAGGAGTGTACTTGATTCTCCATTCTCACGATATTCTTTAATGGTAATTGCATCAAGGACCAGGACAGGTGGATTTGGGATTCAGTGTAAGATATAAACACGTTGGATATTTAGAAAATAGAAAAAGCAAGAAGGCCACACCGTCGTCTATGACTTGGCCTCATTTCACCCTGACTAGAGGTATTGGTTCGTCTACATTGGATTCCTGGACCGTAGTTCGGAATCGTGGTGCCGATACAACCCTACGACAAGTCCCCCACGTCTTTTTTTGAGTGCGATGTGAATATAAACAAGAAGTCGGTAATGTCCGCTGACGTAGACAGCCTGAAGGACTTGGGTCGATATATCAATCAAGCCGATGTCGCTAAGTAGTAAATGTTTAGTGACTCTTCAGACACGCCACATCAAACATCTCGATTCACCTATACTTAGTACTCCCAGCCAACCAAGCATTCGAGAAAGTCCATCCAAAACCAACACTTGATCCCCAAAGTTACCCAGATCTAGATCCCCACACCCCCGTTGACCACAACACCAACGACAATGATCATCCTCAAAGAACACGATGTCGTATCCCTCCTCTCCAACCTCACACCCATCGAAACACACCAACTCCTATGGCGCTTCCAAGGAATTCTCAAACGCTACACACAGAACCAAATTCTCCCACCCAAAGAACAAATCATCCACCAACCCGAACGAGTATCCATCACGACCAAAACCGGCAACACCACACTATTCATGCCCTCATCACTCACCACAACCACGGGAATTAAAGTCGTGACCGTCCCAACCTCGGGCATCATCAAGGGTTCAATCAATGTATTCGCACCCGATGGCGAACTCAAGGGCGTTCTCAACGCCGGGGAAATCACTGCTTTTCGCACTAGTCTTGCCGTGATGATCCCCTTTGTTCGATATTCCGGATCGAAATCAAATATTGTTGTTTTCGGTGCGGGGAGACAGGCCGAGTGGCATATTCGGTTGGCGTTGTTACTTGCTGCTCATGACAATGCAGGCGACGACACTACTACTACTATAGGTGACCGTATCCGTCATATCACGGTAGTCAATCGAAACGATCCGGGAAGATTAGGTCCGATTGTGGACGAGTTGAGACAACGGTACAAAGACGTGACGTTTGAGTTCTTATTCAAGACCGACGACGCATATACCAGCAAATTGCGAGATACGGTCGGTGCGGCAGATGTGATTTTCGGGTGCACGCCAGCAACGGAGCCGCATTTCCCATATGAATATCTTCTCACCACGCGTGATCACGATGGTGGTGTCAAGGCACGTCGATTCATTGGTTTGATTGGCTCTTATAAACCCCATATGCAAGAAGTGGATTCAAGGACTATCTTGTCTGGTGATGGTGGGAGGATATATGTCGATACCATCCATGGGTGTCTGGTTGAGGCGGGCGAGTTGATTATGGCCAATGTCACAAAGGACCAGTTGGTTGAGGTGGGTCAGTTTCAAGGTCAAGATGAGGGTCCTTTGCCGGATAAAGGGAATGTTATCTTCAAGTGTGTTGGTTTGGGTATCATGGATCTATTCATGGCGGATGAGTTGTTGGCTTTGGCATCTGATAAAGGCCTTGGGTTGGCTATTAATGATTTCTAAAGATTGAAATCGATTCAACTTACTGTGGCATCTGCTGGTGTCTTTGTCATTAAATTCATCTCACCCCATGATCGTGCATAAAGGCGCTCGCATGTTAGTGGGAATGTTATTACAGGCCGCATGCCCAGCTTAGCATTTGAAAATGCTCTATCTAAAGCTGGGGTGAGGTCAGAACCACCACCACCCACGTCTCAGTCGACATCCATGGTCTCCGCCATCAACAAGTCTTCGTCGGCAATATCGTCATCGAAATCGTCATTTGATCCATTGTGTCCGTTGGCACCGTTGGCACCGTTTGTCGGCGCCTGACCATTGACGGCGCTGTGCATGTAGTCGTGCATTCTGGCGTCTTCTCTACCCATGTCGCCTTCACCCCGATTGGCCTTTTGCTCTCTCTGGAACCTCTCCAGCTCTCTCAGATCCCAACTGTCTTTACCCTTGGTTGTCCCATCAGTTGCCTTTTGTGACGCTGCCAGCGGTTGTGCAATATTCCTCAAAAATTTCTTCGCCATGCCCACGGCCGCATCTGTGCTCAACCCGGTCTGTCCATCCAGGATTTCTTCTGCTATCCAACGCGGAAGTTGTGTCCTTTTCTTCTGGAATCGACGATCCGCCAACACCATGATCCCATAATCGTCTTTTCCGCGCAATACGCGACCTAGACACTGAGCTGCATGTCTCATGGCATCGAAAGACAAAAAGTCTTGCTCTTTGATTCGATAGTTCTCCCGCAGAAACTCTAGACGCGCCTTCAGTATTCGAGACTCGGTGTATTGGAAAGGTGCGCCCATGCACAACACGGTTCGCCCAAAATGGTGGTCAAAATCAATTCCCTCGGAAACCTTACCCCGAGCGACGCAGAGTAAGATGGCACCCTTGCCGTTCTCACACGCCGTTCGATACGTCTCCAGGGCCAGACTGGTTTCTTGTGCATCGGGTGTTTCAACAAGAATGAGTTTGTACGTCCAAATCTGGTCGAGAATGCCCATACCCTGCCACATGCTGATGATCATCTCCATGTAGAGATACGATGGGAAGAAGACGACAATGCCGTCCGGGGTTATCTTTGCAAATTCGAACAGTAGCGAGCCGTAATTACGCACCACGCCTGGGTCAGAGCGGGATTGAAATCCTGAAGTGATGGACTGCTGGTCAGAGCCTCTTGTAACAATCATCGGCAGGAACGAACGTCTTGCGAGTGACATGGGATATGATTCTTGAGTCACGGTGGTGAAGTTGAGCATTTTGGGATACATCTCGAGCGGGGAGATTGTTCCAGACGTGATAATGACGGAAGAAAAGCGCTCGAAGACGGGTTTGATGGCGATTGAGGCGTCCAAGCATGCAAAATGTAGCATTGGGTTAGGCACTGTGGCTTGCTCAGTCTCAAAGGGTTCGAGAATCAATAAGAACCCAGTCTCATATGTGGCGACCAGAGTGGCAAACGTTGCGACCTCCTGCAGAGGCTGATAGTCCTCGATGTTGGTTAATTCTAGGGTACGGACGAGCGAAGTAAGCCGCTCTGCACAGAATCGCAGAGGTTTCTTTTCAATGTATGTCAGCTCCTTGAGATGGGCGAGAAATGAAGGAGGTGTTTCCTGAATGACATAGAGGACTTTCATTCGAGTCTTGAGATACTCGATGAAGCGCTTGAGAAAGGCAACAAAATGCTCGGCTCTTCGAATGTTACCGGGAACGGCTTCTTTGAGGAGATCATCAGGAAGGGTAGGGTTTGCCATGAAAGCATCCTCTGCTCGAGCCTCGTCGGCGTCTCGCAGGCCTTCGACTAGTTTCTGGTATTCGCTCTGGAGTTTTTCCTCATCCGACGACTTCATTTCCTCAATCTTTCGCTCAAGGTTGTTGGCTCCTCGTGTCGCCTTGCGCAGAGAGTCCTCATTGATGTCAATGGACAAGGATTCGATGCAAACATTGTCTATGTTATGAGCTTCGTCAAAAACAACGATACAATCCTTGGACAGTTCTTTGGAGACTCGGTCGGCAATTTTGGGGTCAAGCAGATAATGGTAGGAGTAAATGATGACGTTGCAGAAAGGCATCATTCGTCTTGCTGAAAAGTAAGGGCATTGCTTGTGCTCTTCACCATAACGCAGTAGACCGTCCAGTGTAAAGACACCTGGAGGTACGAGATTGTGAGGCTCGAGGAGATCGAGGTTGTCGTGGTAGACGCAAACATCAACCTCTTCTCCGCGCTCCTTCTTCTCCTTGACAAAGCCCGCAGTCAGACTTCTACACCGGGCATCTACCACGGCGCCACTCTTTTCCCGCTTCACCGAGGGATGAAGGCAAAGATTCTTCCTACTCGTCAATCCCAAGCCACGAAAATCTTCGACAAATCCCAGTTGGTCCGATCTATATTTCATGAGAGCCTTCAGCTCAGCCAGCGCCTTTTCAATTTCGGACATCGTTCTGGAGCAGTAGATGAGCTTGCGATGTTCGGGGTAGTGTTGTTGATAAGCCACGATAAGTGAGAGCAGAGACACGGTCTTGCCAGTGCCTGATGGCATCTCGAGGACACAGTGGCCGCCGGCATCGAGGGTGCGTTTGAGATCACACATGTATGCATATTGTTCGGGGTAGATGCGGGGATATGGAAACAGGACAGGGAGGTCACTGTGACAAGTCAGTGAGCTTCAATGACTGCTTCACGAGAGGTGGTCTGTCCTACTCGATGAAGAACTTCATGGTGGGCGGTGCTATGGCTTGCGCCGTCAGCCATAACCCACTGTGTTTGGGACAAGGGAATTGCGTCTATTGTACAAGGCACGAGGCTCCAGGTAGATGATCACCGGCTCATCCTGGGGGCATAAGGTGAGCAACACATTTGACGAGCGACCGAGAAAGAGTTTCAGCGGCTACAAGGTCGAACGATGTGGTTTGTGGTCGTTGATGGTGTGGGAAAAGGGCGAGAACATGATGACGACGGAGTGAAATAGTGAACGTCTCATAGGCAGGCACGTGAAGTAGGCAACGACACCTGTGGGGCACCTGCCGCGAAACTTTGGATCGTGATCACGTGATGATTCCACTCAGAATCATGCCGCTTTTGATTTCCATTTGCACCTACGGAGTAGTCAAACATGATCGTGCCGCTTTTGAAGCAAGCTTTCGACTCGGGGGGTTTCTTTCGTGGCCGTGGTCGTGCCTGCCCTTAAAATTGAAAATTGGTGTAAAGACGTCATTGCACAAATTATTCTTGGGGAAGTCGCAGTCGGGAGTCACTCCGATTATCGTGCCTTCCACTGCAGCGTCTACCTACAACCCACAAACCACGACAACCTCAAATTACGACTTCTCATCATCACGCTGACAACAACCACTTCCCTTGCTCCCGTGCGAGGATGCTGCCCTCATTATGAGCAAGAAGTTCAAATCGCACGCCTCCAGCGCCCGGGCCGCTTCAAACGCCTTGTCATCCTCCTCTTTCGGCTTCGGCAGCCCCTCCAATGCGTTCCAGACTGCCCCGTCCACCTTGTCCTATATCACCGAATTCCCAGACTTATCCACCGTCTCCGACCCGAACCTCGTGGTATCGTTGCGCAATTTGGGCAAGAAAGACAGTACGACAAAGGCAAAGGCTATTGAAGAATTACAAGAGCATGTCGCACAGGCTAAACCCATCGAGCCTGGCTTCCTCGACGCATGGATTGCCCTCTACCCACGCGCCTCTATAGACAATTCTCGCAGGGTTCGTCAAATCGCTCACATTCTGCAAGGCTCTATAACATTAGCCTCAGGCAAGCGCATCGCCCCCCAACTTCCTAAAGTCATAGGACCGTGGCTGTCGGGGATCTATGATAGCGACAGAGCTGTCGCTCGTGCCGCTCAGGAATCAATTGCCGCTTCTTTCCCAACCGAGGACAAGAGGAAGGCCTTGGTCAAGGTATACAGAGATGCACTCATCCAGTATGCCGAGGATGCGATTCTCACCCAAACTCCCCAAACTCTGAGCGATGAACGGTCCACCACTCCCGAGGATGCTGAGGCCAAGTTCGTGCGTGCAGCTGGAACGGCAATACTGATGCTGAATCATACAATCGTCACCAACGTCTCCTCTAGCTCTACAGGTGCTTCGTCCCCAGCATCAGATCTCCTTCAGCCTATTCTGACCAACAAGAAACTCTGGGAGAAATCTTACCATCCCGACCCTTTCCTTCGGAGAGCCTTGTATAGTCTCGCTACAACCTGCATCTCACTCCTGCCGGACTCCCTCGACTGGCCAGTCCTGAGCACCTGCATCGTTGGTAAAGCTCTGCACTCCTCACAACTCGGTTCGTCGTCTCAATTATCAGAACTTCTGATCTCATTGACCACTGTTCGGCCTCAGATCTGGACTACAGATTACACGTCAAAGACATCCTCCTTGAAGAGATTGCTACAATACCTGCGCAGTGGCTCCCAACACGGCTCTGCGTCATTCTGGTCCAACAACGCCCAGCTGCTGCGGAAGATACCTGTTCAAGTCTGGAACGGAGGCATCCCGGAAGCAAAGGTCGACCTGGAAAATGCTCGTGCACTACTCGAAGCCATCAAATCAGGAATAATCGACAGCGATGAACCTCGCCACAACCTGGAAGCTGCATGGTCAATGTATGGACAGACTGTCTTCTGGGTGGTAGATCTGCTCCTCGAATCCTCACCAAAGCAGGATCTGCTCCAAACCTCCGTCCTCCCCATCATTGTGGCATACATCTCAGGAGATGCACAGCAGCCTTTGTGGCCAGTCCCTTCTTCTGCCGCACCTCGACTCTCCGCCAGTATTCTCCTCCATATCCTGGACCGTCAGCTGACAGATCTGTTTGAAGATACGTGGCTCCAGTTGTCCCAGTCATTAATCAGTTCCATGAGGTTGTCGTTGCCCGAGTCTTCCAAAGAATTTCGAACTTCACAAGATGCCGTTATCGCCAAATCCCATCGTCTTCTGCGTTTGAAAACCACCATTCTGCAAAGCGACCGCCTGGATGCCTCACAACAGGCCGCTGTGGCAAACGTGTTCTCCGAGGCCGACGAACAAATCAACATCTCAGCTGTGGACTTGTTGGTCGCACGTCAGGGGAAACCATATGGCGCTGCAGCGGTTCTGGAAGTATTTGCGTCGGCCAATCTCGGCACTAGCGAAGCATTGTCAGAGTTCTTCAAATCCTCAGCCTTGACATTACTCGATAGCCCTTCAGCTGAGTTCCTCGTCGCCACCCAAATCAAGACAAAACAACCGTTGGGACCTATCATCGATGCGTTGATCGGCCCCCCCAAAAGCATTTCCAAGTCAAAAGCCCTTGCTCGAATCCTTGGTCAGACCAACAATCCAGACCTGCCTCGTTCTAGTGAATTTGCTAATCTAGTCCACACATCTGCAAATAACCTCAATGATGAATCGGCCCGGTTGATCTTAGAGTCCATGTTTCTGAATGACAAACTAGCGGAGTCCGACCTCACTAAGGGTGCCTTTCAGAAAATTCTCAACAATCTTGCTCCTGACAGTACATTCTCCCAGCAAGAACTCGCTCTGCAGTTCCTTACCGATTTGCTATCGAAAGCGACTTCTGCCTTTCCCCTTGCTCTTTCGTTCGGCACTAGTCTCCTAACACAACTTCTGGTATTGTCAGACTCAGATACTCGAGAGATTTCGGCCTTGGCAAGCAGCCTGGTGGCAAGGCTCAAGTCTCTCTCCGTGGCCGCGAGTGATGGTCAAGTCCCACTCTCTTCGCACAGTGTCATCGTGGATCAATTGTCTGGTATTGGTACCCCACTGTCCATTTTTGCTCTGATCGATCTGGCCAAGGACTCAATTCTACATCACCCGTCGAAATCCTCGCTGCCAATATTACCCAGCAGTGAACAATGGGTAAAGGCGCTCGACCCTCACATTTCTTCGGCACGATCCCATTCTCTGTCCATCACTAGCCCACTTCAAGGTTTCATCGCCATAACCAAGCCGGCGGGAAAAGGCCTTTCGAGCCAGCAGCCATACGACACAGAAGGCCTTTCTCTCCTTTTTCGACTGACATTGTATGTCATCAAAGTCTTGTCAGAAACGAACATCTTGACTCGAGTGTCTGCAGAAGAACTCAGGACGCTTCACCAACATCTACCACTCGCACTCCAGTTGGTCAATGAAAAATTGACCATCGACTCTGCCAATGAGATATGGCTCATGACAACTTCTGAAGTCAGTGACGAAGCAGCTGATGTTTTAGCCCAGGGAAATGCCTTGATCCAGGAATGGCTGCAAGATGATCAGCTACTCCGTGTGTGGTCGGACCGGATTCTATCTGCGGCAGATGTGACCGTCCGCGAGTACTTCGAGGCACTTACATTTACCGATATCGCGTCGCGCCACATTGATATTCATGGCCCAAATGTCTTTATGACTACCTTCGAAGGGCAAATAGCGCAATCGTTCAAGGCTCCTCAGCCGGGCCTCTCGGCAAGCCTGCTTGCGGTCAGCCATGAATATTTGATCGGCTCGCCGAGCGGACGCAAATTATTGAATGAACTTGTTGCTCTGTGCACCGAGGTCAAGCCCCCACAAAGTGACAATTCCGCGGTACGGCCACTGCTTCTGTTAAACATATTGATTGCAGGCCAAGCCGATGCGATTGAGCACATCCCCAATCAAAGGATTGTCTTCCTCATGCAGTCGTTAGTTCAATTGTTGGTTGACGATTCCTCCGCTCCAATTTTCCATGCGGAGGCACTCAAACTTCTGGACCCGGTTCTTGTGTCAACTCGGGACATATATGGCAACCACTGGGAGCAAGTTTTGGAGTTCATTGATTCCACGTGGCAATCGCAAAGTGAAGCGGCAACATCTCTGCCGTTATTAAATGCGGCACTTCGGTTGTATGGAAGAATAAAATCTCTGAGTGAGTCGGAAGATGCCAACGAGGACCTCACAGATGCTTGGAAATCGAAAGAGCATTCGCTCAAAGACGGCCTTGTGAAATGTCTGGAGAGTTTTATGCCTCCAAGCCATGAAACTAACCAGCCTCGCTCAATCACCGCGAGACAGTTGAGGAGACACTTGGCATCGGTGGAAATCAAGCATGACCCTTTGCTGTACCTGCTTCTATCATCCCCGGAGGAAGAAGTCCAGGGCGCTGCTTACGATCTTCTCCATCGATCTATTCCGGTGGAGCAAGAACAGATCTCGCTCGACCTTGCATTAGAGCATAAAGTGGCACAACTACCCGCAGATCTGGTGTCAGCATTGACGAGCGCACCAGCTACGACAGATTCAACAAACCAGAGGCAAAGCTACCTATTAGCGTGGCAGTTAGTGTTCGACCACTTTCCCAACGCCTCTTATAAACTCCGGGAGCTATACACAGACAATATCAAGTCTCAGAACCTCCTTCCCGGCTTGCTGGATCTTGTTTGTGAGATTTGTCGTATTACTTCGGGTCGGCCGATCGATGCTTCCAAAGTTGATATCAAGAATTTCCAACTGGGGATTAGTGAAAGTCACCAGAAGGAGGAACAATGGCTTGCAATACACGTGTATTTCTGTGCGCTGATGTATCTTCCGAGTCTTACCAGGAGCTGGTTCATCGAGCAGAAGAATCGCATCAAGTCGCCATTGGAAAGTTGGACGCAGAAATATTTTACCGGGATCTTGGTGTCTTCAGCCATGTCCACTGTGATGGAGTGGGTTGAAAGACAGGCGCAAGAAGACAGCGAGGCACCTATTGTGGTCAAGCCATCGTTGAACGGCTCAGAGGCGGTTGCGTCGATCGCCGTCGATCCCGAATCACCCCCAATTTCTCTGGCTGTGTCGCTCCCGAGTAGCTATCCACTCGAATCTCCCAGCGTAAGTTCACGCACACGAGTGGGCGTGTCGGAGAAGAATTGGCAGTCGTGGATGCGGACTTTTCAGATTATCATCTTCAGCACGGGAAGCATTATCGAAGGCCTGGTTGCATTCCGGCGCAACGTGCAGGGAGCGCTCAAGGGACAAAGTGAATGCGCCATCTGCTACAGTATCATCGGAACTGACATGCAGACGCCCAACAAAAAGTGCGGGACGTGCCGCAACACCTTTCACAGCGTCTGCTTGTTCCGATGGTTCAAAAGCTCCAACAGTTCGAGCTGTCCGTTGTGTCGAAACAACTTTAATTATGCATAGTTGAGCGAGTTGGAAAAGCAGGATAGACTCCAAGGAAATGGGGATTCACAAATAGATTCAAGCAAACATCATAAGATAAATGTCTTGGAACATGTGACGTGTATAAGCCAGGTCCTCGCATGGGGACATGTGGAATCTCTCGTGTAACGATGAATAGGAGTGACCGTGATAGGGTTTAGAAACAAGTAGATGTCGCTATTGGCCGATATCAATACCATGGAGATTCAATCAAAAGGGTCGCTCGTCACCATCATCATCATCCATATCGTATGATCTTTCTGTTGGCTGATTCAGGGGGTCAAGGCTGTGGTAGTAAAACGAACGATTCCGAATATAAATCTTGGCTTGGCGCCACTCAAGTCGAGTCCTTGTTTCAGATGTACAAAACCACCACCATTCATCCAGCCCTTATCCATGTCCGGTCAACAGATCCCAAATCTTGCTACATTTCGCCGAGGAGGCCTACGGGGGCGAGGAAGAGGACACAATGTGACGGATGGAGCCAGATCAGGCATTGGGGGAGGTCGACGGAATGTCGATCATGACCACATTGTTCAGAACACAGACAACGATGCAGCCACGTCTCGGCTGAGCGCCGTGGCAGCCGGCTACCTGGAAGACATGTTTGCCAGCCTCTTGACACCCAGTGATGGTCTCGCGAGGCGGCTTCCGTTAATGAATCGAGGTGAGTCAACAGTCCGGTTATGACATGACATTGGACTTGCGGGCTAACCGGTCAGGAACTTATGTCCGAACAACGGGGATTGATCAAATTGTTGATACCTTTTTGTCAACATCAGAGGGGCGGCGTCAACAGGTCATCTCCCTAGGCGCAGGTAGCGACACACGATACTTTCGATTGAAGCAGAAGCGACGCCAGCTGGATGTGGTCTATCATGAAATCGACTTTGGTGCCAACACCACGCGCAAGATTACTCGATTACGGAGTCTTCCCGTCTCTAGCACAGTCAAGACACTATCTGGCGTTGATTTGCACGATGCGGACGTACGAATATCTGGAGATGGCTCGAGCCTGTCTTCCCACAACTACTATATCCATGCATTGGACCTCCGGCAGCTGTCTGAAATGGAAAGCCCTATCGCCGGACTCGATACAAACCTACCTACACTGGTAATCTCGGAATGCTGTCTTGTGTATCTGCCGCCATCCGACGCCGACGCCGTACTCCATTATCTCTCCCAATTATTTCCTCCTACCACACCGCTTGGCATCGTAATTTACGAACCTATTAGACCTCACGACTCGTTCGGCAAGGTCATGATTCGGAACCTGATGGAGCGAGGGATACAACTCCAGACCTTGGAGAAGTATGCGGATCTCGACAAACAAAAATCAAGACTACAGGGACACGGGTTCACTGGAGAGCAGAATGGGGCCGAGGCAGCGGACATCGACATGATTTGGTCAAGGTGGATTGACCCAGGCGAGAAGGAGCGTGTCGATGGACTGGAATGGATGGACGAGGTGGAGGAGTTTGTTCTCCTTGCGAAGCACTATTGTATTTGCTGGGGTTGGCGTGGCTTTAGCCATGGGTCTAGACTGTGGAGTGAACTGGCGAGATGAGGTTTAGGGTATCTTTTTATCAAGATGCAGAGATTGTGTCAACCACGCGAGGGAGACTGTGCACGCAGGAGAGATTGGGCTGATACAGATTCATTGCAGTGGAACAACTTGATATTCTCAATCGAGGGGAGGGAGGTTAATCACGTGCGGGATATTCAAGATCATCACGTGGTGGCAGGAGGCCAAGACAGGTAATTTCCCATTGAAATCTTGGGTCGCTCTTGTATTTCTTGCCTTGTACGTCTTGCCCATGTGACAGACCTTGGCACGTGATGCACGTGCTCGAGCCCCGTGCCCGGCCCCAATCACCTGCGAGACATTCTCGACACATCACCATCATCATCGTGCATCACATCCCGACAGCCACCATGTCTGACCCCTTCATCCCTAACCTTGCAGTTCTTTGTCATCTGTCATTCCGCCAGCATTGCCAGCATTGTTCACAGGCAATGCCCTCGTCCGGCTGGTCACAAGCAAAGTCAAGCTGCATAGTTTGGAGCAAGTAAGGAATGGGTGGAAGTGGTCAAGCGAGTGCTGACCAAGAGAAAGCGACACCACGACACACCACACCACACCACATCAGGCATTCAAGCTGCCTCAGACTATGAAACCCAGGCTTGATTCCAATGCCTCGACCAAGAGTTCCTGAGAGCACGAGCCCCCGACACACTCCCGAGGCAACCTTGTCTCCGGAGCCACCTCTGCCAATAAACCAGCCATGATATCCTCTTGCTGATTCCAATGAGGTACGGAGTAAAAGTGAATGGACACATGAAAAACTTTGAGCAGAAGTCTTTACTTTCATATCCGCTCAATGTGACAGTCTTCCCTTCCAAGTTGCCCGTCACAACGGTGAGGAAATGATTGCTCCATAACAAATCCAACAAAACAGGGGTGTGATTCGATGCTCCAGGGGCCTGAGGTAAACAAGCTCATGTCGGAAGAATGCTGATTCGCGCATGGAGATTAGACGTGACAGAGTGGACTCTGGCCGCACAAAGCGGAGCGGGCCCGCGCGGCGATCAAGACACCGATCAACACGCCTCGTCGGTCTCAACCAACCACAGCCTTCGAATCCCTGAGGCATGGCCCATTCTTCTAAAATCAACAGTGGATGCTTCCATAGATCGTCAATGCGCCAGCCTTGCATGGCTCGAGACCCAACACTGTGTTGGCCATGTTGCACTCATCTCAGGTAATTTGCGCTGGTCGCGGTCGCTTGGCCGGTGTCTGCCTCTCCTTTCCCTGGTCTTGGGTCTTGGGTCTTAGGTCTTGGTGCCTCAAGCTCCTCGTGCCTGTTGGTGTCGTCGTCGTACACTTTTTACCTCTGTTCACCAGACCCGTCGCTCTTTTGTATCTTGGTCGTTCCTTTTTCGCGTCACTCCTTCGTCCTCGTTGGAAACCAGACCGTCGTCGACGACAGTCTGTCGCTAACAGCACAGCTCTGCGAGCCGACCCACGTTCCTTACCATCAACCACCACCAACTGACCCCAGTCATTCCTTTATACAGTGCCAAAGTATCCAAGCCGAAGCCCGCGACCATCGCACCTAGCCTCTCTCTCAAGGCCCACCGAAACTCCATTTACAAACCTTTGTACAGCATAGATCGGTGTATGAGCTTTCTCAATGCGGAAACGGACGTTTACCTCGAGCGCGAGCGCATTGCTCCTCCTGACCGCGACTCTGGTCAGCGCAAAGCATGCATCCCATGATCACCTCGATATCCTTCACAGAAGGCACCGTGCAACTCGACAAGTTGAGCCTCGATCAACCAGCGAGAATGGCGAGGCAGGTGTTGAGATTCGAGCCCTAGCAGAAACCGCCTCGCACAAGGTAGAGAAAAGGGCTGGAACATGTCAATTTCCTACAGACGCTGGATTAGTCCCTGTCACCATGGGTGCACAGAATGCTGGTTGGGCTATGAGCCCAGATCAGCCTTGCAAACCAGGTAATTATTGCCCGTATGCTTGTCCTCCTGGTCAAGTGTCTATGCAATGGGACCCTACTGCAACATCCTACACATATCCAAAGTCTATGGTGAGTAACGCTGAGAAAGCCGCCTCTCGATCATCTGTACTGATGAGTCCTAGAATGGTGGACTGTATTGCGACAATAACGGAAATATTCAGAAGCCATTTCCCGATCGGCCGTACTGCCAAAGCACCAGTTCCAATATCGGTGTACAGAACCGAGCGGGCGGTGTCGTGTCGTTCTGCCAAACCGTCCTTCCCGGCAACGAAGCCATGTTGATCCCAACTTCAGTATCGGACTACGCCAGCATCGCAGTGCCTGACCCCAGCTATTGGTGCTCGACTGCCGCTCACTACTACATTAACCCCCCTGGAGTGGGCACTGAAGAAGCTTGTGTCTGGGGCACCAACGCAAACCCCGTAGGGAATTGGTCACCCTATGTCGCGGGCACCAATGTCGATGCATCTGGCCAAACCTTTATCAAACTCGGCTGGAACCCCATTTACCTTGAACCAACCACACCCTTTCGAAATGAGATGCCGAACTGGGGAGTCCGGATCGAGTGTCCTAACGGTGGATGCAACGGACTGCCGTGTGCTATTGACCCAACCCAAAACAAGGTCAACAGCATGCAAGGAAGTTCGAGTAACGGAGCCGGAGGGGGTTCATTTTGCGTCGTCACAGTATCGAAAGGATCCACCGCCAATTTTGTCGTTTTCAATGCTGGAGGCGACACAAGTAGCAATACGGGTGGTGGCCAGGCCAGCAGTTGGGGCGGCAGCGACTCCAGCACCTGGGCAAATAACAACGGTGCTGGTCAATTTTACCAGTCGGCTACCGAAACGCCAGATGCCTCGTCGACGGTTGAGGCTGAGGCAACATCAACCTACACTACCAGCTGGGCGGCGGAGACAACCACAACGTCAGCATCGGCCTCCACAACAACTTTCGACCGGAATTGGCCAAAGAGTAATTCGACGACGTACACACCTGGGCGCCCATCGCAATCGCCGCACTATTCCCTTTTCAATACCGAGTCTGTTGCAACCCAGACATCACCGTCGAGTTCAAGTGGCGAGGCAGCAACTACACAAGCCCCTTCGTCGACACATATATCACCTTCAATAAAGACTGCCACGGGCGCTGCGTCGCTAATGCAGGCCTCAATACTCGGTCTCGTATCGAGCGTGGCCCTCTGCCTGCTTGCTTCATTATGATATCCCCATTGATCTGCCAAAGACTCACTTGATCCCCAAGTAATGAGTTTGCTGGTTCATCAAGCTAGCTTGAAAGATCAAACTATGTGGCGCAGCTGGCCTTGCGGAGAGGAGTACTCGTCGATATGATGACACCTTGGGATTCGTTTCATGTTTTACCTTGTTGCGCCGTTTATGTCACGGCCTGTTGGACATAGATATATCGAAGCACATACAGCACCGTCGACTGGAACAGTCGAGCCAGGCGGCTCAACTGGACAGATGAAGACAGGGTTTGGCTGAGCGAGGTAGAAACAGTGGCAGGCACCATATTTGTTGGAATTATTGTGGCTACTTTGCCAGTGTTGTCGATTGCGCTTTTGGAACGAGAAATTCCTACATTCGAGAAGTTTGCTGATATGTTGGCCGACAAGGCACCTAGAAGAGAAGAGGAAGAGAGACAACAGGTCGATGACTCGCTGGGTGTGATGCTGTGTGTTGTTCACCAGATGGACGTTGGTGACATGTTTTCTCCTTGCGTTGGATGGGGGATGAGGATCTTCTAGCACATATTTCTCTAGACACATGTGTAGGTGAGCGTGTGTTGTATACAACATCTGACGATAATGTTATTCTGGTATACTGAAAATGGTTTTGGTCAAATGTAGGGTTCAGTGACTGACTTTCATGGGGAAACTTGGTGGAGAGGAGCCTGAGGCATCGGCCCTTTAACTAAACATCAGGTGCAGATCTACCACTGGGGTATTGTGTTACTAACCCCTAGGCCAGCCTTTTAATTAAACTCATACCTAAACTTAAGTGCTTATGAGGAATGGTGGCCCGTGACTAGCGCCTATTAGTAAGAGTTTAGGTACTACTTGGGTATGTACCTAACCTAAAGTATTGCTCCTCCAGTTTGTACTTGCCCTCCTCAATCGTCATCCCCCACTGCGCTTTCCCCACCATCAATCGATCCTATCGTCGATTCTACCATCTTCACATCCTACCCATCCCACTTTAAACCTCTCATTTCTTGACCAACGAACCCCCCCTGGTTGTATACATTGTCCATACCTAACAATTGCCCTTCCCAGGTGACGAGGTACTACAAGTTTGTTCTCGACTCTAGTCGATCAAAGCTATCAACCACGACCCAAGCCATCGTCATCATCTTAGGCAGCCTTCCAACGATCCTCCCATAAAGCAACTGCAGATCCTCACATCTCTTCCACCTCTTGCGGCGCCTTCTTCCTCCTTCATCTCTTCCTCTCTATAAACCACCGACGTAATCATGCCTGCCGCATCTCCACAAACAGTACGTCTGTTGAATATTAATTACCACACCAACCACTCTCACTCCAATTCCTTGTGTCTCCCTCATCTTAAACATACCTTTCTAATCACGCACTTTGTCGTGTCTAGGTGAAGTTGAAATCGACTCTACGACTGTTAATCCCACGATTACGCAATGCGCAGAAAAAAGACACGGCCCTGTCAATCGCGGCGCGAAGGGAGATGGCGGAACTACTGTCACAGTCGCGGGAGGCGTCAGCGCGGATCCGAGTGGAGAACATCATCCACGCCGACATTACGGTTGAATTGATGGAGATCCTCGAACTTTATGCGGAGCTATTACTGGCAAGAGCGGGGCTGTTGGATGTGCGGGATAAGAACATCAAGGATGGTATAATCAGTAGTGGCAGCGGAGGAGGAAGTGGAACGGGTTCAACACACGAGGACAACACAGGTCTGGAAGAAGCCGCTGCCAGCCTGATATATGCGGCACCGAGACTACCACGCGACGTGCGAGAGCTGCCGCTAGTGCGCAATATGTTGGTCGATCGGTTTGGCAAGGAGTTCGCCATTCGAGCCAATGACAATGTCGACGGCATCGTGCCTGCCCGCGTCGCCGACAAGCTCAAGGTCGACCCGCCGAGCCAGCGTCTAGTCCAGGCCTATCTCGAGGAAATCGCCCGTACCTATGCAGTCGACTGGCCGAAACATCGCGAATCGGATCTGGTGGATGAGGCTGAAAGGGAGATTGAGGACGAAGACGGTGATAATGAAGACGATGATGGGGTCGGTGGTGGTGCGAAAGAGACACCCATCCTCGCTGAATCAGGTCAACCACCATCATCCTTAGAGCCAGCGAAGACATCCACCCCCGCCACACCTAAACCCAACAAGATCGATATAGGAAATCTCCAGAACGCGACGCCCCCGTCGGACATTGGAGCTAAAAGTCCCGTGTCAGTGGCTCCACCCGGTGCTAGGTCTGATAATCCTAGTCCAAAAGTCCGATTACCTGGCGGAGGTGTAGTGGGAGGAGGAAAGAATCCTAGTACTGCCAAACCGATAAAGAAGGCTACCACAACCACGCCTGCGACGACAACGACCACGAAACCTACGACGACAGCCGCAGGTGGATCTGCTGTTGGTGGAAGGGTCCCGACGGTAGATGACCTGGCAAAGAGATTTGCAGCGTTGAAATGATCAATGGATGTTTATTTGGCCGAGTTGCATAGATATACTGTAATGAATTCATGATTCATGATGGCTGGATGTGCAAGACATCAACTAGCCTGATTCTGAAAACTTGGTTCTATCATGGTCAATATGATAATCATGCTGGTGTGCTGATTGCCATCTTGCTGACTCTTTGTTAAAGTCCAAGAGGAAACACACTGTCGTTTCGTATTGCACAGCTGTTATGGTGACCTCCTGACGGACTCAACCACCCTTGAGGGGTAGACCAGTCCCAATAGCAAGTAGTCGGAAGGGACTGTCCATGATCTCAACCCACGTTCATAGACCAGAGCTATGATCCGGCACTTGTTCGCCTTGTATAGATCATATACCGATAGTCCGCCAACAGGGACCCGTATCAGGGTAGTTGTTGCCCCAGTTCAAGAGCGACTTGGATAAAGCAATGTCTCGGCGATTTTCGAGCACTTGGTGGTCCGCTGTGCTCCATGTCGTAAAGTTCGGTGTGATGCCCGGGCTTTTGAATGCGGCTTCGTCGAGCCGTGGTCCATGATGTAACAAGATAAGCCTGGTTCCGTTGCCACGAGTCTTGTATACAAGGCCTTTGGTCCTGCCAGTGTCTTTCCTTTTGAGCAATTGTTCCCAGTCAATCATGCCCTGAACCCTCTTCGAAACGTGACGAGGCGTGAAATTATGTCGAGTCGAGTCGACTCTGATGTCCAGATCTCACAGTTCAGCCACGTATATTGAAGCGCCAGCTCTCTCCCAACAGGAGAATCATAGCCATAACCTCGACTTCCGCATCACCCACTATTATTATTGTTGTCCTTCTTTCTTCATCAAGGAAAATCATCACTCCAATTTATCCAAATGTTCCAACCTCGTCAACACCACCTGTTTACTCGTCTCCTCGATTTCTCCCGCGAGGAAAACCTCATCTAGAATAGCATACACCTTGTAAAAGTTGAAGACCAAATCAAGTTCACAGACATTTCCAAAGAATTGATCTAGAACCTCGACGAAAAAATGTATTGCTTCGAGATAAGCCAGTTCATTGTCGTTGGCGTCGACGCAAACACAGAAGAATAGGCCCGCGTACCGTCGATAGACGATTTTTGTGGACGAGAGGTTTTGGCGTACCAGGGGTTGGGAGAGACCGGCGCCGCCAGAGGAGGAGGAATTCGACGAGGACGACGAGGATGAAGGGGCCGAGCGGAATTCGACAAAGTTGCTTTGGTATTTCTGATCGCGCGGCGCGATGAGGCGGTGGACCTGAAAGGGAGGTTAGGAAAAGGGAGGATTGATGGCGGAATTACGGTATTAGAGGAGGGGGGGTCTGAGTATTGTATGTGTTGTTCATACCTCGGTCTTCAATTTCACTTTCTCTTCATCTGTGTACGGTGCGTACCATTTGGCGAGCCGCGTCTTGCCTTGTCGGTTTTGGACGATGATGAAGGAGAGGACCATGGTGGATGGAGGAGATCTCTAGGGTATAGGCTCGAGAGATAGAGAGAGAGGGAGGGGGGTGTGTGTCGATGTCTGATGAGGTTCACACAACATGGAGATGCTGGAAATATCTAGATGGGATTGAGGATAGACGTTGAAGTCAAGTTGGAGTGACTGGGTGACTGAGTGACCGCTGGATCCGATCCGGGGAAGGCGCAGGTCAGCCTTGAGGGGTGTTGTTTCCCCTTTTCTGTCACCCTTTATCTGCGTAAGGCTGTCCACCACACTTCGCAAGGCTACAAATATACTGTCCATATGTACCAACAATGAATGACACTCACATCGCATTGAATACCACTCATTGTACTCTGTATCATACAATCTATCAGACGATACTGTGTTTCCATCTATCTCCAACTTTGTGCACTTAGAACGGTTCCTCTATTTTTGCAATCAATTTGCAACTGCGGCATGAACCATCACCTGCGCCAGCCTACAATGCGTTTTCCACTGAACCAAAGTACTAAATCATTCCCAAGGCCAAAGCATTCTTTTCTTTCTCTTTCTTACTTCTCCTCACGCCTCTTGCGTCTAACCCAAAACTTGATTCATGGCCTTGTGGGCCAACTCGACACCGAGGAAAGTGGCGGCATTGGCAGGCACGGCTCTGGCCAAAGCAGGACCGAATCCAGGGAAGAATGCCTTGATTCCGCCGCTGGCATAGACACCCTTGATGGTGCCGCTAATGGTAGGTCGTCCTTCAGCAGACTGCAGTCTTGACTTGATGGTGTCGACGGGGAAGACGGGGATCCACATAGCAATACCAGCAGCGCCGCCGGCAGTCATGACGGCGGGCAGGCTCAGTTCTCCAGTAGCATTGCCCTCGGCATCCTTGGGACTGAGACTGCGCTTGACATATTCGTAGACGGCAAAGTAGGCGGCAGAACCAGGACCATCACGTGCCAGGGTCATGGCACTGCCTCGAAACACAGACCGAACACCACCTTCCTTGTAGAGCTGTCTGACAACATCGACGCCGCCATTGTACTTGGGCTTCTCTCCGGGAGCCAGCTGTTTCTGACCTTGGATCTGGAGCAGAACCTTGACTCGCTCAAAGGGGGCGGTGATGAGAGTCATGGGAATAGCTGAGAAGAAACCGGCGGCACTGATCTGGCCGATGGTGTATTGCGGGGTGTTGTTCTTGACTGTGACGGTGCTGAACGTGTCGACCAATCTCTTGCCCATATCATAACCCCAGAAACTGACGGCAAACATGGGTGTGACACCGACGAGTGGAGCTGAGACACCGGCGTAGAGACCACGGGCGAGACCTTCTCGCGCGACTGTCTTTCGCACCACATCCATGGCGCCTGAGTAGACACCCTTTTCGGCCGTCTGTAGACGCACCTTGACCAGATCAAACGGGTGGCCGACAATGACGGCGCAAAGACCACCGACACCACCGGCGGCCAGCGACCGCAGGCCTGAGACAGCACCCTTTGCCTTTTCAGCAACCTGCTCCTTGACTTGCTCGGTGGATGGCAGCTCATCCACCGTGGTTGGGATGGAGGGAGCCATTGTGGGTTATGTGAGGGGAGAAAAGGGTCGGCGAAATGTAGAGGTTTCTATGCACCGTATCTTTTGCTTTCTCTCCTTGTACGAAGTCTATGACAACTCTTGCAGGATGGTAGGACTGTAGGACCGAGAGTGGTGGGGGGTATGTTGGCGCACCAGGTCGAGTCGAGTCGAGTCGCGTGAGAGGAATTGCGCGAATATGATTGATATGCCGAGTAAATCAGAGGTTCAATACCATCACTCAACAAAGTATAGATGTTGGAATGCGGGCACAAGGAAGAGAGAAGAAATGAGGCGAGAGGATCGTATGGTAGGAACAGAAAGCTGAGAGCAACACAAGGATGGATGGATGGTATTATTTTTTGAGGGGGGGATCTTTCTAGTTTGGGAGCTCCAAGAAAGATGATCGGAGAGAGCGGCGGAGGAATGACGGCAGGTGCAGGTGGTCAGTGGCAGTAGTGACCCAATGACCAACAAGCAATAGATGTAGTAGTACAGAACTGTAGGGCTAAGTCAGTGGTCGTGACAGTAGGAGTTTGTAGATCCAGCTGTCCGACTGCCCTGCAGTTTTTTTGCTGGAGTGGCTGTTCGGTTTTCCCAACAGCCGAGGCTCGGAATATTACGATCTGGAGAGACGTGGCAGAGTGGCAGAGTGGGCTCCAGGTTATCTTTGGAGGCGTGAGTGCCTAAGGGACCTTGTACAAGCACAAATTATGGGGACTCTTCTGGGGGCCGAGGGGCGCATGTACGAGTATGGGGTCACCCGGAGCCGGTGGGAGGGACGGCGGGTAAAGCAAATGCAGTGCGCTGTAGTCATTCAGATAACCGGATTGCTCACTTTCCTCCGATCCGCGCCGAACCCTGGCCGAGCCAAAGATATCACTTGCTACCACATGTGATCACCAATGGAGAAAATAATGAGTTCGGATTCCATGACTTAAGATCGTAAGGATAGAGAGACAGGATCCAAGGTCGACGTCCAGTGGTGATTTCAATCTAGCACCAGAGCAGTCATTGCACTCTTGGGCCACATAGAATGTCTTCAGCAGGTAAGAGACCAACCACACCAATTTGACCAACACGTGACTAGATCATCATGTCCTCAACAATCCAGATTGTCTATCCACACAATGATCCTAATCCATAGCTCTTCCCGCCACATACTCGCACCCTCGTCCAAATCCCAGTTGCAATATTTCCCAATTTGACCATCAAATCAACGCCAACGTGAAATGCCGCTTTTCAACCCAAAGTGGAGGTGATAAATCGATAGACCATCGAGTATGGTATTTCCATTTACTCGAATGTCGAGTGTGGTGTGCTCTTGCTTGAGCAGACATGTGGCAGACCGGTGGGTCCCGTCATGTCGACTCAACGAGGTCCTGCAACGCCATGAATGGTCTTCATGACCTCGCCCAATCGATCACCAAACAAGAGATGAGCCTCAGTGACCAGGACAATGGTGAACAAGACCCAGACGGACATCATGATCACGGCGACCTTGATCATGAGTTTGACCAGTCTCATTCGGCTCGCCCAGGCGAAACTTCTCCACGCCTCAACTAGGCCAATCTTGCCCTGTCCACCAAGGATGGTAGGGGTGGTCTTGCCGCCAAAGGTGCGGTCAAAGGGAACAATGGTCTCGTCTTCCTCAGGAAGCATTGATGCAGCCACACGCACCAATGTGACGCTGGCGGGGATTTGAAGGAGGAGGAACAGAGCCAGCATCAAGAACATGCCCAAGAAAGCCTGGGCACCAACGGCGTAGAGATCCTTTCGACCTGGTTCGTATTCAGGGTGTTTCATATGTTTCAAGGATCCAAAGGAGCCGGTGACGAGCGTGGGAAGGATGGCGACGATTTGGTTCGTCGTGGCCCAGATGGCAACCGCTGGGGCAATCTTGGGCCAGGTGCGGATCGATGGGATTCTCTGGTACCACTTCTTCTCACTCGGGTCGGAAATGACAATGTGAACCCAAGTCATGTGGAGTGTGGCCAGGGCAGTCTCGGCGATGATGGCGGCAACGGCAGTGATCAGGCGATTACCCAATGCTCCGCCCATAATAGAGATGAGGAATCCTGTGGCCATGTTCCAAACCAGGTACATGGACAGACCGCGGAAGCGAGACCAGTAGCCAGCGCGGGCTCGGAGATGGAGTACGGTGGCTCGAAGGGAGGCAGTGATGGGTTTGTTGGTGATCAGCAAGACATCATCGTCGATTTGGCCATCCATCTCTTGATCAGACTGTCCATGAGCGGGTTTGGGAGTCGTAGGTTCGGCCGTGTAGGCGGGAGGCTCGTTAGAGCCGCTCTCGAGGTTGCCAACAGGGACATAGGCAGCAGTTTCGGGGGACTCAATCATGCACAGAGTGGGAATCACATGGCCATAGGTGTAACCGATCTGCAACTGAGGTCAGTCTCATATAGTAGAGGTGATCGCAAATGAACATACCGAAAAGAGGAGGATAAGGAACACCAGCCCAGTGAGGAAGAAGATCAAGGCCGCCAGAGGGGAAATATGATGCTCTGGATCTGGGTGTGGCTTCCCCGAATGCATGTTGTTCGCGGTAGTATGCATACTATGGGCAGCATGCATACTACGACGAAGAAGGTGAGTAGTTAGAGTCATGATGGCGACGGTCATCAAAGGGGGTGGTTAGATGGATGAAGATGAAGAAGAATCAGGAAAAGGCGAGGTTTCTTTGTTGTTATTGAATGGCTGGAGGCTGAGGATGAGGGTGGAAGAGGAGAAGGAGGATGTCTGGGTCTGTCCTGTCAGCATCATCAGACCTCAGTACGAATAGAATATGTCTGGCTGCATGGCGGCCTCTGCTGTTAGTGGTGGCTGCGTTCGAATGGTGGAGTCTGATGAATGTTTCACGTTGCCACCCAAAGTGACACAGTAGGCATAGCCTCGTAGGCACTGTCCAACGGGCACCAATGCGCGTGTTTCGGGGACTTCTGGGGACCAATGGTCTGATCATGGGGGGTGGATGACGCCTAGGGCCTGATGTCTGTGGTTCCAGAATTTACAAGAGAAAGTCATTGCCCCTCCAGGCGGTAACTGGTACCTGTAGGCTGTGGTTAGCGTCGAGCTTCAAACAGGCAACCATCAATCCTTCAACCCCACAATTTGGGACTCTCCTATGCAGAACGATATATCCGTAGATGCATCTACAGTACGTCGACCGATGGTGGTAGTATAGCCATAGATGTCATGTTTGTAGACTATTGTAGATATGTAATTTATGAATATTAAAAACTGCATACAGAAGTACAGTCAGTAGAGTGATACAGTCATGCCACAACTCAAAGCCCGGGGAAGGAACATTCGGGCTTTCGGGCTTTCGGTGACCTTTGTGCCTTTATGCATTGCCACATGCTTGCTTGTCCCTCAATTCCCTTTCGCTATTAATAACGATCATTCAATAATAAAGCACACTGACCTACAGTACACATACAGTCTACTAATAACAGATGCATATTAAGATCAATCAAGGTATTAACGATTAGAAGATTACAGTCACCCATCGTATAGACTTATCCACACGGATTTATACCACCCTCCAAGGTTCTAAGTTGTTGTCTCACAATCAAATCCCCCTTTTACCATGCAGATGTCTAATAACATCCATTCTCCCACCCTGACTTCTTCTTTTCAATCCAGAGTCACTCTTGTTATAAACCATGGCTCCACTCGATGCATACTCTCGCCAGGCCTTACAATTGTCCTGAAATGGCTGGCCGTGGACAAGGTCACTGTACTTTGCAGGTATGTCCGCAGGACGTTCGAGGAACTGCAGACTCAGACCTTCGCCGGCATGAAAGGCGATATGGCAATGCATGAGCCATGATCCAGGGTTGTCGGTCTTGAAAGCAATGACGGTCCAGCCGCTGGCGATCAACATGGCGACGTCGCGACGAGTAGGGTTCTCAAAGTTGAGCAAACCCATATCTGTTGCTGCATTAAACGTGCCCGTACCTTGCCCGAGTAGAGCAAAGTCGTGACCGTGCAGATGCATCGGATGAGGAACGAAGAACTGGTTCTGAATCACCCAAAATGTCCATACGTCGGGATCCTTCAGTGTCACGACGTGTCGCGCCTCGTCAAAGGTCAGGTTTCCCGCCACGGCTTGCTCAATCGTCGGGTGAGCCCAGTCAATGTTCTGCGAGATCCCATTCAGGTACCAGAGAAACACGTTGTCCCCGCCCTGGAGTGCCACTCGTTGGATGGACACAGGCAGAGACCCAAATTTCTCAGCAAACCCAGTCGGGTCCACTGACTCGGCCACAATGGGGATGAGGCTGGTGGCATTGATGTCAACGCATGATGTGCTCGGCACAGTCAAGTTGGACAACGGTAGTGACGAGCCTGCTCCTTGGTAAGAGATCAATCCGTTCGCGGTGCCTGTGCCATCGTTCAAATTTTGTGCGCAGTCTTTGGCGACCAACGCCCGCAGGTAGTAGTTTGCCACTGCCTGGTTGGCTTCGACAATCACTTCATATCGTTGTCCTGTGGTCTGATTAGCTAACTACCATATGGGGTGCACGCATGTTTGGCTATGACTCACCGATCCCGATGCTCAGCTCGTTGACAAAAAATGGCTGGACGGGAACGAAATCGTTCGAGATGACCTGCAGCTTGTGTCCATCGATCTGGATCTTGAACATCATGTCCATTGACGTATTGATGAAGCGCAGCAGATGTTTCTTCCCCTTTTGGAACGTCCACTGCGACCGTTGACCAGAGGAGCCATCGAGGGCCATGTTCTTGCCGTTCAAGAGATAATTGGACGCCGGGCCAGGTCCATTCCGGTGAGCAAAATAATCCTGCTGGAACGCTGTCGCGTTGTAGTAGTCATTGACAACAACGTGACCGAGATCAATGTCATAGTTGGCCGACGCCGGCCCATGGATGACTACCGGTCCAAGCACGCCTGCACCGTACTGGGCAGAGAAATGGCTATGATACCACGACGTCCCGTACGAGGTGGCCTGGAATTTGTACACCTTGGAACGGCCAGGGGCGATGGGACATTCGGTGATGCCACCAACGCCATCTTCGCAGTTGGATGCTAACTGTCGAAACCCGTGCCAGTGAATACCAGTTCCATTGTTCTGGAGCTCATTGATGACGGTGATTTCGAGCTTGTCGCCCCAGTTGGCCTCGATCAACGGGCCCGGAAACTGACCATTGACAACCAGCATCTGTTTGGGGATGCCAATTGGCGCTAAGGTCGCGTTCTGGATTCTCAGTGTCCATTTCCGCGTGATGCCAGTCTCAGGCCACTTGAAGTCGGTGTTGGTGTTGATGTCGTGCCCGGGCAGCCAATGCCCTCGATGACTCGGCCCATGAGCAAAGTCGGGGTGTTGTCTGGCGTCGTTGGATGTCGATTCTGAGGTATTTCCATATGTTGGACGATGGGGCATATTGACGGGAAGATTAGTTGGTCGAACGACATTGCCATATTTGTTTGGTACACCAAGAGTCCTCGTGGCGAATCCCAAGGGGTTATTGTTGCTGGCCCCGTCTGTCCGTGAATTTGATCCGATAAAGGGAGGGAATCCTGAGGATGAGGAAGAAGATCCTGAAGGGCCAGAGTGGGTCGTTGTTGTATGCGTGGTTGGACCGTGACTGTCGCTATGAGGTGGACCACTCGTTGGGCTATGTTGGCTTTGAGCACCACCTTTGGTGACGGTGGTCGTGCCAGTCTTAACGATGCGGTCGCCAGGCTTGTGGGTGGAGAGGGACCGAGCAGTGGTGGATGCAGGAAGGGGATGTTTCCAGAAAGGAAAACCTAACTTTGGTCGATCTCTGGACAGACCGCCAGGGAGACTATCCCACCATCTCCCAAGACCCTCAACGCAGGCGAAAAAGGCGAGGACATGGAGGACAAGGATTAATTTCATGACGACGATGACGAAGAAAAGAAGAGAAGGAGGGATTCAGAAAGGGAAAGAAAGAGCAGTGTGAAGGAGTGACTAGGGGTGAGGATGAACGAGTGAATGGAAAATGGACAATGGCAATGTTGATCGAGAGTGTGGTAGAAAGGTCCGGATGACCGAGTCGATAGTGGTTTAGATATCGAATCCATGATGTTGACTGATGGACCTTCTGTACTGTACCTCAAAGAATCCGGGTAGATTCACCGACGCGAAATATTTCTCCGTTTGAACTCAAGAAATGACCAGACAGTAATGTGGACAAGGGGCTGTAAAAGCCCTTGAGGCATCCACTGCTCATCAGTCGTTGATGGGGAATTGGAAATTCGGAGAAAATCAAAGGATAAATCCACAAAAACAGTCAGTGGTGGGCTTAAAGATAAAAAAGCCTGGCAATGTGAGACCAAGGAGTCTGAGGGCGTCTTTGGCAGTTCAGACACCACCGGTTCTAAGAAAGGAAGGGACTGCATAGGGGCAATTCAGCCAAATGGAGGACAAGCCACACGTCCTGCCACCAAAATACGGATTATAGAATTATGCGGATGAACCACATCAAAAGTAAATCCCCACATGGCTGTATGTACAAATGCATACTCCAAGGTCAACACGAGAAATCTGAACAAGCAATCAAACAAGCTTTCCGCGACTGCAGGGCTTCAACGCCACCCATCCCAGTCTAATTTTGGCCCATGAGATACAAATTCCGGACTCATTATAGACAGGCTATGCGTATATTTTCTCCAAGTCTGGATGTAGCAACACAACATCCGAAAGGCCGAAAGAAAAGAGCAAAAACAAGCATGTGGAAGGGCGTTGACGCTAGTGTCTCCATCCACCATCGCCTTGGTGAGCTTGACTCGTTCCATGCGAACTTGAACCCATATCCCCCTTGCTCTATCATGCATTTGTATCTTCATCGGTGAATCGGGCCAGGGGCCCTGAAAAACACCATCTTGCCGTCCTGGTGGGAATTGCCATTGCTGCAGAGATTGGTCTCTACGATAGACTTTGTGGGCTTGACCTAATCCTAATCGGGTGGGGGTCTCGGCCTTATTCCCCCTCAGTCCAACTGCCACATGGCTGCTAGCTTGACTCTCTCTCCTTGAACCATCTCTGTCACTGAAAGGTGCTTTGGTTGGAACTAACTGGCTCGAATGCGTTATAGTGCCTGGGGGAGTCGTTATGGAGGGTGAGGGACCATATATCAGTCAATTGACCTGCAATAGAGTGTTCCAGTCTTTGACGATATCGAGCTTGACAAGTCCTGGAGTCTTGTTGGATCGAATCGTGCACAATCTCACCTTTCGTGCTTTTGACACGACCGAAGCCCCCAAGAAGACAGTCAAGTGCAGAGAACTGATCCGACTAGAACAGCTTCATCGAGTCCTAGTGGTCACCCGGTGTTGTTTTCCCTGAAATCTTCATCCCTGAAAATGATTGTCTGGTGGTCGGACATCGACACGCTGAGGTAGGCCATGTCATTCATCACCCAAGCTCTCTCGCACAAGCTTTTGGCATTTCCGTCGGAAGCCTTTTGGGTCCTCTCTCCACATCTTTGCAGCGTCCACATTGGCGGGGCTTTCATCGTTGGGGCTACTCAGCATGCTGATGACGGAGATGAGAATGGTCTCGGGGGACTGCACGGGAGACCATCTTTCCGCCGCTGATTCATATCCGTATTTGTCGTCTTCAGGAGGGTGGAGGATAGAGATGCAGACTTCGCCTGAGGGGTAGATATTGGGATGGAAGATTGGCGTCTCAAACTTCATCTTTGGTGGGAGAAGGGGATACTCGGGAGGGAAGGAGAGTCGAGCGCGGAAAAAGCCTCCTGTATACGGCAATCAATATTGGGATTAATCAAAGGAATGAAAACAGCCTACCGCCATAGAACTTGCAGTCGTCATTGATCATGAGCATAACCTCCCACTCGAAGATGTTGTTATCCGCCAGCCCGCAACTGATGCCGGGGATGTCTTTGTCTGACTGCATCTGTTTCAATTGCCTGCCGAGGAGACCGGCGGCGGCGGATGTCGTCGCCATGGTGAGGTTGTGGCGGCCAAACGAGACTGAGGACCGGGTGCTGTTGGAAAAGAGTGGAAACGTTGAGTGGTGGGTGTAGGATGAGGACGCGGCCGACAGACTCGAAGTGACGAGTTCTATAGAGTGCACAGGTGAGAAGAAAGCTTTAGGAGAGTTTAGAGGGGAACGAAGTAGAACTGATAAGATTGGTGGCAGATTGTAGCTGGTGGGTGGCGGTTGGGTAGACAAAAGATGGGAGGCGGTGGGTGGTGACAAGGTCAGGTGAAGTCAGGTGAAGTCCGAGTTGTGAGTGCAGCAAAGTTAGGTAAGAGCAAGTGATGACATGCCCCTCGGTCTGCGTTCCTGCCCGAAGTCGAGGGTGGTGTGGGCAGGTGTGGGTTCCTGGGTCGGTGTTGCTTTCCGAAAAACTCGACGTCTTTTCACGTGACTGTCACTTGCATAGGTATACAAAGATGGGTATCTTAAATCTCGATTAATGGCTTGGGTAATAACATGACTGTATCACTTGCTCCCAAGTTGAATTCTAGAGGTCGCTGTGCTGGCTGAGTTGTCGAGACCCATGTGCTGATCCCCTACCGTGTCTAGTAGTCTGTCAAGTTCTATGTCTCATAAAAGGGCCATTTGAAAGCTGTCCTTGGCCTAGATCTTCTCTCATTTCAAGTTTCCGCTGGTGAATCTTAGATAAGGCCTGACCTCATTGACATCGGTGAACTTCTTCTTTGCATCTTCGGTAGATACTGTGGGAGGCACAATGACATCTTCACCCACAGTCCAATCGATTGGAGTGGTGACTCCTTTCTTGTCCCCAGTTTGGAGACTGTCGATGACCCGCAACACCTCGGCAGTGTTTCGTCCAGTCGAGGCCGGGTACAGCATGATCAATCTAATCTTTTTGGCCGGGTCGATGATGAAGACGCTGCGAATGGTGAACGCAATTCCCTTCTCATCGATGTTGGTCAAGTCCTGTGCGTCAACCATATCATAAAGGAACGCCACCTTGCGATCTGCGTCGGCGATGATGGGGAACTGTAAGTTGGTCTTGGAGATGTCATTGATATCCTGAATCCACCGATCGTGGCTCGAGAGGTCATTAGCACTGAGACCAATCATCTTAACACCACGTGATTCAAACTCGTCCTTCAATCGTGCAAAGGCACCTAGTTCCGTGGTGCATACAGGGGTGAAGTCGGCCGGGTGGCTGAAGAGGATGGCCCATGACTTGTCAATGTATTTGTGGAAGTCCATGTCTCCTTGGGTCGTTTTGGCCTGGAAGTTGGGAGCCGTGACACCGAGTCGAAGTCGAGGTTGCTGATCAGCAGTGGCATCCGTGGCATATCCATGTTGTCGCGTAGCTGATGCAAAGACAGACTTGGAGAAAGGTGTGCTGAGGCGGGCGGATCGAGCTGCCGGGGCAATTCTTTGCAAAAACGAGCGGGATACTAATGAAGACATTTTGGCAGATGGGCAGAAATACTGGCACTGTACAAGAAAGTTCGAGTGTAGAAGCCTACGAAAACAGTGTGAACAGTCCAACGCCAAAGTCGTGCCCCCTGATGAACTGATGAACTGATGAACTGATGAACTGATGAACTGATCTATCGTGTCTGTGAATCTGAAGCGGAGAAAATTTTGGGGAGATTGCGTCATTTGTGGCAGGACCCACCCGGTGTCCCTGCGTGCCTTCTTGTTGTCCCTGACGAGGCTGTGAATATCAAGGACTCAAACATATAACATAACAAACAGTCAATTCATTCACTCTCCAATCGAGGAGTTTGATAAGTAACAACGATGCATGCAGGCAACAGACTACGCAGGCCACTGGGCAATGGACATATAACCTCACACAGATGTACATTTGTATACTTTTGCACCTGGCAGTAGCCAGAGCGAGGACACGGACAAGGCTCATGTATACCCAGCCAACGCATCCTCTGTCCCAAGCCAAAACTGTTTCGACACTGCTCTACTGGACATGGCATTCCCGCCTCCTCATGTGGTAGGCATTTTATCCTGACTTGTCCACTTCAAACACCTCTGCAATCTTCTCTCAATACCAGGCCCATAGTCCTTTAAGCAACGACATCGACCCTGCCAGAACACCAAACCCTCATTCAAGTTGCCTTGCTTGCTGAAATTCATGTCATTGGATTTTGCAGTTCCTTCTCGTGCTTCCAAACCCATCATAAAGCCATCTGTTGGCTGATTCTGGACGCGTGGTTTGTACGCTAGTGGTTTCCATACCGCCAGCCACCTTCCCGCCGCATCCGCTCTCGCTGTTCTCGATCAGCTCGTACTTCCTCGAGCGTAAGCCCATCCCCGCTCATCGCCCAGTTGGCGCTGCTTGTTCGATCTCGGAGTCGCTTCAGTCTCTCCTTGTTACCCTTGGCAAAGATCTCCTCCATCTTCAGAGGTCCAATTGGTCCAAAGACTGCGTCTCCATCCATGGCCTCTTGCCGAATCAACTGCTCTGTCAAATGCCCAGGAGTAGCCCAGTCGGGAATCGGGAATGCGTTTCCATCATCATCCGAATCCTCATCCTCCGAGTCGGTCGGGATCTCTGGCAGATGGATCGCTTCTCCATTGACATACTGTGGTGATGACTTGACTGTATGAATGGTCTTCTGCTGCATCATGGCGATCGGCGTCTTGACGGGGACTGGTGGATTTGCTGCATCTGCAAATGGAATCTTGGCTCCAGTTCCAAATTGTTGCATCTGAGGCGGCGCAGCTCGCGTTGGTGGTTGTGGAAATTGTCCCATGTGGCTGGTTGTTGGAGCTGGTCCGTAAGTTCCATGGTTGAAGATTGATGCTTTCTTTCCTAATTGGGACTGACGAATGGGTGCCCCAGAGACAACAGGCCGAGGAGCATTTTCCACCATGCTGTCCTCTTCTGTCTTTCGTCTCTTGCCGTTCTCGCCCTTGTTGGGCACACGTGCCGCTCCAGCCTCCTCCTCCAACGGTCGTTTGGCCGGCTTGACAGGATTCGTGGGAAGTGGGTGGTTGATCAATGAACGATTGCCTGCTTGAGTTCCCAAGCGCGAAGCTGGTCTCGAGGATGCCTGGAATTGTCAGTCTTGAGTCAGCTAAACAACTGAACACCGGTCACTTACAGCTTCACGTTCCGCTCGTTGCTGCTCGGCTTTGCGAGCAGCCTCCTGTCGTTTTCTTTCGATCGCCTGTTGTTGGGCTTGCCTTTTGGCCTGTTCTGCCGCCACCCTCTCGCGCTCCTTCTTCTCTGCCTCCATCCGCTGCCTCTGTTCTTCTTTGCGCGCTTGTTCTTGCTGCGCTGCCCGCTTTCGTTCGAGCTCACGCTTGGCCTCGAGCTTTCGCTGTGCCTCGCGTTCATCCTGCTCCTTCTTCCGCTCTGCAGCAAGCAGCGCCCGTGGCTTCGGTGGCTGCCCGTGAACAGAAGTTTTGAAACCAGTGGCGGTGGCAGACTGCAGCGATGTAGTGCTCGCTTTCTTCGCCAGACCCGGCCGCTTAGGCTCCACAGGTAGGCTTTCCTGGTTGCTCGGGGCTCCAGAAATAGGCATCCTCTGCGACAATGTCCCTACACGAATAGAGACAGGTGCAGGTTTGGCTTTATTTACTGGCGGGTCTCGAACCGGCCTTATCGGTCGACCTGACTTGAGCCCTTGGGTTGATGGCTCCAAAGTCTCTTGGTGTGTCTGATCTTCGCCTGCCCGTTTCGGACTCGACTGCGCAGGTTGTTCCGTCGCCTTTGACGGTGCAATTTTGTCCTGAGCTAGCTTCTGATCTGCTGCCTTTTTCCGCTCGTTGTCTCTTGCCTTTTCCAGTCGATCATCCATCCGTTGTCTGAGTTCTGCCTCCCGCTCAGCGCGCTGCTCCTTCTTCTCTCGTTCCAAGGAACCTCGAGTTCGCCTTGGCTCGATCGGCTGTGGAGGCAAGGGCTTGCTGTCAAGCAAGCCATTCAGGTTGGGATACATGCCAGGCATGGCAGATGCCGCCACTTTGATGGCATTTGGAGATAGCGTCTCCAGTTTAGCGGCTGCAGAAACACTCGCACTTGTCGTAAAAAGACCCTTGGCAGTCTTCATAATCGACTGTAGCCTTGACTTTGAGGCACTGAGGTCCATATACCGACGAGGGGATCCTTGGGGAGTAGTTGTAGGCTGATGAGTTGGGTTTGATACGGAAATAGATTTGGCTGGGCTTGCCGGAGGCGCCATGGAAGCTTTGGCGGGAGAAGCCAACGTCGCCGTGGATGCAGATTTGACATGCCCATAACCCGGGCGTATTCTGCCAGGGCTCGGAGACATTCCCGCCGGTGTACGCATTCGTTCTTCATGTGCAATCAATTCAGGAGCACGAAGGTCAAATTCGTCCTCCGAATCTGAGTCGATTTCCTCTCGAGTAGCCGTGCTCTTAGCTGGCGACGAAATCGGATTTTGCGAAGTCAGAGGCTTAATCCAATCATCGTCATCGTCAGTCATCGCGTACTTGTTTTTGAGGCTTCCATATGCCGAATCCGCCGCTTCTGACATCTTGCTGTTAGTAAGACCAGAAGGGATCGACTTTGACGGGCGAGGTGCGGGCGCTTTGCCGAGCATATCAATCTTCTCGTGTAGTCGTTGGGTGGAGGATTTTGACTGGGCTTTGGCCTCTTCGTTCTCCTCATCAGATTCGTCATAGCCCAGGACTTCCACATTTTCGTCATCCTCATCGTCTCGCATCGTTGTATCCTGATCATCTTGTGTGACAGGAAGGCTTTGTTTCAAATTATATGGGTGATTGTGGCCAGATCTCGAGGCATCGAGGTGACTTGTTCGCGATATCCTGGCGCCGATACTGGTCTTCATCGGCTCACGCGCCGGAAGGGCGGCAAAAGTCAAACTGCTTTTTCGTACTAGAGGGCGGTCCGGGGTAGACTCGTCAGATGGCGAACCAAGCTCGTCATCAAAATCTTGCTGAGTGTCTACGGTCTGCTGTGGACCAGACACAGATTCTTGACTTTGCTCTTGTGTAGGAATGGAGTCTTTGCGTCCTGACTCTGTCGTCAAGACTTTGGTTGTCTGGTCTTCCTTTGCGGAATGGAATGAGCCTTCAGTAGTACGAAGCTCATGACTTTCAGCTATGTCATCTTGAAGAACCACGTCGGCTAGATTCGAAGTTGGTGTTTGTTCGGGAGGGTTGGATGTCCAATGTAATTGTTGGGTGAATGAGTCGGTGCTTTGGCTCGATCCTTGATAACCAGAATCTGTCTGAGATTTGAACGCGGTTTGAGCCTGGACAAGAGGATCCAGAGCCACGGTGAAATGAGGCTTCTTCGGACTGGGAGATCTATGTGGGCTGTACTGAGGGATAGGTTTGGAGGAAAACAGGTCGCTAAGTGGCTATCGGAGAGATTAACAACAAGAAGGACAGAGGTGGGAGGAGACTTACTATGCGAGCATCTGGTAGATTGCGCTTTCTGGCGGTCCGAGGTGTCTTGCCACGGAGCTTGCCAGGGGTTTTGAAAACATTGCCGATGTCGCTGCGTTGATCAGCATATTGTTGTTGACTTGAACAAGGACTCGAAACCACTCACAGGTTGGACTGAGAGAAGATCTCATTCATGTGCTCATTCAACCATTCTATTTGGTGCTGAGCAGGGAATATGACCTCTTCCTTCTCTTTGTGAAGGGCGTCTAGAGCATTTTCCTTTTCAGCAGCGATCCACGCTGGGGAACCGACGGCAGTGGCTCTTGCCGCCATCTTGATGGCAAAAGGTGATGGAGGGGACGCGCGTAGAAATAGAGCTCTCTCAGATGAGGGTACGCTAGGGTGTAATCATTTGGAAGCGCAGTCTTGCAATTTGGACGAGAATTCGAAACGCTCCTACGGAAGGCAAAGTTGCAAGGTAAGATTGAATGAAGTGAAGCAGGATGGGCGATTCCAGTCAGAGTTGTCCCAAGAGTTGGCTGTCCCAGTTCAACCTTATGATTGACATTGTTTGGACGATCCTAAAAAGGACTAGTTTAGACGCGGGTCATTAGTCACGTGACCCATGAATAAGCATTCCGAGCCAAGCTGATACACGTGACTAGTCCGAGTCTCGGCGGCGCTTGTCGAAAAATTTGAACTGTCAGACAAAGCCAGTATAAGTCGCGAGTGAACTCTAGATGCAGCCCTCCGCCTTATCCCGTCGCTGTATATCTCCGTGGAGGTCAAGGTTATTGTCTGTCTTTTGACGAGCTAATTAATCTCGCCCAATTCCGAGAGCCCCCGCATCTCGAAATCTGAACCAATGTCGATTTCGAGACGCCAGCGATCTCGGAGTACTTTTCGGGGTTGACTCTCATCGGTTCTCCAAATTGCCTATTTTATATGGGACGCCCATGCCACCACCAACTTATACATCCTCCTCATGTCTTCCTTCTCTTTCTCCTCTTGAATGCCCATCATCTGACACTAGAAAATTCTTGACATCAAAATGGCATCTCATCATCCTAGCAGTCTCTCTGTGCGGCCCTTGTTACAGTGGTTGCGACCTGTCTCAACTAAGCCGAGGCAATGTTCGCGGTTCGTAAACTCAGTGCCTCGGAGGCAGTTTTCCGTGAGCAGGAGACAGCGTATGATGGAGATGAGTGGTTTCACAGAAGAACAGCTGACTGTTCGAGACGCAATTCAGAAGATCTGTGCCCAATTTCCCAATGAGTATTGGCAACAACGCGATCAAACCGAGACCGACCCCAAGGAGCTCCATGCTGCTCTGGCAGCAGATGGCTGGTTGGGTATTGCTCTGCCTGAGGAGTTCGGTGGTGCCGGTCTCGGTATCTCAGAGGCTACCATGATGCTACAGACGATATCTCAATCAGGTGCAGGCATGGCCGGGGCTCAGTCTATTCACGCCAACGTCTACGCCACTCAGCCACTGGCCAAGTTTGGAAACAAGGAGCAGCTAGAGTCGACGATCCCCAACATCATTAGCGGTAAATGGAGGGTTTGCTTTGGTGTGACGGAACCAAACACCGGTCTTGATACGTTGCGGTTGAAGACGACCGCGACGAAGAAAGGAGACAAGTACATCATCTCTGGACAGAAGATCTGGATCACTTGTGCCCAGGTAGCATCGAAAATGATTCTGCTGGCCAGAACGACACCCCTGGAGGAAGTCAAGAAGCCCAGTGAAGGTCTCTCGATGTTTTGCATCGACATTGATAAGTCACAGCCAGGGTTGGAGCTGAAGAAGATCAGGAAGATGGGCGGTCGAGCGGTTGATGCCAACGAGGTCTTCTTCGACCATTACGAAATCCCCGCCAATACGTTGATCGGCACGGAAGGGCAAGGTTTCAAGATCATTCTACATGGGATGAACGCGGAACGGTGTCTGTTGGCAGGTGAAGCGTTGGGACTGGGATATGCAGCTCTGGACAAGGCATCCAAGTATGCACGGGACCGTGTCGTTTTCAACCGGCCGATCGGGCAGAACCAAGCGATCGCTCACCCTCTGGCCGATGCATACATGAACCTTGAAGCAGCCAAGCTGGCGACGTATCATGCGGCAAGGCTGTACGACCGAAGCAAGGAGGACAAGACCATTACCCAGCACGCGGTGGGTGTCGCTTGCAACAGTGCCAAGTATCTGGCGGCTGAGGCAGCATTCCGGGCGTGTGAACGGGCAGTCATGACTCACGGCGGCATGGGATATGCGGCCGAGTACGACGTGGAGAGATATCTGAGGGAGATTTTCGTGCCGAGAATCGCCCCAGTGAGTCGAGAGATGATCTTGAACTTTGTCAGCGAGAGGGTATTGGAATTGCCACGGAGTTACTAGACGAAGACGAGGGGTTGTTGGCGTAGGCGAAGCATAAAACTGGAGGAGGTTATTTAGGCAGCATATGTAGGGTTTGTATAATGTTCATCAATTGGCGGAGTATCTTGTCAATGTAGTAACTGGTTGGATAATTGAGTGACTAGTTAGCATTGAGAGTTGAGAGTTGAGAGTTGAGGATTGAGGATTGAGGATTGAGGATTGAGGATTGAGGACTCGAAGAAAACTGCGAAATGGTGAAGATGGAATTTGGAGAATCATGGATTTTTTATTTTTATACCCCGCAGTATTCAGTCGCAGTCTCAATCGCAGGCGCAGTCCAACGCAGTCTGACTTGAATGTCTAGAATTCACCTTTATCTCTCTCAACACACCTCATAAACAAAGACATGCAATGTCACGAATAGAAGAATTGCCAGATGACTTTGACGAGAGCCTCAACCTCAATGAAGCCCCCACAGGGCCAGCGCCGTCGCTGGACGACCTGTACAAGCAGCACCTGGCGACACCGAGGACGGACCCAATCAGTGACCGCAGCTTCGAGGAGATTGTGCAGGATATGAGCAAGACTCCGTTCTTTATGAACAGTCTGGACGATGCCACCGACTCTGGTACGATAAAATGACCCCAATCCGGCTGGGATCGCGGAGACAGTGGTGCTGAGTGTGATATGCAGATGGACAGAATGACCTCCTGGAAGCCATCAAGGCTCTACAATACGAGGGGACCAAGGCAGAGGTTGCGCAGAACTTCAAAGAGCGCGGTAATGAAATGGTGGCAGAGAAGAAATGGGGCGATGCAAAAGAGTTCTATACCAAAGGCATTGCCGTCCTTCACAATGCCACCGAGGATCAATGGGATCAGCCAGAAGATAAGGCCAAGGAAGAACAACTGCGGATCACGCTCGATGAGCAGCTCCATGTCAATCGAGCACTTTCCAACTTGGAGTTGAGTGAGTCTTGACCGTCGACCATCGAGAGACCAGACTTAGAGAAGGGAAGCTGATTAGACAGAAAACTACCGATCGACGGCACTGGATAGCGCAGCGGCACTACGGATCAATCCTCAGAATGTCAAGGCACACTATCGGTCGGCGTCGGCGCTATTGGCCTTAGACAAGGTACTCGAGGCGCTGGACGTGGCATCACGTGGTATCAAGATCGAGCCTAGCAACACAGCATTACAAACACTTTTGACCAAGATTCGCGATCGAGCACAGGTCAAAGAGGCCCAAGACCGGCGACGACTGGCGGAACAGAGACGAAAACAACAAGAGAGCCTGATTTTGCAGACAGCGCTCAAGGCGAGGAACATCAATGTGCGAGGAACAAAGCAAGCACCCAACCTGGAAGATGCCAGCGTTCGGCTTTCACCAGACCCTCTGTCGCCAGAGAGCATGCTGGAGTTTCCCGTGATGATTTTCTATCCCATGCATAACCAGACCGACCTGATCAAGGCGTGGGCGGAGAAGGATGCGGTGATCGATCATCTGAGTTATCTTCTCCCGCTCCCATGGGACAGCAAGAACGAGTACAAGCTGTCGACGGTGGAGTGCTACATGGACACGATCAACGGAGGGCTGATGAAGGTGGGCAAGAAATTGACCTTGTTGGAGGTATTGTCCAATGGCAAGACTGAGGTTGTGGATGGGTTGGTTAAGTTATTTGTGGTACCCCCATCACTAGCACCTCAATGGATTGCAGATATGAAGAGGAAGAAGGGTAAAGCATAAGGAGGGGTATAGTCAAGGATGCCTCCTGGGATGATCTGTCTTCTCTGTGCGGATTGCTGTTCTTCTTGGGATTTGCTGGCGACGACTTGGATGAGTTTGGCGTTACTCGCAGGCAAAGTCAGGCGCAGGCAGGCCGCTGCATCTGTTGGCAGACTAAGTCATTGTGCCTTCCTTGTTCTGAATTTACTCATGTCAAGTAGAGGCAGGTGCTACATGGAGCGTATCAGGTAAGTAGTACCTACTTCAATAATACATTAAGGTACTCTGTAGAAGGAGGAAAGAACGACGGATGAAACGCATTTCCAACTGGCAAGTTTGGCAAGTTCGCCGCGTCATCCATTCCGTGTCCTTTTAGGAACAGGAAGCTGCGCAGACGAATATTCGCTTCCAGCTGCACTCTCACTGAACTTCTCACCATCTCTCAACCTCATCTTTTATCCTACACGAGAGGCACCCAGGACCAGATCTCTAATTCATCAGCCGTCCGTCCCAAATGGTGGATGTCTAGGCTCCACGCACAGGGTACCACAGCCTACAGAACAGTCCGCGCACAGTTAAAGTTGGTGAGTTGGGTATCAAAACAAACCTCAGTCCGCCCATCCATGGTCCATCTCCCTGTCCCTTGCTCGACCCAAGCCTCTAAGAGTCCACCATGACGGGCCGAACTTGGCTGGCGTCAGGTTTGGTTGTCGGCTACCCACTTGGTGGCCCCTGTCAATAGCGCCACCATCGATCCATCCGGCATTCCTGGCCATTGAGACCTTTCCAGTCGCATCCACGCTAGTGTCTTCAGACTCAGGCTGGCTCCCACATCCTGCGCCAACCCCAACGCCATCTTTTCCAACCTTCAGGCTGCTTCCGGGCACACGGCTTTTCACCCTCGAGGCTACGTTACGCTTCCACTCTCTGGTCTCTGACACTTTCAGCACTTTCATACGTCCTGCCTGGACCTGACCAGGTCTGCCATCACGCCAATCAGTCCTTCGCTAATATCACAGTCTGTCCCATCATGAACAACCCCGCCCTTCCACCGTATCCTGCCCAGAACCACCCTTCATACCCTCCAGCTTCGACCAGCCAGCCTTTCTTCAATCAACCTGGCCCATACACCGTCTCCCCTAACCCACCCTTTGATAACGCCCAGATCCCCTTTCAGCCATCCATGATACAGTCCCAGAACCATCCTATCCAGAGACAACCCAATATCCACCATCCACAGCAGTCCCTCCCTCAAAATTTCTATCTCCAGCATCAACAACAACAACAACTTCAGGCACAGCAACTCCACCAGAACCATCAACCTGCTTTTCCAGCCTTTGATAACCCTCCTCACCATATCAATCAAAACCCCCCCTACCCTGGTACTAGCCCTCTCCACCTAGTTCAATCATCCTGGATCTGACTCTCATTCGTCTAGGCAATCAACCTCCTACCCGACCGTCTCCTGCCCAGCTAAAACCAACCTCCCGACAGAATTCCAACTCTAGCGTTAACCACATTTCCACTCCCACGCCGAATCAGTCCATCCCACCTCCGACCTCCACTCCGTCCGGAGACCCAGCCATGGCCGCGACTTTGAATCTTCAAGGTCAGCCTGGCGCCACCCTCGCCCAGCAGGTTCAAATGCAAAATGCGGCTCAGATGGCTAGACCAGTCTCTCAGCAACAATCACAAACCCCCCAGTCGCAACAGGCCCTACCGACGACGCCCATCTCCCCACACGCCGCTGCTCGAGAGCGATCTAGGGTTTCCGTTCTTCTCGATATCAACACACAACTGCTCATGGAAGTCGTCTCATTGCAAGCCCAGGGCAAGGCTGGAAATCAGTCAAATCCAGGACAACCCTCACCAACCTCACCCGTATCTGCTACCGACCCAAACAGTGCCCTAAACAATAGCCCCGGCGATCCTCCAAAATCAGCAGGTGGCTCCAATCCCTCTAAACCCCCATCTCAAGAATATGCAGATTGCATGCGCCGCTTACAAGCCAATCTGTCTTACCTCGCCGCCATTGCCGACGCAAAGAAAAAGGTCAACGGAGCCCTTCCTCCCGGACCTGCCATCATGTTTCCTCCTCCACATCTCACCCAGGTCCAAGACTTGTATAAACGCCTTAATGAACTCTTCCCAGAAGCAAGCCAGTCAGCCTCGAAAAAGGCCGCCGCACAATCCCAAAGTCAAGATGGTTCTGTCAATCAGCAACCGACAGCCCCTGTCTTAGCACAAGGCTGAGCGACAGTCCGCAAGAGCGGTCTTTTCGAAGTCTAATATCTTCCTCTGGGCATCCATCTCGATGGATTGAGACTGTGCCATTTAATGGTCCACATATGGCCCCTTATACGATCAAGCCTAAACCGGGTGCAGCGCCGGTCTCATATACCACCTTTACACCCAAGAACCTCCACTTGGCACTAGAGGCGGTCGAGTTACAGTGTGAAACAGCTCGAGGCGGCCGGCGCTCGCTTGCCCAGTGCTTAACGATATTTCTAGCAGAGCAATCAGGGCTCTATGACAGAAGTCATGCCATGCAAGATAGCAGGGCAGCTCCTCTTGGCTACTCACTCCACTCTCGTCCTTGGCTTTGTATCAAAGTGCATACATCAAGTTAACCACCACCGACCATGAGCAAAGAACCCTTTGGTCTCCATAGACCTGATCGGGAAGTGAGCGCGGCGCAGCCCCGGCCTGATATGGAGACATGGGTGCACTTGTCAGATTATGGTGTGGCTAATAAGGCCAGCAACATTGCAACAATACTCAACTGTAAATATCAAATTGTCCACCAGAGCGTGATTGCTAGTATATTTAGTAGCATAGCAAGTTTCAATCATGGCTCGGGCCATGAGGCACGGGTGGAACAAGTCTTTAACAATCGCAATCAATGTCATGGGTACGAGTCATCGTAACGCTTGATGTATGATGTCTTCAAATTATGATGATAATACGAGCTAGTCTATTCCAATTTTCCACGCCATTTCAATGCTTTCCGTGTTATTTGCTTCCCATCACGTTTTGTTTTATTTCTAAAGGGGTCCATGATCACGACACCGTGGCATCGTCAAGTGCATCTGGGACACCTTGGCTGAGAACGCGACCCGCTGCCAAAACGACAGCGAACTCAGCAGCTTCGACAGCGGCAGCACGATGAGCAATGGTGATGATGGTGCTCTGACTGAGCTCGTTGCGGAGGACACGCTGGATCTCAGCCGCGGTGTCGAGGTCAATGCTAGCAGTAGCTTCATCCATGACGACGATTGCGCTGCGGCGCAAGATTGCACGAGCAAGGCCTACCAGCTGGCGCTGACCCTGGCTGAGATTCTTGCCACCGTCGTCAATGGTCGTAGCCAACGTCCAGCCATACTTGCCACACACACGGGCAAGGACCGCCAGACACTCCTCATCGCTGTGCTCGTCCATGGGATCCAGATTATGCCTCAACGTCCCGGCGAACAATATGGGGTCCTGGGCTAGGAAGGTGATTCTCGTGCGTAGAGCCTGCTTGCTGACGCGAGAGATGTCGATCCCATCGATCATGATCCGTCCAGACTCTGGCTTCACCGTCGCCAGCAGCGCCAATGCGAGGGTCGATTTTCCCGACCCCGTCCGGCCCGTTATGGCGTTTGTCGACCCAGGCTTGAAACTCACCGATACATCCGTCAAGGCCGGCTCCATATTCGCCCGATATCGAACCGTGACATTTTCCAACGTGATCTCACTGCCGTAGCGCGGCCACGCCGCTGGTGGCTCGATCGTCCCCGCGTCCTCTTGCTCCACGTGCGTCAGCGCCACTACTCGCTCCACTGACACGAATTCCAGCTGCAACATCGCATATTGCTTGCACATGATGTGAGTTGTCTGCACGAATTTGTTTGCTGCGATCAGCACAAACGCCGTTAAGCCCGGTGTCAGCCGCGAGAACACAGCCAACAACGTGAGCAAAAACGTCGACCCCGCCGAAAGAAGGTCGAATCGATACATCAGCCACGCTTGGATGCTCCAGTAAAAGTGATCCATTTTCTGGAATGCATCCGTCACTTGGATGATGCGTTCTTGGAACTGTGCCTGGGCGCAGAACGCGCGTACCGTCGTCAGTCCGTGGAGCAACGCTCCAAAGTTGGACATCAATGGGCTGAGAGACACCATTTCTAGCCGGCGCAGACTCTGTGTGGTTGGGAGGTATTGGAGGAATAGAGCGACAAAGACCAATGTGAGCGCGACGGCAAAGATGAGGAAGATGGGTGTGATGCTGGCAATCACCACCATCGATGCCAGCCACGCCACTCCATACCATATGACGACCAGGAATTGCGTGGCAATGGGTCCGTCAATGACCGATACGTCCGACGTCATGCGGTTCATCAACCGACCCACGGGAGTCACGTCGTAGAAATGGAATGTTGCATGGCTGATTCGGTTCATGATGTCTCTGAACATGTTCTTGGCCGCAATATATGTCACCACCACCATGAAGATATCGGACAGAATCAGTGCAAATGTCTCGCCGAGGACCACAATGAAGAGTCCCAACAACCAAGGACGAAGGTCCTCTGCAGGATCTGGAAATCGGTCGAAAAATCTCGAAATGGGACTCGTCGTCAATGGATGCATATCTTGACCTGACCTTTGCAGCACAAAGACATATTTCTTAACTTCGTTGTATGCCTCTCCCCATTCTTTGAGAAACCAACTTTCCGCGACGAACAAACCTCGACATATCATGGTCGATAGGACCACCATGGCCCACCATACGAGATTCCCGGCTCGGAGATATTGCCAGTACACAGCGAATTCTACGCCTCCATGAGCACGATGCTCGTCTTCAACGAACTTGTCCGGCACGGCGGCTGCTTCGTCGATCTCAGGACTCTCTTCGCTTTGGCCTTGGGTCTCCTCCGCTGAATCAATCATGGTTGTAGCCGCCGAGGAAGCAGGAGCCGAGATGTCATCGTCAAAGGCGTGCACCGTGGCCTGGCCATGTGACACTTGAATGAGTTGAGTTGCCACATGGCGACAGAGGTCTGTTCTGTGGGTTGCGAGGATGACCTTGCGGCCGTCCATTAGTGGGCCAGTCAAGCACTTGGTCACGACCCATTCGGCTGTTTGCTGATCCAGAGCACTCAGTGGATCATCAAGCAAAAGAATGTTCGCCCGGCTATAGACAGCACGTGCGAGTGCCACTCTTGCTTTCTGACCTCCCGAGAGACCGATGCCGTTGTCACCAATGTGGGACAGGTCGCCATGTTTGAAATTCGCGAGATCCGGAAGTAACGCACATGCCTCTAGACATTGCTTATACCGGGCATCATCGTATGGCGAAATAAATGTGATGTTGTCTCTGATGCTCATATTCTGAAGCCAAGGCGTTTGGGCGCAATACCCAATCGCCGTGTCCGGCTTGACCAGAGACCCTGATTGCAAGTCTAACTCTCCGAGGAGGGCTTGTAGAAGGGCAGTCTTGCCGCTGGCCACAGGGCCGAAGATGACAGTCAGTCCCGTAGGAAACGACAGGTTGAGGCGGGATAGCACCAGTTGAGAAAACCCTGGCCACGAGTAGGATGCATCACGGAACTCCAGGTTGTCTCCCTCTTGTACTGTGGGCGTGCGATCTTCGTCACCTTTATCAGGCTCGGCGATGAAATCCGAAATACGGCCCACGGCGACTGAGGCGTTGAGAAGCACGGTGATGAGCTGTGGTAATTCTCGAAGATTACCCTGCAGCATTGTGAAGAGCTGAAGAGACGGAAAGGCGACGTCGATGCGAAGTTGTTTCCCTGCCAATACTGTGTATGCATAGAATGAAGCCACAGGAACCATGCCGGCCGTGAGGGAGTTGAGGAATTTGATGCCGCTGTTCCATAAGGAACAGATCACTCTTAGAGTCAGTTCTTTCTGTCGTGCATTCATGACTCCATCCAACCACTTGTACTGCCAGCCGTACCATCTTAAATGTCGGATGGATTCGACGTATTGAGAGATCTTTTGCAATTTGGTGTCCACAGCCTTGCGTCGCTTTCGCTCCCAGATCATGAGGATCCGTGCCAGGATGTAGTTGAGCAGTTGGCCGACAATGACGACTGCCACACCGATGAATGAAGCCCAGCCGAGGAGCGTCCATATTAGAGCAATGGACAAGATCAGTCCGAAGGGCTGTTTGATGAGGGTCTGAAACTCCCAAAACCGCTGGGCTACCTCATAAACATCATTCCGCATCAGATTCAGAATCTTGCCTAGCGTTGCAGGCATCTTTTCTTCGGCTTGCGGCGACTTGGATCGACTGAAAAAAGATTTGACCTTTGCGAACCACGCTGGAATGCTGACAGAGATTCCCAAGGGCCGCTTTGCATCCCCACCGAGGAGGGGCTCTGTTTCTGTGTCTGTGTTCTCGTCTTCCACGCCACTTGCTTCTGTCACCGCCCCTGCGTTCAATTCATCGTTGAGCCCTTGGTCTTCCTGTGGTTGGCCCCCTATGATTTTCCTGTTCAACGTCTTTTCATACAGCATCGTAATCATCTCGCCTCGTGATCGTTCGTAGCAACGACGTCCGAACCAGAGGCTGAAGACCCCACTCTGGGCGGCTACTAGTCTGAGTGCCAGGATCAGTGAAGCAAAGATGATGGCTGGGCGTTTGTCCACGGAGATGATTTCCATCGCCTGTAGCAGCTTCTGCAGGATCATGGGAGCCGAGTAATTGGCGGCAAGCTCCAGAATTGCCAGTAACGTGAGGATGACCAGGTCAATCCAATTGGCTGCTAGAAGCCGACGAACTACGGAGCCATGTAGTTCTCGAAACGCATCGTGGAGGTGTCGGTGCTGGAACTCATAAGGCAGAAACCACACATCCTCGTCGTTGAGTTGTCGTTCGTTGCCAACCTTTATCAGAGGTGCCATCCATGACACGGTCATCCATTGAAGGAGAGTCATGTTATCTTCGGGTGAACGCAAGTCTTTTGTTGGTACAGTAAACGGCCGGCTAATTTTCTCGGCACTCAGATATGGAGAACGTAATGGCATGTTGATGAGGATGATGATGGCAATAAATGCCACGATGATGCTTGTGCCGGCAAGCAATGCAAGCGTATCGCCTAGATGGTTGATGAATTGCAGGGCAAAATGGGTAAGGCCAGCAACGGCAGCAGCAACAAAATCAAGGAGAAGAAAGATAGATGCCACCCTGGGCCGAAATGAGACGATGTAGGCAGCACTCAGAATCCACATTGCGACGATGGCGTACGCCCACGGTCTCGTCAGTGCAATGGGCAGCTGCAGGGCTGAGCCCACAAGAGAGAGGAGCAAGAGACATATCGTGGCGGTGGGGAGTCTTCTTGCCTGTCGACCAGTCTCTGATAATTCTTCAGGTTCCTCGATGAACGGTTTTGGCCAAAGTCTATCACCGAACGGGTCCCTCGATTTGAACAGCATTTGTACGACAACTAACACATTGCCCCTCGTCGGTCTGTGGTAGAGTCTATATCTCCCCGTCACGCCTACCTAGGATCGTGGACGGACGGGACTCGTCGTCGACACAGTACCCAATACCGCTTGAATCACAGGACAAAGATTCGATCGCTGTCATGGACTCTTGACTGGGGCAGTCCGATGTTGTCAGGTGTTCTATATCATGTTCAGTAATGGAGACACCAACATAAGAATGTAAGACTATAAATATTTGGAGCGGAAGGACGAGGGAATACCGCTAAGCCATTTTGAGTTTAGTGTGTTGGCGGTGAATGCTGCCTGGGAAGGATTGCAATATAAAGTGGATAGAAGAATGCGTATGCGAATACGGACTTCAAGTACCCACGGTACAAATAAGAGGGTCGACAGGGTTATATCACTACGAAGCAGAGTCAAGTTTGTCTCGTGGAAAGCATGATTTCATTGTTGGAGAGATTTGACGTCGAGACATGGCGTTTGCTAAGCTGCAAGAGTCTTCGACGTTGTGAATACACCCTTACCACATGATTCCAGCGAGTTGAAACACAACAGCAGGGTTGTGTCAAAGATAGAGATGTAGAGGTTTAATGGAGTGTTAATGTTGAGGTCGAGGAGTTGAGAAAGTGATCTGAGCTATGAAGCCTCATAGTCTCGACCAATGCTGTAGGTCAGCTTTTGCTTACTACATTACCAAGTGCTTCCTTGGGTGACTTTCGCGGAGAATGAATGTTACAACAGATCTTATATCGAATGAGCTGTCGCGAGTTGCAGCCAATTGACAATGTTCCAGAGTCATCAGAGCCCCTGTCAGTTTGCGAGAGAGTTTGTCACCCCTCAATATGGGGAGTTTGAATAATGGATACTGAGGTGTCGCGGGGCAGATCGTTAGTGCGCCTAGGATCTACGAGCACGACTGACACTCCAATTCATAGCTCCCTCGGCTAACCAATATCGATACTTTTTCTGATTTGACACCTGGAAAGGTCGGCTACAAACGACCCTCCCTCATGTTTGCAAGAAAGATGCCGATCTCATCTCCAACAAGCATTTCCCTCCCACGCCTGTGTTACTGCAGGAACAGACCCGTGAGTAACGAGATCTTGAATCACGGCCGAGGGCCGAGGACTCTAATAACCCGACCTGGCATCTATGCTCCCTAGCAAGAGGCTATAGAACATCATGCCTATAGGGTGATCATGATACACACATTGGTCTGGAGTCAATTTTAACCTCATTTCAACCATTACAACATCACACCAACGACAAGATCAGATGCTTCCAAGATTAACAAATTTATTCGACTAAAGATCTCCAAGTGACAATACTCCAGTTGCTGCTTCTACCCAGTCCTAACTGTGATCCGACTCCACTAGCCACTCTATCTCTGAGGCCCTGATTTAAGCCAAGGCAGGGTACTCCAAGTCGCAATGCCTACCAGGAATGACTTCGTAGAGACATTCCACAATGATTCATATCCGTCCCTCGAGAAGCCAATAAAGGCACGGGCTTGCGAGGGCAAAGTGGTCTTTATTCCGGGTGCCGGCACGGGGATTGGCAAGGCCACTGCACAAGCATTTGCCCGAGCTGGTGCGAAACACGTCTTCATCGCTGGGCGAACCGAAAAGACGCTGGCTGCGACTAAGGCCGATATCGAACAAGAATCCCCCAAGACAAAGGTGGACTATTTTGTGCTCGACATCTGTGATACAGCCAAAGTGACGGAGACTTTCAAGGCATGTGTCGCCAAAGCAGGGTCTCCTATGGACATCCTCATCAACAATGCAGCCTACATCTCGTTCCAAGAGGCTCTAGGCGATGCCGACAAGATCTGGCAACATTTTGAGGTTAATGTTAAAGGCTTCATGAATGTGGTTCGTGACTTTCTGGCCAACTCCGTGGAGAAAAGCCCGACCATTGTGAACGTGTCGTCTGGAGCTGCTGTCATCGAGTACAAGGACGGCCTCTGCCCCTACAGTGCCTCCAAGCTGGCAACGCTCAAAATGATGGATTATCTACACAATGAAGAAAAAGACGGTAGAGGTACAAGGATATTCAGCATCCAACCTGGAAATGTTGCCACAGCAATGGCGGCAGAAGGGAAGACAATCTGCGCTGATTCTGGTGAGTTTGAGACAGAAAATTCTTTGTGAGCGTTATCTGACTTGTATGTTCATTAGCCGAGCTACCGGCCGGGTTCTGTGTATGGCTCACAACGCCTGATGCTGATTTTCTGAGGGGTCGCTTCTTGTATGCCAACTGGGACATTGACCAGTTGATTGCAAAGAAGAAGGAGATTGTCGATGGAGGACAATTGCGACTCGGCGTTTATGGCTGGGACTCATGCGCCTTCTAATCAGTCATACCTCCGCAAAGAATCACATTCAACACAACTCTTATTAATTCTCCTTGGACTATCATGGCCAAAGTTACTGATCTTTGACCCTCGCATCTCAACGTCGATGAGCCGTGGCATGCATGTGAGAGACAATGTGTTAAGACAATTGGATAAGATCCGTCACTCAATACTGTCGTTGGCGCTGCAAAATCCAATCTGTGGATATGGTGAAAATATGGCATGTTCCATTCTTCGTAGACAAAAGGATAAGAGTTCATTATCGTAAACGTAGGACTCGTCAAGAAGCTCTTGGGATTGGAGCATTTCCAATTATGTGATGGGATGAAACTTGATTTCCACCCGATGTCCTTTAGGCCCTGCAAGATAATTGTCGATAGGTGTCATGTCGCCACAGTCATGAATAGAAGTCGTAAAGTTGGTGTACACGCTTGCGAATAAAAACTTGATAGCTACAACTCAAGTTAGTCAACACACTCGAGGACAAGACGCAAACGGGGCCAAACGTTTAGACTTACAGTAGATAGCGACATTCATTCCAAGACAACCTCGACCGCCGCTACCAAAGCCCCAGAACCATCGTTTCATCATCGTCAATTCATCTTTACCGGCTTCGAGCCATCTCTCGGGCATCCATTGATCCGGGTCTGGGAATACCTCAGGTGTTCGATGCAAGACACACGCATACGACTGGACAACAGTGCCGGTGGGTATGTCATTATAGCCACCCAATGAGCAAGGCTTCGGGGCCATCCGTGGTTGTCCACCCGGCACTGAAGGCCACAGGCGCATTGTCTCCATTATAATGGCTTGCAAAATTGGTAACGTGTCTAGATCCCTTGCATCGGCCAAGTCGTCGAGCTCAATATCCTTGCCATGTATGTACACCAATGGTTTTGGCAACGCTAGTAGTTCTTCTCGAAGCTTGTGCTGCCACTCTGGATGTCGACTCAGCTCATAGAACGTATAGGTCGAAGTATTGCCACTGGTTTCAAATGCCCCTGAATTTAAAGAAAACATCTCACTGGCAAGCTCTATACGCCGAGGGTAACGACCAGGTTCAGACTTTACGTTGCTCATGCCCGCGTAAGCCCGCTCAAACACAGTCGGTTGGTCATCGAGGGATATATTTTGCTTGGTGGCTAGGAGTTGTTGGGCCTCATCACATTTCTGAAGATTCCACTCTTCAACCTTCTGGAAATCAGTGTCGACCTTCTTCGGAATAAGGTAGATGCCAATCCTTCGTAGGTTGTTCGCGAGTCTTGGGAATTGGTACTGCCAGAAGGTGTAGTGAGATATGCTGAAGAAGCCATCCAGATAAAGTCGCCTTTCCTCCAGGTCTTGAACAAGGTTGCTACCGATCGAACGACCGAACTGCCAGTGGGTAAATGTGTCCAAGAAATAAGAATAATCAAGCTCAATCATTTCCAAAGCAGTTCCGGCCCTAGCTGCCTCGAATATGAGTGGGAGGGTTCGTCGGAACAGGACTTCTCGTGTGGCTGCACGGAGGGTTTGCGATGACATGATGAAGGTTTTTGTGAAGGTAGGTGACAGTAGCTTCTTTTGGGCCAGGTGGACGTCGTTGTCTTCAATTGTGAACAAGTTACCGATTCTAGACAATGGTGAGCACCAGCAATGGGCGGACAGCATATGATGTGTTCGATTTCAATACATACCCATAGACGGCGAATCCATTAAAATAAAATGAGGGTGGTTTAGGAAATCCTCCTTGATATATGGTCTTGATACCATCTTCGAAGCCGTTGACGCTGATCAGGTTCGGCGCGAGTCGGATGGCAGCACCTTTCGACATGTGTAGCCTATAGACTTGTCGATTTTCTTGTTGTGTCCATTTCATCCACAAGAGCCATGCGGGGGAGAAGCCAGAAGACCAGTGCGCATTAGGAATCTTCGCTAATGGTGAGAGAAAGGCTGGATAGATGAGATACTCGTATAGTACGGCGAGTATAAGGGCCAGTGTGACACCGACACCGACCTGGAAGCCCATGGTAGAGTGCTGGTGTCGCTCATACAGAGCTGAACAGGAGAGGAAGAGAACGGAGATCAACGTGAGAGAGCGCAAGTTTGATATCGCTTAGTATTGGTCTTCATGATGTGAGTGAAGATGAGCTCGAGCTCGCCTGATATATCAGGCCAAGGTACTACACCAACTAGCCCCGAAGATGCTGATTGAACAACACAATGATGTTGGGCCGTAGTAAATGGAAAAATTCATATAGGCTGCTCACTGGGTTGCAACAACGGACTCGATGGCCATAAGAAGCCAAACACTGCGCACTACTAGGGTGACAACGCATCGGGTGAGAGTCTTATCTGGCGGGCGTGGAATGGGCCTACGCGAGATGAGTAATTGAAACTAACAATCGTACTCTGTGTGGATGGGTTCCTCGTGGCACCAGGCTGGGCACGTGTGGCACGTGTAAATGTTGTCTGATTTAGGAAAAGTTCCCAGCTTAGGAACTGGAGATAATGAGTGTACGAAGTCGTACGTTATATGCGAATAGAGGGACCTACTAGCCGGAAAAACGTGACCCCCGAAACTAACCTGACTAGGGTAATATCTCAACCCCCCTTCTCAAGGAGACCGACTTTTATAGAACACAGGGGTCAATTCGACCATGTAATACCGACATACTCAGGAATTGCATCAAGTCGTCCAAGACTAGACTATGCTGAGTTTAGGTGTTGTCTCAACTATGTGCTAAATTCGTGCTGTGGAGGTGTGGAGATGTACTTTCGGATCTATAACTTCGGACCAGGCTTTCGAAGACCGTCCTTTCTACTCTCCTCCCTCAACACGCGCTTCAGAATCTTACCACTGGGAAGCTTTGGAATATCCTCCACGAATTGGACAGCTCCCAGCTGTTTGTACCCTGCTAACCGAGCCCGCATATGCTGGTAGACTTGTTCTTCGGTGAGCGACGAATTCGGCCGCTTCACAATGTATGCCTTCGGAACTTCTGTGCCGTCCTGGAGAGTGATCCCAATCACAGCAGCGTCGACAATGTCTTGATGCTCAGTTAAGGCCCCCTCCAATTCTGCCGGTGCGACCTGAAATCCACGGACTTTAATGAGTTCTTTGACTCTCTCCACACAATACATCATGCCGGTCTTTTTGTCGACCTGCATGACATCCCCAGTCTTATAGTATCCTTCGGAATCCCAGCTTTCGGCAGTAGCCTTTTCATTATCGAAGTACCCCAGAACAATTGTGGGACCCTTGACACAATACTCCCCTTTCCCCTGCTCGGTGACATCGATTCCGTCCAGGTCGACCAGTTTTGCTGTGTTGCCGGGTAGAGGGACACCGACATTTCCCCAAGCATCGAGCTCGCCCCTGGAACATTTACGTGCCACATCCCATGGGACTATGTTGTACATGGTGGTTGTTTCAGTCATACCCCATACCTGCGTGAAGGTGGCACCGTCACCCAACAGCTCGTTGAATCTTCGCTGTAAATCGCCCGAACAAGGCGCCGCCCCTACTGTCCCGTTCCGAACAGATTTGAGACTGCAATCTTTGCGGTAGTTATTTGATTTTGGATCCGCTAGCCCACTCATGACGATTGCGTTGACCATGGGTGGAACAGAGAAGATTTCTGTCAACTGATATTTGGCATGGTAATTGAGATACGGGATTAAGTCGAAGCGACGCATAACTGCCAACTGTTAGTTTCTGTCTTGGTATCCACACATTCACTCACCGTATGCTTCTCTTCCTTCTTTGATGACAGACATGAATACTTGCGGAGCGATGCCAACATGGAAGAAGGGCATACAGAGGGCAACTCGGTATGGGTAGTCTCGTGGATTTGCTTCGAAGAACATCTGATGCTGAGCCGTGAGGTTGCGATGAGATGTCATGGCACACTTTGGCAGGCCGGTGGTGCCGGAGGTGTAGTACAATTGGGCAACTTCATTACACGACCTCTGCTCATCGTCGAAGCGGACCCACTCCTGAGATCCATACTCCAAAAGAGACCGCCATGATTTTAAATTTGGAGGCACCTTTTGGCTGGGGAGGGTGTCGAGGACGAAGAGACCCTTCCCGACATCAATCTTGTTGTCTCTGAGCGCATCAATCATGTTGGGTAGGATTTCCGGTTCAGCAAAGACGAACTTGGCTTTGGCAAGCTTTATGGCATGGTTTAGCTCCGCTCTGGTATAACTGGGATTGGTTCCGGTTGACCTTCCACCTGCACCGATTATGGCGAGGACTAGAAGAGGATAAAGCATCGAATTGAAGCTGTGGATGCAGACAACATCTCCTGGTCGAATCCCCGAAGCCCTGAGACCGGCGATCAATTGAGTAACAGTCTTTCTTGCCGTTGCATAGGTGTAGTGCCTCGAATTGTCTTCTGGGTCGATGAAAATCGGTTTGTCCTTAGGATATTGAGGGTCATCGAATGTGAAAGAAAGCACATCTTTACTGGACAACGGCAGTGTCCCTGTACTTGCGAAAGGCATCCTGGCCGACTTCACGTCACCCTCATATGTTGTGACTCGGTAAGGGTGGGGACACGAAGCAACTATAAGCGGATGTAATGGCTATTGACAATCGATGCCTTAAATATGTGTTTTGATGACCAGATATGCCCTGAGGGATGAAAGGGTATTCCTTCCAGGCGGAGTAAGCACACAGAACAATCCATCAGTTCCACCATCTGCATCTAAATTCTGTTACTTATTATATTCTCGAAGAGGGCTGGGCGTTCTTTACCCGAGGTATACTCTTCCTTGTTGATCGTTTTGTCAAGCGCTGTGACGAAGTGTCACGTGGGTATCCAGACTACGGAGATTCAGAATAAGCTTCTATGGCAACTTTAATACGGTGGATCATAGAGCTCCAACCAACCTTTTACATGTCATGCTTGTCAAGACCCTGGTACGAAAGTTGGGAACATCTAGACGAACTGGATGGATCGGAGGCTTAGATTAGCGGTCTGTACAGACTCCAACCATAACAAGAAGATCAGGTCCAAAGGCAAAACAATCGGTAGCTTCCGAAGTGGTGGCTTTCCAAGTCTCATCAGTTTCGCTCCTGGCCAATGAACATCCTGGTCGGCACAAACATCACGCCACTCTAACACCTTTGCAATGATAACAAGGAGTACTTTCGTATATAATAGACGATAACATCAAACGAGTCTTAAGTTCTGCCCTTCACCTTCCTCAGATTGGCTCTTACACAAATTGCTAAAATGTTCTCACCTCGCTGCTTCGCCCCACGGATGCGGGCAACAGTGGTGCCCAGCTTCAATCGACGTTTGTACAGTTCAACACCAATGCTCAGTTATCCAACAGCCCTACACCGAGCAGAGAGAGCAGCCGATCTGAAGGCCCATCCTGAAAGCGGAGTATCGCAGGAGAAACTTCCTGATATTAAGCACAACCATCATTGGACCGAGGAGAATGCTACGGCAAGCGAGGCAGATGTAAGATAGACCGCTTGCGAGAATGTCTTCGTCATTCCGTTTTCCAGTGATGTGTCTTCTGGACTAACAGATACTTGTGGAAAGATCAGGGCAGATCATGAAGCAGATCCGATAGAAAAACCCAAGTCAGACACCAAGACACCCGACAAATGACATCTTTCGCCATATCTACGCCAGAAAAGCACACTTGTTTGATGTTATGCGCTGTCAAAGCAGGCCAATGATATCGGGGCCTCATTAACCCAGGGTTCGAAATTTGGTAGGATTGTCGAGGGATAACTGCACTCTGAAGCCTGTGGTTAATCCTGGGCGAACCTGAATGGACCCTAAAATCATCATGGAGAAGAGTATCTTCAGACTGTCTGAAACTTAAGTAGACATACTCTTTTGGTGACTATGGTGTTCTTGGGGTGATACGTATAGTTTGAATGTCACGAATGTTTAAAGGGAGCACATTCCTGGAGATCGGAGAGAGTATCAGCCATTTGACTTGCAAAAATTGTTAAAACGACATATGGTAGCCGACATTCATCCGATTTTCAATGATACTATTGACAGAAGTTTCCCATTCGTGCCAGGAGCCTGGCCGTGATGCGTTTCAAACATGAAGCGAGACTATAAATAGAGGAAAGCCAGTACAAAGCCATATCACGTGACTGATACGTGCTCAAACTCTTGGCGTTTGTCGCTGCGGGGGAGGAGCTTCTCCAGATACAGACTAGCGTACTCTGCCCCTCCAAACGCTTCAACGTAAGATTGCGAATGTCTTTTGCGTGCGCGGCCAAACGTCAACTCATCATCCTTTTACCAACAAGTTCCCAAACCTTCTGTACAGACCCCTTCGAGACCGAACCATCCTTCTTCGAACACCTATCCTTCTTTTCGTCCCGTCGCCACGTTGGCTACAGTTCCCTTTCTCCGACTTGCCCGGAGTACCCAAGTCCGCTCACTTGCAACCATGGCTACGCAATTGAACAAAAAACTCAATCAGGCCGGCAACGGTACAGACTTCCCGAAGGCGGGAGACACCATCACCATGGCCTACACAGGCTGGCTCCATGAGCCCTCCAAGGCAGACGCCGACTTCAAGGGCAATCAATTCGACAGCTCCGTTGGTCGAGGTGACTTCCAAACTAGGATTGGAGTTGGCCAGGTCATCCAAGGCTGGGACCAATTGGTGCCACAGATGTCATTGGGCGAGAAGGCCACCTTGACAATTCCTGGAAATCTCGCATATGGCGATCGCGGATATCCTGGCCTCATTCCCAAGAATGCCACCTTGATCTTCGATGTTCATCTCAAGGCCATCAACAACAAGAAGGCATAAGCTTAGTAGCTTGCCAACGAGTACCCACCCCTCTACATGGGCATATTGAGCAAGGCCTCAATAAACAACAAGCATAGAATTAACTGGAGATATTGTCCCCACACCAAAATACCAAAAGGAGAAAATAATCAAGCTACGTATGTGCGTACTACAGACATTCAGGCTGTACCTAAGTCTCGAGAGACCAATAAATATCGACCATACAACTCAAATTCCATTCACAAGTTCCAGCTTTATGTACGGAGTACTCGTACACTAGAAATGTGATACTTTCCCAGTACATTTCTGCCTGTCCTGTTTACCAAGAAATGTCCACATGAAAGCATCTGAAGAAGAAGCAATATGCTCATCCAAAACCCCATACCGTAGGCCAATCGCGTGGGCGCAATAATGCCCACCTGAATGCCTCGCTTGAAAGGCATACATTGACTAAACACAACTTGCTACAGTTACCTACACCGAAGCCATCGGGCACCACAAGGGTGACATCCAATAGTGTCAACACTGGGCCGGTGCGAGGTCACGGAGCCCGAAGGGACGCCCCAGAGGCACTGCAATGGAACGTTGAATCAATGAACCATCTGAGAGCCGATCTGTGCCCGTTACTCAAATTGAGACTGCCAATAATTGGACCCTGCGATACATCAAGCCACGGCTCGATCAAGGGGGAAGACGAAAGTTTCATTGACGGCCAAACCTTTTCTCAGAGCACTGATGGTACCCCCGGAGAAGTGGGTTCTTTTGCGGCTACCTATTCGCTAACCAACATTGTTACTTTTGAAGATACTGATCCGTGTGACCTTTCTCCACGACTCAATATATTGGTGGCATCGCAAGACTTTCATAATGTAAAGGTGACCCATACTCTGTCGTACCTATGACGGTGCGTTGTCGTGATCTGAATCCCCGAAGCCTGACTTCTTTGTCTCTCTTACCATTAACGGCATTTTTCCTGAGTGCTTGAAAAGCCAACAAGTCAACAAAGCATTCAGAATGAGAGTATCCAGTTGGTCGTTGGCATATCTCCCTCTCTTGTGGACGGTGCAATTCTGCTCGGGAATACCTTTACCGCATAATACAACTTCCACAAGTGTCGACTACGATGTTGTCATAATCGGAGGTGGACCAGCAGGGCTGAGCGCATTGAGTGGGCTTGCTCGAGTGCGTCGGAAAGCACTTCTCATTGACTCTGGCGAGTACCGTAACGCACTGACCAGACATGCTCACGACATCATCGGCTTAGACGGTAAGGCACCATCGGTTCCTGACAACAGTCATGAAAGCAGACAAGCTAATTGTATCATTATCTTAAGGTGTAACACCAGCATGGCTTCGATATGCGGCCCGCGAAGGAATTGCAAAATACCCAACGGCAACGATGATTAATGGAACAATCCAGGACATTCAAAGTGTCAATAATATTTCATATTTCTTCACTTCAGATGATCAAGGAAGATCTTGGACAAGCTCCATGATTGTGCTTGCGACAGGGATCAAGGACATTCTCCCATTGACGCCTGGTATTGCTGAAAATTGGTCTCGTGGCATCTACTGGTGTCCTTGGTGCGATGGGTATGAACATCGCGACCAGCCTTTTGGAATCCTGGCCAATCTCTCGGACGTTTTTGACACGGTCAAAGAAATCAAGACTTTGAATTCCGACACGATTGCTTTCGTCAATGGCACGTTGAATAACGAGACCATCAGCACTCTGGACGCGAAAAGCCCTGGTTGGATGACTGTTCTGAATACCTGGGGTGTCAAGTTGGAGAATCGTACCATCTCTGCCATTAAGAGATTACAGGATGGCGGCATCGTCAACGACCCGAGTACACAGTCTGAGTTTGACCGCTTCTCCGTCGAATTTACCGAAGGGCCAGCAATTGAGCGTAATGCATTCATCAGCGGATTTGCCAAAAGACAGCGATCTTACCTTGGGCAATCCTTGGGTGTGAATGTCACAAACGAGAAGATCCAGGTCGATTTAACCAAAGGCATGGTCACAAACATTGTGGGGGTGTATGGCGTCGGTGATGCCAATTCTGATGGTAGCACAAATGTTCCTCATGCTATGTGGAGTGGAAAAAGGGCTGCAGTCAGTATTCATTGTATGTTTCCCCGCCATTATCCCCGCTTCCATGCGTCGAATTAGAGGACTAATAAGTAATAGTGGCATTGAGCAACATGGAGGCTGCTGCCGTCCTCGAGCATGGCTCGGCACACCATAAACGGCGGTCGGAACTTACAGAGGAGATGGTGCTTGATCTGATGGGTCGAGACGTAGAGGAACTTTGGGAGAGTAAACAGTTCGTGAAATGATATCATCACTAGGCATGAGGTCTACCATGTCCAATATCATGAAATGGACATGCAGGCGCTCGCCTCTTGATATTCTCATATATTCTCGATTAAGTTTGTTTTTTGGACGTATCTTCACCCTTTGCCAGCTTGACAGACTAACCTTTCAAAAGACCTCATGTGTGCTGAAGCTGTCAGAGCCGTCAGAGTACCAAGAGTTGAGGAGCAGGGAAATAGACATCCTCGCTTAAGACTTCGCAAAAACGATTGATTGGCCCACGAGCTCGGACTTGGGCGCATCCTGTACAGGCCAAACTGGATACTACGAGTAGGTGTTCTCGCTTTCTTCCTTCAAATACCTGGAGCTACGCGATGTGATCAGTCATTCATTTCCTGACCATCCGGACTTATTGGTCCATAGAGACTGGAAAGGTACCACACACACGCACCGCCTGAAAAGCTGTTGATTATCAACAGTGGCTCAAAGTCCAGCTCTAAATCCGGTAAACGAGTTCCGGGTAGCATCATTTCCTTACTATCTATTGGTCGTTCTTTTACATAAAATAAACTTGTCTTGTGGGGGGCGTACAACCCGATCGTCAAGTAATTAATGAACCGAGGTCGATGCGCCGTACCCATAAATGGTTCGAACATAGATATACTGTACCAAGGTTTTTTCCACAAGTGCTTGTCCATAACGTCTAATTTTGGACCGCACCAATCTACATGGATAAAGAACACCTTTCTGTAGATGCCAATGTGTCTATCACCAAAGACACCAAGGACATCCCTGAGTTGCAATGTTCGGGCGACGTCGAGATCGAATCTGGTGTGAGAGGATACAATGTAGACCCAGATGAGCCACCTGATGGGGGTACTGAGGCGTGGGTCGTTGCCTTTGGCGCTTTCTTTGCCTATATGTGCAGCTTTGGCTGGTTACAATGTAAGTATCGTTGTTTCCAATCGTCTGACTCCAGTACTACACCCCTGTACGTGTCTTCATCATGCTGATTCGTACATGTTTCTTAGGTATTGGGATCTTTCAAGACTATTATCAGAACGTTTTACTCGTAGACTACTCGCCTAGCGTCGTCGCGTGGATACCATCAGTCCAGTCATTCGTTCTATACTTGCTGGTAGGTCGAAAGTCGAATCGCATTGGGCATCAAGGACCAGTGATACTGACTGAGGTCAAGGGCATTGTCTCGGGGAAACTGTACGACAACTATGGAGCAAGGTGGCCGTTACTGGCAGGGTCTTTTCTGACCGTCCTCGGCATGATGATGACTTCGATTTCCACCGAGTATTACCAGATATTCCTCGCTCAGAGTGTGTGCTGGGCTTTGGGGCTATGCCTCGTATTCTTTACCAGTAAGTGTATCTCTCTACGATGTCAGCGACCTTGCTGCTGACAGATACAGCCACTGGTGTTCTAGGGACTTGGTTTAAGATTCGGTTTCCTCTCATGATCGGCGTCACTGTTTGCGGTTCCAGCGTAGGAGGCGTTGTATTTCCAATCATGATGGATCGAATTGTCCAGAGTCTAGGGTTTCCCTGGGCAATCAGAATTGCGGCATTCCTCAATCTGGTCCTGTTGATCATCGTCAACTTCACTGTCAAAGCCCGAATTCAGCCAACACCCCAGCCAGTCAGCCTCCGGGAATTCGTCAGACCATTCAGCAGTTTGTCCTTTTCGCTTTCGGTGGCTGGAGCATGCCTCGTGTATTTGGCCATTTTCCTGCCCTATAACTACGTGATCGTTCAAGCAAGGGAGGCCGGATTATCCCCTGATATTGTCTCTTACCTTGTGCCGATCATGAATGCGACAAGGTAAGCTGGTGCTTTTTCTACCCGTGTAGTCTCCTGGTTCTAACGTTGGTATAGTGTTCCTGGACGTATTATACCTGGGTACATCGCCATATATTGGGGAGGCTTCAATGTTTTCTTGATTCTCTCCGGAGTTTCTGCCATTCTCTGTCTGGCGATGTGGCTCCCAGCACAGTCTGCTGCCGCTATTATTGCCTTTGCAGCATTATATGGCGCGTTTGCTGGTGGTGTGTTCACAATGGTCGCGTCCCTGGTCATCCATAACTGCCCAGTACGAGAGCTGGGTGTTAGATTCGGAGTTTTCTTTACATTGGTCGCAATTCCAATCCTCGCCGGTAATCCGATTGGAGGAGCTATAGTCTCTCTCGAGAATGGAGGCTATACTGGGCTCAAGCTCTTCACAGGCGTTGTTTTCCTGGCAGGCGTGTGTGTTGTAATAGCGGCCAGGACTGCCATTGTTGGGTTCAAGCTCATGGTCAAAATATAAAACTGGGACGGCAGTGCGAGACCTCAATTGGAAGCATCGCTCACTGGAACAGCGTCACCGTAAAATTTAAAGAACTCTATTTAATCATTCCCTCCTTGCGGCAGCGAACCAGTCCAGTGTGTCGATGGGGTTGGTGTGCCAGGCTCCCCCGAACGAGAACGACTCTGGTTGCTTGCTAATGCATGCACACTTGAGGAGGGATGGCCCCCTCGGCCCTAGCTTAGGAGCTCTACGGAGGTAAGTGAAGGCTATAAAGTCTGATTGCTCATGTTTTGCTAGGCCTACTTAAGCTCTTCCCCGTGGTTTCCGGGGACCCCTTTCATCTTTCAACCCCGTGGGGCGCATGATCCGCTTCTAGCCGCTCCAACCCCGAACCCAGGCCTTATTTCGCCAGACTACTCCTCAATTCCTTCCTGACTAGACTCCTACCCTAATTGATCAGGCGCCAACATCTCCTTGACCACAGAAGAAAGTCTCCCCAAGCCATTACTCCATTATAAAAAGCCGCCACCATGTCAACCTTGAGAGAAACAAGCAAAAAGGTACATGCTTGCAGCCAGTGCCGATTGCGCAAGGTGAAGTGTAATGAGACCTCGAGTAGTCCACGACGTGGCCGAAGCTTACCATTTCTATGACAGGTGATGGGAAAACTCCTTGTTCGAAATGCGTGGTAGATCGTCCCGCCCCGTTCACTCCGAACGACCCCCCAGGTGGCAAACTAATGCAGTCAACCATAGAATCACAAGACAAATTGTGTCTATCCAGAGTCTAAACGGGGCAGAGTGAAGCATAAAGTATCAAATGCATGTTTGGAAGATCGTGTTGCAAGAATGGAGACTATGATACAGTCCCATGCCATGTCTCAATCAAATCTCGGCACTCTCCAGGAAGGCAATCCTGCCGACCACGACACCGTTGTCTTAATGCCACCAACTCGGCCTTCTGTTGATGAAAGAAGTGCTGAACCAGCGACATGGCTCGAAACACAGCAAGTGAACACGGTTAAAGCGCGGAGGCTCACACCATCTCAATCTCCTGCTGGTTCTGCTGATCCAGAAGCAAGCAGTGTACCATACTATTTCCATTCATCGGGGGTCCAGGACGCCTCGTTGACACCATGTGGACCAAGTTTGCCGGGTGCTACAAGCTCCCAAAATGATAATGCGGACACAGAGGCGAGCGTTCTTGCTCCTCAAATGGTAAGGGCATCTCATTCAACCATTCTCAGAGATGCTGACTTTCTTTGGCGAAGATAAACTGGGAGCACCATGGTTAAGCTGAACTCAAGTCGCCCTTTTAATCTGAGGACTAACAGACTCATAGGCCCTGGTTCATGGCTATCTGTATGCTCAAAGCCTGGTCTGGCATGGGTGGCCCAGCGAACAGGCGTAGAAGATTTCTCAGACAGTGCCACCGAGCTCATATCGACTTGGACAGACCGTCTGAAGCTGAACCGTAGTCAGCTTTTGCACGGGTCGAACCACGATCCTGACCCAGATCCGGAGACGGCGTGGAAATACTGCAATGGTATGTTCAATGCGTGGCTGCTACTGAATATCAAGTACCTTCATGTCCATTTGTACTGTCTAACAGCTGATAACCTTGCCATTAGCGTATTTCGAGGATTCAATTGATTCAATGTTTGGGATTGTTTATCGTCCGGAGTTCGAAAGCTCCTTGCGTGCTCAATTGCGTGGAGAGTCGATTCTGGCCACAGACTCGGCCTGGTACGCCCTCAGAAAGACAGTATATGCAACGGGCTGTCGTGTGTATAAGGCCAAGCATACGTCAACAAGTTTTTCTGAGATCCAGGCTGAGGCTTGGAGCTACTTCCAGTCTGCAATGGCGGTGTTTGCAGAACTGATCTTCACTCCTTGCAGTGGTCTCCTTGCAGTGAGGGCACTTGCCGCGATGGTATATCCACCTGCATCATCGTCTTCCCCGAATGTGGCTAACAGCAGGCAAGACATTTTTCGCTGAAGGCTTGGGGAACCCTGCTTTGGAATACATGCTCTGTGCAAACGCGGCGCGGATAGCACAGGGAAAAGGACTACATCGACGGCCTGCCAGCACGTGGAACCTCACCAAACAGGACGCGCTACACTTCAGCTGGCTATTTTGGGCAATCTACTACTGCGATAAGCACATTGCTCATCGTTCAGGACGTCCATCAGTAAGTTATCCGACCCGTGCGCTATGATATTTGACTGCAAGTACTCATATCGTTTACAAGTCGATCGATGATGACAACATCAGTTGCGAAATTCCGACCGAAGTATGTCCTGGCAGTACCCTCGACATCCAGGCCTGTACCTGGCTTTTCCAGCATGCCCAGCTATCTTCCCTTGTATCTAAGAATTTGATGTCTGTGAAAGCTTTCCAACAGTCTGCAGCAGACCTCCTCCAAACAGTCACAGATCTAGACCTACAGCTAAGGCGTTGGCGAGATTCGCTTCCAGGGCACATCCGGCCTCCTGATCGTCTCATGGCATTCCAAGTACCACTAAACTCACAATCACACTCGATCGTCGTTACTCATTTGGCTTACTATGGCACGATGATGGCTATCCACACTATGAGCGCATACCCTTGGATTAGTAGCACTATTCTGGAGAACGACAAAAGTGCTGTCACCCAAGACCAGGCAGTTTCCAGCTCCAACGCGGTTGCAGATGCCGCCAGGAATATCATCATTCTGTCACGAAACCTCGGTGTCAACGCTGCATCTATACAATGGTAAGCGTCAAACATTTCTAGATTGTCTCACTAATGCTAATCTTCCCATAATTAGGTGTACATTCTACTATCCTATGATCGGCTTCATCAATCTTTTCATCCACGTCCTAAGATTTCCAGGATCACCAGGTGCTCGTTCTGACATCGCATTGCTAGAAGTCATCGCTGGACACTTTGCTCAAATGGAGTTTCTCACCAATTCGGAGCTTAGTTTCCCGTTTGCTCGAAATGTAGCGGCGCTGGCCAGGCAGACTGTGGATAAGGTCTCCAAAGTAGTGTCACAAGATCCGACAATACAGAAGGACGACCAAGTCTTTGACTCTCAGCACGGCGAACTGTCGTTTCAGGTGTGTGAAATCCCTCGAATTTTCGTCCTGCCGGGGCTAAATGATTGCAAGGAACCATTCTACTATTCGAACGAGGATTTCGATCTGGACGACTGGGGTGTTTTCTCCTCTACCATATTGGGAGACAGTGTGCTGGATCCGATCATCAGCTTCACTCCCACATGACAATCGCTACATCTGGGGATTGCAATCTGGACAGTCAGAGGCCACTAAAGCTTTGCATTCCATATTAGCCCTCTGCCTGGCTTCGGAAGGCCCAGACTTGGCTCACCTCTGCTACCGAACGTCTGCAGCTGCTCGAGGCGTAGAAGTCATTGGTCCTGGGCTGGTTCAAATGCATGGTCCGTTGGAAATTGCGGAGGACGGGTGAAACTGAGCCGCAAGCCAACCATGTCTCCGAGACAGGGGCTCCACTCACGGATGAGGTCCCTACCAACTTATCACAGAGAACCGTTGAAGTGACTTTTCGTCCTGCCGAAGGATACAGATTCTCGGTTCCGAGGAAGACGATGTGTCCATCTGATAGAAATCCGGGGCCCCGGAGTCTTGGCAAGGAGTTCGGCAATCATTCTGGCCGAGCACAATCTTTTGGAGTGGACCTAAGGTAAATATGATGTCCATCTAGACGCAGTTTGCATGATTGGTAAAGAGATGGAACTCGATAAACCGCTGTAAACCAATCTGCTAAACCCAAGCTGGTAGTGGTGATGCTGACTCTTTGACTCATTTGCAAGTGAAAGTGTTCACAATAGCCATGTCTGAGACCATTGATTTCCAAGTTATCATCATCGGGGGAGGAGGCTGTGGTCTCTCCATGTCCTCATTTCTTTCAAATTTTGGTGTTGATCATGCCTTGTTTGATAGGAAGACCAATGCTTCTGCGCTGCCCAAGGCACATTATCTCAATCAAAGGACTATGGAAACCTTCAGGACACATAACTTGCAGAGAGAAATACAGGAAAAGAGCTGCCCCATGAAATTCATGAGTCAGGTAGCCTGGGCAACTTCTCTGGGAGGCAACGAGAGACTGGACCGAAAGATTATTCATAAGTTTGCATGCTTTGGCAATGACAATACATCGGAGAAAGCGCGTGCATACCAGATGGATAGCCCAGAACGGTCTGCCAATGTTCCCCTCTGCAGAATGGAACCGATACTTCGACGGATGGCAGAAGAGAAAAACATTGGTGGAATACGATTTGGACACGAAGTCGTCGATTTCGAAGACCGAGGCAACCATGTCGAGGTCACAGTCAAGGATCAACATGATACTGTGAAGACATATCGCTGCCGCTACCTTGTGGGTGCTGATGGGGGACGATTAGTAGGTCATAAACTTGGTATCACCATGGAGGGGCGTACCGGCATCACCGACATGGTCTCTGTGCATTTCGGGGCAGATCTGTCCGAATACTGGGACGACAGATTCTTTGCCTGCCACTTCATAAACGGAAATTGTGGTACCGTCTTGGAGAGTGGAGCCATAGTTCCTATGGGACCGACCTGGGGGAAAGGCTCTGAGGATTGGGTCTTCCATTTCGGTTTTGCGTTGGACGACGAAGCACGCTTCCAAGAGGAGAAGCTAATTCCACGTATTCGGGACCTACTGAAAATCCCAGACTTACAAATCGACATTCATCGGATTAGCCACTGGATTATTGAGCGTGTTTTGGCGGATCGGTATCGCATGGGGAACGTGTTCCTTGCTGGAGATGCTGCCCACAAACGGCCTCCGACTACAGGGCTGGGGCTGAATACAGCCATTGAAGATGCTCTAAACCTGTCATGGAAGTTGGCCATGGTCATCAAACATGAAGTCAGCGAGAAGATTCTGGACACATATGAAACGGAGAGACGTCCAGTCGGCAAGAGAAATTGTGATTGGGGCCTTTTCACATTCGAGAATTCCGCCGTCATAAACGCTGCCATCGGCCTCGTTGCTGGGCAGACTGAGAACAACAAAGCCAGATTTGAGGCTTTGTACGAGGACTCGCTGACAGGAAGGGCTATCCAAGCGCAAGTCCGCAAGATGATCGAATCACAATGCATTGAATTTGGAGCACATGGAATTGAGCTTGGGTTTACGTACGACGAGGGTCTGAGGATAGCTGATGGCACTGAGGAGCCTGAAATCGACCCTCTTGGTCAGACATACAGTCCAACTACTCGGCCAGGCCATCGGCTGCCTCATGCATGGCTGCAGCTCCATCTAGACGACTCGATAGTCTCTACCCACGATCTCGTAGGGTTCAAAGGCTCATTCTTGTTGCTAACTGATGATTCTGGGAAGAGTTGGATCGAGGCCTCGAAACGATTGATTGCGCGCCACAAAGTCCCTATTGCAGTCGCGCAAGTCGGATCACAATACAAGGATATGGAAGATCAATGGGAACAATGCGGACAACTAAAGGAAGGTGGTGCAATTTTGGTTCGGCCAGATAATTTCGTCGCCTGGCGCTCCAAAGGCCCATCCAACACAGGTGGCAGGGAGCTTGAGGATGCTTTCAACTCATTGCTTGGGTTCGCACAGCCTTTGGTGAATGGCATAATGCATTGACCATGAGATCCTTTGTAAATCACAAGTTTAAGTTGGCTTGCGGGCAAGACACTACACTACATCACTCCATATACTTTGCTCTGAGAATGATGGTGGATATGAACACAGAAACCTCTCACGCCTAGTCGATTTTCGAGATTCCTGCTCAGAAAGATAGTTTTAAAACCACCTCTGGCAATCAGTTGCTTAGGCAAAGATCTTGCCCGGAGATTGAAATTCACACTGCAACGGTGCAGTCCTATAGATTGACCAAGTAGTTGCCGCCAATAGCCGAATACCATCGAAACCCTCAGTAGACCATTTCGTCTTCATACACCGCGATCTAAGAAAATAGGAGTGCATCAACAAAGGAAAACCTTAAGACCGAGACTGTATGATACTGCTGTCTAACCATGGATTTCACCCGGACAATGTCTCCTCGGTTGAGAGATCCTGATATGAGGTTGGACGAGTACTTCGGCCTTCGCTCTCTTGGCGCCCGACCGCCGTTCAGGTGGCATCCAGGGTGGATGTGCATTGAAGGCCCTGCGGTCTAGATGGACATGACGCAGTTTCAAGTCTAGGATGATCTTGAAGAGGATAATTTCAGCAGATACCCCGTACCTGGGCAACTTAATGGTAAGATCTCAAGGTTCACTTTATTAACCCAAGGATACTGGTAGCAATGGCAGCATTCGACAAGATTTCCACAACCCACCATGAGACAGATGCAGAAGCACAGCCCATCCATCATGAAGCATCGACCTACGCCGAAAAGGAGATCTATCAAGATGATGGTGCTATTTTGGTAGCACTCGATGCCAATAGCAAAGACAAAGAAATTGGGAATCTAAAAACGGCTCCGAGTGGGCACGTATGTATCCCTTTTACCACCAGAAACTTCAGAGTGTATATGCTCACTGAGACATAGATTGTCTTGATTCCACAGCCATCCGATGATTCAACAGATCCTTTGAATTGGTCGTGGCGTCGCAAACATGCCCTCTTGCTGACGATCAGCGTTGCGGCATTCATTGCCGATTTCCAGGCTGGGGCAGCAGCACCATGTATCATTGCCCAAGGGGCAGAGTGGGGGATGACACCAGATCATGTTAATCATGCCAACAATCTCAATGTTCTACTCGTGTAAGTGAATGAGTTGAATGTTCAAGTCTTCCCAAAGGTAACGTCGTGTCAGTGGAATTGGAGGAGTCATCGGAGTTCCAATTGCCTATTTCTGGGGCCGCGCTCCACTCATCTTTTGGATTGCAGTCGCCGGGACCTTGTTCAGCATGGCTTGCGCCATTGCCCCGAGTTTCCAGGTTTACTATGGCGTTAAGGCACTACAAGGACTCACATTGACCGTAGGACAGACCATCGGTCTGGCTTTCATCCACGATATCTTCTTCTTCCATGAGCAAGCAAGAAAGATTGGAATCTGGAGTGCGGTCTTCCTCGCCAGCCCCTATTTCGGCCCACTATTCGCCAATTTTATCTTGGACGGGACGGGCTCCTGGAGAGCAGTGTACTGGCTCATATTTGCTCTTGGATGCTTTAACTTGGTCCTCATGGCTCTATTTCTGGATGAAACCTGGTACAGACGTGATATACCCATCACAGACCAACCTCCGAGAGGTTCTCGCCTGTTGAGGATCATTGGCATCTGGCAGATTCGTCACCACCATGGCTACTTTTACACCGCTGCTCGATCTTTTCAACGCCTTGTGGTGATCGTTTTGAAGCCAATTGTACTCCCAATCTTTGTTTACTAGTATGTACATCCCCCGCGCCTATGGGTATCATCCTGACAACACTCTTAGCTTGATGAGTTTCATGTGGGTAGTTGGCATCAATCAAACATCTGCCATCCTGTTTGCAACCCCACCAGCACAAGGAGGTTATGGTTTTGGCCCAAATGTAGTTGGATACATTTTCTTTGCACCCGTCGTCGCTGTTCTGATTGGGGAACTTTTTGGCCACTTTGTCAACGACTGGATTGCGGCTAGCTATATCCGCAAGCATGAAGGCATTTTCCAACCTGAAGTACGGCTAAAGCCGATCTATTTGGCCGGAGCTCTCATGGTGCCAGGACTAGTCTTGATAGGTCAAACCTTGCATAATCACCTTCACTGGGTTGGGATTGTGATGGGTTGGGGAATGTATGTCTTTGGGTGCATGGTCGCTTCCGTCGCAATTACAGCCTATGCTGTCGATGCATATCCTACGGCTGCCGGTGAACTATCAGCGCTCATCAACCTCTCACGCTTACTAGGCGGCTTCTCTGTCGGGTATGCTTCGTTCTCCAAGTTCCTTCTCTTGTGGTTGCTGACTGGTACACACAGGTACTTCCAACTTGAATGGGGACTAGAGGCTGGATTTGATGTCTCCTTTGGGATCCAAGCAGCGATAGTGGCAGCCTCGCTTTTCATAATTGGGGCTCTCCATATCTATGGTTCCAGGTTGAGGCGCTGGGGAGGAAATTTGGTCATCTAAAAATTGGGTTCTCTGCTCCTTACGTCTGCGTTCCCACATATGTAAGCTACTGAGTCCACTAGCTTGTCAGCCATAACAGCTGGTCGTCAATCATTGCCTGCATTCCTTCCCTATCGTCAGTACCTGGTAGGTCGTGGGGAACGCTGTACCCTCGTTGAGACATCACCCATTCTAGGTATTTATAGCTGGGTCTAGCACTTGGTGAGAGCTCTATCGCTCTACTGGTGTTGACTATAGGCTTTGTGGCGGCTATTGAATCTCGGTCGTAGACTGCTTCCAGCGACAGCAGTCTCCATTGAGCGGTGCCTGAGTTCGATACAAGCGATAGGCGACTGAGAAATATGACCCATGAAGTCATGTCGTACTCAATATCATCTAACATGAATCTGATCTGAACACTCCCGGTCGATACTGAGACTGCTTTGCTCCCTTTGATATGAACTTCGATGGGTTGAACCGTATGAGATGCCAGTGTCCCACTTTTAGCCATGGCCTTTGAGCCCTGAACGAATCCATCCACATCGCCAGAGAACCTTTCACAGGTTAGTTGGGATCTCTGGCACCTTATCTGCGTAGCTGGCGTCCTACCATGAGATTCTGATATTGGTAATGGATGCATCTGGATGATAGCAACTTCGGAGCGCGTCCCATCTTCCTGCATCTCGGTAGTATCGCTCACGGATCAAAAGGCTCTTGATTTCAGATTCTGCAATCCTCGTGTCTGCAAACATTGTTGCGAGAACGAGAGTTATGGCAATGGATATCTGAATATTGGAGGACAGGTCTAGTCGACTGAGCTGGGGACCACCTAGATCTTGGGTCGCAGAAGGTTGATAAAGGACACCTGACAACTATCTCTTTCCTAAGATGGAGATTTCATCTTACCAACATTGTAGCAACCGTCTGTTGCCATCTTTAAAGCTCTTTAATTTTTGCAAGGTCAACAGATACTCGCGGAGAGCCCAGCCGCAAGAGTCCGAAGTCCGAGCATGAACGGAGTTTATTGACCTTCAAATTCCCGTAATGGCATGAGAGGGGAAGCCTAGACAAACAAATCATATGCAGCGCAACTTTGCTGGGATAAATGAGCCCTGTCCTTGATACTGCTTGGAACATGTCCATCATGACCTGCTTCTGCGCATTCATTTGTGGGTTTACCACGAGACAAGTTGGATCTAGGAAGGCTGTCTTGCCACCTTCCAGGCTTGGTGCCTGTGATCATTCAAGATGTGCTGTCTAGCTGATGGCTGTGACGGATCAAGCTACACTTGGAACCGCATAAGCTCAAGTAAATCCGGCGCTTTCATGGTAAGAAAACGACAGATTGACCTCCAAAGTTCTGCATTTGTCCTTGTTCCAGGTGAACATTGCTACGGCTTTTTCCGATCATCTCTTCCAAGGTTTAACGGATGAATATTCAAAAGCCGAGTGTTTTGGTACAGAATATTTTGGGACCGGGAAAAAGATGCACCAGATGCTCAAGGTCCATGATAAAGTCATTGCATGTTTGTGAGCAAGTTGCACTGTGATCTACTGATCCACTCCCGCATAAGTCCAGACTTGGCTCTCGCTTTCTTATAGCAGCTACCCTAGTGGGTGTACGCCGAAAGCGTGGTATTCCTGCCTTCCTCCGTACAGGGACTTCCCTCACGTTTCATAAAGCTTCGGCGCCGATCTTGGGACAACTACACCAAGCATAAGGCGCACAACAGAACACTAATGTACGATATCTCCCGGCCCCGGGCGAGACGCGTACCACCCAGTCCAGGGTGTGCGTCGCTGAGTTCTTGAGGTCGAGTCAGTTACTAAGCTGAGACCACACTCCCAGACACGACACGACACACTCCACAACCGAGGCTTCTTATGGCAGGCAGGCAGATAGGTGGCCGAGGGCGCTTCTTGTGTGGGGACCCCGCATTCTTTCGTTCTGAGTTTTGTAAGATTCAATATGGAGCATTTCTTCCCCGATTCTAACAATCTATGCCAGATCTAAATGTGAGACCAGAAAATGCTACGTCTAATAAAAGACCATTTCTTGCAGCAATTACTGACGGTCGTCCGACCTACGTGATACACGCATCTTGAAGGGTACGAAGGGTAGTAGATGAGTAAGCCAACGTATTTAGACCACGTTCTGGTGGTTTGATCATTGGTTGCTAAAGTACCGAGGGATTGTGACCATAAATCGAGGGGCACTCGAAGCGCGTCTTGGACGAGACCCTACCTAAGCCAATAAAGGAAGCAAGTGTCCCTCGTCGGGAGGCCCAAAAGGATATACGTTCCTCCAACCTGAACGCTTGCATATACCATTATCATGGATTCAAGAAGTATGGTTCAGATCGCTGTAGCCGGAGCCTTCTCTGGTGTTCTCTCACATCTATTGTACTTCAATCGCGGCGAACACCATCGTCAAGCTTTCCAATATTTTCTCGCACTTTTATCGTTGCCCGTCGTTGCAACGGCAAGCCAATATGCACTGGGTGTGCACCTGCTGCGAGCAGTTCTACAAACAGGATGCTTCTATACTGCATTCTTGACTGGGCTGTACAGTAGCCTTTTCGTGTATCGCGCGTTCTTTCATCGCCTCAACAGCTTTCCAGGACCTTTTCCAGCTAAGCTCTCTTCATTGTGGCACGTCTCTCAAGTTTTTCGAACAATCGACAATTACAAACACCTAGGAAGAATGCACAAAAAGTATGGACCAATCGTGCGAGTAGGCGAGTACTTCCTGTTGTCCTAACGTGCACCCATGTGCTCATCGCATCAGGTTCCAATACCCTGTCCGTGATCCATCCGGATGCGGCGGAAGTGTTCTATGGCGCAGCCTCAAAATGCGTCAAAGCCGCGGGCTATGAATCGAACATCGATCTGACGTCGATGCATTCAACGAGATCAAGACGAGATCACGATGTACGCCGCAAGGCATGGGCCAAAGGCTTCACACAAAACTGTATGCCTTTGCCGCTCTATGATGCTGGCCATGCTAAGCTTCCTGAATAGCCCTACGCGAGTATGAGCCACGAGTTGAGAAGTATACTGTTGCCTTGATGGACCAGATTCGACGTTTCTCCGGGCAGCCCATCAATGCAGCCCAGTGGTTCAACTACTACAGCTTCGATGTCATGGGGGACCTTGCATTCGGAAAGTCATTTGATATGCTAGAGAATGGCCAAAAGCACTGGGCTATCCAGCTTCTGAACAACGGGCAACGAGGTATCGGCATCTTTGGCCCTGTGCCATGGCTCTTTGTCATCGTGAGCCAGATTCCTTTCTTGACCAAGGAATTCCAGAAGTTTATCAAGTTCTGTGAGGATATGATGGACCAGAGGTCCAAGATGAAGGGGGATCGCCCTGATATTTCGTCATGGATCCTGAAATCGCCTCCGATGACAGATACCAGATTCGACGAACGTGCTTGGCTGACTGGAGATTCCCGGCTTATCATCGTGGCTGGAAGCGATACTACAGCGGCAACCTTGACCCACATTTTCTATCATCTCGCTCAAACCCCATCCCACATGGATATCTTGAGGAAGGAGATCGATTCTCTCGATGGGGACTTTCGCGCTCCCAAACTGATGACTCTCAAGCATCTCAATGGGGTGATAAATGAGGCTCTTCGACTCCATCCGCCAGTCCCTGCTGGTGTTGGACGCATCACGCCACCTGAGGGTGTTACGGTTGGCGGAACGTACATCCCAGGCAATGTCAATGTTCTGGCCCCTCTATTTACCCTTTTCAGATGTGAGCATACCCAAAAGGATGTCCAAGTCAGTAGATTAACTATGGAGTTAAAGCCCCAGAATGTTATGTGCACCCGGAAGAATTCATTCCGGAGCGATGGTAAGTCCAAATGGAATCAGCACTTGAAAGTTGCTGAGTATTTGTTCAGGTACAGCAAGCCAGAATTATTGCTTCGAGGTGATGCGTTCATACCATTCCTCATCGGTACGAGTCAGAATCATTGCCATGATGTTGTCTAATGATTAGCAGGACCTTATTCGTGCATTGGAAAACAGCTGGCTCTCATTGAGATTCGTTCTGTGACCGCCAATATTCTTGCGAATTTTGATGTATCTTTTGGCCCAGGCGAGGACGGAACTAATCTTCTCGAAAAGACTCTTGACACGTTCACTATGGAATTGGCCCCTCTGAGTCTCTGTTTCACGGCAAGGAAAAGTGAGAGACAATGAATGCCCGGGGAAGGTGAATCTCGAAGAGCCCTGGTAAGCCATTTCTTTAACCTAAAGGAGTCTTGATGTTAAGGGGATTGATATCGCTGTGATGGAGAAACCCCTGCAGAACCTTTTGTGTATCGGCCCAGGTTGTCAGGCCCATCTCTGTTCTTAATCGTTCAAATTCATAGCCTAACCACTCATATTGTGCGCTTTCTTCTCCCAATGTGCTCGAACCACGCACTCCAACATATAAAGCCCACAGAGTGGCATTCCTGTATGGTTTGCGATCGTCTGCACCAAGGCTATCTGCCATGGTTAAAGCAAGGGATAGTTTCTCCAGTATAGCGCGTCTGGCTTCGAAAATTTCAACTCCCCGTATAACAAGCTGTCCACCTACCGCTCGAGTTTCGTACAATGCAGCTAGTGCCAGAATCGCTTGGTTGAGTAGTGACGCCCTTTCTTCCCGTGAGGAGCCCTGAGCTTTCTCGATAGAATTCAGCGCATGCGTAATTAATTGACCATGGCAAATATGATGGCAAACAGCAAGCCAGGCATAGAGAAGAGGGTGGATCTCATCGAATGCCCTTCTCAGCCACCAGGAATGTTCCTTCATGTGTCGACGTCGCTCCTGGAAGATTGGGAGTAGAGTAATCTGATCAATGCACGGGTCGAGATCCGTGACCGCGGCATCGAGGCTGTCTTTGGAGTACTTCATGTGGCTTGTCGCTGGCGCCGCCAGTTCGCGATACTGATCTGGGACCCATTTGAAATAGTCAAACATCGACCGGACCATCAACATAGTGCAGAGCTGAATATCGTAGTATACGATATGCCTAAACGCCACCAGATCCAAAGTTCCCTTTGCTGCTTGGTCCTCAACTATGCGTCGTAGCATCTTTCCATGAACTAGTGCCGCTTCTAGATTCCGGAACAAGATTTCAGTCCCCCACAACATTGATATATGCCATTGATCTGTAGTTGTTAGCTCCGGAGTTTGCTCAAGTCGTCTCCTGAGGATGGAGGAACTAGCTGCAGAGTATCTGAAGGCTGCAATCTGGATGCGTTGGTTCTTACTGACGATGTTTAGAATCTGCGCATTGCGAGCTAGAAAACCAAGGCCACTGCCATTATCATGCAGAGCACGAACAACGCTCTGCCAATGCATCGTGACAACAGCCGCCTTGGAACTCTCCCATTTGGTATTGTAGAACGCAAGGATAGAGTATTCACGGAAGAAGGAGATTATTTCATTGGCCTCGGGCGTGATTTCGATGGCAAGAGAACTGAAGGGATCTGATTGCCCGTAACCTAGAACACTTGTTGGGGACGTTGATCTCGTAGTGCGAGACCTTCTTTGAGAAGTATTGGCATTATCTGACCTTTGCATCGAGGCAGTGGGTATGTCTTGCGCAGACGATGTGACTTCTGATGCGTCGACCTCCTTCAAGAGAGGCTCAACGCAGGGAAAGCGCACTCTCGATTCTTTCAGGTCCTTCAGGCGCTCTTGGCGTCGCTTGGTGTGCATGAATCGTGAAGTATGTGAGATCAGCCGTCCTGGCTCCAGGGCATTGTGCAGCCTCGGTTTCTCTCCGTCATCCTGTTGCGTAGGTACAAATAGCCAAGAAGACATGTTGGCTCTTGTTAGTATCGCCGTTAGAAGTTTTGTAATAGCCTCAGAGCTCGTTAGGCTCAATTGTTATTGATGGCTTGATCATCTTCTGCAATCTTCCGGTGTTGAATGCCATATCTCCACCAAGATGATAAGCTCATCAACAAACGCTCCAAATCAATGAAGTCGCCAGCAAGAATTGAAGGCGTTGGAGCCCACTATATGGGAATCTGACCTTGCTGTCATGATTCACTTTAGTAGCGCCGAGGAGAAGTCTTTAAGTTTCAGCTTTGTTAGTCATTTCGCTGACTAAGGTCGACATATCTGCAATTGGTACATGAATACGAGGTTGGAGTACGGGTGATAGGCCCTCGTGGCCCTCGGCCTCAAAAGGAAACAACAGATGCTAGCTGGAGGAAGCAAAGCCTAGGTCACCCTAGATGAGTTCAGCCAATCATGCACATCCACCAGCGTGCTCGTATACCTCTGTACGGCAATACACGTGATTCAATGACCATTGTTGAATCTGGACGCCGGACGACAAGACACCATGGTTCCTTCAGGGGAGTTCGACTGCGGTATGACATTTGTTAAGAAGTCTTGGTATGTGCACAAGTCTCAGGCACAAGAGCGCGTATAGATTACGAGGATCTTTTGTCCCACTCTCACTCGAAGCGAACCGTTAGATGGCTTGGTTCATCGAGGCACCGCCCACCTTACGGGATCCAAGACACAACGCTGTCGTTATGTTACCAGTCTGTACCTATACGGAGCTAAGTGCGAGACATCGTGCCAAGTTAGGCAACCATGATTCCATGATTGCTATCAAAGCTCCAACAGCATCTAGGCAACCATGATTCCATGATAGTTATCAAAGCTTTTTAGCATTGGCATATGTCACTATATGCAAAGCCCCAACGCTCGAAACATTATTGACATCCGGAAATCACCCAGTCCGAACCAGAATGTGCGGAGGACACCAAATTTCTTCTCCATCCACCCAGATACCAAGAGCGGAGCAATGATGTGGCAATGCTCTTGGCCTTCGATCGTCAATCTCAGATTCATGGTTAAATACGGGATGTTCGCCTGCGATATAGGAGAGTTCACGCTCCCTCTCGAACCCTACCCCGTTGGTCTAAAGTTCCCTGCTACACTTTAACGGTGCTACAGCCATGTCAGACGCAACCGAGCGCTTGGGCAACTCCGACTATAGAGACTGCACCTCTGTCTCACCACAGTGTCCGGTTGAAGGGACTCTCTATGGTGACTATTTCAACGAGCCCGCCAACATTTTCTTCGCCATCGTTTTCGGTTTGGCCACGGTCACACAGTTATGGCTCGGCATCAAAACGAAAACATGGTCATTCACAGCCTGGATCATGTGCGGAGTAATTTTCGAATGCGTCGGCTATGTCGGTCGTGTTCTCTTGTCCAAGAACCCTTGGGATGACAATGCGCAAAGGATCCAGCTCGTCTGCCTCATCCTGGGCCCAACTTTTATTGCAGCAGCCATCTCGGTGACTTTCAAGCATATCTTCATCTATGCAGGAAGGCAGTACAGTATTGTACGCCCCAAGTGGGTGCCTTATATTTTCATCGGCACAGACCTATTTGCGATTTTGGTCCAGGTTGTCGGCGGGGTGGTAGCAGCCACTGCGATTGGTAACTCTAGCAATACAACCATATTCGACGTGGCTACAGCTATCTTGACGACTGGTGTTGCATTTCAAGCTGCGAACATGGTTTTCTGCGGTGGTTTTGTAGTCATCTTCTTCCGCAGGTATCAACGGGCAAAAAAGCACAAGACGGAAATCCCGGGAGAGGAAACAACCTATCATCGCGCAAAATCAGCAGCTGCAGGCGATCCCGCTGCACGGCGTGAGGTACGAAACTTCCGAGTGTTTACCTGGACATTGGCCCTTGCCTATATCGCCATCATTGTCCGTTGCATTTACCGTATTCCGGAAATGGCGTCAGGATGGGGGTCCGAGTTGATGCAAGACGAGGTCACCTTCCTGACGCTGGACGGAATGATGATAGCGTTGGCAATACTTTGCTTGACTTTTGTTCACCCAGGCGTCTTCTTCCCTTTTATGCGAAAAACGCATTCAGCGGATCAGAACACATCATCGGGCGAGGCAAGTACGCCCTCGAAGTCGGAGAAATTCTGGAGGAGAAAACAACGACAAGAACCAGCGGCAGAAGAGTCGTAAGAACACCAATTGCGTCTCGAATTAAGTTTCGAAAGCGGTTACAGACCATGTTTGCAGTATCAGAAGGCTGCAAACCAGCCTTTGCTAGATCTCAAGGGCCAGGTCACTGCTAGGAGAGGCGACAGCCAGTCGATCACGAACGAGGCGAATTTAAGCATGAAGTGGAGCAAGAGCACTCCTGTAGCAACTAGAGGGTCTAGGGCTACCCATACAACTGTTATCCCATAGAGAAACGATTGACCACTTATCAAGACGCATTCAGTCAAGCTATACCCGCTTCTTTGTTCTGTTCCGACATAAGACAGTTGGATAAACAGAAGCGCCGAAGCAACGCCGAAGGGGAGGTGAGCGGAGCCCAACAGCCTCTATGTGAAGCAGGTTTGACCTCTTGGACAAGTTGAAGAAATGACTTTGAATCCGGCGAGTCTCACATGTACTTGTAGTTCGATTCATCGAAGAGCTTGACTTTCAATGGGCGACGCCTTACACGAAGTACATTCCTCCATTGGCATTGACTACGCTACCTGTGGACCAGCGGCTTCTTTCATCACACAAAAAGGCAACGATTTGGACAACATCATCGACATCGGCAACCCGAGGAGCTGCAGGGGTCTCCTTGATGATGGGGTCCCAGAATGCCAGTTGGGCCGGCGTGGTGTCCTTCAACCACATGTCTGTTGCGACTGGACCTGGATTGACGCAGTTGACCGTGGCATTGTACTTGTGACCAAGTTCCCTGGCCAATGACCTCGTGGCACTCTCCATGGCTCCCTTACTTGCCGCATAGGACATACAGTCCAGAGGACCACTTCTGGCGAAGACGCTGCTCAAGTTGACAATCCTTGGGGCTGGCCCAAAATACGGCATCGCAGCCTGGACCAGGAACACCGGGAAGCGAATGTTGCAGTTCATCTGCAAATCCCAGAAATCGTAGCTGAGCTTGTCAAAGTCACAGTCGGCGCCTTCCCCAGCATTGTTGACGATGATGTCGATGACTTTCCATCTCTCAACTGCCGCTTTGACCACTGCCTCGGGAGCTGCTTTATCTGTCCCGCTGGCTTGAACGATCGCAACGTCCACGCCGAGGTTCCTGATTCTGTTTGCAACCTCTTCTGCCTTGGCGGTAGCGGAATTGTAGGTGATTAGGATATTGGCTCCGCGGCTGGCGAGTTCGTATGCTATCCCAGCACCAATGCCGCGAGATCCTCCTGTCACAATTGCGACTTTCCCGGAGAGCGCCTTTGAGTCGGAAGACATGGTACGGGTTTGATGAGGTTTGTAGTAGGTTTGGGCGACATGCTCCGTATGTATCCCGGAGCCGATCAATTGAACGTCCATCGTGCCGTTCCTGTCTAGCGAAACTCAAAAGTCAACTCCAGCGCACAAGTCCATTGCGTATCGCTTTACCACTTTAAGTCAATAATGAAGCCCGAGGGGCCCGCCTTATCGGGGGAAGTTGACGCCCCCTCTCCAATTAGTGGCATTTGCGACATGTACATCTCAACTTCATGGTCGCCTATCTAGACGCGCTTGATATATCTAGACGCGCTGGTCAACCACATGTCCGTATTGTAAGCAATTGCCTATTGATGTAGCTAATCTCCTCTCTCTTTTAGTGAGAGGAGAGAGAAGTCGAAGTCTGTCTAAGTGCGGGACCAGCCCGGCTTGCTCCTGCCGTTGCAAAGCTCCTGCCGTTACTTGTACAGCTCCTTCCCTCCAACCGGCGTAACACTACCAGGAAACTCGACTCACCACACTAAAGACGGACTTGATTTACACGATCATACAGGTCAATCAAATCCTTGATCAACCTTGTCTTCAGTGTACCCAGTGACATCAGCCTGCACCATGTCGACGACTCTAGTAGAAACGGAAACCAAGCAGGCAAAGCCCAAGCTGGTGAGCCCGGCGGTGCCGGTGCTCGACGCCTCTACTACATCGATCGAAGAGATTCTGAAAGGTATGAATGTGGCTGGAGGTGTTGTTATCAAAAACGCGATCAGCCTCGACAAGGTTCAACAAATCGAATCAGATGTCCGACCGTGGCTCGCAAAGGACCAAGCTTGGAAAGGAGATGGATTCTTCCCTAAGGAAACACGCCGAGCCTACGGCCTGGCAAGCAAGTCCAAGACGTACATTGAAGAAATGGTCAAGCATAAACTATACCAAGGAGTATGCCAAGCGGTATTAACCACCAAAATCTCGTCTTGGATCGGGGACAAGCAAGAACACAGCGTATCCAAGCCGCAGCTCAACACATCGATCATCTTCTCCATTGGACCCGGGGCTAAAGCGCAGCAACTACACCGCGACGACATGATACATCACAACTATCCGCTGACGGCAATCACACCAGCGGAACACACGTTCCGGCGAGAAGCTGGAATCGGGTTCTTCATTGCGGGCAAGACTGCGACCAAAGCCAATGGCGCGACACGATTCATCCCGGGCTCGCATCTGTGGTCGTCGGAAACCCCTCCTGATGAGGACCTGGCATATTATGCAGAGCTTGAACCTGGTGACGGCTTCATCATGTACTCGTCATGCTACCACGCAGGATCCGCCAACACGACTACAGACCAAGAGCGATTGCTCTATTGTTGCTTCTCGACCAGAGGCTACCTCCGGCAGGTGAGTTGATTTGGGGAGCGTGGAGAGTATTGAAGTTTCTAATATCGTTTAGGAAGAGAATCAATACCTGGCACATGATCCCAAGGTTTTGAGAGAGATGTACGATGATGAAACACTTGAGGTATGAACACACCAGATATCTGATTGTTGAAAGAGTGGTCCTTCTGACACAAAGTGTTTCTAGCTGCTGGGATATGGAGTGAGTGCACCATTCTTAGGATGGCTGAACCTCCAGTCGCCACTCGAGGTACTATTTTCGACCAAGAGAGAAGCATCTGATCTCTTCTGATGTGGTGGATCTGTGGTTATGATGGGGCAGTGGGCGAAGTATGTCGTCGACTATCCTCGAACAGTGTGCAAACTGCGGCGAGAACTCTAGCCATGGTCTTCTTTGACGACATCATATGACACATGTGTTTGATGTACTTGATATTATGATTACTGTTTTGCTAGAACTCTTACAGTTTTTTGCTACGATGCCAATATATTATGCTTAATGCACGTAACAGCCACACATCAACTGCGTCGCTGGTGACGAAACTCTGCTGATTGTACTCCAATTGGGCCAATATTCTCTGGTGTATGCATTGACATTCGGGTGTGGCTGAAGGCTCGTAACTCAGCCCGTCACGGGTCTTGTAAAAACGAGGCATTTGGATAGATGTCAAAGGACGGAGTCATGTAGTAGCCCACTAGCAAAGTGCATCAAAGCTGAGGCCAAACAGTTTTTGGCTAACAGGGACGATGCGAGCCATCGTTGGAACTATCCGCGAAGTGTATGTGTATGTGTGTGTGGGTGTGTGTGTGTTTCACTTTCGAGGTGCCCGCAGGAGGGCAAAAACCCTCCAGGTGCTGCGCCATGACTGGATGTGTGACCCTGCATCAAGATCGTGGAGGCTGAAGCGAAGGCGTTAGTGCCCAATCGGGAAATCCCAGGCGTCGTTACCAATAATTTGGTTCTGGTGACATCATTCCCACCTTTGCACCTTCCCAAGCTTTGTTTGGTAGCTCGTCCCTTCTATTTTAGGTACCTCCGAGGAAATAAACAACGCGGGGGAAGGAGGGCCCAAGGTTACAACGTAGCCTTGCGATTGAAGTCGCATCAACGCAACAAACGCAACACAGGCGGTGCAATGCATACGTCGTTACCATCAACAACTCAATTGATAGTAACGAGTAGAGTTTACAAGAGGAAATAGGTAGGTGCGAGAAATGATAAAACCATGCAATCCCCCTCGCAAAATCATTCTCGTCATCATCATCATAACCACAAACACCAACAAACATCATCAGCAGCATTCAATACAAAAGCGAGCATCTCTATTCATCAATCTCACAACATCTCAAGGAACAATCAAACCCAATAGCATAATATCACTCCCAATCATCCACTAATCTCAACCATGCATATCACCGCTGCCGCTGCCACTCTCGCTCTTGCCACCATTGGCAGTGCCGCTCCATTGGCACAGAAGCGACAAGCTGTCGATGGAACCTTCGGCCTGAGCGTTGGTCTGGAGGGACTCTTTGACATCGAGGAGTTGCAGACCTTCAAGTTCTCGTATGCCAACAACTCTGCTTATTTCGGCGAAATCAAATATCAGATGTACTCGGAGCCACTTGTTCTTTCAGGCGCTAAAGTCGCTGGCGACACTGATGGTGGTCTTTCGTTCCTCTCAATCCATTCCACTCCCACAGGATATCAATACGGCTACATAACCCCCGACAAGACTGCTCCTTTGCAGTTCACCGTTCCCCACGCCGGTGGCTCCGTCCCAGATGGTGCCGTTAGCACTGGCTTCTCCTTCAGCGGTGGCGGACCGTTGATGTGGAACAACCAGAACAAATTCTGGGCTTGCCAGAACCCCGAGCAGGCCGCTATGAACACCTACCAGGTGTGGTGGAACGGCGCAGATCAGCTTCCCCTCGGTGTGGACTGCAAGGGTCCCATTGGTGCGGATATGATCGACGGATGCCAGCGTGGAAATTAAGGGACCAAGCAGTTCCTAAGCGTCTTTGTTCTTGCATCATCTGGAGCGTGGAGCATTGAGATTTGAGCGTCAATTTAGCCCTGCATTTGCATTGCATTGCATTGTGAGCGTTGTGTTGTGAGATAGAATATCAAAATCTAATTCTTTGCAATAATGTTATTGTTTCCCCGTCCTCGCTCCTCTAAGCACAATCCAAAAAGACAGCTTGCCTGCATTAAAAAAGTGACAATAGTCCTTCGGCGAAGAAAAATATCACTGTCCTCGCAATCGAGATAGGTGTCCATCCAAATCCGGAACATTTTTGATCAGGATGTCGACAATCTCCTTCCACACCCTCTTCTGGAGGGCCTTCCCCTCGGCGCTAGTCACAAGATCTCCCTTCCTGCACAAAAATCGGTCAGCCTGGAACTCCGAAGGTTGAGACACAGGATCGCAGCTTACTTGTATAGTCTATCATGACTCCAGAATTCGCCATTCGCTTCTGGACCTAGGGTAATTCCACTGACAAGAGTTCGACTCCCTTCTTCAGCTGTCCTCGCAAAAGGTAGATGGAACAGATAGTTTGCAAGTTTCATGGGCGAGCCAAAATCCCTTCCTAGGTTGGTTCGACACAGACACGGACACACATTCGTGATGATGACATTGGGTTCACAACCGGGCGTCCTCGTCGCTTGAACCAACCCCTCCATGACATACATCAAAAGCAGCTTCGACACATGGTAATTGACAGTCAGGCCGAAGAAGGATTTTGAATTGGCTTGGTCGATGATACTCCGTTCTGGCGACAAGTCGAACTGGGATGCCTTGACGCGGTGATGTGCAACACTCCCCACGAATTCGAGGTGGGATGCCTTTCCAGATATTGTGGCGGACTTTTGGAGCTGTGGGAGTAGTAGCACTCCTAGGAGTGCCGTTGACAGGACATTCACCTGTAGAGTCGTTTCATATCCCTCCGGGCTGAGAACGAAGGCCGGCGTGACAGTCCCTGCGTTTAGAATCGCCGCGTCCACGCGTGGTTCGTTTTCTTCCACTGTCTTCGCAAACGATTCGACGGATGCAAATCTGCTCATATCCAGTTCGTAGTATCGCACCTTGTTGGGGTCGTAGCCGGTCCTTTGGCAAATTTGTCGTTTGGTGTCTTCTCCTTTCTGTAATGATCGTACCCCCAGAATGAGACCTTTGGCTCCTAATGCTGCAGTTTTGACGGCGGCTTCAAGGCCGAGGCCCACGTTGGCTCCGGTGATGAGGACTGTTCGCCCGGATAGTGAGACGGTCGGGTCTGCTGGAGGGTTGCGTGCAGACCACCACATCAAGCCAAGTCCAATATCGGTGGGTGGGTTTGGTGGCATGGCGTTTGATTGTCTTCAACAAGACGAAATCCTTCCCACTTGCTTGTTCTGGAATTGGTCGCTGTGAAGAGAAATGCTCCCAAGACTTGACCTTCCATGGTTTTATACTCCTGCTTGGTCTTCGAAGTGGACCCATCAGAAACCTTCCGATGAAACCTCCGAGCAGAGCATGGGGGTCAGCCCATATCAATCAGTTCAAGATAACCTTGATTCAAATGTCTCCTTCCGAATTGTCCGTTTCAAATCAGCAAAGATCGTATTGAGAGGAGCACAAGGACCTCGCATATCTTCCATTCCTGGCTGTTCGGACTCCTCAGCCTCGACCATGACGTGCAGCATCTTTGTTGCCTGCGCCGGATTAAAGATGGACTCATGAACGGATTCTTGAGTTTCATGGATCCCAAACTTCCGCTGAATCTTTGACAAAAGACTCTCGCTCACTTCAACCAAGAACAGTATCTGTGCAGAGGGCTCGCTCTGGAGCCTGAATCCACCGATTTCAATGACCGAGCACAGATTCATTTCTTGCTGTTGGATAGAGTCTAGGAAAGGCATTGAGTCGTAGATCGTGGAGAAGACGGTTCGGAGGATGCGAATGAGGCCAATGTAACATGACAGCAACGAAGTCATCGTTGGTACTTCACATACTGGTAGGTCAAGCGGTATATCTGATGCACCACTAGGTGAAAACGGTCGGAAGCAGTTCAAGATATCAAGCAAAGCTGTAGACTGTTGCAGCATCTGCCCAATCATGGTTGTATCCAGCTGGTCGGTGGATGAAACGTCGTTCAAGGTTGAACATTTATCAGCCGTTTTACAAAGTTTGACGAATTCCAATAAACCGTGCATTTCACTCTGGAGGTTTGCCAGTTTTCGCGATGCTTCAAATCGCCTGAGAAAAGCAGAAGGTAAATTTGCAGACGTAGCCCCAGCTTCAAACCCTTGGACTCCCAACGTCTCGTCACCAAAGCTCACATTGCCGAGATCGATCGGATGCTGAACAGTCTCGTTCGCAACTTGAACTTGAGCCGTGAAATCTCCAGAGTAACCATCCAACAAGGCTTCAAAGTCGGTGTTTGGTGGCGTCGGTAGTTCCTGGGGTGGTTGGGGCTGCCAAATCGCCTGGGACGCTGGCGAGTTCGAGGACGGGCCGGTAGGTCGTGGGCGCGATGGTCTACCGGATCTCAGGGTTGCGCCTGTACAACATTCCGAATTGGTCTTTACGCATCGTTGACAGCGCTGTTCTCCTGGAATGCGAATACACCTCAGCTTGTGATGTCGACAATAATCGCATGCTGAACGTTGGTTACCCCCGACGTCCTTTGTGTTGCTGGGCGTAGCAGCCATCTTTAACAAGTCACAATCTGTGTTATACCGGACAGGCCATATCTCCCCCAAAGACTTCTATGTCGAAGTCATGGAGATTGTGTAAAGAAGGCGAGTCGATGGCGATGAATTGATTCGACGGCAAGCGAGTCTCGTAAAGTTGATGTCGGAGGGTTTCAAGTCGCTTGGGGCCCAGGCTGACGCATTGCAGCGCGGGCGGTTGGATCGTCCTTCACAAAACCTCCGAGGTCTGACAAAACCCTCCGAGGATTGCCCCTACGAGGACGAAATTCCACAGGACCCAAGTTTGTATGTCTACTAAGGTTTACGCTCGTCTCCTGTATAATCTATGTGATTAACCTTGTTATGGAGCGACCCAGATTAAACACCGACTACAGAGGTCGAGTGCATATGGATGGTCAAAAATGAAACGATCAATGAAGGAGACTTCATCCAACGTATATTACAATCATAATCTAATAAATCCTCATGGGTACAGACTATAGCCCAGACGCGACACCGAGCGCTATGCAGACAATCAAATGCTCATAACAACCGAATTCCTGGAACTCGAGACAGACAGCCCAGGTTCACTTATAAAAAGAGAATCATCGAGGCAATACCCAAAATCAATGCCAAAATCTTCGCATTGACCACTTCTCTTCCTCCATCGCCACGTCGAGACGGACTTTCTGCTAGACCGCAACACGAGGAGCGGTCATATGTGACATTGTTGGCGTCGGCAGCAACTTGGAAGACGCTGCCGTTGAAGTTGCCAATGTTATAATAATCGACGAGTAAGAACGTCGGCGGGCGGTCCCAGTCTCGTGTACAGTTGAGAACACTCCAACCGGCAGAGCCGTAGCCGTCGACAGCATTGGTTTCATTGAGTATGTTGGTTGCGGGAATGTCAATGCTCAGACCTGCGAGGTTGATATCGATGTTCAGATTCTGGTTCATCATGAACATCCGATCACGACGGACCTCATCTGAGTCATCTGGCGGTCTCTGAGCGGTACAGGGGAAGTCACGATCGGTAGGAGAGAAAGGAGTCTCCCACATTTGAGAGAATTCGTCCAGCAGCCAAGGGATTTCCTCCTGGTTGGCCTCGTAGTCGAGCATGACTACCGCGCGTTGTCGAGTGATAATCATCTCTCCTAATGTTGGCCATGAATCTAACGACATTGGCACTGTTGGTGGAGTGTAGACAAAGTCAATCAGTCCCGAGTTGATGACTGGAGCCGTGTAGTTCTCTGGATTCAGGACGTCGGAATTACCCATCAAAATTGTGACAACATCGGAGGGATTTGCTTTGAGCCAAACAGTCACAGTCCGCAAGTAGTCCTCGAGGGTGCCTGCATCAAGAAGCTCACAAGACGAATGACATAGATGGATGGTGCCGTTCTCATAATGAGTCTGGAATTGTACTGTAATGGCAATTAGCGTAGTGTACGGTGACTGCCAGAAGCAAAACGTACACATTCGGACCCCATCGTTCAATTGTGTGGTAACATCCAACTCTTGATTTGAGGCTAGGTTTCCAGGCCTCACAAAAGGGCTGTTATGCGCCCCAACGTGGGTAATGTTGCTGTACTGTCTTTGACAAAACTCGACGAATCCATTACAGGGCACGGTGTTGGTAGGTTGGGGGGCACTGGTGGTGGCAAAGGCGGTAGCATTTCCAGATGCTGTGCCATTGACTGTCGTGGATTGAGCGGAGCCGACCAGAAGTGTCTGAGTAGCGCTTGTGGTCGAATTTGTTGTTACCGTTCCATTTGACCCTGAGGCTGTAGCGTTACCCGCCCCAACAGTCGTGACCAGCTCAGTCACCGAACCAAAACTGCCGGTGGCTGTTATAGTGAACGTTGAGGCATCGTCTCGATAGGTCACTCCGCTCGTTCGATAATCTGGAATGGTGGTTGTGGCTGCCTCAGTATTGGTACCAGTCAGAGTCACCTGTGCTGCGCTCAAAGCGAGACTGGTAAGTAGTAGACTGAGTTCCAGCTTCATGGCCGCTGAGAGGATGGGTCACGACGATAGACAGAGTGAATTGCCCGAGCCAAACAGTTCGTGCTGGTGGGCTACCAATCTGGCTGCGGCGAATGAACCTCGAGCCGTGGGAATCACCCAAATGCTGCCATATGATAGCAATCTTCAAGTAAACATATCACAGGAAAATACTAGGTCGGTGGGTACAACGAACATCTCATGGGAGTGAGGATTGAAATCTTGGGCGCAGGCACCAAAGGCCCTTCCGGAGTAGTGGGGACATACTCGTAGAAACGGGCATGTGAACCTGGTCCACGAAAAATCGTACGTGGACGGAAAGGCTAAGGGGACCCGGATGACGCATGATATCCTCCCGTAACTCGAGACATTTGGTGGCGATGCACGATGCACGCCGAGAGGGAAGATGGAGATGAGAGATGAGCACAAGGGAAACAGACCATTTCTTGTCTACCGGGTGGAGGGGAGGGGGCCATTGGAAGGTGGAACTGGTTCACTCTTTCCTGGTTGACTTCTCTTGCACCTTCCCTTCCATGCAAGCCATGGCACCTGCCTTCTTTTGCATCTCATCTGCTTGAAGAATTTTCACTTCTTTACTTTCGACCTCTGCTAGAGTCTAGAATATAATGATACGAGGTCGTGCACAGCAACAGCACAAACCTGAACAGGTAGACAGGCAATAGTGTGGACGAAAACGTTCGACTAACTACTTAGCGCACAGGCACAGAGAAATGATGGCGCTTGAAGCGAGCCGCAAGGGACCCTAAAACACGACCCAATCCCTCCTAGCATCGCCCCCAAATCCTCGTTAGGCCTGCCAATGATGTCAATGTTCTGAACTCAATCAACTGTGCAACGCGTTGAGGACGTTGACCACACCCACAGGCCCACCGTGCCCACTAGACAAACCCCAACGCTGCTGGGATGGGCGACACGGATGCTGAAATGACGCCCATCACGGGCTGAGCCAGGCAAGAGCAATCCACATACATGACATGTCGAAAGGTTCTTGGGAAGCGCATCCATCCTTGAAAAGTGGACGTGAATGCCAAGGTGAGACTTTGAGTTGTCTGTGGCCTGCGCAACATTGTGACGCAGTCGACTTCGTCCTCGTGGACTCTGTTGAGTGTTTTGGATGGTAGAATTGACATGCAGTCAGGCCTTTCACCTATGCCATTACTCCTCTCTCACTTGTAGAATTCGGAGGGTCAAGCTGGTCGCCTCTTCACCTCGACGATGGGCATGTTTTCGAGATCCAAACCCCGAAACGCTCGTCGAGATGACGATGTCGTGGGATATCAGAAACCCAAGCCAACGGGCCTTCGAATCTTCACGGCCGTCATCTATCTCATAGCCCTCGTTTTCCTCATCCTCGTCCAAATCGGAAACATCAACAACAAACCCGTGATTCGAGACACATACTTCCTACGGATCAGCCTAGCCGACATCATTCCAGCCTCTGTACCCAACGCTGTCTTCATAAACTCGATTGCACAGTCGATTGGATTGCATGACTTTTATCAAGTTGGCCTATGGAGCTTTTGTGAAGGATACGACGGCGAGGGAATCACCTACTGTTCGCCGCCCACCGCATTATACTGGTTCAATCCTGTGGAGATTATCCTCAACGAACTTCTGGCCGGAGCCTCCATCACACTACCCACGGATGTAGTCGATGTCCTCGACCTGGTGCGGCTTGCAAGCACATGGATGTTTGCCTGTCTCCTGGTCGGGACGATCTTGACCTTCCTATGTATCTTTCTAGTCCCGCTGGGATTCTCCAAGCAGCCTCGATGGCAGCACAAAGCAAGACGGATATTTCTACGACAACTGCCTCTCACACTCTTGACGTTTGCATCGCTCCTGTTCACCGCAGTGGGCTCCGTCATCGCCACAGTCATGTTTGTCATCTTCAAGCAACAGTTTTCTGCAGCGGCCGATCTGAATATCAATGCCACTCTGGGCAAGCCCATGTTGGCATTCCTGTGGATTGGTACTGGGATGAACTTGATTGGCTTCTTCATGCAGATTGGTACCTGTTGCGGCGTGTGCTGCTGCACCGGCCGGAAGAGAGCTTTTCGCAAAAGTCAGCAAACGGCTGAATTAGGGCCACAAGAGAAGGCTTCGACTGGAAGTGACACGGCGAGTCCAGGACATTTTGGCTTTAGGAAACGCTGATGAACTTGGGTATCTGTACATGAGAGCATTATTATCATGGGTAATTGTTGCCAATCGGCTTGCAACATGTATTAAGCGTTTATAGATTCATGAGCGTTGGCGTGGATGGGCCTGTAATTATGGCATTCGATGATTGTTTCCTACGCCTTTCCAAGATACTGGTTTCTAGACTGTGAGATTGACTCTTCGTACTGTCCAACGAATCCAATATGGATGGTCCTATCCGCGTTTCTCAGTAGTCGTTCTGTCATGCCCGACCGGCAGAAAGTCGCCCGCAGTGTGTTCGACCTGCTCACGCTGCTGGAAGATATCGACATTTTCTTCACCAATAGACTTCATGATTAGATGGGGAGAGTTCTCCTCTTCCACGACAATACCCCCTCCACGAGCCTCCGCCATAAGAGCATCACTGGCCTTGATCTTCTGACCAGTTTCTTTATTCCAAATCCAACCCTCTTTCATCCACATCCAGGTCATCCAGGCCCTCAATTCTTTATCCAATGGTAGTACACGTTTCCACTCAGGCTCAAATGATTCTGATAGCACGATATTCTCCCCATTCCACCCGCTCGAAAGACCTCGCAGTTTGTCGCGACAGAACATGCGCCAACTATCATGTGAATACGGCCCCAAGCCGGGCAGGTGAGAGATCTCCCATGCCACTCGGGAGTCCGCGTCTTCTAGAACATCGTCTTTTCCCACATCTCGACCATCGCCTTTCAGAGGATAGTCAACTTTCCTAAATCTCCGTCCTAGTTGCGGGGGGCTCGAGGTCCATGCCTTGGCCATAGCCACGCATTTCCTGGCTCGCTGGTTCTGAAACCCTAGCCTGTGAATCATGGAGGCTATATCTGCGGTTTCTGCAGATGCAAGATCACTGGGCGTAGGATATCGCGTCATGAGCTCGTAGAAAACTGGCATTGCCCGCTCTCCTGGGGTTTTGTTCAGGAAGATGGTGGCAATGAGCAGTCGGAAAGGGTCGTGAGCCAGGCGCTCTTGCATCAGCCCAAATGTGTCATGGCTGAGTGGAGGAAAGGGCAGGGTAGACAAGAAATTGGAGCGGTGTTTATGAGGAGATGGAAAGAAGGGAGATTTGGTCGGCTGCCTTGACAGTTTGGTTTTGCTGGTACCATTATGGGTTTTGGTCTGGGAGGGAGTAGAAGGCAATTTGGGTTGGGGTGAAAATGGATCAGGCCCAATATCATCTGGGACGTCGGTGAGGGAGGAATCGGAGGAAAGGCCATCGATATCGAAGTCACTTCTCGGGATTATCGCTGATCTTGCAGGAGTGCTAGGGGGTGTTTCAATAGCATGGTCCTCGGACAGCCCGCCCTCATGTTTTACATGTTGCACACCTTCATCATCATCATCATCAGCGACAGTCACCTGGCGTTGAGTATTCGGATCGGTATCGCCATTTTGGAAGTGTCTAGAAACATATGTGATCCGCCTCTTTTTGGTCTTTGACGTCGTCAGTGCCTTTCCCCGAGTCCGTTCGCGAGGCCTGCTCGGAGTCGGTGGAGTGGAGATATGTTGATCTGGCAGGCTCAGGACATTGTCCGCGTGCATACCCAGATGATCAATGAGCGACGGGCGAGGAGTGGAGGGCGGTGTGGGAGGCGAGGTCGCATGGTCGTTGACAGTTGGCGATGTTGGGGTAGAGAAAGGTAGTGAGGTCACCATACTCAATGCCTCGGGGCTAGGACAAGGTTTCTGAGGCCGACAGTTCCAGGCATGGTTAGGACGAAGTGGGGATAATGTCACCGCCCTATCAGAGTAATAAACAGTGATGATGGATGGACGATACGTCCACCGCAAGAACAAACATAAGCTTGGTTGACAGGTATGGGCTCACCGGTGAAAGGAAGTGTAGTTGAAGATGATTCTGACTTTTGAGGAATTCATTTCGAGACAGATATGGTGTTGCATGAGTCGACATGTGCCTGCCTTAAAAACTACATCATGAGCCTGGGGAAGGTGCCAAACTACTTCCATGCAGCTGCACCTTCCCTGATTCACAAAGGTCCTGCCAGACACGCCAGGCTAGGCTAATCCCTATTAGGCGAGGCATTCGAGACAAGCGCCCCCCGTCGACAACCAACTTTGGTTTCGCTTCTCATCAGAGCCTTTTCACCTTCGCCCTCCCTCTCGTCAACGGGCCCATGACATGGCTTCGCATCAGACGTTCACCAGCATGGCTGTGGATCAGCCCCAATTCTAGGTGTATGTTCCGCGTATCATGTCTGCCTTAGTGGTTCGTGAAGCATATCCTCCGAACAAAAGGCCCTCGAGTGGTTTTTGCAGCGCCCCTCGCCCCTCGGCATACAGTGTGCATGATAAAGGACCCGACTAAAGAACTCCTTGCCAGAAACCGAAGATGGTCGAGATAAATGACTATGCCTCCTACCCAGAAAGAACAAACACTATTCGTCGCAAGCCTGTCGCAACCTCCAACCTGCCTTCCGCCTCCACCAAACCACAAATATTGCTCGATAGATGGAAGTCACTGTCTCGCAAATATCAAATCCTCATTGTCCTTGGCCTTCTAGCCGTCTTAATCTTGATCATAGGCCTTGCTGTTGGCTTATCGACCCGGAGCCGACATCAAAACCTTCCTCTACCCTCAGGGCGAGGCGGACCTTACACTGGAGATCTTACCTATTATGACCCAGGCCTAGGCGCCTGTGGCATCACCTCCTCCAACAAGGACAAAATTGTTGCCGTCTCTCATCTTGTATTCGACGCAGTTAGTGTTGGGAGTAATCCCAATAACAACCCTCTGTGTGGCAAGAAGATTCGAGCACGAAGAAGTAATAGGAGCGTCGACTTGACGGTCGTGGATAGATGCACTGGCTGTGAACCTACAGACATCGATGTTACAGTCAACATCTTTGCAACATTGGCCGAGGTTGAACAAGGGAGAGTCAGTGTAGAATGGAACTGGCTTCAAGATGTCCCTTAGAATTCAAGGCTGAACGTCTTGACCAATGCCCATCAAATGGCTCCTGGGTACCCAAAGTTCGCACTCCAGCTTCTGTTGATCGGGGCGTTCCAAAGCCCTGGATGTAAAGAGTGACAGCGGTTGCTCCCGCTCATCATCCGGCATACCGGAGTAGTGGACATCTACGCACATTCCGCGGAGAAGAGCGCCCGAGGGCCCCCCTCGGCCTCCAATATCGGTGCCCCGGTGCCCAGGTGCCACGGACGAGCCTAGCTGTGGAATAATCCAGACCATCGTCAGATGATATGATGTCGTTGTGAGGGCAGTGTATTGAAACAGCCAGAGAGGCAGTTGACATTGGTCATGTCGATCGTTGCACTGTCAGGCGGCGCCGAGTATGCATATCAATCATTACACAAGAGCACCCTCCACTGACGATTGCTAGATCCAGCGTTACCAGTCAAGTCCTACGAGATGCTGCGGCCAAGAACAACTTTGTGATAGCAGAATCTGACGAGGAGGCATTCCTCCTTGCACTACAATCCTCCGATATCACGGTGGCCAACGTCAATGGACTAGATGACTATGTTGATCCACGTCTGGCGCCGACACCCACCTTGCAAGAGAGGACATTCTGGAAATCGCCACAGAACAACCTCAATGCATGGAGCCAGCAAGCTGATTTGAAAGCCAAAAGCCCCCATTCATCGGAGTTAAGTGGTCGCAAGATCATTATCAAAGACAATGTCTCGGTGGCAGGGCTGCCTCACACTTGTGGCACATTCCCTCAGTTTGTCTCGCATGATGGAAAACATCCTATTGCCAAAATTGATGCTACTGTGGTGAAACGCTTGCTAGACGCGGACGCCACTATTGCAGGCACATCCACGTGCGAGAACTATTGTCTATTACCACTGTCCTACAGTTCTATCAACGGACCGGTGCATAATCCGTGGGCACGGCACTTTAACGCAGGTGGGAGTACTAGCGGAGGTGCTGCTCTTCTCGGGCTCGGGGTTGCACGCGCAGCTGGAGTCCCAGGTTTAGACGACGCTGGCGATGATATTGATCTTGCTATAGGCGGCGATCAAGCCGGAAGTATACGTGTACCTGCCTCTTTTTGTGGTGTCTATGGACTCAAACCTACCCACGGCCTGGTCCCCTATACCGGCATTGCAGGTCTTCATCCTATGATCGACTTTGCCGGTCCGATGGCCAGAAGGTTGGAAGATGTTGCAACGCTGCTCGCAGTCATTGCCGGCTATGATGGATTGGACCCTCGCATGACCCCCGAATCACCCTTGAGACAACATGTCTCTGACTACGGGGAGGGCTTGAGACGTAGTCTCGAACCTGGCAGAGGACTGAAGGTGGGTATCATCAAGGAGTCGATGAATTTGCAAGGGATGCAGACAGAAGTAGCCCAAGTCGTGCACAAGGCGGCGGTGCAATACTTTGAGGCTAGTGGGGCCACCGTAGGTGAGGTGTCAATCCCTATGCACCAGCTGGGACCAGCCATCTGGACTGCGGCAACAAGAACGCACCTTGCAGGATTGGCCGTGGGTGGCCGCATACCAGATGTGCTTTCCCACGGCATGCCTCACCTGCATCTCCGGTGGCCTCCAGATCAAGAAATGTACGATCTGCTGAGGGTGGCCAACCCGGCAGTGATCAATATCCTGCTTACCGAAACGTTGTTGACGGAAAAGTATGGGCCAGAGGTGCAAGCAAAGGCTCATCGTCACGTGCTGGAACTCCGAGCTGCGTACGACCGTGCTTTTGAGGAGTATGATATTCTAGTCACACCGACGACGCCGTGTGTTGCACCACCTCATCCGGACCTCGGCCCCGCAAGCAGTGTTATGGACAAGTTCAAGCTTACAGTGGGCATGACGAACAATACAGCGCCATTTAATGTCACAGGCCACCCTGGTCTCAATGTTCCATGTGGTTGGGCCACAGCTAGCAATGGGGTTGATGTCCTACCGGTGGGAATGCAACTTATTGGTAAGAGGTGGGATGACATTGGCGTGCTTAAGGCGGCTAAGGCATTTGAGATGGGAGGCGGTGGTCTCGGGCCATGGCCTGGTGGATCGATTCAGCGGTAGAGATGGTGCTGGCTTGGGAATAAAGGCGTGATAGAATGCATTCGTGGCATTGTGCCATAAAACGCAAGGCACAGACAGGAAGGGAGGGGATTGATGATGTTAATGGATCCATGAGCAGTGGGAGAATTTGATGTTCAAACGTCATATGCATATAAGCGTGTGTAACTGTTGGCGAGTTCAGCTGTGATGCATCCAATCTGAAGAATGGGGCATGACGCGACCCAAAGCTCGGAGTCTTGGCGGACGATGTGGGCAATATGGGCAAGTCTGCAACAGACACTCGACATGTCTGCTGTACATACCGTTGATGCTAGTGGAGGCATAGGGTAGACAATGGAGCAGTGGATGAGTACGTGCTTCGAATAGCGGGGAGGAGCGTAACAACATGGTGACCACCACAGAAAAAGCCTAATGTTTTGGAGTTTGTGAAGCATGCGGTTTGTAGAGAGTGTCGGCTCTGAGTCTAGACGCGAGAACTAATGTGTCTACATATGTGGATCAAATGATGCAGACGGAGTTCTTGATCCGTGGGATTCCTCGTGTGTAACTTCGTAGACACCAAAAGCCGAGAGGAAGAAAAAAGGTGGAAAATGGAAGGATTGGGCAGCGTCACGCCAAGACGCGACACGCGTTTCAAACAAGGCGATTTGCAGAATGATGATATCATGTCCATTGCTTCATCATCGAATTCAGGAAGGAGCCAGAGTGCCAGAGCGGAGACAGCCACCACAGCTCGTCCAAATTGGCAGAGTCTAGTTCTGGTCAGATTTTCCGCTTGTTCAATATGCAAAGCAAGGGTGAATCGACAGGTGCGTCAAAGTTGGCTGGGACCATTTGTCCAGAGATGGACGATGATAAACAGATGAGGTGGTAGTTCATCTCACCACAAAACATCATTTGAAAAAAAGAAAAGGAAGATTGGTGATTGGATCTGGCAGGTGCGTTAATGCAAGGCAAGATGTCAAAATGCGGGGGTGGCCATTACCTCCTCCGAGCCCAAAGCCCCGTGTCTCCCCAGGGATGGAGTGATACTTGCTGTATAGAGGGCATTTGTGGTGCTGCAATTCTCCCTGCACAGGCGCAATTGAGGCACAGCTTCAACCATGACGACGGCTTTCTTGGGGGGCCACACCCAATCATCGGGCCCGTCATTTGTTTTCCCACCTTCCATCGGTCCAAGCCGTGCTACTGACTTTCCCACCTGGAGCTTTGCCAAGTTTTCGGCTTTTCCACCTGTCCCCCTTTTCGAGCTTTGATGTTCCCCATGTTGATCTTTGAGGTGACCTTTGAGATCCAAACCGGTTTCGAAATGGCCAAGAAACCATGAGATTGCAACGGTCAGTAGAGCAGATGAGACCGAAGTGACTATGCTTACAGAAGTCAATCGACCAGCCCAGACCATAGGGAATGGCTCCGAGTCGCCACAAATGGCCTTTTTTCTTCGATGGGTAAGACTATCCGAATCAAAGCTTCACGATATTGCCGTGGAACCGAGTCATCGCCCAGACAAGCTTGGGAGCTATGTCGATTGGTGGAGTGGATGTGGACAAGCCGTCGCTGGTCTTGTCTGGTGGACAAATGCGTCATTGACTTTGCCCAAAGCCATATGGTTTGCTCCCTTACAGGCTAAACTGTTCGATCACCGGGGTAGATCGACCTCAAGCCAAGTTCTATGCCATGCCACCACAGCCTCGACATGGTAACACACCATCATCGTCCAGGTCCTGGTGCAGAGCTGGTCCAGTGCTAGCCCACCGATGCAGACTTTGGCCACTGCAATTGGGTCCGAACCCACTCTTTGTCTCGAAGGGGACGTGGAGTTGGCTGACCATGGAAACACGTCGGCCCAGCATGAAATTCTTGATGGCGCAACACAAGCTCGACGTGTCGTGAGGGTTGGATGGAGTTGTGCCTCTCTTGTTTGCCTCAAATACTCTTGTGTCGACCCCCTCTTTCTCCTCCAGTTCTTTTTTCCTCTGTCCATACTTTTCTTGCCGACCTCGTTATATAGGTGTGCCTTCCATTCATCCTGTACTTACCAAGTCCAACAAAAAGTGATTCAACTCATTCGTCTGTGACAATGTTGTTCAAAGGATTGGCATTGGCAGCCCTGGCTGGCGCAGCTTTCGCTCAAGATGAGCCCACCCCTTCGACCCCCGACTTGGTCACGTTGTTGTCAAACCAGACCGAGTTGAGCAACTTGACTCAGTTCCTCGGAATGTTCCAAGACTTCACAACCCAGCTGGGCAGCTTGGAGAACATCACGCTGTTGGCCCCCAACAACGACGCCTTTGCCGAGTTTCTCAACTCGAGTGCCGGTGCCGCCCTCGCTGGAGGAGACGAGGAACTCATCACCGCCCTCTTCTCTTATCATGTCATCAATGGAACATATGCCAACCTCAGCGAGGCCCAGTTTGTTCCTACCTTGCTCGCACCTGGTCAATTTGCCAACGTCAGCGGAGGACAGCGCTTGGGAGTCTATGACAACGATGGCGATTTGGAGATTGTGTCGGGTCTGCTCAGCGTGGCTAATGTCACTGGAGAGCCTCTCAACTTCACCGGCGGTGTGGTTCACATCATCGACAGCGTTCTGGTGGTGCCAGAGAATGTGTCAGAGACTGCCACCGAACTCAACCTCACCGCTGCAGCCGGTGCGTTGGTCAACCTGACCCTGGCAGACACCGTCGACACCGCCGAGGATATCACCGTCTTTGTTCCCAACAACGATGCCTTCGCTGCGATTGGCTCTGCTCTTCCCAATTTGACCACTGAGGAATTGACCTCGATCCTCACCTACCACGTTGTTCCTGGCGTAGTGGGCTACAGCAACCTCCTCGAGAACGGCACCCAACTTCCCACTCTTGAGGGAACCAATGTCACCATCACTGTCACCGAGGATGACGAAATCTATGTCAACGGCGCCCGCGTCGTGATTCCCGACGTCCTGGTTGCCAACGGTGTTGTTCACGTGATCGACAATGTCCTCAACCCTCAGAATGCTACCGCCACTGCTCCGGAGGGATCTGAGTCTGGATCGCCTGCCTTCGATGGCGCTAGCTCGGCTTCGGACGTTCCCTTCACCTCTGGTGCCCGTCAACCCACCGGTACCAACACCCCAACGGCTACTGCTCCTCAAGCCACCGCAGACGCGACTGGATCTGAAGGTGCCGCACCCATTCAGACCGCTGCCATTGGTGCCGCCGCTCTGTTTGGTGGTGCCGCTTTGGTCTTGAACATGTAAATACGCCCCAACGTACAAATTGCATGTTGAAAACAAATGAAGGGGGAAGGACGGGAGAAAGGAGGGAGTATATGGTTTGTGTAGGGCCAACAAAATCAGAGATAACGGTCGATAAGGTCCATCGGTTTGTTCCAGGACGTGGGGTAAATTAGTGCATGGGTTACATGTGCTCTATCAGTGCCTCCACGTCAGGAATGACCTGAGCTGATTGGATTGCGAGGATCAATGTAAAACTACCTCGAGTACTCCGTACGTTTCTTTACAACCTTCTTAATATAATGACCTCGTTATAACCAAAACAATGTTCATTCTTTTAAAGACTGCGATGTTCCGATGATTTGGTGAGGCGCTGATGGTGATGGATATCAACGTTGAATGACCTGTCCTTCCTGCAGTTCTTGAGTAGCTTCCCTGTACCTTCCCCGCTAAGACAGAAAACTTGTCTGAATACGGATATTTGTTGTTCCGGGGAGTGGCCCTACCCGCGGCAGCTGTAACATTACTTTCCATAGGTACCTTACATACAGTCCACTAGGGTAGGCATCTCATACAATGCTGGTTTGGTACTCAACGGGATATACAGGTATGTACTCCGTAGAGTATGAGGTAGCAAACAGGTTTCGTATTGGCAAGTCACGATCACAGCGAGTGGTTACACACCTCTAAAACACCAGCCACAGGCTTGGCTAGCAATTGGTCAAAACCAATAACTACTGGGTACGACTGACACACTCACAGTCAAGCCGCGGGTTGAGGGGCGGGTCTTTTAGGCGTGACCTGCCACCCATTTTAATTTCTCGCTGCCCAAATTCCCACTGCCAACAAACAGCCAGTCTCCCCCAAATGACCAGATCATAACGCCTATTGGCCCATTTATGGCCCTAGACGGATCGTGCCACAGCCTCCCGGGCCCTCGCCCCTCGGCCCCTCCAGTCTCTTATTGGAGTTTTGTCCACCGTTGCGATCCTCTGATCCTCGTGACTGCCTCCAGATCAAATCAACTTGACTACCACTCTGTACACATCATCACCACCTCATCATTCATCTGAGCCTCAGTTCACTTCTGTCACCGTCTAAACCAGGCCATCATATCGACGTAACCCTCGTTCACTCAACAGAACAGGAGGTATAACACTACCGACTGCGGACTCTCAAGATCCTCGTCTGATTGCGTCACTTGCCGTCTTCGTCTATCCTGATTTCCTCTTGCGTCGAAGAATTAACCGCCGGATCACTCCACACACACACCATTCTAGCCAGTCCGCCATCATCAATTCCTCCTCAATGGCGATCCACTCGTCGACATAGCCGCCCTCGTCCTCGCCAACCCTCGCCTTGACCCTACCTGCCAACAACGCAGCACGAAAGACTGCACTTCCTTCCAAATCTCCGCAATCCCTACAACATGCCCTCTGCACTCCTTCAACATGCCGTCCAAAATTCGAGATAACAGTCCTGAGCGGAGGCGGGAAAAGAAAGACTTAACAAAGGCCTCCGATAAATCAGACAGAGACCGAAAAGATAAGGATCGAGACCGAGATCGAGATAGACAAAGGACTCGCCGTCACAAAACTCCAACACATCGAATATCCTCAAGCAAAGACAAGACCTCATCAAGGACTTCTCTCTCTCCCTCTTCTGCCACGAGACGTCCGTCCATGCCTGCTGTCCTCGACGATGCACCTCTACCCTTGCGCGCAGAGTCGAAGACGAGTCTACCATATCCCACCTTCTCCAAAGAGCACAGCCGTGAGTCTGTCGCTCCCCCGCCGCCACAAACTGGTCCAAATGTTCTCACTCCTCCTACAACCGATGTTGGCGCCTCCAAGGACAAACCCTCTGCCGCAGCCGCGAGGCCCTCTTCATCTTCCCCTTCCCCTCCTAGTCCTCCTCTGACAGCTCAGACCTCAACCCCAACCAAATCGCGGCCCAGTACAGGCAAACCTGTCTCTGTTCACACCATCCCAGAAGATGATGCCCGTTCCACAATCAGAGATCCCAAGGTCAGGATCAGTCTGCGGCCGCAGTCTTCAAGATCAAATGGACACTTGCGTACCGCCAGTGAACTGGGACCTGGCACTCAGTCTCCCGCAAAGTCTCGAGACAAAACACCCACCAGAGATTCTCCCCTAAAGCCTGCCAGTCCAGCACAATACCTTTCCCAACACAGATCGGTCAGTCAGCCCACCAGGCTGGCCTCACCCGCCACCACAACAACTTCGAGTACCGCTGATTCAGGCACACACCTGAGCTCAGATGCTACTTCCATTGCCCCAGATCAGCCCACCGTACAGAAGCCCTCGTTTCACCCTCCTCCCGCGCCGGTTCCCACAGACGTCTATTCTCAATTCCACCCACGCGACAACACCCCTTTCGAAGTTTTCATCGAAGAAGAGAGCCCTTCTTTGCTGGGAAGCACTCCGGGCCCAGATGGCATGTTATCCACTCCTGGCCCTCCACCTCCACCCCCACCTCCAGTGCCCCTCACCGTTCCCAAGGTTGACTACCTTCTACAACATGGCGGACTGCATCAACCTGTGCCCAAGAATCTCTTGCTTGCCGGGAAACCAATGGCAATTCAACAAGCCCAGATTCCCGGCCAGCAGCCCATCGTTGTCGCCAATCTTTTCGAGCCTTACACCAGCCTTCTGGACAGTTTTGACCACGTGATATCCAAGAATGGTTCTTTAGCAGTCGCAACTGGCTATCGCTCCGTTGCAAGAAGGCTGTTGGATCGTCTAGAAGCTGTTTTTGCCCGCGACATCTCCAGCGAGTACTGTGCTTGTCCCTTGTGCCGATCCGCCCCCGATCGCGTCGATGATACTCCGAGTGTGAGCTGGGGAGAGGTCTTGGAATTTGTCTCAGGCCGACGAGATCTCCCGTCCTGGCCTCCTTTTACGTTTTCACAGTCCCCTGTTGGCTTGGGAATCGCCCTCGAGTTCCACGTCCCTATGCAACGGCTAGATATCGATGTGCCGGAAGAATACAGAGAACACTACATCCGCCAATCTCGCAAAACCAAACAGTCTGTGGATAAGTGGCTCAACCGACAGCAACCTGGAGACGCCCCCACGTCCCCACCAGAAGAGGTCGATGAAGAGACATTGACATTTGCCATCCTGACACATTTGCCTCCTGATCAACGTCCAGCCTTCAAGGACTTGCTGGGAATTGTGGACAAACCAGTTCAGCCTCCGAAAAGGGTGCCAACTCCAGAACTGCATGCCGGGATCACACCTCCTGCGCCAGTTCCAACTCCTGCACCCGTAGCCCGGGCAATCCCAGAGCACATTCAGGTCACCGCTCTAGCCATCCAAAGATTGTATCGACTAGGCACTCCGCCCCGTGAATGTGAATCGGCCCTGTTCCTCCTCCATAACCCATCTCTTCACAACACTCTAGCGACCCTAGCGGCCATCAGCAACGACGAATGGGACATCTTAATCTCCGGGAGGTTCGATGGATTTCTTCGCTCCGGGGCTGACGAAACTATTCCGATCCCCGATTCGCGAAATGCCACCCCTTTTCGGTCTGGCGCTCGTGGCGCGACACCCAGCGTCCATGGCGGGCCGCGTTCTCGTCAAGGAAGTTATAACCAGTCGACTTTGCCTCCGCAGTGTGGTGCACCTATTGCTTTTGATGAAGAAACTGAACTCGCCACCCTGGCTGAGATTGAACGGGATATCTATTCTGGCATGGAAGCTCTAGAGGACGCGTTTGAAACCTTGCACAACAAAGCCGAGAAAGTTCGACAGGCCTTGAGGGAACGTAGTGCAGGATTAGCTGCCGCTGCACAGAGGAGACGAGGCAATCAAGAAGACATCGAAGTACGAATGGGCACACCTGCTACTGCGAATGGAGGGTCGACTTCAACACTCAATGGATATTTGAATGGTCGCTGGGACGCTGAAACAGATGATGGCCTGGGTGACTGGGATAACGTCAGCGATATTCAACCAGATGATTCTGCAAGTAATATCTCAAGTTCACGTCGCAGGCGACCAAAGCGGAGGACTGAGCGAAGAACCCCAGCTTTGATCGAAGAAGAAGACGAGTTGGAGGAAGAAAGTGAGGGAACACAGAGCCCAAGGAAATCTAGACATCGGTGACCGATGGTACAGTCTCTATTAACATCATTCAACGCGATCCTTTGACACCATTGGCAAGAGGAAGACTGGAGATGCAGGAGTCTTGCCCGACGTGCCATTTGACGAGTTACCACGTCTATTGTAGCTGTCCACTCCTCAGTCGATTGATGTATAAGTCAAACATTATCAGGCACGACATAAGGTTGCTCAGGGGCATATTCCCTGCTGCAGCAGAGACCTGGAATAGTCAACAATATCGAGTGTGCTTGGAGCTGGTTTCAGCATCTAGCGATGCTATAGGCAATTTAAAGAGTCCCAGCCTCTTCCTCTTTACGTGGCAGTGGATTATCATTCCACCCTCAATACTTGTGTCTCTCTGTATTGATTGAATAGAAGAGCGACATTACTGGGTGAAGGTCTGAATTCTGAGCCCCGAGATCCGACACTACCAGTGCCATCCTGAACGCCGCTTAGTGTCTCCATTCGTCCGAGAACAAAGTCGACTACGAAGCCTCATCCTCAATCTCCAAACCTCCAATCTTGAACTTCTTCCCTCTCCTATCAGCGTAGTCTGTATGATTATGATAATCCTTAACCCGTTCACGCACATATTGAAGTCCCGTTACTGGCTCAGCCAACTCCTGATCCTCGCGCACCAGGCCCAAACGCTTCAGCAACGGTGAGGCCGCCGGCTTGATATCGACCTCATTCCCAGGCCTGACAAAATAGAACAAACCCTGTCGATTGATATGGACCTGATCTGGTGGAGGGCGCACTACTCGATGGGTAGTCGACTTGAAATATCCCGCAGACCAGAAGTCAAGCGTGTCGCCCACGTTACAGATAATGCCGTTGTCGACGGGAGGTACATATTTCCACTCGCCGGTCTGGGTCTTGATCTGTAGGCCGGCCACATCCTGGCTCCAAAGAAGAGTCAACGATCCGAAATCAGTGTGGGCTCGCGACCATGTGTTTTCAACTAGACTGTCGTCTGCCAATGATCGCGGATAGTACGTCATGTAGCGCAGATGGTCCTCGCTCTCAGACTCGTACTCGTGTCGTGACGAGAAGTAATCCTCCGGCAGTTCGAGGATGATTGAGAATAAGGTGAATATCTTGCTGGCGATGGCTAATGATTTCTGCAGTGGTTGGGTTTCATTCGTCAGTAACTTGTCCAGCATATCTCTCCAAACAGACTAGACTTTTGGAGAATTCAAGTGTCTTACCCTCGAAAAGGCCTCCATCTCAGCGTGATATGGTTCAAAGAACGGGTGTCGAGCTTCTTTGGTATATTGGGGAATGAACTTGGCCACGTTAAACGATTCCACAATGTCCTTGACCTCTGTTGACATGACTTTCTTCTCAAATGGCTATTTGAGTCAAACGCCCTTGGTCAGTGATCCGTTATCATCCCTAAACAAAATAGGATCCGGACATACTGCACGATAACCAAAATAATTTCCTACTGTGAAATCACATCGATATTCGGCGCGACCTTTCTCCTCGGCTGGTAAGTCGAAGAATGCCTGTCCAATGTTATATTGACGTTGCACTTCTTCCTCGGTCAATCCTGTTCCCACAACGCTGAAGAAGCCCGTCTCATGGACCTGATCATAATCGGTGGGTCAGTTATCATTCTTTACTGCCGACATCCATTCCCACCCCTATGGTTGTGTTATAGTGTCTACTATACTTACAGCCTTTCTCAACTGTTCAGCCAATCTCTGTTTCTCACCCGGTGCATCAAAGTGAGAGATATCAATGGTTTGAATATCTGCCCATGGAAGATCGACACTTGTTTTTGCTGGCCGCTGCCATTTCTTCAAGGGCGGCAATGTCTCAGTCTCAGTAATGGCGGATGGCATAGTGATGGGTTTTTCAACGAGGATCTCTTCAATGTATTACGGAAACAAGTTATTCGAATTTGAAGCAAAAGGACCAACCTGGACTACGTCTAATCATACATCATACGTATAAGGGTCTGGAACTACATCGCTGATACACTATGCTCATGGGGTCGTTGGAGTTGAGCGATCATCCTGATACGAGGACATCCCGAATCACGCAATTGGAGATACGGATGGCGTATTGCGTTTCCAACATCCCCATTGCTCGCAAAGCACCATCGGTCGATGTCTCTCATTTTCTTTATGAAGATCATAGAGTCTGTCAAATACAACCGAGGTCGACTTTCTTGGAGAACTGTTCCTCTCATTGAATTTTGGCTGACATCTAGCAGGTGAAGACCCCTCCACCACCAGACTCTATGCCATGTCTTCGTTTAATGATCCCAAGTGAGGCTTATGATAAGTCTCTCTCCATTTGAAATTTATTTGGAAAGCAGAATGTCCAAAGACGAGAAACTCTTCTCAGAGCCCTTACTTCCGAATCGCATCTCTATCGATAGTCTCCGCAACGGCAAACAATTTCTCCTCCTCCAAATAACGGCCAACCAGCTGCAAGCTGATGGGGGCACCATGGAACAATTCAGGATCATAAATCTCATAGTTCTCCTGATCCCAGGTGTCGTTGACCGGTTTATATGTTGGGTCGGCCTTGTCGATGTTCTTGTCCACCTTGCCAACAGGCAAAGTGATAGCTGGGTAATTGAGTAGGTTCCACACGGAGAAATATCCCCACCATCTATGTGAATCGTGAGTTCAAAGGGTCGATTTTAAATAGAGGTGAGAAAGCAAGTAACTCACAATAACCAATCATGGGGGTAGCTCGCACAAGCCGAGCTGGGAGTTAGGATCGCATCCACGGGTTTACCGTTCGAGGTGAGCGATGCGGTCGATTCCCAGTGTTTCAAGTACGCTACTTGATACGCAACTTGTTGTCTGTGATTTGTCTCAATATCAGCTTCGATGATACAGTCGACAAGTCCATTGTTCTAACTACTTACGCCTGGAGACTCATCAATTCAGGCACCGACAGTTCCTTGAGTCCGGCAATCAGCTTTTCTGCGCCTGGAATCATTGGTTCGCCCGTCTGTGCAAGGAATTCCTTGTGTTGACGAGCGGCCGTAGGAAAGTACAGCGGTCTCTAAAGATTTCACCACCATATCAGTTCAGGTATCAATGTCTTCGATGGGAGAACTCCCTACCGTGATTTCCCACGAGTATCCGTGTTTGTAAGGTTTCATCTCAACGACTGTCTCCGAGTCAGGGTCGCGAATCAACACACACATATGATAGCATGATTCATGGTTGTATTTCGTTCCACTAACCTTCATGTCCTGCAGCTTTCAGCTTCTTGATTGTCTCACGCAACGCACGTTGGACAGGTGGGTGCGGCATGACAACCTCATCGAACGCGATGACACCGATGGTGACTTTCTTGGGCGGGTCCTGCTTGATCCAGGGCTTGGGCACGATTGAAGGATCCATGCGCCAGGGTTCATCGTCAGTCCAGGTCTTACAGATCAATTCTAGATCACGCAAGCTGCGACCGACTGGACCGATGGCAGATGGGATGGCGATCTGACCGGGAACGGGGACGATGCTTCCCAAATAACTGCACCGTCTTGATGATGGCTTGATGCTATAAAGTCCGTTAAAGGCCGCTGGTGCTCGGATCGAGCCTCCAATGTCGGTCGCAATACCGATCGGGCTGCCGTGGCATCCAACCAATGCTCCCTCACCTCCAGACGATCCTCCGGGGCTCAGCTTGCTGTTGAATGGGTTCAGTGTCCGTCCCCAGAGGTTGGATGTCGTCTCAAGCGCCTATCACACGTTAGCGGTCAGTCGTTCTGGCTTCTTGACATCGAAGACAAGGCTTGGGTCTGGCATACCATCCCTGTCTGCGGCATCGTGGTCTTGACATATACCACAGCACCGGCCTTGCGAAGGCTCTGCACGATCCATGCATCATTGTCCGATTTGCAGTCTCCCCAAACGGCGAAGCCGATCGAGTATCGCATCCCTTTGACCGCCGTCAAATCCTGACTTCAGGTTAGTCATTGCATCTTCAACCAAAAGACGGTTGGACAAGTCCCTACCTTCAAGCTCACTGGAAGTCCATGAAGAGGGCCCACGACCTGCCCAGTCTTTGCCAGGTGGTCATCTAGTTCAGAGGCTCGCTTGATGGCTCCTTCGAAGTCGATGTCCATAAGGCAATTGACCAATTGATGAGCGATAGCCGCACGTTTACAGAAGGCAATGGTGACATCCTTGGCCGACCATTCTTTGCTTCGAATCCGCTCGAGGATCTTGGTCACATCATCGGCGTCAGTGATTTCTAAATCTCGGTCTGACAGAAGGCCACAGCTCTTGAAGACTGGGTTGACGTCTAATGGTAGCGAAGATAGAGTCGGGGCAGGTAGCAGCCACTCCTTGGGGATTTTGGCCATTACAGCGCCCCGTGCTTCCTAGATGATAAAGATTGTCAGCATTTTTGTATGGTCTTTCGTGGAGAACTTTTGTTTACCTCTGATTTCTGTTGCCAAATTGGTGCCATTATTGGTTAATGTGTAGAGAACGAATATTTTGCCCGTCAAATCCCCCTGGTTGTATTCGATTTCGTTCGCTTATATATCAAACACACATTCAGCTTATCAGTCTCACAAGCCTACATCAGCTTTGTTCAGAAGTTCAGGACGATGTAAGGTGTTGAGTTTGCGCCGTGTCAGGTGAAGATGTAAGTAAATATTGAAAGTGGAGCCCCCAGAAACAGGGCTCAAGTTCACGAGATACATTCCGCCGAGTTGGAATCAATCGTTCTGGGCTGCCTCAAGCCCACGGTTTTTGGGAATTGTGTCTTGCATGCCAAGTCAAAATTCTCCATTGTCCCCGATATCAATCGCGGTCAAACAACACGCGGATTGGCGTCGATAGGGCCCGAGGGTCCAACGTCGACCCCCAGAGTCTAGCTCTCTTGGTACTGGCCGAGGCTAATTAATCAACGGCTCATGTCAACCCAACTGATGGAAAGAGAAGTCGAGGACGACGCCCCACCAAGTCCGCCTATTGGGAAGATTTAGGGTTTGCAAAGACAACGTACGGATAGGTGTACTTGAAGTCGGCTGGTTGGCCTGATCGGCCCCATCAACCGACGAACTCCGGCATCATAAAGTACCCTATGATACCGCATCTTCGCAGCGAGGATTCGAATTGGATGGTCTCTCGTAACGGGATTGTAATCTTCAAGCGCTAAGAAAACTTCCTAATTCATGCAACGAGGGGTGATAGAGAAGTTCGCAAGATTGACTGGTCGTACCAGCAGAGGTCAATGTTTCTATGTGGTCGTACTTGTGGGCTGGAATCCAATGGGGCAATCGCCTCTTCATACACCTCTAGGTAGATCTATGCTTAATCCTTAGTGTACGCCAAATTTAATAACACTTATAAGGTCGACTATGATAAAACACAGTAGTAACCGCGAGGGGCACTTTGTGACGAATCTAGCCTCCAAAGCCAATCAACCCAGCTGCTGCTAGGTCATAACTGTCTCCGCTCTCCCTAACCTCTGAATACAGTGGCTATTCGTATTCCATCGATATTGTCTAATACATCGGACAACCATAGACGGTCATAATCAACCCGATCAACTCGTTGCCGAGTTCATGGTCGCTCGATGCTGTCTTGGTTCTCTTGAGCAGTGGCTTTCTTTGCAGGCGTGCCCTGCTCCTCTTGCTGCTTCTCCTGTTCTGTTTGAAGTTGTCCTATCTCAATCTTTCCATCGAGCCTTGCGATCTCCTCGACCTTGGTCGGCACTATGACGTTTGCTTCAGAGAAGTAGTTGGTTTGCGGAACCTTCTTGAATAGAACCCAAATGATACAGCCGACGCCTACGGTATAACAACTTCACCAGCTGTCAGTACATTTGTTGCACGTATGAAAGGAAAGGGAGCACTAACCTCAACTGAAGAGCGGTTTGTCCATAGTACGGAACGCCCTGGGCAGCCATGATGAAGGAGACAAACATTCCCAAGCTAGACCAGAATTTGAACATTCCGGCAATCTTTGCCAGACGCTCCGGGTCGTTCGTGGTTGCAGCCAAAGTCCATTCAGTAGCCATCTGGTAGCCCGAGAAGCAAGCTCCAAACATGGTATAAACCACGAAAAGCCCTCCAAACTGAGGATCTGTCCAGTCCCAGGCAAATCCAGAGTCGGCTGAGTCTATATTGTTCACAGACAGCCAGGCCAAAAGTCCACAACAAGCTCCGATAGCGTTGGCGCCCATGACGAGTATACCAATCAGGCCGCGATTTCGTCGGCTTTTGATATGCTTGTTGTCCAGGATCCATGTCAAAAGGGGTGGGCAGACGAATTGTATGGCTTGGAAAGAAACGTTGTTCAGTGTTCGAGTTCTGAGGTTGAAACATCGTGCTAGAGGTCAATGTTAGAAAGGTTTCTGGTTTTTCATCGAAACGTCTTGACTCACAATTGACACTGCTGGCCAGGCCAAGTGCCATTTCACAACAGAACATGGGAATAGCAAGAGTCAGATATCTCGAATCGAAGAAAACCTTGACGACACCCAGACCCTCGGACGCAAGGGTCGGCCTCGAAAAGACAGCGAGATGAGTTCCGTCGTCACGAATCACCCTCCTTGGGTTGATGATGAAAAAGAACGCAATGAACATGGCGCAGGTCTGAATAGCCACATAAGTGGCATAAACAGGCGTGGATACTCCAACAGCTGATGTCTGATGGAAATTGGAGCCGAACGCGATGAGAGCGCCCGTAGTTGCACCTCCAGATCGGATGGCCCATTGCATGCTGATATACTAGACATTGATCAGACTATGCAGGTATACAAAGCAAAATTAGGACTTACCAAGCCTTTTCGGTGCTCCTCAGGGTAGGCATATGAGATGAATGATGCCGTGGTCCACAAGAACGCACTGGAGAAACCCAAGATCACGCCCGCGGCATATGCCAGAGCGCTGTTTCCAGTGCGGTCATAGAACCAAAGACCTCCAACGTAGAAGGGATACCCAAATGCGCCAATCATTAAACATATCTTGGGTGTCAAGATGTTCAAGAGCGACCCAACTCCCAGGGACATGACGGCGAAGATGGCATAGAGAATTGCATTGACGTTGTTGGCCACTGTTAAGGAGGACGGCTGCCCACCTCCAGCGCCCAATCCAGTAATTGCAACGTATATACCAGGAAGACAGAACAACATGCTGCAATGCCTTGTCAGTCGCCGTCAAGTTCTTTCATTGATTGACTTACAATCCGACCAGCATGTTCTGAATGATGGGTCGAGTGAGCCGAAATTTGGCCCTGATCCCTTTTGGTGCCATGTTTGCGGTGGTTGTGTGTTAGTTCAATTGCTAACCCTCCTTGAAAGACCTGATTTCGTTCAACCTTGATGGTTTTGTGTGGGCTTCAATGACAATGTTCCGACTTGACCAATACTTTATAGTCGTGTGAGCACCATATCGCCAATTGCATCCCCTGCGGTTACCTATCACCCATTGTTTCTTATGGAAGGCCAGGCCGATGGCTCTGACAGCTCAAGGAAGATAGGAGATAGACTCTATATCAGGAACATACAAGGAAGGTCAGGTCGACACGTGCAAAAGTCCTTCCATTTCCGTCAAAGGTAGTGATCCTTGTGAGTCTCTGGGCCGCCAAGATTTGTCTTCCGTCACCTTGACCTGAGGTTAGAATTTGTCAAGCTAAGATGTCGTTTGATGATAATGGTGGAGACAAGTCGTTCTTGGAAGGGGAGTTCAGGACGAAAAACTGGGTCCAACTTGTTTCCCGCTCGATCATTGGTCTGAATCGCGGGGAGGATGCCCGTTTGAGCCGAGCACGGATATGGTACCGCTGCCGTAGATCCATTTCCCTCCTCTTAGATCCATGTGCTCCACGATATGTCAAAACATCTCATGGGAGGCCAAGGAAAGGCATACGGCTTCCATATCCCGATGACAAGTCTGATTGTCACCCCAGGTTTGAACCCTTTCTCGTTCTGGGCTTCTCTTTGTAGAGTGCCATATTTCAGATGTTGACATGTTCACGAAAACTCGAAACGCTACCCCCAAGCGTTTGCTACAAAAGCCTGTTGGGGGAAGAATTGGTCTTTCTTGCACAAGCAGACCATCTTTCTCACTAAATGGTCCAATATCTATCCCAAAGACGCCATCACTTCCAGCTTCTTTGATATTTCAAACTCGCCATAGTCCTCAAAATGGTGGCTGATGTCTCTACGACATATGTCGGTTCAGCTCTTGCTGAAGCGCAAGCTCGATATGCAGAGCTGAACTCGCAGTCTCGAGAGGCTAACGAAGCCGCTCGTCAATCATTGCCCGGCGGTAATACCAGAACGCCACTTTACGCAACGCCTTTCCCCTTGACATTCAAGTCCGGCGCCGGTGCCACTTTGACCTCGTTAGACGGAGACACCTATCTCGATTTCTTGGGGGACTACAGTGCTGGCATTTTCGGTCATCGTGATGACCGTCTCGTCAAAGCAATCACAGACGCTCTTCAAAATGGCTGGAACTTGGGCGGCCACAATATGTATGAGAAGGAGCTGGCGGCGAAAGTGACCAGTCGGTTTGGACCCAGCGGCTTGGAGCTGGTACGCTTTACAAACTCTGGCACGGAAGCAAACACTTTGAACTGCGCTACGGCTCTCACATTCACCGGCCGCAAGAAAATACTCACCTTCAGCGCCGCTTTTCACGGCAGTACTTTCATGTTTCCCATTGACTTGATGCGGAAAACCACTGAAATTCCCACAAATCTACCCCATGAGTTTGTCATTGCTCCCTTCAATAACATACCTGCAACAAAGGATATCCTGGGCGACCTTCCCAAAGATAGTCTTGCAGCAATCATTGTCGAGCCGATTCAAGGCTCAGGAGGATGTCGACCAGCGTCGGTCGAATTCCTTCATTTCCTTCGGAACACAGCAGACCAGCAAAAAGCATTGCTCATTGTGGACGAAGTCATGGCATCAAGACTATCGCCGAACGGGTATTCCGCTAGTATTGGCCTCCGCGCAGATCTACTGTCACTGGGCAAGTATGTCGGTGGGGGAATGACCTTTGGAGCATTTGGTGGAAGACGCGAGATCATGGAGCTGTACGATCCGTCTAAATCCCGCTTACAGCATGGGGGAACCTTCAACAACAATGTTGTTACTATGGCGGCTGGTATCGAAGGTCTCAAAATCTACAATGCGAGCGAAGTAGACAGGCTCAATGCCAGTGGGGCGGAACTCAAGAAAACCCTGCAACAAATCCTCATTGACGAGGGGGTATACCGTCATCATCCTGATGGTGCTTCACGAAACCTGATCGAGGTCGACTTCATGACAGGCCCAAGCAAGGTACTACCAGACGACACCTCGCTTCCGCCATCTGAAAACCTCCCTCGCATGTTTGTCTCCGGGTTGGGCAGCATGCTGAACGTCCGCTTCTCTGGGCCACAAGCTCTTCTCTGGCAAGCGCTCTTCTATCACCATATGGTGCAGCGCCATATCTATCTTGCTCAAAGAGGCTATCTTCCTCTGAATCTAGAGTTGAAGGACGCTGACCTGACCCGTTTTGTCGAATGCTTCAAGGAGTTTGTGCTCAAGCATAAGCAAGAATTACTCTCCTGAAAGAGCTAGACGGGCAGCGCATGACGATGGTTGATAGTAACTTTAGTAAATAGGTGTTGACAAGGCCATGAAAAGGTGATCTAATAACTTCGTAGACAATCTTTGTGCATGAACATCTATCTGCGTTCTGGCGCAGTCGTGAGCACTCCGCGTAAATGGCTGTCATCCATGTCCACAAGGTGCCCATCCCTGCATTGACTCCACCCTTATGTCGGGCATATCAGGCATATCATCCGGTCGCACAGCTCCATAAAGGGACAAAGCCGTCGAAGTGGACACAAAGTTTCGTTATCGTTGGTGGAGAGACCGTCTCGGCCGTGTCGGTTGGCCTGCTATATCCCCTCAGCGCTTGGCTCGAAGGCCGAGGGGCGCCCTCGAGGCCCGGTCTCCACCAACCGTGGGCTGATCTCTGGCTAGCTCGCTGTCATTTGGAAATGCCCACCTTATCAGTCTCTCCTTCTCACTAACGCGGGCTGCTTTCATGATTATTCGATTATGTAGAACACGCGACCAGACAACAAGATCACTGGCTTTGCTCCATTACACAGCGTTGCTACCTCAAGCCAACAATGAAGTAGGATTAGCACATGCACGTGCTCCTCAAGCCGCTACTTCAAGCGATTACACAGAGTGATGCCCAAGCAAGTTCGTCGAACTTTCACTGCCTGTTGGACATGTCGCCGCCGCCGCGTACGTTGCGACGGCTCACTGCCTAAGTGTTATACGTGCGAGAGTCGCATGATACCATGTGACGGATACCGAGTTCACTTGGTGTGGGTAGATCCGCGGACAGGATCTTATCCACCCCATTCACGGCGAAGCCTGACTCCGGAAGACACATGGGCAGATGAACCCACCTTGGATGAAGTCCAACTCGATCACCTGGTCCAAACAGTCGAGAGTTCGAAATGCAAATGTCAGCTCCATCGGACTTTTCAGAACCCTTTTAACGTCATCCGTGCACAAAGAACAAAGCAAACCTTACTCACACCGCCAGTCTCACCGAGCCTTTCGATAGACAATCAGCTAGTTGCTAAGCCGCAGGGAGATTGTCAACCGGCGGAGAACATGCTCTTCCATCATTACGTGCATCGAGTGGCATGGCTTATGATTCCGATTGACGGAGTCCGGAATCCCTGGAAATCTACATATCCAGCTATCGCCCTTCAGAATTCTTCTGCCGCCACAAGGAGCCTTTACCACGCAATTCTTGCCCAAGCTGCATTCAACCTTTCCAACTTGCACGCATCTGACCCTGATTATTCCCGAGAGTCTCATGAACACGGACTTAGACACTATGGGATTGCCTTGCGAGAGCTCCGAGAAAGTCTTGAGATGCCGGCCCAGAACTACAATGCAAGCGTAGGAGCTGTCATCACGCTTGCAGTAATTGAGGTAGGAAATTCCAAGCCAGCCATGGTCGCTTTACAAACTGATATCTTGCTAGGGCGTCTACGTCGCGAAGAAGCAACGATGGCGACGCCATTTTGACGGTGCTTCGGGCATCATCACGCAATTCATGCACGATAAACCGTGGACAGAATGCAGTGATGCCTGGGTCATCTCTCAGAGCCTGGCTTTGTCCTTTGAGGTCGGAAAGACAGGCTCCAAGACAGCTGACGGTTACTCTCCTCTCACTGGCGACCTTCTTGGGGCAGTCTCAGGTCAGGAGTTCTTCGGCTACACAATCGGCGCATACAGTAAAGTGATCAATTCCATCTCAGCCATTCGATTGCTTGGGGAGGAGCTTTCGCGAGGCCAAGTGTCGGAAAATTTGGATGCGAGGGCTGCGCGAGTCCTGAAGGATCTCTCAGACGTCACAGACGATACAGCGCACATTGAAGTCGAGGAAGTCGAGGATGACCCCAAGTCTCCTTCTCGTCAAACCAACCGCCGAAGCGAGCAAGAACGTCGGGAAGACCGACTTTATAATCTACATTTCAAGATCTTCCGCAATGCCGGCCTCATCTATCTTTATCGCACCATCTTTGATGCAGCTCCCTATGTGATAGGCGATTTCATCACAGCCGTCTTGAGCGATGCGATGGAGTTTCTGGACCTGGAAGGGGGTAGTATTTCGATCTGGCCCGTTTTCATTGCCGCAGTCGAGGCTTGCAAAGAAGAAGATAGGGCTATGGTTCAACGGTGGATTGAGTTTTCTTGCAAACTCGGCATCCAAAATCGTCTTGTCGCACGCAAAATCATACAACATGTCTGGGAGGCCAGGGACTCAGAGGCGTTAAGTCACGGACGCGATCCAAGCGAGGTTGTTATTGACTGGCGAGATGTCCAGGAACAATTAGGATTTGATATCCTCCTTTTATGACCTAGGTTATACGGCGGTTGGGTTATAGGTCTCATGTCTAAGATATGAGTAATTCTAGACTCCCAGAAAACGCACTTTGTTCCAAAGAACTAAGAAAATGTCGAATATTATGATCTATAGAATCTTCCGTTTATTTTAGTCCTCATTCAGGCTTGGGTCTTAAACTCCTACGCTAGTCGCGGGGAAGCTGCCGAATATATGCTTACAAATTCCCTTGATTCACAATCGATATATCGATCAAAGATTCGCCCAACAGGCTGGACACATTGCCCGAGCCTGATATTGTTGTCAAGCATTTACATAGCTTAATTGGGCAACATAGCATTTACAGCCCAATCTGTTTGATGTTGGGGCTCAGGAAGTCCGATATCACTTGAGGTACTCCATATATCGTAATGCATCTGGGATAGGCTAGGGTCGTAGAGATTAGGCATCAAATCTGCCAGTAGGAGATTCCCGGCGTCATAAGTAGCGAATGCGTTGGGATCAGGCATGTTCGGAGCTGTTCGAGTGTCCGGTGGACTCTTCATAAATTCTTTTTTAGGCGGATCAAGAGGAAGAAGAACAGAGAATCGTCTCATCATGTCTCTGTCGGCGGCGCTCAGTTCGCCTCGTTTTAGATGTTTGCCTTGTCTGATGGCGTGCAGGAGCGCTGTTCCAGAAAACATCATCAGAATAAGTTGACCGTGTTTCTACGGGTATTCGCTTACCAAGTCCCCGAGTTCCTAGCTTCCAGTATTTTGAGTAATGCGTTAGCATGAGTTCGACTAGCCCACCAGCCTGGGGATTTAGGTCTGGCGACAGAGCGCGCAGTGTCCCAGGGACAATTAAACAGCAGGACATGATCGGGTTGCTCCGTGGTATGTATTCTGGTGACCACACCTGTCCGATGTTGACCAGGTATGATCGCATGCGATTACCTGTGGTCTGAACGTCTTGCTCTCCCATGCTAGGGTCTGATAGTCTTGCGAGTATGGTTTCACATCTACTGTTGATCAGTTTCAAACGTCAATTGTCAAGGAGTTCCCAGCATATACATACGCAATGATCATCAGATGCGTAGAAACGATCCAGTTTCCATTGACAAAATTGCTTTTGTCCATGTATAGATCGTGAAGGTGGAAGTTCGTTGGGATTGCAAGTTTGAGGCAGCATAGCGCAGTCTGCAAGTCTGCCGTTTGGCTGGGACTAGTCTTATATGAAGTTTGACGGCCTGCCAGAGCGGCACAGGACATGAGGTAATTGCTGATGAGAAACCAAGCGCGATGGCACTGGTTTTTGGAATTTTCTAAGCTCCTCCATAATGAGGAAAGCCGATGGTCCAGTACCTGAGACTCGGTAGGAATGCCGGAAAACCAGTCGTCGTCAGAAACTGGTAGGAACACATCCATCGGGCCTCTTGCGATTGCATATGGCTGGCGAGAGAGTGTGGCGACAAAGGTATCAAGTTCCCAAATGCTCCACCAGATCCGACGAAGCTCTTCTCGTTGTATCCAGGCCTCCGGATACGTATCAGCATCCGATGACGAAATTCCATCTACTCCGTCCACACCAAGGTCGTAGGCAAATCGAACGCACACTGAAGTCAGCGGAGAACCCAGGGAGAGCTCTCCTGAATTCAGGTGGTAGAATGCTAGGAGAATGCATCCTTTGACAAAATCAAGGCTTGGTGTCTCAATGTTCTTCATGACCGCTTCTTTGACGCTGGCGGCTGCAGTGGCAAAACTGTTGCCTCTGGTGAGGTTCGACTCGTTACAAAGAATGGGGTTTTTGGAAAATCGAGCTGAAAGAGAAAATATTGCGTTGATCATGAAAATTGCATCATCTGTACAATTCGTGCTCTCAGTCAAGGACTTTGTCCCAAGCTCGGACGTCATGAATTTTTGGTAGAAAGAGGGTCGGTGGATAATAGGAACCCAGCCATGAACATTTTCAAAAAATAGTTCGATCCTAGTAGTAGAAATAAGCCACCGTGGGACCTTTGTTCATATATAGGCTTGGAACTTACAGCTCATTCGCCAAATTTGTTGGGATATGCCATCCGTTGTCCTTCTGCTCGACATCAATGTGACAAGGCGCTGAATCCTGATTGAGAGTCCTTTTGTTATTAGTTTGGGCTAGGCGTGACCAATCTGAGCCACCGGGGCTCATATCATTGGGTTCCATTCCGGGCGTGAGTGGATAGGCATTTGTTGTAAAGTCATAACCTGCCTGTGTCTGCCAGCCATTATCCTCACTCCATCCATGATTTGAAGGTACCGACACCTGATCTGAACGAATATTAGCGCAAATGTTGATAAGTGTATGAGATACCCTAATCTTACTAGATGAAGGTGATGTGGCCTCGGTAGAGCGGGTCACTGAGTCTAACGATCTAGCTGAAGTATCGACACAGCTAGTTAATATCAACTGTTCCTTACAGGAAGATTGACAGTATAGGACTCACTATGAGGGGATGTAGCGGCGGTGATAGCAGCAGTGATAGAAGATGATAGATCCTCGGTAGCTTTAGTCGGTTTGCCACTTCTGTGGGATGGCTTCTGTCGCATGCGAAAAGTACACTTAGTAGCTGTTCGCCGACATAGTCCACAACTGGGCCGACCCATATCACCTGTAAAAGCCGAGTCAGTAGCAGCTATGGATCCGTCGTTCCATGATCAGCTTTTCCACCTACATTTCACTTTCTTCCTGTTGCATTCTTGGCATGCCCGGTTGATCCTAGGGAGATAACCGTCAGGGGGAGGTGAGGAACTGCTCTGCCGAAGCACCATGGCTACCACATGTGAATACCTGTCGGTTGGCTCAGTAGAATTGTACACGTCTCATACTGTCGAAGGCTAGTTTACTGAGGCAATGAAGAGGAAAACAAAGCCTGAAATGCGGCAACGTCGGAGACTATCCTTTCACCGTGGTAGATGCCAAGTATCTGGGGGAAAGACCGCGAGAAGGCGGGGAACCTGGAAAGCCTGGAAGAAAATTTGGGGTTTGGGGATGGCTGTTGGTGTCAGCATACTTGACATTACAATGTATATTCTATCCAAGAGGCCTTCCTTCAGTCCTGGGAGTCGGAAAAAAAAGTGGTTCGACTTGACCCGCAATATTGAAGTCTTGGTCAGTGTGAGGACACGATTCATCCACCAATGGTGCTCTCAGATGATTACTCCGTATTTGTCCTTTGCGACGAGGACAGGTGGCTGAGGATGAGACTTCACCGACCCAATCATTCAATATGTACCCCAGAGATTAAGGGAATCGACCAAGGAAATCGACCACATATAATCAGCCTAGCTTGTTGTAATGACCGTAAATTAGCAATGCCGGTATCATTCTTCATTGGCTGAAGCGTCATTGCCGTACCCACTTGTCCCACATAGTATCGTTGGGACAGCATCTGGCATCGCGAAACACTCGAAGAGGAGGTGGGACGTGAGATACCGGGGATGAGAATTGATTTATTAAACTTACTGCGTCCATAATGTGACATTGTTTGCAGGGTAACTCTGACAGCATCGCCATGATGGACGTAAGACCTTCCACAGTTGCATTGCTCGCCATTGTGGCCGTGATTGTATACTTCCTGCTCTCGATTGGTAGAAGGGACCCCAGGTTGCCCCCAGGTAAGACATATCCAAGGTTGGTGTTTTGTGATCGAGTCGTGTACATTTTTGAGAGATAGGTGCTGATGAGAGTCCAACAGGACCGCCCACAATCCCTCTTCTGGGCAATTTACACCAGGTGCCACCGTCCGGGGCTCATTTCAAGTGCGTCTCATCCTCTTAGCCTTGAGAGGAAGCATTGCGTGGCTAACATACTGTAAACCCTACCAGATTCACAGAGTGGGCAAAGAAATATGGAGGCGTCTTTTCTCTCAAGCTCGGTCCTGGCACAGCAATTGTTGTCAGTGACCGGCGTCTGGCGCGAGAGCTGTTGGACAAGCAAAGCGCCATTTCAAGCTACCGGCCAACATCATATCTAGCTCAAAAGCTCATAACTGGTGGCGATCACTTACTTGTCATGGACTATGGCCCACGTTGGAGATCGATGCGCAAACTGGTCGTTCAGGAATTCAATGAAACAGTCTGCGAAAAGCGATACATTGGGCTGATCAACGCAGAGGCCAACCAGATGTTGTATGATATGGTTTCTGAGCCCTCAGGCTACATGCAGCATCCTGGGAGATTCAGTAATAGTATCATCATGAGTCTTGGTAGGACACTTCCCTCATTCAATGCAGCACCTCACCAGCTCAACTGACCATTTTTTGTAGTCTTCGGCACTCGAACACCCAGCATTGAAACACCACATATGAAAAGGCTTTATGAACTCATGGAACACTGGTCCAAGGTGTTGGAAATCGGTGCAACGCCACCAGTCGACTTCTATCCCTTCCTGAAGTGGGTTCCAGAGCGCTTTCTAGGCAACTGGGTGTCTCGCGCCACTCAAGTTAAAAATGAGATGGACACTCTCTACCGTGATCTCGTGGAAGACGTTGTCAAGCGAAGAGATGCCATCGGTCCTCGTGCATCGCTCACAGACAAACTTATTGAGAACCAGGAGAAGTATCAATTGGAGCCTCATCAGCTTCATTTCCTCTCCGGAGTTGTGCTCGAAGGAGGCTCTGATACGACCGCTGGGAGCTTGCTAGCATTTATCAAAGTCATGACATGCCATCCGGAAGTGCAAAGGAAAGCACAAGCTCAAATAGACGCTGTCATTGGCGAAAACCGGTCCCCTCAATGGTCTGATTATGATAAACTCCCATATATCATGCAGGTGGTCAAAGAATCAATGAGGTATCGTCCCATCGGTGGATTGGGAGTTCCCCACGCCATTTCAGAGGGTTAGTCATTCACTTGTTTGCGCTTTATGCTGAGCCTTACATAATGGATAATCGTCCGACTAACGCTGGTGGCGCAGATACCTGGCTCGAGGGCATGTTTTTGCCCAAGGGCAGCATGGTAATGTGGAATGCCTGGAGAATGCATCTCGACGACAAATATGTGACAGACCCTGAGATATTTGATCCTGATCGATTTGAGGGTCGAACGCTACTCGCGCCTGAATATGCTACTTCCAATGATTACGCGGCTCGCGACCACTATAATTATGGTAGGGTCCATCTCGCCCTCTTTCTGCCCCACTTTTGACTTGCGCTGACGGCATTTTCCTCTCGTTTAGGGGTGGGTCGAAGGCTGTGTCCAGGGATTCATCTGGCCGAGAGAAACTTGTTCATCAGCGTCGCCAAACTGCTGTGGGCATTCAACTTTGAGAAGCAGGTGGATGAAAATGGTGCGGTTATCGAACCGGATATGAACTATGGAACGGGATATAGTGAAGGGTTCATTGTTTGCACCAAAGATTTCCCGGCCAAAATCACTCCCCGCTCCGAAAAGAGAGTTGAAACGATTACGAGGGAGTTCAAACAGGCGGAAGTGGAGGTGTTTCCTCAATATGTTTAGATCAAGGACGGCAGCGGGGGAACTCCTTGAGGAGATACATACACATATATTACCAGAATCTAACCGACTCCAGTAAAAACACTGTCAATGAATTCCTCATCAAGGTCGTTGTGGGTGGCATGTTATGTGAGTTTGCCAATACCGTTGCGTGGCTATCCCACCCCGCGTGTCCCGCCCTGTAATGGTCGGTCATCACGGTCATCACGGGAAATGGCACATTGCTCGGCCACCGTGAATAACACGACTCGGCATGTTATAGGTCACCCGGCCTCAGTCACTGGCTGAGCCCACATGCTGACTACCAACAAGAGCCGTGACACCGAATGTGGTATGCATTCATGGGCCAAGGCACTGTTCTGGACTCCTCATAAAGGTCAACGCGATCAGTGGGTTCACTGTCTTTTGATATTTTAGCCTACAGAAGTCTCTCTGACCAGCTAAAGTACTCCATCGCAGATCATTTATTGCGCAAGGTTTCTCGTCTTCCCAACATGGTACGTCTCGTGTCGTTAGTTAAAGACATTGTTCTCATACTTCCCAGGTTGTTAATCATGATGTACCGGTTTTGGTGGTCGGAGGCGGCCCAGCTGGCATGCTTGTAGCACTGCAGCTGTCGAAGAACGGCATCCCATGTCTAATGGCCGAGCGCAATCTAGATACGACCAAATGGCCCAAAATGGATATCACCAACGCCCGGAGCATGGAACTTTTGAAGCGCTTGGGTATCGATCAAGGTCTTCGAAGCGTTGGTATGTGTAGTCCATCCTTCTGCAATGCGTTTGCTAACATGCTCCTCCAGGTGTGGCCCAGAACTACAATTTCGATGTTTTGTTCAGCACTGGGCTCTCTGACGGCGGCCACTTAATATCAAAATGGGTGAGTGCTTACCCTCGATTATCGGCCAATGCCCATAAAGAATGTGTCGGCTTAATCATTATCCCAGGACCTTCCCTCCCCTGACGCATGGCGCAAAAAGATCGCCGAAACTAATGACGGGTCTATGCCACGTGAACCATATCAACGCTGCTCTCAGGCGATTTTCGAAGCATGGCTGAAACCTCGCATCGAGGCGAATCCTTTGATTACGACCAAATTTGGATTGAAGTTTGAAAGCTTGGTTGAGAGCGAGGATTCGGTGACTAGCACTTTGGTCGACCAGTCCGGGGAAAAACACATTGTCAAATCGTCCTATGTTGTTGGCTGCGACGGCGCCGGAAGCAAGGTACGACATAGCCTTGGAATCAGCATGACTGGCGGTCCTGTGTGAGTTTATTTCGATACCGCTTTCTTGGTCCTGTCAATACTAATTGTGGCTAGACCTGGGGCTATGTACCTTATACATTTCAAATCGAAAGATATGGATCGCCTACATCGCCAAGGACAATTTTGGCACATTTTCTTCACATCTGGCCATGTCATCATCTCTCAGGATGAGAAAGACACCTGGACGCTACATATCCCGGTTCCGATCACGACTAAGGTCGACGACATGGACCCCATGCAGGAGATCGCAAAAGGTCTTGGAGCTGAAGGGGCACCGTTCCCAATCACAATCGACAAAATTTTGGTCACGAGTATCTGGAGACCTAATATCTACCTAGCGGACCGATACGTGTCTGATCATTGTCGAGTGTTCGTTTCTGGCGACTCGGCCCACCAGAATGTCCCAACTGGAGGCTACGGAATGAACACCGCTGTAGGGGACAGCTTTGACATTGGCTGGAAGTTGGCAGCTGCTATCCGAGGATATGGCGGCCGCCCTCTGTTACAATCATATGAAGACGAGCGTCGACCTGTAGGAATGAGGAACATTGACCGGTCAGGCGCACATTTTGGGGTGCACTTTGCCTACATTGTGTGGTGTGCGGAGAACAAAGGAGTAGTCACATCCGACTCAGAGGAGGGAAAAGCTTTGAGAAAGAAGATTGCAGACCATGTTCAAGAGAAAGACGACGAGAACAAGGACCATGGCATCGAGTTCGGCTTCCGCTACAAGTCGACAGTGATCGTTCCTCCCGAGGATGGCGAAGTCGAGCCCAAATGGTTGGAGAAACACTATGTTCCATCGACCTGGCCAGGTGCTCGCGCGCCGCACGTGTTCCTCAAGGACAAGACGACCAGCATTTTCGATTTGTTTGGTCAAGGACCTGAATTCACCTTGGTCGACTTTACAAAAGGAGGCGACTATATCAAGCGGTTCCAGCTGGCCAAGTCATCGAATAACTCATCGATCCCCATCAAGTTTGTGCATTTACCAGACGAGTCTCACGCGCACAAGGTCTGGGAAAGAGACGCGGTATTGATCCGACCAGACGACCATGTCGCATGGAGATCGAGTCCCAGTATTGGCCTCGACGTCGACGCTGCTGAAGTCTTGGCCATCGTAACAGGAACTCACGACAGTTCGAACAAGGCATCCACCAAAGCTGCAGAGGTGACCAAGTTTACATCAACAATCGGCAACGTACAGCACAACCAGGTGGAGTCATTGGCCGAGTTCCAGAAATAGTTTGTTGACTAGAATCAACGTTTGACGAAGGGATCGCTGTGGCTTCGGAAGATTATTGCAGACCTCAAACATAGAGCAAGGTTGATGTAAATGCGAATGTAGAACCTTGACTAAGCAGCCTTGGTCTATGAAATGAATTCCTATTGAAGGATGTTGGGTATCAAGTTTCGGTCCCTTAGCCTGTCAATTCCCGTACCAAGATTCTTGGAATTCTCACGTAGCGGCATGCTCTCACATGGCCGCATGCTTACTCAGACATTCAGGCTGTGTAATTTCTTTTGCATATGGCACTCTGGCCGAAAATGAATCTCCGAATTGTGGGGCTTGCAAGGGTTGCTGATAACATCATCTAGTCATAATTCTCGTCGTAAGGGCTGTACATGTTAATCCCATAGAAATCCGACGATCTTTCGCCACTTCGGAAGCTTAGGCTCTGGTTCGATATCCCGCTGGGCTCTCTCGATAGCTTCAGCCAAAGGAATATCCATCAAATTGATAATCTTAGTTCGTTTGTAAAATTTCCATACGAGATATGCAGTCAGAACGAGAGGGATATCGCTAGATGAAGTTGTTAGATGCACCCCAAAAAGGAAGCAGAGATCTGCAGATTGCTTGCTTACAGATATGAAGCAATGAAGTTACTGGTCGCCCAATTGCCTCGAGTGAAAACTTGCCACCCTGCGGTGAAAAGAATGATGAGGACTAGAGCCAAGGCTGCTGGGGTCGAGAACTCTGGTGGCATGGTTAGCGGAAACGGGCATGTGAACTGGCTGCACGTGGAAATGCCTACCAGTCCATCTGTTGTGCCATGGCAAATTAGACAATGGAATCTGCTGCTTCTTCATGGCAGCAATCAGTCGCCAGTGATTGAGGAGGACAGTGCTCCAGGAGATCAAGACGCCACAAGCTGTCAAATCGACGAACCACCAAAAGACAGTCATGGCGCCTTCAGACAAGCTCATGAAGGCGAGAAACATGAAAAGAGTGTTAAGGAGGACACAAACATATGGAACGCCCCAAGATGTGGTCCGAAGGAAAATCCTCGGTGCCTGATTTTTCAAGGCGAGGCCGTATAACACTCTTGTTCCTGACAGCAAGGCTTGATTCGATGAAGACCAGGCGGAAGTAATGACAATGGCATTGACGACAGAGGGTACTCCTCTCAGACCAGCAGCACTGGCGGCTAGGACAAATGGACTTGTGGCTGCGGTGCCGGAATAATCTCCCAACCTCGGATCGTCGCTGGGTACTAGCATGCCAACAATCAAAACCGCTAGCATGTAGAATGTGGCCACACGAATGAAGACTCTTTTACAAGCCTTTGGGATGACGACACGGGGATTCCGAGTCTCTGCAGCAGCCATTGCGATGCTTTCGGTACCTGCAAAACTGAAGACAGCATTGCTCATGACGGACCAGTAGCCTAGAAATTTGCCCCAATTGCCAGTGCCCACATACTCGACGAAGGGACCGGGCGTTTTCCAGTACCTGAAGCCGATTCGAGGAGTTCCAGGAACTCCTCCAAGATTGATGACCAGACCAAGGAGGATCAAGAAGATGATGAAGAGGATTTTGAGAAGCGCAAACCAGAACTCAACTTCACCATATATTCCAATGTAGGAAATGCCGACGGCAAAGGTGAGGGCGATGAATATGACGATCCAGAGGGAGGAGTTAATATCGGTCCAGTATGAGAAAAGCACACAGACGGCACTGATCTCGGCGGGGACAGAAAGCAGATTGCCATAGACAAGATTGTATCTGAAAATATCAGTTGGACGGGGTTCTCAAGGGACACGGGACATTCAGTTACCCGATGGCAAATCCCAGGGCGGGATCGACGAGGAGTTCGGTATGGCGAACGAACGATCCAGTGACAGGTAATAAGGCAGCCACTTCTCCAAGAGCGAATTGAACGGCGCAAACAATCAGCCCTATCGTCAGATAACCGAGAAGAGCGCCGAGAGGCCCTGCAGTTTGGATGGAACCTCCAAGGCCAAGAAACAGACCGGTGCCCTTTCAATCATTAGCAGCAGTCTTGAAGGAGGTCTCAAAAATACTTACAATGGCTCCGGCAATAGCGATCAACGAGATATGCCGCTGATGAAGGCCTCTCCGCAGATCTGTATCTTCGCTATGGGTGACAAAGTCGCCATTATGAAGGTACCGAACGTCCTGATCCTGGGGAAGAATTGACTGGGCGGTGGGTGATGGCGGTTTGTTATCGCCCTGAAGAATTGGCTCGTGAGAGCGCAAAGAGGGCGCCATCACTGACGATGATGAGGGGCCAGGGGAGGAGTCCCTAGACACATCAAGAGACGTGGTCATGCCGGCGTCGATAAGGCAAATATAATGCGACGCGAAGACTGTCGGTGGTTTAATTGTCGACGAATGACGTGCTTCGTGTTACATCTTTGCCCATGTGGCGTTGGTCTGGACATGCAAAATGACTGGTCAGTAAACGATCCTTGAAAACTTTGTCCGAGCTTGTTGTTGACAAAAGCCGTTAAGGCTCTGTGGGATGTGAGTTAGGGCTGACTTAGGGATTTGAAGGTTACCTTTGGCGTTGCAAGCGAGCCATGCGGAGGTTGCGCTAGGGGTTTAGAGGGTGGGATCGGGCCAGCTTATCTCCCACATTCTCTGGCACAATGTCACCTAAGCACAAGGAAGCAGCCGCTTTCCGTGCTTGTTGTGCTTGATCGACAGGGCGCTAACAGAGGTGAAGGATCGACGCTTGAGTACCATTGCGGCCTGGTACTTTCTCCAGCACCATAGATTTATTATGGTACATCCATACATATATCATCGAGGCATTAGTCCTCCTCGCAGGTAGTATCGTCACCGCATTCTTATCAATATGTAGCCAATAAGGCGTTGCTGCAAGTATATATGTTGTCTCAAATATGGCAACCTCAACTAGTCATCTCATCGAGTAATCTATCAAGGACAACAATAGGCATTCATAGGAAGACAATCTTGTTCAATCATTCGAGTATCCATACAAAATGATATTCTTATGCCAATTTAACTCATCAGATCTAGGGAGACAGTTCGATTCAGTTAAATTGTGTCGACCGCTTCGTTCCATCGACTTGCTTCTCCCAGGGCTCCATATTCTTAAGCCAGTTCTCCATAGTAGGATGCGGAATCTGTCCGGGTTCAAAGAGACCTATTTTACCCATTCCCATGTCAGTCTTTGCAAATTTGGCGCCCAGCTCCCTCGAACTCCATCCAAGAATGCACAGATCAGATAGCACAGGGCAGTAGCCAGAAGATCTCAAGAGCTTAGCACGCACCGGCCTTCAAGAACGAGTTGTCTGGCATCTTCTCCGACTTTATCCATATGCCACAGCCACAATTGTCGCACCAAGCCCTCTCCATGGGAGTGCCACTATCGCTTTTCATGATATATGTTCTTGGGCTCGGGCTCGAGGTGTGGATGTCTTTCGTCTGGACGAAGAGATGTGCCGAATACCTATTTCTCATGACAAATCCTTTGTGGTCAATACAGCTCCAGAATATATTATGACCTAAGGGAATCACCATCTTACATTGACCCAGCCCATTTGCGACAATCAATGCAATCTACATGGTCTTTGTCAACTCGTGGCCTTTGACTCCGGGGAGTTTCTAGCCGACCTACGGCACAAGTTCATCTCGGTGGGTTTGGGGATGGTGTATACATGTTGGCCACAGAGGCATCTACCTGTAATGGAGGCTGCCATGGGTTTTCTCCAAAGGCCCAGGGAATGTATTGTTTCAAAAATGAAGAAAATGCATTGGGAGTAGAACACAAGACAGCGTGTTTCTCCTTCTCGCAGCTTGTGTTGTTTGAATTTCGATTCATGACGTAACCTTCGCACCATCTAGGAACAAGACCGGACAATACATGCTATTCTTAACGCGAGAGAAGTCTGTTCGAATAGAGCATAACCATCTCCAAGAGCGTTTCAAGTCTCCTTCCACTCTCAGTGGGGTCTGATTCGTAATGTCATGACTTTTGTTGGAATGTTCACTATTTAGTGTTCAATATCGCAAATAATACAGTTGAGAGAGAAAAAAGAAACAAGAAAATACTGGATCTCGGCGATGCGTCGGTCTGGCGTAATTGGCCAAAGAGGTCACTATATACATACGGAGTAGTTGAGCATCCGCACAAACAGTCTAGAACTTTGTGCATTGTTGTCCCAGCATCACCCACTCCAGTATGAGGCTGTGTCATACTTAGTGTTTGGCGCCATCAAAGTCTCGCGGAGCATTGCCCCTGACCGTATGCTTAATCCGTGGACAACCACAACAATCGAGCCATCGGCAATGAGGCACTGCCCGTGCGGCTCTGAAAACTCTGATTAATCCTAGATATCTCGATATCGAAGGTCTTTGGGGTATTTTAGAGTAGTATGGCTTGCAGATAAAGTATGACCTACGATCTGAACGTGGCTGAACATACCACTCCGGAGTCTGTGTGCTCGTGTCGCCCCTCTCGCTATTGAATACGCACGGCCCGTGTCTATGCAGAATTCGTCTGTGCTGAGGATTTAAACTCACGACTTTCCAGCTCAACAATCTCTCGCACTCTAGAATGCATTGGCCGGCAGTTCTTCTCATCTCAGCTAAAATCACATGCACCCCTGGCCTACGCCAGAAAAACATGGCTGACCATTCTATCGGTATCTGGTGACGTGAACCACTAGACCGACCCACCTATACTTATGTATAAGCCTTCCATGGCTGCTGTGTTGCGCCTCTTTTCGTCGATTCCAGTCGGATCTTGACCTATGCACCGCCAAAATGCCGGATGATCGTAGTATCCAGGCGTCCAGGTTGCAAGTCCTGATCGTCGGCGGCAGTCTAGGAGGCCTTGCGACTGCTATAGCCCTGAGGTCCCAAGGCCATGTTGTCACGGTTAGTACGACCTTGGAGCTGAGAGAGATGTGCTGACGGTTGAAACAACAGATATACGAGCAAGCCGGCTTCAACGACACTCGTGGCGCCGGTATCACACTTTTCCCAAATGCTTTATCTGCCCTTCGAGACCTAGACGTGGAGCTCAGTACCATTCGGGCCTCCAAAGTCAAACAGGTTAGCCCTCTGTCCTCGACCCCGAAGACTCTCTCTCACCCGGTGGTCCAGATCACTCGAACGAACCTCGATGAAGGCTGTGAGGCTCCGAAAACTGTCAACGTCAAGCTTGACGAAAGCAGTTGGGTAAGGTCTTCAGAGGAAGCTCCTCAGACACCTTGTTGACAATTGAATAGATGTGGCACAATGCCACATATCACGACATCCTAATCGCCCTGCGCCAGAAGCTCAACGATCCCAAATCACCTGGACCAAAAGCTGAAGTTCGGACGTGTGCACAAGTCGTCAAGGTTGACCCATCACATGGTGTCATATTCTTCGCAGATGGATCACAGGCACATGGTCACATAATCATCGGTGCTGATGGCGTGCATTCTGTCTGTCGACCATATATCCCTCAGGGCAATAATCAACGGTTTCGTATCCAGCGAGGGGTGTTCCGGGCGCTCATTCCCAGAGAGACACTTCTTGCTGACCCCAAAACATCCAAGTTCGTTGAGCAGTTGGGACACGCAATCTGCTACAACCTAGAGGAGAGAAGTTTACTGGTGTTCCCGGCATCCGAACACGAGAACATCTGTGTGAAATTGTTGTATGATGATCATAAAGGATTCAAAAGCCTCTGCAAAGACTGGAGAGAGCCGTCGAGCAGAACCAAAATGCTTCGGATCGCAGCTGGACTCCCGGAAGAATGCATCGCGCTTTTGGAAAAGATCGAGGCCCAGAACCTGCAAGATCAGCCTATATGGGACATGGACCCTCTCAGCAACTTTCATTCTCACCGTCTTGTACTGATGGGTGACGCTGCACACCCCATGCCCCCTTATTGCGGCCAGCGTGTTGCAATGGCTATTGAGGACGCCATCGCGCTGGGCACTGTACTAGACCCAGAGGTCAGATTGGAAGAATTGGAGGAGCGCTTCAAGCTTTATTCCACCACGCGCAGCACACGGGCCGCTGCGGTCCAGCAATTTGTCAGAGGGTTGAGTGAGTTGGACATGTGGGGTGGCACAAGCGGATTCGATGGTGAGTCAAACGCCGAAGAGCGCTTCTATCAGTCAGTATTGGAAATACTAACATGCCACTAGCCACTGCATTTCGAACATATATATTGGGACACAATGAGAGGGACCACATGACCCAGGCTCTGAGTTACTGGAAAATGCAAAAGTCACTGCAGCAAGATATCAGCAAGGTTGCGTCCAACGTCACCAAGCCAACTAACAGAACTCCGGACAATACTCCTCAACCTAAGATTGCACCTGTGCGGAGGAAGTCTTGGTTCTCAAAATTCTTGCCTTCAAAGCAGCGTCCTATTGTTGCACTTGTGGGAACATGATGACGAGGGGTTATTGTAAGATAGGTTATGGTTGATTTTGAGATCTTGAGGCTAGACTTCGAGCATGTATGATATGTTCTGTATTGGCCCAGGGAGATATGGCTTTGATTGAGGAAGGATATACTCTCGGCCTAATGGATGCGGCAAGGTGCATATTTTGTGCGTCGGTGTTCTAATGATGATAAAATTGATAGACCGTCGTTCCAATGGTCTTTGCTAGACCTGGCGGCATCCTCACTGGCCTCTTACTTTTGGTGAACATTGCGCAGGTATTGATCCCTACGAAGATAGGCTCCTAGCAGAGCTTGAGCAGAGCTTGCGCAGCTAGAAAGGGGGTCAGCAGCCACAACACAAGGTATTGGTCAGAGATACTCTTCAGGACTGGTATACTCGTCAGGACTGTGACTTATACCATCACGACACCTAGCAAAAATCATGGCTGTGGGTACGATTTTTGATGTATAGACACTTGTCGATGTCAGCAGTAAATTGTAACAGATCGTGATCACCTCACCTGTCATGTCCGATGAAACTCATCATTTCGACCGAGCTTCCCAGTTCTTTTGCTGACTGACGAACACATTCAACCATTGACTCGTCGAAAAATTCTGCCGGAGAATTCCAAACTGGTAGCATTTCGAATTTTGTACGCGTCTCGGCTTGGATTTTCTCAAAGGATTGGCGGAGCGATGCCTCCAGATCATCCATATCTGCGTCTGATGGAGCCCGTAGATCAAGACTCAGTTCTGCCTTTCCAGCAATAGTATTCATACTTTGAGGGTCTGATTTGATTGTGGAGACTGTAGCCCGTATTCCCCTGTCGGTTGCCTCCTGGTGGACTAGGATAACAACCTTGGCGGCTGCTAGGATGGCATCGCATCTCTTCTCCATGGGCGTCCCTCCAGTGTGCTGCGCTCGACCCGAAACTACCAAACGAAACCAGCGAACGGACTGAGCACCCTTAACGACGCCGACAGGCTGAATTTCCTTTTCCAGGATTGTGCCTTGTTCAATATGAACCTCGAAGTGAGCCGACAGAGGGTTTTGCTCACTCGAGCAAGGGACTTTCCCCATGTACCCAATTCTTTCAAGCTCCTGGGCCATGGAAACACCCTCCACACTCTCGCGTGAGTGACCATGGTCCAGGGTGTACTGGCCGGCCCAGACACCAGAACCCAGCATGGCGGGAGGAAATCGAGCACCTTCTTCATTGGTCCAGTTGATTATCGCCAGCGGAGCATACGTTGTGATGCCTGCTTCATCGATAACGCGCAAGACTTCTAATGCACAATGAACTCCGAGAATGCCATCATACCGACCCCCAGTTGGCTGTGTGTCCAGGTGAGAGCCTAATCCGATTGGGGGGAGGTCGTTGTTCTGGCCAGGTCGGATGGCAAAGATATTGCCCATGGTGTCGACTTTATGTGAGCATCCATGTTTGGCGGTTTCTGCGATGAACCAGTCGCGCACGGCTTTATCGTCATCGTTGCCAGATAGACGGTTCATACCACCATCATCAGTAGCACCCCACTGGCATGAGTACTGCAGGGCATCATTAAATCTTGAAGGGTTTATTTTCAAAGACTTGTACTCGGGTCCCAGCTGGTTCAGGGTGCCGACGTCACCCATGGTGTGTTTCAAGATAAAATCTATGCGATTAGCAGAGGTTTCGCGACCCGGAGAAAGTCATGTTGAGTCCTGTTGTCTTGATATATTCTAGTCGCACACCTCGGTAATGCCAGGGAGGCTCTCTCGGCGTGCCCAAACGGAGAAGACCGCGAGAGCAGACGTGATGTCATCTTGGTCGATTGGACATCTAGAGGAGTGCTTACAGAATATCAGAAGCATCGAAGAGCAACAACATTTGATGTTCTCAAGGTTAAGGGCAAGAGAAGACAGAAACTATTCTAGATGCACAATTTTTGATGGGTAGTTGGCGGGTCGTGCCTTCTGTGACAACCCTCGCTCAACATCCTTCCTTTTACGCGTTTTTCTCGGTTGTGCCTTCCGTATTCCACAATACGATCTAAGTGCTACCTGCCTCAGATCTCAACTCACACTCACGATTTCAGAGGTCCTCAAATCCACCTATGCCGTCACAGCAAGATCTTCACTTTTAAACCGAACAAGCAGACCAAACTTCCACTTTGGGAAATCTGCCTGTGTTACAATCGAGGACCGTCGCCAGAGCCACCTATTTCATTTTAGGAGGGTAGATCAGATGCAGATCCTCTCCTTCAGACTTTATCCTGAGGGAATGGCAGGTTCAGCTCATACAGGCAAAGGCCATACAAGCGTGGACTAGGCCCTGAACGGACAACTCTTCTTTTCTCTTCACCTCTGGACTTCGTTTTGATTGAGCATGCAGAGATGTGGAAATGCGTAGACTTATTCCAAAGACTCCGTAGCATGAGCCATAGTCAATAATCTTCAGTCTTCTTCCGGTCCGAGGGCTGAAAACTCGGGTGAAAGCATTGCTTGAATTGGAAGCCATGCTAGGAGACCGTGCCAAGACTTCAATGGCCGCGACAAACATGCCAAGCCCATCTTGTCAAACTCCAACTGCGGATCTCGACCTCATGCTTGTCTTTGTGTCGACAACTTCATCAATTCGGTGTCATCCAGAAGCTCTGCTGTACAGCACCACCCCAGACAGGAGGAGACAAGATGGTATGAACTCTCGCCGAAACGCTATGCGACTCTTCCAGAAACAGTTTGACTAACACAGAAACAGGTCTTCATCCTGGGAGTCAACTTTCCCGAACACCGATTTGTGTGGGTAAGTTTTCACCTCTCTGTGATTGACATGCGCCTGCGGGAACTGCCAGCAGCTGAAAGAGACCATAAACTCTGTCGCGCGACGTCTTTGCGCAGCATGGTCATCTACACACGAACATGACCGCCTGCGACCTCCGCCGACGCCGCGTTGACCGTCACATGACAAACGTTCGATGGGAATGAACACCTGATGGCTGACACTCTGTCTCTTTCATATAGCGGTCCCTCGAATCTTTTTTCGGCATCGGACCCGCGACGCGAGCGCGGATTATGTCGCGACTACATCTACACCACACCATGAAGGTCGGCGAATTATCACAGACACAATCCCTGGACTTGACGGCCCATCTGGACAGTTTGAAACTCGAAAACGCCCTGCGCCGCCAGATTCAGCAGGATATCACCCGCCTCAGAGAGACCGGCACATACAGAGGAAGGAGACATGCCATGAACTTGCCTGTCCGCGGCCAGAATACCAGAAGTCAGATCAAGAATGCTCAACGGTTGAATCGGGCTGAGAGATATCACTGATGGAATGGAGATTGTTTGGCGGCTTGTATTGCCTTGCCAATGGGGATGATCATGGATATGGATAGCCCATGACGGTGGTGACGAAGTGGAAGAGATGAGAAGACAGGTACAATGACCTATCCAGAGTCTGCGCTTGCTCTTCTCTGTACGAACAGTTGTGGTTCTGCATGGCATATGGCGTTGAGAAATACTGCAGGGTCAAGTCCTGTCCTAGGGGTTATAAAAGTGAAGATGTAATTCTTCAAATTGCAAATCAGAAAGATAGACAAGAAGTCATCTTATTGAATTCCATTATAAATCTACCCAAGTCCAGCTCCTCGTCTATACAGGTCATCTATATTTTTCATGTCGCCAGTTTCCGTACTTTATGTAACACCAGTTTCAACTCTCAAACTCTCTGCCATCAAACTCCTCGCTATTTCCCGCTATACGCTCAATTAAACCTCTCCAATATATTCACAAATTTGTCGTCACAGTCATGCTGTTGCTATGTACTAGCAGCGTCGGGGGGAGGCCTCCAACAAGCACTTCCAAATCACTGACGTAGCTCAGACTGTCCGCCTCGCTACGGTATGTACCTTCATTTGGCGCCGGCAACGTCGTAAATATCACCGCCGTGTCGTCGCTGTTCTGCGATATCAATTCATTGAGGATGAGATGCTGCGCTCGGCTGGGCAGGTCATTGAACGACAACTGAACGGCTGCAGCACTAGGAAAGCCCGAGGCTGGTTTGGACGTACTCGCGCTGCCGTTGTTCTCGTCCGCCTTCCTCTGGTAAATGGATCGACCAGGTTCCGCGGGAGTTTCTTCTACTCCTTGTCTTTTGGGATGTGGCTCGTCGACAAACATAATAGATGGACCAGCACCTTCTTCCCCAACCATGTCTGTGGGTGGAACAGGGGACGAGGTAAAGTTCGGGGGCGTCGCGGTAAGCTTAGTCGATCCAAGAACGCTGATGCTGTCGTTGGGTGAGCGATCCTTGGATGACAGAGATGAACTACCTTCTCCATTCAGGCTCCTTCCTCTCGATTGTTGGTGGCGTGCTTCGTCCAAGATGTCTTCATCAAACACAATTGCATCCTCTGATTCCCTTAGGTCAGCGCGACTATTTTCCAAGGAAGCCTGCTTCAGTTTACGGAGAGATCGTCTTGAGCTTTGTCGACTACTCTTCTTGGACGAGGACTTGGTTCGGTGAGGAGACTTGAGTCCAGATGACAATGTCTCCCCTTCGTCATCCGACAAATTATAGTCTCCTTCAGATTCGTCTTCCGTATCTGTCCTTTCCGAGTCACTTGGATGGGATGCATGTCGACTTAACATATCATCGTCCAAGCGTGAGGTACGCATAGTAAGGCTGATTCCAAGACTCGACAGGTTACCAAAGGACGATCTCTTCTTCGGATGGGTCAAGATTCTTCGAAGTCCATGCCAACGCATTGCCGAATTCTCCCTTCTGCTAGAAAACGAGCTGGGCCAGGCAACGTCTTCCATGGCTGAGATCGCGTCGGCCGAACCAACGTCTCCAGAATCTCTGATTTTTCCGCGAACAATTTGGAGCTCCCGCCACCATAGCTCGTCCTCCAAAACCTTGTTACACTGATCTTGGGACTCATCGTCAACGTCTCGTCCGTTCACAATCAAGTTGTAAGCTTTGATGTCTCCACACGCCAGCCAGAAAACCATCACTGTAGCCTCTATGCGGAGGTTCTGCAATAGCGAAGTGACACGGGTTCTCTCTTCCTCAACGTCAGACTCGTACTCGACAAAGACGGCCACGCGGAGCTTGTATGACTTTTTCCAAGAATTTACTGTATTGAGAATACAGCCCAATTGGAGGATCAATGTGTAGGTATCAAAGTTGGTGGTGTGCAGATTCCGCGCTTCACCATCAGATTCAGCTGCAAGTTCAGCAGACATCTGGATAGGCCACAGGTCGATGAACTTTTTGGTATTGCCTTCCTTGGCATTGGGAAGCTCAAGATCACTGAAGCCAGCCGCAATTGCGACATTGGTCTGCAGTTTTAGTATCATATCTTCGAGTACCATAACGTAGCTCTGGATATCGGTACGTTTTTCAATGTAGCAGGTGTCTGTGGGTAATTCGCCTCTGAGTTGGCTTCTGCTTGTTCGCCGACGCTTCAAATTTCCATGCTTGCGTTCAGGGGGAGGACTTGGGACATCCACCAGCGGTTGCTCGGACCGGAATTGTTGAATATTGTAGAATCCAAAGATGACAATATTTGGACGCATACTTCCCAAGCCAGCAGACAGGAAGATGTTCCTAGCGCCCCATTCTATGGATGGTGATATAGCAACGTTGACAAATGCCTTTATCTTTGAGAAGTCAATGTACTTGTTCCAGGCAGCCTGCTGACGCCGCGCTTCTGGCACAGAAGCCCCAAAGTTCTGGGTGACAAGAACATGGCCAATGATAAACAAGGCGCCTTTCTTCAGAGAATTGCAGAATTGGATCAGCTTGTATCCTCGCCTAGGGTCATTGACAAAGAGTAGGATTTGGGGTCGCCAGAATTTGACATGTTCCCCCTTCAGTCTCAGGAGATATTTCCGGACTTGATGATAGATGAGAACTTCTGAAATGGACCCCCACGGTTTGGGTTGAGTCGTGTAATGGATTAGGATGATCAGGACGAGCAGAATGCAGACTGAACCTGAGGCAGAGAGTCCGTCGACGAAGAACATGCTCCCAGCACTCAATACCGCTCCCAGCGCGGCAGTCCACCAATTAAAGTAGTGAAAAGATGGTCTAAAATTGGGAGCGGAGCCAATCTTGAGCAAGAAGGTGGCCACATTAAGTGCAAAAAAGGTCATAAGGTATGTCATGGTGATAAGGGAGGCGATCCGATTGATGTCCAAGAACAAGGTGACCTGAGTGACGAAAAATGTAAACAAAATGGCATATACAGGGTCGTCAGAGTTTTTAGTTCCCTGCCCAAAAATGGAGAGTCCCGGTAGTATGCTGTCTCTAGCGATGGCCTGAAGTTGTTTGGCAGGCCCAATGATACCCATGAGAACTGAGAAGAAGGTAGTTGAGATCTCGCCCGCCAGGATCAAGACTCCAGATATGTTGGTGTCTTGCACGACGTTGACGTTTCTGTAGAAAGATTCTCGGGTGATACTAGACCCCAGAGCCAGTATGACCAAGGAGTAAGAGAGGAACGTTAGCCCTAGGCCACCCAAGGTCCCACGCGGGATCGCAGTACTCGGATTCTTCAAATCTCCCGACATACTCGCACCAGCCAGGATACCTCCAGTAGCGGGAAACAAAATACCGAAAAGATCCTGATAGGTTTCACGGCCCGAGACTTGACTGCCTGCTGCTCCCTTGGTGAAATGGGGAAGAAGGTTTCCCCGCAATGTGTCGAGGCTCAAGCCTGTGAATTGAGTGAATTGCTTTGAAGTTTCAAACGGCTTTTGGACGAGGGCCGAAAGAGGGACGCTGAAAGTGGAGACAAGGAGGACGAAGAGGAGGGCGTTACTCGCGCGGGCAAAGATGGCGCTTCCGGCAAGACAGACGGAGACGCAGGCTACGACAACAGTAGTGCTCCAGAGATATTGCCACCACTGGCCCTCGGGAAGTTTGTTGGCCCAGTTCCCTGATTCAGCGCCAAAGTTGTAGTTCAAGCAATCAATCAGGCCGACGGCGTTCATGCCCGTGTTGAAGACGAAGCCCAAGTAAGAAACAATTCCGATGGCACCGCCAAACTCTGGGCCCAAGGAACGAGAGATCAGATAATATGCGCCTCCGCCTCTCACTGTGCCGTTTGAAGCGATTGCAGAAATAGACATGGTCGTGATCAGATTGATGGTGTATGCTGCGGCCAACATAGCCAACATAGCAATCACTCCGCTCTGGCCAAGAATGAAACCGAAGCGGATGAACATGAGAATACTGAGGACATTGAGACTGACGGGTACAAAGACCCCCGAGAATGTGTTGAGCTTGTCAGTTCCGCCGACGGGGCGTGGGAAAGCACCGACCCTGGGCATCTGTATCTTCTCCCCTTTGTCCGAGATACCTGGCGGAGGTTTCAGAGCATCTTCTGGAGTATGCATGAAGTCGGCACGTAATGTGGATGAATCGTTGATTCTATCTCCAGTCCCGGGATTGTCAAACGTGCCGTAGGCAGCAGAGTCGGAGGCATGGTCCGGGGAATGCTTGATAGCGCTCGAATTCGCTGATCTTGCGGTGGTGGGACGAGAAGTGGCTTGCCCATGGTCGTCTGCCGCGGCATAGGACTGCGGGTCGTCTATAGAATAATTTGCAGGAAAGGAAGATCGTCTTAGAAGCTGAGCAGCCTCGTCAGTGGCGGTCCGCGTGAGAAAGGTCGGACGACTTCTGGTGAGAGTGCCACGACCCAGATTTGGCCAGTTCTTGGCTCCATTGCCGGTCATTGCACTCGAATGCAGAGCGTGTTTCTCTGACCCATAGCCTGTTGTATGTGCCTGGATATAACGGTATCACAGAGGTGGGCGCAGTAGAAGTGTGATGTTGACACAACAATCAAAGATCAAGGGATGAAGTGACAAAAGTGATGTTCTTTCCTGGTCAGGTGCAGAGGCTGACTGTGGCGCGGCAAGAGCAACAGCCACTTGAGTCTTATCGCGAAGGAAGGAGCTACCACGGGGGTAAACCAGAACTAGTGCTTCTTACAAGAGCTGTGTGATCGGCCGTAGAAGAATTTCCAGTGGAAGTGGCAGTAGAATTAAGACGACGTGGACAGGATCTGAGCTTCTAGGTGTCCAAGTGTGGCGAGAAGAAAACCATTACGAGAGAAGAAGAAACCAGATCCATAACGGTGAGTTACGGAGTAGTCGAGAAATGTTGGCGAGGCGTTTGAAAATTCTTGGTTGAGTTTTAGTTTCTACGGAGTAGTGAGGCTGCATTAGCTGATCAGGTCTCTAAGTCAGCCTTTGCCCCCCGGAGAACGCCGGTTGGGCCTGGAAAAGGAACCTATGCGGCAGATATCTCCATTAGCCTTGGTGCCTAAGAAATGATCCCAAGGGCCCCTAAAACTGACGTCGAGACCGCGCCTCGACGACTCGACCCCCGCTATTGTCAACATGGGCTTAACCATTGGTCACCATGGGTCACCCAGAAGCCAGAATCCCCAAATCTTCACCAAGGAAACAATTACTTCATCGCCTATTTCCTCTTGTGACATGTTTGCCTCGCCTCGCCTCGCCTCTTTCGGTTTCCATCCTCGATCCCTGGTCACATTCTGCAAAAAGAAACCTACCATCAAACACCAATACCTCATTGTTCCAAGATCTAGTCTTTGAGTCACATGCAACAACAACATCATCTATTCCCTTAACTCTTCCTCACTACGATAATCCTCCTTACTTCTCTGTAAATCCCCTGCCTTGACCAGATCATGCCCATGCGAACGTCATAAGCATCCCAACATCATGGCCTCCCCTTCTACCAATCCGGTCAACATCAAACCAAAAAGCCCTGCTGCCTCATCTGGAGCCACTTCACCATTACCGGGCTCATATTCCCATACCAGACATGCCTCGATCGCACGCCTGTCGTCCCCAGTACCCTCGAATCGCCTTTCCATTGGCACCCCTCCAGTCCAACAAGTTCCCACACCACAACAGCTAGCTGCTGACTCCAATACCTCAAACCTTCCTAAACTTGAGCCTGGAACCTCTCTGCCAGGTCCTGGTCCCTCTGCTTTGTCTTCCGCCCTCGCAGGTGCTTCCAGTCAGACACCTCCTCGAACCACCAGCCCAGCCGCTTCCTCCACCCCAAGACACTCGATTCTCAATGCCACCCCCTCAGATGCCCGTGACCGACAGCATAATTATGGTTCATTTGACCCAGTACGACATGTGGCCGGTAGTCCTGCCCCAACTGAAGATCCTGAGATTATCAAACGACATCTTGTCCAACCTGAGCAGAACACCTCGAGATTCGGCCGGTCTCTCCGCTTAGACCTAGACCGAGATGGCCCGGGCCTGACCTCGGATGAATTCTCTAGTCTAAGATTGCAGGGCGGCGATGTCACACGGGCCGTCTATCGATGGGCAGAGGATCAAGAAGCACACAACAATGCGCGAACGCAAAGGAGCAAGAGCTTCAATCTCAATAGACCCGACCCTGAAGACGAGGTTATGGACATTCAAAGCATTCGTGTTCCTGGTGGCTTTCGGCGCCATTTTCTACGAAGAACAGGCGAATCTCCTGCTCCCTCTGCAAAGAACACACTCCGCGGTGGTCCTTCTCAGAATCCCGCTCTGCCGAGATCAACTCCCGCCCGGCCATTCACAAATAATTTTCTTGAATTCCTAACGTTATACGGCCATTTTGCTGGTGAAGATCTGGAGGAAGATGACGAAGTTCTCGAGCCAGACGAGTATTTCTCCTCTGACGCTTACGACGCCGACAGTGACCGCGAGCCAGGCGAGGACAGCGCCCTACTTACACCTGGAACACCCGGACTGCGACGGAGAAAGCACAAGGAGAGAGCTCCAACGGGAACAGGTGGTCGACTCAATGCAGCATTACTCCTCCTCAAATCATTTGTCGGAACGGGGGTTTTATTCTTACCCCGTGCCTTTCTCAACGGTGGCATGCTCTTCTCATCCCTGGTCCTTCTCTTCGTCGCCGTCCTAAGCTTCCACTGCTTCATCCTACTCACAAACACTCGATTAAAAGTCGAGGCATCCTTTGGTGAAATTGGTGGCATCTTGTATGGCAAATGGATGAGAGCAGCGATTCTGTTCTCGATTGTCATCAGTCAAATTGGATTCGTGTCAGCGTACACCGTTTTCACATCTGAGAACTTGCAAGCTTTTGTCCTTGCAGTTTCGAAATGCAAGACCTTTATCGACATCAAGTTTATGGTGTTGATGCAGCTAATCATTTTCCTTCCACTGAGCTTGATTCGAGATATCAGCAAACTCGGTTTCACCGCTCTGATTGCAGATGCTTTCATCCTATTGGGACTAATCTACCTGTACTATTTTGACATCTTCACGATTGTCGACTATGGCGGAGTAGCCGACATTACACTCTTCAACCCGTCCACGTGGACATTGTTCATTGGCACCGCCATCTTCACCTTTGAGGGCGTGGGCCTGATCATTCCTATCCAAGAAACCATGAGAGAACCGAACAAATTCCCATCGGTCCTGGGTATTGTGATGATCATCATCACTGTGATTTTCACATCAGCTGGTGCGTTGTCGTACGCGGCATTCGGGTCGCAGACCAAGACGGTCATTCTGCTCAACATGCCTCAAGACGACAAGATGGTCAACGCGGTGCAGTTTCTCTATTCGCTGGCCATCCTTCTCAGCACGCCGCTCCAATTATTCCCCGCGATTCGAATCATGGAGAACGAACTATTCAGCCGTTCTGGGAAATACAACCCTTATATCAAGTGGCAGAAGAACGTGTTCCGCTTCTTCCTTGTCGTGGTCTGCGCCTTGATCGCATGGGGTGGTGCCGGTGACCTCGACAAGTTTGTGGCTTTGGTGGGAAGCTTTGCCTGTATCCCGCTGGTCTACATCTACCCTCCTATGTTGCATCTCAAAGCTGTGGCCCGCACCCACTGGCAGCGAACTCTGGATTACGTCGTTGCCATCTTTGGTCTGGTGGCTTGTGTGTACACCACTGTTCTGACCGTCCAGCAATGGGTTGAAGGCAGTGCGGCAAAGGCTCCGGGATATTGTGACTCGTGACCTGACTTGAAGAGAAATGGGAACCATCAATTGGCAGGAACGAGTGCGTAGGAGATTTTATTGTACATGGACCGCGTCGTCAATAGAACGACAGTCTAGTCTAGATCTCGTATATCTGTGAGATTCATAGCGTGTAGGATAACATTGGCTGTTCGAACAAAGCCGTTTTCATCTTCTTTATTGACCACGAATGGCCAAGGTTCCCTCTTATATTGATTCAGGACTTAAAAGGAGGAAACGAGCTTAGGGAATAATTCCGGTGCCCGTGGCGTTTCGGGGGTTGGGGCAAACGCTTCGGTCCCATAGTCAAGGTCTGCTCCCAACCGGGCATATTGAAAGGTTCGATTTGACTCGAGAACTCCCATCATATCCAGAGCCTTTTGCATCTGCCCTGGCATGAATGGTTGTAGCAGGATCGAGACAATCCGGACCGACTCAGCGCTGAGATATACAGTCATTTGGGCCAGGCGACGCAGTTTAGCGTCTTTACTCTGGCAGTACTTCCACGGAATCGAATTATGGAAGAATTTGTTTGTCTGTTGACAGGAATTAGCAGGGCCGAAACAAGGGATTTGAGAGAGTCACTCACCAGCGATATCACTTGTGCAATGCCTTGGACGGCGACCCGAGGGTTAGGGATATCCATTGCAGCGCGAGCTTGGTCGGCAGTCGTGGCAAGGAGTTCGCGGTGAGCAATGATGCCCGACATAAGAGAGGCATGCTTGTTTCTGGCCCATTCAGGAGGTTCGTTGTACGCCATGTCTACTTTGAACCCCGTGTCGTTGGCAAACAACTGAACTGCTTCTCGGACGCCGAAACGTTGACTGTAGAAGACTCGGGATAACAAATTTCCCATGTTGTTCCTCAAGATAGTATTGTAATTTTCCGCAATGTACTGGTTGTCATAACTGGCATCATCAACGATGCCTCCTTCGTGAACCATGTAGAAGCGAATAGGGTCTACACCGAATCTTTCAATGGCATAGAAGGGATTGACGACGTTTCCAGTCGACTTGGACATCTTCTCCGAGTTCATAGTCCAATGAGCGTGGGTGAGAAATCGCTTTGGGAGGGGCAAGTTGAGAGCCATCAAGAAGGCGGGCCAGTAGATTGTATGGAAGCGGATAATGTCTTTGCCAATGACCTGACAGTCTGGCGGCCAAATGCTATCGGGGCTTTTTGTGTCTTTGAGGGGGTATCCGGCCATGGTAATGTAGTTGAGAAGAGCATCCAGCCAGACATAGACGGTCTGACTGTCGTCTCCTGGGACGCGGATGCCCCAATTCAGGCGCCACGATGGACGAGATATGGAGAGGTCTTTGAGGCCGGACTGGATTTCTTTCATGATGTAGTTCATGCGTTGCTGGGGCACGATGGCATCGGGGTGCTCACGATAGTGTTGGAGTAGGCGATCCTGAAATTGAGAGAGCTTGAAGTGATAATTTGTTTCCATTGTCCACTCGACATCCTTGCCAGTCTCAGCAGAGACATACTTGGTCTTGCCAGTCGAAGGGTCCAGGACATGGCGGATTTGAGATTCAGGATAAAATGTTTCGTCGCTGACGGAATACCAACCTTCATGTTTGGACTCATAGATGTAGCCAGCATGATTCAGCTCGCGCCAGAAATGGTCAACGGCAGCTTTGTGGTCCGAGTCGGTCGTCCGAATAAAGCGATCATAGTCAATGTTTGCGACCTGACACAGGGATTTGAATTGTTGGGAATTCTGGTCGCATAAAGTCTGGGCATCAACATTTGCCTTTTCAGCAGCTTTCTGAATCTTCATGCCATGCTCGTCGGTCCCTGTCAGGAGGGTAGCCTTATGGTTTCCCAACAGCTTGTTCCATCTCTTGAGCACATCGGTGAGGACTAGAGTGTATAGGTGGCCAGCGTGGGGAGCTGCATTGACATAAAATATGGGAGATGTCACATAGTAAGGCTTCTGCCCGGATAGATCTTCTCGGAGGGGTGCAGAAACTGACAAGGCTCTGCGCGTGAATGAGTGAGTGGAAGGGTAACGGCAAAGGTGAGATGATTGTACAGAAGCTCGACACTGGAGGAAGAAGCTTCGAGCACGATGCTCCAGGTTGACCATGACGCTGGAGAGAGGAGAATAAGGGTGAGGGTGAGGGTGAAGATGAAGATCGAAGCCCTTATTCCAGTCCAGTTGAGCTGTGAGAAGACCGTTTCTATGTGATCAGCGGTTGGTCGCGTTGGTTTTAACTGCCATTATTTTCTCCGCACCAGGAAATCTGGCGTAGATTTGATTTGCCAGTTTGCATATCTCGTGGTGCTGATGGTTGCTGGTGTTGATAAATTTATTCACTGCAGTAGCTGCTTCTCCAAATTCTGAGGATGCTCACGTGATATGGCGTCAACTGTCTGGTTGCTCCTTCCATCCATAAATATTTTACCTAACGCTACACGCGTTCCTGCCTCTGGATTCTCTGCGTCGTTGCTTCTTCTTCTATCTTCAAATCTTTTTTGCATCACTGACTCTGTTACAAAATGATGTGATGATATGCCATGGCCATTTCACATGTCTCTTACCATTCATCCATCACCGAGATCATTTACACGCGTCCATGCAGGTGCGCCGTATAAACCTCCGTCGTCTACAAACAGTCATGTCTAGGTGATGAAAGAACGCAGGCAAGTGTTTGGAGTGGTCGGCGTCATGTCTTGACTGCATTGGATCCCTTTTCTCACCATCTCTTGCCTATTTTTGCTCTTCACGTACTTGCCCTTCTTCGAAATCCATCCATGCTCTCAACCTTCTTGTTCTTTTGCAGGCTTTCTTTCAAGGTCTTGAACAAACACCCAGAATCCCCTGCAGTGCTGAGCCATGGCTGTGCAACGACAAGTCTGCTGTTCACACACCCCCTTGCTTCTACTCATCGTCTTCCTAGCCTGTGAATGCCTTGCTCAAGCCCCAGTCATGCCTCGGTTTGCCTTTGGTCTTGGTGTGCCGCACGATGCCAGACGCCTTGTTGACCTCGAGGTCGCCTGGAAAGAATCACTGATCGAAGCCAGGCTGGTCGCAGCGACTTTTGATGGCTGTGATCCAACCTTTCTTCGGTACTTTGACCAGAGCCACGCTAAACTCGTCCAAGACATGTTTCGAACGATTGCCAACATCGACCTGAGCGCCGACCTGTCTGCAGCCAATATGGAACAATACCTCCCGCCTCGCAACTGGCAGGTTAACGCAGATTTCAGCAAACTAAAGATTTATTACGGCACAGCCCCTGAACTACCACCCGACCGGCGACAAGATCTAGGTTGCGGTTTTGGTATCACTGCGAGTCTCTAGCATCTACTCGATGGACGTGCCTACATCACTGTCTGTGAGGAAATTTTCCAATATCCAAGACTCGCCACGATTCAAAATCCACCCCCCGAATTCGCTCATATGCCCGGCTACACTTGCGCTGGCTTGGGCGATCGAGATACCGATCTGATGCTCAGCCCCGCAGGCGTCCTTCTGCATGAATATATGCACTGGAGCTACCTCTTCCGTCACGTTCCTCGATTCGACCATTATATCAGAGATGGAATGGTTCAGGACTACAAGGGTCCGCATCCTGACTCAGGCTATGGCTTTTTCAACGCTGCTCGACTTCGAGCCCTCTCCATCGTCGAGAAGCCGAGATATTATTACGACAATCAAGTACTTCAGAATGCGGACAATTATGCCAGATACGCCCTATCCAAGTATTGGTCTTTCATCTGCGGCAAAACCTTCGGCCAAACTCGAGACAGACAGGATGAGTTACGGCGCATCCCAATCCCTGGCCTGGTTGAGCCTAGCCAGATTCCATTCCCAGTATAAAGTGATGTCACTCTGATGGGACTAGTCGGCTAGTTACTACTCATAGACTAGCTGTATAGTCCAATGTACCTCAAATAAGGATGAATATTTGTGATAGCGCACGAATTCCTTGGTTACACTCAGCCTCCATACTCTTGGCGTTTTGATCATGTCATTTTGAGATTAGCCTTGACTCTCTCGATCAACTCATCCCTCGTCATCTTGTTACTCGGACTGAGATTTCTCTGATGTGGAACACAAACATACAAGTCAGCACACGTGATCCAACCTCAAAAGGATGGGAGATATTGCAGAAACATCAGGTCCATCTGTAGCAAGTCCAATCTCCCTCTCCCTCCATTCCCATGCCATGCAATGCAACAAGACCGTCACAAGGGGCCTCGAAAGCTGACCAAAACAAACCCAAATTTGAAACTCCAAATCAAAGACAACATTTAAAAACTCACCAGCCTCAGCCATCTCCTCAACTCATTTTCCGTCCAGTATTCAGGATCTGTAGAATGACGCAACAAGAAAGAGATCAGCTAAGCCGTTCCTGACAAAAACATCAAAGAATTCCCCTCTGTCATATCAAAAAAGAACCAACACCACGTTACATGCGACATGGAATATAAGGCCGCACCGCACCGCACCGCATCGCACCCGCAATAACAGAATAAACTCACCACCAGTAGGATCCTTCTCCGCTGGAAACATATCACCTCCAAACATATTCCATAACGACGCCATGGTCACGAGACCAGCGAAACCTAGGAAATACGTCACAGGAATGTCAGCATTCTGGTGTTGGTGTTGGTGTTGGTGTCGCTGTCGGTGTTGCTTTTGCTTTTTGTTTTTGGCCGATATGGAGCATGGCCGTCGCAGTGACGGATATGGATGGTGGGGTGCATACCAAAAAACAAATTCTATGAAGAATCACATGACTTGAGGTCAGCACGTAAAGGTCAAGGTATATATCACGGATGGCTAGCTAAGGCATATGAGGGAAATGGTCACGTACGCGGGATTGTAACGCTCGGTCGAGGGGTGTCGGCATTGTCGAGAAGTAGCCACTTGGTTACCAATGTACTTAGTTGCCTAAATGGATGGATGGTGACAATCAATCAAAGCGGGGATTGCTGACATAAATCCTCGTCTCTAGGCAGGCAGGCAGGCAGGCAGGCAGGCAGGCATACAGCGAGGCAGATAGATAGATAGATAGATAGATACCTACCTATCTATATACTCCAAAATGCGGTTGCCTATCGTCGAAGGATTCGTCTCGAGACTTGAAACTCGGATGCTCGGTGATGTGACAGTCGGTTGCGTTATTGAAGGTGAAGGCCAAGGGATATGTCACCACTGGTACATATTAAGAGATAATGGAGAGGCAGGGAGAAGCAATAGTGGTCCGTCCATCGTTGTCCAAATAGCAATAGCATAGGGAGTAATAATGTGGTGGTGCATGGATGTCGAACGCCAACCAACGACGTCACAGGACAGATTGCGTGTTTTGATTGGATCGGCGGGACACGATCATTGGCACGGTCCAAGTGGGTGTCACATGACTCAGGAGGATACACGGAGATGTATTTGTGACATTCAATCATTAGCTACCATTCTAACCGGTCATCACACACTAATTTTACGTCATGTCGTTGGTCGCCGCTCCAGACCTTGCTGCCGGAGTTTTGCGACGCGACAATCCTCCGCAAGTCCGATATCATCCCGCCAGGCCCGCTGGCGTAGACGGTGGCGGGACCATGAGTAGTTGAATCGACAAATTCCCCAACCAACGTACTAAGATCCGGGTGACGCGACTCTGGATTCCCTTCTGCTGTCGTCAGGGGGTGATGGATGGAAAACAAGCTGGGGTTGGCCTTGGAAAAGGATGAGTCTTGTGATGCAGAAGCAGATGAAGACGACGAGGAGATTGCAATCTGGTCCTCTTTCAAATCTGGCCGACCTTTCTCTTCGTTTCTCGTCATTCTCACGTTTCCATTGCTTGCCCCGGTTTCCCGTGTCACGAATATTTTGACCTTGATGTTCAGTGATCCTTGTGCTCGCCTGATTGTGTCGAGCTCCTCACTGATCCATTCAACATCTTGGTCTCTTCGCACGGCCCAGATCAATCCCACCTGCCTACCGTTACTGGCTGGTTGATTGACCAGACTCAGTATCACAGGCAAGACAAAACTAACCCCGGTGCCGCCTGCAACGCAGAGAATGTTGGTCTGAGGTGACAAATGGCTGACAGTCGAGGTCCCATATGGGCCTGACAAAATAACAGATGTGGTGGGTTTGGAAAGGATCTCAGACTTCTTTGGATCGGATGCTTCTCCACACTGCACCGCTGCAATATCTGCAAGAACCTTGGTCGCCCCTTTCTTGGCCCGCAGGACATAAGCATGCTTTTGTCCTTCGGCTCGGTTGCCTGGAGGACAGCACGGCGTAAAGGGGTGCGATTGCCATAGACTCACAGCAGGAAAGCACAGGTAGAAATGTTGACCTATCTCCCAAGCATCATGGGCCTGGACGAAATCGAGACGGACCACATCACCATTTTCTGGGTCAGGATAGTGGGTTATCTTGGCGGATGAGCTTTGAAAGCCGACAGGACCGCCGGGCAGATGCCGGTAGTGAATTAAACCAGTTCTGACAAGTCGGATTCCTCGATCCAGAAACCAGAGCAGAAGGGAAGGCAGCAAGAAGCATTTCAATTGCTCCCAATGGCCCCAGCATGCACCAATGTAGACCATGGCTAGAACGTAATGAGCTTTGCGGAAGAACTCGTACCCCGTCCTTCGAATGGCCCACGGCGTGCTGAGAATGAACAGGACGGTCAGGATGAACATGGCAATGACTCCCCAGATCATATATGTCTGCTTGATCCACATGTTGGCAACCATGGGCTGGGGCTGGTATAATCGAATCTCAATCACGCACCAGCCGATCGTATGCAGTGCGGACTGAACAAAGATGACATAGCCGAGCCATCGATGAAGGAAGTTGAAGTGTTGATAAGGAATGCCAGTCACGAGCGACAAGATAGACTCTCGACTCGACAACAATACGGACAGAGGCGTCAGAGCGTAAGCCAATACGCCGACTCGATCTGACCAAGGCCCCAGACTTGATCGTGTGTTGTAGACACCTTCCATGTTCTTCACTGGTGTCACCCATTTCTTGTAGACGATCCCCACAAAGGACCAAATAGTAAGATATCCTACTAGGGTGGCAAGGATGACGACTTGCAATCGAGTGACCCGGCCGAAGACCAATCGCAGGCTTTCAGGGAGAAGAAACTGACGGCTGTACGAGGCGATAGTCGACCTCAGCTTTTCCACACCACCTTGGCGGACTTGATTTTGCCCTTCCAACTTCCACAGCACGCCGTCTTGGCCGGATGTTGGAGACTGGAAAATCTTTCGACCAATGTACCAGAGAAACAAGATACCTCCAATTGTCGCCCAGAAGATGCCTGTGTATAGCATCCCTAGATCGTGAGAATGGTATACTACGTCGAGATATTCGCAAGATCCCGGGTCATTAGTACAGGGCACGACTCGATCAGCATATCCCCAGTGAGGCTCCAGATTATCCGCCTCGCTCATATTCTGGATGTGGCGTACTGCGAGCGAATTCATCATTGTGGCCATGTTGAATTCCGATACTCGCTCTGGAGTTCTGACGATGTTCACATGACACGGTCGAACAACGTAACAAAAGAGGGAAAAGGAGATATATGAACTTCCCCTTACCTCAATACGGCTATCAATACCGGTCCTAAATGCACTTACCTGATTTTCCCTGGATCCATCAGGGTCGGGTCGAGGCTCCAGGATCCAGGATCTCTACCGACGAATGAAACAGAGTCGGGAATGTTCTCTTTGGCTCTAATATCTTGGTAATGTGCTCGTGGCCACTGGAGCAAGAATCTCAACGTGGTGGTTGTGGAGTGAGAAGTGGATGGAAAAAAGGGATCGCGTCGATTTAGAGTTGCCAAGCCCGTGAGCAGGTTTCTCGGCAGGTGCAACTGAGCATATTTCTTCTTCACCGTCTGCACCTTCCTGGTGGCTCTCTATCAAAATTGCTCTCTTCTGACTCTTGATTCAGGATTTGATGTGTGGACTTTGAGCAATCATGTCTTTGACAGATCGTAAGTTTAGGATCCATGATCCTCGCCAGACCCGAAATGATGATCCACCCAATGTGAACAGCCGAGTGGTATTACTCGGCGTGCATGTGCATTGGCCTTACCGGAATCTTCCACGACCTTTCCCGCGTGTCGAACCACGTTGTGTATCTTGCTCATTTTTACATGAAAGTGGTTGGTTTCTTGCTCTCGTAACGATTCTAATTCTTTCGGAACTGTTTTCCATCCTTTATCTACGTGTGAAGCCCCGTTCGCTGTGAGATGCACCCTTTGATCAATCATCCGAGTACTCGAAACACCAGCATCAGCCTCAGCCTCAGCCTCAGCCCTCAACTCCAACACCAGAGCCGCTGTTTCACTATCATGTCTACGACCATGTCTATGAATATGAGCGGCGCCGCTAGCAGCACTGCCGCCGCTGCTTCTGCCTCAGCAACTGCCATGGATATGGATATGGGCCACGGTGGAGGAGGATCCTGCAAGATTTCTGTATGGCAAACTAATACTCTCATCTCATCACTGAGAGGAACCTCAACTGACTCGATTTGCTCTTTTTGTAGATGCTTTGGAATTGGTACACGATAGACGCATGTACGACGACACTCCAACAAAATCTCACCTGACCTTATCATATCGACGTTTATGACTAACCTCCATGGGCCCAGGTTTCCTCGCCGAGAGCTGGCACGTCAAGAATAGTGGCATGTTCGCCGTATCATGCATCGGTGTGGCCTTTCTCGTCGTCAGTATGGAATTCCTCCGTCGACTCAGCAAAGAATACGACGCCGCCATCCTACGCCAGTTCCAACGGAATGTCTCGATGACGCGGACCGCTGACCTGAAGCCCAACGGAAGCAACAATAACAACGAGTCCTGTTGCGTCGAAACATTGGTCCCTGCATTTGTCACATTTAGGGCAACTCCATTGCAGCAATTAATCAGGTCTCTGATCCATGCCGCGACGTTTGGAGTCGCTTATATCGTCATGTTACTCGCCATGTACTTCAACGGCTTCATCATCATCTCCATCATTATCGGCTCGTTCATTGGGAAATTTCTCTGTGATTGGATGATCCATAAGGTGCCTATCGGTCGAATGGCTGGTGCAGGCGAGGGAAGCAGTGCCGTCGAAGAGCCGACCGTGTGTTGTGGATGAATGTTATGAAACTATTTAGGCCATGTTCAAAGCCCTACTCAGCAGTTAGACCTCGATACTCCAGTCAGGTCAATTCACGAGATAGACGAAAGGGATTCTTTTCATGTCATGCATATAAAACATTTTGCTCGTTCTTCTAATAAATCTCTCTTTTCGTAGACATCATCAGACATCGCATGAACGCTATTTTACAGCCATAAAAGACATCTCCAGGCCAAATGCCAAAGAGAGACAATAAATCAAGTCCGATATTGCTTGAGAGTTCGCCCCCTGCGGTTAGATTTATCCGCTGACGCCTTCGCTTCGAACGCAAAATTCCACGATTAATTTCTGTAAATCCATCAGCTTGTACGGTTTGGTCATGAAGCCCTCCATGCCGCTCTTGGTCGCCCGACTGATGGCTTCATCCGTCACGTCGGCACTGACTGCTAGGACGATTGGTGGGCTGGTGTTCTTGTCGTGAGGTCCGCCTGACCCATCGTGGCCAGAAAACATGCTCAAGATGTGCTGGGTCGCTTCATAGCCATCCATTTCTGGCATCCAGAGATCCATGAGCACAACATCGACTTTTCGTCGACGTTTCTGGTTCGGTCCACTTCCTCGCCGTGTTGGGTTGTGCAGTTCCCGCATCACCCGGACCGCCTCCTTGCCATCATATGCCTCATACACTTCCTTGTAACCTAGTTTGCCTAACATGTTCACCAATAGCTTCCTGTTGATCTTATTATCTTCGGCGACCAGAAATGTCAGGGGGTACTTTTCAGCCAGAGCTCGGTCGTAGGATGCTTTCCGGAATGGTACATTGACATGGGAAATTGGCTTGGCTGCCTCTTGGGGCGTTGCAACTTTTCTGCCATTTTGAGTATGTAGTTTGGAAGATCTGGTGCCGGTAGGAGATGTGTTCTTGACGTCAGAAACCGCAAATGGCGACGAGGTCCTGGTCGAGCCACTGATTCCCGTTAGATGTCGTGTAATGCTCCGTGTATGCTCTGGTGTTGCGCTGCGAGGTGTCGCAGTCCGGCTGCTAACACCATCGGACGAATCCAAGGGGACTCGAATCTCAAACTCAGAGCCCCTGTCTGGTCCGGAGACATTTGACCTGATTAAGAGAATATCACCACCCAGGCGGCGTGCCAATCCCTTGGCGACCAGGAGGCCGAGGCCAAGGCCTTCTCTTGAGCGTGTGAGAGAGTCATTTTCGCGCGAGAAGGCCTTGAACAACTCAGGCTGGAAGTCTTCAGGAATTCCATCTCCTGTATCTGAAACACGGAGAATCAAGAACTTTGAATTTCCGGACATGCGACCCACCATCTTGATCTCTCCATTTTCTGTGAACTTGATGGCGTTCAGAAGGACGGCTGAAACCAGCTTGGAGAAATCCTTTTCATCCACGAAACTGGTCTCCGGAACATCAGGGCTGATAGTCCATTCGATGGTTCTCTGAGATGTATGGCCGTTGGAGGACCGGGATCTCACCACTATTCGCTCTCCAAAATCCAAGGGTTCGCCAATGGCAGAATCAGGTCTGCCCCCAACTCGTAATGCATCGTGAATGATTGTGGGAATGAGTTCCCTGATTTGACAGTGTTTCGATCCGGGGGTGAGGAGAGTATCCGATTCGGAGATCTTGGTAGATGGTGTTGTCAAATCCGTAGGCGTGCCATCTGGCAAGGGTGTAAAGACCAAGGGAATTCGATCGTCAGAATTGAATCGAGGAGATGTGGAGCGGTCCAGAGAAAAGTCATCATGAACGCGTCGTGGTGAAACGTCGTGGCGCTCATGAGAGGTTAATTGACGTATTTTTGTAGCATTGCCAAACTGCCATGATGTCGGACTACTGCGTCTTCTTTTGTAGCCGTTGACGTGAATGTTGCTTCCTTCGATAAGCTTGGAGGGTTGGTAGTCAAAGTAGCTGGCGGTTCCCCCTGCCGCCGCAGGAGAATCATTTTCGTTGAGGGGTGTACCTGGGACTTGCATGTTCATGTCGTATGCGTGTACCACGTTATCTGCGGCTTCAACAGCACGTTTGGAACTGTCTTGCACCGTCTCGATGTTCTCTTTGAGTGTTTGGAACACTCTCCGGACCGTGGCACTCGAGTGGCCTTCAATCTGCTCTTGTACGGTGGCATGCATGACATCTAACATTCCAACCACACCTTGCATTGGAGTCCTCAACTCGTGAGATAGGCTTTTGGCATAAGGTTTGAGGGAATTGGCGCCATTGACAGCGCCTCGAGGGATGACGTGTTGTGGAGGAGGCATGTCGATACTCTGAGGCTTTGCAAACCCGAGACCGCTGATTAATCTGGAGACAATGATATCTTCCAACGAATGCAACAGCATCTCGATGTTTGCCCAAGATAATTTTTGTTGGGACAGACCTTGTTCAGACCACATCAAGCCAAAGTGAGCAAAACATTTTTGATTCTGGAACAAGGGTATACCAATGTAGGCCTCGGCAGGAAAAGGGAAGGCGTTAGGGTTGTGTTGGATGAAGGTGGTCATGTTATTGGGGATGAGGAAGACCTTGTCATGCTTCATGTGGGCACAGGGACAATTCCAAGCCATATATTTGTAGTCACGATGCAGGGCCTTGTTCTTGTCACCGTCGTTGTAATAGAAGGCGACGCCCAACAAGCAAGAGCCATGTTCGCCAATCGGAGGCATCTCAATGTTGGAGTCATGATCATCCACCAGGACTCGCTTGGCCACAAAGGCATACTGGGAACCACACAAGTCGGTCATGCCCTCCATTAACCGTTTCCAGAATGCCTCGATGTCGGGTGTGTTGAGCTGGCGTTTCAACTGAGTGAGTTTCTCGAGGGCGATGCTCTCGGCGGATGTATAATGATTGGCGAGGGTCTGTTCGAAGCCGTCCTCTCCCGCATGGGTAGGAACCCCAGGATTGGGACTGTGGAGACATATTGACTGGCGTTCGAAAATGGATCCCTGTGAGCCATTTACTTTGGCATTGTCCATGCCTTGGTCATTCGTTTCGCGGCCACAACGACGCAGAGGACTGTTCGGGGATAGGCTGGATGTGGAAGTTCATGAAGTATGATATAAGTGGGTGTGGGTAGATCGGTTTTGAATACTATAGTCGTTGAATGGACAAGAAAGCTGGTATGAGCGATAGCATACCGTATCCCTTGAGAAGGACAAGGCTACCCTGCCAACGGGGACAATGATATGTTGACTGAGGAATAGGTGCAGCTAAGGATCGAGGTACACTGTTGGAGTGGAGGAGCAGAGCGGTACTGCGGGTGTGTGAGGGCGCGCGCAGGGAACAAATCGATCGGGGGTGGAAGAGATGAGATGGCGTGGGGTTGTTTGAGGCGAGAAAGAGGTAAGAGAGAAATGCAAGTAGTTTTGAATGGAATCGATCTTGGCCGCTAATCTGAGGGTATCTGGGTTTTGGATGAGGGCCGGCCAGGACAAGTATGTCAGTAGGTACGGATTATGGGAGACTGGAAAGAGACTGAAGAGCTAATTGGATTTCCGGACTGGCGCGGGCGGTGGGAACAGTGGGTCGCAGGCCTTCGGGCGAGGCATGGCCCTAGGCCTTACACTGTGACTTTATTACGCATAGGGCGGCCGGTGGACGGTGGACAGCAGAGAATAAGCAGAAAGGATTATGCAGATGCTTGCTAGCGACGGCTGTGGCCCCGTGCTCCCACGACACCACCGCTGAGTTAGCGAAGGCGCCATCTAGCGGGAGCCGCTTGGGCACGAGTCACAATTTCTTCAACGGGTACAAGAGGGATTCTACTCCGTACAGCAGTGACAGGCCTGTGGCGGCCAACATTAAAGTCACAAAAGAAAGTTTAGTGGTCCAAGCGGACTGAAGGGCGCTGAAGAGGGCCTCTGGCAGACGTCGCAGACCAGGGGAATAGGGAACTAGGGACTGTGGGTTGCGAATTGCGGATTGCGGGCTGGACAGGTGGTACGATGGTTACTTTGTAGATGGATCAGGAAGGAACGGCAGAAGCCTGGTGTGGTGCCTAACGAGAAGAAATGGTCCTGAGGGGCGAGAGTTGAGGGGTCCACGGATATGTGGTGGAATCTAGGGTTTTTGGCTTGACAATGATCTTCGGAAGCTTGGGACTGTACTAGAAAGTGACAGGTGTTTGACAATAGCGAGATACTGTGGAGATGCTAGGACAGGGGTTTCGGTAGTACGCTGGAAGTGCGAGTCACGACGTTTTCGTCCAGCAGTGCACGGGCTTCACAGACCAAGCATTCCACAAGCACACAATTAAAAGATGGGAAACTGTTAAAATGCCGTCACTGCATGAAATCCCAGGCTGGTCTAGCAGTGTCCATCACAGAAGATGAGATACGATGAACACGGCACGATGACCATGATGAATTGACGCGGTGGTCTATGCGAGTGTGTCTACGAATAAACCTCCAGGCAGAATGGTCTAGACTGTGGGAGAAGTGGGAGCAAAACATCCTGGGAAGTCACGGGCGATCCTTGCATTGGGCGGAGCACGATTGTATGCGTGCTGCAGCCTCTGCGTTGGTACCATGCTACTTGTTTACTACTGTAGCTTAACTGGAGTACTGCCTAACTTCCCGCGCCTACTCGTAGGTACCTACGGAGTAAGGTAGCATAAGCACATGTAGCCCTAAAGCTGCCCAGCGAACGCCCAGGATTACTTAAGGTAGTTAAGTTTGTGGAAAGATCGGAGTAGGTTCTCCAGGGATGCCAGGGTAAATGCCCCGACCCCAGAGATGCATTCCCAACCTACCAGACGCATCGATAGGTGCATTGGGCATGCGTTGAACATGCTCTTCGACTTTTGACTCCTGAAACCTCGCTATCAATGAGGGGTTTGATCAGATTCAAGATATGACTGGAAACTCGCTGGATGATAGAGCCGGTGGTAAATTGGTGTGAGCAGTCAATGCCAGCCACAAAATCGCCTGATGGTCGCAGTCAGATCCAAATTGACTTGATCCGGTAGGCGTCATGTCCATCAGTTGTTCTAGATCGTCAAAGGCCCTGCAAATGCCCAGTCTTGCCCAGGCTGCCCAGGCTGCCCAGGCTGCCCCTCGTCGCCTGCCCCATAATCGCCTAGCTTTCTCCGACGGTTGCCCACAATTTGGAGCCAGTGCATGCCCAGTGGGCGTCTTTCGTCTCTTGAGACTGGCTACAAACACACCACTGACATCATTGAACTCGCTTCTGCAGTCAACGGCTAAGTCGGCAAGCAGTTGAGTCAAATGCCAGTCTCCATGTTGGCGCGCTAAAAACACGAGACAAATACGGTGTGTGCGTGTGTGCGTACGCATTCTGAACATTCTGTACGGAGTAGATTGCCCTGAGTAGGATGACGCCACCACTCCACACGTGTTAACCATTTTGGTGGGCTGTTGCCATCTTGTCCATAGTAATTTCTCAGATGCTAGGCTATCTGTGGGAGTGTCTGTTTCAGAATCCAAGCTGTCGAGGAATTGCTCTCGACCACCATGATAATATGGCAGGAGAAAATGAACAGATCCACGATTACGACCGGAACTTGCACGAGGGAACCCAGAATTCTTCGTTGATTCGTATATCTGTCCTCGTGGTTCTCGTCTGCGAATGTACATGGGCTTGAGGGGCCTGCACTACTGAGGAGCACTTGGTTAGTGGGTGGCTGACGGAGGCCGAGGGGCCAATTCTCGGCCCATGAAAAGGCTACCGCAAGCCGACAACACGATGACAACGAACTCCCTGCACGTCCTTGGTTTCTTCACACGAGGAAGGTTTATGGGCAAATAAAGTATAAAGTTTGCCTATTCCGCCTGTGGTCGCTATTTTAAGGATCTTCACTATGGAAGATGTGTTGGTCACCGTAGCAGTTGTAGGAGTAGACATACTAGGAGGCCCTCGGGTGTATGAGTAGGCGCTTGGAAAGCAGAAGACTTCTCTGTAGGGACTTTGGCCCATTCCAGACTCCAAGAGTCTCGACAGGCACCCTTGAGGCAAATTCACGTGTGCAAAGTCACGTGTACAGCCCCTCCATCGAACCAGCGGGAAAGGAAGGCATAAGAAAGTTAGAAATTCAGAGTGGCACGAGTGTGAAACCGTGGAAGCCCCAACTCCGGACAACATCAGCAGCGGAATCTTCTATCAAGGCTGTCACAATTGGCTGACTCACTGTTGTGTCCGAGGTAGTCCTTTGGAAGCGGACATCCCTTAGGCAAGATCTCGGACATCTCTTAATGTGGGCTCCATCAAGATGGCTGGGCATGGACAAGTCCACTGCTGGAGGTGCGTCCTTCTCCATCCCGCTCACTTTCATTTGCTTATCGAGGTTGACTTCTTTATCTCTCCGCAACAGTGGGCATGTCACGGGGAAGACACCAATAACATTCCCCAACCATCTGTCCGCCATGGGTTTTGTTAATATTTGTCGACCTACGACGCCCAAAACCATCCTCACATCAATCACGCCATCCTACCACTGCCCTTTAATCCTTGCCTTCCTTCGAAGATCCCCCTCCCCGCTGGCGTCCGACTCAAGCTTCGAGCGGGATGCTTAGTTGATTGTTGCGTCATATCTTGCTGTTGCCGAGACAGTATTGCAACTTTGCGGGGTTCTTCTCCTACGCTAGGCGAGACTTTTCTGCAGAGCCTGCCTGGGAGCTCGCGTTGTTGGTCAAGCCTCAGGTCTGGGTACAACCTGCCTGTTCCTGGCAGGATCAAGATTTCCGAGCACATGTTGTAGCAAGAGTAGGATCTGGAAGTTGATCAACGCAGCTCCGCCTCACCATAAGTACCTTCTCAGGACCACAATCATGGGCACTCTTTTCCCCTTTGAACCTTTTTCCTCCTCCTCTGCAACTCCCACTCGATTATCTGGGATATTTGTTATAATGTTGTCACTACTCCATTTGGCTTGTGCCCTGGTCGTGCCAACCCTGCTAGACCAAGCTGGGGCAAGTCCTGTGCCGTATCTACATCACCTCAATCAAGGTCCCGATTCCCGTGGTGCAGTCGCAAGCGAAAGTGATGTCTGTAGCCGCATTGGGATCGGCCTTTTGCAACAAGGCGGAAATGCTGCCGATGCCGTAAGTCTCTACCCTGGCTATCCTCGCATTGCTTAACAAGCAGCCAGTTAGTAGGCACCGTCTTCTGTGTCGGAGTCATTGGCATGTACCATAGTGGTATCGGAGGCGGTGGCTTCATGATTGTCCGCGCCGCCAATGGCACCTACGAATTCATCGACTTTAGAGAAACTGCTCCTGCTGCTGCTTTCGAAGACATGTACAAAAACAACACTCAGGCAAGCATATTTGGTGGATTGGCCAGGTACGTCAAGACTTCTCTAGAAATAACAAGCTCGATCCTGTCTCTGACTGTTCTCAGTGGAGTTCCTGGCGAGGTTCGCGGCTTGCAATATCTCCATGAGAATTACGGCAGCCTTCCGTGGCAGGATGTTATGCAACCCGCGATCAACACGGCGCGATATGGCTGGCCCGTGACCGAAGATCTCGTTAACTACATGAAGTCCGCCAACGCATCGGGCTCTGCTGTGACTCCCAATTTCCTGGTCGATGATCCCAACTGGGCCCTTGACTTTGCACCAAATGGCACCTTGGTTGGGTTAGGAGACATCATTACACGGAAAAGATACGCCGATACATTGGAAGCCATTGCAACCCAAGGCCCTGATGCCTTCTATACCGGTCCCATCGCGGAGACTACCATTGCTGCCCTGCAAGCAGAAAACGGCACTATGACTTTGGAGGACCTGAAGAATTATACAGTGGAGATTCGACAACCAGTCAACATTACATATCGCGGGTACAACGTCTTCAGTGGAGGAGCACCAAGTTCTGGAGCCGTGGCCTTGTCAGTTTTGAAGATTGTCGAGGGCTATACAGACTTCTACACCGAAGGTACGGTGAATCTGAGCACCCATCGATTGGACGAGGCCATCCGATTTGGCTATGGAGAGCGCACCAATCTCGGCGACCCGGCGTTTGCGGGAAATGTGTCCGACTATCAGGACGACATGGTCTCACAAGAAACAGCAGACGACATTCGAGGCAGGATCCTGGACACGCAAACGTTGAATGTCTCGGCGTATGACCCATCCGGGATCGAGTCCCTCGAAACACCAGGCACATCGCATGTCGTAACGGCGGACGCATCAGGACTCGCAATCTCATTGACCACGACAGTGAATCTACTTTTCGGCTCACAACTCCTCGTTCCGGAGACAGGTGTGATTATGAACAATGAAATGAACGACTTCTCCATCCCCGGCACGTCGAATGCCTTTGGTTTCATTCCCAGCCCGAGCAATTACATTCGACCGGGTAAAAGGCCACTGTCATCCATAGCGACAACAATTGTCGAGTTTGCCAACGGAACTCTGTATTATGTCATCGGGGCTGCCGGAGGCTCGAGAATCATTACCTCGACGATTCAGAATATTGTCAACGTGCTGGACAAGGGCCTGACTGCACCTGAGGCACTTGCACAACCTCGCCTGCACGACCAGCTGATTCCCAACCAGGTGGTTTTCGAATATTCCTACGACAATTCGACCGTGGCCTTTATGGAATCTCTGGGACACAACGTCACATGGATCGCATCGGCAGCGAGCTCGGCTCAGGGTTTGCGACTGCTTCCTAATGGCACTTTCGAAGCTGCTGGTGAACCACGACAGAAGAACTCTGGGGGTTACGCTACTTGATGAATGATTACACGACACAACGACTTTGGAGTCATCGCAACCACCGACTCTCTGACGGAAGTCCTCGAATGCGCACCAGACATTATAACTAAGGTGATCGACCTCGCAAATTTGCAACCCACCGTGAGATATCCACGACTCCGAGACACCAACAACAATTCTTCTGATCTTGAGCACTAAGATGGTTCAAGGCGAAACAAATCTGGCAGTGAGGCCGAATCAGCCCGTTGCAGGATTCTCGGTTACCTCTGGGGTGCAGTTTGGAGAATCCGATGTGAGTCTGAGCCACTTCTACAAGGCCCACAGATTCTAACCGTGTGTACAGACAGATGCTTCAAGCTAGGGAACTAATGGAGGTTTGGAAGGTCTGGGGGGTTTGGCTGTAAAGAGTTTACAGTATTGCAGGCATTTAGGGCATGAGAGAGCGTGTGGTGTATACATGTGTGGATAGAATATAAGTACCTACGAGTACGAGTATGCGTCTGATATGTACATAGTAATGAACTGAAATGAGGTGAATCTACTCCGTACTAACCTGTGTGTCCTTTGTACTTTTGTCAGCTCTCATCTCCTTCTTAGTGGGGAAAGTTCTAGCGCTTCCGGTGGAAAGACAGCCCCCATTTCTTTCCTGTTATAGGTGAGGGCCAACGATTGATTCGACGGGTGGGAAATTAGGTGCCTAATAATACGTACTTGTATGTCGGTAGAAGGCGCGAACCGCGACCCAAGCAGTCCCCAAACACCACCTGCAGTTTGCGCCCCCAGCCAGCCAGAGGCGCCGTGCCCAGCATAAGTTTTATGTCGTTGCACAATTACGGAGACGCAGAGGGTCCTCAAAGGCTTTGACATCTCACCCTCGCTTCTTGTCCCAGTCTTACTTCAACACATTCAAGCTCCCACAAGGTCCTGCAGCTTTTATACAGCATCTATGTGCGCGATGCGCGATGGACTCGATCCGGAATGTATACCAGACGTATTGACCCTCCCGAACGCTTGAGAGTAGGTTGTTTTTCCAGCAACACGTGTCGCCTCGCTTCGATTTACTGCAGACCAGAAAGCACGCGCTAACCCTACCCCGATTCCCGGATCCAATGTTGCCCGCGTACTGTCAACTCGGGGTGAAGTCTGATCTTTACTCTAAATCCGTGACCAAAAGCCGAATCGTTTTGAATCTCTGCTTTTTCTTCCCTTCATCCCTCTCTTTTTCTAGGCTGTTTTCTCGCTTCTGTGTCGTGATCTTCTTCTCCTCTCCTTCCCAATAGATCGCATCTAACGGACCAAGCATCCTTCACAACTTCCAAGACTTGGCCGAGAATCGCCAAATACTATCACGGGAACATCATTTTGCTCATTCGTTGACCAGGTCTCCCTCCACGTGGCCGTTACCAAGACAAGATCGAGTTTGATCTGCCCCTTGCGACTGGTGCTATCCCCTACACCAAGTGGTCTATTGTCTGATGAGGCTTGGCAATCATGGTCCTCACCACGTCAACATCAACATCCATAGAGGATGGCCAACTACACAAAGAGACTTATCATTCTCCCGTGTTGTCGCCATCGTCGTCCACCGAAATCAACAGAACCGACCAATTGCACAGAGTGCAATCGTCCGAGCACGGCATTCCCCTTGTCAACACCACCGACGATGAGCCCGAGAAGAGGCCTTCGGTCGACAGTGATCCTAACATTGTCGACTGGGACGGCCCTGACGACCCAGAAAAGGCCATGAATTGGTCCGAGGGAAAGAAATGGACCAATATCGGGGTGCTGTCCTATCTTTGCTTTCTCACTCCTCTAGCTTCGTCAATGGTCGCTCCAGGTGTTCCTCTCATCATGCGGGAATTCCAATCCACCGACTCAACCATTGCCAGTTTCATCGTGTCCATCTACGTCCTCGGGTACGCGCTTGGGCCTCTGTTTCTCGCCCCTCTAAGTGAGGTCTACGGGCGAGCCTATGTCTATTACGCGTGCAACTCCCAGTTCGTCATCTGGACTATGGCGTGTGCGCTGGCTCCCAACATGGGCACGCTGTTGTTCTTCCGAGTGCTCAGTGGAATCGCAGGCAGTTGTGTCATCACCATTGGTGGCGGTACCATCGCCGACCTGATTGTTCAAGAGAAGCGCGGCGGAGCCATGGCCTTGTTCGCTTTAGGTCCACTCATCGGACCTGTCATTGGCCCTGTTAGCGGCGGATTCCTGTCCGAAGCAGCCGGGTGGAGGTGGGTGTTTTGGGTGATCACGATTGCGGTTAGTCCTTGTTTGATCCATGTCGACGACGTTGCCGATACTGACTAGTTGACAGGCCGGCGTGGGCTTTGTAGTGGCCCTTTTTGTCATGCGGGAATCGTATGAACCGGTCCTCCTTGAGCGCCGAACAAAGCGGCTTCGCAAAGAGACGGGCAATCAGAACCTGCGCTCGCGACTCGATCCAGGCATCCCCATCCGCGAGTACTTCATTCGAGCCATCATTCGGCCCACCAAGATGCTCTTCTTTTCGCCCATTGTCTTCACCTTGTCGTTATACATGGCTATCGTTTATGGCTATCTTTATCTCCTATTCACCACCATCGGAATGGTCTTTGAGGGCACATACGGTTTCAGCCAGGGGACGGTTGGTCTCTCGTTCCTGGGAATTGGAATTGGATCAATGCTGGGTCTTGTCATCTTTGGCATCATCTCAGACAGGATTGTCAAGAAGAAATCGGCCAATGGGGAGATGAAACCAGAGTATCGACTACCTCCCCTCATCCCCGGGAGTCTGGTCATCCCCATCGGCCTCTTTTGGTACGGCTGGTCCGCCCATGCTAGAGCACACTGGATTCTCCCCATCATCGGCACCATGTGGGTCGGCCTGGGCTTGATCGCTACTTTCATGCCGATCCAGACATATCTTGTGGATGCCTTTGGCCTACATGCAGCTTCGGCCATCGCTGCCAACACGGTGCTTCGGAGTTTGGCGGGTGCCTTTTTACCCTTGGCAGGACCATCCATGTATGCGTCGTTAGGCCTTGGATGGGGCAATTCATTGCTCGCCTTCATTGCTCTTGCATGTGCACCTGTGAGTTACATCTTCTACAGATATGGGGAGCAGATTCGAAAACATCCCAAGTTCCAGTTGAATTTGTGATGAACAACTTGGTCCACCATAGGCTTCTTGCGACTTTCTTTCAAAATCGGAACACGAGGGGCACGGTGCATGGTGTGTGGATGTCAAGGTCATTCAACAGAACAGTTTTCAATCACATTCGAGGGGTAAAGAGGGTATTAAGCATAGCATTTTGTTTTATTGGAAGCAACTTAACAATAGACCTTGGGCAGGATGAGCCATGTATCTAAAACGGCAGATGTCTACAAGATTCAGGATGCACTATCGAAAATGGCATTAGCAGTTATCTTCAAGCATCGGACTCGTGTCATTCAGTTGACTAGCAATTGCATTTAAAAGTTTAGAGAGACCTCGGATCTTTGAGTATGTGAGCGGGAGTAGGACTACAGTATGAGTATGAATACCTCACTACTTACCTAATTCACGTGTAGCCTTGTCGGCTGGGATGCCGATTGTATTTGCATTGATTGTAGTGATTCTACACATTTGCATTGCCACATACCATCAACGAGTTACGAACTTCTGTTTAAATCTAAACATGAAGACTCCCTGTTGTTCCCGTGAGTTCTCCATCATATGAACAGAACTGTGTCTGTTCGGATTCGTATATCAAATTCAGCTCTGTGGAAGAGGTATGGACTATAGAAGTGAGAAGAACAAACGAATTTCAGCCCTTCACTGGCGATACTGTCATTTCAACAAGGGCTCACCTGAAATTAGTTTGACGATGTTAATCAGACGAAGGAGTACCAGTGGAAAACATTGTCGAGGGTAGATATCATCTATACGGTGGCGTAGCAATAAGAATGAGAAGAGATAGTAGTTACTGTGCTGTTAGACACCTCAGTATATGGTACGTAGGAGATGCTCAATAAACCAAAGTAAAGTCTTTGACAAGACTGAGCTGTCACCAGGTGAACTGCGGCTTCTCGAGTCGCATTGTCAATGATTGATCTGCCAAACCCCTACTAACACACCCATTTGCAGGAGATGCTTGAGGTTTTCCCCGACCGCCACCACACCCTTATGTCTCTTGTGTTGATGACAACTTTCTCTTTTGGGGCCACACCTTTCTGTCCATGAACAATTGTTGCAGTCCGCTAGTCCTGCACGTAAGGGGCGACTCAGTAGATGCGTCGAGGTAGTACCAAGCTGTCATAGTCCATGCGGTACGTTGTGAGATAATGGCGACTGGAATGGTGTGAACCTGATCGTTACGCCATTATTTCACTGGTCGTAGCGAGCATCGAGCATCGAATCTGTGTGAATGACCCCTTATGGTCCCGATTATGATTCGCCCACAGCGCCATTCGCCTCGCCTTCTTTGCTCCCGCCATCCTTCTCTGCAGGCATCACCACGTCTTTGAAAACTGCAAAGCTTGATGGCGTTTCTTCCAGAACAGGAAAATGGAACCCGCATTGAGGGCACTGTTCCCGTAGAACAGCCTGCTCCTGGGCCAAATCGTACTTTTTATCCTGAACGAGGTTGCAGACAGGACATATCCGGAGCATTCGCGTACCAACTAGTTCAAAATTGGTGATGATGTCTTCCATAATTGCTCCGTTGGCGGCCCAGGTCTTACAGTACTTATGGTAGACGTTTTTGTGCCAGTCATAGAGGGCCCCTCGGCTAGTCCAGAAGCTACATTCGTTGTACCAGCTCCGATCATCTGGATGCTCCCACCAGGTTAAATGTAAGAAACCGGGTAGCTCCATAAGATGGCGACGGGTATCGGCGAAGAGGACTTTGAACTTTTCATATGCGTCCGGGCTAGAGAAGCGCACCCGCTGCATACTTAGGTAGATGGGCATTTTGAAAAGTCGCCGAGGTTTGTTAATAGGGTCAAGGTGATGATAGAGACAAAGCCTGCACAAGCTCAAGTCCGGATGGCGATATACTTTTGCCTCGAGAACCCCAGGCAGATCAACTATTTGGCTATTTAAGTAGAAATGCTGGGAGGTCAATTCTCTGACATATCAAATGTCCCCATCTCTGTGAGTTGCAATTTGTTTACTGCAGTATCGTTTGACTTTCTAAATGTGTGTCACCACCATATGTTGGCATACTCTCAGAGGTTGAATCTCACTGAGGTGGGAACGGGATAGGATCGTATCTATCAATAAGTGTGCCAATCATAAAGGAACAATTACTTCGTCCAGGTGGTGGGTACGGAACAGATAGGAATCTGGTCTCGTAAGGGTAACTGTCAGGCTCTTAAGGCTTTGCAATATTGACTTTGGCTAGGGCACTGATAACGACGGGTGTGGTCTGTCGCTGAGTTGGACGCCTGCCAAAAAGTGAGTGTATCAAAGCTTTCTCTCAGTATCTATTGGGTATTTTGAGTGGAACCAACCAGTTTTCTTCGCCCCTCGGCCCTATGGGCTTCAAATCTGGGTCATACAAGGAACCTTATAACACAACCCTCCACGGCCCTCCACAACTCTAGTCTTTCTTTTCAAGCAGTATCACGAATGAAGCTTTCTCCACTAGCGCCTACGTTATTTAGCCCTTATCATTTCGTCTTAAACTTTCGTCCTAAACCACAAAGAGCAATAACAGCCACTCTCGCGTGTCGGGCACAAATCTACGCTTACGGAGTAGATGTCGCTGAATGGGGAAGAAACATGTCTTCGAGAACACGAGTCCTGGCATATGACTTCTTCAGACACTACAACCATCAACATTCTCGCAGCCAGACCTCGCACTGTGGAAGGCAACGCCTGCTTCTCTACAAAAAATGAGTAGACCAGAATCTTCACCTCCGAATCTGACCAGTGCGGAAAACTATGAACGAGGTGACAAAGTCCTGACCCGCATTCGACGAGCATGCGTCAACTGCAGGTGTGTGCCTCAATGAGCGTGAACAGCCTTCACTTAAGCGGCAATCCAACTCACACGGTCCAAATCCTAGACGAAAGAAAGTCCGATGCTCGGGAGAGCGCCCAGTTTGCGCCTATTGTGCGCGGTTATACCAAAAATGCTCCTATGCCGATGAATCAAAATCGCCAACCTATTACAATCACACTGCTGGGTCGATTGAAAGCAATAATGACTCTTCGTTCAACTTCGATCAGTCTATCTCTGGGCTCAAGGCCGAGTCTTCAGGTCCAAGCCCAGTAGAAACACAACTTGCTTCTATCGAGTCAAGCATACGAAAGTAAGTCAGTCGTGGGAATGAATCACTGGCTGTTGTAGTCGAGCGCCTTGCGATACTGATGAGTATTTGTTCTCGACAATAGTCTTACCGCCATTATTGTCAAAGCAAACACTTCCAATTCTCTGGATCGCGGTGCTCGGAAATCTGGTTATGGCTCGACGTATGATGTGGATCTCGATACAGTGTCTCAGGGGCGAGATCTGGATGACAGCCCTACTATCCCCATCCATTGGCTCACTTTGGCTGCTGACGTCTATTTTCAATATTGCCATAACCAGCCTTATTCACTTTTCCACGAGGCAAGCTTTCGCAAGAGTCTAATCAACGGAAATGTGCCAAGATACCTCTGCCTCGCATTCGTTGCAACAGCTCGGCGCTTTTCGACCCCAGGATCTTTTTCTAAACAAGATGCTGAGACCATATGTATGTTTTCGAAGGAGGCTTGGAAGCAAACAATGCTGCGCCTGGTTGATGATATAGAGCAAAAAGAAGTCATCTCGATTCTGCAAACTATCATTCTTATCGCCGTTAGTGACTACTCAGGTACCGTCATCCTGATTTTTCCTCCAAAATTGGCCCTCCGTCACTGACTTGAGAAACCAACAATAAAATAGACGGCCGATGTTCATCTGCTTGGATAAAAGTCGGGCTTGGAATTCGGATAGCCCTATGTTACCGTCTCAATCATGAACCAGATCCCAATCTCAAGCCTTGTGAAAGAGAACAGCAAAGGAGAGTATTTTGGTCTTACTATTTGCTAGATAAACTCATTTGCTGTGGGAGAGAAAGGTCACCGACATTACGGGAGGAAGATTGCAAGCTACAAATGCCCTCGAACGAGCAAGCTTATAGGCAGGGCGCTGACCACCCTACCCCAACGTTGGGCCTCCTCGTCGGGGATGCCCCAATCGTTACATCGCTACAGCCACTCAGTCATTTCGCACTCCTGATTCTCATGTCAGCTACCTTGAACCGTGTAGTGCAATACACGCTACGCGGAGACAAGAGTCTTCAAGATGTCGTTCCATGGTCATCCACATCGCCTTATACTGCACTTGGAACGACGTTGTTGCGAATTCGACAGAACTTCCCGATCAATCAGGGTGTGAATGATACGCGGACTCGGCCATTCCCGGATAATGCAAAGCATCAACAGATTGTGGGGCCTTTGATGTATGCACGAGCTCTGTTCCATCTCTCAGGATGTCTGTTGCACCATCCATTCCTTCTTCAACAAAGAATATTCAACGACACAAGTCGGGTACCACTTGATTTCTTGGACAGAGCCTGGACATCGAGCAGATCGCACGCCGAAGCGTTATCCAGGCTGCAAGATGAGCAGGCCCTTGACTGCTATGTCACAGTCTCGAGCTTTAGGGGCTATTGCATCATGGTTGCCGGCTCTATCCATCTCCTATATCTATGCGACAAAAGGAAAGAAGTGCAACGATCTTCTTTGCAGCACTATAATGACGGCCTCAACTTCTTGCAAGATATGTCACGGTACTGGAAAGCTGCTGCACGAATGGTATGTACTGCTTGAACCCGCCATCGGGAAAGCACCTATGATAACAAGATATTGACTGACGGTTGGTTGCAATATAGGCTGCAAGACTTCAGCGTCTCCGCAAGTATGCCGCGAGCTCTCAACGACTCCTAGACTTTGAGAATGGTAAAAACCACCTGCCTCGCCTCACTGCGCTTTGGGAGAGTGTGGACAACTGGGACGCTCCAACTAGCTGTCCAAGTCCCAATCTTCCACCGTTGGAGGAACCGATGCCGCCATACCAATCCGAAGACCTCCTTGACTTCTTCGAAATATCAAACCCTGATTTTTTCCCGACATCGAACGACGGAAGACAGGAAAATTTGACACTTAGAGACCCGCTTGGCACACATACCACTGACAACACTGCCAACTTTCCTGTGGAAGAAACAGCGTGGATGTGAGAGTTGGGAATTCGGCAAGATCTCGCAACTTGTTGAAGTTATTTCTATCTAATTCTCCGTCTCGTAGTGCCGTAATTGATCCTGATTTCGCACTAGCTCAAACCTGCTCATCCAGCCCAGCGTTCCGCTCAAAAAAAAAGTCATAGGCGTGCTGATTGCTCAACTGACCTTATCCCCGTTAGTGAGAACGAAGAAAGCTTTCACAAAGGGTGCCTGAGACGTCCAAGTAATTGG